AACTATGTCGCCGTCTCGTGGGCTTGGCAACTGCATGCCGATGACAAGGCTGCGGGAAAAAGCCGCGTGTACAAGGTACAAACCAGAGACGGCGATCATCGCTGGCTATCGCATATACAAGACCGCGTCCTCAACCGTGTGCTAAGATACATGGACCACCACCATATCCCTTGACTATAGATTGACAAACACAGCATCCCACAAAAGGCACGCTGTCAAGGCTGACGTCACTACAATCACAATATTTGCGTCAAGACAAGAGAGAGCCTTCGGGCCATAAATCTTGTGTATAAGTACAGTGACTATTCCTTAGGCTTGGTCGAGACGCAGATTGAGAAGCTGAAAGACCTGGAACACCTCGCGCTCATAATGGGTCAGAAGCTAGTCAATGAATCCGACTTCGGCGGCCACTTCCGTCTCCTAGACGGCGCAGAGCTATCGGTAACGAAGCGAGCACTCCATCTAGTACATCAGATCACCAGCGACACATAGTGGCTTCGGGCTTGGATTTACCAAGAAAACTACCGCGCCGAGATAGGCATGACTCTTCTAATAGGGCATAGCCGAGCTCTTGAGAAAGCAAAATGATCCCATATCATCTTTGGTGACTTGCTTGGAGAGCTGTGTCTGGCAATCCAGGACCTCGAAGACTTAACGAGGGAGAACCGGGAAATAATTCGAGACATCCTAAGCGCAGCTAGCAAATACACGATTCTGCTTCCTAGTCCCAGTCCATGTCCTCTTGCATCATTGCAGACATTGAGCAGAGAGATGTTAGAGGTCCATAGGACCGTCTCGCCATCACAGCGAACTACTGCCAGTACTCCATACGCTTAAACTAGGATAAGCTTAAGAAGAAAGAACACAGTCTCAGCCTAGCCACGCTGGCCATGTACTTGCTAAACGGGGAGATCCTCGACAATTCTAGCTACTACGTTCTCCTAAGATGTAGGTTGGCTTCGAGTATAACGGTCTCCTAGTTCCTCATGGCAAGGTTTTTCGATAGGTTCTACACACCCGGCGACAAGTACATTCTCTCTTTTAATAAAGGCTGTCGCTTCACGGAAGTGGATCTCACGCCGGACGGGATCCTGACAAAAGGACATATCTAGGAGCTTGGAGAACTCATTGAGACTGTAGGTTTCCCTGACAGCCTTCTCTAGATTAATTTACCGCGCGGTAACTCAAAGCTTCGTAAGCAGAGGAGGCTTGTCTAGCTCACTGGTAAGCTTAGAACATTGTCGCAGAATTATCTTGCTGAAACGATTCAGGACCAACTAAATCACGATGCGCAAAACAAAGATAATGCTAAGTTCTAGGAAGAAAGCTTCTCCCAGAGCGCCATGAGGACCATGGCGAAAGAGGTCGTCCGGGCGATAGATCAGGGAGGACACTTAGGCTTGGCACACTCGTAGGGTTCCAAAACGCGAGTGCAATATTCATCTGTAACGAGGAGGCGCACGCAGAGCCGTTGCCGTCTTATGCCTTCACTGCTTCCTGGCCCCGAGATACTACACCGGGAGACTACGATGATAACGATCTCGATCGGTATGTATCCTCCAAGTTCGCTTCTCCAAGGAAAAAAAAAAGACAGCGATGGATTCCCGCGATTAAGGACCATGCGTTGGCTTACCGGTTTATTATTCTTTATGGGATGCCGCAGAGAGGAAGTTATCTTCCCGTGGCCACCAGAATTAAAGGACATAGCTCCAGCGCTTTTCTCAGAGTGTTGTTGAGCACAAAGTCAAGATGAGGTCATGGCGACTGGGATGAGCTCTATCGGGTGTTCCAAGGCACCGAAGCTCTTCTCTTAACACCCACCACACCGTCGCTCAGCTCCATGGCCTCGACTTCAGCACTACTGCCCGTACGTTCTTCAACCAGAACAAGGTGTGTGGGACCATTTTCGTGCTTGTAGGCTTGAAACTGTCTACGGGTAGATACAGATTATCGCCTACCTCCAGCTGATCAGGTCCTCTAATATAATTTTCTTTTCTGTCGTAACGGCATCGCCCGTGCAACTGCGAATATCAATTTCTTAGTCTCAGTATTGTCTTCAATATCTTCTAGGTCGATCGACACCGAGTCATTCTCGTATTGCCACTCGTCCACAAGCTAGCCCGGAACTGCCTTGTAATTCTATATGCAATTAATCAGGTTGATCGATGCAATCATGAACCTAGCTAGTACTTTGGCTTTCCGCAATTTTTGCCATAGGACAAAGAACGAGGCAGAAAGCCAGCGGCAGCATTCGAACTGTATAGTCGCCTTATGCAAAGCGGCACCCAGCCTCACCTCTTCCCCTTCGTCTGTTTCATTTAGTCAAAGGCCACCTGTCAGACTCACGCCACCAGTAGGAATGCCAAAGCTTGCGATAGCACGGGGCTTAAGAAGTGTCGTTTCTTCGTCTTCCATGAGTCCTTACACCATGGCCATGTCTCTTAGTACTCAAGAGGCCGTGCAAAGCAATTATGTCCCAAAAAGTCCTGCCGCACTCATTAAATCCAACAACACGTTGTCTCTATTGTTAGGCTAGACTAACACAGGGCTGGCCCTGGACCAGCCATGGCATTGACGTGAGGCCAGCCATAGCTTTGGCTATGCCAATGCCATAGATAGGTAGCTTGGTATGCTTTATACAACACTCTTCTATGACCACACGTTGGCTACACCAACACGCCTAACAGTGGTCTTTGGCCAGCCATAGCATTGGCTACGCTAATGCTGTAGATAAGTAATTACTCGGCTTTATATAACACTTCTCTAACTATAGGTTTGTTATGCTAGTATAATTAACATTTACTATCTAATTTATTTTATAAAATAAAAATATAATAAATAACGTATATTAAATGTACATATCTTACTTCGCTGATTAAATAATAATATAATATAAGAAATTAATACGTATAAAATTAATAAAGTATGATAATTTATAATTAAAAAATAATAATATCAGTAAATTAAATTATTTTATTATAAATTAAACGTCATGATGTTAATAATCTCTCTTAAAGCCGCGGCGTTTTATGTACAAACGGATCCGTACGAGCGGTGAGACCTATGGTGGATCCCATGAACATCATGAGGATGCAGAGTGACCCCCGCGCGGAGGGCTTGTGGTAGCGGTAACGCCCTAGGAAACCCCGCGATTGGTTGATATACCCCCGGTCGGTTAGTGGTCCAAACTTCCGTCCTTCACCATGTGTGCTGCCGATCTTGAACTTTGAACTTATAAGACAATTCACTCTAGTAAATTTCCGGTCCGGTTTCCCCGCCTACTCCCCACGCAGAAAACCAACTACATCTTGTTATTCCCCGTTCTGACGTCTCGGGTGGTTGTTTTCTTCTTCTTCTTCTTCTTCTTCCTTCTTATTTTATCATACTTTAAGACATGCCAGTATGAAACGAACAATAGCACAAGTCAGCCTCGTGCTGATTTCGATGGTCTGCGTGGTAGCATCCTATTACACATCGCCTCCCACTTATCCTTCACGTGTGTCTCCTTCTGAGGGCCCAGCGTCGCTACAGTTGCTAACATGAGCAACAGCGCTGGGATCTGGCAAAGGCATCTGGGCCAGCGCCTATGCTAGTGCTCATGATTTGGTGGGCCAGATGACACTTGAGGAAAAGGTTAACATCACACGAGGCTTCACTGTCGCTGATAACATATGCGCCGGAAATACGGGTACTGTTCCCCGACTTGGCTGGCCTGGCATGTGTCTCCACGACGCTGGAAATGGGGTTCGGGCCACCGACATGGTCAGCTCCTATCCCTCTGCCATTCATTCAGGCGCCAGCTGGGACAAGAATCTGACCTACGAACGCGGGTTTTACATGGGAAAGGAATTCAAGGCCAAGGGAGGTACGGAATCGGCTTGAACGTCAAGACGTCATGTTTACTGATTCCCCACTACAGTCAATGTCATGCTCGGACCAAACGCTGGTCCATTAGGCAGGTCACCACTCGCAGGACGGAATTTTGAAGGCTTCTCGGTTGACCCCTACCTGTCGGGTCGACTCAACGCCGAGACAATCGCAGGCTCCCAGGACGCCGGCGTCATTGCCATGATCAAGGTGGGGCCCCGGTGGTGGTTCGGTTTCTGAACTGTTTTCTAACGTGCCTTGACCAGCACTTCATCGCCAACGAACAGGAGACTTACAGGCGACCATATTTTGGCGTCGAAGCTGCTTCTTCCAACATTGACGACAAGACACTGCATGAGTTCTACATGTGGCCGTTCATGGATGCTGTCAAGGCGGGTGTGGCATCAGCTATGTAAGTGGTCACAAAGTTCGAAGAGTGCTCAACCTGTTCAAGGCGACGCGTTGCGATACTCATCAGTTCCTTACTGTGGGATCAACACTAATGTACTCCAAGGTGCTCGTATAATCGAGTGAACAACACGTATGCCTGTGAAAATAGCAAGCTGATGAATGGTCTTTTAAAAACAGAGCTAGCCTTCCAAGGGTTCATTCTATTAGACTGGAATGCGCAGCATGACCTCAACTCGGCAAACGCCGGTTTGGACATGCTCATGCCAGGAGGTGGCAGCTGGGGCAATAACTTAACCGCAGCAGTTTCGAACGGCACCGTTGACGAGTCTCGAGTCACGGACATGGCCACCCGGTATGTTTTCAGTGTTCCAGCGGCTCGTGCGCGGTGGCTAACGATATCAGTATCATTGCGGCATGGTATCTTGTCCAACAGAACGGTACCAATTTCCCCGAGCCGGGAGTTGGTATGAAAAATCTCACACTACCACACGAACCTATTGATGCACGAGTACCGGACTCTAGACCAATCCTACTCGAAGGCGCCATAGCAGGCCATGTGCTTGTGAAGAACGACAATAACTCATTGCCATTCAAAGGAAAGCCAAAAATGCTCTCTATTTTCGGCTACGACGCCACAGTCCCAAGAACGAAAAACACCGATACTGTCTTCCAGCTCGGTTACCTTTCATCGCCAGAGATGGCACAGGCCGTGTTGGGCACAGAACGGCATTTCGACCAGGCGGCAAAAGGCGGTACTATAGTCGTAGGAGGACGAGCTGGTGCCAATGCACCAAGTTATATAATTGACCCATTAAGCGCGATTCAACAAAGAGCGGCGGCTGATGGCACGTGGGTAAACTGGGATCTCGACTCGCCCAATCCTGGAATCAACGCAGCATCTGACGCATGCCTGGTTTTTATCAATGCCATATCGACAGAAGGCTGGGACAGGGACGGGTTGCGTGATGACTTCAGCGATGGGCTGATATTAAACGTGGCTTCGAAATGCTCCAACACCATAGTGGTGATTCACACAGTCGGTGTCCGTTTGGTGGATCAATGGATTGAACACCCGAATGTGACTGCGACGATCATGGCACATCTGCCAGGCCAGGATAGCGGACATGCTCTTGTCGATCTGCTTTATGGCGAGGCAAGTTTTTCCGGAAAGCTCCCTTACACTTTGGCAAAGAACGAGAGCGACTACTCGGTTTACCACGTATGCAATCGCACGGACTCGAATGACACGAGCCCGCAATGTGACTATACCGAGGGCGTCTATATTGACTACCGCTACTTTGACGAGAAAGATATCGAACCGCGTTACGAATTCGGATTTGGGCTCAGCTATACGACCTTTGAGTACTCTGCACTGGCAATTGATTCGACCAAACTGAATGCCGTCACGCAGCCCGGCGGGGATTTGTGGGATATCGTAACAGAAGTCAACATCGCGGTCACAAATACTGGACCGGTAGCAGGCGCCGAGGTTGCACAACTATACATCGCTATTCCGAACAGCCCCCCGAAGCAGTTGCGCGGCTTCGAGAAGACACACCTGTCACCAGGAGATTCGGGGGCAATACGTTTCGAGTTGACAAGACGTGATTTGAGTGTCTGGGATGTGGTGTCGCAGGAATGGAAGATACAGGAAGGAAACTACAGCATTTTCGTGGGAGCCAGCAGTCGGGACATCAGATTGACAGGGAATGTTCAGGTGTAGAGAGCCAAGATCTCACCACAACAAGGTGAGATCGAAGAGGCAACAAGCGTGATGCGAGAGCTACGTTAGGCTCCACGGTAAAATTTGCTTATTTCGTTCTTAAGCCGTCAGGTTAGGCCTATGTACCAGCTCGGAAGACCGTAAGCAATGTCAAATAGTTAATTAGACCGTGTTGTCCAAGACCAACCCCATTAAACAGGGCATGATCTGACACGACTCGAGGATTTGGCAGCCTAGCCGAGGGCGTGACTCGCCAACTTCAAGTGTCACGGACATTGAGTACGGCTAGGCTGGGAAACCTCAGGATGGACTTTGGTGAAGCTTATTCATCTCTACTGTGGGCCCAGCTGGAAGGCGCTTTCCATGGTCTGCGATAAGGCTGAACGAAACGAGGCACAGCCGGCGATTCTGAGGGGAACAACTGTGATTTATTTGTATTGGTCGGGGAAACGGCTGCGCCCACCATTCGTGTCCCAAGTGTGTGACTATATCGGACGACAGATACGATGCCACCACTTCCACTGATGTTGACAGTAGTCAGGGCTTTTTTTTCCTCTTCCGATATGGGATGGCTGTTGTGGTTGAGATGAACAAAAGGACCATCCGTCTCATCATCTCATCAAGTGTCCGAGCCCTCTTCGGTGCTTTGATGTTTGGTTGTTTCCCGAACTCGAACTACATGATACCCTTTATTTCCTTGCCTCTAGCGGCAGTAGTCCTGCTCCCGCCATTAGACCCTCATACCACTAAGGCCTAGTTGCCTCGCTAGGTGGGGCGATCGCCACCGTGACAGTGCCTGTGCTCCACAACGTTAAATGAGGATTTAATGCCAGAACCGCGCCGGCGCGACGTTTTGATGCACATCAAGCTTATTTCGTCATTTGTGCAATCCGCATCCGGAAAGGGTCAGGAATGACTTATTGCATAGTAGCATAGAGTCACGACTCGTCCCCAGAAGCATGTGGTCAAGCAAGGATAAGCCTGAGTCCCCGCGCCTGGCAACCTTGCAAGCAATCTGCAATCTGAACGCTGCTTCCACACTATGCCTCATAACGATGCCTTCACAAGTCTGTGCCAACTGTCGCCTAGCTATGAAACATGATGCCGCTCGACCTGAAGACGCGAACATCGCAACACGAGGTACTAGTTCTCAGGTGAGGCGGTGACATTGGATCAGACGCTTCCTTCTTCTCTCCACCTTGCCTCTTTCTGAACACTTGCCGAGATTATCGAGCGCCGAACCGCAGCGGCTGATCTACGTGGTCCAGCGAGCCGGTAGCTCTTTCGCAGATCGTGAATTCGGCAACCCGAACTGTGGCCAAGTGCTCTGGCTCTCTGTCACTACGCTGGCTGGTGTAGCTCAGTTCACCCTCTTTAGCCCCTAAGTTGATGGTTTCAACCACAACATAGCTTCAGAGCACATCGGGGATATGTCTAGACCAGCACCAATACGTGGTGCTGGTAATGAAGGCACTGCTTGCAGATTGGTATAAGAGGCCTTCTGCCACCCCTAGACTTCTCGATTTGTTTCTCAGTTCTGCAGTCTTCTCTCATTTTGTACCAAGTCCATTCGCTTTTTCTCTTTACCATACACTCGCTAATAACATTCTCTATCTGACTGTGTCAGTTCTTTCAACTCATATCCTGTTTATACAATCCCTAAACCCTGTTTCAATACCGCGACAATGAGAAACGTTCGCGACCTTGCTCTCCTTGCCCTCGTGCTGGGCGTCTCAGCCGAGTCTCTTCAAACCAACAAGCGCACAGGCCTTGACCTCCTCCTCGGCGGAGGTGGTTCGGTCTCTATCGGAGGATCCGCCTCAGGCTCTACCTCTGCGGGAGTTGGTGTCATCACAAATGCTCTTGGAGGCTGCAAAGCCAAGGTGTCCACCTGCAACAGCGCTATCCTCGGCCTAAGCGCCGGTGCTGATCTGAGCGCTTCCATATCTGCTTTGGCCGATGTCCTGGCCACTATCAATGCCGCCGTTGGCACCTGCAACGTTGCTGGCTCCATCAGCCTCACCGACTTCATCGGTCTTTCCGCAGACCTGACTGGCTTCGCATCAGCCTGTGCTAGTCTTTTTGCCGACATCCAGGGTAAAATTGACGTTGTTTCTGGCCTGAACGGCTGCTCTGTATACGGCGACGCCCTTGTAGATATCCAAGCATCCGCAGGTGCTCTGTTTGATGCTATCATTGCTATCACCGCCGATCTCAACCTCGGCGCCAGTGTCAGCATCGGCGGTCTCTTCGGTGCCGGTGCCAGCCTCAATCTGGGTTCACTGGGTGTTAGCGCTGGGGTCGAGGGCATCCTGTCCATCATCTCTGGCATTGCTGGCAACGTCGGTACTTGTGTTTCGGCCTATGCTAGTGGCACCTGTGTCAACTCTGGTGCTGGCGCTGGCGTGAGCGCAAGTCTCGGTGGCGAGATTACCGCCACCGCTGATATCAGTGGGGGTGCTTCTGCCACAGCTGTTATTACCATCGGCGCCGGCGGCTCTGGTTCCGGTTCTGGTTCCGGCACCGGCGCCATCACGGCTACAGGTGGCATCGGCGCCAGTGCGACAGATGCTGTCACCGTTTCTGCTGGTCTTGGAGGCGGCGTTGGTGGCGGAATTAGTGGCGGAATCGGTGGTGGGGCCAGTGCAACAGATGCTGTTACTGCCTCTGCGGGTTCTGGTGCTGGAATCGGCGGTGGTGCTGGTGGCTCCGGGGGCGTTACAGCCACTGCAACTCTAGGTGGCGACGCTGGGGTAACTGCAACCGTCGGCGAAGGAGCCGGAGCTACTTTGTCCGTTGGTGCCGGGGGTGAAGGCAGTGGGTCTGGTTCCGGATCCGGTAGCGGATCTGGTTCTGGCAACGGTTCTGGCTCCGGATCTGGTATTGGCAACGGCGGTGGTGCTGGTGGCTCCGGGGGCGTTACAGCCACTGCAACTCTAGGTGGCGACGCTGGAGTAACTGCAACCGTTGGCGAAGGAGCTGGAGCTACTTTGTCTGTTGGTGCCGGGGGTGAAGGCAGTGGGTCTGGTTCCGGATCCGGTAGCGGATCTGGATCTGGCAATGGTTCCGGCAATGGTTCTGGATCTGGATCTGATAACGGTAGCGGTAACGGTGGCTCCAGTGCTTCTGCCACCGATGCAGTCTCGACTACCGCAAGCTCCGTCCCTCACTCTGGTAACGGCAGCGGCAACAGTGGTGTCACTGCTACTTACGTCGAATCCGGTGCCGCATCTGCTACCGGAGCTGAGTCTGGCATCCCCACCGTCACTGGCGCCGCAGACTATACTACTAGCACCATCTACAGCACTCGTACCTACAGCATTACCTCTTGCGCTGCCTCTGTCACAGACTGCCCCGCTCTTGGCTCAACCACCACTGAAATTGTCGCAGTCTCTACTACTGTGTGTCCCGTTGCTGCTACAGAGTCTGGTGCATCTCCCAAGCCTACCACTACTGAGATTCCTGCCGACTTCACAACCAACACGATTTACAGCACAAAGACCACCACCATTACTTCATGTGCTCCCGAGGTTACTGACTGCCCCGTTGGCAAGACCACTACTGAGGTCGTCGCTGTCTCGACTAGTGTTTCCCCTGTCACAAAGACTGAAGGTCGGCCGGGCTACAGCACTTCGGCCAACGATGCCGTTTCGGCATCTGCTAGTAGCGTATCGCCTTCCAAGAGCGCTGGTGCTAATTCTGGCTCCAACTCCGGCTCCAACTCTGGATCTGGATCTGGTGCCGGTTATCCCGCCATTAGCCAGTCGTTCGCAGTTTCCGCTACTGATGCTATCGGTGTCAGTGCATCCACTCAAGCGACCACTTTCTCGACTCTCCTTGCCACTGCCTCGGGATACCCCGTTGCTGGTTCTGGCTCTGGCTCTGGTAGCTCTGTCTCCAACGCCGCACACTATCCTACTACCACCACAACTGGCAACAGTGGTGTCTCTTCAAACACCACTGCTACCGCTAGACCTACTTCTACCTTCGTCACCGCTGGCTCTTCTGCAGTGCAGGCTGTTACCGCTATGTTCGGTGTCGTCGCTATCACTGCGGCAATGATGATGCTATAGTGTTGAGGCGTTAGGCTTTCTACCGCCACTAGGTTTGACCTAGTTACTGTACAAACGAAACAAAAATGAGGTGTGCTAGTTCGCTTAGGTTTTTTTAGTTTTTCTTCTAGCGCAGATGGAGTATGGCATCTCCTTGGAAATATTTACTTATGGGATCAAACATCTCACATAATAATACAATGGGCATTGTCCACTATTCGAAAACAACCCTTGCGTTCAATACCTATTCAATTATAGGATTATACGAAAGCCAAAAGTAGGCAATACTCTAAATATTTCACTTTGCATGTCATGTATGTATATTAGTGTCTAGGAGAACCCAAGAGCCGAACCGTAGCTTCGGTGCATGTATAATACCACTGGCTTGAATACGGCAATCTTCTATTTTGACAATTATGACATGACAATACCTATGCGAGGGCACACCCCGTAGAGTATAATCAGTGGGGATATCGGCATTTACGCAAGACCATGAGGCTGATTGTGAAATGAGGATGGGTGATGAAGCGTATGATGACGTCTGATGAAGGCTTTTCGGCGATTTGCACCTGAAGGTTTGACACGCGCAACAGTCTCGAGGCCTCGTATGCAATCGCGTGCCAACGTCGCAAGCCAATTCTGTACCTTGACTGTCAGCTCCGAAATTGTCCTCTCGATATGATATCCAAGTAAATATCATTAAAAATGCACAGTATAATCTATGAGTATAATCTACTGGGGTATCTCAAGAAACAATCAACAGGGACTCCCAACTCGCGCCTTAGTTTCACCGCTGCCTGGCAATGCCCTTCAAAGTCGGATCCCCTTTCCAGCGAACAATCCCACGTAAGCTAGAAGCCTGTACAAGGTACCAATTCCGAGGAGGACTGCGAGGTTCCGTTGAAACCAATCCAAGTGAAAGCCCATATTCGCAGCAGCGAGTTTTGTGTTGTATAAATATTCGTAAGGCGCAACCATTTGTCCGAAATAGATCTCGGCCAACCAGACGCCAGGGCTCGCCCGCCACAGCCATTCCAGATGCCACTTTTTGACATTACTCAGGGGTGGTGCAGCACCACACAAGACACCGACAATGAGGCTGATCATAGTGGCAAAGAGAGGCGCATCTTCTCTTCGTAGTATCATGCTTAAGAAACTCGCCAGGCCGTAGATGCAATAGAAGTACAAGAGATTGACCAAAAAGGCCAAGTTCCACGAAATGATCGGGACAGAAAGCAGCATAAACCACGTCGTGAAGTGTAAACAAGCGAGAAGCATACGCGGGACCACCGAGGCTGACTTGGCCAAGAAATATGCCAGTCTAGAATGGCCAGCCTCTGACTCACGTCGTTGTACAAGCATCTCTTCGGAGAAAACCTTGACGCCAGGAGCTGCAGCTACAAGCCCAATGGCTATAGCAACTAGAAGTGATGTTTCGGGCGTAGATTTTATATCCATAGCAACAGACAAAATCTCAAATGGGGGATTGTATAAGCCGGTGAAGAGAACGCCGTTCTTGGAGTTCTCCGCCAGACCGATAAGAAAACCGGCGATGGACGCAAGCAACATCTCGCTCCAGAATGTGACAATACTACGGGACTGCTGCAACATCGCACGTCGTAGACAGAGCCAAAGCTGTTTGAGTCGAGATGCACCTCGTGTCCTCAAAACCTTGCTCATCGACGAGCTGCTGACCGAGATTATTGACTCGGCTCGGCTATTTCGAGTTGAACGATGGTGCGAACTGGCCCAATAGTCAATGAGCGACTCCCTCGAAATATTACCACTGCTTTTGTAGGCGCGACCATTTCCAGTGATGATGTCTGTGACCACATCTCCATAGTTGCTATGAGCCGGGAAGCGATAGCCAATGCTTTCGAAGAATAAGCGAACGTCTGCCTCTGGCCCCTCGTAGATGAGCTGACCGTTGCCAAGGAGAACCAAGTTGTCCAACATCTCGAAGATCTCCATACGCGGCTGGTGGATGATGACGATAACAGAAATGCCTAACCGTGCAATAGCCTTGAGTGTCGCCATGATCGAGCTAGCAGCTGTGGCATCCAGACCGGAAGTTGGCTCATCCAAGAATATGGCCATGGGTGCAGCAGCTAGTTCCATGCCAATACTCACACGCTTCCGTTGACCACCACTGATTACAGGCTTCCCGACGGTACCCACAAGGGAGTCTTTGACATGAGATAATTCGAGGCAATCAATGACAGAATTAACGTGTGCAACGACGTCTCGATCCTTCCACGTCCGCGGTAGACGGATCCTAGCCGAGTGTAATATGTTTTCGTAGACCGTGAGCTCAGGCAACACTATGTCATCTTGAGGAACGTAGCCTATGAGTTTCTTGTACCGCTTAAGCTTCCCTGGGACACCGTTGATAGCAACCGACCCACCAGTCTGGTTGGTTTTGCCCATCAAGACATTGACAAACGTCGACTTACCCGCTCCAGAGCCACCCATGACAGCCGTGACTGTTCCACGTTCGATAGAGCCCGTGACGTTCTGGAGAATCATCCTGGCGGAGTTCCTCGGCTGGAAGCTTAGATTGGAGTATGTGAACGAAAGACCGAAATGAGCGGCGTCGGTAGCCTTTCGCATTGACTCAACAAATGATCGAAGTTGAGGTGTCATGCCTTGCGCGTTTTCTAGCTCTTCGGCCCACATGCCCCTACTAAAGTCCATATCGAGAACGGCATGGAATCCATGCCACGCGTCCCCGCGCGGCATATATGTGTCTTCCATGGGTAGCATCTCCTGGTCGTGCTCAGTCTCATCATCCAAACGACTGTATCCGGATGCCTTGACCGACATGGCTCTCAAGGGTACCTTTGCTGAGTTGTTCAGAGAAGCGGAATGCGCGCTCGTGGTCCTGCGGAACCGGTTGCGAAGTCCGTGCACGATTATGCCCACGAGAATTGCGACATCTATCGCGAGCAAGACTATGACTGGTATTAAGTTTCGCTGAAACACGGATCCCTCTGGACAACGACTCCCGATATCGCAGGGTGTTGGTGTTGCAGCACCGGGCTGGCAATAGGAACCCGCGGGACATGGAATCATTCTATCAGCTTCGAGTCAGCATTTTCAATTCCATCAGAGATCTCTACGTAGGAATATGAAAGCTGAGAGAAATTACTCAAGTCACGAGTATCATAGGGACATACATGATCGACAAGCGAAGGCCTTGCCAGGAACAATGCGTAGTTGATGGGATCGGTAGATGGAATCGAAAGAACTTACTTGTTTCCAGGAGCGGGACAATAATTCCCAGCTTGGCACACTATCGGCTCGAACGGGCCCATGCCTATGTTGGTGCCGCTTAGTTGACACACCTGCCCAAACAAACGGGATGTTTGACAATCAGTCACAGGCGGGCAGTATTGGGGCAAGCTATTAACGGTGTTGTTAGCACCTAGCAAATATTAGCAATGACACTTTAGCTTCTCGTGAGAGTTTGGAATATAACAAACATAAGAACCCTTCGAGGCAGCCCTTCTCCTCCCACTCCTCGGCAGTCTGGATGCGGATGGGGATCGCTTCGGGCCCCCTATAACACGGCGCAGCATCGACGAGTGTTTCATTCCGAGCAATTGCATCCTTGGTCCTATAGAATGCCGTGGTGAAGGTAGTCTGATTCACAGCTGTGCATGCTCGATCGTAAATATCAAACCCAGTCTGGCCCGATGCCTCGACTAAACGATCCTGTGCGGCGTCCCATTGGAAAGTGGTAGCGGTGTTGGGACCGTTAGATGCATCGTAGATTGGCAAGCTTGTCGTGCTGCCACCGTGGAGCGTGTTGAACCATTTGCCGGTGGTGGCCTCATATACGTTCTGTGTCTGGTTTCCAATGCATTGCCATGCCGTCACACTGTCTTGACCACTGTCATCTGGCGTCGTTCGAAGCGCGCAGACACAAGCGCCGGTATCGAGAAAGCTAGGAGTTGTGTGCTCCGCCTGTGGTATGAAGGGATCCTGGGGCAGGTCGGCCGCATTGATGTTGTATTGCGGTGCTGTCATGTTGAACTACCAACGGCCATTGAAGGTCCGATGCTGTAGGCAAGGAGTCGTCACAAGAAAGAGCGACAAGCTGTATAGCCAAGGGCAGCGAGTGATGTTGAGGCACTAGAATAAAATAAAATAAAATATAATAGAACTCTCATACGGTGAAAACGGACGACATGTCCATCTTGTTATCTCTGCTGCCTAGCAGATCCTTCGTGGACCACAGCAGGAGCAGGGTGAGCGGGTCTTCAAGGACTCCAGCACCAGGCATAGCCCTGGACGTTCAGTTTTGAGGATGCCATAGATAATCACTGGTGAGAGCCAAACACACGGGTCCTACTTTCCCGTCGAGATGCTCACGTTCAATCCTTCGGGCGGTGAGTTCCTGCACTAGCATCTCAGCCTCAACAAGTCCCACATCATTTTACCAAAACAGGTAATAACGCTCGCAAGTGCTGACCTTTCGAGAGTCTCGCGAGCTGCACGCCTCGTAAGGCTTGGAAGGAAGTGACCCGCAGCCTGCCCAGCGTACGGACCCGTAGTCTATGCTACTAAGCTGTAGCCACACCTTGTTTGGCTGCGGGCCCTGGGGCCCAAACAAAAGAGACTCGAGACAGGCAGGGCCAAGCTCCGAGCTGCTAAGCGACGCCTCGAAGGATCGCGATCATTTGGGGCATGGGGATCATGGCGATTATGATGTTTGAGCCCAACGGGCCAAGACTCGCAGATTTACTGAAATTGGGATGTTTCAGCGCAGCCCATCTTGGTGCCCACCGGCGTGCTTCTCTCGTGACCAGCAGTTGTTGCGCCTGGCACTAACAGCCCTGTAACTGTTGGATTGCCCACAAGAATAAGTGTCCCAAAAAATTAGATTGCCTCCACAGCCTAAAGATAGATACGGATCCATACGGACACACATGCTAGGTACCACCCATGGTTATCACGTAAAGTTATGCAATCAAATCAGCCAATGAATCCACCTTGGGCGGCCGCAAGTATAAAGTGCAGGTGATGTTAGCACAGACCCTGACACGTTACCAGCCACTCTCGTACAGCAAGCAATCAAAGACGGGCCTGGTCCTTTTTCAACCATATTTTATCTATAACAACCAGCAGGCAAATAAAATGGTCAACTAGACAAGGTTAGTCCAGTGCATACATGGTATCTTGGGCAGTGCCTACCAATGTGGTATGTATTGTATTATATTGTATCAACCAAATGGCAAAACTATCAATCCTGCCTATTGCCACAATCGTTTCGACTATACTTGCAACAACAGCACCTAAAACAAAGCCCGTCTCAAGGGTTGTGACACAGCTTTGTCTCGAGGGGCTACGTCCTTCCGTCTGTTTTATGTTACAGTTCCAGACTGTGTAGTGCTTACGTTGGAAATTTTAGGATCTGGCCTGGCGGCATCTTGTTGTTCTCCCAATTTTTGTCTGTTGTGCGGCCGCCGGTCTGCACCAACTGCATCTCACGTACTCCGCAGAACAAGCCGTTGCGACCTGTTCGCTCAGTCAACTGCCAACTTCCCGGCTGTGGTCCAGTCCATATCTCTTCCGTAAACGGCTCGCCTTGCTGAACTGTCCGATGTGGGTTGTGCGTTGGCAATCCCACAATCTTGCTGATCAGCCACTGCGGAATCACAAAAAGACGTTCCCATCGCCGAACCCAGCGCAGCCAGCCCAGTGTGCTTTGTGAATATGCAACGCGCACATAAGGGTTGACATATGTTCCTAGCTCTTGAGCTCCCATGCTTTTTGCGGCTTGCGAAACATCTGCGAGAAACAGACAGCACTCGCATGCATCGAAAAATATCTCGGGCTCGTTCCTGAAACGTACTGGGGCTGTCACAATCTGCGCTACCGCGGGATTGATTACATGGCTTCCAATTTCTTGGAAATTCGTTGTTGGCAGCACTTTGTTGAGATTCTGAACGTATCTTGCTTGCATAGCGACGATACCGCCCCAACAAGATCTAACAGGTACCGCATCACTCTGAGCAAGAATTGCAGCTCGCGATAGGCCTTGACCTTCGGTAGTGAAAAACGGAAAGATGGGTATACCCCCGCTGTAACCTTCAGCATCTCGCTGAGCGTAGAGATCATAGAACAGGAGGGGCTGCATGAAATCCAGACCACAGGCTGCAAGATAATTCGCCCGCCCATCGTGCCCCAAGTTCGTGCTGAAGAGGAGGTTTGCCGCATCAGTTGGGTGGAAGTCGACGTCGTTGAGAAACAAAATCTTGTCAAATCCTTCTGGACCCACGCCTAGTTCTGTCTCGTCGAGTGTGTCGAGTGGCCGCAATGCTCGATTTCGTATCTCGGACAAATACGCAAGCCGTTTGACACGTTCCGTGCCATCTGGCATGACTATTGTCGGGAAACCATCCAAAGACACGTGTGCATCGTTGACAATCCTGTGCCGACAAGGAAGCCTCTCCTTCAAACCCTCTAGTGCGCGTGCACCGTCGTTGCCACTGTCGTTCTCATAGATACTAAGGAAAACGTTATCCGGCCCGAGGAGATTAATCAGCTCCAACAATGCCTTGCCCCATGATCCACTGGCCAGATGCCCATTCTTATCGTAAAGGCTTACGCTGATAAACACCTTTTCTTCAAAGGGATTTCCACATCCGTTGTTAGGTGATGCTCCAGCACACCGAGCGTTGAGTTCTCGATACTGTGGCGGTGGGTTGGTGTAAGATGGAGCGAGTATGGGAGTGGCAACGGCGAGCACCACGACCAGAACCAGGATGTACTTGACGAGTTTAAAGATTGGGACATTACGAATAAGACGCCGAAATTTCCGTGGCGTCAAGTTCCAGTGCCTCCTGTGTGTTTCATCTCTCGAGAGCAGTGATGCCGATTGACTTTGTGGCTCAGTTGGTGATTCTAAATCCCACGAATAATCGCTGGAAAGGTCTCGTGAACCACCGGCCGAATCATCGTGCGGGACGACGACCCGCTTCTCAGCTGCCAGACGTTGATTCATCGAGGCCTTGCTCTTGATCAATAAATCATCGCAGTTGAGACCGTATGGGCCGTAGCGAATGCTTATATATTATGAATAAATAAAAAAGAACTCACGCACTGACCGCTGAACTATGCTTATCGCATTGTGCTCTCACTCGACATTTTGTCGCGTCAGGTGTTGGCGCATTGTCAAAAATTGCTGGGGATAAATAATGAAGCCCCTAAAGCAGTCCCGCCAAGGCTATTTTTGGAAGTTAGTAGTCTAGTTATTCCGCTCCGGCGGGATGGGGAGGTCGGCTGTAGTGGTCAAATTTAGCCATTCAGCTTATGCAACCTACCGGATTCCCAAGGGCCTCGCAAGGGCCGATCGCTCGTTTCAAGCCCTGCCCAGCACTTCCGATCGCGAACCCCGTGTGGTGGTCTGCCCTGTCTGCATACTATGTAGTACAGCAGATGGCATTTGCTTGGCGAAGGTTCTAGCTACGTAGTTATTATGTCGGCGGCGGAGCAACTATGTAGTTGCGAGACAAATGCATACTCAGAAATATTGCAGCGCATATAATAAGGCCACTCCATAATTGCATCCGTTCAACTATGTTGCATTCACTATGCCTAAATGGAAAGCTCATAAAAGAGACTGTTTTATTTCTCTTATAGTCATAACAATCCATACAAAAGCACCTAGGTTGATAAATGTGTTGCGTACTAAGGACCCGTACAGTACACCAGCTGGGCTTTTGAAGTGGGAGGCATGGAAGCTTTCGTGGCGGCATACTCCGCTTTTAAATGCAGCCAACAATTTGCATACCTCTCTCGCAACTGTTCGGCCCAGCTTCACAAGTTACGATTGTATCTTGGATGCCGGCCGCATTTATATCGACCATGGAGGCACAATCGAAGCAAACTGGCAACTGGCCATTACGACCAGCACCGTCTACATCCAGATGTCATGAACAGACCAGGTGAGTTCATCATATTCTCCGAATTACCGCCAGAGCTTCGCCGGCAGATCTGGCTGGTTCGTCTACAATTGCTCCCTTTCAATGCCGCACCTCTTATCGGATGCTTGAAGAACTATGGCCAGCAACACAAGGCAGGTCTGAGTTTATCACAAGGCTCGACTGGCTCGACTGGGAATGGAGAGTAGATGACCCATAGCAGCTGCAAGTCGGCATATTACAGTGGATACTGCAGTCCCCCAGCTTGGCCTATCTTAACACCAAGTCTACTTATACAACCGATCGCTATTCCCCGCAACCTGGGATAGAGCAGCCAGCATCAACGGGCCGTTCTGTGTTGGAGCTTGCGGAGGACGCCATTGGTGATTCATTTGGCCAATAAGAAAAATGTATATCGGCCAGGTCTTTCCATTCAATGCGATGTTGGAAAATGTAGCGAATGGCTGTTGTGGAACTGGGATATTGCAGCTTTGTTGTGGGGAAGACAGCATTAACTACCCGCCACTGTGGGCGCAGACCCCTTGCAATAGTTGCACCGCCGCTCATGGTTGGCTGCCTCTACTTGTCTTAGTCACTTGACAGGAGACCAACGTACATACTAGTCCTCCCAGAATTTCGTCGAGGTTTGCTTAAATGAGACTGCACACGCTGGCTGCATGCACTTTGGAAAGTCAACTTCGTTTTCTTGCTATTATCTTCTTTCTCTTCCCCTTCCATGACGGAACAACGGTCGCGCGGCATGAATGTCTAGTCAATGCTGCGTTTTTTGGTCGCCAACATGACGGAACTTTAGCTGCCGTGAGGTCGTAAACACAAGGGGCACCATCGACGGACATATAAACGATCGGGAGCAGACGAAGGGTCAACATGGCCGCGGAAGATCGAGGGCCGCAGCTTGAAGCTGTGGTAATAGTGCTCCTGGCGCTGTGCTGGGTGTCGGTTAGCTTAAGGTGCTATACCATGGGTTTCCTTCTTAGACGGTTCTACGCGGAAGATTGGTTGGCTATAATTACATTGGTATGTATGGTCTAAACCCGGCTTCTTAAAATCGCTGAATTAAGAATTTCGAAACAGATATTGTACACGGCGTACTCGTCGTTCAGCTTACTCGGCGTTCATTACGGACTTGGTGCACACATTGCCGACGTCCCTCTGGACCATCATCCCCAAGCACTGTTCTACAAATGGGCAGGGCAAGTGGCATATGTCATAATCGCGGCACTGGTCAAATTTATTGTCGGCCTGTTGCTCCTACGACTGTGCGCGGGCAAGAGGTGGCAGTGCGTTACGCTTTGGACCCTGCTTGTTGTATCCGGCCTCTATGCAGCATTCTACGTTTTTGTAGTTGTTTTCCAGTGTCAGCCGGTGCAATTCTACTGGTACCGGTATGATCCCGCCCAACCAGTGAGTGGTACTTGCAATGGCAAGGCCATGGCAACAATACCGACGTATCTCTCTTTCGTCATTAGCGTGGTTTCGGATTGGGTATTGGCATTGCTACCAATTTCTATCCTATGGAATGCAAAGATGGACCGACGATCCAAGATCTCGGTCGCATGTGTGCTGTCACTGGGTTCAATGTGAGTTTTTCTCGATGTGTATATTTTCTCACGTGACATGTGTGCTGATTCTATCCCTCAGTGCGTCTATGGCAACGATTGCTCGAATACCATACGCGAAACAAGTCCTATCCGACCCTGACTACCTATACAACTTTACAGACCTGGCTATTTGGAGCACTGTTGAGATCGGCTTGGGATTGACTGCGTCTTCTCTAGCCACTTTGAAGCCGCTTTTCCGCAAATTGAAAATCCTGGTGGCTACTCGAAGTGGCAGTCATGTAACCGGTACCCTACCGCGTCATTATAGTAGACCGAGTTACTCTCGCGCGAGGAGCGGCTCGATCTTCAGGGGTCATAACCGAGAAATCAAAAAGCTGCAGAAATCCCCACCCACACGAAGCCCGGCTACAGGCAGTTGGAAAGCGCTCGGCGACAAACCAAATGTGCCGGGTGGAGCGTATGAGCTATCACTCACCACCGAGACCAGTAGTGTGAGGACAACCATAACTGCCATCCAGTCTATGGATGAGGTTAATCGTTTGAGTCCACCACCACCATTACACCATGATTCATTCAAGCGGACATCTGTTTCTTTTCGCATTTCACATGTTGATCTCCCTGCAGCGGGGTCTGAACGGATGGTCTAGAGGCTGAAGATTTAGATTACATAATTAGTGCATAGCAGTCATGAACAAACTCCTACTCAAGCACCCGGATTTCCCACGGTACCTGTGTTTTTGACTTCAAACATGTCAATCTGGTTAGCTGTACAGGCTCTTGCCTTCAAGTCACCGCAGAAACTCCCTGCTTCCACCACCACCAAAAAAAAAAAAAAAGAAGAAGAAAAAGCCACCCATAATTATTTGGCAAGTAGTGGGTGCAAAAGTTCGCGATGACCATAACTATAGGGGATGAAATGGATGATCGGTCACACTATTATATGCTTGAGCCACATGATGATATGAACATTGCTTGGTTAACTCTACAATGTCTTTACATGGAAAAGCATGTAGAGTTTCTACCATTCCAATCACTTGGTCATGCGCGAATCCTTGAGTGCATACTGGGTCTTACAGTAAAACATCCGGTAGAAAAGCAAGCCCCGTCGCACATCCAACATCACTCCAACTTGTCCGAGCAAGTAATAATCTGTCATATCCACACTTATGAAGAAAGAAAATTGGTCCATATATGTGCTCGTCTTAAGCCATGGAAGCGGAAGACTATCCTAGTTTTTCACTATTCACGTATGTCACTTTGTATATTAGCTAGAGTCATGGGGAATGGTGCTGGAGAGATGATGAGGAACGGTAGTACCTGACCCCCATGCAAATTTCCAGACTCTAATCCACTACGACACTGGGCACAACTAACACCAGTCTATGCTTTCATCTGCGTCCATCAAAACTTCCTCTGGCTGGCACCTACTTTCAGTGCCCCCTTGGGCCATCGCGCTCGTCCATATCTCTACATCCAGGTGAAACAAGACATGACCTAGAAAGTGCTCATGGGAGAGTTTCGCTGCCACAAAAATCTCGCCGTCGATTATGGCTTCACCATCCATGAAAGAGGGGGAGACCTCTAAATCGAGGATTTCACTGAAGAGCGGATCGTAGCCGCCAAAGATGCGATGAAGAGACTCGTTCACAGGTGGCAGGGAAGTTTCACCTGGCTTCTTGATCAATGATATGATGACCGAATCCTTAAGCGATCGAACAGAACACCAGTTCTTTCGAACGACTGGGCCAACTGGGGTTTCGGGAATCTCTGTTGAACCCCAATCAAGCAAAAAGCATCTATCAGCACTCCCAACAAAGGCAGCAAGGCCCCCGAATGTGCCTCTTAGGCGAGATGAGTCGTTTTCTGGTTCAGCCACTTCGCTGCAGCTATTCAAATCGACCGCATGACTCAGGGAGAAATCAAGAGTTTTGTCCTGCTTTAATGATCTCAACTTCAGGAGGCGTGAGAAGCTTTTGTCTTTGCGAGTCTGGGAATGGGTTATTACGACTCTCTGCAGCCTCGCAGACTTGGTAAGCGGTACATCTAAGAGCCGTAAGTATTATCCATAGGTATGTTTTATGGGATTTTATAACTTACAACAGGTCGGTCGCGAAGACTCGTCCAGAGTGAGATATTTCTGCCCTGGATGGAGTCGCAATATCCCAAACGCCCGTCTCTTAAATCTGGAGGGATGCGGCTCAGATTCAGATTCGGCTTGGAGGAGCACTGTAGCTATGCTCAAACTGTCTGCGAAACGACAGTTCAAACCCAGCATGTATATGCTTTTGTCGAGACTGCCTTCGGTATCAACAGCGCAGAACAAACCTTCGATACTCAGTTCGTCCCCGTCGACCTTGATTTTCGAGCCGGTACCAGCAAGATTGGTGAATGGAAGATCACGTGTGAACTGCGCGGGGTTGGTGGCAAGGATACCCTCGACGGTAGGTCCAGTAAATGCCAGAATTGAGTTGTCGCTTGAATTCTTGAGGATTTCCAGCTGAAGCCGTTGGAATGCCCTGGAACCCTCTCCGTATAGCAGTGGCATGGTCACATCAAACATACCCATGAGACAGTAAGCTTTGTCCTCTTCTTTCGAAGTGTTTCTTTCGGACGCCCAGAAAAATCGCGTTGCAATGCTGAAAGAATCAAGCGCATCGCGTATATTGGAAGTTCTTCGCAGGAGCTTCGTGTCAATGCCTGTGATGAGAGAAATATCGAGTGCTTTGCTGTCGCGTGTACCAAGGACGTGCCAGTCGCGATTTAAAAATTGCACAAATTTGGGCGCCAAAAGCTCTTGCAGTGTCCAGCCTCTGGTAAACCATTTGCAATCTTCAAAGCTGTCAATAGCATCGCCGAGATACGCATAGCAGACTGCCGCAGCCTCGTACCACTTGAACATGGAGTTTATGGCCTCGGATAGCTCGCTGCTACTGCTTTTGTCAATGCAACAAGTATCAATCCATATGTAGTCGAATCCGTCATGTAGAGCTCTTGAGCAGCTGGCCTTGACCTTGACAGCACCGATCTTATTTTCCCACATGACTATAGGTTTTCTTGCTACATCTTCAAAGAGCACTTCTCCTCCCTCCCACGTATGCGAGAGAATAGCATATGCTGGCGTGAATGTGGGGTCGTCGAACGTCCTGAGACGTAGTGTTCGGGTGTTCAGCAATCGCATCGAGAGCCTTGTGCTTCAAATTTTGCGAGATAGGCCGGTGGAAAGGTCTATTATCGGTACAACTTTACGCCTGGAAGTTCAGCAAGCAGCCGACACAGGTCATTTTCATCTCGGTGAAATGTAGCGGGTATGCATGGAGCATAAGCCACTATCTAAGCCCTCTCGTGCTGTTGCTGAATTGTGCTCTTGAGTGTGTGGTTATCTCAGCTTCACCCAGCCCTACAGCGTAGTCCAAAATATGCATGCGGTAAGATGAAAAGAACCGCGGAACGAGATGATATTATAATGAAACACTATCGCTCAACAAGCTCAATTTCCATAAGATGGCAAGGCAGACTGCAAGATAGTCGTAGGGCTCCACCATCTCAACAATAGAAGTAATCTGTACGGAGTACTTTACTGCACACCACAATTGTGCTGCGATGGCTACATCGAGAGGCGAGACCAGAACAGTGGTAAACGCCTCCAAAAACAAACCAAACGCTCTGTAGAATAGCCCCATCATATTGTCTATAACAGGACTGACATGCAATGACAGCAATTTGTTTCCAAAATGCGCCTCTTTAGGCATACTACCTGATTAAGCAATCCACTAGAACTAGATGCGATGACTCTGTATAATGCGGTGGCTATCATAAAGCTATGGTCTGGTGGATGGGGAACAGAGCTACCGCTCTCTCTAAAGTTAGAGCATCGACTGACTAGATACGATATTCAATAATGATCACCTATCCTCATTTAAGAAAAGTAGATAGCTAGTCTTTGCCTAAAGGCTGCGTTGGAAAATGTGGAGGGTGGTTTCGATGCGCAGTATCCGAAAGTGCTTTCGGAGTAGTCTACGGAATTCCACTTGCTAATCAGTTAAAACGTCGATAGTCGAATGTCTATGTTCGTTGGTTTAATCTATCGATTTCCTAACTTATGTGAAACACTATAGTTAGTTATCCTCCTCCTCAGAATCATATGAGCCTTCGGAGTCGTCCGAACCATCATCTTCGTCTTCTTCATCTTCCTCGTCGCCCTCCTCTTCATCGGCTTCGAGTCCGTACGATTCGTGGTAGTCAGCCAACTGCTTGACTTCAGTCCTGTAGCCGATATCCTGCAATTGCTTCTGAAGATCCTAAGGGTGGTGTTAATATCAGTTATGATGAGTAATGCTGAACAATGTTTTTACTTACATCGACCATGATCGGAGCACAACAGACCACAACATTGCTCTTTCCGGGCTCGAAGAGAGGCAGCAGATACTTCTTCATAGCATATTTAATCTGATCTTCAGTAACATTACGGACCTTGGCCAGCAGCTTGGTATTGAAGTCTGGCTCAAGCCCCCTGACAGCGCTAACGATATAGTTTTGCGTTGCAGCCGCTGCCATGGTGGCCTGCTCATCAGCCATAGTCATGACCAACTGGCTGATAGCACCTTCTATCATGGGCTTCTCGAATGGAACGGTGCCAGTGGCGAGAGCGGTAATAGCGTCTCTGGCGGCGACAATTGCCTTCGAGGCCATGGGTGAGCGATAGACCTTGAAGTGGACATAGCCCCCGTCAACTTCTTTGGCAAAGTAGACACCATACGCGAGACCATTACCGCGAACAGCATTCCAAAGTGGACCTTCAACGGTCTCGAGGTACTGTGCAGCAACGAGAAGAGAAGGCACATCCGGATCCGAGAAGGATGTGAGTCCTTTGCTGGAGCTTACCGAAAACGAGGAATCGATCGTGGCCATCGGGATAATAATGGCTCCGATCTTGCCAGGGTTTTTACCCTCCTCGCTGAGAAGTGTGTACGGGTCGACGATGGGCTTGATGGTTTCCGACTTCTTGTTCAGCGCTTTTGCAAGGACGTCCCAGGTTTTGACGGGATCTGGGAGTTTGGAGTTGGCAACGTCGGCAGTGACAAGGACCCGGATGTTGGCGAAGGTGAAGAGGGACTTTCGAACCTCCTCAAACCAGGAGAGGACAGTGTCGGGTTCCTTTTCAAGAAGCTTCTTGAGACGTTTCAGATATACAGCCTTGACAAGCGTGCGCTTAGCGACAAGCATTGCTGAGGGCTCGTTGTGGATGGCCATCTCGACTTCGCTGGCCATGACTCGACCGTCGCGCTTGGCCTCTGGAATGTCCGCCAATTGTTTGGTAACAGCAGCCTTTAGCCGAGTGAGGTTGAATACACTATCGAATATCATGGTTTTGTACCATTCCACGGCCGTTGCGTACTTCTCGGGCTCGACCTGCATCCGGATGGTTATGCTTTCGGTATCACCGAGACGACTCCCAGATTCGATGCTGTACTCAATGGTATCCTTCTCCAGATCCATAACGACTTGTTCAAAGTCGACCTGCTTGCCATCGCGAACAATGGGCGTGTTGAAGAAGTTGTCGTTGAACAGCGGCATCAAGGGCTTGTACTTGAGGGGAATGTCGGAAGTTCCGATGTGCATGGTAATGTGGACGAAGTTTGTGGGCACGCTTTCGAACTGAATGAACAGTGGTGCGCCGTGTTCAGCCCTATCGATGACCTTTTGTGCCGAATTTGACGTTGAGCCAAGCTTCCGAGCAAGACCCGACCTAGCTGTGAGGGATTCTATGAAATGGATTGAATCTGTTCCCGGAACTGGCCATTTCTCCAGCACGGAATCAGGAATTTCAACCTCATTCTTCTTCTTGGCATCCTCGAGGATTACTCGACGCTTCTCTAGTCCTTCAGGTCCTAGCTCCTGCTTTCGCTTCTCGATCCTGGCGATCTCCTTGGCCTTTAGGTCTTCAGCCATTTTCTGGGAAGGCTTGCCTAGAACAGAAATATGATGAGCGTCGACCAGCCACTTCCTGAGGAATGCCTTCCACTGATCCTCTGACCACTTCTCTAATGCGTCGTATTCTTCGAGGCTGCCCAGTTCTTTCAGTGAGGACCCGGCACGGTCGCCAAAGAGGTAGGTCGTGATGATGTTATTGGACCAGTACGACTCGGAACCTTCTCCCTGAGCCTTGACCTGTCGCCTCTCACGCTGAATACAGTCTAGGATATATTTCATATCCAGCGGTTTGTCCAAAACTTCCTTGATGAGCGTAATCAGCCGTTGCTCAACGAATGCGAGCTTTTCGGTGGCGACGCCAGTAGGCTGGAACCAGATGACACTATTGGGGCGGGCATCCCACCAGTAGCCCACTGAGCTTGCGAGCGCCTCTCTCTCGACCAGGACGTTCTCGAGCACGGAGACGGATGACCCGCAAAGATATGTCAGAAGCACGTTGAGTGCTGTGGACTGCAGAGTATCGGAGCAGTTGGGCCCGAAGAAGGCGATGATTATGTCGCCGGTGGATTCGTCTTCCTCGGGGAAATCAACTGTCTCTACAACGGTTTTCTTAATTGCAGGAGGTTGCGCGGAGTCTATCCAGGGTCGCCTAAAGTCCGAGTCACGGGGGGGTATGTCATCCTTGACACTTTCTTCAAAGTCATCGAGTATCTGGAGAAGATTCTGGTGATCTACTTCGCCAACAATAATGATACACATGTTGCGTGGCTGGTACATCTCCTTGTGAAAGTCCCTTATTCTTTCCGGCGTCAAGACACGTAGAGCATCCATCATGCCTCCGGTCTCATAGCGGAAACCGACATTCTCGGGATAGAGCAGTCTTCGAGCCTTGAGATCCATGATTTCGCTCCCAGAGTTTTGCACGCCCTGCATCTCCGAGTAGACAACGCCTGCATCGTTCCCCTCGCCGTCGATATGATGAACTTCTGTGAGACAGGCAGCATCAGTCATGGTGGGGACGATGAGGTGTTCCAAGTAGACAGGCAATGTCTGGGCGAAACCTTCCCAACCGGCAGTCTCAAGCGTATATGCAGTATGATCAGTGGCCGTCCAGGCGTTGGTGTTGCCATAGGCCCTGGAAGCCAGCTTGTCGAGAAGCCCCTTGTACTGGTAAGTTCTAGAGCCCATGAAGACAAGATGTTCAAGTGTATGGGGTGCACCTGAGTCATCGAATATCTCGGTGGCCAGGGTGAAGTAACCATTGACTTTGGGGCCTTTCCGGTCGACGACAATGACCTGGACACCACTCCTCTCAGACTCATACTGGGTGATACTAGTCGGAGCATAGTCTGCATCGAAACTTTGAACCTTTCGGAACCTTGGTGTCTGTATTTGCGAACCCATTCTGTAGTATTGTTGGCTCAGAACGAACCAATGGAAGTCACTGTTGGTCGTGTCAGCCGAGTATACCCGGAGATATAGGTCCCACGCGGGCGCACATGGACCTGTATGAGAGGGAAGTGATTCAGGGACACAGAGATGATTTCTCAGACGACAAATAACGAGTCGGGCACGGGACGGGGATTTAGTGACGGCAGAGCTTGAAAGGGTTACGCAGGCGGACAGCACAGGACATGTCAGGCAGCAACGTCAAAGCCATAACTCATATTGAGTTGGAGACTGGTTGCACCAGGTTACGAGTACATACGTACCCGATATAACACTGGTTCTGTTGGTATAGTAGCCCCACGACAGCAACGGAAAAGGCGAGGAGGATGGGCAGAAGCAATTGTCTCCACTCGGTCATGATAATGGAAGGGGGAGATCAAACAGGTCTGACAAGGGCCAGGAAGATGAGCAAAGTCATTGCTGACGTGCAGTATGTCGGTATATTGGAGTGCTTGAGTACTGGGCAGACACGGATGGGGGTAGGTATGTGCTTAGTCTAGGACAAAAGGCATATGTATATGCATATGCATATGCATATGCACAAATATGGTCATGGTCTTGGTCCGGGAGGGTTTCAGAGTTGTAGTGGAAGAGCTAGAATCTTACATACCGGATTGGGCGTGGACATAGAGCAGCAGTAGACAAGTAAGATTTATGCCTCGCAACTGTTGATGGTCTAGCCGGAGAATTGACTTTATGCAGGAGGCTCAGAGCGGTTCTGGCAGGGCGGCAGGATTGGAGCGACAGCTTGATCAGTGGGTAGGTGACTGCTGGCAGTCCTGTTCTGTACTTGGAAACAGGGTGTAGAGCTGGGGATGGAGGGGCAATTTAACTTTAGATTTAATTGGCGAGCATGAGGAAGGGTAAGAATGAAAGAATCGAAGGCTGGAAGGCCGACGACGACGACGACGACGAACGACGGGGGGAGGGTAGACTAGATGAGACAGACGAAACAAAGTGGTAGCAATTCAACGGGGGTGCAATGATCCGTCGGTGCGAGTTTCTTAACGTAGGTGCTTTGGGTGCAAGCAATAATAAGTGAAGCTGGAATGATAATGTAATCCGTAGATTGCAGATTGCAGATGCAGAGAAAGGACGGGGAACCCCTCCATGGCCAAAGACTGCACCACTGGAGAGTTGAGAGTGGAGAAAACCAGAGCCCACGGGCACATACATAGAGCATACTTACGTACCGTACATACCTAACCTTAGCACACAGTAACCGGGGTACAGCACGTACAGGGCAGGGTCGTTTAGGGTCCAACCTTGGACCCTACGGCACCCGGATTGGCCAACGGCTAACTAACCCAGGCTACGTTGGTGGGCTGCAGCCAACATGTCATCAATCATCAAGCAGCCTTGCAGCTGGCCGCCCGCTTCAATTGAGCTCGACGCGCAGCGCAGCCACAGTGAGGTATATGACGAAGGTTAATAATGTCTCCTCCAGAGGTCGGTTGATAAGTTGCGCAGGAACAAAGGAAAACAAGCTAGGCTCGGCTGTCCTTGTTGGGGTGACATTTCAGGGCATATTGTGAGCAGAGAGAGAGAGCGAGCCGCCTATACAGAATACCTACACGGGGACGGACGGGCCCGCAATGCAATGCGTCATCCTTGACTTGACCAAGTTGCCTCGAGGTACACAGCCATCTGGTTGCCAACTTTGCGCCCAGCCCAATCGTGCCGTATAACGCAAACCGCAAGCAAGCCGCAAAAACGCGGAACTCCAAGAACCATATCGACGAGTCGCTCCGACCAGGGCTTTGGAGTCGCAGGAGCCATTCCGCCCCGGTCTGAGAGGAACCCCCGTGAACATGGCGACTGCATATACAGACACAGATCCATACACAAACACGGACGACAGTGCTGTCATCGGGCGGGCCTTGGTCGACTTCGCTCTCCAAGGAAGCTTCCCCGAAGAACATGTCTCGTCGCGCAACGTCGCCCCAGAACACTTTGCCCCAGCTCTAGAGTCTCTGGCAGCAGCCAAGGCGAAGCTCGAGGTTAGCCCCTACTTGTCCTGCCTCTCACCTCTTACCTCTCTCACCTGCCACCTGCCACCTCCCACCTTTCACCTTTCACTTCCCCCCGGTCAATGTCGTGTCACGTCACGTCACGGATGCCCTCCTTGTCCAGAACATGCGGTCCAGCCAGCTTACCTTTCAAATCAATGGGAATAGTCTGACATCCACCTCATCAATCAAGAGACTGCCTCCGACGTGCACTCATGGGTCACCAACGCCAAAACCCTCGAGGACGACATCAATCGATCACGAGCCTTGGCCAACGAAATCGTCCGACGCTCCGAAGCCCCGGACGTCTCCGGCCAAACCATACGAGAAGCAGAGGAGAAGGCCCGGTTCCTACGTCGTGAGGCCACCTACAACCGCCAGGTCCATGGAGCTCTGACCAGCATCAAGCGAGTCAACGACCTGCTTGACCAAGTCGAAAAGGCAAGAGACCACCACCGAGTCCTCGAATCTTTACATCTGCTCGAGAAGGCATGGTCCGCCATGGACGACATACCCGTCAGCAAGTCATGCCGTGTTATGAGAATACTCGACATGCGTGCCTTTGAACTCAAATCGTCTGTCCACCATGTCTTTGATCGCCTGTGGAATTCCCTCGTCCAGGTCGACACCCACCGAGGCCGCATCGAGATTCACCATTCCCGTCAAGGTATGCCAAACAAGGCCACACCATGCTACACCCAGTGCTAACCAACCCGCAACCAGGCGAGCCCATGGATCTTTCCGAGGCCCTCGTCGGCCTCAAGGCATACAAGGAAGTGGGCCAAAGGATGGCTCTCCTATGGCACGTTGTAGACGACGCTGTCGTCGGACCACGCACAAGCTCTGACAGCACCTCTCTACCAGCAATAAAAGTCGACGACGTAAGTGTCAGAGTCCCCGTCGAGTTGGCTGTGCCTATGACTAATTCGGCACCCCATATATGCATAGTCCGCCTTGTACTTGGATGCACATACCGATCGTAGTATACCTTCACTATTCTCCGACCTGGAACAAATCATGCGCTACCTTTCCAACCAGCTTCCTGAGGAACTAGTTCAATCCCTGTCCCTTGTCATGATGCCAGATCTCGTCCCACGCCTCAAGACCATTTGGCTGGACCCCGTCGTCCCAGCATCCTTGAAAGATATCGACGAGTTCCAAGGAGTACTGGCCGTCGTCGGCAACTTCTGCGATTCTCTCAGGCAGCTGAATTACAATGGCTTCGATGAGTTGCAGGATTGGGTAAGGAACGCTTCCCGGGTCTGGCTGGACAAATGCAGGGAGACAGCCCTCGATTCCGTCAGGCTAAAGCTGGGCCGAGGCCTGGGCGACCCCAAGGAGGTCGAACGTGTGGAGACACAGACGGTCTCGAGGTCAGAAGGTGCAGAGCTCGCGGCAAGCGGTGCTCCCGCCGCAGCCGATGATGAAGATTGGGGTGCCGCCTGGGATGATAGTGGCCATCATGCCCACCAACAAGGTGCCGAGCAGAACGGTGCTGTCGATGCCACTAGGACTACAAATGCGCCCACAAGCGAAGACGATGGCAGCGATGCTTGGGGCGCTTGGGGCGAAGACGACGCTACAGGAGAGCAACCCGCTGGAACATCAACCACAGCCGCGGCGGCGCAACCAGTACAGGATGACGACGGTGCAGATGATTGGGGCGCTTGGGGCGATGATGCCGCAGCCGACGAGCCTCTTACACTGCCATCACCTCAGCAAACTAGAACAACACGACCAGCGGAGCAGCAGACCCGGGAGATGACCTTGAGAGAAACTTATAAGATATCATCTATGCCTGAACCTGTTCTGGCACTCATCTCCGCCATCCTAGAAGACGGAGCATTTTTGGTTCAGTGAGTTTCTATTACTCTAATCATGCACAACGGGGATGGGCCTGTTCGCTAACCTTGACAGCTCCGAGGGCAACCCGGTTGCAACGGCAGCGGCAGGACTATTTGGTCTCCCGACCTTTATACTCGCCATGTTCCGAGCCATATCGCCCCACTATTATGCTCTCGACACCTCAGGTGGCGGCAACATGTTTCTGTACAACGATGCCACTTATCTCTCCGAGCGCCTCGCTGACTTGGCAGCCTCCTGGAAGGGTCGTCATGACCTGACGACCAGGGCAGTCAATATGTTGCGGCTTGACAACGACATAAAGACTTTGAAAGCGTTTGCCGCTCGCGCATATTCTGCTGAGATGACCACACAGCGCACAATTGTTCGTGATCTGCTGGGCGGTGCGCAGAACGTATTGCAACAGGACGGTGACACTTCTGAAATGGCCATGCAAGTTGACGCTGCTACGTCGAGAATCCGTACCGTCGCGACCACGTGGTCTAGCATTCTATCGAAATCAGCGTGGTGCCAAGCTGTCGGCTCTTTGGTGGACAGCCTGGCTGCAAAAATCATCCTAGATGTCATGGACTTGTCGGGTATCGGGCAGGACTCCGCTTTCAACATCGCCAGCTTGATCGCAAAGATAACGCAGTTAGATGACCTGTTCCCGCTTGGCCCGAACGAGGTACCAACCACAAGTCAGTATGTACAAAACTGGCTGCGCCTTCAGTTCCTTTCCGAGTTTCTTCAGAGTAACCTCAACGAGGTCAAATACCTTTGGATGGAAAGTGATCTCAGCATCTACTTCACCGTTGACGAGGTAATTGATTTGATTGGACTTAGTTTTGCAGACAGCCCGAGAACAAGAGAAACCACTAGGGAAATCAGACATAATCCGCAGCCCAAGGCTTGACGAAGTTGCACTAGATGGCACCCATGTTTGCTTGTGGGGAGACATGACTGGTAGACTCTTCGGGGAAATACAAAATCATTTTTAGTTTGACCGGAAACCAGCGAGATGCTCTGAAACGGTTGTGTTGAATCGATGTCATTAAGCACGGTATCAGGTGTTGAACATAGTTCGGATTTGTTGCACATGAACTGTCCCCGGGCAATGCGCTCAGTCAATACCATTCATGGATATCTTTGTTCATTGTTCTTAGAGCCTTATTAAAAAGTAAAATCAAAACCTGCGTTTGTTTTGACGTGTCTAAATTTAACCATGCCTCAAGACTGAATGCTTTGTCGTCTGCTCCACCGTATCTATAAATTACCTCTGCTGCCCGGATTTTGACAGGAACGTGTCCGGACTACATCTAGAAGAACTGTAAGTCTCAGCTTTGCTAAATCACGGACATGTTGCGAAGATGGCACACTTCATTGGTTTGAGACGCTCGAATATTGCTTGCAGCCAGAACCCCATCAATCAAGTCCCCAATGACGATACGAACAACAAGGATGTATTGAGCTCTCAGCTACCCCCCGGATTTCCGAACATCGTCGATTGGTTCGTTACCCAGCATCTTCCTCATGTGGAAACCCGCGAATCCGAGTGCCAGCTCTGCGCCCATACTCTCGACGTCTCGAAAAGCGTCGAATCCGCCATAGTGCATGAGCTTCGTTCTCTTATTCCAGTCCAAAACACTGCTGAGTTCTACAGGAAGCACGAGATCGAGGAGACGGCTGTCCTAGAATGCGGCCATCTCGTAGGGAAGTCTTGCTGGGCAAAACAAGTCCAACCACTTGTTCGCCATGGCGACAAGCCGCTCTGCCCCATCTGTGCAAGAGTCCTCGTGTGTTCCAGGTGCGAGGTGCCTGTCCAGCCTGCTGGTCTGTCACCAATCGAATGGCCAATGGGAAAGCAGCGGGTCGACCCAATCGCCATGATTATCGAGAAAGTCCCGCTCACGTCCGCTGAGAAGATCACGGCGAGCGCGCCCACCTGCTTTCGGTGTTTCAAGAACCATGTTATGGAAAAGCTCCGCGATTCTTCTTCGCCATATTGTTATGACGAACAGGAGCATTCACGGCTGTACGATGAGCAGTGCAGAGAAATCGTCGAGATGATCTACCCACCAGTCTCGCATTACCGTCAACCTGGCGATGAAAAAGATTTTCAGGAGGTCAGAAATACGCTCCTGCTTGAGTTGACCAGTGGTGATTTCCTACAACTAAACAGGACAAACTTTTTGCTGCAGACGGTGGATTGGCAGGTCGGGAACGGTCTCCAAAACACACAGGACTTTCTCCAGCAGAAGGTGAACACGCACATGGAGGCTCTGCTGAGCCTTGTACGTCATCTACACGGATGGGAGGTCTATACAGAGCAAGCAGAAGACTTAACCTGAGAAGTGGTTTAGGGGGAAAGTTGTGCCTGGAGAGGGGGGAGAGCGAGAGAGAGAAAGAGAGAGAGAGAGAGAGAGAGAAAGAGAAAATAATACAAATAATACTTCTGTAGTGCCATAGTCTAAAGGAATGATGTGGGCACAAACTGCGATGTGTCTTGATCGAAGGCCACTCCTCGGAAGTTATCTGCCCACTTGCTTACTCGCTTCACATGTCAAATTCTTTTCTCATGACCTTCTATTCTTCCCCTGAGCTCGAATACTCAACAGCGCTTTGAGTAGTTGTGTGGCTCGAGGTAGACTTTGATGGTCTTTCTTGCACCCTTGGTTCGCTTGTCTTAAGAAGGCGGCCTTTTGTTTTTAGTGCCGGTTTGGTCTTGGGCGGTTTCGGATCAACTTTGCAGATCTTGCTTTGCTTCAGTGGCCGCGTCTCGTTGTCATCGAAGCCCAACTGATTCTCATCCTCGCGTCCCCTCTTGTGCTGATCTGTAGTGTGGCTCGGGATAGCCGACAAAACTTTCTCTTTGGCCCGAGGCAGGGTTTGAGTGATCTTGCTCTTCTTAAAATGGTTTGTATCATCAGCTTCCAACTGTAGACCCAACTCGGCGGGTTTCCGGCGTGATGGCTTATTGCGACTGGACTGAGTCTCCGGAGCCTTTGTTCTAGAAATGGGGGTGGAACTCGGAATGGGAGGTGACGGCAATGGTTTTCGCGCCTTCTTGACAGGCGGCTTTTCGCTTGCAGATGTACTTGTATCCGACATTTTCGAGGTGTTGGAGGCGGATGTAGTTTCGGCTATGGACTCCAGGTGTACACGTTGATCTTCATGCGGATCTTTGTGATCCGCATCGTCACCATCACGCCGGGTTGATTGAGTATTATCCAAGAGAGGCGAGTGGTGGCCGCTTGGTGCAAGAGCGGGCTTCGTGGTGTTCGAATCTAACACTTCAGAGGCATCGCCATCCAAGGGAGCCTCGGCTACATTCTTGTTAAGTAGGCTGCTGGTGTTGGTAGACTCGTCACTGGAGGGTTTTGGCCCTATGATGGTAGCGTCATCTTTGGGATGACTTGATTGATCTCTACTGTGCTGTACAGTCTGGTTCAACCCCTGTGAACGTTCTGAGCCGCTGGCTTTTTCAAACAGAGCACCAACAGGGCTGCTCGAAGAAAAAAGAGCGGCTTGACTACCAGTCGCGGGATGTGTATCATGACCAGTAGATCGAGTCGAATCGGGTCTCCCAGAGGCTTTAGCGACAGCGACGCTTGAAACGTTGTTGCTTTCGTGATCCGTCTCTCGCATTTGAGCAATGGTTTCAGAATACTGAAGTTCTGGGTCATGAGGAATCTCGACAATGTCATTTTTGGATCGGTTTGATATCGGTCCAATGATGGAAGTGGGTGCATTTTTCAGGAGTGTTGGAGTATGACTATCTGCGAGCTCATCGTCTCCATCGTCCTTGCAATCAATCCCAGCGGGGATTCCTCTAGTTGCATCTTCCTGCACCCTCCCAGGATAAGCTTCATGATAAGGTGGACGTTGCCAATCGATTGCGTGTGGTGGTGGCACAAATTCCCGGAATGGTGGGATTCCATTGACCCCATCCCAACTGTCATCCCACTCTTCTCTCGGTTCTGGAGTGCACAGCCGTCTCGGACCTCCTTTGCCAAAGCTGATGAGACTCTTCGGCTCGAGCGTTCCAAGTTCCTTTCTCCTCTTAGCCCATGCCCTGAAGTGTTCGCGCAGAGCTGCCTGATCGCAATCTAGCTTTCCTTTGGCTGGCCATTCCGTCATTTCGTTGATATGCTTGAGACCCTCCCAGGACTGCTCAAGGAATTGACGCACAAAAAGAGTTCTGTCCTCTGTAACTATATCGTATATGACCCAATTGACTTCGTCTAGCTCATGCTGAATGCTACCGTCTGTGGCTGGCCGGGATTGTCCGAAATCGAACAGGACCAATCTGTCTGTTTTTGAGTCTACTAGAAGATTTTTTAATTGAACATCTCCTTGAACAATGCCTACCTCCAGATGCAGGAAATCCAGAGTGTCTGTCAATTGTTGCAACCATTTCAGTTTGAAGGGCCGCTCGCGGTTGTGCATCAGGTCACTGCCCTCTACGTATTCTGTAGTCATTCCCAGAACCCTCTCCTCGGCATCGGTGACTACTACTCGATGCAAAGGCAGAATGTTGGGATGTGACGGTATTTGTGTCAAGACAGTGAGCTCATCCCAAAGCCACTCCATACACTTATCAGTAAGCCCATACTTATAGACGAAACGCCTTCCCGGGAAGCCAAGATGGGAAACAAGATCTACACCACCTTCCAGTCGATCGAGTTCCGTCAACTGGGAGTGGTAGACTGTAGGCCAATCGCAGAAAGGAGAAATTGCGACCCTTGGCCGTCGTATTGTCGCTAGGAATGGCCCATGGCCGGTGAATGGATTTTTATCCAAGGGCGGCCTACGTGTTGTTGCTGTGAGAAGGCGACCATCATCATCCAAAACAATAGTTTTGATATCTGCGGACATGAGAGGAAGATAGCTTTCCAGCAAGTCGCCATCGGTTCCGTCCCCCTGACCAATCAGTGTCTCTGGTCCTATCAGGTGTATGTCGCGTCTTTGATCATAATCCAAAAGACAGGATTCAGCTTGCCCCTCTGGCGAAATGGTTTCATAGAAAATGTCAAACTTGTTAAAAAACATTTCTGGTATAATGATCCTGCCCGGTGAATGTTCATATGGTGCTTTCCAGGAATTATGAGAGAAATTAGCCCCAAATGACATATACTTGCCGACAAGCCGCTCTACAAACAAGACGTTTTCGTAAGCGCAGAGAACCCAGGCTGATTGCAAGCAAGAGTTACTTCTGTCATTCGTCAAGACTTACATCTGAAAGACGCATTTGTTTGCAGTCTTTGTCCAACTTGAACGCGGTTATCAGCATGAAACAAACAAGATAAAGGATTTCAACGTCAATACATGTTAATTTCTCACTTGATCGAGCTTTATTTAAAATTCTTTTAAAAAAAGAATTTAAAAAAAAAAAAAAGGACCTTGAGCTGGCTGAACGACATCTGCTATATGACCGAAGTCTGCAATGACCGACGGTGACGCCGCTTTGAAGCCTTTGTTGAGAATTATGTAGCAAGATTTGGTCAGCTAGGCTAACCTTCACTCATGATCGATTGCAACGATGGCGCGGCGGACTGTGTGAAGAGTGGTTAGCACTAGAGACCTTGGAGAAAAGCCAATTAATTTCCTTTGGGATACTTGTTCCTAGTGGCTATCAGAAATCATGCAAAAAAGCCGGGAGAGGCATAAGATGTTCTTTGTGGTCATTGCGAACATCTATACCAACAAAGAAAACAGTCGACACTTTGCCTGTATATATATATAGCATAAATGACTTATGATTGTCGGAGAAATTAGAAAAGCTAGCCCGTTTCCGACACAACGTTCTAGACATAGCAGAGGAATGGCCAAAAACATTATAAATATCAGGGCTGCTGAGGTGAGATCAGACGTTCTTAATCGACTCATAGTCAACGAAGGGGTAGAAGTAAAAGAGAAATCGCCACCTTGTACCTGTGGAGTCTACAAGTACACTTCCTCTATCTGCGGGCATGTATGTGCCACCGTCGTACACAAGTGTCGGCAGACAAAGACACCCATAGACAATTTCGCCTATTGCATCAGACCATCTCCGGTGAAGATAGTGCCGGATGTTCGAGTTGAGACCCGCTGCAAGAAATGTGTGAGGTCCAATGACCGATGGCGCCCCAAAGGTAGTCACAGCGAAGACGTCGCGGTTGATGGAAGTCAACGCACCCGGTCTCGCTCACCTCAAGGCGAGAGGTCCCGAAGCCCTAAGGAAGCAGTTCGCGAACGCTCACCGTTAGATCACAAAAGCTCCAATACGGCCACGAGACAGAAGTAAGAGAACAGATGACTAGGTGTGAGGAACAAGGGGAATGTATGAGTTTGAGAAATTGCACGGTAAATTGCAAACAAAGCTAACTTAACATGTTGAAATTTCAAATCAAGTATGCAGTGAATACTGAGTAGATCAGCCGAAAATTACAAGGCAATCACGGGCTAATGAATGTGTAACATGATTCGACATCCCAAAAAATGGTGTTCCTCAAGCATCCTCGCAAGTGATTGCAAACATGTGCAGACACAAGACGTCCCCACCTTGATTTATTTCACCAACGTGGTGCTGCCCACAGCATTCATTTGCCTACTTTCAGTAATTATACAGATACCAGACTACATTCACGCTTGGTACACAGCGCCATGGAGTGATGACCTATGCATGAGCTTCGCTGTCATGGCACAACTTCGTATAGGGTCTTTTCGGAGAAAGGATCTAGCTTGTATTACCGCAGCTCTACTTCTCTCTCCTTTTTCTTTTGTCTTCTCGTTCTCCTCTTTGGCTGTATAACATCACTTATATGTTCTAATAATCTCTTTCTCCTTTCCTTCAAGACTTAGCTAGAGTCTTTACCCTCTTTCAATTTTATCACCAGAGGCCTCCGTCATCCAGTCCATATCTCTGCGCCTCAAGCTGTCCACGGCTTCCTCGGCCAATGTGATATTTTTCTTCAGAGAAGCATCTGAATCGCTGGGGCAGTGGTTTGAAGCCTTCTGCTGCTCCAAATTTGTTCTCGCCCTGTCCCAGAAATCTTCATCGTCAAGGTCGTCGTCAGAAGGAATCGAGGACACGGATGTAAGAAGACCTCTTTCGTTGATTGTGATTGCCTCCACGCGTGGCGAGAGATAATTCATATACTTCGTCATGATTTCTACCCAGCGATAGCTGTCTCCTGCAACGTCGAGATAAGAAGCAGGTCCCGAGAGACTGAGCTTGTGCTGTGTATCTGTGTCGAGTATGGCAAGCGTGGTTGTTGCATCATCAGCTTTGACCGACTCACTCAGTATATGAAACCGCTGCCGACGGTCATGCATTTCGCAGATTGTGAATTGACGGTGAAATTATTGTACTTTGATTTTGCCGGTTGTGACATGTATGGCGAGGATGATTATTACCAGAGATTGGTAGCAAGAAGTATTATAGAAAGCAAGCACAAAGAAATACGGGGTTGACTATGCCGATTTCGTTCAAGAACAGCGATGTAAGTCAAAGGGCCAAACCGTACTCAAAACCTCCCCATTCGCATGGGTTGAAGTCGTGTCCAAAGACCGATTCAAACAGAGCACGTACTATGTATCGACCTTTCATTCTGATGCCATTGGCTATTTGGCGCTATCTGCGCTTATAATAGTACGACTATACTAGTCTAGGTTAAATCGTAGGGGCAGTATTCTCGTTTTAAAACACGTAGGGTATCTCCAATGGTAAATTGATAGATAAGTTCGAAGCAACGAGCGCGATGATTCATGGGCTGGCTTTTAGATGTTTCCCCACAAGCATGTACTGGTTGATCTGTGATTGTCCAAGCAAAAACTGACCGACCAAGCCAGAGTCGCGGAGGCTGTAGGCCACTGGGGGCACTAAAACATAGGCGATTTACGGTGCGATGGGGGACTGAGGAAGCTCAATTGGGGAGAACTAAGTACTGTGCCACTCGGCTGCGGTAGGTTCTGAGCCAGTCGCAACGTCATTCCATTTTCATGGCAACGCGAGTGAGCATCGATCACCACGAATCTAACATCTGGTGGTGCCTACGTAGAGTACGAACCTGTCAACTTGATTGAATCACTCCCAAGTACGGTTTAGAGGCACCAGATCGTTGAACGCACACGCCCTCAGTGCTACTCATTCGCTGTACCTTGCATACAATGAATGACAGGTACTGCCCATTTGCCACCACAGATGCATAACGTCTGAACCCCATATCCAAGAAAGGGTGCGTTCAAGATGAGTACTGTCAGCGGCCGGATCTCTGTGTCGACCAGGGGAACTAGAAACAGCCAGCTATCAGAACAAGACAACCCACCAGTGAGTGGTGTGCCGCGAAGCATTAGCCGTCAAAACTCGGCAGACGCAGATGCAGAGGATGTTGGCGAAGATGATCTGTGCCCCGTGTGCCGCCTACTCCTCTACAAGCCGGTGACCACCACATGCAACCACACTCTATGCAATTACTGTATGGCACAGTGGGCGTCTGTGTCGCTTGCAGCACCTATGACCATCGTAGACGTGGATGAGCAGCCGGCGGAATTCGATGCCGTTTCAGAGCTCCAGGCGCGATGTCCCATGTGTCGTACCATGACCACCGCGGCGCCGAATCCCGTCCTTGCCCAGACGCTGAAGGAAAAATATCCGATAACATCGCACGAGCGGGCTGCAGAAGCCCAAGCAGAAGGGGACGGACTGGGCGGTGACTCAATTCAAACAGTGACGGTGTATATTGGCAACAGGCACGACTGGATCGCCCCCAAACCAGATTCGCCACGTAATCAGCACGAATGGACGTTTTTCGTGCGGCCGAGCCGAACAGATATCATCGAGGAGGTGCACATATTTTTGCACCCAACGTTTCGGCAGAATCACGTCGTCAAGCAACGGCCGCCGTACCAGATTTCACGACTGGGATGGGGTGTTTTTACAATCACAGCCTCGGTCGTACTGAAAGCGGGGTACTCGTGGGTTTCGGACGATGCGCAAGACTCGCCTGACGGCGCGGCCAAGGGCGTCCTCCCGCTGGAATGGATGTTGGACTTTGACGGCTTTGATGGGAAAGGTAGCATGGGGAGATGTCGGTTGAAAGTCAAGAATGACCGTGGTTGGGAGGGCATCAGCGATGAAGAAGAGAGGGACCAGAGAGAATGGGGCAGGATGGTGAGGCAATATGAGCGCGATGGTAGATATGAGCCGTGAGGGTTGCTGGCAGACAGAGAGCGGGCATTTTGGTAGAGTACGCAATGCACATGGCAGTCGACACCATACCGGATCGTCACAGCCAACTGTTTTCAACATCCGGAACCTTCCAAATGATTGTTCTGTAACATAGGGACTGACGCGTTTTTGGGATGCTTTACGTGTATTCATACTTGAAATATAGGTTGGACTAATAAGCCTTGGCGGTCATGCCTCGGAGGGCATGCTCTGCTATCGTGACGCAGCGATGTCATGTTGCGGATATCGAAGTTTTGTGCAACTGTTTCTTTTATTCAGATGGGCAACTCAGCTGCTCCTCCACGAGAACAATGGGGCAGTGGGCACCAAACAACCTTTGGTCGCACTTGTCACGAGCACCATTCACTCTACGGATGGATGGTTACGTTATTATAGTAGGTTAACCTTAGTCAAGTGAACAATTTAAAGTACCAAGGCTAAGCTGCCTCCATTAAACATTGAAAGTCAGCTGATCTGGCGTTTTCGGAAGTCGCGTTAGTTTCTCCCACCGTTCTTTGTTGGACAAGTCGTGTCGGTCAGGACCCAGCCATTCTTTTTTTTGCATCCATCTCAAGCTCACGGGTTCGCGAATTCCGACCAAAGGTTCGACCTCTCATGAGATGCCTCTGCGCACACGGGGATGGCGCGAAAGAGGGATTGTGTAAAGCAGGCGGAGGAGAGAGCCTACCAGGGCCAGAATGAGAGCCAGGATTCGCAAGCGATAATGGAGCAGTATCACCGCGAACATGGGATTGGCCAGCTAAGCTCTTCGCCTGCATCAGATGAGAGACTACATCTTGAGCTCACTACCGGTCGCCTGTATATCGTCCGGAAAGGTATTTATGTTTGTATTTATTTTATGTTTATGTTTTCTCAATCCATCCGCCCACATGCAAACCAGTATTTGCAACCAATTCTGACAGATGATGAAAAGCAGATGCGGGATGGGTTGCAGCAGCCACAGCAGCTCCAGCTCCAGCTCCAGCTCCAGGTGCAGCAGAGGTAAGCAATAATTACACAGGCTATGGTCCCGTACACTGCCGCCAGCAAAACAAGAAAAAGACCTACGCCGCTAGGATGGCACTGACATGCCTCCCCCGCAGTCCGAAAAGTTGCCTGCTACAAGTTCTAGTTTTACCACTAGCGACGCGCTGAACTCGGCGACGAAGAGCAAGACGAAGACGCGTATTTCTGCCACGGCTAAAGCTAAAGCTGAAGCTCAACTTCAATCCCAAGCGCCGCCGGCCGCCAGCACAGCACTGCAGCAATTATCCGACCGCAAGGTCAATTCATCTGCGACCACGTCTTCACCGGCCCCGGGAACGGATGCGAAGCAGAACGACAGACAGGAGCTGATCTCTCCCTACGAGAACGATGCATTGCCGCATGTCTCCCAGCGCACTGCCCCGCCCGACAAAAGGAGCAGCTACAGCAAGAATAAGAACAGGAAGAACAGGGAGAAGATGGACGACTTAACCTCAGACTCGCCCACTCAATCCAACGACGGCAGAAGCTACGAGCAATATAGGGAAGATTACCCTGCTGCTATCGCGTCCTCGCAACCAAAGCATCCACTTGTCTCTTCCCGTGGCGACTCGCAGGTTTCCCACCCCAGCAGTTCCCACGAGCCTCGTACCCTGCACGAAGACGACACGGGCGCCGTGAAGTTCGACTGGCAGCCCCTAGAGCACGACGCAGACGCAGACGCAGACCATGTCCTGTCTACTTCCCAACCTGCCCCCAGGTCACAGTCTGGCATCGATGCCGCCACCACTCTCGGTCGACACAGCATGCCGCCCTCGACGATGCCCCCGCCAGAAACACCCGTCGTACCCGCGCGGCCTTTCTCCAACGATGCCTCGACCGGTAACTTGATGGGCGCGTCGCAGCTTTTCATGCTCACCTCTGGCGTCAAGAAGCTGGCATCGCCCACGTCGTCACGCCCCTCTCCGCATGTCTTCGAGCACAATACTATATCTCCCAACAACCTTTCCTCACCCTTGAGAGATCGCGGCTTGCGCACATCGCCTCTGCCAGGCTTGAACACCAGCCCTGCGCCTGCACTTGTACCTGACACCTCGTCCAAGCCGCACGAAAGCGAGTGTGACGACAAGGAGGCCGAGAACATACCGCAACCAAGACGAAGAAATCGACCCGACCCCATCGGCAATTATGCTCCCATCCACAAATCTCCACCCACCCACCATGTCCCAGATCCAGATCCAGACGCCGACCAGACCGACTCGGAGAGTGATGAATCACAAGAGCGTCGACGCCTAGCCAGGCTGAGGCAGGAAAGGGCCAACAGGTCTCTGACAAACATAAGCTTGCCGCGCAAAAACAGCAGGAGCGATAAGATCGAAGTCCCCTCTACGAACCGCAGAAGGCAAAAGCCTGCTACCCAGTCTACCGCGTCGGCTCTGTCCACCCCGGATTCCTACGTCGAGCAACGCTACGGGAAGCCGGACGCGGCTGATCAAGAGTCGCAAGAAACGGTAGCTGATTCTCAGGAGGTGGCTTCCAAGCCCGACCTGACCACTGCTATACCACCACTCGTGCCCAACTCAGCAGAGGTTGTGAATGGTGACGATACCACACAGCCAGACCTGCCTTCGGCCCCTGTTCGAAGCAACGAAACCGCTGGCAGTAAGGAGACCATCCCCGAGACCAGCCCGCCTAGAAACCCTCAGAAAGGACTGCCACAGCGGCTGGCTAAACCGTCTCCTATCGTCGAGCAACGATCACTGCGCTCTTCCCAGAGAACGACCCAGTCAGTACGGCCCAGCTCTGACGAGACCAAGGCCATACCGTCCTCTCCTCCAGTCCCTGGCATAATAGCCGCCTCGGCATCACCGTCAGCGCAGTCATTTCGACGGTCGACGAGGCTCAAAGTTGCCGTTACCCCAGCTCCGTCGTCTGCGGCCACCCATGTCAATAACCATCAGCCACCCACCACCTCATCGACGTTAACAGAGCTGACCGCGACCCCTCGGGTTTCATCGAGCACTACACCTGATACGGAGGCAGCTGACCCTGAACCAGAGCCGAACCCCACGTCTACTCCAGCAGTCACATCAGGCGTAGTGTCGTCCCCAGCGGCTGCCAAGCAACTGCGACAGAAGCCCACCAAACTCAAGACCTATGCCTCGCCGAAAAGCCGAGCAAGTGTCCGTTCGAGTAAGGCTAGCCGCCGAGCGTCCATGTCTACCGATGATCTCGCTCTGTCGACGCCGACTTCGGTGTCAAAGTCGCGGTCATCTCGCTCGTTCGCACGGAAATCGACTCATGATACCCGTCAGCTACCTTCGAGTGCCGGCATCTTTCACGACATGACGTTCGCGACCTCATTTCAGTCCGAGCAAGAGAAGAGGACAGTCGAGAAGATGATCATTGCAGCTGGGGGTACGATAGTTCCTCGTGGTTTTGATGAGCTTGTCCAAGTTGGGCCCCTCGAATCCAACCAGAGGCCTGGCCTGAAAAACGGACACGGTGCCGGGTTCGCTGCGCTCATTACCGACACGCATTCAAGGAAGCCGAAGTACATGCAGGCCCTCGCTTTAGGGTTACCATGCCTATCGTGGAAGTGGGTGGCGAGCTGCGTCAAGGCCAACGAAATTCTCAGTTGGTCTACTTACCTGCTTTGTGCTGGGCAAAGCCAAGTTCTGGGCGCAATTCGGTCTAGGTCGCTCGATTCATACGGCGCAGTCGACGCCAACCTCGAAGACATTATCGAGAAACGACCAAGGCTACTCAATGACGCCAAGGTTCTCTTGGTCATGAAGAAGTCCAAAAGGGAAGAGGAGAAGCGGATGCAGTACGTCTTCCTCGCCCAGGTGTTGGGAGCCTCGTTGGTCCGTGTGAGCACTCTGGAAGAGGCGAGATCAGAACTCAGGAAGAGGGAAGACATGGGCGATGCCTTTGACTGGGTCTACGTTGATGGGCAGCAGGTGGACACGGACAGGATACTCTTTGGTCGAGCCCAGGGTCAAGCACCTGCAACCTCGAAGAAGAGGAAGAGGCAGAGCATGACCGAGAGTCTTGATGGTCCACCACCAAAAAAGGTCCGAACTCTGACCGACGAGCTCGTCGTCCAGAGCCTCATTCTAGGAAGATTGGTCGAAGACGGCGAGATGGAGGACTCGCTGGTATGAAAAGAAAACAGCCATCTTTCATCTCGTGTCGGTGTTTTACGAGGGACGACCACCCCGAGCGCTATGAAGAACGGACATGGTTGATGTCACTATTGCATATTTTAGCCAGGAGTTGGGAGTCATAACATGTGTGCAAATAAGCAAACTTTGGGGGCATCGTCTGACTGGATTGTACAGTATCACTCGGCGCCAGTAGATGAGCCCTGAGCTATAAGCTCGTTGTAAAATTAAGCAATAATAATGTTTCATGCCTACTTTACAGGTCGTATGGGAGCAGACGTTCACAAATTTTGCTTCTTCACAGTGTTTTCTGTTCAAAGTTTCTCAATGGCTTGCTGGCTCAGGAATAAGGTAGGTGGGTACGACAAATAGGAAGTCGACCGTACTCATGAACCAAGACAGGAATCAGAATGCTGCATGTGATGCTGGAAGTGGCTTGCGAGAATCTACCAAGTTACTTGCTAGACTAGATAATAAGTACTGAACTCCCCCATAAACGAACTTCCGCTTTAGTCCAATGTACGTTGGACGGACCAAATCAAACCACTGCGATGAAGGTTCTCTAGCTTCGGTGATTAAGCAGTCGAGGCTCAGTCGTGAAACATAGTGGCCGCCTCGTCCCATAGACTGCCATCCATAGATTATTATGGCGAGATTCGCACCGAGTCCGACTTGAACTCTAGCTGTCTACCCCACAAACCTTCACTCTCGTCGAACCCGAAAGAGGTCCAAACTCAATCTTGTTACCATGGACTGTATGTATTAGGGCGGGCCCGCTTACCCGTCTCCGGGCCTTTATTCGCTTTGAATATCGAGCATGTCATGTTCTCCCCCTCCCGCTTCATACACATCCATCCGCCGATGATAATTGTCGGTTGCATGGGTGCAACAGTAACAACGTATGCACCCCTCAAGGCAACAAAATCTGTCCAATCGCTTCTTTAAAAATTAAAATTAAAATAAAAATAAAATAAAGGTTGACCGGCAAGCATTCCATGAAAGGAAACATTGATTCAACTTTCGAACCGCCGAATTCGTAAGACTGTATATCCCTCGTCCTGAATCGTGCCACCGCTCGCATGGATAAAAGCTGCCCAGAAGAGTTCCGATATACATGCTTAGCTGCTTATGCATACCCACATTGGGATCTGGCCAATGGCCCGTATCTCACTCGGCAAGCCCAGAATTAAGACAATAAAATACCACGTGACTCCGCTCATCGTACGACGTCCCATAGTCAGCGTTTTCCTTGGCCCAGGATTGAAGGGGGAGGGGGGGTGGAATTCGAAATCCAGACAAAGATGATGAGCTTGAATTCTGGTAGCTCGACGTTCGGGGAAGAGAAGAGGAGAAGGGAAAAAGAAGTGGGCCAAAAACCACCACACGGTCGAAGAAGGATGATCCCCCCGTGTGCTAGCTTCGTATACTCAAGCTCCTCCTGCTGGGGGACAAAGAGGACGGACAACGGTGTGGGGGATCGTGGCTGTTGGCCGGACGGTGGCAGACGGTCGCTTCAGTTGTCGGGAGTTATCCCAAAGGCCAGTTGGCGATCAAGAGAGGTTATACCATGGATAACATGTGATCAATCACTAATATGCACTCGCTTGCCAGACGGTCACAGAGTGATATGGGGAAGAATTGGGATGACCAAGCGAATGCCTTTCTGTATTGATCATGCGAGTCGTTTACGACGACTGCAAGGTACTCTCCAGATACCTCTCGCCCAGCGATGTGGCGGGAGATTCTGATTGACCAAATATTCATCAAGTAAAATCGTGAACGACCGTGTGATGCTGGTAGAACTATGCCAGCATATTAAATCCCTCGAAATCAATACATTCCAATGCCACTGTACGCCTTGATATGCAATAAAATTCCTCCAAACCAGCTTGCGACTACCGTGCTTTTTGTGGTATCGTGGTAGTCAGCTATTGTACGTCGACAAACTCCGGTATCCAAGAAAAGCAAAAGGAAAGAAAAGGTTTGAACATGCTGCCGTCCCTTCATCCTCATCCACCGTAAGGAACTATAAACGTTACCACCCCTTAGTCAGGGTTGGCGATGAACAGGCGAGTGCTGGTCAGCGTCGCGGTCCGCTCATCCACACTTCCTCTCCGCCGCAACTCCTCGGGATTCTTGACGCTCTTCTCCCTCGTCAGAGCAGCATTCAGCAGGCTGTTGCTAGCAAGCTTGGCAGCAGCGGTACTGGGCACGTTCAGTTCAGGTAGCGTGTCGGCTCGTTCACCGCTGCTCCCGCTGCGAGTGCTCTCAGCTCGATTCAACAGACGATCGTCGCCAACCTGGTATTCAGGCTGCTCGACCAGGCTGCCCGCCCTTTCCGGTGTGTCACCTGGGCTCCATTTCTTGGTTATGCTTCCAGACGTCCGATAAGGGATACCGCGGCGACCACTGGCGGTACTGCTGCGTCCACTGCTCCCCGTTCTACGGTGATGCAAGCGCTGCATAGTCACGTCGTCGTCGTCGCTGTCCTCGCCCTCCACCTCAGTCGCGCTGAGGCGCATGGGCACGCCGCCTACACCGATATAATTGTTTTCTGGAGTGTAGCCCACAACCCCGGGCTTGCCGTGATGTCTGATTTTGGCGGCTACCTTTCCAGCGCTGCCGAGGCCGGTGGAGGTCCGCACTGCTCCGGTGCCGCCTACGACCTCCATGGTCGCCCGTTGTTTGGCGGCCTTCTGCTGAGCCAGCATCCTCGGGTCTTCATATTGTGCCCGATCGCACCAGACTGTGGCCTTTTGTTTCCTAAGCAGGGCGACATAACTGTTGGGGGCCCCGCCGCCGGAGCGTGAGGATGTGCTTCGGCGGATTTCGCTCTGGGTTGGAGAAGTGCGAAAGGCGGCGGGAGGAGGAGGGTTCGTCGAGACAGTGCTGAAGGTGTTGACGGAAGGCGAGCGGCGTTGGTGGCCCAAGCCGGGGCCGGGCGGAGGTTGTTGGAGATGCATTGGCGTGGGTGCGTGTATCTGATTTGGAAACACGTTGGAGGAAGTCGTTCTCGTCCGAGAATGTGAATAGATTTGAGGGGAAGGGTCCAGGGGCCTTCTCCTCATATGGCTTTCGCCTAGCATGTTTATGTTGGGTGAGGGGAAATCCCCAAAATGTTTGATTGATAGCGGTATTTGTTATTTGTGCCTGTTCTTTCTTGGCTGGCCCTCTCTTGGTGACCCAAGGTAAGGTTTGGGGCTGCAGGAGTTGGTCGAAATGTAGCCTCTAAGTAGCGGAAATGGTGATCGCTGGCGCACTTGGACTATTTCAGAGGAAGTGGGTAGATGACGATTGCGTGAGGTGAGATAACGCCGGTGCTTGGTTCTGGTGCTTGCCCGGGGGCACTTTGAAATAAATTTCCAATAGCGGCCCGCCCTCGAAGTAGAATAAAAGTGGTTAAACTACTTAGTTATGCAGCGTGTATATGTACAACACCGCGTGGGCCACTAGATATTTGGTGACGCTGAGCGCAGGAGCAACAATGAGGCCAAGTATTTGACAGCAACTGAACAATGACTGAACAGTGACAAGTCTTAGGTCGATTGTCTGCCAGCGCTACGTTTCAAAAGAAGGACCCAAAGAAAGAAAGAAGAATTAATAATAACAACAAAAGAAGGTTTGGAGACGAGGTCGCGGCTGAGAGCTTGGTTTTGAGGAAAGCGAGAAAGCTGAAGATGCCGGAATGTTTAACGTTGCATGGATGATGCTCTCACTTCTTTTCCTCGCCGAACGACCAGGTGGGGTCGATGCGGGCCTGAGATGCAGCTGCGTGATAGGGCCTCCAACGAGGTTACTCAAGTCTTCCGAGGTGCCTCCTACGGTACGGTACGGTACATGGGTACTGTGTAGGTGGGCTCTTACTCTCAAGCAAGACAGACTTTAGAAGACTCAAGCACTCAAGACAAGTCCCAGAAAGCGATGGAACCTTGGCGTTTCTCGCAGAAAAGAGTGGGGATAGATAATCCTTTGGCACTAACTTAGGTTGCGGTAGGCCCAGGGAAATAATTTAGTGCAGACGACTTGTGAAAAGGAACTACGGCGTTCCGAGTCCTTGGGTTGTAGCACGATCTTTGTCCTTGGACAACAATAAGATGAAAAAGAACGAAAAAGGTTCGAGGTGTTTCTGGCCTGGCAAGCCTGTCCCTGGGTGTTCTGGTATGGGTACGTATCCGTAGTTAATATGGCGGTAACGTACTTATTAGACGAGAAACTGTATTGTCCCAACAGGCATGTGTACAGTGTTTTTTGGTTGTTGTGTTTTTTATAACACCAACCTGAATCTCTCGGGGGTGTCGAGTCCGAGATTGCTAAGTGTAGAAGCCCTTTGGCTCAACTTGAGACCGTACGGTATTAGGGTGATAGGTAGACCTCCTTCAGATTGCGAGCTCGAGAACGAGTCTCCTCGTCTTGACTAGTCTCGTCCACGGAGTCGATTTGCAAAAACTTTGTCCGTGTGGTTTGCTGCAAATCCCTCGTGTTTGTTAGTGCTTGGCTTGCGAACTTGCCGCGATGCCGTAGCGTTACGACCCAGAAAAGTTAACGGCATGCGCAGGTGGACACCTATTGGAGGGCAAGACACGGGGAGGCTGAGCTGAGCCAGCTGCTTCAGGCGCGCGTGCGATTCTTTTTGTGTGGAGATGCCGGCGAAAAGCGATGGGATTGATTCTTGGACAAGGTCTACTGAGCAAGTTGCCGGGACCTGACCAATGGATTCCTCGATTTGATCTTGCGGTCGATGCAATGGTCAGTTTTTTAATGTAATAGGCGGGTATAGGGCTTGTCGAATTTGCCTTTCGCATGCAATGATCAACACGACCTCGATGTCTTGTGACGGCCGTGACGTTGATTGCGAACTGGCGACCAAGAAAGTGGACCTCCAGCGGCGGTCGATCAGTTGTCTGTCCTGCTTTCAATTGGCCGTTCAATCTGCGTTTAAGAGACCAGAGACGATGGCGCACAGGGACCAGCACGGATAGAGGGCTGACGACGATACGGACAATATTGCGATGGGGATTAGGGATTGTCGCAGGGGAAGGCGGGTGTAATGCAACAAGACCCTGAATTTCGCAAGCGCAGAAAACTTGGAGACTGCGAAACGGCCAGCAAATGAAGCCGTCAATGGTCGGGAAGGTGTTGAGGGGATTGCTCGATGCGTGTTAAAATAATTACTGTAGTTGAGATGTGTTGGATGGTGTGCGTGGGGCCGGATCTGGATGATGGCACATATATCGGTCGCCTATTGCGAACCAAGCGATCCTTAATATTGACTGTGACTGGAATGTATGCAAATGCATGAGAAAACCACCGTCAGGCTATCCTATCTGAGGCGAGCTTGCCGTCCGTCTCGGGCCTTTTGTGAGCTTATGCAAATAAGTCGAGTGGGCTGGGGGACGGATTGGTGATGCTGATTTGAGGGGCGGGGCAGCAGGTATACATGTAGCGAGCGGCCGTGGGTATGCCTGCGCTGCGAGTGGATGGGAATGTGGGAGGAATGTGTTCGTGGGTGCTATGGCATTTTCCATTTGCCAATGGCCTTGGGGTTGTCGCTTTTGCAGTCACCGTCCTGCCCCAGCGCTATAGCTGCAGTGCAGTGCGCCAATGACTGGATTGCCTTTCTGAGCCGTCTAACCTAGGTTGCATATATCTTGTCAGCCTTATATCACCGCTACTATTCCTTCCTGTCCATCCTTCACGTATCCTCGCAAGTTTGGGTGCCAAGAGTGTAATGTGCACACTTGTGCCCAGATACAAGCTTCAGACGCACCATGTAACTTCGGAGTCTCCTCCGACCTCGAGTTGTGACGTCGTCTTGAATGGCAGACTCAAGTGAATCAACGCTATGATGTGATGATTGTCGTGGTGGAAGACATTTGCGCCAGGCGCCAAGTGTTCTTGAAAGAGGATCCCCGCGATTACGAGAGATCATCAGCACGTACCTCCTATCCACACTGACTTTTTCGATTCCCGGTGCGCTGCCCCAAGATGAACTTTGCTTTCGGATGCGGCCGAGAAGGGATAAGACTTTCAGGGTCCTGCTCTAAAAATGCCAGGAGGCCTTTGCAAGGTCTAAGCTTCGTGTGCGGAATGTGGGAACGAGTCTTGTAGAGATGCTGTCGTTGTCGACTTTGAGCAATGTCTTGTCACGGGGTTGTCGAAAGCTTTGGCGCATGAGTTCCTGGCTAAATGTGTCGACAGCTGACTACTAACTAGGTAGTTTGAGAGGAGCCACGATATTCGGGCACTGATAAGGCTTGGTAGAAGCCCGAATACGCTGTTGCCACGCCCCTGCTGTCTAGCTGGTTTATGGTACTAACGGCCGTTGAGATTGATAATTGTCTCGATATCACTGATCTAGGGGATTCGGTGTTTGCAGCTTCAAAGGTAACTTCACAACCTAGCTTCCCATGTCTGCCAGGGGGTCTAGGACTCAACTTCAGGGATACAATCTGCCGACATGGCGTCTGCCTTGATCTTTTGAGGGTTTTACAGACCTTCAACCAGCCACCAGAGCCTCTCCTTTCAGTAGTTGTTACAGCTGTGCATTATGTGAATCCAAGATCAGGCCCCTTGCATGTAGGACAAGAACTGTCTCCACGTCATTGCAGCTCAAAAACAGGGAGGGCCTGTATATCAGACCATTTGTATTGCTGGAAACGGAAAACATGGATACTAGGTTCCAGATACTGCTTAGGTTCTGGCTATATCAACTTCAAATATAGGCTACATTGTCTTGGAGGACCAAGTTCCCGGGCATTTCTTCGTTACGGAAACGCTCAAGACATTGCGGCGTCTCTGCTTCGTCGTGGCTCTATTTAGACAACAACGTACGGAGTGATCCGTGAGATACATGGTAGGTCGGTCGCCCCAATTTAGCTACTACACTGCGATAAAGCTTTAAACTGAGCACAATGCCGATGCTTTGACATTATGAATCGTCCATATGGTTGGAGACAAGGCACTTCTAACAAAGCTGTTGAAATGCTAGTCCCAAGTTGTCAAGCTTGCAGCTGCAGTAATGCGGCGGTCCACCGTGCAAGCTGCACGTTCCATGCACAATCACAAAATAGACCCTCTCGTTTATAGGTATATACTACTCTAATTATCTGCATCCGGCGAATGCAGCACACCTCAAGACTGGGCCTCGGGAAAAGGTCGAGCTTCCCCAGCCCTGCAAAACCAACTCCATGCATACATACATGGGTGTTCCAGAGGGGCGGAAGACAACGTCCTATCTACAGTAGCGATCCATCCCCCGCCAGCTAAACACTGTGTGAAATCATGCAGGAGAATCTCCATCATTGCACAGCGCTAGAGCGCGACCACGATGTCGCGTACTATTACTACATATACAGTATCCGCAATAGAGACCACGAGAAACCCGCAGCAGAAGCACGAGGAACGTTCGGGAGGCTTTTTCGGCCCCTCGCTTGGGAGAGAGCCCCACTGCTTTTGATGCAACGATTGTTGATGATCCGATGTTCCTGACAAGCCTCGAACTATTGGCCTCTGCATACTTGGATGGAGTTTGGGCGCTTGAGAACCACTAACTTAGAGATTGTCCCCGCCAGCGATGGTTCGCAACATATACCAAGCGCAGAAGGGCGGCCCTGAACCTTATTCGGCTTTTTTTGTTGCGATTGCGACGAGCACACGTGTCTTGCCTTGCGATCAAACTTGTGGCGCTCGATTAGACGGCACGTTGACGAAGACCTGGCACATCACTGGCAACACGCTACCAAAAGAATACGTCAATGGTACAGTAGTAATGCACTGGAGCAGAACCAAACAAATATGTAGTTGAACCATGCGCTCGAGCCGATAATATAGTCATTATAGCACGGGTATTCCTCTGCGATTCAATACGTACCGAACTGACAAACTTAGCGCTGCACATCACGACGGGATGACTTCATTATGGCGCTCGAAACTTGTCTTGTTCCTGGATTTGTTAGCTTGGTGTAGCATTGTAATTTGACTCAATCCTGTTTCGGCCAGCCATGATGAGAAAACTCCCTACAGATCCGTTTTGGAAGCTGACCTCTAGGATGTGGGTTATGATTATATCGTCAGCGAAACATGGCAATCCAAATCAGCGTTCCTTTGCTTTCCTTACCAACGACAGCAGTTGCTAATGTGTTCTATCCAGTGGGATTAGCGACCATTGTCATTGTTCCTGGCGTTACATACAGTAGTAGTGCCCCGGCACCAAGCTAGTCTAAGAACAAACCGGCGTCGAACGGCCAACTTTTTCCAAGAGATTTTTTTCTAGCGACTCTATGGTCGCGCATCGGAAGAAATAGAACCGTTGACACGCGATGCGTTTCCCTTCAATGCCAGGGCCCGCTCCTGTTCGAGCCGCGAATGGCTGAATAAATAAAAAATCCCCCGATCATCTCTATGGATCTCGATCTCCGCCACAGGCTTGTTGCTTCCCACCTGCTTTTTCCCCCTGCAAGATCCTCTTCCGCTGGGGTGCCCGAAACCTTCTCTCCTTGCACTCGTCCGCCTCCTTGGCGGAATGTTTCTTCCCGCATCGGAGCTTTTCTTGCGGCGTTGCAGCAACGCGAAACGAACGCCATAGAAATCGTCCATAGCGTTGCAGCGGAGGATCTGGTGGCCAAGAAATATGTTGCATGCGACAGACACTGTGGCTTTTTTTCCAAAGTGCTTGCGTGAAGCATCGACTTCGTGACTTCGCTTAAAAAGTTTCTTTCCACAACTGCCGGATTCTGGTACGCTCCTGAGAAGCTTGGCACCGATATGGTAAGTGAGACGGAGCAAAAACCAAGGCATGTCAACTACCCCTACACCGCGCTTGTCTCTTCCATCATCGTGAGGTTCACTGGTGCCATTTTCGTGAGAATTGCGAAGTCTTTATTCCCCAGCGTGCATGAACATTGCGGCAGTTGCTTGCTTGCTTGGTCAGCCGCCTATGGTCGGAGCTTAAACCCTTTTGCAAACATGATAGATGAGATGAAAGTGATTGTGTCTTATCATGCACGACGAGTTCTCACGTCCGGCATCATCTTTACATCGAAGGCCCATTTGCAGATACAAGGTTAAACATTGAACGTGGTTGGTTGAACTTGTAGCGGTGCCGACAGGTCCCTTCACAACATAATAGATCGTTGATAAGACAAATATAGGAGAGCTGGTGTCAATCTATCTACTCCAATCACGAAGACTTCCAGCCATTTTGCGCAATCATGTATGTGGTGTTGAATTTCAAACACTCCACGTCCATATATTCATGGTCTTGTGTTGTTGCCCTTGTTTCAAACGATGTCCACCGCTTCACGGGCCGAAAGATAGAGTCGTCTGTTTTCTTTTGCTTTTGCTTTTCCCCCTTCCTTCCTTAAACTTGTAGTGTGTGATTTATGATCGAGTTCGTAGGAGATTTTGTTTTCGTTGATTGACTCCTGGTTATTGTTATAGCCTCTCTCCTGGAGATCTTTCGTGGTTTCGTTCATATGTATTTGGGCATAATGAATCCCAACTGTGGCTTTTTCGCACTGCTACAAGTCAGAACTAGACTCTCACTTATATTTTGATACTCTCGCGGAAGACCCCAGAAGTACAATTGTATAGCCACATATTACAAGTACATGCCACAAACTTTCTAAGGACAAGACCCAGTTCATGAACGACTTCCTACCTGCCTTGAAAGCTTTGCCTTGGATACGTATCACTTTGCGTTTCTGTGACTTGCTGTATACATCTAACCATATCTCTGATCATCTTGCATACTCTTTCATCGATGATAACCAAGACACTTGACGTGTCGCCTCGTGTATTACTGGAAAGGTGATCGATCCCGTCAAACTCACTTTGTGCAACGAGGTCACGGCATAACTCATTCCTCATCCGTGGGCTCGTCTAGAATTCGCCTTGAATGGCCTGGTAGTAGATCTATGGAGAGGAGAAACCATACCTTTGGATTAAATCAAGTCAGAGATTGAGAACAGTGTACTGCTTGTCTTATAGAGTCGAAGACGTCCACTTCAAGATTCAATTTCTACTGAGATTGATAGCCATCTCACTAGTCCTTCATCCGAATAGATTTCCAAGGTATCAATACTTGGCTATTTGTCTAAATGAGCTTCCTATTATAGATGCAAATGAATCCAACCCACATAATCTATGGCCGCTTCCTCCAGGCTTTACCACAGCTTGGCAGGAAAGCCTGTCCGGAAATTAAAACTCAATAGAGGAGCTACTGTCTTCACATTTGATAGACCTTGCAGTCTCGATGTTATTATATCTTCTTCTTCATTACGCCGGTGTATTGTATATCGGCGTGTCCGTTCTTATCATAAGTATTCCATATTTAACTGGTATAAAAGGAGTCAAGTCGCGATTGTTAACAAGTTCGAAAGTCAGATCACTTCCGTATTCCCATCTTTTAGATATTGTGCAACGCTCGGCATCCGATACGGTTCAAGGATCGTAACTTGGGCTGCACTAAGCATGGTGTATACTCACAATTGGTTCTACCCTTCAGCAAGCACATACATAAAAGCACCACTTTGGCTGCCACACCGGTCAAGGTCCTTCAACAGAGCGGTCTGAGAAACGGGTCAGGGGTAACCGTGTGTAAAGGAAACGCTCATCAAGTCGAAATTGACTCGACGCTTCAATCGTGGTACTCGCTTTGTCTCCGTGCCACAAGTTTGTTAGCCGCTGCCAGTGAGTTGTCCTGTCCTACGGTTGAACATACTTCTCATTGGACTTTGCAAAAGCTAGTTCAAGGACAAGTGACATGGGCAATCATTAATTAGGGATCCTAAACTTGAAGAAATGCTAGTTAGCGACTTTACAAAGCTGAGGCGACGCCAACTTGATAAAAACCGCATAGTAAGTTATGCGCGCGCCCAAAGTTGGCAGCAATTTCCCAATCACGGGTGTAAACTCGTTGGCTTTCTGACTAGTAACCCTACGGCATGTTCACAGTTGATGTCTCGCTCTTAAGCTTGACTACGCCACAGGAATATTAGTTGATCACCTGTTTATGATTGCTTGAATTTATTGGACGTTTTCAGTGAGGCCGCAACACATGTTGCTTACCCCATATCTGATGGAGGTGAATTTTCATCGCGACCCAAGCATCGCAAGGCTTGGGCTTCACGCTGTTAAGCAGATTTGTTTGGCCAAGTACGCATTGTCATCATTTGGCTGACTGGGGAGAAAAGGAAAACAAAAAAAAAACCTGGGCTTATACGCATGGGAAACCTATCACACAAAACATGCTCCAGTTTTTTCTTGTAAGCTACGACAAGACAGTTGTGCAGCAGTGCGGCGGGAAAGCCGTTGTTATATTTGATTTCATCTGTATACGCATGATATTGTCAGCACTAACCGGGATAGGTAGGCTGCACTGCATCATGCAATTACATTCGGACCCCACTGGGGATGGGAAGTTTTTCGATAAACCCCAAAGCTCCCAGCCTCGTGCAACGGACGACAATATGTCAATCGCCCATCTGTACCCTACAGATGTACCAGCCTCCAAGCTACCCTCTATCTTCTTTCAAAACGAAGAATGGACGCTGCTCGGCCGTTTTGGGACGACGAGAATGTACCAGGACCAGGTGACCCAGAACTCCTGGCATTCGTGAATTGCGAAGATAGGCGCGAGTTCCGACCAAGCCTTGAGCAATGTCGTTCGTGGGGAGATGCGCCAAACCCGAAAACATACGCCTCTTTCGGTGACAATGGCACAACGGCAACTGTGAGCGCATATGGCAATATCGTGCAATTCGATACCTATATCGGTGAAGGTCACTCTGGCATGTTTAGCGCGGACCATGGAAGTGTCCAAGAGCCCTATCTGGTGGAAGAGCGAACACGAGGGTTACAAAACGTGGCTACTACATCTGTAGCAGAGCCCGACGAGATTTCAAACTTGTACGGACTTCGACTAAGCAATATAAAATTCGATGCTCTGCCAAAGCAAAGCTGGGTCAACTATAGATGGCCAAGATACGAATTCGAAGACAAGGGCCTCAAACAGGAGGAGTCTTCCAAAAAGGCATATACAGTGCAGTGGATGGTGTACGACAACGTATTGTTACAGCACTGCACTGTTGAAAATCTAGATGATACTGAACTATCTGTCGACCTCGAATTTTTGGGTACCGACAGCGCGAATATGTGGATTAGAGATCTGGACCACATTGATCCAGAGTACAAATTTAACGAACACCGTGACAATTACACTACCTCGCTGGGCCTGCACGGTTACAGCTGGGTTCTTGCTCACAAACTCGAAGCGTCTAAAGCGGATGGTATATCCGGAACAGAAGCCAGAAGTGAGACGAATGAAATCGACAACATAAAACCCCATGTTGTGGAAGCAAGCTCAATCGCGGTGGTCGTTTCGGTGTTCTTGAATGGCAAGACACTCAAATGGGATGAGCCTGACCAATGGAAGGTAAAACTCCCAAGTAAACCAAATACCAAGGACTCGGGCGAATCGCTAAGCTTAACGCCGGGCAATGCAGCGGAGATAGTCATTGCATACGTGAGTCATTGATCGCTTTACCCTAAAGAGAATGTATAGAAGTGCTGATCAGTTTCTTCGAACCAGAAAATGATACTCACGCCCATATCTAAAGCGCATTGGAGAGACTTTCTAATCCCTGCGTCCTACACCAATATCGGCGAACTGATAGAAAAAGAACCAGTGTCTGACATTTCTCTTACCTCGCTTTTCTGTGGAATCGGAGATGACACGCAGGGCAACGCCAACGAAAGCCGTCGGAAGGACGGGGTGGATAAGACAATGAATATAAATAGCGAGACAAGGCCCACGAGCCCAACGAGCCCAGTAAATGACACTCCACTAGTCGTGAATCCTTCTGGGCTGCCATCCATTGGATCTTCGCCTGGGATACACATCGAGTATATCGTACGACGCAATCTGGAGCATATTCTATCAGCCTGCGCAATTCCTTTAGCAAGACGCAGTCTTGAGTTGGAGGACGAGAAAGTCGAGGAGCCCGTCCCAGTGGCACTCACCTGTGGACCGATGTCCTTTCATAGGCTCACAGCATCATCAAGCTAGTAGGTTCCCTTTTCTCGATCAGAAGAGTCCAATTTAGTTTATGGATTTGACGTTAAGTGTAGTTTCTCGTATCAATTCCTCTTAGAAATTACTCAACGCCTCCAGCAATCAACACTAGGTGAGAAACCATACGTGAAATGGCTTATGAAAAGGATATCTTCGGTATGTAGAGGTCATTTAAGATGGATTTCGAAAGTCGCGCAAAAAGCAGAATCGGGCCACCTTGCCGGAAACTACTGGGTAACTGGGAAAGTTATCGACCAGGAGAGTCCATCCTGGCGGCCTGATAATTCGCTCACCGACAACCCGTTCCATATCCTGAAAGCCGGTAATTATGCTGCTGTCTTTCCAGAGGATAAAAGCACATCCATTGAAGTAGTACGGGACATGTATATTCCATGGCTTCGAAACCTGGAGGAACAAGACAAAAGGAATTGTTTCGCATGGCCACATGCCCATGAGTCGGACATCAATGTTTTTCGCCTAGATGACCACGTCTGGATCTGGAAAGCACTCAAGGTCATAGATGAACTCGGATTATGGACAATGACAGACCGCAACCAGACAATGTCTGGCGAAACTGCAACAGATTCTAGAGTGTCTATGTACGACGACATAAGGAGATGGTCAAGAATATACGAATATCGCAATGTGCAGCGCGAGATGTTAAGGCGCTTCACGACAGAGAGCGAAGTGTCACGGAAGCGGATGCTGGCCGTCACTCGATCGCCTCGGGAAACCCGCTTCCTTTTTCATGCGCGTGACACAGTCTTGTTCTACGAGTTTGACAACTTTTTGCTGCCCGAGACCTCATTTCGACCGGTATGGGAAAATACCATCGAAGCTCAAAAACATCATGATGACAATCAAGAAACTCGCTGGGACAATGCACTTCGCTATGCGCTGTCAATCCTCATGGGAACAAGAGGCTATAGTATCAACAAAGAGAAGTCGCCAAGACAGTTAGTTGAGACATCTCTGCACACATTGCTAAAGATCTCCAGCCACAATGGGCTTTTCACGGGTCAGCTAGACGAGACGATGAAAGAGCCTTGCCTTTTCTATCGTGAAGCAGATCGTGATTTCTATTTCCACGCGAGTTTCGAGATTCCTTTCGTCATTTTGACTAGGGCTCATGAGTTGGGCCGCGAGAGTCAATATGATCCTGAAAAGTACACAGCAGAAGGATCTTCGGCAACCTCTAATCCTCCAAAAAGAACAAAGTCGGAGGAGAAACACGACGGCCATCAACAAAAGGCTCTTAATGATGATATTGTAGAGTTTTCCGAAAGGCTCACCGCGCAGCCAAAACGTCAACTTGTTACAAATGAGCTCGAGGCCTTGGCTTCTGAAAACAACACAAGTACCCACAGCCAGGCTCTTGCTAAAATTACACAAGTTGCCAATCACCGCCAATCCATGAAGAAGATCATGCCTGTTAACCGGTTCATCGACTCCAATAGTATCATCGATATTCCCGAAGAATGGCTTTACAATTACCCGCCTTTCTTGTCCAACGAAAAGCCACTCCTCCCGAAAAACGTGCACGAGGTTTTGGCGAAGTTCTTGATTGATAGTAGGGGGTTTAATACAATCATAGACCTTATGACTGAAGATGCCGATCTAGCTGTAAGCATTGTAAGGGTTGAAGAGAAGCTCCGTAATAAGTTTTGCAATGCCCTTGCCTGCGATACCGAAACCTGCATCGTGATCCTCGAGGACAAAGACAACGAAGACATACGAAAGAGCTTCACTGGTTCTTTGGGACCTGATCTTGAACCATTTGTGCAGGAATTTCTCCAAACAGGTAAAGTACCTCGATCATCACTTACTGGTCGCTTCAGCGATGGTGGCTCGATCTCTTCAAAACTTACATTAAATCGCTTTGGCCCCCGACGATCGATCTCAGAGTTTTTGGGAACTGACGAGGTTATCGATAAGCTGTATCGAGTCTTTCTTGAGGAAACAGGCGCTCTGTTACGCAAAATTCATAAGTTCAGCGGAGTCCGCAAGTGGCTCCGGTTTATGCTTTTTGGCGAGACTGATTTCATGGTGCGGACCTTGCTGCATGAGAAGTCAGTGTACAACAAGGTCCGATCGTTACTTAAAGAGGATGAAGGTATTGCAGGCCAGACTATAGTGCATGCCGCTATTGAATACTTGAATAGCATGTTTGAACAGGAAAGCGGTTCCATGGTCAACTACTGGCTTTTCAAAGAAGAAGGGATTGATCGTGCCGCTGTCGTGGATACGAAGAAAAAGACAACGCAGGGCAAGCGAGCAAAGACAATTACCGACTCGCAACCGGCCTATTTGACAAACGTCGATTTATGGTCAGAGCATCTGAACAGGTCGCGTACAGCTGGAACAGCAAAGAAGCGACTGATCTACTTACCAAAAGCGAATGCACAGTCAGCTCTAGCCTGCGTCTTGGGGAGCCCAGAGAGCGAACGGCAATCAATGTCCACCTTTTTCGATCGTCACCGAAACTATAACCTATATTTCTTCGACGATACCACAATGTCATTGAACACCTGGGAGACTGAGCTCCATCTCAGCTTCTATCAACTCTCCAGGACCACTCAGAGTGTTTCCGCCGAGGAGATGCAAGGAATTCCACGGGCGCTAATGGACGTGCTGCCTGGTGGGAAGGATATTGAAATAACGAAAGCCTCGGTGGGCTTCCGTTTCTCAGGAGACTTCTTCGACCGTTATTGGACATGCCATGTTATTGAATTTGTCCCAGCTAAGCCTGAATGGGAGAGTTGGGAATTTATCCAACAGTTCGCGGCCAAAGACAGAAGCTTGAGGCAACGCAAGGTGTTGGAGCTTTCGCTGTTTGGCCGGTGTCTCGATATGCTAGCGAGCGGTACTCGCGAGATCCTAGAGACGCTCAAGCTTGAACTAGGCGTCAGCCACGGGGCTTTCTCGTTCATCGATTTGAGGACCGGCGACTATTTCTCCATGAGTGACCAGTGGCAGGAATCACAGCACGCACTACAGGCTCTAGAAGACCACCTGGAGCACGTCATCAGTGCTATCATTGACAAGTGGGATACTAGGGAAAAGGATCGTGGAACGGAGAAGCCACGATGGACACGGAGCGACGAATGGAAATATCGAGGGGTTCTCAAGAAGCTGCTAGCTGCCAACAACAGCAAGGTCAGGGACATACAAAGTCTTCACGCCGAAATTAAGACCCTCAGAGAGTTCTTGGGAAATCGGCAAGACCAAATCCGCAATGACCTGTCCCTCTTTGGGGCCGAAAACATTCGCTTCTTTACATACGTCACTGTTGTCTTTCTCCCGCTTGGGTTTGCGGCAAGTATTTTCAGCATGAGTGAAACTCCGGATGGGCTGTTGATTAGCCACATGGCAGCCACCGCTGCGGTCTCCCTCGTTCTCACTGTCTTCGCATTAGTCAATGCCGAGAAGCTGGGAGCCGCTACTGGGGCTGTATCCCGAGCGATAGCCAAGCACTCGGACCTACAGATGAAGAAAAGTCAATTCCTGCACCACTACCGGGCATCTAAAAGGGAAGTGCAAGCCTCGAAATACGGTGCCAATACGTTTGCAACCGGCACGACGCATTCGTATGAGCCCGATACCAGTACTGTGCTACGGAATAAGACCGATAAACCGGACGATACTCGTCGAAGAGGACGTCCAAATGATAAGAACAGCTGGCACCCGTGGTTCTGGATCTTGTATATGATTATTGAATTGCCAGCGCGTAGGGCTGCATTAGCGTATCGTGCACTACAAAAGCCCAAACCGACACTGTCAGATTTCTATGAATTTAGCCTAGGTGTCTTGGTTTTACCCTGGTGCGTTGTTATCTGGTTGTTGCAATTGATCGTCATAAATCTGTCGGACCTGGTACACATGATAAAATGTAAGGATCCCTATCATTCATGCCTTAGACCTCCAGCTGACCCATTTAAGACCAGTTTAGACGTGGCGAGGTCTCTGCAAAAGGATCCTCCCAGCAAGATCTCTTCGGCGGCAATGTAGCCTGGCTGTTACGGCCCCCAATAGTCTTGAGACCATTTCTGCGGGCTGATTTCAAGCCTCGTGAGAATACCACGCAGGCTACTCAACAGAAGCAAACAGGGCCGGAGGAAGTCAGGAACAACTCAAATGCCACCGAAGTCTAATTCACGAAGGCATCTGATTGAGCAGCGGATGCGCCAGACCTATGAAATATATTATTATACAAAGTACGTCTCCAAGATCTCCGACACTAAGATGTCTGGTTGTCAATATGTTCGCTTGATGCTTCCAACTCAACTCTGCCAGGCCAAAATGCCACGTTATAGCTGAATCGACTCTATAGCGGCCAAAGACTCGTGCCGCGCATCAGCATGATGGATACAACAGATCGTAAGGCTTGCTGAATAAGGAATGACTTGTACGTCTATCGTAGAGTTATCACCACCGTCAAGAGTTGTCACCACTGTGAAGAGTTATCACCACTGTCACACGTCACCTACATAAGCAAATACACGAAAACGCCACGATCCTGCATATTAGTGCATGCCGCATAACCGATCTATACGGGGGTCGCCAGTGATATCACCGTGGTTTGCAAAATGGTGGGTTTCGTCGCAACCATTATCCAGGATCTCGTCGACTTTTCAGAGAAAGTCTAACTCCTATTCTATATTATACTGCTAGCTTCCCATTTCAACCCCAATACCACGTTTACTCACTCTCAGGGTTACTCCATGTTATCAGAGTGGAAGAACACTAGAAATCAATCGTGCCCTTGTCAATCTTTGTAGGCGCCACTTGAACGGACTATCATGATGCCATACTCCAAGATGTCTCTGGCCAAACTGCACCCTTGCCCAACTTTAATCTTGGATTTCTCCAAAATGAAATAGAAACTAGTAGGATCGCCCAATAGTACCTTTTGCTACTTCAAGGGGGAAAAATGCAGTACCTGTTATGTTGATACGGCGGTATTGTGCCCAACATGGATGGGTTCTTTGACCATTGTCAAGCGCCGAGCTCTACTAGCAGTGATTCTAGCCTGTCCGTGGCCTCCTTGATGAGCTCATCAGTTTCCTGAGGTGTCTTGCGCTTCTGTCGCTCCAACCTGACCGTACTGGAGAGATGAAATGGAGCCAAGGCCTCCTCAAACTGCCTCAGCCTCTCCAACTTCTCGATCCCGCCGATTTGCGACGGTCGAAGCACGCCACGGGCATTCAGGGCGGAGTTCCAAGCTTTCGCTACTTCCCATACGACCTTGTCCTCAGGAGAGGTAGCTTCATCTCGCGCTTCAAAGTTGCCTGTAACGACGGCTCTATGGAGCTTCTCATCGTTGGAATGAACCCAGCCGCCGCCCAAATCCCAGAGGCCGGTGAAGTATTCATGTACAGGGTGTGTCACGCGCGAGAAGTCGAAGTCGAGCAAAGCAGTAACGCGTTTGCTCTCCTTGTCGAAAAGCATGTTGTTCATGGCTAGAGAGAATGATTGATGAGCCCGATGAATACATCCGAGGGGGGATGAGATTCAAGTATAATATCAACTTACTCAAATCAGCATGGACCAATACCCGCTGAGATAGGTCCACTCCCTCAAGCAAGTGGGCTATACGGGCAGCATCAAGAAGCTTGTCGATGCGGTCGCGCAGGCCCGCTTCTTTCCATCCTTTGAGCGCCCAGCTCCCGTCCGCATCATCCAGCTGCTTTTGAAGTTGCGACACCCACATTTCCTCGTACTTGTCCCAAGGCCCGGCGGGTGTCAAGGGCATCTGCGCCCCAACAACTTGCGCAGTCGCACCATCGAAGGTCAAACCACCGATGTGGGTTTTCAGACTTGAGGGTAGGGGAGTGTTTTGCAGGGCGGCAAATATGTCAGCAACTTGCTCGACCACGGCAAGTTTCTCTGCGAGCTGCATCTCCCTGAATTGCTCGTCTAGGTTGGCACCAGGCATGAACTCGTTCATGGTCCATGCAAAACCTGCCTCGTCAGGTACCAAAGGCCACCTGCACGGTTCCCAGGCATACACGGCCGGGAGAAGATGCGTTAGGGCCGGGTAGGAGGCAGACAGCTGCTGGCGGAAGAGAGATTGTGCGGCCACTTCATTCTCCACGCGGTTGGCGTTGTTCAGGTCTTCAGCACGTGGGTTGCTAAGGCGGAGGATCAAGACAGAGACGCCAGACTCAGGCGGGACACTTGTGCCGGGCCTCTGAGTTTTGTTGGCGAAGTTTGCGGTGGTGGCTGGCTGTGACAACTCAACTTTGTAGATGTAGTTGTTGTATTGAAAGGGGATGTGTTCGACGTATTCCACAGGGGTCACTGAGACTGACTGACAGCTTCTGGTTAAGAGGACCTAACATCGTACGGCACGGTGACTTACCTGGAGGCCGTAGCTATGGATGATGGACTGGACGACACGCAGCCGACGATGGTAGCCTTCGTGGTTGACGTTAGCAGTAGCCATGATCAAGGACAAGGTGAGCAGTCAAGTCGACTACGCCGAACACAACTCCCTGAGATGTTCTGGCTGGGCGAGTTCTTCTACATTTATAGGGCAAACATGGCAAGAAAAGTGGCGGCAGATGGCGCCGTGTGAGGAATATCACGATGGCTCATAGCAGACCAAGTAGGAGATGGTGAATGATAGAACATGTTACTGTTGCCACAATCATACATGATGATCACATTGGACTGTGCCACCTCTTGACCAGAGCAGGCAGGTCGTAAGACGAATGACCTCACATGGTGATTGGTCAAAGTACTGGGCGAGGATATGGAGACCATTCAGCTGGATGCGCCGGCTGGCTCAGAGCATATTGCAGGGACCGTAGAAGCTGGACTGGGCCTCCAGGTCGCCCTGTACATGCGACAACGCTTAACTAGGAAGAGTTCGTATTCCTTGGACAAGAAAGTATTTCAGTTTAGGGCTTTCCGGATCTGCACTGGGCACGAATCGATTTATCAGGATGTAATTACAATAATACGGAGTGGATGATTTGGAGCATTTGATTTGGGGGAGGCGAGAGCAAGTATGCGACTGATACCGATAGTCGGCCGGGTTGCAGTAGCAGCACTCGGTAGGTACAGTGCTGGCTTTGCTGGCTTTGGCCTCGAGCTTGATGTGATGGGATGAGCAGATGAACGTGGTGAAGCTACGGATCCGTAGATTGGATAGTACTGTGAGAAGTCGGAAGAACCTATCTCCATCTCCATCGAGATTTACCCCACGATTCGAGCTCCGTCCCATCCACCCAATTGATGGAATTGCCCCCCCGCTTTCATAGAGAACGCCGTCCATAATTCGAGGACCACAACGAACGTCAAAGCAGTAGCAACAGTAGCGACAGTACGGATCCGTAGCAACACCGGTAACATTAGTACATAGCAGAGCGACCGGGGAGCGAGCCTGCGACTGCTGCCTGTTGCACCTATTTTCCTTTTGTTCTTATCTCAAACATTACCAGTCTCTTGCGACAGCACACAAACCGCCCACCGTCCCGGCTCCAGAGCCACCCGTTTCCTCTTATTCCTACACCTTGCTCGGTAGAATGGTTCTTCAAGATCTCGGCCGGCGCATCAGCACCGCCTTGCACGATGTCACCCGCGCGCCGAACCTCGACGAGAAGGTAAGGGCCACCCACTCGCTTGCTCGGAATCTGCCCCGCCACGCTGTCGGATTGAAAATGGGTTTGCTAACGTCACCTCTTCCCCGTGTATACAGGCCTTCAAGGCCATGCTCAACGAGATCTCCCACGCCCTCCTCGAAGCCGACGTGAACGTGCGACTGGTCAGCAAGCTCTCCAACTCGATAAAAAACCAGGTCAACTTCAAAGACATCCCGCCCGCCGTCAACAAGAAGAGGCTGATCCAGAAGGCCGTCTTTGATGAGCTGGTCAAGCTCGTCGACCCCCATGCCGAGCCCTTCAAGCCCAAGAAGGGCAAGTCCAATGTCATCATGTTCGTTGGCCTGCAGGGTGCCGGCAAGACCACCACGTGTACCAAGCTGGCCCGCCACTACCAGGCCAGGGGCTTCAGAGCCGCCCTCGTGTGCGCCGACACATTCCGTGCTGGCGCCTTCGACCAGTTGAAGCAGAACGCCGTCAAGGCCAAGATCCCGTACTATGGCTCCCTCACCGAGACCGATCCCGCAGTCGTCGCCAAGGAGGGTGTCGACAAGTTCAAGAAGGAGCGCTTCGAGGTCATCATCGTCGACACGTCCGGACGCCATCGACAAGAGTCCGCCTTGTTCCAGGAAATGTTGGACATCCAGACTGCCGTCAAGCCAGACGAGACCATCATGGTCCTCGACTCCTCCATCGGCCAGCAAGCCGAGGCCCAGGCCAAGGCCTTCAAGGAGGCTGCTGACTTCGGTGCCATCATCATCACCAAGACGGACGGCCACGCCAGCGGCGGCGGTGCTATTTCGGCAGTCGCCGCGACGCACACCCCCATCGTCTTCATCGGCACTGGAGAGCACATGCTGGACCTGGAAAAGTTCGCCCCGCAGCAGTTCGTCAACAAGCTGCTGGGGATGGGTGACATGGCAGGTCTGGTCGAGCACGTGCAGTCCCTCAAGCTGGACCAGAAGGACACCATCAAGCACATCACCGAGGGCATCTTCACCGTGCGGGACCTGCGCGATCAGCTGGGCAACATCATGAAGATGGGTCCCCTGTCCAAGATCTCCGGCATGATTCCAGGAATGGCCAACCTGCCGGGCATGGACCAGATGGACAACGAAGAGTCGAGTGCCAAGCTGAAGCGCATGATCTACATCTGCGACAGCATGACCGAGAAGGAGCTCGACAGCGATGGCAAGATGTTCGTCGAGCACCCCACACGTGTCGTACGCGTCGCGCGGGGCAGCGGTGCCAGCGTCCGCGAAGTCGAGGAGCTCTTGACGCAGCAGCGCATGATGGCCGGCATGGCCAAGAAGATGGGTGGCAACATGAAGAACATGCAACGCGCACAACAAGCCATGGGCGGCGGCAACAAGGCTCAGCAAATGGCGGCCATGCAGAAGAGGTTGCAGAGCATGGGTGGCGCCGGCGCTGGTGGTATGCCGGACATGGCCAGTCTGGCCAAGATGTTTGGCGGCGGTGGTGGAGGCGGCGGCATGCCAGGTGGTATGGACATTCAAAACATGATGAAGAGCATGGGCATGGGCGGCATGATGGGCGGCGGCGGAGCTGGTCGCGGCGGCAGGAGATAAAGGTGCCTCCAGCTGCTTTGCTTTGGGTCCTCCTAGGCGCTGTGGTTTTACTGGTTTCTCCACGATCCATGGCTGGGGCTGGTTTATAATGGCATGGCGTGGCGTTGGGTTTGCTTACATGACGACAAGACACTCATGTACATCCGGATCATTCACTGTCCTCATCTCTCGCCAACGTGACCATCTCTGCCAACTCGTGATGCACTGCCGCAGGCCGCGATTTTGGCACAGTCACAGGATTGCCGTCAAGGCCACTGCTACTGTGGCGGGGCCGATCGACAGGATCATTGGTGACCAACACTATTCCCCATCGGTTTCGTGTTTATGCGGACAGCGAACCTCCTCATCCTCGTTAGCCTCCGATCTGGCCCATATCAATCAGGTCGACCTCTGCCTGCGCAGACCTCACCCGTTTGGGAAGCTGACACCGGCTTCCCGCCCAGGTGCTCAAGCAGATGGTACCGAGTTGGGACCAGGTGCAGATGAGCCTCCGCTGCCTCACCGGAATAGCCCCAGGCACGGCTGATATCGTCATGTGCTACGGGCCGAGTTCGAGGTCCGACTGCTGACATTGGTGGTCAAGGCTCGACAACGACGCATCGGGCACTAACAACACGGACGGGGTTCTAGATCTTGATCAGAAAGATGCATATACTTAGCACATAGATTATATATATATATATATATATACATATACATATACCGTGCGGATCTCGTCTACGCGAATCACGTTTCTGCTAAAGGACACATGCCAATACCGAAAGGAGAATTCCGATTCGATCTATGTACAGACTAAATGGAAACCGGCGTTTTCTTTTGCCAGCACAGATGCAATATAGTATATACAAGAAAATAAAGCCTCCCAGAACCACAACCTTCCCTTACATCTGACACAGCCCCTCTGCGCCTAGGGGGTGTATGTCTTCAGGAGCGAGTCGTAGTAGACGTAGGCGGTGCCGCTCGGGGGCTCGAAGCTGTAGATGTAGTCGCCCCACCAGGGGCCGCCGGCCCACCAGAGGGCGCCCTGCCAGACGTCGCTGTTGGCCTCGAGGTGCGCGAGGAGCCCGGTGATGGCGGTCTGGCACTGGGTGTTGGCGCCGCCGGCGAACTCGCCGATGACGCCGAGCTTGCCGTTCTCGCGCAGCCACTCGGTGGCGCCCACGACGCGCTGCACGCCGATCTCCGTCGACACGCACACGTCCGAGGTCCCCGAGCCGTCCGAGTCCAGGTACTGGTGCATCTCGTAGATGAGCTTGTCCGCGGAGTCGGTCAGCGCCGCCAGGTTGCCGTTGGTCGTGTTCCACGTCCACGCGCCCGAGTACGAGTTGCCCTCGGCGAAGATGTACTGGCTCGTGGCGCCGGCGGCCCGGATGCCGTCGATGGCCGCCTGGTTCAGGTTCAGCACCAGCGTCTGGTCCATGTCGTGGTACTCGTTGTTGGTGTCGAAGATGACCTTGGCGTTGTCCTTGAAGGCCGTGGCCACCGTGGTCCACCACGTCTTGAAGCCCGCCGTGTCCGTGATGATGCTGCTGTAGTAGCGGCCGAAGTTGTGCGGGTCCAGGATCGCGTAGGCGCCGTTGTCGGTGACGTAGTCCACGACGGCGGTCAGGTTGGCCAGGTACGCGGCGTCCGTGGCGCCGGTGAGCTGGTTGGGCACGAGACGCTCCATGGCAAAAGCGATACGGAAGGTGTTGAAACCCTCGCCGATCAACGTCTGTGCGGACTGGTCAGAATCTGATTTGGTTCGCATCCCCCTCCCCCCACAAAGAGGTCTAACTTACACCAATAGTTGAGGTCGAAGGGAAGTAGAAGTCCTTGCCCCAAACACCAGGGTAGCTGCTCGACCCGAACTCTGCAACCGACTGGTTAATTCCGAACCACTTGAGCTTGCCGGCAGAAGAGGTGGCGGTGGCGGAGGCCGCAGCGGTCTTGCTCGTCGACTTGACGCTGGTAGCGACAGTCGTTGAAGCCTTGACGCTGGTAGCAATAGTCGTTGAGGCCTTGGTGCTCGAAGCAGCCGAAGTGGCAGCCTTGGTGCTTGTAGTCACAGCGGCAGCCTTGGTGCTAGTAGCCTTGGTGCTAGTAACCGCTGCTGTTCCAGGGACGCATTGAGAATAGTAGTCATTCTGGTAGGTGCAAGTGTATCCCGATACACAAGTCGTGGCGCCAGTAAATCCTGAGCCACCGCATTGAGCATAAGCTGAGCCCTGTGCGAGGGCAACGCCAGCCAGGGCGCTTCCGAGAATGAGAGACTTCATGGTTGAATATGTGCGAGTTGGACGTCACTTAGTAAAAAAAAAACCACTGGTCAAGAAGTCCAGACTCGTCGGATGAAGACGTGGGAGAGCCATGCTTTTCTATCAAGAAGGCCAAGACTGGCAATCTGGGGATCGATGCAGGGTTACGTGGGCTCCCAGCCGACAAACAAATTAAGGTCAAGGGTCAGGAGACGACTGGACTAGACTCACATACTCGAAACAAGCAACCACTAGCCAGATCGAGGACGGCGGAGCGAAGACAAGGTTGGGTCTTCCCAAGAATTGCCTCGTTCCGGAGTGCCGGGTAGACAAACTGGTCAGTGGAGTCTGCAATGGAACGACGGCACACGATGGCCAGGAGGCATGATGATGGATTGTGGCAGGATGCGGCTCATTCCATGACAATTCCGCTTGCAATATACTGAAGGCGAAGCTAGCCGTCCTGGTGTTAGTTTTGCGACCCGAAGAATAGAGTTCAAAGTTGTGGTCTATGATTTCGCCAAGGAAATGACAAGGTGGTGTTTGTTCTCAGGTCGCTGTCAACTTGAAGCCGCCGGCTCGTTCTGGCCCCTGTGCCGGGCCGACATCTGACCCGTGCATAATGAGCAAGGGGTAGAAGAAGCACTTCCTTCTCCTGACGCCAAAATTTTAAATGAACATGCTCAATGCCAACCAGATTCTAAAGCAAGAAAATCGGTCACATCAATCCGTTCACGTGTTTCAATGCTATAGTAATATTATTAGGCATCTGTTCACTTGATTTTGACTCCAGTATCGATGTGATGCTCCAAGCGCTGGACTGACTAATTAGACTGACTTGGCCATGCCAGAATCATCATCACGGAGGTGCTTTCTCCGCGCCGGAACCGATAGCCCGGGCGAGCCAATGCAATCCACCAATAAGTAACCTAGTGCGAACACTACTACGGCACGTCCCGGGAGCGTCGTGTGCACAAGGCATACGGAGGAGACATATTGGGTGTCACGGAGCATCACTAAATCGTGACATCATCTCCTTTTCAGCATAGTGTCTTAGCAGGGTTGCTGTTTACTCTCTGATTGTGAACAAGCGGTTGAGAAGGCTCCGGCGGCGGTTCTGCGCACGCTTCCCCGGACGTTTCCATCGCTTCTGCGCCTCGTTGAATGTTACGGCGGCGCCAATGACCTGAATCGCGCAATGAGCTGCTGTTCATCAGGACTCATGGGGCTCTTGGCCGGGCTGTTCCCTGTACGTGTACTTACCTCGGTCAACAGCTGGTCTACCCGGATGCGAGTACAGGGCCAGATATCGAAATAGCCAGAGGCGCCGATCTTCCTGGCGAAGTTGACCCTGTCTTCGGGATCAATAGACAACAAGGCCCCAGGGACATCGTCTGCGTCGTCCCAATCATTGTGGATCGCAGCAACCACGAATGGAGCGCCAGGACATACTCGATGGATCTCAGGCAGCCATAGGTCGCTGACGCTAGCTGCCAAGCGCTCCATGGACGCATCAGCCGGGAAGCAGACAATAAACACATCTGCTTGAGCGAATGTGAATGGCAACAGTCTGCGGTACTCCTCTTGCCCTGCTGTGTCGAAGAGACCCAGCTCTACGTTTCTTCCTTGGTTCTCTTCGCGAACACTATGACGACAAGTGAGCACGTAGATACTTCGGGCTTTTGATGCGCTTACCTGCAACGCATAGAATAGTTGTCGAACACGGTCGGTATGTACTCTCCCCAACTAATTCGTCCAGCAAGAGCGGTGAGTAATTGAGTCTTCCCGCAGTCGGCATCGCCGACCGCAACGCACCTGTAGGAATATCAGCACAGTCAATTTTCTTCATGAGAGCAATCAAATACTTGAGCTTCTGGTATACAGGCGTTTCGTCCTCTTGAAGGGAAAAACGCCTGCGATCCGTATCCAGCATTTGGTCCGCCTCCTCGATCGGAGTGTCGTTGAACTGGATCTTAGGCGGGCTGAAGTCGAGCCCAAAACTCGACCGAGCAGTGTGGAACGATCTACGAGTGTCCAAACTAGCTCTAATGCTTTGTGTCGGCGACGTGTCGTTCTGGAGGATGCTTAATCGGCGGCTTGCTGTGTCGGAGATGAGATCATTGCTCTCGAGAGCTGCCTCGACGATTTCTTCCAGAGTTTGTACATCGTCGACTTCCTCAATCTCAAACTCCACGATTACTCTCTGGCGCCGTGGCACTCCAGTCAACTGAGTCATGGACTCCAAGTCGTCGTTAAAGTCCTTGAGGTGCTGGATGAGCTCAACAAATTTCTCTCTATCACTGATGGCCCAAGCAGCAGACGCGATGAACCCAGTCGATCTCTGCTGTTTCTTCTGCGAGAAGAAAGAGCCTAGGGCCGTCCTTGCCATCGTACCAGCCCTCACATCATTGCCCGTTGCCAGGAGGGGCTGGGACGACGTTCCGCAGAGTTTCAGACCGTAACGCTTCTTGAGATTGTTCTCATCTTGGAACAACCCTTTGATGCATTCTAATGTGGCATAGAGGTGAGACTGGAGATTAGGATCTTTCAGTCGGTCGTCGCGTAGTTGTCCATCGGAAAGTCCAACAGCTCTTCCCCAGGCTGAAAGTCGCAATTCTTGGTTGTTAAACTTGGTCTCTAATATTCTGTAATCCTTATCCGCAGCCGAACCTCTTCTGATGAGTTGGTAACAATCAATGCACGTCGAGAACAACCCAGCCAATCCAGCAATACCGACAGCAAGTCCAGCGACTTCCATTTTCTATTCTGAAGGAAGCAATTATTGCCCTACCTGAAGTCTAGATTGAGACCTACCTTGACTTTGTATAGATGGCACAAATACGAAGTCTCGCAAGGTCGTCATGCGGCTGAGGTAGACAAGGGTGGCTCAGCCACCCCGTATCTGCACCTATGATACTTCTTGGCATTGCGCCGCACGAGCTGATAGTATTATTGGGTTATTCGGTGCAACTTAGCCAGATGGTTTTATCTTATCTGTCCCTGCTCGTATAACTTCTCACCCCCAACTCATTGTCAGCGCGGATTTTCTTTGCATACCTGCTGCTCTGTTGCGCTGCTTGGAAATGGCCATTTGGAAAGACAAGCTCATCGCGATCATTGACGGAGTTGATATCGGGACGCGGGAAAACGTCTTCCATGGTAGACATCATCCTTAGAACACTTGCTCGTAAGCCACCATGCTCGCGCAGCATCGTGAGGACCTCCAGCGTCAAACGACGCGAACACCTTTGCCCCAGTATTCTTCGCAAGCATGGCCTCGGCAGAAGCACCCACGAACAGGTCAACGGTGCAGCCCCGCCATTGTCCAGATCCATCGGTTGACGCAACCCTACCAACTCTGTCGCACCTGCGCAGGAAGGGTGTGTCACCATGTATCGCACCGTTGGCCGCGATTAGGGGTTCCCCCCGTTTTCCCAACTTGTGGTCACGACCGTTCAGGTCCACAATCGGAGCATCATGGACGACTCGGGGTTGCCGCAAATGCAGCAGACTTGTAGGAATCTACGGGCGCCGTTTGGAAGCTACGCATTCAATGTTCTTTCTGTGCGGATTATAAAGACTAGCTCAAGTAGGACTCCACAAAAATGTGGAATATGCAAAAACATACAACACCGGGGATTCCCCAGTGGTCACCCACCTGAGTACTAATCCAGCGCTTCCCAGTTTATCTAGGGCAGAGCGGACGGGATGCCGAGTTCTCTAGGAGCTATGGTCGTATGTACTGTCTCATTGTCAAGACAAGGTATATAATAGACAATCTTGTGGAAAATATAAAAGTGTAAATGATGTAGTAGTTCAAAAACACACAGCACCAGGGATTGCCCAGTAGACACCCACCTAAGTACTAATCTGGCGATTAAAGGGCTAATCTATATGCTTTAGTGCTGCTGATTATGGGCAACTTCGGTCCCAGAAAGGAGGCATCGCATCCAGAATTTGACATAAGCTAATATCGTTTACGGAAACGTAAGCATCCAAAACGGACAGTACCGGGGTAATCGTAGTTCCACGTTTCAACCTACCCCCAAATAGCTGTTGCGAATTTGCATACATCGCACCATGACCTAGGAATAAAAGAGTGTTGTCTTCATCTTCTTCTTCTCATTTCATCCTGCTCGTCATTCGCTATTTGTGGATGCTTAAACATTTCATAAGTCAGCTCAAGTAGATACACCTTGTTGCCGCCCCAAGGACTCTCCATGAGGTTCAGGTGTTTGACGATGCCAGCCGCGGTCCGTGGGGATCCCTAGAACTCATCTAGAAACTCCACGTCAGAACAAAGCTGGCAACCTGGGGTTCCGTCATCACAATTCTAACGCTCGCAATCGGGCCATTTACACAGCAGCTGATCTCGTATCCTTCGAGATCCATGATCTCTGGAAGTACAACATACTACACCAGTCATATATATGACGCGGCATGGTGCAAGGGTCGAGGGCTTAGGGGCAGGATAGGCGTGATCGGTGGGTCCCCAGAACTCGTTTGGAAGGTTGTATCCTGAAGTGATGTTAGCTTCTACGATAGGTCCGAAGATGCAGGGTGCGATACTCAACGGTTGGTTCAATCTGAGCTCTCTGGTTCAGTTCACCTGCACTACTGGAAATTGCCAGTGGGACGTTTTCCACCCTCACTATCAAGAGCAGCTGCCAAGACGGTACGTCTGATACCACTGTGCTATGTGAATAGAGTGGCAGTAGCAAATATTGCAGCTATACTACCACCTGCTGGTTTCTTTATTGCTGCTAGGTCCCATGAGAGCTCGGGTTGGGGTCGTCCACAGAATTCAACTCTACGGCCTTCAAGCCAATCTCCTACGACTACTCACACGTATCGGACCGGAGCGTACCCACCATTAGTACCATCGCTAGGATTGCAATGGCGAATATACAGGGCGATTTCAGCATGTCAACCCCGGAGATCTTGGAGTGCAACATACGCCTATGCGCTCGGGTCACCCGCAATCTGACTGTTACGAATGGTATGTTTAACCCTGGCATTTCTAACGACATCGAGCTCGAAGGGGTTTCGGGCAAGTACGAGGCAGACCTAAATAAGGGAGTGTGTAGCGACAGGGACCGGTATACCTTCAACATAACTGGAGACTATCAGACCTTCCCAGGCAAACATTCTTTAGCTATCATATGATTGACATCGAGAGTGTTAAGAACTTTCTTTATAATGAAGTCGATGTGATAAGACTGGACTTCCATTGTAGAAAGTGGGCTTTTGCAGGATGCTGGTGTGGGCGGGTAAATACACGAGGGAAGCTTTGTTGATTCCAGTGAACTTGTTTATCGCTTCAGCCGCAGCGTTTATCGGCAGCCAGATGAATATTCAAATAAGCGACTTAGTAGGCATGCATCAAAGGGGGGTGCTATCAGAAAGGTATTAGTCCGGTAGGCTTAGCAGATGATTGGCTCTTAGCAATTGTCCTCGAAACCGCTAGGGAGTATATGAGGCCAACCTAGGGCCAACAGGCGCTTAGGTGCAGTTCAATGATACAAGCTACTCCCTCCCGTTCGCACAACAATTGCGTACATCTCGTCGTTATCCAAATCACGTCAGATTCTCACGATCACAGTTCTGCGCAGACGAATGGGTTCTCCGAAAGGAATAATTAGGCAACGCTTACGTGACGAGAATGTTCGATCTTACCATGAATGTGAGCCTTACTAAGACAATGGAGCAGTCTTGCACCACAAGACCAGAGCGAAGATATAGGCAGTAAGACAAGTATCGCGCACTCAGACAGTTTTGTCAAGAAGCGAGAGGTATCTAGGGCTTGAACAGCAGCTTATTCTAGGCCATGGTCAAGATGATCGGACTAGAATACTACAGTAAAACCTCAATAGCCGCTAACGAAATATTTGTATACTTGGACCAGCTACCTTACCCGAGTAAGCGTCATGACTTCTTTTTTTGTGAACGTGCCTGTCCAGCCAGACATTAAAGGGAGAAAATCTTATTAGTTAGGATTTGATCTTCGTTAACACCCTTTCTTGTGCTATAAAATACAAAAATGCCGAATAGAAAAGCTGCTGTTACAGTACCCACAGCGGGGCTGTGCGTTATGACAGGTATATAGAAAGATCTCACTGATCTCTACCTAGAATAGCTTTCTAGTCAAGACATATTACGAGCCCATATCAACTTTACAGTTCGTGACGTTTTAGGCTTGTTGTCTCACACCATTATTGTCAGCCCTCACAGCTTAGTGCTATTCGCACCCATACTCTTACAGCTGCCAGCTTATTTCTCAATGATAGTACTGTATTTTCATTTAATATTTCTAGTCCTTTCTCAATGAACCGTGTTGTTATTTTTGCCACTTTTGTAATGGCCTTAGGCTAACGTTATAAAGGATTATAAATTAAAAGGTTTAAAATATTAAAAAGATGATTTGAATTTTATTAAAATATAAAACACCGTATGTAATATTCGAGTATGCGTAAAATAACATATACGGCGCTTTGAAAAATAAATAAATAATATTAGTATTATTAATGAGTATTTATGACAGTTTCTACAGTTGATATAGCAAACTGTTGTAGTAAAGGTTTGAATTGATTCACTGAAAGGAAGAGCCTAAATCTACTAGAGCATAGGATAGTGAATACGGTGCTCGCATGAGCGTGGGATCGCCAGTGTAATTCTCTAAGCGTGAAATGATAGTATATGTACTGTCAAGTAGTATATAGAAGTCTGAGTCTACAAAAGAGAATATCGGTGTACAGGTATATACCTACTAGATCAGTCACGTGATCCCCCATTGCCGGATGAGGTGCTCGGAGAGCGCCTCGTCATTGTATGGGGTGCTCCCCGTCCACTATAGCCTTTTATACTACACCATATTGCCACAGGGGTTATTTCTCCCTCTGTAGTCCAGGGACCAGGGGGGGAGGGCTGGAGATCTTTCCCAATCAGATGTTTCCTCTAACCGCGGGCTATGCCGGCGCCCCCATGTGTTCCGGCCATGTGCATGTAAGCATGCATTGACGTTGCCCTTGGCATGATCTGTTGCTACGTTGCAACAAATCATAATTAGCTGCATAGTCCTACAAGGTTTCTATTTATAGGCCTATTGTCTGTCGCTACGCCAACATGAAAGGGACAGGGTGGCGCAGCGGGATTTATTTGGCCGGATGTTTCCTCGCTCGAGCTGACAGGCAGAGATTGTATTCTATTTTCATCCTTTATACCGTACCCAGTCAGGCAATTCCTTTCCTTCTTCCAGTCCCAATTTTGACAGCCTACGTGTATGGGATAATGCGGCACCATTCACATTACCCCGCCAGGCATGGCTTGATGGCAACATTCTCTCTTCTCGATAATCACTCCCAACAGCTTGTATTGTGTATACACTGCAAAAAACTACAAATTCAAGTGATCGCGGAAGAACAACAAGAAAACACCCTGGCTGGGTATAACGCTTCTGAGCACATTCTCCGTCAGGAATATGAAGACATCTTCCCAAAACTTCCAAGGATGGAAGACCGGGCTGCTAATGGCTGCAGCCTCTGCAAGTTCATCAGATCGGCTGTGCTGGCAGAGTATCAAAGGCGCAGGCTGGATTTGGCCTGTGAAACAAAACCCGGACGAATTTTGTTAGAAGCTCAATTCACCGAGAAGTTCCAACATAAGTCTTCGTTGTCAATTTACAAAAATGGTGGGCCTCATATTATACAAGTTAAGGCACCGGGATTGGATGCTCACGGAGGTATACACCACATTGAATTCGAAATTGCTGTTCAAATTTCGGCAGGTTTGTATTTCAATGGAAGATGATTAAGAAGGAAGTCTGACGAAACGCCTAGAACCGACTTTGACCACTCGCAATCCACTTGCAACCAAAAATGTGGAATGTATCAAGCGATGGGTTCAGGCATGCCAGCTCAGTCATGATATCTGCAGATCCAAGCTGAGTGGGTACATTCCGACTCGAGTCCTAGAAGTAAAGAACGAGATCTTGCGTTTGGTCACTAGAGGAACGGATAGTCGAAAATACGCGGCTCTAAGTTATTGCTGGGGAACAATCCCTGAAGGCAAAAAAGGATTCCTAACTATTAAAAACAACCTTGCTTCAAGGCTGCTTGGATTCTCATTGCACGAACTTCCTAAGACTCTCCAGGAAGCTATACGAGTAGTTCGTGCTATTGATATCGAGTATATCTGGATAGATGCTCTCTGTATAGTTCAGGACGATTCGGTTGACTGGGCTCAAGAATCATCCCAAATGGCCCAAATTTATGGCAACGCCGATGTTACCATTGCGGCTACGACATCGGAATCATCCTTTGACGGGTTCTTACAAGATCGAAAACCATCTTATAGGTGGAGTTCGAATTTTATCTTCAAGGAGGTTCAATCCTTTCGCTCGAACGTGCTAGTAGAGCAACTGGGTACAATCCATTTTCGGTACCCCCTTGAAGCAAGCGTGGCAAAACATTTGGCGACTTGTCGATGGGAAACTAGAGGCTGGACCTTACAGGAAAAGCTACTTTCTGCCCGGACTTTGTATTTCACAAAGGACGTCATCTACTTCGAATGTGCTACAACTCAGGAACTGGAGAACCAGGGCTATAAGCTCCCAGAGCGCAATGAATTTTCTATACTTATCGCTAAATCGAGAGCCATCTCGTTAATCGAGAGACTCTCAAAGAGAGATACATACCTTTCGCGTTGGTACGACATAGTCGCCATGTATACCCGCAGAAATGTAACAGTCGAAGCAGACAAACTACTGGCGATGGATGGTCTGGCTGCAGCATTAAAAGATATGATCGACGACATATATGTATATGGCCTTTGGAGAACGGATCTACACCGGGGCCTTCTCTGGAGCACATCGTATAGGTCGCCCCAGCGGCACCTCAGAGGTGCCTACCGTGCGCCCACTTGGTCATGGGCATGTCGAGATGGGCCTGTATTGTGGGATAAGTCGACCTGTCAGCCCGGATGGAAATCTCTCATACGCGTCATAGACATGCTTCCGCATTGCAAATGCTCTTGTAACGAGACTAAAGGTGCACAGCTAGAGCTCACTGCAGAGGTGGCGCCCCTGAAGGACGTTTTGCTGGCCTTTTTACAGCCCCGAATCAATGAATATGAATGGTATAAAGACGGATGGGACACAGTCTCAGCATGGGACGAGTTTGATGGACTTGGGACCTTTGTTCCTGACGATGACTCAGAAGAACTGTATTTGCCTGGAACACAAATCATGCTTGTCGCCGAGAGAAAAGCTCCCGATAACATTCAAGCTCTCCTTATTCAACCTGACCGCGACATGAGCAAGTTTCAACGCGTGGGCTGGTTTATACAACAGAGTCATCATCAGGTTGATGCCGATTTCGATGATGAATCTGAAGCCAGTGCAGGTGATGTCAATTATTCCGAGGATTTTGGGCCACTGCGTAAGCTGTTCAAACTTGAGAGGCTTACGCTTGTGTGAATTAAGTACACAGTTTACCCTAGAGTTCAAAATGTATCAACTGCTAAGTTCCAAATCGAGCCTCGCTGTATTGATATTGTTGTTATTGTATTGTTTAACGTCTAGTACGACGTATGCCGACGGGCATACGTTCACGAACCTCCCAGGGGGTATGTAGACGTGATCAGCTAGATACTAGAAACCATCTCTAGAACAGGTATTCTTATGCTAGGGGTCACGACGTTTCGACCCTGAACAATACAAGGTAGCCATCTTTCCTCTACCTATTATATCAACATAATACCGTAATAATTCCTTTGTTTCCCCGAAAATCCCTTAGCGTACTATCTTCCTCCTCCTATGCGGCGAGGCAATCCCGTATCCTCTAAAGTAAAATCCCGTGGGAAAAACCTTTCGAGGTTTAAACGGGTGGTACGGTCGTTCGTAGTCGAAGACAGTGGGGAAATGATTATTTCGCGCGTAATGGTTACGTGAGCTCGACGATTTCTTCCCGATGGGTTACGTGCCGCCGCGCGATCATTCCCATCGTCGACACTCCGTCTTCCTTCGTCGTGACGCCGTAATGTTGGATTTCTTAACGCTGACGACAAAAGGGCGGTGAACACGCGCTGTTAACACCCTGGTAGGGATTCGACTAACCATCTTCCCCTACTTATACAACGCACCCCCTTTTATAACGTAGCCCTACCTAGACTATAACTTTCATACAATAAATGGCTTGTTAAATATTAATAATATATATAACTGAAAGTTATTCTTATATTAGTAAAGAATTTTTGTTGTTATTATTAAATATGTTGGAATATATTATTCGCGGTCTCGTACGACGGTTGATTATGTAGTATAAGTAGTTACCGGCGTGCTGGCAGTAAGCCACTATAGCCACGATGTGGCTGTCGGCAGCCAGCAGCCGTACGGGTGAACCCCTATCTATAGACCACGTACGAGGGGAAGAATCCCTTCTTCTCCTTCGTATGACAACGCTAAATAGATCTACTTGTCGCCCAAACTGTACGGAAAGAAGTGAATGGAGAAGCCATTCCACACTAATCAGTGTTCACTTGGCTGTGAACGCAGATTGGCAAGAATGAAGAGACGGCGTTATCTAAGTACGTACGGTAATACGTAGCGAAACGTCGTGCTTAATCCTACTCCCGACTTCTTCGTGCTAAAGGTGTCAATGTCTATAAGATGTCCTCTCCCTTCCGCACGAATAACGAACGAGTAGAAGACGTATAGAGATTCTTCGTAATGCGAAGGTGTTAATGTTTACAAGAAGTCCTCTCCCTTCCGCACGAACAAAGAGCTATACGTGCGTGTCATTACGCATCGACAATAGGTTCATTATCTCCCGCAGAACGCGTAGCTACCAGTGCGCGCGATACGGGCGATAACCTCGGACTACGACAAGAGTAGAAGACGTATACGGATTCTTCTTCGTACGGAGGTGTTATGTTTATAAGATGTCTTCCCTAGTCCGTACGAACAAAGAGTTATATATGCGTGCTATTACTTACGACAACTCCGGTACCGTACCACGATAACAAAATATACTCTCGCACGAGGAGATGGCGGAGGGGAGCGATATCTCCGTCCACGCTTGGCGAACCGGCATAGCATTCGAATTCTGGGATCGTACAGTCGATCTTGAACAGCCCCTCGACCGAGTATATATGAATACGTATATCGGTCAGCTCGTTACCGAATATCAAGGCATCTTAACGCTCCGATTACTCGTATAAGCATACCAAGAAGATTTCGAGGGATAGACTACGTACTAGTTCGAGTACATATCACGACCATTTAAACGTACGATACTTACGACAATCGAACGAAAAGGGTATCACTTCCCGAGCGGTCTCACCTCAAACGAAAAGCTCGTTTAACCATTAGACAACAAGGAGGCTGTTAGAACACCTTAACTATCACCCCGTACAAGTACTACAACTCCCAGTCCCCGTACGAATGCCGTAACTCCGGCACGGACTCGAACACCACTACCCGGCCCGGAAGACAAACAAGAGGACGGCCTAGAGAATAGATAAGTAAAGAGTGGAAAGGATGAGTTCGACAACCAAAATATTATTAATTAGCGACAACGAGCCATTCTTGTTGTCTTCCGAATGTACTGCTGCAAAAACCAACGACTAACTGTGCAAAAGTGTGAAAAGCATGGAGAAGAGAGCTATCTGTGAATCCATCTCTCAGGCCTTATAATGATCAGTCCGAGAACAAGTCCAACAAAGGCCGACATGACCCACTTAGCCTTCCCGCGGGAATGGTATAGCCAACACTCACTACTTTAATATTACTTTAATTTATTTAATATTTATTAATTCTCGGCCTATTTAAATATTGCCGCCCTATAGCATCCCTTAGCTTACTTGTAGGCACCGCTCAAGTCACGTAGAACCACCCCTCAGGTAACGTTGTGCACGGGCCACAAAATTTGCTTAGCAGGGGCCAGCCCTCAGCTTGTCTGATTCGCATTTGCAACTCTTTTAAACTCAGATAGTTTCGATTCGTCCGTGGTTGCCTTTACTGGCTCAAACATTGACTGATTTTGAACGATCGCACTCCCTCTCGAGGCAGCATGGCGAATCCTTGGATACCGCATATAGCTTCTATTGCACAGAGTATCAATTCGGCTGGGGTTCCCTGTATCCTCTGGGGTCACTGCCTTCTCAACCTCCATGGCATACCTTCAATTATCGGGGTTGGTATATCTTCCTTAAGAACTGCCTATCCTTTCAACTCACAACTAGCAGTCAATCGACTTCGTTATCCCTGATCAGAGCTTGATGGTTAGCACCAAACAACTATCTCAACTTTCTTACCTGGAGCCGTGTACCGATCAGGAGACCTGCCCTTGTAGCTCTCCAGAGCAGTATACTCCATTACCCGCATTCCACATGCATCTTAAAGACTCCGATGTTACAATGGCTCTTTATCTCCAATCAGAGACTTTTTGGTTCTTACCTCCGCTAAACAAAGAGCTGGTATTTCCTACCAAGCATAAGCTGCCAGAGTATTTCTTAACAGCATCTGATCAGTGAACTCTTCCACCTTGGCGGCCAGGCCGTGGATCGGGCGTTGTCCCTTCCGCACAGAGAGATTTAGTAATTGTGCCAAAGTCCCACGTCTTGCTAGAGGCCTTTATGCGGTTGTATGCACGTGACTCAGGAACGCGAATTGGGGCTTTCGCTATGCCCATGATCGGGTATGTGGAGGAGTACGTGGACGAAGACGGGTACTTAGACACCGACAAACTCCCAATGCCACTTAGGGGGCAATACCTGAAGTTGCGGGAGGGGACAGAGCCAGTTCGCCGATGGACGAGGGAGTTGAGACATTCTCTAGGGATTCAGGAGGACAATTCAGATTGTGATTAAGGTTACTAGGTTTTTACTTCTGTCGTATCAGCTTACTTGTTTCTCTTGTACTTGGTGTTGCTTTGATCAAGTGCTGTGGAAAATGCGCCCACAACGTTGAACATGGCGAACGTCATTACTTCGAATGCAACAGCTATGAGTACATATCTACGGTCGTTGGTGTTGCAAAACGAAGGCTTATGCAGCTTATGAGAAGCCGGCCCCGGCGTGTAATATTGGTGTTGCGGAGGGACGCTAGGTGCTGAGCGGCTAAAGTCACTGACCCTAGCGCCTGAGTGAGATATTAGCATGGAAGAGTTAAAAGAGGCGTTTCTTTCTTGGATAGAGATAGTAAAAAGACATACAACACCGGGGATTCCCCAGTGGTCACCCACCTGAGTACTAATCCAGCGCTTCCCAGTTTATCTAGGGCAGAGCGGACGGGATGCCGAGTTTTCTAGGAGCTATGGTCGTATGTACTAATACAGAATAATAATAGGATTAATAATAAATAGATTTTGTGGACCAACAGAAAGTGTAAATCACTAATACTAAACACGTAAAAAGAAACATACAACACCAGGGATTCCCCAGTGGTCACCCACCTGAGTACTAATCCGGCGCTTCTCAGTTTATCTAGGGCAGAGCGGACGGGATGCCGAGTTTTCTAAGAGCTATGGTCGTATGTGCTTGTGTCGCCATGCATTGCATTATATATTATTAAACCTCAGCTTCAATGAGGCATTGAACAAAGCACCGAATCGAAACTTCCGTCCGTCCTCAGTATTTCCATCGACTACCTGTCAGTTGGCTATAAGGGGATATTCCAAAGATATGCGCTAGTTTTGACGATAGAGTCGGGTCTTCCTGGCAATGGATGGTGTCGTTAGTGACGGCAAGAGCAAGACTGGTCAAACCAACAAGAACGAAGAGTATTGCATACTTGATGAACATGGTGGGTTCTTATATGTAAGATGCTCGGGTGTCCAACTGGGAGCCTCTGCATGATTCTGGGAATCAGACCTGTTAATGGCGGTCGGTGTCACTCTTTAGACCAGTCCGCAGTGCAGCGTCTATTCTATACATGTACGCAAAGAAACATGATTCGCCTAGTTATGGATATTATTTAAATCTAGACTCCGAACCAAGGCATGAATTTGTATAGGGCCCCCGCTCTCCGCGAACATCTCCACTGAATATGAATAGGATGATCAGCAAGTACGTATCGGGACTGTCATCTCGTCTCATGATGTCGAAGGATGATTATCGAAGTGGGCCAGACAGTAGCAAGATTCGCTGGCTGGGAAGCATCGAACTTCTTCGGTGTTCTACGCCTGTAGATATTATGTGATTGCATACACGAGAGACTCACCTTAAGCCGCTAATAGTTAGTGGCTGTTTTTAGAGGTTCCAAATGAAGCAGGGTTCTTAGTAAGATGTCATATATGGAATCTAAGCAGTCCTCAAACAAGAAACCCGTCTTGTGCAGTGTAATCTAGTGGCGTCTTGGTCTTTCCACTGCACAGGAGGAGAACCGGTAGATGCGACTTCAACCTTGGATTGTACTAACACTAGCTTACAGTATGAGGTAATGGAAGGTAAAAGGTGAAGTCCCATTCTGCAATCTGGTTACTTCATATTATGTCAAGTTGTATATAAGTATCGATAGTCCCATGGACTGGGACATGACTGCGTCGTCACTAGGCAACCGAGTCTGATGGAATTTTTATCACCTTCATTTGAGGGAAGGCAGGCCCCCCATGCTAGCAGAACCATCCAGCGAGTCAGCACCACAACCTCATCCATGACAGATTCACGGTTTGCACCTTGCTTGATATTTTATATCGACATGGAGAAAAGCTCAGTCCACGCACCCTTGTTTGCCACAGTTCATGTCTGTGAACATTTATGGGCATCTGACATGTGAATACGACCAGGAATTTTACGTAGAACCCACCAAGTTCCTGCTTCTAGCCTTCACCGTTTTGGTGGTATCGATCGGTAGTCTCGGCGAAATGTCATCTTCGGTCTCCAGCCGAGTCTAACGGACCAAGTGTTTATCATGGAAAGCTTGTGCGGTCGCTCGAAAGCTCCCGTGGATGCAGTTTGCTCGTGGATAGAAAAATATGGACGATAAAGGACCTTTCTCGTGATGCGATTTGCTCAATTACCAGATGAGCAAATGTGGCCATGGACGCTAAGGTTAGGCTAGTTGTCAAGCTTGTAGGGCGCGCTAGATCCTTGGGGGGAATTAGTTAGTGGGCCCGGGGCAGCAGCCAGTCGTCAATAGTCCACTGATCGTCGCGCGGATGGAGCGCGACTCTTTCTCGATATTGGAGATGAGATTGCATACATACACCCAGTAGCGACAGCTTAGCTTGATGCGACGCCTGCAAGCTGGAAAAGGCTTGAGAGACCTTGATACTGGCATGGGATGAACAGGAAGAACTAGTGTCTCAACGTGTCAAAAACGCTGTATTACCACGTGGAATTAGATCTCCTAGTCTAAGCGCAACCTGTCATCTCATGAAGCTAAGGCTCGCGACTTCGGCACACCAGTTACTCAGCTTCTGGGTTTCGCATCATCGGGGAGGAGATCGAATATACAGTACCAAGCTGGTGGGTACGTAGCCAGCCGGGCTTTTGAGTTGAGACTCCAGATTCTATGAGCAAAGACGCATCTCCGATTCGATCCCTGCCGAATTACCGACTTATATCAAGCTTGGATGCCAGCAGCATAAATGGAACAAGTGGTCAAAGAGAAAAGCACTTGGGGCTTGTAATTGGGCTAATTTACTGCCCAGACTGCCAGGAAGCTTAATGCACCGTTGCGGATTGGCGAAAATATACCCCACCTAAGTTTGAAGATCTCCTGGTGGGTTGATCAAACGAACATCAGTGGAGCTTCCCCTTGCATTTGGGGCGTGATGTGTCATTCGTTCCCCTGCCAGCATGCAGCCGCCAGGAGACTCACTTTTGCGAATTCACACTTCCTCGAGAAACTATCCCTCTACTCTCTGCGAAACGTGTGATATGGGGTTCCTGAGCGCCAATATGCTGTGGCACCACTTTGTAGGCTCTCTATAGTAGTCCTCAATGTCTCTTCCAAATGTCGTGGAGCCACGGGAATGGGTATCGTCTAGAAGCAAGCGGACCTCCTCTCGGTGGATCATCAGCCCTAGAAGACCTGGGGTCGCTGAGAGTGGGTTACTTCAAAGGCCGTTCGAGGCAATCGCAATAAGGGGCAAGCATTGAGGAGTTTTTGTTCCTGTCGGCAGATTTGGTTTCTCAGGCACTCCAGCCCTGGCCGGTTATATCTTGCATACATACATCTTCCCCTCCTCCGCATTTAACTACCATGTGACCACTCGTACTGACCCGACAAGTCGGCATTTTGGTCGACGAGTGTCTGTGTTCCTGCATTTGATTTATCCATGTGATTTTTGCCCGACCCATCGAATATCAGCTTTTCTCAGCACTATGGCTACGAATCAAGATGGCATCCCGATCGCTTACTTCGAGCCGCCGAACAGTCTTCTGCGCATGGACAACGCGACCTACGGTGGACTTATCACAATTGGGTGTCTAGCTACCTTGTCCGTCCTCTTCACATCGTCTCTCCTCAGTTTCATCAGCTGGCGAATGATTGCCTGGAAGTCACATTATACTACTTTCATTGGTCGCAACCAGCCACTCGTGCTCATCTACCAATTAATTCTTGCCGACTTTCTACAATCTCTGGGCTTCTTACTATCCTTCCACTGGGCGTCGAACCGAGAAATCGTGGGCCCAAATGGTGAATGTTTCGCGCAGGGCTGGTTGATTCAACTGGGTGATGTGGCGAGTGCCTTTTTCGTGCTGGCAATCGCCGTGCATACTACATATCAAGTCACCTTTTCACGAAGTGTGAGCTATCCGGTCTTTGTTTACTCCATTCTAGGAGTATGGTCCTTCTCTGTGCTACTCACAAGTCTGGCTCCTATTATTGGCGGACGCTACATCTTCTTGCGTGCCGGCATGTGGGTGAGTGATATCCCATGGTTATACTGACCTTCAGACACGTGCGGTGGCTGACTTGGCAATACCAGTGCTGGATCTCGTCAGAGCATGAGAGCATGCGCCTCCTGCTCCATTACCTCTGGATCTTCATCGTCCAATTCCTTTCCATCATTGTGTACATGTACGGTTTCTACCATCTTTACCGACCAAACAGGCCAGGCGCGATTAGAATCAAAGGATCTAGCGAAACGGCGGTGCGGAGAGCATCAACGGCTATGCTAGCATATGCTTTGGTGTATACGCTCTTGACGTTGCCTCTTGCGTACGTATAATCCACTCCCAAGACTGGGGACATGACTGATCAATTCAACAGAGCTGGTCGGATGGCTGCAATGTCGAGTGACACTCTTCCTGAGCAATACTACCTATTTGCCGGCGCTTTGTTCACTTCCTCGGGCTGGGTGGATACGGTCTTATACGCCATCACACGCCGCACGCTGCTCTTCAAGGAGCTGACCTCAAATGACCAACCGGCTGGGCCAAGGTCTGGTCGTTCTGCAAATCTTCCAACACGACACGGCAGTACTGACAGCATACTTGCACAAGCCGGCTTCGGACACAGTGGTATTGTCATGGACAGAACTGTCAAAGTTGAGCTGGATGATCTCGAGAGCCACGGAGGTTCTGAGCACGAAGGGAAGAGTTATTTCGTATCGGCAAAGGCACTCAGGAACAAGGACTAAAGATATCAAAGGCAATGAAATGCGGGAAACTCGCGGTTGATGATTCGATGCCCAATAATATACTTGTATGCAAACTGCCAACAGTTCCATCATCTTGCAACGGTGAACTTAAGTGCGCATCGGATAATTTAGAACGGCTGGATGATCGTGCAATACAGTATGGACATCTATTTGCGTCTTGGAAATCAGCGATGGTTATCTACGGGTATTGTATGGCTTGTCCTTGTCGTCGTCGTTGTCGCTAAACGCACATACTGAAGTGGACGTTCGGACCCCTGCTCCAGGGCCAGGAATACCCCCGAACTGTGCAAATCGGATCAAGGCAGCTGCACCCGATCGAATAAATCACACACGAGTTAATATACCTGGAACAATTGACAGGAAGCAGAAATGATCCGCCACAAATGACGCTCAAAAAGCAATGTCCCCAGTTCTCGCGTAAACCTGGTCAAACCACTACCGGGTACCTGCGCGTGGAGTTGCATCATGGCTCCGCAATGATATGTCAGGAAAACCTCATTGACATAGAAGATCCCCTGTTGAGACACAGGCAGCCACTCCTTATTTCATCATTTGCTTGCTGTATTACAACATTTATGCCAGAGCAAACTCTGGATTTTGTTGTTGTGACGTCACAAAGCAAACAGATGTGCAACCCCAGATTGAACAAATATACATAGACCATCTTCCCAGCCAACATCAGCTTTCAATTCATCTTCCAGAAATTTCAAACTCCGCAACTGCAAGCAGTTTCAGTTGACCATTCTGGGTAGCCAAATCTAAACACATCACAACTCAACAAACAATCCAATCCAATCCAATCTCATCACCATGACTAGCACTGGCAACGACAACCCTGGCAACTTCGCCAACCGGTCGGTGTATTGCTCTCCAGTATTCTCTTGGGCATGCCGCTGATTTTATATAGCCCCAAGGAGGAGGTCAGAGAGATCGCAGCCAAGGGCGGTCATGCCAGCCATGGGGGCGGTAATACCTCAAATACTTCATCCAGCGACACCTCCGGCAATGACAACCCTGGTAACTTTGCCAACCGGTAAGAATCGCGCACCAGAAGCTCTTAGGTAGAATAAAAGTTAAATGATACGCTACAGACCCCACGACGATGTTGTCGCAGCTGCTCGCAAAGGCGGTCATGCTAGCCACGGCGGCGACAACACCTCCAGCGATGACTCTGGCAGCAGCGGCCCTGGCAATGACAACCCGGGCAACTTTGCCAACCGGTAAGCGTCATATAACATAATTCAAACCTGGACCATGCTGAAAAATCTCGTAGTCCGCATGAGGACGTCGTAGCGGCTGCTCGCAAGGGTGGTCACGCTAGCTAAGCCGCAGAGGCTTTTGCGATATACCCTTTACGATGAGATGAATATCATAATTTGGGCATGATGGACGGTTTCCCACATGCATGTTACGATAGTTAAATGCGCCTCTTACAGGCAGCATGGCCAGTGTACTACAACTGATTACAATCGAGACTGAATTTCGTGCTCACACCCAGTCGAGCCATGCTCGAACTGTTTATTCTTTCTTTGTTTCTGGCGACGTGACTTAACCCCCCCCCCCCCCCCCCCCCCCGGGATCTAGTTCGTTCCGGAATCCCGGCTAGACTATTGATATCCGTAGGAATGATGTTTCCAGACATTGGATTAGACTTCTTCATATTACCTAGATTCTAGTGCCCGCCGATCCGTTTTGGGGCCCTAAGTGCCGGCAAACACCAAAACATGGGGTAAAACAGCGCGTTCCGACCTTTTAACTTTACACCATCGATGAGGGGAAGGCAGATCATGGTTTAATTCTATAATTCTCAACCTTTGAATCACGTCACCATTGGGTTTTTAGTGCTTTTAATCACACTAACTCAAATCGATCAGATCCATGACAAATAATCCTATATCTATTGTTCGAGATGGCAGAGCATATATATAATTCCATAACCACGACTCAAATCAAAATGGCACCTGCAAGATATCGCTCCGCACCGATACTAGCGATAGACTGGTCCCAAGCACGGCCAATTACACCATGTGGAAAGGGTTCCGCATTGCATGTTTTGCCTGTTTGGCTGTGGGTAAGTCAATAGACTCCGTTTACTTTTGCACAGCATACCGTACCGAGCGCTCCCTTTTAGCCAGAGATCATATTCAAAGGAACAACCTTCTGATAGCTTGCTTGTATGAGTGCTCTGGGGTTGAAGGCTCACATCGGGCATAGCGCAAAAGCAAATCACGACAAGCGGCATCATAACAGCCTCATCCATCCAATTCACATCCTTAGGACCTGTAACCGGGTCTGCTACAGATTATCCTACGCCAACACTACCGTCGTCCATTGATGATGCGCCAAGTGTCACTCCGAACATCGTGGATCCTACTGCTCCCGATGCGCAGAAACTGTGTCCCGGATACAAAGCATCCAATATAGCAGAGCACGTCGCTGGCTTTACAGCTGAATTGGGCTTGGCTGGGGAGCCATGTAACGTTTACGGCAACGATATCAAAGAATTGATTCTCGATGTTCAGTACCAGAACGCGACGCGCCTCAATGTCCGCATATATCCTAGATATCTAGTAGCTGCAAACAACTCACAGTATATCCTACCCGAGTTCCTGAGCCCCGTGGGGATTATCGAGCCGGGCTCAACGAAGGACTCGAGTGAACTAGTCCTAGAATGGAGCAATGAACCATCATTTCAATTTCGGGTATCTCGGACTCGCGGTCGGGATGTTCTATTTGATACATATGGGAGCGTCATCGTTTATGAGGATCAATTCCTCGAGCTCGTCACCTCCATGGTCCCGGACTACAGCATTTACGGCCTGCCGGAAAGCATCCGCCCCTTCCGCATTGGCAATAACTATACACAAACTTTTTGGAATCAGTATAACGTGACGAACGATAATCCATTAGACACGAACATGCACAGTGTTCACCCAGTCTATGCGGAGACTCGCTACGGAAATGGAAGCTCCAAATCTCATGTCGTCTATGGAAGGAATTTGCACGGACAAGAATGGCTCATGCGCCAGGAAAATATCATTTATCGCACCATTGGTGGCAGCTTTGACTTCTATTTCTTCAGCGGCCCGACGGTCAATGAAGCACTAGCTCAGCAGCAGCTTGGTGTCATCAAGACCCCCGTTATGCAGCCGTACTGGGCGCTCGGGTTCCACCAAGTGCGCTGGGGCTATCAAAATTGGACTGTCCTGCAAGATGTGATTGACAACTATGCGGCGGCAAACATCCAGCTCGAGGCCATCTGGAATGACCTGGACTACCTCCTCCAGTACCGGGACTTCGTGAACGACGAGAACAGGTATCCTGTCGCCGAGGGACAACAGTTTCTCGCACGCTTGCATGCCAATGGGCAGTATTGGATGCCCATCCTGGACCCAAATATCTACGCCCCTGACCCAACTAATGCAACAGATGCTTATGCGCCATATGAACGAGGCGTCGCAGCTCAGGCGTTTATCCGCGATGGTATTGATGGATTCTACTATGGAGATCAGTGGCCCGGCTTCAGTGTCTGGCCCGATTTCTTGGTTCCTGAAGCTCATGAGTGGTGGACGAACGAGTTCATCCTGTTCCATGAACAGCTTCCGTTCGATGGTTGGTGGATTGACCTAACTGATCTTTCGTCATGGTGTACTGGGTCGTGCGGTACTGGTAATCTCGATTTCCAGCCGGTCCACGTGCCATTCCTACTACCAGGGGAGCCAGGACAGCAAACCTTTGAATACCCGGAAGCATTCAATATCACCAATAGTACCGAGGCAGCATCGGCCAGCGCCGCGGCGGCATCTCAATCAGCTGCGTTTCCGACCGTTGCCGATGAAAGTACGCCCACTATTGGTTTCACAAGGCCAACGCCAGGCGTACGCAATATAACATTCCCGCCATATGTGCTGAATCTTGCCCTGGCTGGCCACTCACTACTGAAGTCTGGCGTTGCGCCTTATGCGACACACAGCGACGAGTTCAATACGACCGAATACGAGATGCATAACCTGTTCGGTATCCAGAGCTCTAACGCCACCTACAATGGTTTGGTCGCTGTCAAGCCCGACAAGCGGCCGTTCCTGATCTCGCGGTCCACGTCGCCCGGCAGTGGAAACATCACAGGTCACTGGGGCGGCGATAGTAATTCCAAGTGGGGTAACATGTACTTCACAATCGCCCAGGCCCTTACTTTCAGTATCGCGGGTATACCGTATTTCGGTGTAGAGACGTGTGGGTTCAACGGAAATGCCGATATGGAGCTGTGCACCCGGTGGATGGAACTAAGCGCCTTCTTTCCTCTTTATCGAAACCACAACTCCCGACCGGGGAACACGATTGGCCAGGAGGCGTACAGATGGGCAACGACAGCCGAGGGGACGAGGCGTGCCATGGACGTGCGGTTCAAGCTACTGCCGTACCAGTACACGTTGTTCTGGAAAGCACACACCGCTGGGGAGACGGTTATGCGGGCACTGCAGTGGGAATTTCCCAACGATGAGAGTCTGAAGGCTGTCGATAACCAGTTCATACTTGGACCGAGCATCCTCATCACCCCTGTGCTCGAGCCTCTAGCTACAACCGTCAAGGGCGTGTTCCCGGGCATTGTGGACGGGACGAGATGGTATGATTGGTACGATCTCACAGAGATCGAGGCACAGCCCGGAGAGAACAAGACGATTGAGGCACCGCTCGTGCACATCCCAGTCTTTGTCCGGGGCGGAAGCATCATCGCATCACAAAAGCCGGGAAACACAACCAAGACAACCCGATCCAACCCCTGGAGTATCTTGGTGACTCTCGATAGTCGCGATGAGGCGTCTGGCTCCTTGTATCTAGACGATGGGCTCAGCTTGGTACAGAACGCGACTAAAGAGATCGAGGTAAAGCGGCATCATGAACCTTTTAAATTCTTCTTCTAGTACTAACCATACAATAGCTCTCATACTCAAATTCGGCGTTACGTGCGACAGTCGTCGGTGACTATGTAGACACCAATACAGTGTCAAATATCACAATTGCTGGGTGGAAAGGTCGCACCAACCCACGTGTCGCCGTTTCAATCGCGGGCAAGAACATCAGCTGCAGCACTATCTCTGTGACCGTCGCAGGCAACAGCGTCTATGTGGAGAACCTGCAAGATATTTTCGTCCAAGGAGTTTGGGTTAGCGATTTCGCTGTCCGTTTGGAGGACTAGCACTGGCAGTAAGGTGTTCCGTCGAGTCAATCTTTTCAGTATTTCTTTCCTTTTGCTTTTGTTTTTCGGGAAACCAGAGACGCAACAGGCCCTTTCTCGAAAACAATATATGATTTTAAGTATATTATATAGCCAGTCTTGTCTAGCTCAGCTACGGTGAACCTCAGTCAGTCCTTTGGCGCAGGCCTCCGGCTGCACCAGTTCTGAGGCCATCATCTTCACCAATGCAACACTTGTTTGAAGTACCACTAGCTATACACTTCCAAACTCTCCCTCATGTTTACTGCATAGCCAGTGCCACTCAATCGGCCTGCCAGACACAGAGTTTCTCAAAGAATGGTATTGCGTTGTACCTGGTAGCTGACTCGCTCGAAGTTTGCGAGGGCGATCGCTGCCACTTTCGCGCGGCGAATACGCACCATCAGCTAACTCAATGTACTACCTTTCATGGGCGCTGCGCGAAGGAATACGCAATATGGCACGTTGTGCTCATCACAATGTTCATGTAACCCTAAATCCAAAGCCACCACGTGAGATATATCGCACGCCTACTGAAGGGGTCAGACTTATGGCAGAGTAAGTTCTGCAGAGACAAGCGTGGGGTATCGGAGTGTCACACATCCTTGGGATGTCCATAGCGAATTTATTTTGCTTGGTCTCAGGCGTCCACACATAGCTTGGGTAGTTCGTATGTGGATAATGCGGCCGGGTCGTGGGACTGTGGCCATGGCTGATTCATGTTATCGAATCCGTTCGCCCGTGCAGCATCAAGATCGTTGGGAAGGAACTCAGTTCGCAAACGAACCACACCATTGGACTCTAGCATATAGCAACCAACAATCTTTCCAGTGAAGTCTCTCCCGCCGATATGCTCCACCGCCGTGTCTGCGTTGACCCCAACGCCTCGTATTCTGCTTGACTCCGGTGGAAGACCGGGATAGGCGGCTTCTGTGATGGGGTGCCCCAGGTTATTCAGAACGATGCCATGCTCTATTTCTATAGTCCGTCGCGCTAACGCGTACGTCGAGCACCCATCGAACAAGCCCTCCTGGCGCATGCCAAGGGATCGCGTCATTCGCATGGCTGCGAGTCGAGTCTTCATATCGCGGCATTTCAGCGCGACGTTGGACAAAAAGGGCAGAAACCCTAGCTCAAATACGAATTGGGGTTGGTTTGGGACGCGTTCTTCAAAGCAGTCCGAGATGGTATCGATGTTAGCAGCCTGCCTGATAATACTTCGATAGCCGTCTAGACACGAGTCGCATTCCACCTCATTATTTATTAGTGCCAGTTTGGTGAGTATTTCACATGATTCGTAGTTGATCGATAAGAAAGTTTCCAATAATTGCTGAGAAGACCTTACTCCAAAATTATCGTGCCAGACCATCGGACAGGCAGGTACGGATAAATCGCGGGTGACGCTCATGAACGCGATTTGCCAACGGCTCAAATACTCCAGGATGGAAGCCTGTTCAGCGAGTAGTTCTGGCTGTGGTTGCCTGTGGTCTGGGTCACCAAAGCGGAGTTGGTCGCCCTGCCGCACTAGTCGCATTGAACGACTGAAGATGGTGTCCAGCATCGACCGGGCCTCAGCGAAGCTCCCGAAAGTGGTAGGGACAGGCTCATTGGCAGCGACCAGCTCGGGGAAGTCTGAGGGTCCACCAAAAAAGAAAGGAAATACGTTCAAATGCCGAAAGATTGGCACTAGGTATTCTTCTGCCCAGGAATATTTCGAGGACAGATCTTGCAGCAGCTTGACTCCATGCTTGCAGTGTTGCATGGCTGCCGTCTTGTTTAATTGCAAGAATTCTATGCATATGAAAAGGATGCATACTAAGAGTACCAGCGGCTGGTTATCCATGTTTTGCATTTCGTGAATAGAGGCATTGTAGTGTTGAAGAGCGAAGCAGTCCACCTGCAAGCCGACATTGGACTTGTCATCAATCTGCCTTCGCTCGTAGAGAGAGCTGATGGCAATGACCGAGTGTCTGACTGCAGGCTCAAAGTCACTGAACTGCATTACCACGTGCGTCCAAAAGTAAGGGTCCGTAGCGCCCGGAAGAAATGGACCGGCCACCTCGGAAAAGAATTGTAGTGCCCTGCGATCGGCCGGGCTGTCGATCCCTTGGAAGAGATGACGCGGTCGATGCCACATGAGGCCGGAACTTTGTGGCGGCGTCACCGGATAGCCGCTGCACTTACGGCCAGAGGTAAGGCATCGGCTGCATTCCGGCTTGGCTTCATCACATTTCACTTTGCGCGTTCTGCAAACTCTTATTAGCCCTCACCCCTATTCTGGTTGGTCGTTATCCTGGTATGCATGTACATACTTGCACGTCAAACACCCCGTCCTGACCTTGTGGCCGCCCTTCCGCGCCATCTGTATTTAGTAGAATCTGACCCGTCGGGCTGAACACGATGGATCAAGCTGGCGAGACCGATGGGACCACGGTCTGGAGCTTGCTTTCGTAAGCGGATATGTAACGATGTTGCGTAGTATGAGATCTATAAATTTGCAACCTTTGCGGGACCAATGCGAGATTAAGGCACGGAGCATAATAGGTATGTAGTGCTGAGATGCGCTGCCGCAGCACCCATGGGGGTCGTTGGGTGGGCCGAGTCCGAGCGTAGGTTAGGTTAATCGAATAGGAGTGCCTTGGGTGGGTACATTTCGATACAGTAAGGACTCTATGCACCTAACCTAGCTCTTTTCTGTCACCTACTCGGCTGGCCGGTTGTCCAAATGGTAATATAAAATATGGACCAAGAATTTCGTTTCTATTTCTCCTTCTTTTTCTTTGTCTATGAGCGATTGGTGCAAAGCTCCAGCGCTCCGGTATCGAAATATTCAATTGGATGCATTTAGCTGGTTGTTAGGGCCACTAAAACGACCTTACCTTGGATTACCATTCTTAGGCATTGTCGTGCGTCATGGTTGTTCTTGTAGTATGAAAATAAAACGAGACAGCCTCAGCTGTACAGTCATGTCTTTATGAAGAACAAGTTTGATATCACTCACGTCGCACGGGTGCCATCTAAAACACTGGAAATATATGTTGTAGGCCCCCGTCGGGCATAGTTGTTTATGACAGGATGCTCTATACTGCACCAGATGGCTGTCGCCTGTTCAACCAATTGCTTGAAGCCGTTACCGGGCGGAGAGGCCTCGCAGCGATCATGTGAGCGCGCAGAGCAGGATGAGCAAGCATACTCAACCATCCAGAGCTAGACTAGGTGAAGTGCGGTGTCCCCGCCATCGAGATGGGCAGCGCCGAGGACAGTTTCTACCATGGTGGCCTTAGCCTTGACCCTGGATTTAGGGTCAGTTAGATGTCTTTGGAGTAATGGGTGCATCGTTGCAAACCCTACAACCTCTCTACGGTCGTTATTCGCGATAGCAAATCAAGGCCGTGGGACAAATCACCTATCGAAACAATTACATCCAGCTCACTGCCCCTTCAATTGTCATAACAGCGAGTTGACTGCTTAGACAGCTTGCAGCCGAGACCATTCTGTTGAAGTCGTCACGGATCAGAATAGCTGAGCATTCTTTTCTGTAATCTTCTGAATGACTTCCTGCTAGAAGCTGCACGTTTAAGCTGTTAGAATATCTGAAATCGAAGACACCACACTTCCAGCCCAGGGGAAAATTATGGTATGATTGTTTCGCTTTAATACTTAGTCCTAGATACGAACCAAGAGCCTAGAGTGACACGATGAATCATTATAGCTCGGGATATCCTTTTGTTGGCCGAGACTCTTTCGAAGTCCAGACGAGAAAAAGAGAAATTGCTGACGGATGAAAGCATCCCAACCCAGATGGCCAGCTTCCTAAGCTTTGGGCATTTCGAACAACAATATGAAATCTATCGTTAGGGTGTATTTACGACCATTGAATACCCATAATTAGTGTCGAGGAGTACGTGGAGTTGTACTGGAAATGTCTGTCGTACAAGCTGACCAACCAAGGCCGACAGCCCAGGACATTAGATACTTATCTACCGTATGTTAATTGCAGGGCCTCCAACTGACAAGGCCCATAACCACTCAGGCGTAACTAGTTCACAGACTGCGTCTCGACTGTTTCGGCAAAGATTGTAACAGTCAGATTGGCATGAAAGGATATGGATGTTCAGCGTCTAATGAGAGTGACTATGCTCGCTTCGCTCTTGATAGTAATGGTGTCACCAGACGGTTAAAGAAACTTCCTGGCTATAAATTTCAGTGTTCCAGTCAGAATACAGTCGACTATAGAATACGAAAATGTCTTGTCTTGCCACGTAGAAGTGCCATCATTAGCCCGTACTTCTGGATTGGAGCTCAGTCGAAGGTGTGATGATTCAAGAAATGAATGAATCGGTCACGGGCCGTATCAAACCGTTCTGGGCATTCAGGGCATTCCATGTGATTTCCATCAGCTTCTCCAATTTCCTCTTCGCCTTTCTGATTCCGACCTTGACCATGACCCATGTCAATAGGCTCCCCATGTCCGTTCTCGTCGCCGTTCTCTTCACGATTTTGCTCATCAAATCGGTGCGCCGACGACTTTTTCAAATGATATCCCCGGGTCTTGCGGGTTTTGAAAGGCTTATCGCATTTGCAACAATGGGCGGTTAACAGGCGCTCGTACATGTAGTCTCGTCCGCAGCTTCCACAGATGTAAGCGCCTTCTGTGGCAACACTGTGACTCTGATGATGATGCAGAAGATGCTGAATGGTCGATTTGAAGTTGACGTCACAGTCTGCGCAGTGAAGGTGTCCTGAACTACGCTGATGTGGCAGAAGCTTGGCGCCGGTGAGGAACTTGGCCTTACAGTCGTTACACTTGGGATGGGCTTGCCGGATGTGATGTTTTAGAATGAGTGCAGTATCGAACTGCTCCTTGCAGTAATTGCACTGGGCAGTCATCTGTTCGGTTTGGTTCGCTGCCATTGTGGAAAGATGGAGCATGCTATCGGCTCAAAACTTGCAAAGTCGCATAGAGCCGATCATTAACTGTTGCCCGATTGGTGACATACGTGATCGAAAGATGCTCCAAGTAACGCTTTGTGATGCATTGAAGAATGGTGGGCTTGGAATCAACTACAGGCCGCGGTTATTTCATTGCGCTGCATGGAGGGTTACGTGTTGACTTGTGAAAAAATGTTGAAAATTTATGAATTGGCTTAGGAAGTCGGGAAATCATATGTGTTGCTCCTGGGGTAACCACTCACTCGACGTTTGTTGGGCAGCTACCTATATAAGCTGTTATTCCATTATTTCCAAAACGAAACTACTTACGTTGTGACCACATGCACCGCATTTCAGTCAGGTCGTCCATACACAAGCTACTCAAGCTACTTCGTAATGATAACAGCAGTATAAAGAACAACAAAATCAGCCAAGCCTGTTCTACTCCCGTTTCAAATTTTCACACGCAAACCGGACATACTGCAAGATACTCATAGGAGTGACAGAGTGATAAGGATACCAAAGCTTTCCATCATGTTAATCTAAAAAGATCCTGCTGTAATTAACCTGAGTTCGATGACATCAGAATACGACAAGACGCTTCAGCTCAGAGCGCCCTCTCAATTACAACACCATCAAGGTGAGATGGACTCCTTCGCAAGAGCTTAGTCAGGCCTTATTCAACAATGCTCCGCAATGGTTTCCGAGTCGACTTCGTCAGACATAATCTAACAGACCACAAGATCTGCTTGGCAGATCTCAAGGTTGTGTTTGTCGGTCAAGCTAAAGATCCAGCGTTTTCCAAAGGCTTTCCTAGGACACAGCAGCAAACAGAGATTTTTAGGACCGGGTCATAATGGAATGAATGTTTCCCGAGTCAGGGGTTTAGTATTGAACACAGTACACAGTCTTTGCTGAAATACTGCAACTGCAGCAGCAATAAAAGACGCTATGCACCACTGCTTTTCGATTTTCACATTTGTGCGGTGGAACAAGGGCTGCGTATCGCACCACGATATGTTCAGTATATGATATTATGTCAATGGCTTTAGGACGGCAGACTTGGCGCGACGATTAGACCTACGCAATCCTAGAGACTCGGACATGTAATGGGTTCTACTGACACAAAGGTAGCTCTCACAGCCAACTCCGCTTCCCTGTTTCGTTGCCTTGATACAAATGCAGTCGAGAACACCGGACAACCAATTTCATACCGTCCTCCATTTTGACAATACCATCAACTCTCCAACTATTGATCATGTGTAATTATTGCTTGCGCCCTTAATTCATGAAGCGTAGCCTGCTGCTAAAGGCCGTATTTTACTGGACCAGCATGGGTCAAGCTATTGCATAACTTGGGATCGCTACAAAGCAAGGGTGCGGAAAATTCCATGATTGTAAGCAGGCTACCAGAGGTGTTGTAGAAACGTAGGTTTTCTTCTTCTTTTCAGAGGCCAACGGGGCGCTCTTGACGACCCGGAGTTGCGGGTTGTCACTCGCAGTCCATCATGTCTGATCTGCGATGGACAGACCGGCGTGCTCTGGATAATGCTGCTGCTGGGCGCCACACTTCACGGGATAGTACCATTGAGGCTGTGAGACGTCATGGCTGGCGGCTGGCGGAAAGTACGTCAACGCTTAACGGGAAGACGGGCTGAACGACAGAATTGTTTCGCAATAGCTCCTCTGCCATTTAAATTTCAAATCTGGCTAATGAATTCAATGGTTCGTTGCAGGTAGTCCGCCTTCTTGAACCATTCCTTTGCATCTGCTAAATCAGCTCGCAATTCTCTCAGATATCTCTCCCAGTCAATAGTCAGATGCCAATTGTTCTTCCAAAGCTTCAGCGCACAATGTTTGGCCAAAACATCGGCAGGCTCCAGCAAGCGGAAGAATTCATCACTCTCCATTTTGGTTTGCTTCATGACGTCGATACAGTGATATGCGAATAAGGTGGACATGTTGAAGGCCTGTAGCAGTGCGACCTCGTTCGAGATCTTGCTCAGGTCGTAAATGTCTCCGAGGTTGGGCTCAACTTCGCGCGCAAGAGATGCATCGATGGAATCGTCATCTTGCACGGCGGACTCCTCCTCCTCCTGGGCGGTTTCGCGAAGACGGTCGTACCAAGCAGTCATGTCACGCATGATTTGGTTGGCCTTCATCCGTGCCAAGACCTCATTAACGTCGGCCTCCGGAAGGTTGGGCAACTTGATACGCTTGTCCGACTTGGGCGTAAAGGGGTTGGTAAGAGCCGCTGCGACGGACTCGGGAATATCAGGCCTTTTCGAGCTGAGGCCTAGAGATTCAAAGACCTCTTGCATGTCGAACACATAGCCTTCCATGGTGTCGACAAGCTCGTCGGTGGCCGCAACCTGCTTCGGTTGGGCTATGGCGAGATGTGACTCCAAGGAGATGCGAGCCCGCTTCGCTGGCGACTCTTCCGAGTCATCGGCCACTTCATCCTCTCCCCTTTCACCTCCAGCTGCAGCAGTTTTCCCGTAATCGTCGCCGAACCATTCTGAGAATATCTCACCCTCCACCTTTGTCTGGAACTCAGCGTCTTTTTCCGCAGAGTACACTGCTTTGCGCGCCAGGGGCTTCCTGGCCTTTTTGATCCTATAAGAGCGATTTGAATCCAATATCCGTGGCATTCTGATGAAATTTGGTTGTTGAGTGCGAGATGTAGTGGCGAAGGAATCGGTCAGGTGCTAAGCGGTGCGACCCAACTCGCGTGGATCGCGACTTTCGGTGGGGTTGGCCACAAAGATCCACCTATAGGCTCAAATTTTACTTACGAATTCCTTGTTGTTCTCCCAGCCTCCACCGATAGATTAATTGACCCAGCCCGACGGATTTCTGACGTCTAGATCATTTGACAATATAGCCATTGGACAGTATGACTGCGATGAGCTCTTAGTCCAACATGTTCAGTTCAAACGTACCGAGTAATGCTCTCAACCATGTTCAGGATCTCCGTTTTTCGTAGCAGCCGATTAGGGGTGCACTACAGCACGCATAAGTCGGCCGACTCGAGATTACCCCGTGGCGGTCAAGCGCCTCTAACGTTAGGCTCAAGCACCTGTCCTTCACCAGTAACCAACTCCTCAACCCACTCTTCTTCTTACTCTTACCCAGTGGATACACAATTAACGCCCCTAGCCCTAATCCAATCGTAACGCTGATGGCAACTTGAATGACGCTGGCCAGAATGTCGAAATCGATCTCGCTTACGCCATCAAGAATGTCGTCGCCAATATCTATGTCCTCTGGGACGCCCTGCAAGATTTTCGCCAGAGCCGTCGCTGTTTTGACGCCTTCTAAAAGAGATCCGTTTGCAGCAAGGTCATTGGAGACTTGCACGAATATTGCAGGAACCATGACGGCACCTGCAAGTGCATAGTCAAATTCCCGCTCTTTCCGCGGTTGCTGGTGGCCCCTTTCATATGACTCATTGTGCATTATCCCCGACTCGGAGCCCTTGAGGGCATTCTCTTCCTCCTGGAAAATGATGGGAAGCGTGCAGCGAGCAAATCTGCCATCCTGAACCAGCTTTTTTCCAGGAGTATCGCATTGCGGGCATATAGGTTTGCAAGAATGCCAACGGTTAGGGCACCAATCAAATTCGACTAATGATTTATGATACCGGCCCTTTCCTTGAAGACCTTACTGGCGAGCAAACGCACAGTAAACCCGGACATTGATATGAGAACCGTGACAGGAAATTTATTGCCAGCGTGCTTGATTGTAGAGGCAATGAGCGATGGTGGGACACGGCGCGAACAGGAATCTCCAGACTCGGGATATGGGCCTACGACACTCGATCTCGACAGAGGCGGTCGGATCAATAAGCGCGTATAATGACGTCCCGATACCAATGCTATACCCAAGGACTTGGGTGTATATAAAGGCAAATATCAAACGCGTCGATCCGGTGATAATTTTACGTGTCTGTAGTTCCATCATGGCGGTGAGTACCATGAGCCCTGGCAGAATCTGTATCATTGAGCTTTGAGCTACTGCCGCGAAGCAGGAGAGGTCGCCGCCCCTTAAAGAGCCATAGGCACGAGCGAGAAACGAACTTACAATTGCTGCCAGAGCTTCAATAGATGGCGGTAGAGCTCGTTGCGTCGTGCGATACGCAGTCGCATTGTTGTCAGAATAGAACCCAGGAGAAACGCAATGGGCATATCGATCCAACGACCCTGGAACGATAGGGCCGCAATAATAGCGCTCACGATGCCGCCCATTGGAATGGGAGACCAGTTACTGAATTGGGGCTTGCGCCAAGTAATCGTACGAAGTTCTTGCATTCCTTGATCTACACCAATCGAGTCGTTCACCACCCTCTTATAAACGTTATGCACATCGCTCGCGCGGCTGTTCCTCGTCTCGGCCATCTTGGAGAACCAGGGTACGAGATGGGCATTACAGTAGATTTCCAAGTATTCGTCCTGGACGCGGCAATGGTTTCAGCATCTGAGATGGAAGTTGACATGCTGTTCGACAAGTCATGGTTCCTGACCATGCTCCTCGTATCAGAACTTTCTTGGAATCTCAGAAAATCTCGAGTTCATACCATGAAAGATGAGAACACAGAGAAAATAGTCGTCATAGTGGCGCGCGGCAATGGGTACCTCGTGGAACTGATTTATGACGCTACGACTACTCATATTCCGCCCTGTATATAAGCAGCCAGTGGACTTGCTGAAGTTAAGTCGAGGTCGCACTTGAAACGTTGAGACGCCTCAGCGTCTTGTCGCATCGTGGTGCCAGTTTTGACAGTTTAGACTTGATTGTAACCATGGTTATAACATCATGGTACCATTTCACGCAAAGTATATTCTCCATCGAGTTTCCCTAGGTCATGTCACCTGTCGGGATGGCAGTTTGCTGTGGGCACAAGTAATGACAAAGATCTTCAGGTACAGGTGAATGAGTTTGAACGATTTGGTCGACACGCATGGAATGCATTCTGTGCTGAGAGATGCCACCTAAGGTGCCAGCGGCATTTCTGATACAATCATGCTAATTATAGTTCACCGCACTAAGTTAGCATCACTAGGGTGCATGCATGTGATGTAGGTAGGTTAGATGATGTTACGGGGAATGGGCATCCACAAAATGCTTGGATCCTATTTGGTTCGGCGGATGTTTAATGGCCAAACCGCGAAGTTGTTTGAGCATGATGATAGGGACACCACAGCAATTGCTATTACGATTTTCGTGGTTCATGGTGGTAACACAGTGACATACCGCCTGAGATCTGGACTTGAGAGCCAAGGTCGTGACCCTGGCGGCGGGGTGTACATCAAAACTTGCGCACTGAAAGCAGCAAACTCCAATTGATGCACACACTCATGCTACTGGCACCAAATCGCATTCCGCTCTTATGTATTGCTCGCATCGCAATTGTCTCAGTGACCATGACTAATGTACTGATTAATGTGCTGTGCCGTGCTGACCCGTGCGCCAAAGGATTGTGGCCATGCACTGATCAGATCGTCGCCAGGCTCAGCACCCTTGGCCCCAACATCGTGGCATATTCGCGCTTGAGGGTGCCTGCCAGCCTGCCCTGGACCTGGCGAAAATGGTGCCATGGCCCGCCCGCAGATATCTTATGATTCTTGTCATATCATCAGTGCTGAAATTTCTGGCACTTTTGCCATATGATAACTTCCTGCCTGGTAATATGAACGCTGATCATTCGTCATAGCGACCTTGCACATTTCTCCAGCCTCAGCCTGAAAATCAATGCCGGGTGCCGCCAAAGCCACTTTGGCACACAACATAAACTGAACTCTGTTATGACTTGAAAATCATACCCTTCCTCATTCATATCGAAATAAAGACATATGCATGCATTTAATGCAGATGAAAGCATCTCTGTTCCTACCTTTTAATTCAGCTCTATCGCGGCAGAATAGACCTTCAAAATGAACATGCCGGAATCACAGGGCGACACGTGGAGAGCGCACCTATACTCCCAAGTGCCGTTGAGAACGAGGAACGGCGACATACGCTTGCTCACCATCCAACCACGCAACTACCCAAGCGCAGCGGGCGCTGATGTGACAAGTGGGGCGATACAGTGCTTCCTCAGATTGGCCAACCTGAAGACGCAGCAGACCAAATTCACTGCAGTGTCGCATTCTTGTAGCACTGACGAGGATGAGAGTGTTTCAATCAATGGTGCGCTAATACCAGCATCGTCTGATGTGGTCAAGATCCTCGCATACTTCCAGCAGGAAACCAGACCAGTAACGATCTGGATTGACACGGTTTGTATCAATCATGGTGATGTGGGGGAGATGTCGGCTCAGAAAAGCCAATTGGGGGAACTCTTTTCTGCGGCTTCTTCGGTGGTCGTCTGGCTAGGTCCAACAGCAAATGACAGTGATGAGGCAATGTCCGCCTTGGACCGACTCGCAGACGAACACCTCACGCCAGCGGCACAGAAGCTCCTTGTCAATGCACTTCAGTTGCTTCCATTCAGAGCGAAGGTACCCGAACCAGCTAAAGACAGTCCTGATACACCACCACAGACTTCGACAGACAAGCAGAAAGATTTTGATAACCAACTACACAAACTTCGGGTAGCATTTCAGTCACTGATGTCCCGAAAGTACTGGTCACGGTTGTGGTCACTCCAGGAGCTGGCGTTTACCTCGAAAGGGTCAGTCGTATGTGGCAAAAGAGCATTAGACCTTGATCGCTTCTATATGTCGGCGAAGGCCTTGGATGGTGTTCTGAACATGGCAACATACTCCAAATGGCTCGCAGCCAGCAGTACGGCGACACCGCCAAGTATACTTGACAACACTGAACCGGCAAATTTCTCAGCATCACCTGCCATACGGCTCCTGGCGGAACGGGGGTTCTTTCGAGCAGGGCACGGATGGTGGTCATCCACGGAACACACTCTCTTATCGATACTTGGTAGATACTATCTGGACACAACCGGTTCCCGCCCGGGCTTCGTGGTTGAGGACAAACGGGACCTTATATATGGCTTCGTGGGGCTAGCATCGGATGCCAATGAGCTCGGACTATCAATAGAATATGGGAAGAACTACAAGGAAGTCTGTTTGGATACCATGATAGCTCTGTCTCGGAAGAACCCGAGAGTACTCCAACTATGCTTGGGACATGATAGCGCCGGTGCCGACGTGCCTTCTTGGGTTATTGATTGGAGTCAGGTCAAGATGCCTGCATCGTATAGATCGGCCGGTTCTCTCAATGCTTGTGGACTTGCAGACTCCCGATACTACAAATTTGAGTCTAACGGCCCTGGAGTCATTGCTGTAAAGGGAGTTTTTGTGGATACCGTTTCGGCCGTCTGTAAAGCACAACTAGGCAGCTCGACGCATCAGTCAGATGAGTTGTCCAAAGCACTTGGTGACTTCCTAAGACAGTCGCTTGACGGGGATAAATCCCCGTACTCTGAAAATCAGGCACAAGACGTGCCAGCCAACATGCTGATGGGTGCTGCATTCGTCACGAAGTCCGGCTATGTTGGATGCGGCAGCGGTGTGACGGATGGCGATTCAATCGCCATATTTTATGGCTCTGGTGTTCCTGTTGCGCTGCGCAAGCAGCCTGATGGAACACACCGGCTAGTTGGGGAAGTGTATGTGATCGGAATCATGCAGGGTGAGTTCATGAGAGTGCATAGAGAGGAAACCATGGTTCGTCTTTCATGACCGAATGTCAATTTACGGACAAGAGCACTTTGTAGCTTTTAGAAAATTAATTTAGAATCTGAACAAACCTTGTTGGAATAACCTGCTACACTACGGGTTTGAAGCGAAATTGATCGTCCCAAGTCCGATCTATGAATCAATATGTTTCCGTTCAATCAAAACCAGGAGCAACGAATCTACGTGTGAGCGGCATTTTGACGCCAATGTGGCATTCAAGAGAATCACACGATCGTTTTGTTCCGCAAGAAGCGTAGGAGTCCACTTGAACCATTGCACATCATAGCAACATGCAACAATTGTAGTGCAACTGAACAGGCGATAGAGGTGAAAGTTCTGCGACTGCACCAGTTGCTCCGCGCCTCCCCATTACTTTGTTATAGCAAACTTGGCCAGCAGATGAGCAATATGACAACATTCAATAGAAAGTCGCTCCGGTTCTTTGCTGCCTTCCGTTTATTACTGACATATTTAACGGGAAGGCACCACACAAGGTGATCACCAGAACCAGAATTGAGATGTCTTGGACAAACAAACAACGTTGCCTATATGTTCTGCGTTTTGGTCGATGGTCTATTCTTCGCCACCACACAACTCCAACAAAAATCGTAGTAAAAAGAAAGTTCTTCTTTTCCGCAAATCTTGCACAGTATACCATTTTCATTCTTGCACTCCAAATCCTGCCCTGCCATCATCGTCTACAATTTTAGAGATGGCGATTATAAGTACGGTTCCAGGCCTCAAGGGATGGGTAGAGGTTGATGGCACACAAGCTGTCGAGTACGACCACCCTGAGGCAAATGAGTTCGAAGAGATCCCGAAGCCCCCAACAGCTATGGCCATCAAATATGTCTAATCAGTACAAGGTGCCAGGTTCAGCGTCCACTGTCAAGCCGCCGACTACGCTTGGGTTCCCAAGAGAATTATTCACGCGTGAAAATCATAGTAGGAGGAAGTCAACAAGGTCATGAATTGCAAACGATTACTCGTAGGGATGCCACGAAAGGTCGAACCACTCGACGCGCCTCCTTATTGATGACCATGGGCGCAAGACTCTCCAACGCTTTCAGTTTTCTGCTATCAAGCCGATTGAAGATGCCAAAAAGAAAAAGAAAAGGAGAAGGACAAAAAGCCACTGCAAAGTCTAGGAGTGATCTATGTCGAGGTATCCGCAAGATAGAGAAAACAGGGGGGGAAACCACGTGGCGGAGTAGCTACCGGACCATGGCCTATGTCTTCCCCAAAGCCACAAAATTTTGGACGCGGCAAAAGCATCGGCAAAAGCATTGGAGATCACTAAGAAGGCCTTGAAGGTTCGGCGTATTTCTTATGGAACAGGGTGTATCTTGATTATTGCTGAAGGCTAGACTACGTGGGCGCTGACTTCTCTACAGATTTGGGGACTTAGTTCACAAGGCAACAATGCGATTGTTGCCGTAGACTAGTATGACTATTGCTTGCACCAACCACAGTCCACCAGTATAATAGTTACGGTATGACCGGGGACGAGATTAGAATGTCAGAGCTTATCCGGTATCCGACTGCTATTAGGTATAGAGGGGCTGTAACCGGGTAAGAACCTTACGCATATAGTTAGTGCGCATGCCGGGGACTTTTTTGCACTGCGATTTTAACCGCCGCGGAGGAGCTAGAGTGATGTGCGGGAGCGTTAGTATCGTCCTTTCCAGAATCAAGAGCGTCATCTGGTTAAATTCGCTTCTGCTCATACGCATATCTCCAAGAGGGCCCCGTCTGTCCGATCGCGGTGTTCAAGTTCCATTACCGCTCAATTAGTGATACCATTCCTTCTGCCAATTCTCTGGTCGTGTTGATTGCTGACCATTCCCACATGATCTCAAGAATGACCTCATCGTACCGCGCAGCCCATCGCCATCTTCCACTCTGAGTGAGATGGCAGAGGAGGATATCAGGCGGCTTGCTAAAGACTTAATCAGGTCATGGTCAAATATGTCCAAGTTTGGTGAGAAATTACTGATGTTATGTCAGATCAAGCATGGGATAAGGATAGAAAGAAATTATGGTGCGAAGAGACATCTTGTTAACGTTTCTGGATTTGACGAGGACGAAAGATTGCTCAGAAGCTCTAAGGTAGCGAAGCTGGAATTATTAGAAGAGGATGACCTCATCTATGTCACCTGATTGTAACTGGCTGTGACGATCAATGTGACCAGTATTGACTGATATCGGGTGATTAGGTGAAGATTCCTGGTAAGGCTGTTTGGCTATAAGGCCACTAATATTTCCGGCTTTTCGTATAATATTTGGCATGCATAAACCAAGAAACATCAGACACCAAGTTTGCAACATATTGACACAGATTTTGCCGTAATGATAGCTATAACTGTAACTATACTGCTTCATGTATAATAGTGTAAGGAATCCCACTTGTTCCATAGCACTGAAATGTCCCATGACGCAAAATCAACGATGAAAGGTATCTAGCTTTCACCCAAAAGTTCTCCATTTGTACTCTGGTGCGGTGTGGCGTACCACTTCTTCAGCCCCTTGCTCAGTACCACTCAAGGCCTTGACGTTCACTTTCTCACTCAAATATCAGTTAAAAGTTTCGAAACTCGATGTGATTGAATTTGTGTCCCACTGAGTCTTCCGTGCTCATAAGGTAATGTTGCCTATCCCTAGTGGACTAATGAAAAGTGTTTGTGACAGCTCCTCCATTCACTCAAGCACACATCTAATACTGATAATGCATGCGTCAAAAATGAAAATTTTCTTGACATCCTATGGCTTTGCTTAGGGTCGACTCACAAAACCCCCCGGATTCCTTTGCCATGTCGTATAGGAAACTCTTCAGGTTCGAAGAGCTACCTTCGGCCCTGTTGACTGTCGATCTTTACTTTATTTGGCCATGATACGTCGACTTGGCGCCAAGGCGACATCTACTATACTCGGCCCTGGCACAGATTTTCAACTTTGCCTAATCTTGCTCTGTTAAAGATGCCGGTAAAATCCAAAGCTAAAGCTTTCAGAAGATGAGCGACACAACTCCTTCTAAATTATGCGGAAAATGTGAAGTCCTCGAGTTTGATGGCCTTGTCATTGGCTGTGAAACTAATGCGGAGACTGGGAGGCCGTACTTATAGATTAGATGCGATGAGAGATAGGTGGCTCTTAATTACACACTTGAAGACACTCTTCCTAATTTGCCACTTTTCTTTTTCTTTTTTCAGCGTCCGCCTAAGAGAATTGTGGTTTTTGTTTTATTCGTATAGAGCCCCACCCAACAGGCCGGCGATGAAGCTGGCAACGATAATCCAACGAACGAACAGAGTGTAATGCGTTGTATGAGGGCGCACCCGAAGCCAATGATGATGAATCGTAGGAATCAAAGGAGAGACGGGAAGATGAAGGATATTGCGAAGCATGGGATTCTCACACAAAAATGTGTTCTTACAGAATAGTGTATGGTATTATCCTTCATCCAGCTCTCTTTCGAAAGCAGTTAAAGGAATCGCCACCTATCTTGTCAGTTGCACTCGTGCTGGTTCAACTTTGTATCGAAATTTCGGTCGAACCATTTCATTTCGATCCCAACAATCTACGAGATAACAGTTATAAACAGCAAAACCTACTTCGTCTCATTATAAAGAATTCACGATTTAGTGTCCGTTAAAACGTCTCGACGGCCCGATCTATGCGCGTCTTATGGGTTACACGTGTCCGTGCCACAAGTGGTGGGGGAACTGATCCCTTCTCGCCCATCAGATATGTCCTTGAAGCGCTCGATTACTACTGAAGTGGGTGAATATTGGAAATCCCCGGTGTTATACATGTTTTTATATTTGTTTATGATTTAGTCTACACTAATAAGATCATAGATATTGTGTGAAGAGTTGACCAGCGATGCGGCGGTGGATAATCTGTATCAACAGAACCCCCGGGTGATTCTCATTGATGTGTGGAAATTGTGAACGATTCAATTGCATGTTTGCTACAAATAGAAGCCCCGATGGAGGTAGCCCTGTTTCGTTCCTAAGACATTGAGCCAACTCTTGCTTTTATCATTCAACGATCATAGCATGCTGAGGACTCATAAAAATGACGTTTCTACGAATAGAACGATTCAAATTTAACCACAGGAACTATAGACGCAAAATTCAGTACGTTAATTAAAATATCGCCTCGAATCCAGACAAGAATGAGCCAATGATTGACCAACACTGTCAACGCAACAACACATAGTCTCATTAATACATCTCGTAGCGCCAACCCAACTGAACCATTTCTTCCGTCACGCCGTTCTTAACAACCACGGCAATCTGTGCCGGATCACCCGAATCCAAGCGCTTGTTCTCACGTAGCACGAGCCACCGGTAAAAGGTGATGGTGAGCATGAACATTATGGCGCAGCCCATCAACGTGCCGAAAGCGGCGTAGAAATGGGGCGACGAATAGTAAAGATACGATGCCCAGATGTTGGAGGTACCTCCAAGCGCGTTGACCAGGGCAGAGGCGGCCGCGCGCTTTGAGACAGGACGCGCGAGATGCAGGTTGATCGTCTTGTACATGAGGAGCTGGGGCCCGACGGATGCGAACGGCAGGATCATCATGGAGAAGTACCGCGCCCCGACGCTCAGTGTGGCCATGGGGATGATGTACATGCCGATGGAGATCGACAGGAACATGATGATCAGCGGGTAGACGGTGTTCTTACGGTCGGAATAGAACATGGCGACGTAGTAGACTCCACCGGCAAGGATGTACGGCGGTGCGGTCAGGAGCAAGCTGATGGTGCTGTTGAAGCCGAGCGAAGCTATCAATGTAGGGAAATAGTTGGCGATAGACCCCTGAGCTTGTGACAACAGATTGCAGAAGATGAGGAGCAGAAGCTTGGGATCCGAAAGGGCTTTGGCAAAGCCACGAAGCACGCTCTCGTTCTCGGTACCCTCCGCGGCGCCGGACTCGGACTCAATGCGCCACACCGCGAGGTCTCTCTGCATTTGGGACAGGATCTTGCTGTTGTGGGGATATTCAGGCATGAAACAGGCGCAGATGAAACCAATGCCAACCGTTGCACTACCCTCGATGATGAAGAGCCATTGCCAGCCTGCAATTCCGTGGTGCCCGTTCAGTTTGAGGATGGCAGCGGCGAAGAGACCACCGAAAGCGTTTCCAAACTGCTGTGCGATGTATAAGCTGGCAATACGCTTGCCGAGTTCTTTCTTGGTGTACCATGCAGATAGGTAGTAGATTGCTCCGGGGAAGAAGACGGCTTCTGCCACTCCGAGAACGGCACGCACAGCAAGCAGCTGTCCATATGTCTTGACCGATGCGGTAGCTGCCGAGATGCCGCCCCAGATTACCACAGCGCAGCAAATGTACATGCCGGGACGGGAGATTTTGGTGATGAGCAGGTTGCTGGGGATTTGGAAGGGCAGGTAACCGACGAAAAGAATCGATACAGCAGTAGCAAATTGCTGAGTAGTCATATTGAGATCCTCCATGATTCCTTGTAGTTTAGCCGCCGCAAGATTTTGACGATCGATGTAATTCAAGATGTATAATATTCCGATGAGGGGCAAGATGATGAAATCAATCTTGCGAACAAGTTGTTTGTTCAACTTCTTGAACTCGTCTTCGGTGAGGCTCCGGAGTGACTCTGGCATGGGTCGATATGAGCTCGAGAATCCGATCTGGCCTTCCACGGTCGATGCATTGTCATCAACCACGGAGGATTGGTCTTTGACTTTGTCCATGTTGATGGAACCTCTATCGGCGGACATGGTAGTTCGTCTCGATGAAGATATTTCACAAGAAGAATGGGTTGGATACAATGAGAGAATGTCGCTTTATGGCCCAAAAGACTTTCTGATATAAGTCAGGAGTTGTGACACACCTTAATAGACCAACACACTGATAATGCCAAGATCTGGGGTAGTATGCCTGGCCCACTAAGCTTGTTGCCCTCCAGGGTTTCTCAGACGTTGAATTACTAAAGACTTTGATAATGTGTCGTGATCCATTTCCACTTTGGATGCGAATATCGGCATCTTGAAGTACTACTCCAAACAACCTCTGTGAGAACCGTACTAGCGGTAAACACGATAAACTCCAACCGAATGGTACCGGATTACGATGCAGCTGATTGGTGTATGACTCGCTCGCCCTCGAAGCGACCAATAGTATGCTGTCCCAGATAATCCGGGCTTATCTGCGGGCTGCCGACCCTGCATTGGGGGAGCTCCTCCTTGTGGGGCGGAACCGCAACGGCTCCGCAAAGTCGCGGCTAGGTGTCTTCTTGCATGCATGACACTCCCTGGATGGTATACAACGAAGCGGATAGGCAATTGAGCAGGATGATCAGCCATGGAGGAGCAAGCACGTCAGGCTTCGAGAGGAGGGTTTGGGAGGACAATAGCAATCTTTCTCAGCCTACTTGAATAGCCGTCTGGGCCGTGTCATTTGCCGTCAACATCCTATCTTCACAGCTCTCATCAATCCGACTCTGCAATCGCCGCCTCATATTGCGCTATACCATAAAAGCAGCACATCCATTGACATCTTATCACACATACGTTTTCCAGCCCCAGAGCATCTTATCGTACGACAAACGTCTCAGCCGCCAAAATGAGCCACGCAACCCCCCAGACCACCACCATCCAGAACCCTCGGTTGAGGTTACTCAACAAGATCAAGGCCGGAGAGTATCCATTAATGACGTTCATGGCCATTCCCTCAGTACGACAAGCCCAGATCATCTCCCTGACCGGTGTCGACGGTATCATTATTGATTGTGAGCACGGTCACATCGGAGATGATTCTATGCACAACTCAGTCGCCGCTATCTCGGCCCTTGGCGTATCGCCAGTCATTCGTATCCGCGGTCCCGCACATGACATCCTCAAGCGGGCACTAGACACGGGCGCCCATGGCATCATGGTCCCACAGATCAACAACGCAGAGGAGGCGAGGCAGGTGGTTGCATCTTCCAAGTTCCCACCCTGGGGCGTGCGTGGCCAGGGATCAGCCTTCCCTGCCATTGGCCACGGCCTGACCACGCCAGAGTACATGAAGTCTGCCGATCAAACCATAATCACCATGATCCAGATTGAGACCCGGGCGGGTGTAGAAAATGTTGAAGAGATTGCCGCCGTACCTGGTGTCGATCTCGTGTTCATTGGCCCTAACGACCTGGCCCAGTCTCTCCTGGGCTACACCCCTGCCCGAGGCGACGAGCCCGAGTTCGTCGCGGCAATTGACAAGATTGTTGCGGCCGCGCGGAAGAACGGCAAGTGGGCTGGCCGCATGGTGAACAATGGCACCGCAGCGAAGGAGCAGAGGGAGAAGTATGACACGGTGGCTATCACCGGTGATACCAAGGCCATTCAGAATTGGTACATCTCCGAGTTCGAGATCGCTCTATCATGAAGCTCTAGACTAGGCAATACATAGATAATGAATAGACTAATGATCCAAACAACCTAGTCCATGACAGCCCTAAGCAATAGATGATATAATAGGTTAGTACAGATACATTTAGTAAAACTAGACTCAGGCGAATAAGTCGCGTGGCGTCCTGGTGATTGAATAGCCACACACCTCTTCCAGCCATGAGATAAAGCGCCCTATACCATCCGGTTCAAGTTTGTCTCATAAATTAGAACAGGGGCCGTGATGTAGATCATCTTAATAGGCTACCACGGTGACATCTGATGGCCGCCTGGGGGCCACAGAAGGTGTTCGGATCAAAGTCTGCTAAGCTAGATGACCTAAATAAATGGAGATACGCACTCCGTCAGAACTATTACGATACTTCTTGACTGTAAATGACATGTTCGAGAAGATAGCCGGCAAAGATACACAAAGAAAGGCAAGGCATGCTCCACAATGTACAGTGGAACATTATTACTCGACTCATCGACGGTCATCTGGCTTGCGTACAGGGTTCTACCTCGGAACCTTGATAAAACGCATTAGCCGTCCAAGATTGGAAGATTGCCACTCAAAAGCAGGCACATCCTACTGTGACCGACTCATCGTTCGGCTAATGACTAGGCTATTGGGTGCTACTGGCACCAAACAGGCCGTGGCAGTTGCAGGATGGGACGGCATTTGCTTCAATCAATAACCGCTGCTGCACGGATCATTCATAGGGCAGTGACCATGAATAACTTAAACGTAAATGGATCCTTCTTTTGGTAAAGGGGGCCTTGGCAAACGCAAGAAAGATAGGGGCGTACCTCATTGTGGCTTGGGTGCGAAAACTTTACTCTGGCCGCTGGACCCTTATCAGATCACTTATCATTCCACCTGCTTTCATGTGACGAGTAACGGCATTGGGAGATAAATACCGTCGCTGTTGCCTGAGATAAAGTAGCCGCGCTGGCGACTTGTACGCCGGCCGACAAGGTATGTGAATAGTATGTGGACCATGATCGCCTTGTACCATTGCATCAAGTGGATAAATATTCACTGTTCAAGATAGGAGACCGTTTTGAAATTTATAGTCTTTACTTTCATTGATTGTTATATTTATTCTATTCTTTGAGACGCGACAGTCCTTGACTTGCGATGCTCTTTTTCCCTTTCAGTCCAGCTTAGTCGTCGTTAAGAGACTAAGCGTATATGTATATCGACCATATTCATGCAAATTCACCTCGTCTAATATTCCCAAACCCGTTCCAAATTTATGCTTGCGCGATGCACTCAATCTCGATCACAGTTCCATCTCCAGGGGGCAGAGCCTGAAGACAGGAGCGCGAAGGCATGGGCTGGGGCAAGAAATCAATGTACACTTCGTTCATGGCAGCAAAATCCTTCATGTCTGCGAGGTAGACATTGTACTTGACGACCTTGTCGAGCGAAGAACCTGAGAGTTCAAGCACCTCCTTGAGGTTCTGCAGAACGGTTCTCTGTGCGGGTGGGTCAGTTGAAGCTTACGACTGGGCGAAAAGCCGATGGGCACGAGAGAGGAACTTACGGTTGCTTGCTTGATCTCGCCAGTGGCTGTTTGTCCGGCACAGAATACGAGACCTGGGACCTTGGTTGCCGGGCCTGGAAGCCGGATGGTCAGTGATGAATTCTTGCCAAGTCAGTTTTGGAATGTACTCACAGTTGTGCGGCTTAGTGGGGAACTTTTCGCTGGAGATGAGTTGGCGCGACATGGTGATTGCTAACAGAGTGTAATTGGCAAATTATTGTTCAGAAAATGATATCTCTATTGAAGTGTGATTTTGGAACATGGGTAAGAAGTTAGAGGAACTACATCGCCGCTCAATTTGTACTTGTCTCATTTTCGCGCTGTAAGGCCGTCATAGCAACTCCTCTTCCTGATCGGTCTCTATCTCCTCCTCGCTCGGCCGTTGTGACAGTAACTGGAGGAGCTCATCATGCATAGTATACCCAGCTTCTTGCGATAGGGGCTTATCGTGAGCTTAGTCGCCCACACCACTGAGCAGGAGGAGGAGGAGGAGGAGCAGGAGGGAGGAGCTCCTCCCACACTAATGCCCAAGGCCCCAGTTCCCCCGCAATGCGCTATCTGTGCTGGGATAATTATTGACTCCACGTTCTCTTCAGCTCAACCAGCCGCCCTCCTCCGGCTGCTTTCAGTTACACCAGCCTAGCGGTGGTCCCTCGTGCATGTCGGGGGAGAAAATGGAGGAGCATGCCAAACTCCAGTTTGCGCAGACAAAAAATCCGGGGAAATCGGATGTCGCTCTCGGAGCCGACACACCAGCCCAGAGAAGGCCACTATCCCCCAATCAGGCGCTGTGGGGCCAGTATTAGGCGTTTTACCCAATGGATTCGGTCAGTTATCGGTGCCAATCAACTTTCAACTTGCATGACAAACGAGTACTATGGTTATCGCCACAACCAGTGCGCTGTTATTTGCCATGCAGGCATCCGATAACTTACCAATGAGACCCAACCCGATCGGTCATCATGATACCGTATCAGGGTCGAATGTGGGTCTGATTGTGATAGATGCTGACGATTTAGTTACAGAGTACAGGTTTCGTAAACTATCACGTTGGACCCTAGTGGCGACTCAACCCTGATACTGGTCATGCTGATCAGCTGATCACATACCTTCGGTTTGCGCTATGCCATAGTATTGCTGGTGGGAGTAGTCTTGAAGTTTAGGACTGGCTCCGTGATGGTACGACTGCACCATCTAGCCGCGGGTATAGTCACGGGGAGGAGCTCCTTTGCCCGTAGGCGCAGCAGATGTTACCGCAGAATGCTAACGCAAGGAAATCAGACATGGAACGATCCATTTGGAGGATTGTATAACGTTATAATGAGTCGCAAAGTATAAGACAACCAAAGAATCTAGTGATAGCTCCTGTTCCAATCAAGCACATCTTCCATACAGACTGAAGACAGCCACAAACCCCATTTCCACTTATACGCATATAGTCATGGCACCCACCTCGTCTTTCAACCCACCCGCGGCTGATCTTCCGGGCAAGCCAGTTGTGCCCGAGTGGAACGCGCCCCCAGTCACTCAGGAGAAGCACAACTTCGCCGAGCTCAGTTCCATTGACTTGTCTTTGCTCGACTCCGATGACCCAGCCGTCGTTGACCAGCTGGTGCAGCGCGTTAAGTCTGCCATCCGCGATGATGGCTTCCTCTTTCTCGAGAACTATGGCATCTCCCTAGAGCAACTTCATCGCCAATTCGCCATCGCGCAATACATGTACAACAACATCACCGAAGAGGACAAACAACGTCTACTCTTCAGCCCAGAGACCGGTGTCTGGTCTGGTTACAAGCATCCCTATGGCTTCAAGGTAAACTCTATGATACGTCTTGCACCCATACCGTGACCTGACATTTCTGTTCTTACAGCGCCACCGCGGACCCCCTGATGGCATCGAGCAGTTCAACTGGTACAAGCCCGACTGGGAAGATTCAAGCCGAGTCCCCAACTGTCTGCACCCATTCATGGACGAGATCGAGGCCTTCTGCAACTACCTGACCAACTCAGTAAACCGCCGACTCCTCACTCTCTTTTCGCGTGTTCTTGAACTGCCCGACGAATACCTCTGGGAGAACGTTCAGTCTCACGGCAGCCCGACCGGCGAGGGCTACTTCCGACATGCCCTGTTCCGACCGGTCCAGAAAGAGACGGAAGAGGCATCGAAAGGTCTTCGCATGCACGGACACACAGACTTCGGTCTGACGACACTATTGTTCTCCGTGCCCATCTCCTGTCTGCAGATCTGGGGCCGAGACGAGAAGTGGTACTACGTGCCGTACAAGCCCGGTGCGCTGGTCATCAACATCGGCGATACTCTGGAGATCGTCTCTGGCGGTCACTTCAAGGCCACCCGCCACCGAGTCTTCAAGCCGCCTGTGGACCAGCTCCAATCCGAGCGCCTGTCTCTGGTCTTGTTCAACAGCTCGGTCGGCGATCTGCAGATGTCGCCCGCATACAGTAAGTCGAGACCGACCCAAGGGTATAACATGTATTGTACGCTGACCAGAAACCCACCAGACTCGCCTCTGATCCAGCGCGAGGGTTGCATCGAGGAACAAGGTATCTACAAGGAGTACAAGAAGACCATGTCCGGTGGTGCTCCCGTACCAACAAACAAACAATGGCGCGAGATCCAGATAGCCACGGCCACCGACCCGACAGATACCGAACACAACCGAGTTGGTGTACATCAGGTCATCATTGATGGCAAACTCATGCACCAAAGGGAATACATGGGAATGAAGGTTGTCCTGCCCGTGTAAGCAATATGGCAGCGACCACCGGTCAGCCTCGTTGTGGGTGCATGTCAAGATAGATTTTCATGTTTTCTGAAATTACATAGCCTTGTTTATCTGAAAGTCTTATATTTTATTGAAATCTTCGGACTTGTTTGTTGTGCTACGTCGTTCTAACATCTCTCATTAATCATGATATCAAAATCGTCTTACATCGTCTTACATCAAGAGGGTAGCGGAACATTCCGATACCACTCTCTGTCACACTCACAGAGTTGTGGACTCTTTATGTACGCGACATAGATCAATCTCCAGCAGGAGCCCGTACCCCGCTCACCGACCCAACGTCTCCAGACAGCCTAGTATTAACTTGCCAAGCTGCCATCGCCGTCTGCGCTGGAACACCTTTCTTGCCCATGCCAAAGCCCCCTGTACGTCCCCGTCATGGACACCGACAACATCCATGGCGCCAGGCATGCCGCCACGCACGAGCTGCCAAGCGATCAGGAAAGCTTTGTACGCATATAGCAGGACCCATGGTGCTTCAAATTCCGGCGTAATCTTGTCATCAAGATATCGAAGAAACCAGTCAACGTGGGGCTGAACGGCTTTGGCGATAGTCGATTCGCAAAGAAGCTCCACGTGGGGCGATAGATACGTCGACTGGTTGAGGAGCGAGTCTATGCTTTCCTCCACGATTCCGCCAACATGTGATGGCGACCATACCTGCAGCTCGATCATGGCGGTCTCCCAAGTCGCCTCGCACAACGCGCCATGCTCGGACCTCAAAGTGTTAGGTTGTTGGCGTATGAACGGGCCAAGCGCGACTAGAGAAGCCTTCAGCGGCTCAAACCTCTCCAAGCTGATCATACCTGTCATGGTAGACCAGCCCGAGATTTCACGGGCACTTGATATCAGGAACTGAGTAATGTTGATGGCGCCATAAGGGTCAAATGCTGGGAGGGAGGTGAGGTCCGCATCTGATGACAGAAACCTTCGAACAGCATCCGGATACTTCATCGACAGGCCGGATGGCTTTGATACCAGTTGTTGATGTGCCCACTCGGCTGCAGAGGCTGCATTCCAGTGGTTCTCTGGACAAGGCAGGTCGTGCTTGACTTCTAAGTGTGAGAGCTGTCGTGGCACAGATAAGAATTGATACCATAGAGCATCGATCTGGTGGACTGCGAAAAGTGTTCGCTTGAGGGACTCGGTCCTGACGAACTCTCTCCAGAGGGAGTCCAGATCTCCTGCCGCCGTGGGATGGGTGGAGATTGGCTGCATCAACCCTGCACTTCGGGCATGGGAGATCATCTTGGAGTGCATCTTCAGGCCATATGTTGAGTCTTTTCCACACAAATACATCATGGAGCATATTTGAAGCATCAAGTACGCTTGAACCAAGGTGACAGGAGGGACGGCATCCCCCAGACTGGCCTCGTCAAAAGCAATCAACCCACGAGCCTGATGAAAGCAGTGTCTGGAAAGACTTGCACCTGAGCCTGGCTGATTTTCAAGATCCGGATCTTCGCCGTATTGGTAAGCAAGGCATAAGACACTCAGAAGCAAGTGCCGCGCTATCACTTGGTCATCAAACATGCTTTGATGGAGAAAAGGGAGGAAGTGGGAGACGTGGGCGAAGAACAGATCGCAGCCTTTCCCAATCTGTGCATCAGTGGGCGACCAATCGTCCTGGATTTGTGGCGGACTATTTGACGGTGAGTAGCATGATTGCTCTTGGACCACGTTGCACGAGGCCATGATGGTATCGAACGGGGTTGCTTGTGAGTTTGCCTGTGAGTTTGCCAAGGATGGATAGCTTTCCGACGACAGGCTCGGTCGGCTCGCGGTGGCATCTTCCAGTATGTGGTCGATGGACATGGAGGAGTTGGTTGTCAATTGTGTCGTGGATTGCCCAGCCCGCGGATCAGAACCATGCTGCTGCTCATCGCGCATAGTTACCGTCCGCCAAGGATCGTCGCCTATCGCCGGTCCCTCGTATTCTCCTGGAGACCAGCCGGCATGACTCTCTGAAGGTGAGACAGATGGAGGAGACTTGTTCCCCTGCGATTTGACTTCACTGCATCCTTGCTCCGATGCAGATGAATCGTGCCGCGAGCCCCTGGCACCCCGCTTCTCCCATTGCTCCGGATGCTTTCTCTTCACATGGCGATGCCGCAGATCGTTGCGTGAAAATGTAGCTGCGCAGAAGTTACACGGCAACGCACCCTTGCCTTGTACTCGAGAATGAAGTGCGGCATGCCGTTTGAGGTTCTCGTGACGGGTGAAACGACTCTGGCAAACCAGGCATTGGAACGGCTGGTACGGGACACCTGCGCTGGCAACAGAGACAGACATGGTGGAAGAGTTGGGGGAACAAAGATCAATTGCCGGCGGCGACTGAAACTCACGGAATCGAGTTGTTATCGTTGGCGGAGGAGAGGCCCAATAGCCAACAAGCCGGCTAGTGCTAGGGGCGGCCCACTTTCCCCGCAGAGAGATAAGGTAGCAGGTAGCAGGTAGCAGGTAGCTGGAGTTGCTGGAGTGGTTACCCGAAGATTGGGTAATGTTGCAGCTGTGGCGCGACTAACCATGGTGTTTTACGTTGGTAAGTGTATATCGGCTATCGGTGAGCGGGCAGACAAGCAGGCGACGCCGGCGTCGCCTAGGCTGCATTTATTTATTACTTCTCTGAGGATGGGATGACTTCGGTCACCATCACCATGTTGATCAACACCGAAGTATTGATATCGCGGCCTGAGGCAATACCCCTATGCAATATTCTATGACTGATTGTGACTGATTGAGCCAATCATGCCTTATATCATAGTGTCATTGACGCTGGCCCCTTGGTGGCACTTGGTGCGCGACACTAAGAGAACAGCCATGATTCAATCGTAGGCATAACCAAGGAAAACTTTAACAAAAAGTCGCATGAATCCACATCTGCACCTGTTAGCGAATTCGCGAAAGGAGTCGCACATGTGAGTAATTGGTGCTGATGTCAGCGCTTGTTGGACGAGCATCGAGACTTTCGTTAGAGTATTTCGTCAGATTTAATTCTTGAGAGAGTATTGGAAAAAGGCGGATGAATATTGGCTCACTTCAAATGTGGATATGCTTCGCTTTTAAGCGCTAGCGCCTTATCATTGACTGGGTCGGATCACAACACCAAGACATCGCTGGGGCTTGAACCAGGCATAGTCCCGTTTCTATCAACCGATTCATTGAGCCCGTAATTGAATGCTGTGATTGGTATGTGTGTCCAGATGACTTTTCTCTCACGTACAATTTTGTTTCTTGTAGACAAGGACCGAGGCACCAGGAAACCTTTTGGTCAGCATATCGATGAAAACAATGCTCTCGAGGTATCTTGCTTCAAAATACTCAACCTACTTATGGCGGAAGTTGATCTTGATCGGAGATAACGTATTTTAAGTATGCAATCCTAGCGGCTTTCTCGGATTCTGTTCGACAACCGGTTCCGAAACAAGCAGTATCGAAGTCATTCATTGTCATTGTTGTACTAAACTGGGTTTCATCATAATACCACCCACTACTTAACATGCACACGTAGCTATTTTCCATTATAGCATCGGATTCGAAAAAACAACTCGGGTGCACCCATTGCCGTCTTCCTATTCTGGAGGCACTAGGCCGCCTGACACACATCGCCAAATTCCGGGATGAGTTTTCAGAAATTAAGAAAACATCAGGAAGCGGGTGCGACGCGTCGAAAGAACTTGCAAGAGAAATTCCAAGCTAGAGAAGAAGGGACCATTTAAGCCATACTACAATAATACAACTTCAAGCGTAATTAACGCTGGTTGCTACTTGATTTGAAAATGCACCGGCGCCAGCAACTTGACGCCGAACTTCCGTCTGGCATCGACGAGCTTCTTGAGAAACTCTACCAGTCGAAGATGCAGGAGCAGAAAACTCTTTGAGAAATCGAGAGTTGATGTACTAAGCACATGTTTTTATGATTTCTAACGAACTAGGAAAAGAAAAAAGAGTAAAAAGACCTTCACTATGCTTGGGTTGAATGGGATATGCCTGGCTTGTTAATAGCCTTTCAAGATGAGTTCCACAATTATAGTCCTTAATTAACTCTAGGATGCATGGGTGACACTCAGGTTTCAAGAGTTGGTGAAAAAAACTGGAAACAGACTTTATGGAAGGGAGTGCAAATTTTGTGTTGATATCACCCTGTTGCCGCATTTGCGTTCACCTGAGTATCCCCTAATCAAAATTAGTTACGAAAGACTCGCCTTGAGCTCATAGCCTTACTGATAATGCTTATAATCAAAATATTTCTGCTTTCCACTTAAACTTAGCATTTTTCTATGTCTTAAAGTGTTCTTATCGGTGGAGCAGTCTATTGTCAAAGACACTTCTACGTCGTCAACGGACGTTGGTGGTACATTCAAAAGTTAGCGATCAAGAGTTTGCTGACTTTACTTGGTGACTAGATAAGTGTAAGATTTCTACATAAAGGGTCGCAATTCCGGAACGTGCACGTTTACCTACTATTCCCACCCTTATATTATTTTCTTCCAAATAAGACCTCACACAAAAGAATAACTTTTTGCAATTCAGTACTATTGCCAATCTTACCGAATCGTCTCCAGACAAGACCAGGAATCAGAAGATCAACCTTTGAGGCCCATAATCTGATTGGAACCTTCACCTTCAACTACTAACACCTCCATGCTCACCTACTTTCTCTCAAGGAAAAACTTAACACAAAAGAGCAACCTCAAGCCCACATCACGCTAGTTTCTGCTCTATCTAAACACCCTTGACAACATTTATCTCATTGCAAAACATTCACATACTGCAAGCAGCCTTTCTTTCCTTGTGATATCTTCCTTGTTTCCACAGCTTCATTTTCACACCATCTCACTTCACAACAGCTCATATCATATTCACTCTGCAACGAATATGTGCTTCCAGAAGAACGTCCCGACTGAACTCACCGATATGGCTTTGTTCACTCACAGTACCGACGATCATTCCACCGAGGAACAATCAGACTCTACCCTCGATTGGGACATCCGCGATCAGGAGCAGGCTAAGCTGAATGATGGGACGACATCTTCACCTACCCATGCCTTGGAATCGCACAACAAGCTACTAGATCGTCAGATACAGATGCTCCGTAATCATGCCACACAGCTGGAGCACGCCAATCAGGCACTCACAGACAGCCTTGCCTCGAAGGAGCAGATTTTGGAAGCTAAAAATTGCCGAATCAAGCGCATGCGCCACAAGTATGAGTTAAAGCAGGCACAGGTCGGTCGAATGGAGAAAATTCACCAAAGCTTTGTACATCGCAATTCAGACAAGCACCAGGCTCTCACCAAGCTCGAGAAGAAGTTCAAGAAGATCCATGACGAGCATGAGAAATTCAAGCGTGACGCCGCTGAGCTCATTGTGGCAGCCACCAAACAGCTGGAGGCTCAGGTGCTGACGCGAAATCCGATGATCCGAGCTCACGGCATGGTGAAGTACAACGAGGGCTATCTTGATGGCGGGGGATTTCTCGGCCAGCACGTCCAGCAGGATGCTGAAGACGACATCACTGATGCACGTGCCAATGAACGACAGGCTAGCAGAGCTCTGAACGATCGTATTTTAGAGCTCTTTGACTTCTTTGGCATCGATATCGTCCCAACACCTTAGTCGGCGATGCAATAGAGTGGTCGGTGATGCGATAGATTAATCGGCGATGCTATGATATATGGGTCACAGTTAGGGCGCGTAAATGGGCTCTCTGGCAGGGTATATGGTGTTGACGACAACTTGAGCCCCTAGGTTTCGTCAATAATAGAATGAACTGACATAATGACACCCATGAAGCTACCTGAAAGGTGAAGGTATTCGATTGATGATTCCTCAGGCTTTGATAATAACAAGCATTGATGGAGTAACTTTCATTATGACTGTTATCTTTGAACTAAGTTGCTCTTGCCGCTTCAGAACAATCGCACGGAGTCTGGATCAGTGATTAGTAGATATTTCGTTCCTTCTTTAATTCTGTTGGCCATCTTTATATAAACACCACACTCAGCCACAACCATCTAAATCACCCCTCTCTCATCTCACTTCTTCTGATCCTGCTCTGATCTTCTTCTGACCATAAAATCCACAATCGGTCAATATCACTGCCATCATAGTGTTGTCAAGTCAAATTCGATACTGGCGACAGAAAGAAATATACACTTGACAAATACACGGCATTCACTACACAATCATCATGGCATCTGCCAACAGAACAGTCACCGATGCCATCGAGTCCACTACCATCTTGCTGAACCTACTCGAGGCCATTAAGCGTGATGGCGTCTTTGATGCGGCCGGTTGCGGCAACGGTATCGAGGCTTATGTCAAACACACGGAGACATTTACTACTGCTATGAGTGCCCAGGCAGCTGTTCTAGCTCCGATCGTTCGAGGCACTATCAAGCACCTGGACGCAGCAAAACAAACTCACTCACACCATGAAGAAGTTGGCTCTATCATTGGTGGCTACGGCACTCTGAAAGACTGGTCAACTAACGCTGCAAAGTGCGAGGAGCACATTGTGTTGGCTAAGGGGCTTCTAGACAATATTACCAAGTCGATCGCGGACCTCAGAAAGGTACATGCAGAAACCGAGGCGGATCATCTCGCTGTTGAGTTCCACGATGCCGCACACTCGGCATTTGAGAAGCTCGGTACCTTCAACTTCCCCGTTGCCCTTGGAGGCGCACGGGTTACCAACACTTCAGACCGCCATCACATAAAGGTCACTCAGATGGGTGATACTGTCGCTGACAATACTTCTTTTCAAGAATTGGGTTTGTCTGAAGTTGGGCTTTCTGGTCCCAAGGAGATCTATACCCAACAACCAGACCCATTCTATGCCCCACGCTATCGCGCTTCACCAACCAACTGCGAGGATGACACTCATTTGTACAGCATTCAGGACCTTCCTGCTGAGTTAGATCTGGCCCATGGCACTCACGAGCACGAGGATCTATTGAACATTCACGGGAACGGCAATTTTACTGACCACGTTGCATCCATGGATCACAATCAGTCCACTCCAGAACAGCACCCTGATGCCTTGGAAAGAGCTTCTTCCAACTACTGTGGGAGTCCAGGCCCTCGTGATTATGCCTGGCCAGCCCAACCTCGGACAACTCGTTACCGAGATCACCTTCTGATACCCGCAGAAAGCCTCACCCCTCTTGCTAAGCGTCCGTACGGTCGTGTGCCATTCGTGTATTCGCCTCCCGGCCTTCGCAAATCAAAGAAGGAGAAAACCTGCAAGCACCCAACCACTAAACAGCCTTCTTACTGGAATGGCGAGTGGTACAACTATGGAGACGATTGGGGCCGCAACGGTAGTGCTTTCTCGAATTACGATTGCGGCGCTCAAGCCTCCCCCCACCAACCTGAACGTTCCTTCAACCCTTACGAGTCTTACTGCCGTTACACAGTAGATACAACCATGAACACTCGAGATGCCGTTCATCGACAGGACAACAACGGCAGTGCCCCGGTCACTACTAAGGAGTGGAACAGTGACTGGATTGCTCCCGGTCTCAGAGACGGAGAGGAATGGTAGACCCATGATCATCAAGGGTGCTGTGATGAGATATCCAGAAGGAATAAGTGTTTGGGCGCAAATGGGAGACCAATATCATTTCAATGATAGTTGACACCAAAACTATTCATACGGGTAGCAGTCCTCTTGAGGTTCTTTGGAATCTAGGCAAATGCCAGTGGGACCAATCCATAGACACTAATACACTGATTGTAAACAATTGTCTGCTAAGCTGATGCGGAATAACCATAGCAAGGAGTGCATGTATGTTGGATTCGAACAGACCTTCACTGTGCTAAACTGAGACTACTATCTGATTAGACTGATTTATGAGCTTGCTGCTCGCCCGGCACTGTTGATGACGAGGGATGTCACGTGGCCGGCGAAAGGGGGTTTTATCACATACTTGAAGTGGATGACTGAGATACGCTCTTGCCTCAGTTAAGAATTCTCACTGGCGGCGCCGAGACGTGACTCCAAATACCAATGCTGTGATATGTAAAAACATGCTCCGAAATCTGTCACGCTGGGTGACAATATCGCGATGCATGACCCAAACAAAGAGTCCGGGTGGTTCTTGGACCAGTGTCCAGAACATCCAAGTGTGGTCAGCCGTCTTGTGAAGCCGTGTACCACACCAGACTGGTGGTGGTACCAATGTTGTAACAGCTTGCTCACAATGTTTGGCGCTCAAGTAAACGGGCTGTTCCTTGTACAGCAGCCAATCTAACGAATCTTGAACCACAAGCTGCTCGCGGTAGGTATTGTGCACTTGACAGCCTCAAGTGAGTTCGTCTGATGGTCCTAGCCACTACATATCCCCGCCCGTCGAGTGCTACAGCGATAACTAGGGCTTCTAGGGCATTCAACCCTCTAGATATTTTCTATTTAGGATGAGTTTCTTCCTACTAAGATTGAAGTTTCTTTCCTCCTTTCTCTAAAGTCACACATTGTTTGTCACTTTTTTTCTTGTCTCAGATGGTGATATACCATACAAAGCATTCTTGTTTACAACACCACTCACCATCACTCACCACCAATAACAAGCTTGACTACTGGGGCTCTGAAAAACATCCTCACCAGACTCACTACATTTGTGAGTAATGATGTCTGGTTTCTCCGGCAGTCCTCCAATCTGATTCTGTTCAACAGTAAGAGTCTCTTTGCGAAATATTCCAAGGTCCTTTTGCTGAATGTTGAGCTATTGTGACCAAAGCAATTTGTTGAGCTCCCAAGGTAGGTAAAACTCGGTCTGACCCTATCGCGGCGGAGAGAAAACCATGTCTTTGGATGTTTGGTTGTTGACTATTTCCCAAGCTAGTGTTTCATCTGATATCAATATCAGGGATTGCAATTCCTGAATTCACACCAGTTCATCGACTCTGTCCTGCTTGGCAAGACATCTGCTTTGACGAAGTCGTTAGGATGAATCAAAGTCTGAGTGTTTAAACCACTTTATTGTCCTGACTAGTACTGCTTCTCAATTATAAGTTAGTCATATTCTATCACATCGCTCCGTGTTTTAAAAGATGGGTAAAGCTAATAGTTCACTGGAGATCAGAGCGTTCTTTGGCATCATCTTCCTATCGCTTCAATCACTACGCTTGAGTCGCATCCAGACATTTCTTCCCGCACCCCTCTCCTACTCACATCCCTCCGAGGTTTGGCGTGGTTACCGGCAGTAGACAACTTTTGAGGCTCACATTCAATCTTTGGATCTTGGCGCATCATGTCTGCTCAGGATGATACAAATAGCCACTTGGCTCGCATCACCGGTGCGCCCATCAACATTCCGGATGCAGATGATATCAGCGGCGGCTTGCCTGATATTCTTGACTTGACTTCTGACCAGTACCTCAGTCCCGTCATGGATGTCTTGCGTGGAATTGATGTGTCACAGCACATGAGCAATTGCATACGCAACGCTATTCCTGTCATTGTGAGACAAGGACGAAGCGACACTCAGATCAAGGAGTCTGAAAGCTTGAACCCAGGCACTACGTCGAATGGACCACATCATGTCGAGCGAGAACAACCTAAGATCCCAGGCGAACGACTCCTTGAAGCTCTTGCATATCGCGCTCAATTCGACGAGCTTGCCGTCGGAGCCCATGATGCAACGATTGGTCAGCTTGCACCAATTCGATATGAACTTGCCAACACTATGTCGGAAATCGAATCCAAGATTACTTATCTTGAGCGCCGTATCTCAAGCATCACTGACATCACCAACGAGTCGGAGAACGCGATGACCATGAACACAGGCTCTGTATCTGCTGGCAAAAATACTGGCCAACTCGTGGACATGATCAATGCTCTGAATCCTACCACCGAGTTGGAGCGTGCTAAGGAGCTTTACAGAGAGCGAGCCAAGCTTGTCACCAAGGCCCTGAGAACTATGGACCACATCGAGGTTCTTTCCGATCATCTCGTCACGGTCATGGGCCCCATGATGGACGCCAACTTTGACGAAATCAGTGATATAGGCTATACTCGGATCAATACTGACTGCTAGACCTCATCTGCACCACGTGATTCCCGCGACATCACCTACTCGGCAACCAATCTCTAATACCTTTATTCTGAGCCATGAAGGGGTTCACCAAGGCTGCGCAGAAATGTGGAAAAGGAAGCAATAGGCCAATCCCAAGACTTTCACTGTAATATTCAGTTACGCCTGCGACATTGAGCAATCTTTGCACTTCACGGCTTTCTTGCACTGTTTCCCGTGAAACACATCTTTGGAAAAGGGGTCAACAAACTTCCATATTCTGTTGACACAATTCTCCTCTACAGTCATACACTGTCTCCTGATGACATCATGTGTCAATTAATATGGCAGATATGATGACAAAGAAAAGACACTCAAGCAAATCAGAAAGGAATAGAAGAAAAAGAAAAGGCCACAACAGAAATCAAAAGAAGACCAAGATAGGAAAGGAAAGGAGAAAATCAATGATCTATCGCCCTACCGCCCAGCCTACGTCTTCCTCAAGGAGTAAGGATAATTGGACAGCCACTGACATAAGCCAGGGATCTGCACGAGCGCCCCTTTTGTCAAGTAGTTTATACAGCGATGTCAATTCACCATGTATCCTAGGTACACACTCCAGTAACATGAATTATGGAGGTCGTACTTTGAAGAACGAGTGGTGAATACGTATTGCCCTACAAACGTATCATGAATCACCAAGCACTGATAATAGATTATATGTACCTTCTCAGAAATCTCGTGTTCTTTACTTCCAGCCGTCAGTTACCGGTGCTACTACGATGCCGAGACAACAGATTTTATACACCATCATGATTTAACACGAACAGATAGAGATACTGGCTAAGTTATAACAAGCATTTGGATATATCTATGTAGAATGTCGCATATGAGCAATGAGTGTGACGAGGGGGCGCGTGCTATACACCGAGACACAGGCCTGTGACTATAGTCATACTTTCTCTTTCTTTTGTACATACTTATGGTATATACTTGGAAAGTGACGTTACAACCCTTTAGCTTCGTGTCTTTACTAAATTCTTTAACTACTATCTACACATTGTCGGTTCGTAGTAGCTTGCTGTTTTTTTCATGTAGAAATTCTGTTTAAAAGCTTGGTTTTATTGCCTTGCCTTACCATTAATTCTCATTACACTTCGCTAATTTCTTTCCAAACTTTTTTACCTTCTAATAACGCGTAAGAATATGGAGGACGAAAAGAAAAACGCCATATGGAGTTTGCCAAGATCCTCTCTATGAGGACTATGGTATTAATTAAACTGCTCTTAATATGTAACAAAAAGCAACATAACAGGCTTTAATATTAATGAGTGCCTAGATATCACATTTGTTTGAAGTAGAACCTGGAGAAGTGATGGTCATACTAAATAAGCCAGTCACGACGGTCGTTAAGAAAGCGAAATACCATTTCTAGAGCTAGAATTGATAAGGAAATGACGGTGTTTACGGCTGGAAAGCTATGTAGTAGTCTATACCAGCACTCAAGGTATCCGAGGAAGTAATAAAAACTAATAATAATGGCACTATGATGCCAGAACCAACGTGTCTGGTATCTTTTTATTTATTTGTATGTGATTGTAGGCTGCATTAACTGATATTATAATTCTTTTGATTCAATTTATACGGTGCTTCACCCATTCACGTTATAGCTGACTTTTAAAAATCGGCGACACTAAAACACTAGGAACACGTTTACGGGACTTTGTTGTGACCAACCTCACATAGCAACCAAAACACGTTAAGTACTAGCAGTCCATACCAGCTCACTGATCTTTGTTTGATTTTTTCCCCATTGGTTCTTTCATTGAAGTTGGAGAACTTCTTCTAATAACACAACTTTCACCACCCACGCTCGAATTCCACTCTCACATTTCCGCGTAACTTCATTCATCGTTCCAATCACTTTTTCCACGCCAGTACTATCGCACCATATTGTCTCGCGTAGGAAACGATCATCCTACCATTTTTCTGCCATATTGACTGCATTATTTGCGGCACGTAGCTTTGGCCAGCCGCTCTTCGAGATGGACCGCATATTCCACCATGAGAACTCAGGTGCCAGCCGTGAGATTACGACCGACTATTTCGACGATATATATGACACTACACCAACAACTGCTACTAGACCCCATACTAGTAACGCTGATATTACTGCACTTCGTAAGAGATTCCACATTATTTCCCACATAGCTCTCACTAATCATCTTACACAGCGCTGCTGTCTGAGCCGGCTTTTAACACCACCACGACCGCCATCGTGAATGACCCGTACGGTATATACAATGGCAGTCCTAGATTGAACGCTGCACATAGTTTTGAAGAAGATGGGAGCTGTGACGAGGTCACTATCAGTAGGTTAGCCATGGGAGCATGCTGAAACACCTCACTGATAACCAGAAAAAGCAGACTTACTCCCAGCCTCACTTCTATTTGCCATGGATGAGTCTGTTCAATCGAATATTGACCCCAACGGCACTCGTAATGTCGCCAACATGACCGAGCACTATAATCTAGTCGCACAACAGATTTTTGACGACAACCGCGTGAATCAGACATTGGCGCTGGTGCCGAACATGGGCATCGCTACGACCGAGAACCACGAGACCGAGGATCGTCGTTCGAGGAGAGATGCAAACTACCATGGTTCTAGAAACCGTTGGCGCGCAAGAGACCGTGCCACGTCCCGTAGGAGCAACACGGCACGATTCATCACTAACATGCCACCCGATGTCAGATTTGATGAGATCTTCGACGCTATCCCGATGGTAGGGCAGGTGAACTTTGTGACAGTCATGCTACCCCGCCTGGACCATCGCCGAGGGTTAATGCGTCCAAAATCTGCCGCCACTCTCGCCTTTTTTACCGCAGAGGCAGCCCGGTCCTTCGACAACCACGTAGGACTGCACGGCTTCACGGTTCGAGGCCAGGATACCCTCGTTCGCATAGATGAGAACGGATCGGCTCCGTTGCCAGAAGATTTGGGTACCCGAGTCCTCGTCATGGAAGGGGCGGCCAACTTTGCACACCCCATATTCATTCAACAGTATATGCGCCTCTCGTACATCTACTATGACGTTGATCGGGAAATTAGGACACCACTGGAAGATGGACGTGTTCGTCTCGAGCTGCGACTGGCAGCCTGGCGCCGTCAGGCCCAGTCGATTTACAAGGTCATCCTAGCAGAGCTTTCTGACGTTCTCGATATTCGTTATGGGCCTGACCCTTGTTCACCCAGTGATACCGCCGCCGATGACATGCCGTCTGGTGATGGCGGCCATACTCACGGCTCGACAAGCCCGGATTGAGCAGGCACGACGGTGTGAACCAGGCGAGGATTTGCCCGGGAGGCAGTCATGGGTACTATTGCCACATAGCTAATAGACAGGGGGGGGAGCCTGGCTTGGGTACAAGGCCAGTATGCGGACAACGAGAAATGGTGGGAGCCGTCATCATCGCTTCTGACCGTTGGATATGAGCAAGGGAAGAACAAACGTTCATGATTTAGGGAATGGCGTCGCTTTGGACACAGACAGCCACCGTCGCACTAAGTGATACCCATAATTTAGCTTGGAGAGCGAGGCCAGTGTGCCATTCACGTAGTTGCTTGTGCGTGCTCGTTCAAGACCCAGAGCTTTCTTCTTTTGTAATGCATGGTGAAAGGACGAGTGGGGTTCAATCATGACCTAGACCTGCGTCTCAGCCAGAGAGAGCTTATGAAGATAGCTTATTGGTAATAATATCGAGGAGTGATCGGGCTTTTGACGCAAGAGCAAGAGCATCGCTCGTGACAAAGTATGAGCCATACTATGTATGTATGCTCTAGACTACCTCAGAACTTGAGTGCACGTTGAAGTTTGGACATGACAATCATTTAAGTTAAAAGCACGCACGACACTCGGTACCTGCCTTACCTGTAAGTGCTCAGCCCCCTGAGCGCCAAGCCGGCTTTAGCGTGAACTCTCTCTAGCGTGCCCCGCTGCTGCCTGCACTGACGGAAAACGCTTACTACCCCTAATAAACTTAAAGGAATGCGTCGCAGTCGGACGATTGCTCATCATCATTGAATCAATGCATGCATTCAATGCCCGTTTTCTGTAACCCAAACGCCTGCAGCTCCATCTAGTACCGCTGCGTCCATTCCTTCCCTTCACTTCACCTTTCACAACTGATGCCTCGCATCACCGTATCACGCATTCTTGGGCTGGTCCCGTTAACGTGGGTTTGTCTGGTCGGAACATGGTTCTTCCTGCCATCGCCCGTGCTTCAGGACATCGCCCACGATGAGTACATCCAACAGCACTTGAGGGTTGGCAGCACAGTAACCACCATCATTGAGCGAGGGAGCTCCATCAAGTTCACTCGGGGCCAACGGCAGTGCAGCGGCGAATGCAGTGGCCTCATCTTTGATTGGCGTCTGGAGGCACATCGCGCTTCGGACAGCCTCATGCTGCGTGTCGGGGAAGCTCGCTTCAACCTGACAGAGACAGTGTTGAAGGGTCCCTCTGATCTCAAGCCGGCTGACCAGCGAGCGCCATATCTCAGCCCATCTTTCAGCGCACGGGTTCGCGCCGGTGGCACGGATCATGACACAGCCCTCCCCTGGTTCAGATGGACTGACAAGGTCCTGATCACCTCGTTGATGCACAACCTCCATGAGGATGTCGACCTGAGGATCTTCAGTCCCGAAGCTGGCATGGTTGAGATCTGGAAGGATATTGGCATGTGGGAGTCATACAAGCCTGGTGACGCCGTGAGGGAGACGGAGCGCGAGGTTGGGCTCCTGGCCAGCTTCTCGCACATTCCGACGGATCAATTCTCTGGCGCCAGTGCCTTGAGAGCCAACTCCGCCAACATCAAGATTGCGAAAGTGCAGGGCCAGCTTCCGTCCAAGACGTGGCCGATCCGCGCCATCATCGCGGGCCCACTCTACGTGCCTACCTTCATGCTCTCGGTGATCATTTGGAGCTTTACTTTCGACCTGGTGCCGCTGTCGGCCATCCTCTTCTTCCAGATGCTGGCGATCTTGATCATCTTCGTCGGCCTTCAGCGAATCAACCTGGCCTGGCTCTGCAGGGACAGAGCGAAGCGGCCAAAGAACCGGGGCATCTGGGGCGCGGCCGGGCCCATCACCGACGAGGAAAGCGGACTTTTGGCGATTCGGCCACAAAACGTCATGGCCATGTTCCCGAACGCGATATCGAAACCGAGCAAGTCGAGAGCTCCCGTATTTGACAAGGCCTGAGGCTGGGGACAACCGCAGCTTATGTACATAACTAGTTTAGCATTCGGCAAAATGTATTTTCTTGGTGTATCACTCCCTCTGTGTGGCATGCGTCATTTCCTTACGGCTTGGCACATATCGAAGTTGTCCAGCGCACGATTTACAGCATGCATGTGCCACTGCCAATTATCCTCCATGGACCTGTGGCTTTCATATGTCCCGATGCCAAAACGATGAAGCCGACCTGTTGGCCGTCTCTTAACTACTTTGTGACGAAGCACTTGCCGTGCTCTCCGAAACAGCTCTCCAACGGAATAAACGATTCCAGCATGCCTGGCGACCTAGAGGTGTTACCGAGGCTCGACTAGCGTCCGCCATGCGGAGAACGTATGTAGGTCGCGAACGCGGGGGAGAGGATCTGGGGTAGCAGCTACGCGAGCGACAAGGGGCCAGACCGCGGCCAATGAAGATGCATATTGGCAGCCCGAGATGATGCGTCTTGCCGCTTGTAGAAAGACTACCGGATGTGGCACTTGCAGGCTTTCTTCAGTTGCAGTATTTATAAGTCTAGCCTCTTCATTTGAGAAATGTGGCGCTCGCTGTCTTGCAGTTTACCATACTTGAGATTACCTCCTTCTATCCTACATATACGTACATATTCTCTTGTGTCAACCCTCCCTGAAACCCTCACACGCCTGACCAACTGAAAGAAAACCAGGATGCCACGCCGTCCCGTCCGCATCGCTAACTGCTCGGGCGCCTCGCCGGACCCGGGCGACTTCATGCTGCACCAGGCCGTCTCCGGGCCCGTGGACGTCATCACCGGCGACTACCTAGCCGAAGCCAACCTGGCCCAGCACGCCTCGGCGTACTCCCGCGGTGCGCACCCGGGCTGGGTGGCCTCGGCCTGGGACGGCCTGCAGAAGTCGCTGGGCGCCATCGCCGAGCGCCGGATCAAGGTTGTCATCAACGGCGGGGCGCTGAACCCACGGGGCCTCGCCGAGGCGACGGACAAGCTGGCCCGCGAGAAGGGCCTCGGGCTCAGGGTGGGCTGGGTGGACGGGGACGACCTGATGCCCAGGGTCCGGGACCTGCTGAGGAGGGACGGCCAGGGGCGGCTGCCGCACCTCGACGGCGGGAGCGAGGAGGTGAGGCTCGCGGGGGGCACGGACGGCTTCCTGGAGGACCCGGAGAAGCCCATCGTGGCCGCGAATGCTTATCTGGGCTGTCGGGCCATCAGGAAGGGGCTGGACGAGGGCGCCGATATCGTCATCTGCGGGAGGGTTGCGGATGCAAGCCCCGTCATGGGCGCGGCGGCTTGGTGGCATGGGTGGGGGGACGATCGGTTCGACGAGTTGGCGGGCGCGCTCGTCGCGGGACATCTGATCGAGTGTAGCACGTACGGCACGGGCGGGAACTTTCCCGGGTTCGACGAGTACCCGGTCGAGGACCTGTTGAACTTGGGGTGTCCCATCGCGGAGGTCGACGAGAAAGGAGAGTGCGTCATCACAAAGCACGAAGGACTCAACGGCCTCATGACCGAAGAGGTGGTCAAGTGTCAACTGTTGTACGAACTACAGGGGACCATCTATCTCAACAGCGATGTCAAGGCAGATATCAAGGGGATAGTGGTGAAGCAGGTTGAGAAGAACCGTGTCCACGTCTCGGGCGCGAGGGGCTCTCCACCGCCCCCGACAACGAAATTGGCAGTCTTCTACAAAGGAGGCTTCCAGGGAGAACTGACAGTAAACGCGACAGGCTATGCAGTTGACCAGAAATACGACTTGCAAGAGGCGCAGCTCGAGGATAAGATAAAGGAATGGGGTCTCATGAAGCATGTCGACCTGATCGAGTTCCAGCGTGTGGGCATACCGCAGCCAAACCCCAAGAGCCAGCTAGCCGCGACGACATACTTGCGGATCGTCATCCAGGCGGCCAAGGCAGATACGATCAAGGCAGTCTTGTATGGAATCATGTACAACTTTATGCAACATTTCCCGGGCATGAGTTGTACCCTCGATTGGCGGCTGATTTCGGATCCACTACCATTTCTAGGATACTTCCCGGCATTGGTCAGGCAAGAAGAGATAAAGGAAGCTGTGAACGTCATAGGGAAGAACAACAGCAGCATCCGCAAGTTCGAGGTGGGGGTGCCGATAAAGACCGAACCACTACAGCCCAGAGATAATTACGAGACTCTGTCACCTCGAAAGCTCAAGGATTTTGGGCCAACAAGAATGCTACCGGTTGGGGATGTTCTCCTCGCTCGTTCTGGAGACAAAGGGGGGAACGTCAATGTGGGATTCACACCTAGAGCCTACGCAAACAACGACGACACATGGGACTGGATGAGAAGCTTCCTCACAAGGGCGAGGATCAAAGATATGATGGGCGAAGACTGGGAAGACTGGTACCACATTGAACGTGTGGAGTTTCCGATGATCAGAGCCGTTCATTTCGTGGTGTACGGTGCTCTGGGAAGAGGGGTTAGCAGCTCTTCACGGCTGGACAGCCTCGGGAAAGGGTTTGCAGAGTTTCTCCGCTCAGTGCATGTTCCGGTGCCTGTGCGTTTCGTCAAGCAGCACGTAGCCAGCAGGTTGTAGCGACATCAAGGGGGTGGATGCCCTTGGATCGCAGGGTTCGGTGGTTGTCACGAATAGAGCTAAGCAGGAGTCAGCGCGTGGTTTCGAGGTAAATATTGCCACAGTGGATTTTCATTACACGAAAACACTATGTTACAATGCAGGCAGCATTCCTCAACGGTGGACGGCGGGCGTCAAGTGTCGAGAGCGCTCGCCGCGACTTTATAACAAGCCCTGCTTTTGCAAGTCGTAGTAAACCTTCTCAGGCATGACGTTCCCGTCTGCGTCCTCCATCTGCACGACGCTTGCATCGTCCTTGCCCCTCTTGTTCTCCTTCTGGATCTTTTCCCACAACCTCGTTGCCTCGTCAATAGCTGTGATATCCCTGAAGAGGGCAGTATTTGTAATGCCCAAGCACTTGAGACCGTAGATATGCCGTGCCTCGTTGAAATGCTTGTCGAACGCTCTCCGCCCCATGTACACAAAGTTTCCACAGATCTCACATGGGAACTCAACACCCAGGCCGTGGAGCTTGTACAGCCAGAAGGGGATAGGCTTGCCATCCCAAGCAAGTGGGAGTTTCAGAGGGTTGTATATCTTATCCTCGTCGTCGCCCTCGTCGTCCTCCTCGTTCTCGGGGCCTTGGGCGGCAGTCGTTGTCGAGCTGTACAGGTTGTCGAGTTCTTGCTGACGCTCGCGATCTGTCATTCCCTGCTTCCGCTCCACGTTGACCCTCGAGTCACTGCGCTCGGTACTCATGGCGGCTGCAAGCTTTTTGACCCTGAACTCCCTCTCGGCAATGGCGCGTTCTTTCAACCGGGCTGCAGATTCGCCGCCCCTGGGTTGGCCGGTCGAGTTCCCGTTGGTCTCGCCAAGCTCTTCTATACGCTTCTTCCGCTCGGCTGCAGCTCTGACGTGCTTTTTCCCGGACAGATGACTATTGTAGACGTTTTCATTCTTGAACTCCTTTTCACAGTCAGGGCACCAGAGGGCGTCGGTGGAACTTGCTTGATAGGCGGCGGCTGATTCTGCGGCGTCGATTTTCCAGCCTTCGACGTCGTCTTTCTCCCAAGTCGATGCAAACTCCGTGTCAAAGTCTGCGACGACCTTGTCGACGTTCTCTAGCGGGCGAGTCCGGCGCATGAAGGCCTCAAGGTATTGGGCGAGTGCGCCAACATATCGGAAATATTGATCCGTGATCTTGTCACTCCTCTTGACGCCGCCAGCGCCGGGCGAGAAGTTGTCGAAAAGATCGAGGTACTGTAGGTAGCTGAGCCGCTTTGCGTTGGGCAGGTTCAGGTACGACTCGTGGCAGGTGTGCAGATCGAAGAAGCGGCCATAGTTCTCCTCTCCAGTGAACATGGAGTCGACGATGGTGGTGACGGCATCGGCGTCGGGGTTCTTCTTGGGCTTGTATGCGCGCTCGAGGTTCTCGACAGGCTCGTTGGGGTACTTTGAGTGGAAGCGCTTCACGTCGGCGAGCTGCTTGTAGAACTGGTCCATGGGGTCGCCAGTGCCGATTTGCTGGATTTCTTTGGAGCGCGAGGCATCGGTGTCTTTGTATATGGAGAGAAGCTTGGTTGATTGTGAAGAGATGCGATCAAGGAACTGTGAGACCTGATGGTCGCGTGTGAGACGATCGCGTATGTTTTTGGGCTCTTCGCCAATGCGGTCGGCAATACCTTGCTCCAGACGCTCCAGATCCTCATGGAGAAAGCGCTGTTCTTCCAGAATCATGTTGAAAGAAAAGGATGGCGCACGCCCTTGGTGGAGATATGTGTGTCACTTGATACGAGAGCAACCCGGCAATGGTGAGAGATGAGCGAACACTGGGAGAGGGCGAGGAGTGAGCTCGACAGTCGGTAGCCTGAGAGAGTCGACAGAGCTCTGGATGCGGCCGGATGGGAAACGCAGATGGGATTGGAAATGGAAGCGGAAATGGACATGGACATGGACATGACCATGAGAATGGAAACTGGTAGGTGAAATTTGGAGCCGACCTTGTCGCCTGTATTTCGTCACAGCCAATCAAAGACGGCAATCCGCAGCCCCACTTACCCGCCGCAATTCTGGGGGAAAGCGCGACGTCCCCACTGAAATTTTGACAGCCTCGTCCATTTCAATTCAATGCATTATTATTCTATTCCATCTCATCTCATCTCATCTCGTCCCGTCCATCGACTTCACCGCATCACCAACAGAACTGCTGCCACCCACGCTGGGCTTGAGCTCATCAATCACCAATCCCGCTGTCGCCTTGTACCCTCACCTATTATTTTACTGCGCCACATCATTCATCATGGCCGAAAGTGGAGGTATTGACCGTCGCGCCGACGAGAAGATGGAGTTCTCAACCTCCAAAGAGGTCACCGTTCATCCCACTTTCGAGTCCATGTCGTTGAAGGAGAACCTCCTGCGGGGAATTTATGCTTATGGCTATGAGTCGCCCTCTGCCGTCCAGTCTCGTGCCATTGTCCAGGTCTGCAAGGGTCGCGACACAATTGCCCAGGCTCAGTCCGGTACCGGAAAGACGGCCACTTTCTCCATCTCCATGCTCCAGGTCATCGATACTGCCGTCCGTGAGACTCAGGCTCTCGTCTTGTCGCCTACCCGTGAGCTCGCAACCCAGATCCAGTCAGTTGTCATGGCTTTGGGCGACTACATGAATGTCCAATGCCACGCTTGTATCGGTGGCACCAACGTCGGCGAGGATATCAGAAAGCTTGACTATGGCCAGCACATTGTCTCCGGTACTCCTGGCCGCGTCGCCGACATGATTCGTCGCCGCCACTTGCGCACTCGTCACATCAAGATGCTCATTCTCGACGAAGCCGACGAGCTCCTTAACCAGGGCTTCCGCGAGCAAATCTATGATGTCTACCGATATCTCCCTCCCGCCACTCAGGTCGTCGTTGTCTCGGCTACTCTACCTTACGACGTGCTCGACATGACTACAAAGTTCATGACTGACCCCGTGCGCATTCTCGTCAAGCGTGATGAGTTGACTCTGGAGGGCCTCAAGCAGTACTTTATCGCCGTCGAAAAGGAGGACTGGAAGTTCGACACTTTATGCGACTTATACGACACTCTCACCATCACACAGGCCGTGATCTTCTGCAACACTCGCAGAAAGGTCGATTGGTTGACCGACAAGATGCGTGAGGCCAATTTTACCGTCAGCAGCATGCACGGCGACATGCCTCAGAAGGAACGAGACAGCATCATGCAGGACTTCAGACAGGGCAACAGCAGAGTTCTCATCTCCACCGATGTTTGGGCTCGTGGTATTGATGTCCAGCAAGTCAGCTTGGTCATCAACTACGACTTGCCAAGCAACCGTGAGAACTACATTCACCGCATCGGTCGTAGCGGTCGCTTCGGCCGAAAGGGTGTCGCCATCAACTTTGTCACCAGTGAGGATGTTCGCATTCTCCGTGATATTGAGTGTAAGTGGTTAATTTGTCCCCCACAGAGAGCACTGCTAACTGTAATAGTGTACTACTCGACCCAGATTGATGAAATGCCTATGAACGTCGCAGATCTGATCTCCTAGACGATAGTGCTGTATTTCGGGACGTATGAAATGTTAGTCTCAGCAGCTGTGGAGCAACTATGAGCTTGAAGTTGGGAGGAAAGGGGGCATGTCAACCTAAAAGTAAGCTGCATTGTCTTGGACGTTTCGATCCATCTAGATTGCCCGAGCTAACATTGAAGTGCTAGGTTAGATGTCAGAATGATCAAACCAACAAATTTCACCAACATCCGCCGTGCTTGGATAGTTATGAGCTCGCTAGACTTTTTGCTAAGCGAAGTATCAAGTCGGGCGTGCTCTTTGCAAACGTTGCAAACGATGCATGTATTCTATTGCAGATGTGCAAATAACCATCTCTCATGAGCTACAGATGGCAAAACTTTGGCTACCTGTAGCTTCATTGTCCTACGCCGGAAGTCGCCATGCGTTTTGAGCGTCTCCGCTGGTAGCGTGTAGTGAGAGGTATGGTTACAGATAGCTTTACCTGAGCTCATGACTAATTGCGTAGCTCGTTTTATACACTCGAGGAAGACGGATGTAATTGCTAGCTATGATGTTCCTAACATATCAACACGTCACTGATCGCTTCCCAAGTTATCTGTCAAATTGAACGCATTGTTCATACTCTGATCACAACTCCGAGCACAAGAAAATCTCCTTAAAGACTTATCCTGCTTCGATCTGTCTGTCAGATGAGGAGCTTGTTCAACCGCGCATACTCAACTCCGCCCTGTTTCAGCAAGTCCATCGGCTCTCTAAGCTTTTCGGCAAGCTCGACAAATGCTTTGGACAGAGTGTGAAGAGAAGTGGTGCATACCACTTACGCATCGGTCGCTTTCTCCATCTCTTCCCGTGCTGTTCAATTTAGCGGCGAGAACTCATAAAGTCTGCTTTCGGCAAAGGACTTCATCTCTTGAGCTGGTTTCTTCATGGCACGCAGGTGCTGTGCGTTCAGTAACAGGATGTGCTAGAACCAGTTCAAGGGTTGGGTTGCAGGCGGGTCACCGCTTGGATCACTCGTGTATAAGCTGCGGCCGAGGATGGACTTATCGACCTCCCTTAAAACGGCATCTGACTCGAGGTCTCCTAGCATATCCGTATAGCCCTCAACGCCCTGTTGTAAGTACTGTTGCTAAGATCGGTCTACACTTATGTCCACTCTCTTCACCTTGTCTAAGTTAACAGCCATCGTGGTGTCCCGAGAGTTTTCGAATAATGCAGATAATGCGGTACCGTAAAGAAAAAAGCTTTGGACTATAGTCAGATTTAAAAGACCCAACAAAGTTAAATTACCAACATTCGTAAGATTGAGACTGTTCCACATAAATAAAAACATCAAGTCTACGATACATCTCTAGATAAGACTCTGCGTGGTTGAACCACTTGCTTGCTGGAAGAGTCCTCAGAAAGTTTCTACTTTCTTTGGTAATTACATTATGTGCAGGCCGTATTGAGCCGACGCTGGACCTCGTGCATCATCTATGAAGCTGCTCCCGACACGTACCGTTTCTACCAACGAATGGCACATACCCATAACACGAATCTTCGATAATTAGCATCATTCGAAAGCTTGCGCACACCAGGTCACTATTTTACGTGATACTTCATGCGCTGGTGTATCATGCTTCGATTTGGCGGTCTATGATGGTGATTCAAGATATGTACCTTAAAGGTTTTCGAGCCCAGGTTAGGTTAGCTACGCATGTGGTGATCAGGTAAGCTGTGAGTCGTCCATTACCTCCTAGCCGTTGGCCAGGGCTCTGCCGGTAATGATCTCACCTGCGTCGTATGGTTATGCTTGTTATTGGCAATTTGTGATGGTAAAGCCTTTTTAGATGTAGCATAGCAGATTCAGGACAAATTCGCAACTCTTGGAGCAATTGTGCCAGATCAAACGAAAAGCCAAGGCTGGCAAGTCGAAAGACATCGTTCAATATGCGCTCCTTACAAACACTGTCTGCACATTCTTGCTGCGAACATTGCTTATTGTATTTAGTCACAGTGGGTTTTGTCTTCTACAACCACGCTTGTGCGGCTATAATTTGTATCCCGATTCAATAACTTACTTGGGTCATTGGTGTCTTGTCAAAACACACTCTGCGACATTCAGACATGTGTTTACTAGGAAACCACGATCCATGATTTCATTATCTTTAAGTCAATGATAAATTCATTCGAAATTTGCTCGAGCAGCGATCACATCGATGAATCGAGAGGGGGAGAGAGAGGCGATGAGCAAACCGTGGTATTGTCCTACAGAGTTTGTTCAATATGTGATAACATTCAGGTTTATATATCGAATCACACGGGGGTACACTTACGTGAATTGGGATACATAGTGTGACATATCCTCAGCGTCACGGAATAAATAATAAAATATAGCACATGAATCAACGTCTTGTCTGTAGAAAAAGGAAGTCCACCCTCCAGGGAAGATGTTTCTCTTGGTGCTTAAAACCTGAACTATTCGGGGTAGTGTTAGAGTAACCAGAAAAATGAGATCAGTTCTAGATCACCATGGCAAAGAAATTATTCGCTAAGTTGTGGAGTGGATTGAGGTCCTAAATGTCCAGCGGGCTTGTCCGTGAACATCAGCCAGACTGATGCTTCAATTTACCCAAAGTGGCGGCCTGTGAACTGCCAAACTGGTACTCACCACGATATCGTAGCATTGATGTAATAAAAAGCAAATTGACATCGGTGGAATACAATCAATTTGACGCAGGTCATGGAAGATAACAACTGATTATCCAATCATATCAACACTTAACGAAACACAAAGTTTGATAGCTCAGAGCAGCCGCGAAAAATGCTGTCGTACACGCATGACCAGCGCATCTGGCATGATGCGGGAGGCTCACCAATATTGACCCTCAACGGTATTGGTCTGCTTGATGCTACCTGATTCAGTATGCCCATCCAAGAAGAAACACATATATTTCATCACTAACACTTGATCCCGAATTTTGAACTCGTTAATCATTCAACCTTGTCCTTCCGCAGTCATAGAATCGGATTGCGTCTTGACTCTTGTTCTTGCTCTCGATACGACGCCATACTTATCTTCCTATTTCGATAAACCCCTTGCCGCAATGAATTACACTATAGCTCAGAGGCTGCGAGTTTATACAGCCTACAAAGAAATATTTGTGGGAGAAAAAGCAAACTTGCGGAAGAACAGTCTAGTGCGCCACGTAATCAATCAACACGAAAGCTTGTTGCAACAATTCACTGATCTAGGGCTTGTTAACGTCGTCAAAATTGTGCAAGATCTCCTCCAACTAAAAGTTTTCGCAAGTAAAGTCAAAGCTGCTTCCGAGTTTCCAGAACTCGTAGAACCAGCTTGTTCACAGAATGAAGTGCAGGAGGCGAGTCCACAACATGCGGAGGAACTGTTGATTGAGATTTGGCCAGAGTATACCGACACTGCTATTGATACCGAGTATAGTGAGGGTGAAAACAAGAATATAATTGGTCAGATGAGTCAGGAAGTCGACGCCCATGCAAAGGGGGCTGGTGAGTATTTCCCGAAAAGCTAAAGTTGCAGAGACTCCGCGAGCAAAGCAACATTGTCTACTCAAAAAGATTGCGCTACTAATTGGTCGTTCATCAGAAACTATTACCCTTGCCACTCATAAACCTATGGGCAGCAGTTTACTTACTCCGTCGCGTCTTCCTTTCAAAGCCCAACACTTTGTTCTGAGTGAGGTGCAGCGTATCCTTGAGGAATGTTGCTTCGAGTTCGCGCAAAAATGGCTGCCATCTGTGCTCAGGGAGAGGCAGTGTGGCAGTGCGGAGGAGATCGAACTCAATCTCTGGACATATTACTTAAGGCTCTCCGAGCAACAGATCCCAAGAGCAGCCCTCGACCTGCAGGGTAGAGATTCCCTCCCATCCTTCTTGGCAGTCAACCACTTGCGCCATATCGCTGTGCACAGAAAGAATCTCACGTCCCAAAGCATCATGGATTCGGTCAAATCCGGTCTGGCACTTACCGTGATACTGCGGGATCAAAGGCGCAACACTCTCCTGCAAAGCATACTTGACGAGCTCAATAAGAATATTACAGTCATGAATTCTTCTCGAGAAAGCGCCCAGAACAGTGCTTCAGAGAAGCTAGAAGTGATTAAGCGCAAGAGAGCAGAGCTAGACGAGGAAGAGAAGATATTGAGGGCCGACATGCAGAGCCAGGATGAGACAAATACTGCTCGGACCGGAGCTCTGATCCAAGAATCGGTGGACCTTCTTCTGAAGAAATCACTTGAAGATGAACTGAAAATTGATCGCGGCTCACGCGATGGCGCACACACCGGCGCAGAGGAGACACTCGCTGTCCAGGTAATGGGTGGCATATACTGGTTCTCATCAACGGTAATGGCATATACCTGGACGCGCAAAGGAGCTGGAGTGTAGACCCACTCAATCTACGGTTGGAGCTTACGTAAACTCGCTCGATGGATGCGGTGGAGGGGGGGAAGGACTTTGTACTCACAACTAGACAACGCTCATTGAACTAGCCGTCTTTCGCAACTACGAAATCTTGACCACTTTTTAGCCCCCATCAAGCAGTTGCTATAAATTCAAGCGGATGCCTCTTAACATGTAAAACAGATCAGCTGTGCTTGCCTGGCATTTTAGTTTCATTACCAAAGCATGCCTATGGAGTTGTCTTATAAATATCCATACCGACAGTTGGTCTACAAGTCTCCAAGAAATGTGGCATTTTCGTGAGGTATCAAACAATAAGTTCCTGGTAGTTTAATATTTACTTTGGTTTGACGAGAAGCAAGCCGCACTTAAATGATAGGTTCGCTACAGACAAGTATTGTATATTCTTGAGAATAGGAATGCTGAATGAGCGCTGCCAGTTGAGACACTCGTCAGGCGGCACGGAAACCGAAGACAAGGACGTTTAGATGGAAGAGAGCACTGACAACCTACCCGGAACAGTTGTTGTGTAGGCGAGCTGCACCTGTTGTCAGTACTCCAAGCCGCCGCCTCAGCATCCCTACGACGTTTTGTCGCCTTTACTCCGACGTTATGAGATAGAAAAATAATTTTCAATAACACTCCGACTCCACTCAGAGACACGGAGACTTATATCGTTTAAGTAGAACACATAATCGAGTATCAACAGCGTTGATACGCACATCGACGATGGCAATCTAGTTTGACTGTTTCAGGAGATTGTGCTACCCGTCCATTATAAAAGATTCATCGAAACGCAGAAAGTTATCTCGCCTTATCTTCAAGATCACCGACTGGACTGCTCTGTACGAAATTTCGTGTATTATAGTGTTTATGTGGAGACTCAGTGCTTCGAAGGACTTTTGACAAGCGGAATGTCCCGTGCGACGGGTAAAAAAATATACATAAGAAGAAAAAAAAAACGACTGATTTTGTAGCGCAATACTTGTCTCGATAAAACGACTTTGAAGTACAATACCAGTGAAGGACTTTGGTCCTATGAGACCTTGATTAGATGTTAGCGTAGGACTGAACCATTGCTCAGCGGGCCCAGAAAAGATCTTCGGGGCCGCTTCGGCTAAGATTTACATACATATAACCTGCTAAAAGGTATGAGGCTAAACGCACCGAGTTCCTCCTACTCATCGATGAACGCCAATCTGCCTTAAACCCCAGTCTACACCATACGACTGATGCGACTGTCGCTCACTGACCATCGCATCTATCGTGCTCTTTAAATTCGCAAGTTGAGATTACAACAGATCTATTGAATCTGTAAGTCCACCCAACAGAGATCATATGCTCGCATCTCCTGGCTGAGTCTACGGAAAAAGGTTTCACAAGATGGCCGCCTCCACGCCAGAAATTATTCTCTACGACTTAGGCAGTACTGAGGGTATCTGCTTCTCTCCTGCTGTTTGGCGGGTTCGCCTTCTGCTCAATTACAAGAAAATCCCTTACAGTACCACATTTCTCGAATTCCCAGATATTGAGCCTACATTGCGACCATTGTGTGTTATGTCCCCTTTCATTTGCCATTCAATCTTGAGCATTGAACGTTTTACTCTGTGACTTGCAGCATTTACTTTCATCATCACAATCTCATACCTTGGCTTGCGCGAAGAAAAGTCTAATTCGCAGTTTGCAGCGGCTTGGTTCCCGATGCATCCACGTCAGGAACCAAATACACAGTCCCTGCTATTCACCACCTGCCAAGCAACACGTACCTGATGGAATCAGATCACATCGCTGAGTTCCTTGCGTCCAACTATCCGAGTCCCCCATTGTCCCTCACGTCTGATTTGGGGAAAGAGATTAAGACTAAGGCGCGAGCTGCCACGGCGAAAGCCATCAGCTGCTCAATCATGCCGCGCGAGATACAAATTCTGTCCCCACGTGCGCAGGAATACTTCCGGCGCACCCGTGAGGCTGTACTTGGCCATCCACTCGAGGATCTGCTCGATCCGAAGAGGGAGGAAAAGGCCTGGAGCGGGGTCAGTAACGGCATGCGCGCCATTGAAGAATTGTTGAAAACGAACGAAGCCGATGGGCCCTTTATACTAGGCGCCAGGCCGAGCTACGATGACTTCTTTATTGCCGGGGCCCTCCAGTCTACGAGGGTGGTAGACGGGAATACGTTCCAGAGATTGACCAACTACCCCGGTTTCAAGAGGATCTATGAAGCATGTTCACCATATCTTGAAAGGAAGGATTAAATTTACCCACAAGTAATAATCTGATAATAAATCTTTGCCTTGGCCACGATATGATATTCTTGGCGACCCGACTCTAACGGAAACGTCATCATTGTGACCGATCGACTGTCGGATTATGAAGGCTCAGGGTCTATTTATCATATAGTGTTTTGCTCATTGTCCCTTCGACTATGTGTAGGCTGTATTTATAAACCAAAGTTTAATAGATATGTACCAAGATAGAGATCGTTACTTCGTGCTGTATTGCAACGAGGCGCCGCTAGGTTGGACCGTGAGTTGGCTGCACTGCGGCGATCATGAGCAGGTAGGCGCTCCCATACCGGGTATCGAGAACCTCGTAATCCGGCTACAAACATAGCATGGAGACATTGATCATGTCTTTGTCAAGCGCAATCAAACATCGAGCCCCGGAAGAAGCAGGTAGTGAGAGCATAAAATTGCCACTGTGACAAGTTACGATATCTATCTGCTATGAAGAAAATAGTGTGAAAATGAGCGGCAAATACGGTTTCACGCAATTTCCGAGTACAATGCCCGTTACAGGGAAATTTGCTGGTAATCGTAAGCTTTGGTAGGAGGCAACTCCTTAGCTCAATTACGCCACCGGCGGGTTCGGTTACACGGCGGAATCATTGTGTTGAAATCGGCCCTCTTTCTTGTGAACATAAGGACCGCGTACAAAGCAATTCAGTATACCGCCAGATACAACCTTGTCCTGTTCTAGAGCGTCGATCTCGCCGTCGAGAATTCTCACCATGCGTCTTTTCAAGGACCTCGCGGCTTTTCAAATGCATTTGAGGCTTCGTGGCACCAAAGGATCCTGTAAGAACCAGTAAGGTATGTATGAGCACTTTGGGAATACCAAAAGCCAGCAAACCGTCATACTAACTCAGCATTAAATTTGTGTGAAGGCTTCTACTGCCGTGGGTTGTGGTATTTGGACAGGCTTTATAGCCCCATGGATACTTACTGATCAGAACGGCATTAATAAGCGCAGCTTGAAGGGTATTACGATAACTGCCAGCTTCGTCATCGACGGGCGCTTCCGCTGAGCCGCAGAACTTGTAAGTCTTTTGAAGTGCTGTTGCAGCAAGAATATCAAGAGCAAGGATTTGGGTGTTCGATTGCGCGCTTTGGAAACAGTCCTGTAATCAATGGAAGATATTTGTACCCAAATAGGATAGTATGTACAGAGTTCAAACGACGCAGCTTGAAACTTCCCGATGTAGTGGCCAATCACGAAGACACAGGTGCCAAGCTGAGGTCGTACTTTAGCTCCCACTCCGCCTCAGAATCGCCCTTCCGTGGAATGAAATCTACGGTCAGACCGTCCTTGACAGCAAAGACAGAGTCATTATCTAAGTACTGGGACTTGCTGTCAAAAATTTGTGTTGTGATCGGCTTGAAGCCTGGAGCTTGTGACTATGGTACGATCAGCATCTTATGGACTAAATCTTGAGACCTTTGGGGGGTTACTTACAATAAGGTGTATATGTGCGGGTCTGTAGACGTGGCGATCCATAAGTCTTAGAAGTTTTCCGGCTGGACCATCCTCCGGAACCTGAGACGTACTTAGCATGACACGCGAGCTGGGCACCTGCAATGGAGCTTACCGGGTACGGAGTGGGCCGCAAGCAGTAGAATGAAAACTTGCCCTCCGCATCTGTCACAAATTTTCCACGCAGGTTGTGCTCCACTTGGTCATCATCTTGTTGTTCATAAAGTCCTGGAGGTCGAAGTCAGTGAACTGATGCAGACTCCCAAAAGATCCTACCTACCATTCGTTGATGCTTGCCATGCTTCCACGGTCGCATTGGCTAGGGGTTTGCCAGTTGAGGCGCATGTAACTTGGCCATACAGGAAAGCGACCTGAGCGTCTTTTGGTGTGTTGAAGCTGATTGTGCTTCCATTTGGTCGAGTTGGTGTATCATGCCTCCAGAAGGGTCCAAGGATGGCTGATGCAGTGGCTGATCCTGCGCTTTTCACTGCCGCCTGGTACGTAATATCATCTACAAGTCTGTAGTCTTGTCAGTCTGTAACCCAGAAGTACGGGATCGCAAAGAGACTGACGACTCGAGACCGATCACGTCACATAGTAACTGTCCCTCGTTTCTCTTCGCATCACTCATCTGGCCAGCCTGGTTGATCATTGATACACCTAGCATCCACTCGTCCGTTGTGAGCTGGACTTCTCTTGCAAAATCGTGGATATGTTTGATGAACGAGCCCATGACCTCTCTTAATCGAGGGTCGGTCTTTGGGCCCATCGAGTTGACAACGTCCTGTGTAAACTCATCACCAAGTGTATGGCTTCCATTTGCAGCCGAAAGCGAACTCATTTCTGCAGTAAGAGGAGTATAGACACCGGATAACAATGACAAAACTTCTATTGGAGATGATGTTGAGCTGGTAAGACGATGATGGCGTCGTTGTCAGACGCCGCAACCGTGAGCTTAGATACATACCCAGGAGGAGCTTAATCGAACCACCATCCCCTCTTGCGGATCTCGGCAATTGCTCTGCTGACACACATCTGGGCCATGATTTGGTAACAGAGTTCGGACAGTCGCGGAAATAGTACAGGGTGCCGTCTCCGCCCCGGTCGGGATTGGGTTTCTTAGTGGTCCTTGATGGGCTAGGCTTCGCCAAGTGTGGTGATCTGGGTCCAAGCTAAGATCTTGGGGCCCCATGGGATCAGCAATTGGCAAGGGGTTCGCCCCACGACTTTCGCATTGAGTGGATGCGAGGCCCGTAAGCGATCGGAGGACGGATTTAACTGATCAATGCGATACTCGTGGCAATGAATTACACTCGACGCCAACATTGAACTGTGGCGCATATGATTGCTTCTGGACGAGGAATAGAATGTGGCAACAAATCAGGGAAAAGAAGTTCTCTTCATGCCTAGGCAGACTGACTTGTGACATGACCCGCGATAAGATCTATTCCTAAGTGGACTGATATCATAAAAGTCTGTAGCGTTCAAGTATCGCATTATATGACATGACAGGATGGAAATTCCAATGGCCTACCACAACTAACTTGGCGCCACTCGGCTGGACAGAAACCCTCTCGCATTGCTAATTTCTTTCACTTCCTGTAATCTCCGTCGACACCAAAATCCCACGTTGGCTGATCCGATCCGTTCGGCCTGCTTGCTCTCTTGAAACTGATATCAAGACCTTCTATATCCACGACAGGCAACACCACCTCCACGTCATGCTTATATGCTTCCGCATACCAGTGGTCCAGGTATTTCTTGTTCAACGTGAACTCCGGGAAGACCTCTCTCATTTTTCTCAGAGCGGTTCCAGAGATCTGATCCACGCTGTTTGCGTGATCAAGGCTGAGGAAATCAGGACCGACCCAAGTGCGCAGTGAGTTTTGGACTTCCTCGGGTAGTAAACCGGCTTTGAATAGAAGCAGATCATACTGCAAAAGAGATGCCTTTCCGTGCCATGACCCACCTCTCGTGGCGCGGTGGTATAGACCGATCAGTGCCGTGATGGCGCCAATGCAACCGGTTCCATAATCTGAAATAGGGAAAGGTGGTACCATAGGCTCGTCCAATCCCACAAATTTGCCTTGTTCCCAGGCGACACCACTAACGCAGTCTGCAATCTGCTGCCAACCCGGCCGGTGTGCCCACTCGCCTTGATAACCGAAGCAGTTGACATTAACGTAGACGAAACCTTTGCCCCTCTTTGTGGCTAGCTCCGAGAGGAACTTTGGTCCGTAGCCAAGCTTCTCAATCGCATCGGGTCGGTATCCATCAACGACAACATCAGCCTCAGCCACCAGCTCTTCGAAACGTTTTCGTCCTTCTGTGGATTTAAGATCCAATTCAGCAGCGTGCTTACCCATATTACCGTCAACTTGGAAGAAAGGAACATCACTCAGACTTGGACTAGTAATCTTGAGGACATCGGCGCCATATTCGCCAAGAATCCTTGTGACTACAGGGCCTGCAATGATCCTGCAAAGCTCAAGCACCTTCACTCCAGATAACAGACGTTTAGGATCGGATGCTGGCAAGCCGTATTTAGGGGTCTGGTCTTCTAGGGACGTGACAGCCCATGGTGGGAGTTTGCTGTTTACTTGGCCCTTGGATCGTGTCAGCCAGCGGACGGTTGTGTGCACAGTTCAATCTTACATGTTGTGTCTGGAGGAATTCATCATGCTTCAATGCCTTCACGCCGGCTTGCCTGTATTTGGCGTTGAGTTCCTCGAGTTCGTCAGGGGTAAACTTTTTGACAGCTGTTTCGATGGCATCCACGATCTTCTCATGTGTATCGAGGTCCGGGCGGAATGGTTCCAGTCCAAGAAATCCGAGTGTTGTAGAGGCCTCGAGAGAGCCGTGAATATGGTAAAACTCTCCGGGCGTAGCTGTCTTGTACAAATTGGCTGACATGCGCCGATATGGATCAGACTGAGCTTTCAGAAGGTCGGTGTCTAAATATCACGGTTATTGAGACTGAGCCGTGGGTAAGCGTATTAACATATCTCTTACCTTTTAATAGTGAGCGTACGTTCTTATCAAGCTTGCCCAAACCTCCGACCGTTGCCAGATAGGCCTGGATGAGGAAAGCAGTGGTTTTCTCCAAGTTCACTGTCACCTTCCTATCCTTGCTAAGACCATCTTGCAAGCCAGCCAACAGGCTCACGACAGAGCCCTCGATTGCCTTTAGCGCCGCTGTTGTCTCTGTTTCTTTGAACGGAATGGGAAAGTAAGGAGCGTCACGCTGTGCAGTAAACACAACGTTCTTGGCGATCTCCCGTACCTCTGTCGGTAGTTCTACAGTGTCAAACAAATTGCAAAGCAGATCAAGGATACGCGAGGTCTCCTCGATCGAGCTGTATTGCGATTGACTCCCCATGCTGACTTGGTGACTTGCTGCGTCGCAGTAAGCCTCCACGTGATAGGCGCGAAATATTCTTAACCGGCAGTTAAGTACTACAGACAGCTATACACGACCACGTTGTTGTCTCACAGCCGTTGCATCCGGGTGTAGCAAGTTTTGACTGACTTGGTCCTAATTTGTGATCGACCGAGGACAAGGGGCCAGTCCCGCGACCAGTAGAACCCAGCTATTCCCGTTATTCCGGCCATGGGAGCAATCATGGCGCTAGGCAATTTTCTGTCCCCTTCTTCTCACGCCGGAGTCCACTTGACAGCGGATCGCCCCAGCAGAAAAGGATGGCGATGGTGGGTGTGCTATCCGTTTGCCGGCAGGTGTTGCGAGTCAGGGTGTGCAAGCTAAAGTGGCAAGAGTGGTTTAGTCTCATCGTGGGTCACATTGCATCATCCTGGCACCCGCCTCGCCGCCATGTCTGCTGGGTGGGCCTGTCACTCAGTTGGTCTGATTTACCGAACAATACTGGCGGTTTATTGGAGCTCCAGTAACTCAATCAACGCTTTAAGAGTGCCATGCTTTGTGATAACAACAGACGCACCAACCAAATTCCAAGCCAGATATAGTCGGTAACATTCGAAATGCCGTTCCTCACCATCCGTGGCAAGTCCATTTACTACAGGTCGAGCTCCCCTGAAGCTGGCTCAGATACCGCCATCTTATTCATTCACGGCCTCGGCTCATCCAACTCATTCTACGCTCCACTGATACCATCTCTGGTCGCAGCAGGATACAAATGCGTCGCTTTCGACACCCATGGTCAGCTGCAATCGTATTCGCACGCACGTGACGCATTTAACAGGTAAACAGGAAGCGGTTCATCAAAGTACAATGGCCAATATGGCGGTATTGAGGGCATGGTTGAGGACGTGAAAGATCTGATGCAGCAATTGAAGCTCGATGCAAGTAGCTCGATTATCGTGGGACACTCGATGGGCGCAATTGTAGCTTCAGAACTATCTGTACAACTTCGACTTCTTGGTGTTGTGCTGATTGGTCCGGTGAATCCCAATCCTGGCCTGGCACCGATCTTCAATTCCAGGATTACCACGGTTGAGAAGAGTAAGTGGCGCAAAAATTTGCATGTGTTTGTTTCTTGCTGACGACTTAAGACGGTATGGAGGCTATGGCCGAAACAATACCTGATGCTGCTACGGGTCCGAGGTGCACCGAGACTCAGCGTGCTTTCATCAGAGCTCTCCTTCTATCCCAAACTACCGAGGGATACAATTCTCTGTGTCGGTCGATATCGGAGGCGAAGCAGCCCGATTACGGTCGTAGTCAATGCCCTTTGCTGATCATTGCGGGATCTGACGACAGGACGAGTCCACTCGAAGCAGCCAAGAAGATAGAACAGAGGTGAGAATCTTGCCTTTCCCATTCCTCCACATACTTACAGGTGCATAGTTGGACATCTGGCGTGAAGACTGATTTGAAGCTATTGAACGGTATTGGTCACTGGCACTGCATAGAAGCAGCGGATGAAGTTGCTGGATTCATTGAATCCTTCGCACGCGAGGTTAAATAATGGCTCCGAGTGGCCTGATCCATTTGCAAATCTCGCCGTACTCTCTTGATTCATGCACCGGATGTGCCACTTGTAAGCGGTATTGCGATGTGAGCTCCGTCTCATCTAGAATACCCGGATTATTTCTTGGTTGCGCCGGCGGGATCCTGTAGCAGGGTGTCAACTGACTGTAAGGATTGGAATCTGAAAAGAAACACGTAGGTATCACTTACCAAATATACCTGGTAGAACTTCATCCTATATTTACCATCCTCTGTTGATTTCTCGAGCACAGCTCTCCCGCCCCATTCCACGGTGGCCTTGTCTCCGGCGCGAAGCTCATACTCTACACTTCCGTACAGCATGACTTCTTGGCTATCACTTCCAAACGGGAATATTTTGTAGACGGTGTGCTTTCTTTGCGCAACGGCAGTCCACATGCCATGTCTCATGGTGGTGATCTCTGCACCTGGTGTTAGCAAATGTACGGCAACTGCCAATAGAATAGCGGCGTGATTTACCATCTCGGCCCTGACTGGTTTTCGAACCGAGCTTGAAGGTAGCATCGGACGTGAATTGGTCTACGTATGCATCATGCGCACCGGGGGTGTCGGATACTTCGTAAAACCTCTCCAAAAAGAGAACAATGTCATCATCCACCGTGACGCCTGAAGGGTATTCGGCTTTATATTGAGACATTGTTATTTCTTACTCTGTCGCGACAGTCACCAGTATTCCTAGTATTGGGGCAAACTGATTGTCTTTGAGGTCAAGGCCCGTGTAATGGTCACCAATGTCCTAGATTCAAGCACTTTCGTCGAATTCGAAACGTGAGACCCCACTACCCTAGAGTCACCTGTTTGTTATTTCCGCTTCCGGGTCGTCACATTGCCAGTGGACAAAATACCGAACTAAACCCTCCCCTAGCGGCATACAGCGGAGTTCGGATGAGCTAATAATAATGGTTCCACGCGCTTACACGCGTACACAAGTCCGTTGCTCCGACCCGGAAGTGGCTGCCAGATCCAACATGAAGAGATGGTCGATAAGATCCCCTTTTCCTTTATTATACGAGGATAATGCCCATATCCCACTCTATGATGCCCTTCGTTCAAGTATTGCCGTGTTTCAATGCGGGGGTGACCCTCCCCGCAAGTTATCCTTGGACGATTGGAGAAGCGGGGAAAGACGGCCGGTGATTAACTTCGCATGACGAACAGACGGCGGCAAGTGCACCAGGCAACGCCCCGCCATGAATGCCAGTCGTGGTCAAAGACTACCCAATATTCAAAAGGCACAAGTCGGCTAAGTTCTCTGAAGGAACGCGGTGTTGGGTACCGTTGCCGACCTCTCACTTCGTCAATCACTATGGTCTAAGTCTCGTACCCGGCTGTGTTGAATATACGGCTCACGGAAGTACATTGTAGCACCAAATATGGCGACTAATCTTCGGCAACGGAAGCCCGGACAGCGAGCTCACTCTTGTAGCATAGGCTGTATTCTTTAAAGATGTGATTTCGGTACTGATTTGAAGCTACATTTCGTTCATCATACTGTTCTGTTTGTCCTACATAAGCGCTTCAAACTTATTTGTACTTTGAGTACCAGCGAGATACGTCGCAGGAAAGCCAAGCAATCATCACTGCCAATATGTTGGGAAAGGTGGCATTAGAAGAAGCCTTCGCGCTACCCCGTTTTCAGGAGAAGACGAAATGGTGGGCATCACTGTTCGCTACCGATCCTGACAAGCACGCGGCGGAGATCACAGACATTACAGAAACCCGTATAAAATACATGGACAAGCATGGTGTTGGGCACAGCATCCTCTCGTATACAGCTCCTGGTGTTCAGGATATCTGGGAGCCCAAGGACGCACAGGCCCTGGCCGTTGAGGTGAACGACTACCTCGCTAGCGCCATCAAGAGCCACCCCGACAGGTTCAGCGGCTTCGCGTAAGTTCAGTTGAGACACTTGATGATTCCATTGCTGAAAACTACAGTACACTGTCTATGCATGACCCTCAAGAGGCTGCTACAGAGCTGAAGCGCGCTGTCACGCAACTGGGCTTCAAGGGTGCTCTCGTCAATGATACTCAGCGTGCTGGTCACGATGGAGATGACATGATCTTCTATGACGGCCCGGAGTGGGACGTCTTCTGGTCGACAGTGACCGACCTGGACGTCCCCTTCTACCTTCACCCAAGAAATCCCACCGGCACAATCCACGAGAAACTGTGGGCCAAGCGAAGCTGGCTGATTGGCCCGCCTCTCAGTTTCGCTCAGGGTGTTTCTCTCCATATCCTTGGTATGGTTACCAATGGTGTATTTGACAGACATCCCAAGCTTCAGGTCATTATCGGCCACTTGGGTGAGCACTTGCCCTTCGACCTGTGGAGGATCAACCACTGGTTCGAGGATGTCAAGAAGCCACTGGGTCTGTCTTGCAAGAAGACGATCCGGGAATATTTCGCGGACAACATTTGGATCACTACCAGTGGCCACTTTTCCACTCCCACATTAAAGTACTGTTTGACAGAGGTTGGCGCTGACAGAATCCTCTTCTCAATTGACTACCCTTTTGAGAGCTTTGGTGATGCTTGTGACTGGTGGGACGAGCTGAAACTGGATGAGGTCGACTACAAGAAGATTGGACGAGAGAACGCCAAGAAGCTGCTCAAGCTTGGAAACTTTAAGGACTCAGAGGCGTAGCTAATTGTATAAATACAAAGAAATATATTATATGTTCAAAAATGAGAGATTCGGGTTCGCAGAAACAGAATCAACAGGAGCATCGGCAACGTGATTGATGATGGCTTCGATGAGCTAAATGTCGAGCCGATTCCTCTCGGGTTTGATCCGTTGGATGGTCAGATATATGATCTAGGAAGTGTAAGAAGGTAAGGTTTGTTTGGGTGGCGTTGTCATGGAAGTCCCTGACGCCAATACATTGAGACTAAATCAAAGTAATAAAGTCTCAATTTTCATGATTACCTATTTCCGTGGCCTTTCTTTTCGTTTTTTTCTTTCTTTTTCTCTTATCTACACAACGGTCTAAGCCATTCTAAATGTACGTGAGATCAGTCAATTCGGTCTTGACGCGGTGATAGAACTTTTAAGCCCAATTTCTCCAAGCAACGAAACCCCACTATTAACGCTGTCCATCATCAGGCATTCGAGTGCTGGTTGTGTGATCTTGATCCCTGTGCGTGGAAGAAACCCTCATAATGGTGTAGACAAACCTCACAAGTATGGTCACGAACACCATCCATAATAAGTATACAACTCACCAGTAGTACAAGACATCAAAATTATTCATAAGATTGGTAATATTGATGAAGAAATTGTGGACGGTCTAAGTATAAATTAAATCGGGCACAAAGTTTCTCCGTCAATATCCTAGCGGAGTTGTTCTTGCATCCGATTAAATATAGGTCACTGTTTAGCATATAATCAATAAAAATGGTAGCGAAGTGGTAAAATGCTCTTGGGTGTAGATTATGTCTGAAGGCCACGTCAAACAAACCGCCCAGGTGTTATTCCGAAATTTAGATGCTCTTAATCTTTGTTTGAAACAGCAAGTAAACCGCCACCCCCCACATTGTTAATGAATTAGCTCAATTCCGATAATATAGAAATCATGGCTATTCCAATTTCCAGATACTGTTAATTATAAACGAAGGAATACTTTAGGCGAGACAGGCATGCATTTCTCAATCGCCAGGACTCTATTAGAATCAGTCCGTTCGTCTAATTTTAGCTTATGTGGATCCACATGGTGGTGTACAGCTACAAAGAGTTCCAAGCATTAGTTCCATTATTAATTACCATCATTTCTTTGTCACTCTATCTGTTTCACGGTAATCGGCTATTCAATAAGACATAGATCAGTATCATGTTCAAGTTGCCATTCTATAGTACTAGTCAGCTGCTACTGATTTTGACATGGTCAAAATATAGCTATGCTTATATACACGAGATATCGACGTATGCCTCACTCCGGATGCCTGACCCAATCACCACCTACCAGCGACTCTACGATACAGCTTCGTTCAGAATCCGGCATCAGCCCTTCTATTCTATCCTAGAACTGCTGGACCTGGTGACCAAGAGGCCCAATACTAAGCTATAACATACAACAAATTAGGCCGCAGTGGACAGTTTTAGAGTAGATATCGGAAATGAGGGTTCTGCATGCAATCAGTACGGCGTCCATAGACTCAAGAAAGGAAATCCGTACCTCAAAATCGGTCAGGTCAGCTGATATCTCTCCAATACTGTCACCCGAGACAGCACCTGATACCATTGCCTCGTCTCTCTTCTTGTTTCGCCATGTCAACAACATTCGCAAGCCGAAAGATATGATGATTTGACCAACGGCACATCCTATGACAAGCTGGCAACCTGTCTGATATATTGGGGCTTCTTCCTCGAGGAATGCATGCGGTCCAATGATGTTGCCCGCACAGTAGGCTGCAAACACAATGGCTGTACCCGTTACGCGCTTAGTGTATCCGCCTAGGTTTGCTGCCGGCATCTGCAGAGCGATAACAAGCGAAGAAACGTAACTTCCACAGATGTAGTACCCAATAAGGACGCCAATTTTGTATGACTGGCGGTCAAGCTTCCACATAAGAATAGTTCCTATAACGGTGGGAACCATATAAGCCATCATCACATATGTACGATAGTTGCGGTATCGCGAAGCGAGGTAAGTACCAGTCAGAATCCAAAAGACCTGAAACGCTCCTTGTGGGATTCCATATAATGTGGTTCGCAGTGAGTCCTTCACAATTCCCTTGATAATGAGTTTGCCGAAGTTGGCTATACCGCCATTAATACACTCATTTAGAAGTGTAAACGCTGTTAACAACCACACCTGCGGGTCTAACAAAGCTTCTCTGACTTGATACCACTTGATTGAATGGCTGAGAATTCCCGTTCGACCCAGTCTTCCGCGTCCGATCAAGAGAGCCTTCTCCTGTGTATTGAAGCGTTTCGCCGTGACAACATCATCGGGCAGCAACACAAGCAGTAAGAATCCCCACAGCACAGTGATGCCTCCACAAAGCAAAAATATTGCTTTCCATGTTGGAAATGACTGGATTTGTCCAATGCCATAGGCAAGGAGACCACCAACCATGGAGCCAACTCCGTTGCAGCTGTAGAATACACCTGCACGGAACGGTTGCTGCTCGCGCGTATACTGTGATAATGTCAGAGACCATTTCTTGCCTGAAATTAGTGTTCGAACCTGTTTGCACCTACCCACATACTGACGATCATCATGAAGCATGGAGTAATAGGTGCCTCAAAGACACCTAGAAGGAAGCGACAGGCCGCAATACTGCTGAAATCCTTGCAGGCCGCAGTGGCCATGAGTACACCACCCCATGAAATAACACAGCCAGAAACCACCTTGGCCATCCGTGTACGCTGTGCCAGAAAACTCCAGGGGTATTCGGCCACCAGGTAAGCGAGGTAGAACATACTTGCGAACCAGCTGTACTGGTCCTGGCTTATACCGGTATCGCTGAACAAATCAAACACAGCAGCATACGACAGCGCTTGCTTATCAATGTACTGTAGAACATACGTCCCAGCGAGTAAAGGCAAAATTGTGAGGTCGACCTTGCGGATGAGACGCCGTACTTCCACCTTGTCATTGAGCAATTCCTGAACATATCCGTTGCTGATGTTGTTGTCCCTCAGAAATCTCTCTGCATCATCTGCTTCGCTGACCTCTCCATAGGCCACATCAACTTTGCCAAGCTCATTGTTCGCTATGGTCTCCAAGGTCTTGGCATCTTTGGCTTTCTCTGCGCCCGTGGGGTCACCTGTCGATAAAGTCATGATCGGTGTCCTCAGCTTTGATGGTCTCAATAAGCCACACGGATACAGAGACCTAATAAGTGCGAGCTCGCAAAAGTTGAGCCCTGTAGATTAGTTTTATATAACATGACTCGCGGTTGCTGATAAGCCTACGGATATGCTACGTTGTCTATCTAGTTTTGGATCACCTGTGCTGATACCAGATACGGCGATGTTACGCACTGCTGTTCTCGGCAATTGGCTGCCAAGAGATTGGCCCGCCGTGTTTATGTTTGTCAACGGAAAAGCATATCCAGTATCTGATAAGCCACCACTACATAATCCGGTTTGCAAGGTTCACCGTACGTATGATGATAAGCCCCACAAATTGGATGCATTCAACGCTGAATGTTGTGGAACTTTGTCGGATCATGTCCGCAAGCGCGCTACAAGCTCTTGCGGAGTTATGGTGGAGTCGTCTTGCTGGTCCCTCGCCCTTCATCTGTCGGAGCCGATGTCGTGATCGCGACCGGCCGCCACCATCACATGGCTTTTTGCTCATAATCAGCTTTCGTCCTTTCTTCAGTATTTTCGCCAAATATCGTCATGTCAGGCACTGCATCATCAACACCCGGGCCCACGGTCAAGCTCCCCCAAGGAACGGTTGTCGGTATACAGGAGACCGGTGGCTACCCGGTCCCTATCGAGGCGTTCAAAGGAATACCGTATGCTCTCCCACCAACGGGTGACCGCCGATTTCGTCCGCCGGTGAAAGTAAAGCCGTCTGAAGATGTCATTGATGCTTCGCACTTTGGCCCGCGAGCTCCGGCGAAGCAATTCCTGATAGTAGGCCCTGAACTGGAGGAGAGCGAGGACTGTCTTACAGTTAATATCTTTCGTCAAAAGGGTACAACTGACCAAGCGTCACCGCTGCCTGTCGCACTTTATATGCATGGCGGTGCATTCAACCGTGGAAATGCTGCAATGCATGACACAGGGGCCATGGTTGGCTGGTCGGAATTACCGTTCATTGGTGTCTCCTTCGGATACCGGATTGGTGCTCTTGGTTTCCTACCTTCAAAACTCAGTGCAAAAGAGGGCGCACTCAATCTTGGACTGAAAGACCAGATCTGTCTCATGGACTGGGTCCAAGATAACATCTCGTTCTTTGGTGGTGATCCTGGAAGAGTAACCTTGTTTGGCCTCTCCGCAGGTGCACATTCAGTAGGTCAAGCTTAGCCTGAATGGAATCAGATAGAACACTGACAAATTGCAGATTGGCCACCACCTTCTGAATTATAAGGAAGGACACGCACCACCCTTCCGTCAAGTCATCATGGAGTCGGGAGCACCGACTTCGAGAGCAGTCCGAGCTGCGGACTCAGATATCCATGAAAACCAATTTAAAGATTTCCTGAAGGCAGTGGAGTGCCCTCCAGATCTCTCCGATACTGATATTTTTGGATTTCTTCGCTCGCTGCCTCTATCTACTATCACAAAGGCGCAAACAACTGTCTTTTACAACTATAACCCTAGCCTGTGCTGGGCATTCCAGCCAGTTATCGATGGGGAAATCATCCGTCGCCCACCGATAGAAGCTTGGAGAAACGGCCAATGGCACAAGATGCCAATATTGACAGGACACACGACGAATGAGGGCTCGCTATACGTCGACAAGAATATGTCTACAACGGAGCAGTTTATCAATTTCTGGGCCAACCTACTCCCCGGGCTGACAGAAGAGGACCTGAAGACTATCGACGCCTTGTACCCGGATCCTACCAGATTTCCGAGCTCCATCTATCAGGAGACCCGCTCCGGTGTTGGAAAGACGTACAAGCGGATTGAGGCAGCCTATGCGCAATACGCTTACATTGCACCTGTCCAGCAGACAGCTCACCTTGCAAGCCCTGAAGTACCTGTGTACTTATACCACTGGGCTTTAGAGTCGGATGTCGTGATGGGAGCGCGACACGGTGATAACATGTTCTACGAGATGAGAGATTCTAAGAAGTGCGCTTTATCACAGACGCAAGACGAGCTGTCTGGTATTCTGCATGCGTACATGACGAGTTTCATCTGTACCGGAGACCCCAACACCCTCCAAGGCAAATATAGTCGGAGACCGCCGTGGCCGAAGTTTGAAAAAGATGCACCCAGGTCTATGGTATTTGCGCAAGATAACAAGGAGCTTGTTGGAGGTAAGACTGGGTCTCCTGCAGTCATAGCGGACGATTTATGGGCAAAAGAGGAGTCTCATTTCTGGTGGAGTAAGGTAGAGATATCTCAGAGATAGGAAACTGAAACTAAGATTTTTTTACCAAGACTGGCTGATTGTTCATGGATGCATGGTCAATGTCTTGAGAAATAATTAAATGCATTTAAACTATGCGGGCTCGTCAAGCAGTCATATATTCTCCATGTCCGTGGTTGCACCGCCCTATATCTATTTCAGTCATCGGCCGCGCGCTCGCTCCACATCTGCCAGCGTTATATTGCGCTATGTCCACGAACCATACACCTCATCACGATCCAAGTGGAATTAAATTTCTTTACAAAAGCAGTTCAGTGGCTAGCAACCAGATCGTACGAATAGTAGGATTAGCGGTAAATAAAAACAGATGTAAGTGGTTATAGACTAACCTAGGTTAGGTTACTGTACTCGGAAATCGTCTCCAATTAGTGGGATGGTATTAAGGTTAGTTGATTACAGCGCTGCGCCAGCTCTCTTCAACCATCTTCTCTGGTCATCTGCAATTTGCCAATTTACCAGCCTAGCGCATAAATCCAATACTCCTTACTTTTCTCTATTATCTCGTCCTTTGATGTCTTGTATGACTTAATTCTTCTTCACCAATAGTACGTTGCACTAAATGATCCGGGACACCAGGACAGACTGTGACGTTGCCCCTGTCTTGCGCGTGAGGTAGGTCAAGTCTTTATCTATTTCGGTTTGTGAATCAGTTTCGTAATTCCGTAAATACAACTACTCACAGAATCGGGACTCGAATATCTATAAATAACTTGAGAAGAAATTGAAACAAAATTCTTCGAAATTGAAGCAGCTTTCGTTTCACAAAACTGGTGTTGGTTCAACATGTCAGTGAAACTACTACCCAATAATTGTTAAGCAGATTCCCCAAAGGCCAATGATGCAGGGCTACAACTGAGGTTAGATGCTGGCGGGTTAGTGGACCGCCCACCAGTTACAGCGAGCGGTGGTGTACGGCAACGCTGTCCCTTTGCGCCACGAGTTTTTAGTGACCAATGCCCGATGAAACGTGTCTCACTCACTCACCAACACAAGCTTGCTTGAAGGTTGGAAACAACATATGTCAATTGAATTATGTACAAGAAACGGGGGACATTCCCTTATCATCTTTTACTTTCCTCTTGTGGAAAAGATTATTTTGCAATCTAGCTGGTGAACCAAGGCGCACCTACGGTCGTCGCTACAGCATCAGCGACCAAACCTTGGATCTTGACGCCGGGGTGGTAGTCGTTCTGCGGCATTCGTGGTCAGCAATTTCTTTCCGCGGATAGTTTCATACCCTGTGGGGAGCGTTGCGCACTAAATTCAAGAGGCCGCCGCTCCACATACGGGGAGGGTCGACATGAAAGAAAGAGAAAAAGAAAAAAAGCATCAGAAGTCACTTACAAACCACAGGCAGCTCACACCGTCCGAGTTATAACAGGTAGCGTTGGGTGCGCCATACGCAGTCGGGTTGTTAATTGCCTCCATGAACGGAACGGTTGTGTTCACGAGCCAAGCAGTTACCCCGCTGTTGTTCGACTTGAAGGTCGCCAATTTGGTCGACAGGAAGTTGTTGTAGGTGCTGATAGCACTAACAAGCGATGCCTCGGATGACGCATCATTGGCGAGCATGAGGGGTGTCTGGTCAGTCGCTACGAAGAAAGTCAGTTCATGGCTGAGGCCGTTGGGATTGATTGTGCGGAACATTGCGTGAGCGGGTCTACTTACGCGGAACAGCCAGCAGAACAAAGTTCCTTGCGCCAGCGTCATAGGTCACCTGCAACAACTCAAAGTACCTGGTGGTAACTGCATCGATGACCTCGGTCATGTTGCTCAACCAGAAGGTATTGCCAACATCGTTGACACCTAACCACGCACCAACGAGAGTGTTTTCTGCTGTCCAAGGGGCCCAGCTTGGCTTTGAGGCCAGGCTAGTCGAGAACTCGTTGACTTGATCCACAAAGCTGAGCACGGTCGAAGCGTAGGGCGTCACTAAGTTAGCATCTGTGGTAGCACCACCATATGCCAGGTTATATGAGAGCAACAAAGAACTATTGTGCTCCGTTACCATGTAACCGACCCAGTCGAGACCGCCGCTAGCAGTATAACCGGGGAGCGTAGGGTTGCCTAGAGGGTTGGCGGCCGATGGGTGCGTGCCGTTGATGTCGAAACCAGTCTGGGAGTAGGAATCGCCGAACGTGATAAAGTATCTAGTGCCGCTTGTTGCAGTGCTGGTAGGTGCTGTTGAGCTGGTGCTCCCCCCCTTCGTGGGAACGGTGGTCGTCGCAGTCGCACTCGTGGCTTTGGTGATGCTGCTGCTAGTGGTCGCAGCATTTGAAGTCGTCGTGGTTGCTGCGCGGGAACTGCTGGAGGTGGCAGCAGAAGTGGCTGAACCTGGCACACATTGAGCTGTTCCTTGTTAGATCATTCTTCTTCTCTCTCCCGTCGATACTGACCATAGTATGGGTTATACGTTGTGCATACTGCGCCAGACACGCATGTGGTCTCTCCGGTATATCCAGTCCCACCACACTGCCCCCAAGTGGCGATGCTCGCACTCGCTGCTGATGCTAATACTACTGTGAGATACTTGGAAGCCATCGCGAAGACGGAAGAGAAGGCAAAAATTCAATTGCTTGGCATTCTTCATTCCAACCGGCGCGGGCACCCTTTGCTCTTTTATTCTTCCACTTGCTCACATTCATAGCTCCGTTTTGCCAAGAATGCGGACCTCAGATACCCGCTGTCAATACCAATGCATGATGTCCATTGGCGGAAAAGACGGTTAAGCTGTGCGAAATCTGGACATAAGGAACGGCGCCGGTTCCACGGACCGTTGGTTGTGGAGACGGCGATCGTGGCCCCGGGGTCCTAATTGGGTAAGGCCATCAGTCCGGGGTCGGATGTATAGTGGTCGCATCGTCCTGGAATGCGCTAGCTGTCACTCCTTTACTGAGTGGTAATTTAAGGAAAATCCATTCTCGAGGCACCTCAACCCTTTCCTCTCTCTCGTACAAAATCTTAAGGAAATTGTTTCCACGTGATTTTTCCAATGTCGAACGCGGCGCATTAACAGATCTCAACCAAATTCTTATCGAGATGGCGACTGAGGGGGGTCGAAAGACGACAAACGTGTGACATGGACCATTAGGACCATGACGCTGTCAGCACAATTAAGAGTCATGGACTCAATAGCATCAAAGACCTCATGGTCAAGGGCCAAGCTGGATATGGATATACCGCGCAATTGCTCTCAAGTGCCTTCCGTTCAAGACAAAGAGATCGCCGCAGGCCCACTTCCGCAACACTTTGTCTCCGACAACTTAGGACAAAGCGGGCTCGAGGAAGAAAAAGTATTGTTTAGTATAATATTCTTGGCTATAAACGTGTCTCTTCTACTACTTAAAGGACGTAAACTTTGTGGGTGAAAAAGCCTAAGCAGGTTTATTAACTCTTTCCGCAAGGATTTCCAAGATGACGTCCGTCTCCAGCGCCGAACCTATTGTCATGGATACCGCTGATCGTGCTGACCATGTAGATCTTTTAAAAGGTCCGGTTCGCCTCAATCAACAGCCAGAGGACTTTGAAGCTCTCGAAGAAGACCGGCAGGCGGACACCAGCCATAACACGGACATTGGGCCGCAAGAAGATGGTCTGGAAGCGAGTAAATCCCAGCCTTGCGAGAAAGATGAGAACCGTATTCTCCCAGCGCCTATCCCGAGGACGCCTCTCCCTAGTCTTTCCCCTGAGATATTCCTTCAGTTACGCGACACTTGTGCTGAGCCACGGTGCCAGGAGACTCCGTGCAAGTTCAGGGATTTCTGCCCACGACACCGTAATCAGCGACAAAAGGAGAAACGTAGAGCAGCTTATGTTGCGGGTGAATCTGTGAGGCAATGCGCGATCCAGGACTGTGATCAAGCAACAACGTTTGATTCGAGACTATGCAAGAATCATGGCAATTTGAGGACCAGCATCTACATGTGGAGAAAGTCTGTGTTCGCCCCAAGAAAGAGCAAGACTGGAATATGTCTCGCATGCTCCAAGGACACCGTAGATCTATTGTATTGCGCTACTTGTACTGCAAGAGTGGAGCAATACATGGAACGCACTTCAGTGGGAAGTCAAAGCGAACCCACCGTCTCGTCAGAAAACGGCAGTTCTTCCTCTACAGTTGTCCAAGAACATTCAGACGCTGATCATGTTGATAACCCACCACCTATATCTCCTGGTTATTCTAAAGTCGTAGGATCGCTTGCAGCAGCAATGGATTCTATCCTGACCGATTGTGGCACTGCATCCAACCAAGACTCTCAGGATGCTGCCCAGCCAGAGCCTGAAACGAAGCCGTTTAGACGTATCAAGATCAGTGATCTCCTGAATTGAAGCATCAAATTTAGATAAGCGTGTTAACGAGCCGCGTTCCCAACAATTCGTAGCATGTAACATGAGCTTCCGGCAGACAGTGGAGTCTAGAAAACTCTGAAGTGTGCATCATAGTTACTAAAAGATACCTGGGAATGTCGTTCAAGCGGAAGACCTTCTGTCGCCGGAAAGGGTATTGAAACTGGTAAGTAACTAATTCTTAAGACAAACTGAAAACGCTAATGTGTTTCAATATATTGTGCCTATCTTGTGCTTAAGTTTTCATTTAACAATCATTGACTACTTGGAATTTCTTTTATCTTTCCTTGCCATTCCTGATCTCATATCTGAAGTGGAAGCTCACCAGGTTAGCTTTGTAGCATATCTTCCCAAGCCATATTTCCTGTGAGACTCGGTTACAAATTACTATATGGTTACACATCTGTCTTGCCGGTCTCCGCACGTGAAGGCCTCGATCCTAGGTTTTATACGCCTTTAACCAAGGAAGAATTGTCTGCTCGTTTCTTGCAGATTTTATCGTACCCAATCCAAGGAGTCGCAAGCTCAACCCAGCGGCATCTCGCACTTCAAGAACATCCTCTGGAACCACCTCAGCTTTGAAGTCGAACAAAATCACTAGCTTGGAGCTTATAAAAAGGGCGACAGGGAGTGTCAGAGTTCCGTGAGCCATACCGCCGAGCCGCTGCCAATAGAGAATGTCATGCATGTGATGCTAGCTCCGTTCTCTTGCAAGCGAAGCCGTGTATGAGACTGTCTTCGGTCTATTACCGCGACGAGACGGAGAGTGGGAAAGCTTCTGGGCCAACTACCAGGACAAGAACTCTCTTCCTTCGAAGAAGCGAGCGCAGTAGATACCGACGGCGTCTGAAAGACCACTAAAAAGAGCAAAATATTTTTATTTTTTATTTTTACCAAGGAACAATGTACTATCCCAATACCTCTTAAGCATTGACGGATTAAAACTTCGCGTCTTCATCGCAGCACGTGAGTCTCGACCGTCTTTCTTATATTGCATACACAAGTTGCACGCTGAAATGTTTTAAACCATTTACATACATTAATAATTTGTTCTGTGGAGCCAAGTGGTAACACGGCGAATCGCCACGGCGAACCGCCTAGGCTGAGTCAGATTTCGTTAACCTGTAGAACACGGATGGCAGCCGATCAACTCGCCATTGCCATTCGCGGCATCAGGAGGGATTGGAATATGTCTAACATGGGCCAATCGGAGCCCGGCCTGAACCGATTTGAATTTGACCTATTATAAGTATGGTCTGTTGAGTCAATGTCAGCGACATAGTCACGAACAATTTCTTAATACAGTGTTGTGCTGGTCGTGGTGGGGCGGATTGTTCAACTTTTGGCAGGGTGCCAGGTTTTCAACCCTGCCAGGTGCTGCTGGAGATAAATTGCACTGATAGGTCGTCGTTATCATCATTTCCGCAAAGTCTGCATTACCTGTCTCTGGGCTCGCCTTGTTTGCATTAACTATAGCCCCATGCTGGGCATATGCAGGCACAGCTATGTGTGGGTACTGGTAGCCATAGAAATGGGGCCGGAAGGTCATTTTGTTTCTGGTATAGCTGATTGGTGCTTGGCAGCTTGACTTGTTCCTGATTGAGGTCATGATCACCGCGGGCCGCGCAAGATATCCAGGACTCCCTCCATCCAAACCAGACCCAATGCAATAAAGAGGCATATTATTGGTGCAGAGCTTGCCGAAGACGCGTTCCTGGATAGCGTAGCATTGCATGCGTAATGCGGCTCTGGTATAAAAGATATCAAACACCCGAGAACGTCCTCACATGGCTATGTTTTAGATCCAGAAGTTCAACTTTACTCTCTAGCAGTCTGTTCAACAAGCAGTCAAAATGGTCGCTTTGAAATTACTCGCGGCGGTCCTGGCTGCTCAGCTGACTCTCGCCCATCCCGGAGACACTACCGAAGCAATCAAGCGCGAGATGAATATGCGCAACTCTCAGCATGCGAAGGCATCCAGGGCCCTATCACAATGCCAGAACCAACCAGAGGCTGCAGCGCTGAGACGCCAGGCAGCTGCGCGACGTGCGCTCAAGGCCAACGAGCTGCGTGCAAAGAGGGGAGTGCTAGCAGGTAAGTTGTTTGAGTCTTCTCGAGAAGTCGAATTTTCCGGGGCTGACCACAAAAACCAGAGCGCATGGCTCACCAAAAGAGAGACCTGGAGAATTTGGCCATATATACCAATCGGACTCACAATGCGACTGGACTGGGGTACTCACTCGATACGCCAGAGGAAACCATCTTCGGATCGAACAACACCTGCGCGCTCGTCCCAGAAACCACGATCGGCCCTTACTATGTGACAGGCGAATTTATCCGTCAGGACATCACCGAAGGACAGTCGGGCATTCCAATGCACATCGATATCCAGTTTGTAGATATGAATACGTGCGAAGGTGTTCCCGCCATCGCAGCCGATGTCTGGCACTGCAACAGTACGGGATCATACTCTGGCGTCGATGCGACAGGCGAAGGCGGGCTCAATACCACGTTCTTACGCGGTGTGCAGATCAGCGATGATTCTGGAGTCGTTGCATTCGATAGTCTTTTTCCGGGCCACTACGATGATAGAGTGACGCATTTCCATCTGGTGGTGCAGTCCAACGTCACGGCGCTGCCGAATGATACCTACACCGGCGGGGAGACACTGCACATTGGGCAGCTGTATTTCGACGACACCTTGATACAAGCGGTTGAGGCGACAAGTCCATACAGCACCAACGCAATCCCGTTTACCTCGTGGGAGATTGACGGATGGATGTTGGAGGAAGCGACGAGCGATTATGACCCGTTCGTGGAGTACGTGCAGCTAAGCGAGAATTTGGAGGATGGCATTCTGGCTTGGATTACGGTGGCACTGGACCTGAGCAGCAATCATTCGGCCAACGTCACAAACAGTGCGGCGGCGCACTATTATGAGGGCGGAGGTGTCGCAGTCGCTAACAGCGATAAAGGATTACCGCCTTCCAATCCAAACGCCAGCACTCCGTAGTAATTGAACCAGCTACCAGGTGGCATAAACCCCCCCTAATATAAGTTTTTAAAAACAAATAAAGAGTATCTGTTAGGTTTGCATCTGGGAGGGAAGTTGAACGATCGCAAGCCGATAACTGGATACTAACTGTGCTTGCTGCCTTTGCCTGCATGCATTACGGGTCCGTACATAGTACGCACTGCAGTGAGTGGCTCAGGTGGAACACTTTCGCAGCACGTTTTATGCAGCCATCCAATGAAAACCAAAGTTCCAACCTGCCGTTTCCAGCTAGCCGTCGTAAGCTTACCAACCTTGGCTAGTTACTCTAACATACCTACCTTCATCACCTGGCAGCGCCGCCAGCAGTCGACTGCATGGAATAAAATGTAAACATAGGGATTGTTATAAAAGTTTGTGCATTTCCTTTCTTCCATGCGTCAACTCTTTCCTGCATCGTAATCTCCCAAATCTTGTCTGGCACGACAGGATCTTCAGGGTCTTCCATAGAAGCTGGCGCTGCACGGGACGACGAACAATTCAAAGTCTCCGTTCAACAGCATGAGGCATTCCACGTAGTCTAGAACAAGCCATGATTTCGCCGCTGTACTAACTGCCCATCATCTTCAACTTTTGTTTCACAATCTGTTTCCATCGTGCGGTTTGACCAGCTCATGATGGACGTCGATATAGCACTACTCGGGGAGAGTACCTACGTCCCAGACTTTCTGGAAAGTGCTACTCGACTTTATGAGTGCGTATCGCATGCTGGCAATTCTGCTCAGCCGCATGAGGGCGGCACCTCCGCCAATTACCTAGCAGCAAACGAGTCGCTCAGTCGATTTGTTGACGAGTTTTCGGCTCTAATATCTCATCTCAGAGTATTGCCGGACAACGGATTGGGTAGGGACTGCTGGAAAATATCCCAAGATGTTCTCATCCGTCTCAACAAGCGGCCTGACGACAACGACCATGATGGAGCTTCCCAATGTCCCGATTTCTCTCATGGCATACAGTGGACTAGCCAAGATTCAGAAGCCTTTGCCGCCCGGATAACGGAGCTGTGCAATCGATATAAAACTGCCAATCCAGATGCGTGAGTTGATTGCCTCCTACCACCAGGAGTAGTGGATACGACTAATATTAAACTAGGATTGTGGACTCTCACATTGAGACAGTTTTGAGACTAAAGCAATTCAATGAGAGACAAATGCAGGCCAGACATGGCATGAGCGACGTTGTTGATCAAGGGAAAGCACCATCACAGATGACCGCATCCGCGGATTTGCTTGCCGACTTCATCCTTGAAAGTCTTAGCTATAAGTCCATGAAGAACCGAGAGGAAGAGGTAGCCGATGCCCACGGGAATACCTTTGCATGGATCTTCAAGAACAAGCCAGACGGAAACGGCAACACCAATGGAGGGCTGGGCGACCAGTTCACCAGGTGGTTACGAAGCGACGAGCTAGGCAATATCTACTGGGGTATACCCTCCACCTTACCGTTTTTGCCACCGTTTTAGCTGATCTTTTTCGTCTATAGTCACGGGCAAACCTGGCGCCGGGAAGTCTACGTTGATGCGCTACATCGCTGAACACCCTTCTACGGACCTGCTTCTTAAAGCATGGGCTGGAAAGAGACAACTTGCGAAAGCTGTTTTTTATTTCTGGACCAGCGGTTCAGAGGAGCAAAAGTCACAGTCTGGTCTACTCCGCTACTTGCTATACCAGCTTTTGTCAAACGACCATAGTCTCATCCCAACGACTTTCCCTGAGCTGTGGCAGAAACTCTCCCAAATGTCCACAAAAGAGAGAATCCGCTTTTCCGTCGACTGGAATGCAGCAGAACTCATGAAATCTCTCCAGCAGCTCGTTGAGTATGCTCTCAAGTCCACCAAGATCTGCCTCTTTGTAGATGGCCTCGACGAGTTCGATGGTGATCACCAAGCAATCATCCAGTTTTTCAGGAACCTGTCTGGCAATGACACGAACGGCCGACTTAAACTTTGTCTATCCTCCCGACCATGGCCTGTCTTTGAAAAGGCATTCCAATACTCAGTCCCCAACCTCAAGCTGGAAGAGCTCACATTCTATGATATGACACGATATGTGGAGGACAATCTAGCTAATGACGGGAAGTTCAAGGACGCAATGGCCAAGGATCAACCGGCAGCGAATACCCTTGTATCCGGTATTGTTAAAAAGGCCGAGGGTGTCTTCTTATGGATTCGCCTTGTGGTCAGAAAGGTCCTGGAGCTCTTTGGGGAAGATTCAGACATTTCTTCTGCCACAAGATACTCGCTAGAGCTGCCGTCGGACTTGGATGAGATCTTCAGTCAGTTTATCTTCCAAAATCGATCCCCAGAACAGCTTGAAAGGTCGCTGCATGTGTTCCAGCTTGTTCATGCACGCGAAGTCGTTGCACGTTTTATCAAGGATGAATCTTCGTATTCATTGTCCATATGGGAATTCGTGTTTGCCCTGCAGACCTTGGAGAATGGAATAGAGAGAAACGACACATTCAGGGAGGTACCAGACGAGGAAATTCTGCAGCTGTGCGAGAGTGCGCTGGCCAGCATATTATCAGACTCCAGCGGTCTCCTTGAGGTATATCACAAGCACGACCGCATCAACCGATTCAATTCGGCTCATCGCCGCGGACACAACAACAGCAGACACAGTGCAAGACAGCTTGCCGAAAGCAGGGTGACATATTTGCATCGCACAGTACGTGACTACCTGGTGGGACCGAAAGCAGTCCTGCTTAAAAGTTCGAGCGATGCGCACCTTCCGCATCTCCAATTGCTCAGTTCGTACGTTCAACGACTCAGGAACTCATTGGAGCCCTTGGAGAAGCATCGTCGCCTGGACGAGCTGTATCCGGATATTGCGATGGCGCTAACACATGCCCGTCATATGGAGGGCCAAATCAAGAATTATCCTCCAGAAGTACAGCTGTTGCTCATTGACCAGCTCGATGAGGGGGTTTCCTGGTATTGGCAAACTCGGCGTGGGGACCCTTACGACCATTGGGCCAGGAGTTGCTTCGGTAGTTACGAGCAGCGTAAAGGCAACAAGATTATCTTCCGCGAACCATTCCTTGCATTATGCACCAAGTTTGGACTGTCAGGTTATGTCATTGGAAAGCTTGACGCTATTGCGGGCAGAGATAAGACCGCCGATGACGGGGATGAGTCCCTTTCCTCGGTCGTGGAGGAGGCGCCTTTACTGACTTATGCCTTGGAGTTCTTGACTTCGCGTCAGAAGACGATCATGCCTCTGTCAGACGCAAGTTTCGTTTCAGCATTACTGCAGAGTCCACATCTCGATCACCCGGAGGTAGGCAAGATAATTGGTACCCCAAATATGGTGTTCAATTCCCCACTCAGGAAGAAAAAAGCGGTGACTCCCTGGATCATGGTGCTCAGTCATCTTCGAGACGCGAAAAGAAGAGGCTGGATAGAGCCATTCGACATTGATCAAGAGAACGGCACGAAACGGTGGACAGGGATCATCAAGCTGCTCGTCAAGGAAGGACATGCCGACTTGGACGCTTTTTTGGAGTGGAACGGCTTTGATAAGGAATGCTATGCTCGCGATGTATTGGTGGGCCCCGAGCATCTTGGCGCGGTCGACGACTGGTGGATCCATGAGTTCAAGAAACTTATAGAGTAGTATACATCTTGTTCATACACCGAATAAAACGCTTCCGTTCCTTTCGGTAAACGCTTGGCTTCGATTCACCTCAGTTTTCGTTTTCTACGACGGTATATTTGAGGATTCATTCGAAAACGAATCTGTTCTGTTAGAATCTCGTGGGGAAAAAAGCATGAGCACAAGACCGTTGACTTGAAAGCCACGGCCTAGTACAACTCATGGGTCCATTGAAATTCTGACACCCTATACTTGATCAAGACATTCGAGAAGACTCATAATTCTGCCTTGGGTTCAACATGAAGCTCTTCCCTTTCCCACCTGTTTTCCTTCTTCCCAACCCACCCTTCATTAACACCCCTGATCTCGTTCTCACAGTAGATATGGCCCCTTGAAGAATTCGCCAGCGCGTATCCGTACCCGCCACCTTCACCATCGCGGAGGAACTCCGGGTCTACGCAGGCGACCGAGACGTAGACCTCGCGGCTCTCGTCCTCCTTCCAGTGCAGGAAGCTGCCGCACTTGGCGCAGAAGCCGCGCTGGACTCCCCGCGTCGCCGAGAAGCTCCTAAGCTCCGTGGTCGGCGTCGTGTAGGCCAGGTTCGCAGCGGGCACGGTGTGGGAGTGCCAGATCAGGCCGCCCGAGCCGCGGCGGCACTGGGTGCATTGGCAGGATTGGCTCTGGAGGGAGGGATCTCGTTAGTCATGTGTTTTCTCTTGCCTCGTTTTGCTTCCTCTTCTGTCGCACGGAGGGAACAGAGGAGTGATGTAGCGAGCTTTTGAGGGTATACACACGTTCTTCAAGAAGTCGTGGTCTTTGGGGAACTCGATCCTGAAGCGGATGGCGCCGCAGAGGCAGCCCCCTGTGACGGCGTCGGGCTTGGCGAAGTCCTGCGGAGATGGGCTTGGCGACGACATCCTTGAGTTTATGTAATGACTAGGAGGCTCAGAGTATTGCGATTACACGGAGGACTTTATTCAAGGAAGTAAATCGGCAATTACAAGTGATAATTAAATCGAACCATTAGAGCTGCATGGTCAAAGGCGTGTGTACAATAGTATGTCTAGCAAAGCCCGCTGCCCCGCCAATTGTCAATTGCGCCTTTGCAGTAGTTGCCTTATCTTCCACTTTAACTTGGCGAACTTATCTGTGTAACTCGTATGTCCATCAAAACTGAGCCATCGGGCATTGCTATCGAGAATGCATAAGGCACCGTATGTTGTTAAATGCAGCATTAGACCTTCCGCATCTCTCCGTTTAGTAAATGATTGATTGGCAAATTAGGACACTAGATATTAAACAGTGCGCTATTTACTGAGTATTAACTCCTTAAGATGTGACGCAATCAAATCCCTCCAATCCAGAAGTATCAAATCCACTGCAAACCCATTGGGTAGGTTTGCCACTCGGGGGAGTGATGGAAATGTTCTTGGCGACAATGTTTTGGCATTGCTGTTGGCTTTGTTAGCCATGTTTCATGGAAGCAGACGTCTTGGGGCAGCATACCTTTTCCGAAGAACATACGAGTGTGCCGACCTTGGGGTCGTATTTCTTTGAGGTTGTCCCCCAGAAGTCAAGGAAGTAAACGTCCGATATGGTCATGTTTGACTGTAATCAGAGTTAGTTACAAAGAGCTTTATTTCACTAACACTGGAAAATATACCGGGAACAGCTGGCAGAGAGTCCTGTTGGACTGGCCGTAACACTGGTTGACTTCAATCGCCCAGTCATTGTTGTAGTTGTAGTAATTCTCATAAGTGATGTTCTTTACGTATCCAGCGCCGCCACCACCGCTCAGGGTAGGGGCGTTGTATGAGTTGATACCAGGCCAGACCTTGATGCGGGCTCCATCGCTGGCGTTGGACATGCTGTTGTTGAAGACATAAATGTTTTCAACAATGTCGTACTTTTCAGGGTACTGTCCCAGCGAGCCGACAGAAATACCGTGGCTGCCATTGCAGGCAAGGCCTTGGACTACTATATTGGTGCTATTCGGTTTGAATGAGACACAATCGTCGCCGTTGTTGATGACCGAGTTCTGGATTACAATGCTGTCGGCTCGATACGTGTCCCAGCCGTCTGTGTTCTTTGCCGAAACGTTCACCGCGTGAACATTGATAGTGATGTCACTAATGAGAACATCCGAAGTGTTCGCAATGAGATTGAACCACTGCGATCAGTCAGCAAAGTAATTCATGCATGTTGGAGTACCCTTACATTAGGAGAGTTGATGTAGTTCAGTCCGGTGATACTGCCTCCCTGCAGACCATCGGTCACGAAAAGAATGGGTCGCAGGAGCGATGCGTTCTTAGCAAAAGCCTCCCACCATGCTTGGCCGTTGCCGTCGATGATCCCGACGCCGTCACCATATACGTTCACGTCCTTTCCGCTAAAGGGTTCTAGTGTTAGCGGCTGGTTCTTGTTGACATCAACACTGTATATAACATTTCCAGTGTGTCCTGCGTGGCTACAACACGCGCTTCGCCTCTAAACTTCGTGCAAAAAAAGAGTCAAATCCAACGAAATCACTTACCCAAGCTTGAAGAACGAGGTGGAGTTCTGGAAATCGTATGTAAAGTAGTTTGCTGTCCAGTAATCAATGTCATCGGTGAATGTGAGCTTGCCAGAGATGGCGATATCAACAGACTGCAGGAACGTCAGGTCGAGGACGGAACCGATCGTATAGTTCGAGTCCAGAACAACCTTGCCGCCATTGTTGCAGTCGTGGAGGGCAGCCAGAAATGCCTGAGAGTCATCGCCACCGGTGGGGACGACAAAGCATTCCTTCGTACGAGCAGGAGAGGTCACATGCGCCTTGCCGGTGTTGTGAGGATGAGCCTTGGTGTTGGGTCTGGTGATGGAGGCTTTACCTGTGTTGGGACTCCTCGATCCCAGGGTCGACACTGCTTGGGCCGATGTCACTAGAGCAGCGACGGCCACGGCGGCAATGGTCTTGGACAACATGGTGAGCCTTGTTACCTCGGGTTGAGAGTGAGAACTTCTGGCGATAACGAACTGGCTCTCTGGCTGGAGGTTAAACAGCTAATGCATATAGATTTAGATGTGCATGCTGTTCCTTTATATCAGGAGGGCCTACCATCGTTCGTTAACCAAGCATTACCTGGCAATCCGGAGTAACTTTCCGAGCCCCAAAGAGACCCCTGAAATTTGAGAAAGTTTGCCATCAACTGCGGGTGTCAGATCGTCGCCTTAGATTTTCCGTCAGTCAAAAGCTATTCCTGCTGCCAAGTAGCTCGGCAGTCCGGCCGAGGTGCCCTGACCAGCTCTTGCGTCCGGGGTATCGGTGGAGCCAAAGCAACCTTACCCCTGATCCTGCATGCTTGTATATCATTTTCCTACCGAGCGTGGAGCGCGGCTCAGGAGCTGATTTAAGGAGACGCAATCGCCATGGGGGAGATGTTGGAGAATCCCGTCCCTTTCCCCGCATGTTCAAGATGCTGGACGTAATTAATCATTAGCTCGGCCCCGCCGGTTAAATTGAGGGGACATTGGAGAAACTTGGGGAAGTGGAGATCGTCGCTAGTAGAAGTGGAAGCAGAGTCCGAGGTGGTGTGCATCTCACTCGTTCGTTTTTCTGTCCTTATTTGCGCCAGCATGTCTGTCCCGCGTAGAAATTATCTACAGGAATCTATGGGAAGTGCCCGTCGGATGGTTGTCTACAATTCGATACCCTCCTTCTCCTATCGCTGCTTAATCTTTCTTGGTAGGGTTTATCCATTCGGCGCTGGGTCAACGATATACCAGGTCAAGTCAACTAAGTCGACTATGTAAGTTAACCAGGTTAGCTCCATTCCAATTGCCGACTTCTCTTTCGTGGAGAAATAGTCCCTTCATCTCCACTTAATATACATGATGGGTCCCAGTGCCTTGGAACGACGCGTGCACCCCAGAAAGCTTGGCACTTGAGCTTGTTCTATGACAAGCAACGATGAATACCGCCGCATGCTATAAAGACCCTGATTTCACTGCCGGGGGAAAACCACTATCTCTTGGCAACCAGCTTAGCTTTCTGCCGCGCGACACTGTTGAAAGGAGGTCTCCAAGATGCCGTCTCTTAGCAATTTTGTAGTCTTTGCCGCGTCGGCCTTCTCACTGGCTGCCGCATCTCGCAAGACCTACCCGTCGCAGACGTACGCAGAATGCCAGAGAAAGACACACAACCCCTTGTCGGGATGTCCTGACCGTACCCTGTACGTCAGCCTGAACGACACAAGCGCCGACTTCCAGAGCATCCAGGCCGCCATCGCGTCCGTTCCAAACAACACGGACGCGTACACGATCCTGATCGCCCCCGGCATCTACACGGAGCAGCTGAACGTGACGAGACAGGGGCCGCTGACGCTGCTGGGTCAGTCGGACAAGCCGGCGAGAAACGAGTCGTACTCGAACGTGTACGGGTCCAACGCGACGGACAAGGCGCACGCCAACGATGTCCAGATCTACTGGAACTCGGCAAATTTCAACAAGACCTTCACGGACAACGTGTACACGGGTGTCTGTAAGTGGCCGTATCTGCCTCTGTTTCAGCCGAACATTGCCAGCTGACTTAGGTGTCTCAGTGACCATTGGACCTACCCTTAATGCCACACTGACAGGTTCCGGTCCAACCGGCTTTGCTGTGCCGGACGATACGCCATTCGGCTGCAGCGACTTCAGCGCCTACAACATCGACTTCAGGAACGAGCAGTATCCGTACTCGAACGGACCCGCCCACGCCCTAGGCGTCAGTCGCGCGAATTCCGGCTTCTACTCTTGCGGGTTCTACAGCTGGCAGGATACCGCAAGTAGCCCACCCATAACATCCTAGCACTGCTTGATGCGCACAAGTTACCAGCCCATCTTTCCATCGGACCCAAACACTAACGTATGGCGCCAGATCTACATCGGTAAGCTCGGTAACGCCTACTTCCACGACAGCATCGTGGCGGGCCAGACCGACTTCCTTTACGGCTTCGGCACGCTGTACATCAGCAACTCAACCCTCTCGCTCCGCAGCTGCGGCGGGGGCATCACGGCCTGGAAGGGGACCAACACGACCTTCGAGAACAAGTACGGAGTGTACATCGCCGACTCGGCCGTGCTGGCGGCCAACACGAGCATCGCAGCCTCCATCGTGGACCGGTGCTCTCTAGGCCGGCCGTGGAACGCCCTGCACCGCAGCCTGTTCGCGAACACGTATTTCGACGCCAGCATCCTGCCCGCCGGCTACACGCCTTGGTCCGGTGCGGTGAACGGCAACATCGGCGTCAACACCACCATGGCCGTCTACGACGTCTACGGCCCTGGCTACGACGCGGCGGCCGAGGCAGCAGCGGGGAACGTGACTAAGATCTTCGACCAGGAGGACGCGGAACCCTTTCTCACACCCGAGGATGTGTTCATGACGGAGAAGGGCGAGCAGCCGAATGTGGGCTGGATTCACCGCTGATGGCTCAGCGTAGGGCAGGGTAGTGCACAGGGGAGGAAGCCTCCGGTTTTGGGGTTGCTGGGCGGGGAGAATACGTATGAATAATGTAATCGGAAAGCCGATGTTACCAAGTAGATATGTGTACAAATATTCCAGTCTTTGGAGTTATGTAAGAGCTTACAGAGTTTTCGCACAGAAGCATAACGTAACGATATGAGCGACAAAGCCGCTTTTGAATTATAAAATTAATGAGAGAATCAACGAGTGATTAGGGAAGCGCTCAAATGGGCGACAATTTTCATAAGCCGATTGGGGCACTAATAATACCAATGATGCGTAAGAAGAGAGAACAAAGAAAAAAAACCACGATTAATAAGCTATACATGATTAAATCACAAATCATAATGAAAGGGAATTCTCCCAAGGAAACTCTCTTTTATTGGTTATATCTAACTGGGAAGGCCCGGAGAAACCCTGGGGAATTAACCGCTCCCCCCCCCTCCACTCCCATCACACACACAAAAACAACTACTCGTCGTCCTCGTCGCCCTCGCCGTCTTCCCCCGGGAGGAAGACATTGTCTTCCTCCCGGAGCTGCTCCAGGAGGTGGCCGTATAAATACTCGACGGCGATGGGCGGGAAGGCATTGCCCACCTGCTTCTTGGCGTGGGAGACGACAGGCACAAACCAATAGTCCCCGGGAAACGTCTGTAGGGCCGCATATTCGCGCACCGTGAAGGGGCGCAGGCCGGAGGGGTGGTAGTTCTTGGAATCATTGCAATTACAGGTTAGTGAATTGCGCAAAATTCCGTTGCCATTCCAGGGAGGCCTGGGGTATCGACTGCTAATATTAAGCTGGTTAGGGTCGTTATGAGTCGAATCGGGGTGGATGTTCTCCGAGAGAACGCAGTTAACGGTGGGAGGAACTGGGCATGGTTCAGGAAGAACTGGGTGGAAATCCCCAGGACATGAAGCGACCATGACAAGGCGTTTTCGAGGTTGCGGGACCATCCAATCGGCCAGGACGATGTAGCGCCAGGTGATGGAGTAGCCCTGTGAAGTAAAGCATAGTAGGAGCTGATGGAATGCCTGCATGTGTCTGCCATATAGGATGCCGTATGTTTGCTCCACTGTTACAATTCGTGGGCGGAACTTGTTGATAATGTCATGTGCAGAACAGAGGATGTCTCTGTTTGCATTGTCGTCTTGTCCTGGGGAGGTATGGGCAGGTGACCAGAACTGACAAGGAGGGGAAATGTGCAGCATATCAATGCGCTGATCCTTCACCCTCATGTCACCAATAAGTTCACTGACGTTTCGCAGGTGCATGGTCGTTTCTGGGAAATTCATGCGATAAGTTTCGGCTGAGCGCTCATCGATGTCACAAGCCATATGAACCTTGACACCAGCAGCCCGGGCGCCACATGAAGCACCGCCAGCACCACAGAATATGTCAGCGAACGTGTACTTTTGACCCTTAGCAACTTCAAAGGGCTGCTCACGGGCAGCAGCGTCCTCGTCCAAATCAATTTCGCCATGGCCAATGGAGCCGTTGTTGTAAGAACCACCGCGAGCCTTGGCACCTCGCCAGCTATTGAGCTTTGTCTCCTCCGGAACGCGGGGTCGGTTCATAATGGGTAGGTGAGCGTACAAAGGGTCGTCAAGGTCGTCCTCACGCAGGTGATACAAGGTACGACCGATGGCTCTCTTAACTTGTCGGAGTGCAGCCGTGCGGTAATGAGTCACCATTCTCCAACGGCAAACCACAGGTCCGTAGGTTTCAATGAAATCCAAGTTTCCATTAAACAAGATCCTCTGGGTGGCTTTCTCAGGCCATTGTGTGTTGGTCACCCTGAAGTCACGCTTGCGCTCAACCGTGTCAGCTGCGACTTGAACTTGGGCTTGCTCGTCCCAATCACGGTCATCGTTCTCATCAATGTCCATGATCTCGACCAACTCGTTGCGTAAAGCTTCAACCATGCCACATAGATTGCGGGTACGGGTATAAGGGATACCACGGAAGATCACTTGGCCACAACTACCAACATAAATGAGCTTGACAAGCATGAAGCGGCCGTTGTATAACGAATCATGCTGGTGACCTGTCTCGATGAAATCGCCGATTCTGATTATGATGTTAGATGAACGGAGTTTGTATGATGAGACCCTTTCCTCAATGGCGACTGGTGGGTTGCGGATGCTCAAATCAGCACTGGCATGACCACCAGCATGAGTGCGAGATCGAGCACTAGCATGAGCGCCAGCATGAGTACGAGATCGAGCACCAGCATGAGCGCTATCACGAGTAGGAGAACGAGCGCCAGCATGGGTACCAGCAACAACACCAGGAGCATCATCAGAGGAACCATTTGAGGAACCATCCAAGGAAGCATCGGAGAAATCATCAGAGGAAGCATCGGGGAAAGTATCGGAGACATCAACGCTATGAGGGTCATCGATGTCAATGTCGAGGTTGTTGATGTCAAAGTCGAGGTCGTTAGGGTCGTCGCTGTCAAATTCAGCGTCATTCATGTTGATGTCTGAATCGTCATCTTCGGAGTTCTCCACGTTGGAGTCATCAATATCCAAGTTCTCAGCAATGTCAAAGTTCTGAGCGATGTCGTCATCCATCCCTTTTTTGACCGTGGCATCGACGTCTTCTTCGTCATCCTCATCGTCCCTAATGATGATAGGGGCAGCGGGCATGGATTCGCGGTCGCCAGTCTGCTCTCTGTGTTGGGCAACTCGCTCTCTGTGGCGGTCTTGGGTACGTTGCTGGATTTCATTGAAGTAGGCGACACTCCCCAAGTCAGCATCCTCGACCCTGCGATGTGGGTGACGTGAGTGGCCGCCGGAGGGGTCGGGGCTGTCCATGTCGAATTGTGAACTGCACAATTTCCTGGTGTTGGCTATGGATATGTTAGTGGACTGTCGAGAATTTGCCTCTTTGTACCAGTGTCGAAGAAGCATAGACGACACTCACCTAAAAAACTGCCGATTTAGAGAATTATGGCAAGTGGTGAAGATTAGAATCTACCTTCCAATCGCCGACTTTGATGGATAATGAGATGTTGGGCAGATTAGAATGTACCTTCTGATCGCCGATTTCAGGGGGAGGTGAAAAAAAATGTGTGAACAAATATTCAACTCGGCGATTCGATAAGCTGGATGAAGTGAAGCCCGAGAAAACACTTCACCAGCTAGCAATATGGTGGGCAGTTAAGGTTGATGAAGCTTCCACTGGAGAGCGACATGCCACAGAAGGATGGCGGTAGTGGTGGAGGACGAGTCTTTGACAATGACAGTCGAACAACGAGATCCTTCTTCGAGGTGAAGTCGGTGCAGTGAAAGGGGCCGATTGACGAAGTTACTGCTGGAGGGTGTGCGTTGCCGGAGTTGTGTGGTGAGAGTCTTTGGGGAGCTTGAGAAAGCTACTTATGATGGATGGCGGGGTTGTGCACAAAGATGCGACTGCAAGATGTGAAGACTCGCAGTGGTAAGAGGTCTTTATGTTGGAGAGGAGACCTCGATGATGTTGTTACCACTTAAGGGTGTTCGCTGTGATGAGTGTGGTTGCAGTGATTGAAAGTGCTTGATGATGCTGTCACTGATAGATGTGCGGCTATTCACAATAAGGTAGTTGCAGGAGGGGAAAGCCGCAATGGCAGAAGATGTTCAAGAATATCATGCAACTGTGAAGAGTTTCCCAAGAATTTTGATAATGGCAGGCAAACGTCATGTCGTTACCACCGGAAAATTCAGGTTGTTCACAGGTACGTGAATGTGATAGGAAGAGCTTTCAGTGGCACAAAGTGCTCAACGAAGTTACTACTGAATCGTGTGATCTTGTTCAGAAGAGTGTGTAGGAAAGAGGAAACTGCAGTGACATTGGCTCCTTGACGACATTCCTACTAGAGAGTGTAAGCTGCTGTTCATAAATGGTATGATTGTGGTTGCAGATGGCAGAAGAGCTTGAAAATGCTGACACTGCAGGATGTGGTGCTTTCCGCCGGATGGTAACCATGCAAGATATGTATTATACTATCAAAATAGTTTGAAGATGCTGCCCTTGGAAAGGCAACTATTACACAAGGATGCGATTGGGTCAGGGAGTGTTTGTTGGGGAGAGTGACAGGCAGAGAGCCTTTGAGGACTGGTGTGAACCGCTTGCCTGAAAGGCTTTGATCACCGCAAGTGGCTGGGATGCGGTAAAGCTTTGTTACATACCAGTCATGGATTGTCCAGAAGGTCTCCTCACTACTTGGCAGTTAAGGGAAAGGGGTTATCCCCATGGTGGGTGTTGTTGGAAGGGGAAGAAGATGTGGTGATGGAGGACGAGGACTGAGTTTATATACTTGTGCTTGTGGCCCAAGCTCCTGCCTGATCCAGTGAACTGTAGCTTGAAAAGCTACTACTCTTATATTCTCCGGTAGCTTCCAACTGCACGAGAGCAGAGAAGATGGAAGGTGGGCTGTTGCAATAGTAGGAAGGTGTTGGATGAGACGGTTTATGGTGCTTCTAGTACAGTTAGGGTTCAAACTCTCATTGATTGCTGGAATACAGATTTTGAGCAGCTGGTAATAAAATGGCAAGGGGCAGAAATGATTGCATGGAATAATGGCGGTACCATGAACCAACAGTTATGGAAGCTGATATATGTTATGTTACTAGATTACAGCTACAGCTTAAGCCTTTACCATCACTAACAAAAGTATTGGTCTAGTCTCTATTACGGACTCATTTGTGAATAAGAAGAAGTAAATGAGCGGTTATTCAGAGATATGTATGATGGGTAAGTCGCATGTACGTACAGGTTTCTAAGCTGTTATTACAGAAAACTAAGCATAATTTAGAAGATGATGGCTATATTTGAATAAATAATATTACCGGCAATGGCGTCCGATAGACCTAGACAAAATATCGACGAGAATGGTGTTTATGATGATATATCTCCGAAATGTGTTCCATATCCTGGTACTAGTAGTATATCCCATAAGAATCAGGAGCAGGAAAATCCTTAAAAGTACGAGATATGCCGTGTGTTTGACCACTTGGGTAATAACGATCTGACAGTTGCCCAAGCGTCGACAAGCAGCAAGCAGACAAGCAACTACAGCCATATCAGGGAACGAGGACCCAATGCCCTTTTAACTAGCCAGTACGTTTTGTTTTATTAATGCTCCGAGGAACTCGGGTATTTAGCACGACTGGGTTCCAATCACGAGATGTGCCTCAAAACCATTGATTTCCAGAATATACGACTTTTTTCTTTATCTTACCCCATTCGCTAGACGGAACATGAACTTGGTCCCAACTTTTAACACCATGCACCAGCTCCCGCTTGTTGCCTATCAGGCGACTAACAAAACAAAACAAACATTGTGTACAACTACTCGTTGAGGATAATAAATAACCATCTCAGAGTTCGAAAGTTGCCCTTCCTATATCGTCATCTTTGTGTCCCCCGTGTATGCTTCCTCCGTCCCGATGCTTGGTATTATATTTGTACATGTAGTGCCCCTCTTTGAAAAAGGGGGGGTTTCCCCTGCTGAACCGCTGCTTGCCATGGTGCCACCATGAGTCGTTATCAGTACAACAGACCTAGTGTCATGTTTCAATATGGTGGCTTGGTGAGATTTCCCAACGTGTGTTCCCTGGACTTGCTGTCAATCCCTTTGAGTAAGGACTGCAGATCAAAGGCTGGGCTTTCACTGTCCGTAAAGGCGCTGGTGCCGACGCTTTCGCCACCCCGGCTCTTGATGCTCTTCCTCGAAGATTTGTATGCGTGGTCTTTCGTCGATATAGCAGTCATTGGTCGAGAGAAACTAGTCGCCACCGCACTTCCACCGACAGAGTCTGGAATCGGAGGAACAGGCGGTACGCTATTATCTGAATCATCGTCTCCATTGGCAGGGTGAGACGATAGAGGACCACCTGAACCACCGGACCCTTTACGCTCTCGTGATTTAGACCTGGAGCGCGCCACACCAAATTCTGCGTGGTGGTCCACCGCATCGCCCGTGTTGGGGTTGAAGGACAGTTCCGAGGGTGAATAATCGTAGCTGGCTATACTGTCGCTGCTGTCGTCATCACGCACCGTGTGCAGCGTCTGAGGCCGCGGACCGTCTCCGCTGAGAACCGATTTCAGCTGATCGACAGAGGCGACTCCGACACCCCTGTTGGTTGAACTACTTCGAGCAGAAACACGGCTTTGAACGCTCGACTTGCGCAACCCTCCTACGCCGAGTCCTCCTGCATGAGACGCCGGTCTCAAGTTGTGATTGCTGTTTACTGGTGATCCCGCGCCGCTGTGAGGGTGGCCATTGGCCATGTGGACAGCCAGGCGATTGTTTCTGGTCATGGTGGTGTTGGTCTTGGAACCATTGAGAGATGCCGACTTGCTACCCTCCTGAAGCGCAATAACAGCCGCCTCTCTTGTCCACTCAGTCAACATATCTTCCCGGAACTTGATTGGCAGTTCCCGGTCTGTCTCGGCTGGAGGTATTGAGCTGAGGCTCGAGCTCAAGATGGGTAGTGTAAACGATCGCCCCGGCGAAGCAGATGGACTCACTGGAGGCGATGCCTCACCCCGCTGATAATGACTGCATATGCACTCCACCATGGTGATCCTATCGTCAAATGGCAGCAAAGCTTCGAATTCGACCTCATTGACAGGCATCTTAGGCTGCGGCCGATGAGTGCCAGGTGTACCAATCAACTCAAGGAACGGTGGAGGAACCTGGATGCCCTCGACCCAGAAATGCTTGCTCCTCCTTCTGACGATCTCGTTTTGCACGGCCTGACCCACGATTGAGGTGTCAAAGTCAAACTTCTCCGTCAGCGCCCAGAAATATCCATGGCAGAGAGCGCCCAGTCTGACCTTGTCAAGCGGTGTCTCGGCCTCCTGGATATCCTCCTGGAGTCTGAAGACCATGGGAAGGCCGTAGCGAACAGCATTGACGCCAAGCTTGTCGACCAGCTTGGCCAGTAAGGCATGACACAAAGCAACGTCCGTTTCGTACTCGACGTATTGCAATGCATTGTCATAAATGGACAGATGCAGCAATTGCAAAAAATGAGAACGAGGTGCTTTTGCGGACTTGTCTCGTCCGGAGGCGTTCGAGACAGCCGTTCTCGCAAAGTTAGAGGGCGGGACATCCTTGTTGTGAGCCTTGGCTGGCTTGGGGGTCTCATCCCGAGCAAGGAGATCTGCTCTAGTCGTCTCACGGTCGAGCCACGTTATGACCGCATCTGCATATGCTTTGCGCACGTGGCCATCTGGATCGCGCAGAAGCCAGTGCGTGCCTTCCCACACATGGATGGGGACCTTATTCCTGGTGAGGCTGACATTCCCACTGATCTTGGTTTTAGGATTAGCGACCAGGAGGATGGCCTTGATCGCCCTCAGAGCAGCTGTCTTGGCAAGGTCTAATGCAAAGAAGCTATCCAGCTGCTGGTCATCGACCAATGTCCCCGCCGAAGTCTCTGGCGCCTGTTGGTTTTCTGCTCTCTCCACTGGCGATGTCGGAGTATTTGTGCTCGGGTGCGGCTTCAAGCGAAGCAATATGGCCGATATCATGTCTGAGATCTGATCGGCATAGTAGACATGGGTTGCCAGGTCGCCGATGCACCTCTCTATCCTGCCCAGGAGCTCACCGTGCTGAGAATCGGCTGGCTGTGCCGGGCCAGCTTCTTCCTTCCTTTGGCTGAGGCGTCCCGAGTGCTTCATGACCTTCTTCATCTGCTGAACCAGGCCCAAGAGCACATCCATGATGCTCAGGCCAATCAGATTGACATCGGAGCGCAGCAACGAGCTCATGATGGCCACAAGCACTATCTGCTCGCGCAGGTTCTCGTCCGTGGGCTGCACGTGGATGAGTGCATCCAAGGCAGTAACGAGAATGACATATCGGTCTTGTACCGGGGCCCATTTGGCCGCCAGTCCGTAGATCTTGATGGCCCAGCCACCATCCCGACCCTTCTCGTCAGGGTTGACGACCGACTCTTTCTGCTGGACTCGTTCGTGTATGAATTTGAGAAGGGCTTGAGTGGCTGCATGTACTTGTGCTCGGTTGGGGACGATGAAGATCTGCTTCAGGCATTGCATGGCAAGCAGACCAGTCTCTTCTTCGGCGAGGGCGTCGGCATCGGCGGTTGAGCCAGACAAGGCAATGGGGTTGGTGTCGCCAGGCTCCTCGGTAGTCCTGACGGTCGAGACGCTCGTTCGGCGGCGGACCAGCGTGCTGGCGTCACCCTTCTGTTCGGCCTCCATGCGGTGTATCAGGACGTCAAGGAAATTGTCGTTGTCGGTCCAGAGGTTCTCCAAGATCATTGGGACGATGACGTCGAGCTGGCGACCAGCTACCGAGGCCAACGCGTCAGACTCGGCTACACTCCTTATGGCTGTGAGACCGGCGGTTCTCCATCTGACGGCGACGGGTTCGCTCGGTGTCCCCTTGCCGGGGGTCTGACGAGTCGATGCGAAGGTAGCATACGCGCGCACAATGTCTTCGTATTGGCGGACGTAGCTCTGGTCGGCAAACAGCGAGGTGGCGTCGTGGTATTCACAGAATGTCTCAAACGTCGGCAGCGAGGCTTCAACCATGGTGATGTCGTTTGAGCGCAAGACAAGACTGAGCACCTTGATGACATTTTGGGCAAACAAGGGCAGGTCCTTTGGGGATTTTTCGATCAGTGCGGCGATGATTTGTAGTGTGACTTGGACATTGCTGCATTGTGGTCAGCTTCCAGCAAGCAGCAGCAGCAGCAGACTTGACTCTGCGGAGAACAATAGAATCGAGCAGGGCCGGGCAGGGCAGGGGAGGACGGGATGATGGTGTTTGCCTAGTCACATACCCAATTCTCAGCCGCCATACGTCGCTGGCCGTCTTCTTCTCGAGAAAGCTGCCGACTTTTTGAATCTTGGATCGGCGGGACGTTGCGTAGAACAGCAGGTAGCTCAGCTCGCTAGAGTTTGGCTTGACGTCAACCGCTCCTTTGGTGGTTCGGGGGTAACATTTCAGCACAAGGACCTGGTGCTTTGGGCGGCACTTCTGCTGGATGGCGTTCATTGCGCCGGTGCGCAATCAACGAGGAAGGGCAGTGAGGATGACGACGACAAAACGCTGCGTCCCATGCAAGAAAAGACAAGGTCTCGAGGACGAGGGAGAGTCGTCTCCTGCCGGCGATTCCACCGGAACGGAGTGTGTTTTGTTTGTTGGTTTGTTTGTTGGTGGGCTGGCAAAGTTAATTCGATCAGCTTGGTCAGGGTAAATAAATTCGGAGTCGTGGCACCTTTGCCAAGTTTAGTCAGTCAGGCAGTCTCCCGGCTGAGATGAAAAGGCAGAGCCGAAAAGACAGAGCCAAAATGGCACAGTCCGATGGGATTACCTACTTAATCACCAGTCGCCCGGGGGGTACTTTAGTGCAGTGCATTAATTGGACTTGACAAGATTGGCGTCAGATTCGCTTAATGATCCCTGAGCCTTGTTCAGGTTGGAACCACAATTACAATTGCAATTACAATCACCACAAGCGATGCGTTCCCAAATTGCCCGACCCAAAGTCCATTTTGGCCAGCAAGAAATGAGCTCCGTCGCCCATGCAATGTACTGTGATATAACGTGCGGGATACTTGCTTGACTGGCAGGCAAAAGTAATCCTTTTATCTTTATTATTAGGTTTATTTTTATTTCTAGGAGGGCCACCGTTTCTTACTGCTTGTCGCCAAGCGAGACGAAGGTCCAAAAGTTCAAAGGTCCAAAACCTAATTTCTATTACTTTTATGATTGCGACAGCCTGCCCTTCTTGGTGCCATTGCCATCAGCGACCTCAAGCTCTCGACCACCCGGGCCTGGACGCTGGCATTTTGTATCTGTCGCACCTCGTAGCGAACATGATACTCGAATACACCAGTCGAAACAAAGCGACCACTGCGCACTGTAATACCTGTCCTTCGTTGGAATTGTTCACTGCGTCATAAAGCGTCTCTAGCACGTGTCGCGTTGGAAACCCGCTTGCACAAGCAACTAACGTTAGTGCATATTGGCGTGGTTGCCTGATGCGATATAGCTCGAGCCCAAAAAAGAACAACGGTCTGCAAAAGAAAGGAGGACATGGCAGTGTCGAGATAGTGCTGCGCTGGTATGGAGCATGGAGCATGGAGCATACAGCATACAGCATAGTGCCCCCGGCCCTTGGAGGAAAGGAAGCAATAGAGGCTGTCTCGACTGTACATGGAAAAAAGATCTCAAATGATCGGCGGAAGCCATCAACCATGTCGCTTCTCTCCCATATGTAAATCTGCATGTTCCACGACGACCTATCAGATTAGTCCAGTTCAAGCCCCCTGCCTGTCAGAGACCGATCACTCCGCCAGGGTCTTGCTTCAATTGCCCATCCTATACGTCACTCACAGCTCTAGATTACCTGTTGCGGTCTTCTGCATTCCTCTATGCAAACGCATTGTTGCAGTGATCGGGCGTCATAATGCTTTGCTCGACTTTTTTTCAGGTCACCTACCGCCAACATGACTGTCCAACGGTTATAGCATGTACCCGGCAAACATTTACGACCTTCTTCCCCCCCAATAAGCAGAAGGACGAATGACTCTTGAACTTCTTTTTCCCTATCCATATGGTCGGGCCTCGAGATCGTCTGAATCAGATAGGACTTTTGGTCGCACATCCTTCAACCCAGGCCTGATCAAAGCCCTGCACTTTGAGCCAGATACCATTATACTGCTTTGAAAACCTTGGTCATGATGCATGGAGTTTGATTCTTCATGGGCATTGGCAGGGATGCGAAAGCACAAACACTTCCCCCCCACTCATCGCCCACGTTAGCTGGGGAAGGGTCTCGACCGACTACGTCCATTCCGCTAACCTAGATCGCAATTCGAGGTTAACCACCCTTTACAGCTACGGCTATGGTCTTGGTACCAGTGACTAAACAACACTCCGCCGAATTATCAACATATTTTATGGGTCCACGGTATAAGTTATTACTATTCCGTCGTGAAATGGGCATGGTTCGCTACACAGATGTTGTTGTCCACGCAAGCAGATCTCGTGTGCATGATCATGCCAGTGATCAAGATCGCTGCGCCCCCAGTGGCTCGTCTTCCTATATATGCACCACCACCAGCTCTGCAGCAACACCATCCTCTTAGTTACGACCCGCGCATCCGGAGGGCTCGGATTCAAGAGGCATGACCTAATAAGTCATCGCGACTGTACATGATTGAAACACTTCTGGTCTCTCTACAAACTTTGATGCACGGGCATCACGCTTTCCGCCGCTGCTTTTCACAATCTCCATGTCCCAATGTTTTCGTTCCTCACAATCTCAACCCGAGGCAGCATTTGGCTTCGGCGATAAGTACTCATCGTTATCTAAGTTGTGGCTTGTCTCAAATACCCCAGATTTGGCCGCTAGTGTGAACTGGGGCAAACTTATCTGTATCCTTTATCAACACTCCGCGCCCAATGTGAATCAAAGATAGGCATTCCCCTCGGTATCTAAATCGTGCGATCCTGGCGGCGACTTTAGGTTTCTGCTCAGGGAGAAACAATGTATCCAGTCGCCAAGAAACACAAATGTATCGCGTTGACCCTACAGTCAGATCTCGTAAAACGTTGCTCCCAAAGGCCCGGGTGAGTATCGAGCTGAAGACAGCACGTTTGGCGTCGTACCACTTGGTGAGACGATGCAACAGCGCCCGCGTCGTGCAGACTGATACGACCCCCGTCTTCGATTGACGCTATGTGATTGGTGAACCTCCGTTACTCCCAGAGATAAAGTGAACCTAATCAGCGATATAATGTGCTAGGCGTTGCCAGCCTCGAATTGTGTTCCTGCTTTTCTGTCTCATGCATTGATAGTGTTCAATACGACTTCTCGAAACCTCCTTTCGATTCAACCATAGTACATCGTCGCACTGGTGCATAATAAGGTTAGGCAGGTACACTTCACGACAGCAACTATCGTTTCTTACACCATGGCCGACCCTCCCTCGCCTCCGGTGATGAGCGCGCTGCCCACAGGCGATCGCCCTGATCATCTCTCTGACATGTCCGAGGATGAGGCTGCGCTCGCTGCTCTGGGGTATAAACAGGAGTTCAGAGTAGTAACCCAAGGAGCCCCAGGCCCAACCTGCACACCGTTGCTGATAAGCACCACAGCGTGAGTTCTCCGCATGGACGACATTTGCGGTCAGTTTTGCGGTCATGGGACTGCTTCCCAGTATTGCCACCACAATGTGGTATGGTATTGGCTACGGTAGGACAAATATGACCGCTCCGTATTCTACACGAGAGGTGCTGACGTGATGGTACAGCTGGGCCAGCCGCAAACACCTGGGCTTGGCTTCTGAGTGTTGTATTCATATTTTGTGTACGATCTGACCACATCGAGTCGGTTAAGAAGTCCTCTGATATACCTTATAGGTTGCTGCGTCTATGGCAGAATTAGCAAGTAGTATGCCCACGTCGGGTGGTCTGTACTACGCATCTGCAGTCCTTGCCGGGCCGAAGTATGGCCCATTTGCCGCGGTAGGTCCGCTTGTAAATCCCATTTACCAAGCCTGTCGTGCAAATATCATGATGTGTTCGCGTATGTGGATTGGAAATGCTGACGAGAGACATCGCAGTGGATCACTGGGTGGTAGGAGACCCCATGCTCACGTGGTGATTTCATTACTGAAAGCAATACAGGTCGAATTGGTTCACACAAGTGACCGCAGCGCCAAGTGTCAATTATGGTTGTGGTCAGTGCCAAAGTTTTTGAAAGGTCTCATCGAAAGCTGACATTTCCTTGTTTAAGCCGCAATGATCTTAGCCGGAGCCTCTATAATGAACCCGGACTACGTTCCCAACGAATGGCAAACCTACTTGCTGACCGTTTTCATAATGATCATACATGCTTGCATCAGTAGTATGCCTACTTTGTGGATCGCCAACTTCAACTCTGTGGGAACCGTGATCAACATTTTGTGTTTGGTTATCACCATCATCATCATTCCGGCGGCCGCTATGGGAGAGCCCAAATTTCAACCCAATGATGTTGCTTGGGGTATTCAGAACTCCACCGGGTGGCCCGATGGAGTCGCCGTTTTGATGAGTTTCTTGTCCATCATTTGGACAATGTCAGGATATGGTATGCCAATTTCTTGTCAGCCAGCGATGTCGCAAGGCTAATCTTACCGTTCTGATAGATGCCTCGTTCCATTTGAGTGAAGAATGCTCGAATGCCGCCATCGCCACTCCCCGGTCAATCGTGTTCACCGCATTGAGTGGTGGAGTCTTTGGTTTCTTCCTCAATTTGTATGTCTTTGAAGGATTGTCATCTCATTCCATGCTAATGAGCATTGTCCACATCAAAAACTGAAACGGATGATTGGAAAAAAAAAATTCTAACGTGTATTAGGACCATTGCGTACACCATAGTTGATATTGGTGAGGTCATTGAAAGTGACTTGGTAAGTCATCTGTATGACTATTTCCTGCCGGCAGCCGTCTCACACAACGTATAGGGTCAACCATGGGCAGCGTTTCTGGTGCAAGTACTACCCCAACCCATAGCTATGGCGGTCCTGGCAATGACCATCATATGCGCATTCTCAATGGGTCAAGGCTGTATGGTCGCAGCTTCGCGCGTCTGCTTTGCCTACGCCCGTGACGACTGCTTCGGCTTCCTCTCACGACACCTTAAGAAAGTGAACCGACATACCCTGACTCCCGTCAACGCGGTTTGGTTCAACACAAGCCTCGGCATCATCCTTCTTCTCCTCATCTTTGGCGGCGTCGCAATTGGCGCCATCTTCTCCATCGGTGCGATAGCTTCTTATGTGGCTTTCACCATTCCCATCTTCATCAAGACCGTCTTTGTTGGTAACAACTTCCGCCGCGGTCCATGGCATCTTGGCCGGTTCAGTCTCCCATCCGGAATTATCTCGGTGTCATTCGTATTGGTAATGATGCCCATCTTGTGCTTCCCCACTGTGACAGGGGCGGATCTCACACCGGAATTGATGAACTGGACGAGTCTGGTGTACGGTGTGCCGATGCTGGCCGTGATCATATGGTTCTTCGTGGACGCGAGGAAGTGGTTCAAAGGCCCTAAGATCAATATTGAGGTGAGTGTCTCCAGGGCAGATTTGGGTACAAGGCACACCCGACTAACTTTCACAGCACCACATGCTCCATCAGGATCTAAGTGCCCACCCTGGCGTCGAGGGCATCGAACCTATGCAGATATCTCTTGTCAAAGAAGATGGTGATGTTGAGAGAGGGTCTTCGGATAAGAAGCTTCCCTTGTGAGACGAAGCACTATATGTTCAGTCGACAGATTAGGATGTGTCAAATTAAAGTACACGCAACGAAGCTCAAGCTTACCTGGGATAGTATATGCAGTTATCTGGGACTTACATGGACCTACACATCACATCGTATCGTGCTTGATGAGATACCGTTATGCATTGCCAATTATTTGATGGTTCCTTATGGGTCGTAAAAACCTTCTTCTCTTTTCTTCTTTGCATTTTTAAAAAAGAAGGAAATAATTTCTTGAAATATACCCTAAACATCGACGGTGAGCATGCGAACTGTAACACGTGCCACTTCGCGTCGGAGCAGATAATGCCAGTCACCTACCGCCCAACCAACTGAATTGCAGGACCGTAGACGTTGGTTGGGCAACATTCAACACCTGTTGTGTACGTTGGACGGCCGGGACATGAGATTGGGTCCACATGCTCTCTGGACTGACTTGTGTACATGGAGAGGTCGTTTCGTGTTTCGTCCACATCTTTTCATTCCTGTATTGGTATACACAGCAGTCCTCGCGAGCGATTACTATCTCTAAGCTCCCTCCCTCTCGACTGCCAAGACTATAGTGTGTGATCAGCGCAGCGGCTGACTTCCATGTCCGGAAGACCAGTGTAACCATGCCCTAGCACGTCCTTCCCGAATCCCCCGCTCCAACTCGCTGTCAATCGTTTCATCCCCCCCAGACCAATAGCGCATTTTCGTGGATCAACACAAAATCGCCGGACCCTTGCCATATACCCAGCCCGCATGGGAAGGGCTCGCCAGAGATGGTGTGTCTTGTACGGGGTCAGCGGCATGAGGGTGAGAGCGGTGTTGGGTCGGTCGGTCACGGAGTACGATGTTGGACTGCGAAATCGGGGCTTTCATCCCGACGGGGTCTTGCACCCCATATGTGGTGTATGACATGAGAGTGATGGAGTGTGGTGGAATGTCCAACGCAATCATGAACAGAGCCAAGTTGCTTCTAAAGTATGGTGCCGATATCAACCAACACTACAACCACGACTCGATGCTGCGGCATATTATACTGGACTTCTTTGGCCGTCCCGCCTTCGGAAAAAAGCTGGACAGCCAGAACGTGTGCAGCGCTGTCCAGTTTCTGCTGTCTAATGGAGCCTTGGTCACTAACACCTCTGGGGCATCGTCCAAAACATATCAGCCACACATTACTGTGGATGTCATGCAGAACCCAGCGCTACTCAACAGCTCCCACTGCCGCAAAATGTTGAGAATTATATTTGAAAAGGGCGCTGAAGTCAATCCTCAAAAGTATGGAGGCCCGTCCTTGTTGGTCCTCGCCACAGGTCCACGTGGTGGACGTCACTTGCGTTGCGGGGGCTCGTCTCAATCCCGCCTCGTCACTTGCCTTATGGACCATGGGGTTGATGTGAATGCCAAGTATTCTCGTGGTGTTCCAGTCCTAAGAAGAGTCCTGGAGCTTCCCGAAATACCGATGCAACTGCTTAAGAGCGTGCTCTTCCACCCGCGAGCCTTGGAGATTGACTTGAAATTCTGCAAGCGAGGATGCCTTCCTCTGCTCCAGACCTTGATGGGTCGGAAAGCGTTATGGTGGTGTGGGTTTCGTGGCGCTACGCACCGGGAGCACCCACCGCCGGAAAGGGGGAGTGCAAAGGTCAATCTTGCAGCCGTGGTTGGCCGATTGCTACGTCTGGGCGTACAGTTGGTTGAGGGCAATAGGCTCCATGAAGCGTGTAGGGAAGGAAATATCCAGAGGATTGAGGAATTGCTGGGGTAAAAGCATTTCCACGTCGATCAGAGGGCAGACATGGGCCTGACGCCTCTGATGATCTTCCGGGCTGTCCACCCAGAAGCAGCTGTTCCAGGGATTTTTATTCTGCATGGAGCAGACCTTGACATGTTTGATAATACTGCTCTGAGGATGACAGCTGACGAGGTACGCTGTACAACAACTATACAACGGCTGAATCCCATGCGAGACTCATCGCGACTGGTGAATCAGGCTTAAGTCCAATACCGAATCTGATTTGAACCCCCTTTGGATTCATCACATTTCAGTTCATTTACGAAAATTGAACGTGACGGGTTGACGTTTGCACGTATAACAGTGTCAAAGTTAAAAAAGAAAAAATTTCATCTTAGCGATCATTTTACAAACTGGGCTCTGGCAGCTCAACGGTCCTAACAGAATTTAGTGGAGGTGTCATATTTCGCAAGCGAGTTCCAATTTCCAAACAACGTGTATCATTCTCAGGCACGGCGATGTGAGCACCAAAAGACGCCTTGCGTAGATAGAATGGTAGTGAAGGCAGTCTCTATAGATCGACTATCCGGACGAGATCCTCTATATTACAATCGTGTAGCTCGCCATATGCATGTCTAATGTTTCCGTATCATCCATAAGGAAATGTTGCAAGTTGACAGAACCCGAGATGGCTATTTCCTTCTCAGGTTCCAAACGGGCGCAATCTACAACCAAGCCACGGCGGCGAAGATGGCGATGACTGCGGAAATGGCCGACAAGCCGGTGGCAGAGGCGCCAGCAGCCTGGGGGGTAGAGGTTGTAGTAGAGGAGCTGGAGGAACCGGAAGATGCAGAAGAGCCGGAAGAGGAAGAGCCAGACGAGCCGCTGCTGCCAGAGCTGGAAGAACCAGTGCTGGTGGCCGTGGCGCCGGTACCGGATGCGGTGGCAGAGCCAGAGACGGAAGCCGTGCCGGTGGCGGAACCAGAAACAGAGCTAGAAGAAGAAGAGGAGCTAGGGGTGTCGAAAGTGGTAGGGCAAGTCAGGTTGAAGCGAGGGCTGGTCGAGAGGTTGTCGGTAATAGCGAACTTCATCGAGTTGGCCGAGTTGGAGTCGCGAAGGTTGTACCAGAACGTGTTGACCTGGCCGAAGAGCTTGCGGCAACCAACCTCATCCCAGAAGTACTTGGCGTTGGCAACGCTGGCCTCGGCCTCGTCCCAAGTCTCACCGACGTAGGGCCAGCCAGTCTCGGTGACCCAGACAGGCTTGTCACCGATGGCGGCGACGGCGGCGTCAAAGGCGGTGTCGAAAAGACTGCCGGAGTTGGTGATGTTGTTGCCCTTGCCGGACTCGTAGTAGGGGTACTCATCGAGACCGATCCAGTCGACGGCGTCAATGACAGCCTTGTTGGTGGCGTTGGGCCAGACGTCCCAGGTGTCGACGTGGCCAATGGGGACATTGGCGATGAGGGAGTCGGCAAACTCGCTCTTGAACTCCTTGATGAAGTTGACAATGACATCGGGGTCGGCACCGACGCCGGCGGAGTTGGCGACACCAGTAGCGGAGTTGCGATAGAGATCCTCGCTACCGATGGACATGCCGACGATGAGATCGGCAAGCTTGGAGCCGTACTTGTCGAGACCGGCCTTCAAGGCGGTCATCTCATTATCGATGGAGGTGGTACCGGATGTCCAGATACCGAGCAGAAGCTTGGTGTCGGTCTCGACGGCGGCCTCAAAGGCCTCGATGGGGTCGGCAGTGGAGTAGGCTTGGATGTTTGTGTAAAGCCGCACGGCGTTGAACGTGACGGGTGCGCCGTCGAGGTTCTGAGCAGTGGTCATCTCAGAAACGAAGTCGCTCTTGAACTTGGCCGAGTCGTCGTCCTTCAAGGATCCCGAGTTGAAACCATAGTAGAGCTCTGCGGAGGCGGTCGCAGCAAGAGTGCTGGCCGCAATACCAGTGGAGAAACGCATAGTGAGGTGAGTCAAGGAGTGTGGTGTTGTGTGTTTGTGTTTTGTTTGCTTGTGTGCAATTGTGATGTTCGGACAGAATAAATGAGTGTAAGGCAATTACCAGCTAATGAAAACCAGAATGCCGATGTCCAAGAGATGCGCTGGGGGGGAGAGAAAGAGAGAGGGAGAGAGAAGAAAGAACAATGTCGATTGATGGATGGTCTGATTGAGAACAAAGGGAAACAAAACAGTAGATTGGACTCACCTGCTAACTTGGTTACCACAGATCTGTCAAGCTCCAGCCCAAGCCCAAGCAGACCGTGACCCCTTGAACCAGACTCGATCGAGCTTCATTCCCACCAAAACTCCAGCTTTCAAACCGACTGTCATGAAATTGGCATATCTTGGCAGGGGCCTTTGACCCCGTTGGTCGCTTTGTTTAGTGGAAACAAGTGGAGGGAATCCAGCTGCCCCTCCACCAAATCCCACTGGCCTGTCAGGGTCGAGGCGCAGCAGAATCCACGTGCATATGGGGGAGATCTCAATTTCATGGAGCAAATGCTGGCAATGCAACAGCGACGCGTCCTCAGCCGAGTGAATGGCCACAAACAAAGCATGCATTTCCATGTTTAGCTGCCAGTGCTTATCTCCTAACCTCTCACCTTAGACTAATCCAGAACTACTGTGCTCCAGTATCTCCAGTATCTCCAGTATTCCACCAAAAAAGCATCTTAACCTTACTGCTAAGCACGAGAACCAAAAACAAGAACGAAAAATCTTCTTTTAATACCTTATTTCAACTGTGCACGTCTTCGTGGCTAGCCTGCATGCTATTGCTCGCCCGACCGTAGACTCAGCTGTGTAATTTGCAGATTGAGAGAGTCCACGTCATAGGGTTCATTTGGCATGTACTCGACAGCAAGCCACGTTTGCGCCCATTCAATCACAAATACGAAGCGCGCTTTACTCCTTTGCGTCAAGTGCCTTGTTCACTGTCGGCTCTGAACATGCAACCTGCTTACGGTGCACATATTTCTCAACCACCGACGAAACAACCAAAACGGGTAGATATTGTAAATGTCTTCTACCAGCACACGGGTCATCAACGCATTTGCCCCGGCAGATGTGCTCTGTTCGCACCGCGCCGTGGGTCCCGCCATTGAACCGAGCTCGGAGTTAGGAGACACTGGTTAACTAACAACCAGTTGGGCACAGCAAACGTTGCCTATATAGGCTGGAGCAACGCTACACAAATCGGAAAACAATGTCTTCTGTGTAGATAGATAATATCCCTGATTGTTCGAAATCACTGTCAGAGTTGGCTTCTGGACCCAGACGCATAAGCATGGTTAAAGTCGCTATCGCGGGGGGTACCGGCGCCGTCGGTCGCGCTTTGGTGGACACTATAGCAGCACACCCCATCCATAAGGCCGTAATACTAAGCCGCCAAGTAAGAAGAAATCATCGGCGGTGACCAGGGACGACAATGAGGTTCAGAACTAAGATCAAGACGATATAGGATGTGTCCGATGACTCAAGCCTGTTACCGACTGTCAAGGTCAACTACCATGACGTGCAAAACCTGGTGGATGTTCTCGTCAAGCACCAAATTCATACCGTCATCTGCGCATTCGGTATCACCGGGACCTCGCTCAAAATCTCTCAGATGAACCTCATCAAGGCCGCTGCGTTGGCGGCTCCGGCATGCAGGTTTATTCCTACATCCTACAGTATTGATTATCCGAGAGAGTAAGGACTGCGGGATCGCTGAAAACTTGAGCACTTTACTGACATGCCCACTGCAGTGGTGTGAAGATATTGCCTCCCCTCAGAGATTACTTCGACTGCCTGGATGAGCTCGACAGGACCGATCTGGAGTGGTCCGTGGTTCTGAACGGCCTCTTTTTGGATTATTATGGCACCCCACATCTAAAGACATACCTCCCGCCGAATGCCTTTATCATCGATATGTTGCACAACGCTGCAGCCATCCCTGGCACAGGCGATGAACCGGTTTCATTCACTTACACCTTCGATGTCGCCAAGTTTCTTGTTGCGGCGCTCGACCTGCACACGTGGCCCCGAGAGCTGAGGGTCGTTGGCGATGAGATGTCGATCAATGATCTTGTTAGACGAGCCGAGGCGACAAAAGGTACGTTTCTCAGGTCTTTGAAACCGGTCTGAGCTTTTGCTGATTGCGATCTTCAAACAGGAGTGAGGTTTGAGAAGACTTATGATAGTGTTGCGAAGCTCAAAAGATTTGAGATCACGGAGCTGCCGCAGCATCGGTCGCTCTACACAAAGTTTCCGAAAGAGAGATTCCAATGGTTTCAGTCCATCTTCGAGATGTGGGTAGTGGAGGGAAAGGCACATGTCCAGCTGCACGGGTCTTTAAACGAGAATTTCCCGGACTTGAAGCCCTTAAAAGTCGAGGGAATGCTCGAACGGTGCTGGAAAAGAAGCTAAGTGCTGTGCCGCCACTCGGAGCGTCGCGGCTTGTTTGAGTTTACTTAACGCTTCATCCTCCGATTCAAACCTGATTGTTTAGAATCACAAAACATGGTTCTTGTTACGCCTTACATGGTTGCGTCTAAATCGAGACATCGCGTGGCTCTGTGTGTCACTTTCGGACTTTTCGATTAGCTAGGACAGACGACCCGGTCGTACGAATCTGCCAAATATGCATTTTCATCACGATTCGAGTTCGTTTCTCACCTCATCATCCAAGTACTGGAGCTCTCGACTGGAAAATACCAGCTTGCCTTGACTGAACTCAATATCTTGATTGCTCTTTACACACTGTGGATTCTCGTTGTCCGAGCCCATGGCATCCTTTTGCGTCGACATCCTGCGTTCGGACGTGATCATTTTGTCTGCTTCTCGTATACCTCCCGTTTTGACTCGAGTCTTGCGCATCGCAGCTATAATGGGGAACGTATCATCGTCTGGGGTCATGTACCCATTATTTGGGTTAATGGGCTTCATGATCATACGCCTGAGTCAGATCATATTTTTCTTCCGATCCATTTATGACTCGATCAGAAGTTACCGAATTGGTACGGGCTTTACCAACAGTGGGTGAGTTATCAGCGGCCGAAGCAAGTCGTGCTGGCGGCTCGTACCGCGCACTTCCTCCATGTGGCTTCATCTCTTTGGAATCAACTTGCCATTTACTACACTTTCTTGCAATTAAATGTTCCGGTGAACGAAGGATTTCATCCGACATAAGTTCCAAACCGAAAATGAACCCATTGAGATCGTGGCCGAATTTCAGCATGCGGCACTGCTTGAAGGCGTTCCAGGGCTGGTGGCGGTAACTACTAACTTTTTATTACAGGGGCTCATGGGACTCTAACCGCCAGGGGTAGAGTGGGGTAGCATGGCACGTCAACCTCCACTAAACGGATCCTGAGCTGGATCAAGATGAGATTCAAAAACCGTCCCATGGTGTTTGTATACCATTTCATTTACATATATATACGGCAGGCAGATAAGTCATTTGCTTTCGGTCATATCATGAATAAGATGGACGCTTCCAATCAATGGGTCAACGCGCCAACCGTGCGTATCGACATTAACAGTATCCATAAGAAACATTCCCCCATCACCCACTGCTGCCAGGCAATAACCACAACTGTACGTTCAACCACTAGGTTAGCCGTGCATAAGCCACCCCAAGAGAAGAGAATGGGACGCTGCATCAAGTACATGCATTATCTCGCAGCACAGTCAGCCGACAACCCTTCCACAGGCCCCATTCAAAGGGCACGCCAGCACTCCTTATTTTTCTTTTGACGTTCGCATATGGTGCTTTGTAGTATCTGATGGGGTAATCGAGCTTGTACAAGAAATTTGGAACTCGCGTCTATCTACGAATTTATGTGCAGCAATTTCTGGTGATGGGGCCGTCTTTGTATTTGTGGGTGGTGAAGTGATGCCCTCGAGCTCATGCTGAAGTTGTGTCTACGATATAGGAGCTATAGGTTCCGGCAGTTGCTCTGCAGGTAGTGGTTGCTCTGGCACTGGCTGTGGGACCTTCTTGTTTTTATACTGCCCGAATATGACGTTGCTTGCAAGCAGTGCCATATATGAAGGTTCCAACGTGCGCACCTGTTCGAATGGCACTTGTTTCGGCAGTAAAGGTTCATAGACACCGTGTCCACCATCATACCAAGCCTCGCCCACATCGTCGATACATTTCATTGGCGTGGTAATACCACAGAGCCTCAGCAAGACTGCTCCTATGAGTCCTGACATCCCAATAATGCCGGAGATGGGCCGTGTGGAAATCACCAGTGGGAGGCCCACGCCAGTTGCTGCAGCAAGTATCAGCAATGTGAACATAGTAATTACCGGGTTACGTGTGAAACTGCTCCCGCTGCGCAGTAACACTATTGTCCATATGGTACCAACAACAATACTTGCTGTGGCCAATAATGCCAGATAAATTGCCAAATTGTGTTGCGAGAGCCGTGCCCCTATCCAATCTCTCAGCTTTTGGTTCATCATGACGAAACTTGTAATGGTAGCCGAATGGAAACCTGTTATTTTCTCAATTTCGGGAAATGATTTGTGAATTGGTCGAGATGGGTGCCATCCGCGTCTCAAAGCTCATTGTTATATGTTCGAAAGCTTCTCATGTGGATGAGAAGATTTAGGCCATCGCGCTCAGATGTGCTTCAATGCTTGACTCGAAGAATGTCGGTGATACTGGTTAAAGTAGGTATATGGGTGTAAACTGCGCAATTTACGCGCATTTTAAACAATAACTTTCTTCGATCTTCCCGCAAATACAAGCAAGCGACTGGCCACCAGTTTATGCTCTGACTCATTCGCTCTGTCCAAGTTTGACGGCGTAATTAGGAAACTCAAGAAGAACATGATTCCTGATATGCTGAGGTAAACCTGCCATACCCCTAGAAACCCAAACACGTATGCGTCTATGATTCGAGACTTTTGAGGGTTGTCATCAGACATTTGTTTCAACTGGGGGACGTACGCTTGGGCATCATAAGCATAATCGACTGGAATACCTTCCCATCTCAGCTTCATTGCCATTACGTTCTGAAAAGTCGTACTCCCTACCGCCACACCAACGGCAGTGCCAAATTGCCTCGCGAAGCCGTATGTCGCCGCTGCAGCGGCAATATCACCCGGCTTCGCCAACGCCTGGCAAGCAAAAGTCTGCGCATTCAGCACGAAACCATGACCAACCCCCAGGATAACCAGGGTGACAAACCATACGGCATCCGAGACCGATACTGTCCAGAGAAGTTGAAGTCCGCTCGACAGCGTGGCCAGAAACCACCCGATCCATAATATGTGTCGATAATTGTTCAGTCGACTGATAATCGCACCAGCCGCAGCACCGCTCGGAATGAGTATGAGCATCACGGGGAGAAGGATAACACCTGCTCTCACCATGGAAACCTGCTTCACAGCCAGCGCAAAGAAGGGTACATAATAGAGCTGGCCATACATGACCAACCCTTGGACGAATCCTCCGAAGTAGGTCGTTATTGAACTCCAATTATGGAAGAGAGACCTCTTGAGCATTGGCTCAGTTGCGCCGTATTCCTCCCAGAGTGCCGTCGAGACAAGTCCAAGGAGGCCGAGAATGAGAGGTGCAAGTGCTGCAGCACTATTCCAAGGAAATTGTACGCCGGCGGCCGTCAAGGCGAAAAGAAACACGGTCAACGATGCCGTAAACAAAACTCCTCCTACCCAGTCCACCCTAGCTAGCTTCTCCCGGGTGGTCTCGATCCTTGGCTTGATGGTAAGCAGTATAGGGGTGATGACCAAGCCAAACCCACAAAATGGAAAGTTCAGGTAAAATACCCAACGCCAGGTTGTGTTCTCTCCAATCGCACCTCCCTACAAACGTGTTGGGGTCAGCCATTCCAGCCATTTGTCAGCCACCCAGTTGAGAACTTACTATCAGAGGCCCAATAACTAGACCCACAGCCCAGCCGAGCGATATTACGGACCACCACTTGGGTCGATGTCGTAAAGGCACGATGTCGGTAAGGAGAAGGAGTGACACAACCCAAATACCTCCACCCCCGACGCCCTGCACTGCTCTTCCGCCAAGGAGAGTGTTAATGTTACCTGCCACACAGCATAGGATACTTCCAATGGAGAAAAAGGCCAAAGAAACCATGAGGCACACGGGACGGCCAAAGATCTCGCTGAAGCTTGCCATCGGTGGCATAACAACTGTCGATGCAAGAAGGTATGAGGTCCCAATCCAAAATCCTTGAGTCGTGGTGCCGCCTATATCGCTTATGATGGACTACACAGATTTATTATTAGTCTCAGCTGCGAAATTATTGTTATGCACTCACATTCAGAGCCGTCACTATTACCGATGCGTCCAGCGCAACAACCATATTTATTAGTGTCAAAGCAAGTATGATGAATAGTTCGTGTCTTGATATTTTCCACTCCTCTTGTCCCCCTCGCTGAACTTGGCCCTTCTCGAGTCGGGACTCCTTCGATTGATTGGCGTCTGGAGCCTCGGTTGCAGTGGCCCCTTGCTCATCGTTCTCTGTAGTACTTACACTCTCCATGATTCCTGGTTGCAAGTTGGTGCAGAAGTGGCCAAAGTTCAGCACGCTTTGCATCAGGGAGGGCAGGGTGCATTAATAGCTGACCAAACCGCCAGCAGTCTCGGAATGGTTGCTTTCTTGGGAATGCAAAGGCACAATATGGGGCGTACTAGGACGTCTTCCGATTCTCCAGGCTCCGACCCCAAGTTTCCACCGTATCAGTCAATAGTTCCGGGCCGTGACGCAAGGTTTCATTGGTAGAATGTAGGATCTCGAGCAAACGACCGTCCAATCGCGGCTGAGGCATGGCGCCATATTGAACCGTAAGACTGCGGCGCAGTCACCTCTAATATCTGTCCGAGTTACTTCTCCGAAGCCCTCGGGCGCCCTCCGCGCTACCTCATCGATAAAAGAGAATGGGCGTCCATTGGGATTCCAATCATTATGAAACAACTGACCGGAAGTTTGGAGTACCGCATGTTGCCAGACCTGATCGGTAACGGTGATACAACGTCGTCTTCTCTAGTTCCGAGCTTACAGGATCTATGGTTCCAGCAGATGTAGATGAGCGCAGGAGCCATTCACGGCTGAATATCACATTATGAAGTCAGATCCGTTAAGGGTTTGTGCATTAGCCCCATTTGCTATTTCAAGCCTTGGGCTGCTGCTGGCAGCAGAAGAGGGCGTGGCTCGCCAAAAATGCGAGAACCGCCCTTTGCTGCGGCGCCTCGCCCTTACTCGTCCTCGGGACCTGGCCTTGGTGTCTTGGTGGTACGGATTATTCTCGACGGAGTTTGTGATACCCTCGTAAATGCTGGCGTGTGGTTACAATTCCTCCCGAACTTCGCTTCCCAACACAAGTGGCTGAGACCGCGACGAACGGTCGAGCGTCTTCTATAGCCCCCAATTCGATGGCCCCCCTCGACACGAGGCAGCCACGGCGCGAGGCGTACATGCTGACCTCGTGCGATCGACTCCTGCAATGCTCCGGAGCAAACACGACAATCAATTGCCCTTGACATCGAGCCTATCAGTGCAGGTTTCTTTCATTCCCGAGAGCATTCTATCCGGCTGATAACTTCGTCGCACCAAACGTGAGTTGCGAATGGTGACATGAGACGAAAATCTCATAGAACAACCGTACACTATACTCTCGCACCGGGTACAGTGAACTGGCGTGACTAGCTCCTGGCCTCTGGTTGCTTTTTTGTTTATTTGTCCAGACCAGCGCTAACATGCAGGACTATTCCTGCGGGAGCTTACCTAATAGTACCCATTTGTAGTCAACCATCGACGGCCAACGACTTAGACCAGCCGGTATGCTCTTTGAGCAGACTGCTGGATTTTATCTCATCGTCGACCGGACATGATCTCGAAAGATGCCTTCATTGATGTTCCCGCTCGTGACAACATCAAATGTCATGATTGGCCAAGCGGCCATGGGAACGCGACAGGGGGCTCGTTATCGGGCAGCAGCCCCTAGAGGGCCTCTCCACTGACAGGTTGCGATCGGGTCTAAATCATTTTTCGCCTTCACCGCTGCTCGACTTCACAATTTTTGTCGCTGCGTCTTCTGAATCTGAAGCCAAAAAAAAAAAAAGGGCAACATGGCGGCGAAGACCAAGGCCTTGCGCGTAATTGCTGTCGCGAGCTTTGTCCCAGCGTTTCCGCTGTTGCTGGCTCACGGCATCGTGTCGCACTCGCCCGTTCCCGCCACGGGCCTTGTGCCACTGGCCTTTTCGGCCGGCGCGTCGCTATTCATCCTCGTGCGCCAGAACAAGCCCGTCCACGACGCCTCCGAGGAGGCAGCGCATGGAGAGGCGGACTCCGAGACGCCCCCGGATGGCTCCTCGCATTCTATCGTTACCTTCGCGGTGGACCTGATCGCGGCAGCAGCCCTCCTCATCGTCCTGGTCTTCTCATGGCTCGAGTCGGCCAGATTCAACGGGCAGCAGGCGACCCTTGCTGCGTATGCCACGATCCCGTTGCTGGTGAACCTGTAAGAACCACCCTCCCCTCGACTGGCTCATGTGTCGGCTCCCCTTGCGCTAAAACTCGTGAAACAGCTTCTTGCATCTTTACCTTGCGGTGCGAAGCTTCTCCTCCGGTCTTGCGCTCCATGATCTGATGCAGTACCTCGCCTGGCAGGTCCTCCCGGCCGACTGCCCGAACTGCGAGCACCGACTCCGCCCGTCGTCACCCCCGAGAATCCCCTGGCTCGACTCGGCGCGGAGAGCCAAGCTCCCCGCCGCCCCAGGCCCCGAGGCTCCGGCAGCAGCATGGAAGGTGCCCAGATGGTTCAAGAGGAGGGCCTCCGACGAAAGCGCGGCACTGCTCGTCAACGACGACGAGCATGACCGCTATAGGGATGAACCGGAGGAGGGCGGCCCCTCGTCTACATACGTCGAGGACCCGGTGGAGGTCGTCGTCTCCCCGGGCAAGAAGAGCAAGAAGGTCAAGGATAGTCCGCTGCCTGCTGATTATGAGAGTGAGGAGGTGCGATGGTAACGTCTCTTCGGGTTAGAGGCACGTGAAAACCCACAACACGCACAGCAGATTGTAGCGAAGAACATCGCGCACAGTCCTGTGCTGTCAAGCGGCGTCCTGCGGCGTAGCACAAGTTGACGAGCAGTTGTAATTGTGGGCAATCGTGGATTTGACTGCCACCATGTGTAGTTCTTGGTTTTGGTTTACGCTAGACTTATACCCCCATATGTTTGCAATTTCGTTCGATACCCTTCTCGGAAATAGTGTGGAGGACTGAGCGCCTGGATATTAAGAATACGACAATAGCTCCTCTCGAGGCATTTTGCTTCATCGTGCCTCTCAAGTTGCAGTGTCCATGCCGTTACATTCACCACCGCTTTCTCGTGTTCCCCACTAATCAAACAAACCCAGCGCGACCAGCCCAACGGCGGTGAAGACGGGCGCATGGTTCCAGTGACCCCAGTGCCCCTTTCCATGGCTGTAACAGACCGCACCATCCGCGACGGCGACTCCGGTGGCGGATATCAAGATCCATCCCAGCGCTCGGGGGCTGCCGAGCAGCGCGGCCGCATACTGTGGTACCAGAGGGGGTCAGCCAGGAGGGAAGCCTTCCGAGAAAAGAATCGCAGGTTGCAAGCTGCGTTTTATGTTATACGTACGATGGCGAAACCCATGAAGATGTCTCGCGCCCCATACACGGCCATCAGGCTATCGACCATGGCGCGGGCGCCCTTGTCGGCCGGGGGGCCGAACTCGAAGAACGTCAGGGCGTGCGTGGGCCTGAGGATGGCGTTTACGCCAAAGCCGACGTGGATGGTGGCGAAAATGTAGGACGCGAGTGTCACGGCGGGCGACTGCGAGGATATAGAGAAGGGGAGAAAAGACATTGCGAGAATTCTGGACGAGATGCTGGGGGGGGGGGGGGGGGGGTTTGGGTTTGGGTTTGGGTTTGGGTTTTGTCTGGACGTGCAATGCGAAGTTATTGCGTGACGTTGCTATTGATGCTTCTGGATATGCTTGTTAGCGTGTTATCAGTTCTTCTCGAGAGTAGGTTGGTTTACTATACCCGTTGTTTGTTTCTGAAGAGCACCGCCGATACGATGCTTGCACGTGTTTGAGGATTGCGAACTGGTGGATAAGGAGACAGTATAATCTGACGCGAGTGCGTATGGTCAGGGAAATGTAGGCTCAATTTTTTTTTCTTTTTTTGGTTGAAGAGGGCATTGGTGATATATGTAATCTTGCTGCTCTTGTGTATCAGATCATGTAGTATTACACCGACTCCCAATTGTTGATTGTCCGAATAGTCCGACTCTTGGCGTGTTGGCTGCCTTGAGCTGAACCCTATTCAGAGCTCAGAGATATGTCTGTAAAGCCCCAGCTGTTCCCACGGGTGCCCCGCCTCCAGGGACTCATCCGCCAAGCCTCATCACTCCAGCTCAATTTTCCAAGCGGGACAGCTTCCTGAGAAGCAGAAGACTATGTTTCGCGCTTGGTACACTATTGATCCGCAAAACAGATCGCTCATGGTGTAGACTCAACCCAATGAACTCTATGCCACGGCGCCCCGCATGCCTAATCTGGCAGGTGGGGGTGAGGTGCTGAAGGATGCTGCCGCCGGCCACGAGAGTATCTCACCTCTTGCACCCAGTCAAACGGTCCAAGGTTAGTGCAGGAACTCGTTTTTTTCATCTCCGATGGTTGATGTGTATTTGAGGATAGATCTTGTGCCATGTAATAGCTCTCGGTTCTACTGGGTGGAGTAGAATACCCTTAACTGAGTGTTTGTTTGCACGCGACTACAGGGCGCACAGGCACTTGGGACACTGAGCCATCACCGTGATTGTGGCCCTGCGATTTTATATACCAAGATTGTACAAGGAAGGGGAGAGGAGCATCGGATGGTCCTGCAACACCTAATCCAATTCATCACGCATTTCAGTACGGCAGTTCGTTCCTGTCTTCCTTTTTCTTATGCAGTGCTTCCTGGGTCATTTGGCGTCATGATGTCATACGACAATAGCAGCTCTCGATCCACTCAGCTCTCCAATGCTGCAGTGGGGAATTGGCTCGGTGAGGTTCGTCCGCAGCAAAATTCGCGCGCAGTCGTACTTGGTAAGCATTGGAAACGAACCAGCTCTGTTTCTGCATCCTGACATCTTTTCGATAAAGAATCCCGAAGTCAGTGACGTGCAAGATAGGCGAAACGGCGCATTGTTTCGACAGGCACCATGGCGGACAGCAGCTTGGGACCGGACGAGCTTTCGCACCTACGCCGCTGCGTCGCATTAGCAGCCGAGGCTGTCGAGGCTGGCGACGCGCCCTTTGGATCAGTCCTCGTCGACCGGAAGGGTACCGTGCTCCAGGAGGAGCGCAACCGCATCGTCACTCAGAATGATTCGACTCGGCACCCAGAGTTCGACCTTGCGCGGTGGGCAGCTGCGAACATGTCGGCGTCAGAACGTGCTGGCGCTACCGTCTACACCTCTGGGGAGCACTGCCCGATGTGTTCGGCGGCACACGCCTGGGTAGGCCTTGGTCGCATCGTATACGTCGCCTCCGCTGCCCAGCTTGTGGAATGGCAGTCGTCGTGGGGATTGCCAAAGTCGAGCGTCGCCCCGCTGCCTGCTGAGCAGGTCGCGCCACAGGTGAAGGTGGAGGGACCTGTCCCAGAACTCGAGGACGATATCAGGGCTCTGCATCGGAAGCACGCTGGAGTCTAAGTACCTTGGTCAACATAGCTTCCCCAACCTACGATCACGGTCATAATTGGAACTCTACTTCCTTCTTTTTTTCTGGGCACATTCGCACAGTTTCTTGCCCTTGTACTGCCAGCTATATGCGTGGCTCGGTGGAGGGTACTCGACAATTTTGGAGCTGCTACAATACCAGACTGTCCGGCCGAGATACCCATATTCCTTGCAATCTGAAGCTTCGTCAACCAAGCGCAAAATTCTCTCGTACCATGTTCGGTTCTACGTTTCGCATTGATGCCATAGGAGGACCATAGCACTGAAGCAAAGTACTAGCCACTTTCACCATGAATACAGTTACAACGACATACATGCTAGTAGTGTGCGCTTTGGTTTAGCGAACGCCGTAGACGCCAACCAGTGTTTGATTGCCAGTCATGCGGACCTCCACTATGTGCTGATGGTGTTGGGCATACTGTTGTGGCGAAAGACGGTCTAGACTTGCTGAGAGGCTCATGAACTTGAACTGTTTCAGCATGCCCTAGATCTTGAGTTGGGGGCTTTGACGCTTTCTAGAACCAATAGGCTGCGGAATGTGCTACGAATCATGACCGGAGACCCATTTTTTCTTATCTCAAGCCAGATGCCTGAAAGAAAATATTCGGAGTGGTACAATAATTTGTGAACAAAAGAAAAAAAGGTAGTGAGTGGAACTAGCTGGAACGTTGGTAAGTGTCTATTAAGAACCAGGCATAAATCAATCGCGGCCCTAAATATGACGGCACTTCAAGGGAACTTTCGTCATCAACCCTGGAGATGACTAAAGACACAGATCTATTGTGCTACACGTTGCTTGAGTTGAGCCTCCCAATTTTTTTTTCCCATGAATGCTGAACCCTCAAAGAGTTATTTGCGGCAAACCTAACAAGTTTACCTCACAGAATTTTGAAATCCGACATACAGTGCTGTTCAAAGATGTGGTTATACATCAGGCGCCGCTTCACATTCAAGATTGGAACGATGTATGCTACTGGTTCGCTCCTTATCAGTCTGAACATATTGTATCACACGTCATTTCTTTTCAAGAAAGTGCTTATATTCACATCGACACCTTTTTATAGGGCGCCCTAATCTCATTCTACTTGTTGTGCTCCCACACTGACATGAAGACCAGGCTTCACCCCAAACTCTTGTTAGGCGGAGTTTCTTACATATAATATATCCCTCACATGCCCGGCTGGAAGTTTGCACAAAAAAACAAGCAACTTAAATGTCTGACCTTCCCAAGCTTCGCGTGGGTTTGAGCCGTATGCTAGCTTGAATCGACCACTGGTATCGTTGGGTGGATGACTATCCCGGCGGCTCAAGTAGATGGGACAGGCTATACAACAGGAAAACAGTACAAAGCTCGTAGATCTCCTCCGTCGTTCTCAGGAATGGAATGAGAATACCTCACCATTTGGAAGCAAGAGGATATTGACGGTCTGTTGCATGGTATCATTCAATTGACGCGATCTCATCTGTGGACAAAGAATTGACATGTCGAAAGTACAGGGATAGAAAGCCTCCTAACAATATACTTCATCCTTCTCGCCGTAGTCACACTTCCATACCCCAGGGCTGTCCTTCAGAAATTGTGATCGGAACCCAATCATGCGCTGGGCGCGCGGCGTGAGAGTTTTCGCAAGCTCTTTTTCGACGAGAAAGGGATGTGCTTCTTCTGGGGTTAGGTAGGAGCATTGGAAAACCATGGCGATACCCCTTCGGGTGAGGTCCTTGGTCGTATTCGCACCACCTCCATGCACGACCTTTCCGGTGATGAAACAGGCGTCGCCGATCTCCATTTCGGCCGGGACGGTATCTTCTGGGGATCCGTTTTCCTTGAAGTCAGTCCACTTGTGGCTCCCGGGAATGACTCTGGTCGCGCCGTTCTCGTCGGTGAATTTACTCAACGCCACGACGAAGTTGATACTGGCCTCGGGCGCGTTGGGCCCGCAGTAAGTGAAGATTGGGAATTGCCATTGATCGCGATGCAGAGGCTGAGCCTTGCTGCCCGGACCGATATCGATGACTTGGGCAGTGTTCATCCAGTAGCCGCCAGCGTCCTCCAGGTATATCTCTTCGCACAGTTGATGAATCAAGTTGTTCTCTATGATCTCCTCACGAAAGGTCTTGCTTAGCGTGATCACGTTAATCAATCGCTTTGTGTTGTCGCCATAAAACTCCTTTATCGTTGCTTCCGTATGCTTGGAGCCCACTCCGAGCTTATCCATAGCAGGCTGCACGTCTTCATTTAGGCGCCGGACTTGGTCACTCGTGAACAGGCTCTTGATGATGACCACGCCATCTTCACGGAGGGCATTGAGCACGGCGTCACGGCCCGCAGAAGCCTCGACTCGCTGTACCTTAGCTGCGGCTGTAGACATGTTCTATTTAGTATAACAACAGCTTAATGAGGCAAGTTGCTCGATGTGAAGGGAGGCGTATTATGTTCCTCTCATGTGATTAGCAATCGCCACACAAGAAATGTATAAGACTTTTCGACCTAGACCCAAACTATCCTTCCGGAAGTCTAGACTCCCAACCGACTTGATGTGAGGTCACTGCATGGCTCATTCCGGAAACCGAATGCCGTGAGGATTGAACTGGAGGCTATAACCCGCTGACTCTTATGTGGTATGTATCGTATGTTTGCAGCATTTGCCGGTTGGTGCGGGCTATATTATTGAAAAGCTCCTGCAAGCTTCGTAAGATCCTACAGGATCAGTAGTTTATGTACGCAGGGTCCTTTCGACTTCCAGGGGTTACGTATGACACGGTATTCATGGAATCCGCATGTGATTCCAGCGGTGGGGTTTGTTTTGTTACACGGCGTCTGCATCACTTCCTAGTCAGCGCCAGGATCATGAGTAGTCCGGCGGCATGCACTATTAAACGCATCCGTAGGAATGGTACCATACAGATATTATGTGGTGGAGCCTGCTTATAATGAGGGCATGGTTTTTACGATATGCGAATTCGTTATACAAGTACAAAACGTTTCGTGTGGATTGAATGTAGTATTAAGCCGAGATGCTGATAATGATCTGCGTGGCGATCAGCGACCTTTGTAGTTATTCCGTGCCACTTTTATAGAACCATACCCCTGCAACATGCACTGAAACCTACGCGAGCGAAACATCCCGCATACCCTTTATACACTAGATTATATCTTCCATGCCTCCTCTAGCAACTCCTCGATGCGCATCGGCGCCTGGGTCTTTCCTTCAAAGGCCACGACCAGATCGAGATGTCCCTCCAACTTCCCGAGATCAAAAGCACCAAGAGCAACACCTGCTTCGAGATCGGCGATTAGTCCTCGCAATTGATTAACTCCCAGAGGAAACCGTTCCGGGTATTCTTTCGCAATGTCGAGGTTCGTCAAAAGATCCACCGGCTCATGCTTGAGTAGTTTCTCCACTGGCTGATAGCGCACTTCCAGCTTACGACCCAGGTTCTTCTCCACGAGCCTGACAAGCTCGTTCAACGAGACCGTGCTGGCTGCCACAGCGAGAATTCGTGGCCACTCGTCCAACTCGAGCGCGAGCGCTACATACCGCGCAACATCTGTGGTGAACGTCATGCTCATTTTGGCCTCCCCGTCTCCAGGCAGCACCGCATGTCCGTTTGCAGGGTCGATGAAGAAGCACAGCGGACGCAGGCTGCTTTTCACGCGCGGCATCCCAAAATAGTCCATCAACATACCCGGATAGATGTATGTATACTTGAGCGTGCTTGTTTTCTGCAGCTCCTGTCGAGCGTATAGGTGAAATCTTTTCTCCGGGTAAGGTAGGATATTATCACCAACATCATATTCAACATTGAACTCAGAAGGTATGAAGCGCTCAACGCTGGGGCACTGGTCAGCCGCGCGTATGAGTCGTAGTTGAGCTTCAGACACAGAGTCACTGTCCATGATGAAAGTACAAATAACGACCTTGACATGTTTTTCTATCAATTCCTTAGTCAATGAATCTTCCGAGTAGTCGGTCTGAATGTTAGGGTTGTAGCTTTTGCCTGTCAACGGCGATACGCGGCGGGAGCTGTCGTGCGCAGCCTGCGTCTATCTGGTCAACAGTACTCAATAGCAAAGAAGATGTTACTATTACCTTCCTTGACATAGTATAAACTTCATACTTGCCAGTCTCATAAAGGGCTCCCGTGATGAGACGGCCTAGGTCGCCAAGGCCGCCGGCGACGACAACAACAGTCATTGTGTGTAGGGTTCAAGGCAACGTAAGTGTCAGATTCCGAGCTGAAAAGTAGATGCAGCGTAATCGATAGTTTCTGAGCTACGCAGGTGTTGGAAGATTGAGCGATGTAGCTGGATGACTCTTTCGCCAAAACAGTCCAGGCGTAAAGCATAATGGGCAATGTCGTGATTCAGGGTTTAAATCCTTCTGTCGCAACTCTGCCGCCATGAATCCTATGACTGTTCTACTCCTGGCAGTCATGCTGTGCTACTACGCAATAGCTTACCATCCACGGTCTCGCTACCCAATCAAACCTTCATTCTGTGTGTATCTGTTGCTACAGAATACTTGGCGGAACAAACGGGGCAAGCATTAGTGCGTCCGGCGGCAGATGCGGGCACCTCTCATCAACCTATCAGGAAAACATGTTCTATTTCCTACCATGGTACTTATCAATGTTGGCCATAATGAACGTAGCTATCATGCATAGTCCCCAATCTGAGATGATTTTCGCGCTGCAGACATGAGACAAGGGTAACATGTCGTTCGTGCAACCAACCACTTCTCTGCATTCCTCCGTGGTCGCAGATCCTATAAACCCACATGCCCTAGACCTGCAGGTAAACATGTTGCGGAACCTTCCGTATAGGCTTCTCAAGCGGTTGGCATGATTAAGATCAACCTCGGATCAGTTTCACACGTTGAGGGTCTGACTGTTGTAGCGTGTTCCAGTTGATCAAAACTTATTAACGTCCACCTGAGCCACCAAGCAGCATCAACCGTGACATGCCGCTCGGATTGTAGTGATAGTAATCCGGCCTTTCACTAGAAGCTCTCTCAGAAAAGATGCACTCCAACCCATCAGAAAGAAACCAGTCAGGTGTTAGAGAATACTCTGGTGATGAAGACTTCGCTAACTCGCGATTGTGTCTACATCAATCCCTCGAGCTCGTCACGGAGAGCCACCGCGACAAGACCGCCGTGATCTGTGGCGAGAAGGCCCTGACATTCGGAGAGCTCAACGTACTTGCAAACCGCTATGCAAGAGTTCTTTCTGGGCGTGGAGCTAAGAATGGCGACCTCATCGGCGTGGCACTGGACCGGTCCGTGGATCTGGTCGCGGTGCTGTTAGCAGTCATGAAGACAGGTGCCGCATACGTGCCTATTGACCCAGCATTTCCCGCGGAGCGCATAAACCAGATGATGGACGATGCCTGCCCAAAGTTGGTAATCGCCGACTATAACGCACTAGAGGCTCTCGCCTCCTGGAAAAATGTGTGTTTGAACGTCGACGACGTTCTCGACACGACAGAATCGGACATCGATGGTAACAACCTCGATACGTTTGTACAAAACGAGGATCTTGCCTACGTCATGTACACTTCCGGAACGACTGGACGGCCAAAAGGGGTTGTAGTCAGCCACGGGAACGTTTCAAATCTGTTATTGTCGATGCGGAAAGAACCAGGATGTAGCGAGACGGATCGCTTGCTTGCCATTACCACGGTGTCTTTCGATATGGCTGTCCTTGAGCTATTTTTGCCTCTGCTTTGCGGAGCCACAGTAGTCATTGCACAAAGACACGAAGTGAGAGATCCCGCTGCTCTTGTTACACTTATGGAACGCCATGAGATCACCATCATGCAGGGGACACCTGCAATCTGGCAAATGCTACTAGACTCCGGATGGTTGGGCCAGCCTCGCCTCGAAAAAATCTTCTGTGGCGGTGAAGCACTGTCTCGAAGGCTGGCAGATCGCTTGTTAGCCTGTGGTGATATGATGTGGAATATGTATGGCCCGACCGAAGCAACCGTGTATGCAAGCATTTGGAGGGTATGCGAAGATCATGAAGTGATCATTGGAAGCCCTATCAACAACGGCCATCTATACGTACTTGATGAGAACCAGTTGCCGGTATCGCCCGGTTCCCCGGGTGAGCTGTATATTGGAGGTGCTGGTGTGGCAAGAGGTTATCGCAACAAAGAGGAACTCAACCGCTCTCGATTCTTAAAAAACCCTTTCCACAATGGTCAGATGTACAGAACTGGCGACCTCGCTCGCTTTGTGGCGCCCGGAGAGCTGAGCATGATGGGCCGAATAGACGGGCAAGTCAAGATTCGCGGTTATAGAATTGAGCTGGGCGACATCGAAGCGGCAATTAATGAGCACGAGCAGGTTTCTGGATCAGTCCTGGTTTGTCGTGACGACCGACTAGTGGCCTATTGCTTGCGAGAAACGACGGCGCTCAGCAATGGAGGTGAGGCCAGGGCAGCGATTGACCAGATATTACGCCCTTGGCTGGCTTCGCGGTTGCCATCTTATATGGTGCCATCATTTTTTGTTGAAATGGAAGCTTTTCCAGTGACCATTAATGGCAAAATTGATCGCAAGGCACTCCCAGACCCAGTTGCGACATCTCAGACTACAGCCAACATAAACCCCACCATGGATATACAGGGGCAAATTTTCACGATTTGGTCGAGGGTCCTTGGGCATAGCCACATCTCTGGCGAAGATAGTTTCTTTGAGGTCGGGGGGGACTCCCTGCGTCTCGTTCGTGTTCAAAAAGAGCTCGAAAAATTGCTAGGCAGACCGATTTCACTAACCAAACTGTTTGAGCACTTCACTATCAAGACATTAGCGGCGCATCTAACCAGCTCGCCCGACCTAGCCGGCCCCGAACTTGTTACGAGGCAACGTGGTGTGAGTGATACAGATATCGCAATCGTTTCCATGGCATGCAGGTTACCCGGCGGTATCAATACTCCAGAAGAATTTTGGGAATTGCTAGAGAGAGGTGGTGACGCCATAATCGACGTGCCCAAAGACCGTTGGAATGTTGGAGCCTGGAACAATACCGGCGCAGACTCTCAACGTGGCTTGAACTGCTACCGTGGTGGCTTTATTCCTTCGGTCAACTCATTTGACATATCTTTCTTCGGCATCTCACCAAAAGAGGCTCGTAGGCTGGATCCTTCGCAGTATATGATGCTGGAGACTTGCTGGGAAGGATTTGAACGCGCCGGTTATACCATGGAAAAATTACGCGGTAGCCAAACTGGCGTGTTTATCGGTACCAGCAATATATTAGCCCATCAATCTCTTAATCCGACCGCCATCAAAGACTTATCAGACCTGGACGGATATACAGTGACAGGCTCGGCTGCTGGCACGATGTCCGGTCGCATCTCCTACCAACTGGGCCTAGAGGGCCCATCAATGACTATTGACACCGCGTGCTCATCGTCACTGGTCACAACTCACCTGGCTTGCAACGCGCTACGTCAAGGTGAATGCGACGTTGCTGTATCTGGCGGTGTAAGCCTGATGCTCAACTCAGGACTGCATGTAGAGTTCAGCCGGCTGAAGGGTATGTCGCCAGATGGCCGCTGCCGGTCCTTTTCTGCCGACGCTGAAGGCACCGGATGGTCTGAGGGCTCTGCAGTCGTTGTACTCAAGCGGTTATCCGATGCTCAACGCGATGGCGATTCAATCCATGCTGTGATACGTGGCACTGCTGTCAACCATGACGGCCGCAGTGCCAGCTTGACAACACCCAGTGGACCCGCCCAGCAACGACTCATAGATAAGTCACTCAATGCGGCTAGACTAAATCCTGATGACATTGACTATGTCGAGGCACATGGTACTGCTACTAAGCTCGGAGACCCGATCGAGGCTACGGCGCTGGCGGAGGTGTTTGGTCCAACCCGTCAAGGTTCAACCCCTCTGTTGATCGGCTCGGCTAAGTCTAATATTGGACACACTCAAGCCGCCGCTGGGCTCGTAGGTTTACTAAAAGTGACACTGGCTCTACGACATGGCATGTTGCCGCAGACGTTGCATGTCGCCGAACCTACCCCTGCAGTTGACTGGCAGAGTGCCAATATGTCGCCTGTACTGAGTAAAGTACCATGGCTGTCACAAGGAAGTCGACTGCGTCGAGCTGGCGTTAGCGCATTCGGCATCGGTGGTACCAATGCTCATGTTATTGTGGAAGAATCGCCAAGGCAGATCCTAGTAGCTAATAACGAAAATACTTCTGTTAGGCGGCGTTTCATCATGCCATTCCTCCTCTCAGGTGATAACAACGCAGTCTTGCGCCAGCAGGCCGAAAATCTTCATCGATATGTTAAAAGCACTATCGGCCAGGACGATCTTGGCAATATAGCCTACTCTTTGGCGACTACTCGCACTCATTTTCGAAAACGGTCAGTATTGATGGCGGAAAATAAAGTTGAGCTACTGGAAAAGTTGGACTCGATCGTGAACTCAAACTCTTTCGCATTGCCTACTGACAGCGCTGCTGAGGCGCCACGAATAGCTATGCTCTTCACAGGGCAGGGCAGCCAGTGGCCAGGCATGGGCAAGGACCTGTGCGAAATATATCCCATCTTTCGCAAGACGATAAACGAGATCGCATGCGAGTTCACGGACTTGGAACCGCCGCTTCTCGATGTCATGTGGGCGGAACCTGGCACCGCGGCAGCTGCGTTGTTAGACCGCACAGACTATACACAGCCTGCTCTATTCGCTTTAGAAGTGGGGTTATGGCGTCTTTGGCAGGATTGGGGCGTGAAGCCGGATTTTGTTCTTGGCCACAGCTTAGGGGAATTTGTGGCTGCCCATGTCGCGGGCATCTTGGATCTATCGGATGCCTGTCGATTGGTCGCGGCGCGTGGCCGATTGATGCAGGCTCAGACCAGTGATAGCATGATGGTATCACTCGGCGTCAGCTCAGCCGAGATAGCAGCAGCAGTTGAGCAACTAGGCTATAGCAATGCAGTCAATATCGCTGCATATAACACACCAACGCAGACTGTTATATCCGGTGATACTGGTGCTGTCAAAAACATAACAAGTTACTTCACGGAACAAGGCTGCAAAAGTAGAACACTGGTTGTCGGACATGCCTTTCATTCCCGTCAAATGGACGGCATATTAGAAGACCTCCGCGTCGTAGCCGAGACTATACGGTATAACTCTCCCAAGTTAGCCATTATTAGCAGTTTAGACGGAAGTCTGGCCGAGCCGGGTCGACTCGAGCACGCAAGTTATTGGGTTAAGCAAACACGCGAGTCAGTTCGCTTCAGCGACGGCATCAAGACTTTGGCCCGTCATGGTGTCAACGTCTTTCTTGAGATAGGTCCGCAGCCAGTGCTTTGTGGCATGGGCGTGGCGTGCCTTGCAGATGATGAGAAAAGCCAGTCTCTGGGATGGCTACCATCCCTAACACCTGGAAAAACAAGCACTTCGATTCTCCAACGCAGTGTTATAGATTTACACATAAGACACGTGCCTGTCAAGTGGTCAGCCTATTTTGGACCATTTGGTTGCCAACGTATCGAATTACCAACTTATGCCTTCAGGAGGGATTACCATATCCCTTTCGACATAAAGCAAAGTATGATAAGTGGTGATGCTTCTGGTGTTAGCAATAACATTAGTTATACTACTCGAAGCGGTCAAGGGGGCTTCGAGTTTGAAGTAGTGTGGCATCCAGTAAAAGCAAATGACATCCATATAAGCAGGACCTGGGGCATTTTGCTCCCAGCAGGTAATACTATATGGGCAAAGCGGGTGGCAATCTCCCTTTTGGGAGCTGGTATTCGACTGATTGAAATAGAAGATCTCAAGCATACTGAGAATCTGGATGGTGTAATGTGCTTGTGGAACTCAAATACCGACGTTATGTCTCAATCGCAAGATCTGTCGGCAACCGCACTAACACAGCTGCAGGCGGCCATCCAGGCCCAGTCAAAAATACCGCTTGTATGGGTCACTTGTAATGCAGTCGGTACTGGTACTGGACCCGGCGACCAAGCCATGAAATTGGCAGCAGCGCCACTATGGGGTCTGATGCGGACTGCCAGAAACGAACATCCTGAGTTGAACTTGCGCCTAGTCGACTTAGATGAGGAAACAAGCTCTTATACCGCGTCAGCATTAATGCTAATGACTGAGCCGGAATGCGCTGTGCGCCAGGGCCAAGTGCTTGTGCCACGGATGCAGCACGTTGCTCCTGTAGCGAAGCCTTCGCCCAAGAAACGATTGATCAGACCAGACGGTGCAGTATTGATAACAGGGGGCATCGGAAATCTAGGAGCGCGCGTAGCACGGTGGCTTGTAACAAGTCATGATATTCGCGATGTGGTACTTACATCACGCCACGGCATGGAAGCTTCTGGCGCGGATGCATTGGTAGCCGATCTCTCCAAAATTGGTGCAAGAGTTACCGTTATAGCCAGCAACATAGCCGAACCAGAAAATCTGAAGTCAGTCATGGCAATGTTCACCGAAAACCGGCCGCTGCGAGGCGTCGTTCATGCGGCTGGTGTCGTGGACTCAGGTGTCCTATCGGCCATGACTCCGGAGCGTTGCGCAACGACGTTCGCACCTAAGGTATATGGCGCTTGGCTTCTTCACCAATTCACTCAGAATATGGATCTAGACATTTTCATGATGTTCTCATCCATATCCGGTGTGATGGGAATGCCAGGGCTTGCCAACTATGCCGCAGCGAATACCTTCCTCGATGCGTTGGCGCACCTGCGTCGCGCCCAGCACTTGCCAGCCACCTCCGTGGCGTATGGTACCTGGACAGGCGAGGGCATGGCATCAAGACTTAGCCATATCACCCAGTCCCACCTTATTCACTTCGGCCTCGACCCCCTGACACCAGAAGAGGGGCTTAGACTGTTCGATCAGGCCGTTGTTAGTGATCGTGCTCTAACCATAGCCGCCGCACTCGATTTAGAACGGCTCCGGGGCTACCTCGATGAGCAGGGTGGTATTCCGCCGCTACTTTGTAGGCTTCTGACTCAAGAAATTACGACGCCATCACGAGGATGGGAGTTGTCTAAGATGTTGAGCGAAACTGGCCCTAGTCAGCATAGTGGTATCATGTTGAGCATGATTCGGGGAGTAGTTGCCAAAGCATTAGGTTTCGCGCAGCCATCGGACGTGGCCGTCGACCGTTCTTTGCAAGATATTGGGATAGACTCCTTAACCGCCGTCCAGGTACGCAATCATTTGGCGACACTGACGGGACTGACGCTTTCTGTCAACATTGCTTTCCTTCATCCAAACCTGAAGTCTCTCAGCCAGTTCTTGTTGTCCCAGCTGCAGGACACGGATACTTCGTCCACCACGACGGCATCCAGCAGGGCGACTTCTGCCACTACAATATTCGAAACTCCTCTCTTAAATGTAATGATGATGCTCAAAGGATGCCTGGACAGCACCTTTACATTCGATAACGTAACGCAGAATCCGCACATATCTATCACACGTCCCAGGTCCGTCTTTCTTACAGGTGCTACCGGATTTGTCGGTGCTTCCGTCTTGGAAGGGTTGCTCAAGCAGGGCATCACTACGTACTGCTTCGTGCGTGCTGATCGTGCCGATAAGGCGCGACAGCGGGTAGTGACCACCTTGGAGGACTATGGTCTCTGGCAACCCCATTTTGCGGCTCTGATCAATGTGACCATTGGTGACATGGGCCAACCCTTGCTTGGTTTAACCGAGGAAGCCTTCGATGACCTGGCCGAGCGGGTTGATGCCATTTGCCACTCGGGCGCCCTTGTCGATTGGATGCGACCGCTGGAAGACTATGTCGGCCCCAACATCATTAGCACGCACGAGATCCTGCGTTTGGCATCACGCGGATGTGCCAAGACAGTACACCTTGTGTCTACCATCTCCACCTTGCCGAAGCACATGGGTCTAGACCTCAACGAAGAGGACCAGGAATATGGTTATGGAACGTCAAAATACATTGCGGAGAAAATGGTGGCAGCGGCTCGATGGCGCGGTGCTAGAGCATCTATCTACCGTCTACCTTACGTCACTGCCTCGTCTACGACCGGTCATTTCCGGCTTGATCGCGGTGATTTCTTACACAACTTGATAGTCGGGAGCCTGGAGATTGGGGTATTTCCATCAGTGGATGCTGATATAGCTGCCGTACTACCTGTCGACTACTTGAGTAAAACTATTGTTGCCGTGATGACGCAAGATTTGCATTATATTGGCCGGGACTACGACTTTTTAAACAGAGAGGCACCAACCTGCAATGAGTTCTTCAAGATGATAGGTGCTGTTCATGGTGGAAATGACGTCTTACCTTTCAGTAAGTGGAAGCAACGGGCACTGGACTATGCTATGACACATCCGACGAGCCCGTTGGCCCGCATCGCTGCTGTACTCGACAACTACACAGATAAAACAGCGGCTGGTATGTTCAAGGGTTCATCTGTCGGTGAGCACGTCTTTGGCGGCCATGATTACCCGGCACCATCAATCGACGAGCGATTTATTAGCACATACTTAAGTTGTATTGACCGCAAGTCTAATACAACTGTGAGAAATAGCCCATAGAGATAGGAATATCACCATGTGCAACATATGGTCTTAATCCACCCGCGGTCTTTGCTCAGCAGTAATACGGTGCTATCGAAAGTCTATGACTTGCCACCACAAAAGAAAAGTGCTTTGACAAAACCTTTGATGCCCTCGCGCATGCCAAAATTTCAAGGTCTCTACTTCGTTGAAATGAGCACCAGCCGCATAATCGGCATGTATTTTGGTGGAGAAAGCTCCTTCAAACGGTACCTCTCATTAGAATTAGGCATGATGAAACGATTACATGGACGTCAGAGAGGAAGTGACCAGGTCAACATGTAAATCGAAATCCACCAAGGTCTGATGAAGAACTTCTATCACGCCGGTTTCTGAATGAAAAGCAACCCGCGAATCGCAAGCCGCAAAGGATATGGTATAGCGGCCACCTGGTTCTTCAGTTTATGCTCAGAATGAGCCGACGTCAAATTTTTTTTCTTTTTCGAACTGTGATTCTAAGCGAATAACAGCCATCTTATAGTGAAGAAATCCATATCATAGACCACTTGATACACCACTTCGTGATGGCGGCTTTATACCTTATAGGCTTGCCCCTGGCATGCACGTGCCACACATATATAGTGATCGACCTGGGACGATATCTCGCTAGCTCTATCCACACGTTCTTATCGTAGGCCTCGTCGCCAACCTCATCACGGACGGCTGTCAATTGCATCACTTTCCATATGTGGAGAATATCAATATCGACATCTGAACGGTTTTTCAAATCTTGCAGAAGCCTAATCGCAACGTAAAAGTTCAGTAATAAATTATCAAATAGGTGGGAATTCTTCAACATCACAACTCGGTGCTGGTCTTTACGTGCGCCGCTTTGTTTGCTCGGCTAGCTCAGTTGGTTAGAGCGTCGTACTAATACTACCTCTTCAGGTAATATCAAGTCATGCGAAGGTCCTCAGTTCAATCCTGTGGCTGAGCAATCGATTCATTTTTGCCCATATCCCGCCTGTTTGTAGATAATCGCAGTCAATCATGTGATCGAGTGGAAGGTTGGCCAGACGGCAGAGACCGGAAGGTGGATCAGTGAAATAATATCGCGCTTACTTGCTGGGCTCAATAGGGCTGACTCAACAATTTGGCTCGACTTTTTGCAATTGCGCTGTCTTTTGATGTTTGGACACAATAGCAGACTGGAGACATTGGAGATTGAAAGTGCTTATTTTTCGAGAGTATGGCGATGAGGGACTATCAGTATCACATAGATAATGAAACCTCTTGTAGTAAGATTTACAAAAACGATGTGAAAAGACTCCGTATACGTAAGGACAATTGTCTGTGTGAATAAATCTATTCAGTAATAAAACTGTCATTCTTATACTTCGACAGGCACTAGTGGTTTAGTGGTAAAATCCATCGTTGCCATCGATGGGCCCCGCGTTCGATTCGCGGCTAGTGCATCCATATTTTTGATGAGACCCTCGAGTCGGGCTTAGTATTAGGAAGTTCTTCTTCTGGCATCGTGAATCGATGTCAAAATGAGTACTCAATATTAAGCTAGGCTTAAGGGTTTTTCTTTTGGCACAACCCATCATGATGTCTTGAACTTGATGAGGACTCTAGCACATAGTATGCGCCCAGCAGTCGAAGTTGTGTTCATGTTATTATTATGTATTGTTCATTACTTAACTTACTATTATCATTCTGTGCTGTCTGTCAAATTCATTAGGTTGAGCATGTCACTTACTCGGCTATTCTTATTGCCCCCTAGACTACTTTAAATACCCCATTCGTACGACATACACTTATATTGCTCGGGTAAATTGATGCCGATTTACCCCGCTCTTCTCGAAGTCAAGCGTGATTGTAGACCATCTGTTTCAGATCGATAAGCCTGTGAACAGTATTTATTTCAGGAAAGACATATATTGTACGAGTATTGGCAGATTATACGCGCTCAGAGAAACCATTTTATGAGTCCAAGCCATTTAACGTCGGGACTTCAAAAAGTTTGTGCGGTATGTATAAATGCTATCTAACTTTTTTCTCCTACTGAGCTTTGCGAGGACCTGTCGTATAAAACAGCCAGAGTCTTGAATCACGAATGACGTTACGCAAACCAGCGAAAACCCTAATTGCACAACCTGCGAACCGGCGCGCAATCTGTCATGGCCTTGTGCCATGCCATATTCAACGCTCGCCGTCGTTGCCAGAGACACAAGGGCTAACCTTACGTATATCTTAATCCGCACCAGCGACCTCCGAGCTATTGGGGATTATCGAGTGACGTTTCTCTACTACATGTTGATTCATTTGTAGAGGACAATCTAGGTTCCTCGTCTCAAACTTTAAATAGGACTGCGCGAAACAGTCCATGTCGCCGACACATGTGTATCATGGAGATTTTTCTTTTGATTGTCTAGAAAACTGCTTCATTGAATAACACGTTCGCTCGAATCTATGCTCCGTCCACTTAGCCACATGTGATCTCTTTACTGCAATCTCATTTCTCACGAGGGAGATGCATCGTGGTACTATTTGCCTGCGAATAAGTACAGGCTTCTGTTAGCTTTAGACACAAAGTATTAATGTCACCTCCAGCGCGTCCATAATGGGAATCTTCTCGTCGACGCGGACATGAAAGGCCAACGTGAACCCCCTTGTCTTCGATTCGTCCATGACGCTTGGCGCTACTGCGATCCAATCAGTTATGTCTATGGTCCTATAAAGGGTGGTCAGACCTATGATTCGCTAAAAAGTTCTTTAGCTCAAGCGATGAATATTCGGATTGGGCAGTATGTCCAGATCTCGAGTATATTGAGAAAAAGTACACAAGCTTATCTCAATGTTCTGTTGCTTCGCTCAACGTAAGGTCAAGCGATCGCGGGTCACCCGTCCAATATTTCATTCTTTGAGTTACGATGTTATCGTCAGATTCGTCACTTTCTTTGTCGGATACGTTGTCACAGGCTAATTTCTGAAATTCGCTGGCCAAGGCCTCCATACAACCTGCCGTGGTGTCCTCAAGTGCCCTCTCGAGGTCAATCGGATAGACGCTGTTGAAGCTGAGGCCGACGTCAATAGCGGCCGCTGCCTCACGCATGCTTTTGAGCCGACCGATATTCCAGCTGGGACGTTTCAGGAGTCCAGTTTGCCAGCCCAGGCCAAAGAACGCCTTGGTGATCCCACACAGGCAGCGACACCAGTGTGCCATGGATAGACATCCACACATGCACAACACGAAGTAGAACTGGGCCTCGGGTGCATCGCTGTCACGAAAGATCTCATTGACGAGGTAGAGGTAGCCTGGCGAAACGAGCATGGTGGGGTTTGTCGTCTCGAACTTATGACGATACACGTACATGAGCCGCTTAAGTTGTCGCACGGATTCCCTGTAAGCGGCGCGTGGCCAAGAGTCTTCTGAATTGAAATGCTGCATTTTCTTTTGAGGTTCAATTTGAATAAAGGGCCTCCACACGTCCATAATCGCTGTGTGGTACCAAATGCTATTTTCTCTCGTTAGTTCATTTTGCAACAACGTTTTCTTGGGCGACGACACACTGAACGACTAGTACGTGGTGCGAGTATGATGATTCAACTCTGCATGTAGCGCTTCCCAGCTCACCACACCAGGCCAGCAATTTCTGATACGCGAGTTCGGCAGTCTGTAGGGTCGGATCAACATACTCGTGGTAGCCGTTGCTCCACAATTCGTGTACAATAAGGCACAACTTGGCGATTGAAGTGAATGTGCTTCCCATGTAATTTGACAAGACCGGTCCTCCCTCGTCTACCATCCCTGGGATCGGTAGTGCAGGTGGTGTACGCAGTCGGTGACGGCGACGAAAGTGAAGAGATTGCAAGCTGGCAAAGTGAGTCACGAAAACATGTAACAACTGGGACAATCTGTAGAACACGTACGTGTTCCATGTGAAAGCTCCCCAAGCAACAAAAGAAGCCGCAGCCTTGTGGTGTTCATCACGATCGGAGACGGATGAAACTGGGTAGGCTTCATGGTTGAAAAGCTGTAAGCGGCGACCAATTTCGGCACTGGCATCTAGATATAACAGTCCATCTCGATCGTTACCATGATGATTGCAGGTAAGAGTCATGAGTATCGCGGCAGAAACCGTGTCCAGATCATCTCGCCTCCGACCCTCCCAGCGACACTTAGCCTCTGCGAGAAACTCTATAGATAGCTGTCTTGCTTCCAAGTTCGACTGCGCAAGACCAGCCTAAGAGGACTATCAATATCAGGGTCAAGCCATACACGGCAATAAACATACAAATGACCAAGCAAGGATCGAACTGAGGAGCAGCGGTGAGCAGAACGAGCCCGAGCCCCTTACTAGGTCGTCAATTACCAGATCGGCATTGAATACGGCGAGGATTGGATGCTCATTCTCTAAGTAAAAAGATATTGCACTTGCAGCAAGTACGTTGGTAATATCCACAGATGTCCATCGTTGGAAATCGATATGGTCAAGCCGCCCATCGATGACTATGGTATCTCGGCTGGTTAGAGGTTGTATTGGTAGCACTTGATTTGGAGTTGTCGGAGTCGCTGCGGGTCTGTTTCGTGAGCTGTACCGTCGTTTCCGAGACGTGGTGTCTATAGTCGTTGTCGAATTTACATCCAGAAGCTGGAGATCTAGGTCTGCAATTTCGAGTGGGGCAAGGGCTGGAAATGCATTAGGGTAATAGCCATTGAGTTCAAGTCTGAAGCTTAGCGATGCTGTTTCCTTCTGACATCCGCCACTGTTCAGAAGGAAGCGTGAGTCTATGAAACTTGCGTTGGATTCGAGGGAGGTAGCCAGATGGGTGAACGAGGCTTTCCCACTCCTCAAGTTCATGAAAACTGCAGTAGCTGCATCTTCCGGTGCATCTCGTAGGTAGTTCAGAATTCGGTTCAAGCCATGTGTCGTGTTTCGTAGCTCGGAGATCTCTCGTGCGGAGTCCTTTTCCTGCACATCGCGATAAACACACGGCTGTCGGCGGCGCGCACAAACGGAACAAATCGGTTTCATTCCATCGCACTGACAACTTGTGAATTTGAGTACTCAAGAGGTTACGGTGTGAGCAAACCTTGATTTTCTTAGTGCGACATGCATTGCAAGCAAGCGATGTAACGGGGTTGTTGCGAGCAACTTGGGGAGACGATTGAGAGGCTGGCGATGGGTCTCCTCTGGCCGACGACGGTTCGTCACTATCGGGCTTCGGTAACAGAACGCGATGTGTGCGTTCAGCAGGGGAGTGTGACATTGATGGTGTTGTCGACTTCCCGTGGACCCATCGCGACAGGTGGTGTCGATAGCTTCGGCAAGTGAGGATGTTAATCAAGGAGGTTCGCCTAGGAATAGCTTCAGGCTTCTGATTGGGTTGGTACTCAGGACAAACATGGGGTCTCCAGAGTCTAGCCGCACACTATGAGCTAGGGATTACGAAGCGACGATCGACCGCAAGCCGTGGTCCTTCGGATACATCTACATAGGTTTGTTTGTAGCAAAAAGGGAGATAAAAAAAATTGAACCCACTGTGCAATGCGAAGCCGAAAAGTCCTCACCGTACACAGGGGCACCTTACCCAGTCCGGATTACACACCTCTAAAGAATGGGCCCCGTTTGAGTCCCCATATTGCAAAGTATCGACGCCCGTAGCCCCACGGTCGCACAGCTTACATACCTGTCCTCTCAGCCAGAAGCTCTATATCGTGCTCTGATTGGTGCAAACAGCCTAGGAGGTGTCCGGAGCCAGCTCCGGACCTCTGATTGGTCGGCTTAGTAATGATGCACTGTCCCGAAAACCATAATGGAAATCACACAGGTTTAGTAGATGTTGCGCGGGGGGTCCGCTAACGTAGGGACTAGACAACGTGACGCAATTCGTAAGATAGCTGGTTTCCATCGGAGCAGAGTCCGACCCATTACTGCCACAACCGGCTACATACAAGCGGTATACATGCATGACTTCACTGACTGCCGGCTCCAGTTGATCCTGGATCGAAATCTCAATGTTTTTGCGTTGGTAAGTAATAGTTGTACGACGATGAGTATTGCCACTCGGAATAGCAATAATGGATGTCAACCTTGACCCTAGTTAGAGGCAGGAGTTGATCGTGGCTGGCTTCTGTCGGATCGCCAGCTGGCCGACTCGTGTTCTTCAGATTGTCGCACATCTAGCTCAAGATTCATAAAACTAGCTTACCGGTATTATGCTCAGCCTCGCCTACATGTCTGAGCTATCTCTTTACATAGTAGGTATGTTCCTCGATACGGCACACACGATACATACCATGGATGTATACAACCAAACTTCACTGTAGCGGTCCTTTTTTTCTTCTTTTTTTTCCTTTTCCTTTTTTCTTTTCCCTTTTCTTTTACAAGCTCATTATCATTACAACCAGAACCCGTACCCGACATGAAGGAGGGCTGACTTTCAAATTAGATTGAATCCGGTTAATGCGAACTTTGCAGTAATGTCTTTCAAGTTGGCGTGGTTCTCTACGCGGCGGGCTTATGGTGCAGTGCAACATTCTATCTAGTTCCTAGTGCCTTTTGTCTTGGTTAGTATGTTTCCGGCAATTGTGACACGCGGTGGTCTAAAAAGCCTGTTATTAGAACAAGTCTTCAATATTGATGTTTACTGTTGGTGAAAGCTAAACGCTTTGTTGCACCGCTGTTGGGCACATGTTAATTAAGTAAGCTTGTTCAGGATCTTCATACCCAGTAATGATATCCGTGGCGAACACAAAAAGTCTGGGATACACCGGCGGTCTAAAGCTCAAAAGTATACTAGATATACAACTTGACAGAGTATTAAGACGAAGTATAAACTGACACGAGTCTCCAACCAAAGCAAAATGATGAGACATAGAAAAATATACAACACCGGGGATTCATTCCCCAGTGGTCACCGACCTGAGTGTTATCCAGCACTCCAGGAAATACCAAACTGGCGAGGGTGTTCATTTGCCCCGCGTCCTGTGACATAATGATACGCAATCCACGTACCTGTAATATAATGAGTCTCTGGGTCGATTGCATTAATGGTAGAGTATGAGCGGAGACTACGGTGTTTCACCGCAAGCATTCGTTTTCTGTTGATAATCCCACCACTTACCGCATCTCCACTTCGGCGAACGGAAATGCAACAAAGCACCAACTGGCTATGGCCTGCAGAAGTCAGCAGTTCCTTTGAGGCTGTAGTATTTCGTCTGCAGAGGACTTTCTGTCTACGCAGTTCAATTCCGCTATTATTCAAGCGGCTTCTCCAGTTGTGCCTTCTGGGAGTATAGTGCACTCGTAGAACTGGGCTACGTATATGTATCTACATGTACAAGGCGTCATGACTGAATGCTAGGAAAGGAACGCCTATACCATTCCATAGCTGGTTAGCATGGTTGGAGTGCCTAGATGAGGCCACAGCGCATCTTGGTGATTTGTTGAACGGGAGCGTTAACATTGTATGCTTCGAGTTTCCCTTGCTTCCTGGAAAAGACTATGTTTTGTGCGAAGATTTGGTAAAGAAACATGAATGCCCGTCTCCAGGTCACGTTTCAGGCTCTGACTTGCAGAATGGCCTCAAAATTGTAACATGCTGGGATCCGACACACGACTGGTTAAGCGCGACTTAGGCACACATGCTTCGTATGCTCGTTGTCTATATAATGGACAGATTGATCATTGACGTCCTTGTTCAAGCAATATCTCAAGGTCTGTTCGGTCTCCAGTTCTCAGACCGAAGCTATTTCGTAGCTTGATAGTGACGAGATGAGTCTGCCTAAGGGGACACTTGTTTCCCCGTACGCTCGTGAATAATAAATTTGAATCAACTCATGTGTTCGAATCAGTTGCTAGATCAAGCAAGATTTAAGCACATAGAACATATTGACCAGGGCCGAACCCTTCTGGTGGCAGATTTAAGGACGCTTACCAACGACCGTATTCTTTATGCGTCAGTGCAGGAAACAAAATAAAATGGAAGGAAATGCCAATCCGATGGAAGCCACGAGATCAAAGGCGGTTAACTAAAAGCAAGGAATTTCACATCTGCTATGCGGAAATATCTGTCATTGCACACACAAGGTGTCTTCAAGCAAAGTTACCAGTTAAAGCGCTTCCTCAAGAATCTCGTCGGCTTGTTCTACAACGAATTGGCCCGGGACTACGAAGATCTTTTCAAAACATGACGAAACCCCTCACTCAGTAAGGACTATACGGAATTGCTTGACGCAATGTCTGGAGACGATGCCGAATTCAAAAAACTCAATAATTTCGAAACCCTCTGGATAACACACGAAGAGGCGAGATTGCAAGACCAACTAGCTGCAGGGGAAGGTAGTAACGGCGTTATCCGAGAAACGATTGCAAGAATCTTTCACTGAGCCCACCGCCTTAGCAAAGTTCCTGATTCTTGTCTTCCGAAAGACATCGGGAAAAATGTGGTAAATCACCCGGCTGTTGACAGTGTGACGATTATACTATCGGGTTGCACAACCACAAATAATATAATGCAAGGGGTTTATGCTAACAAGATATGCTAGCCACGAATAGAAGACTATAGAGATAGACCTTCAGAATATACTGAGCAAAGAGATTCACAAGTGTAGTCGTCAAAGCGTGAGCTTCACCTATGGGTAAGATAGATGCTTAGATTGATCACTGAAGTAATGACTGTCTATGTAGAGTAGGAGACCCGATCCTTATTATATCCATTCATTCCTTCACTGATGTTGGTTGGATCACCTTGGATCACTGTTGGCTCACCAGTGATCCCCTTTGTCTATGGGTGATCCCCTGCATGGATCACCATGGGCTCACGCCAAGGCTGGGTGATCCCGTGATCCTCACGTGACCTTGTCTCCGTTGGAGACCAGCCGCCTGGCACTCTGCCGGCTGTACTTATGTGGGGTCCTGCGGCCTACCTGTAGACCTCGTTCGTAACAGACAGTACTGGAGTTGCAACGAAGCCCAGGTCTGGAAGAATAGTGATCTGGTGAGTTGTGAGTTTAAACTTGTCACCATACAGGGAAACCGGGTTGCGCAAGATATACCCAGCCAGGGATTCCACCCGACGGAGAATCAAACCCTCAAGATCTTACAGGATGGTTTTTAGGATATGAAAAGCACTGAAAGATGGTGGGCAACCAAGAACAAGTACTGACAGTCTTCCGTTTCAACAAGTTCCGCTGCGAAGATGGGTTGTTTTTCAGACTCAAGATTGCAGTATGATAAACTCGCAGTACAATCTGCCGTGTTTCACATCATGCGATACTTGACTATGCAGGTTCATAGTTAGTAAGCATTGTGCTGTAGTATAGGGTCATTGTAAACTCACTCCCAGGAATTTGATGTTTGCGCATAACGAGCACATAAATGGGACTGATGACTCAAAACCTCCTCCAAGACATTTGCAAGAACGGGTTCCATCACATTTTGTGTAGTTATCTGTAACATGCCTTGCTCAGATTCGCCATTGCCTTCAGGCGTGATACCGAAGTACAGCCATTGAATTGGGGAAAGTTCGGACAGGATCTTTCTCAGCTCTAGCACGTTGAAACAGTTCAATTTATCCACGGGATTCAGGTTCTATAGCTGTGCATTCTCCTTTAAATTCTTTGATTTCAAAATGTCCTACAGCCGTAGTTGAACGCCTACATCCCTAGACGTGGACACCAGTGGTATAACAGAGGTGGAGTCGCCTCCAGGTATTACAAACACACTGTTTGTTTGTTTCTGTATTTAACGCCGCTGCGGTGGCTATGTCAGTAGCTGGCGCGTCCTCTCAGGCATGACAAGGCGTGGCTAGCGGTTCTAATGTATATGGGAAGGAGGGACCAAGTTGGGTTGCCGTTCTATACAGAAACAAGAAAAGAGGCGAAATCGTGCTTCCAGAAGATGCCATTAAAATCCCTTCTATCACTAGATTTGGATTCATAGATGTTGCTTTGCAGATGTACGTCGCCTGTAGGCTTGCTTGGTTAGTTGTGAAGGTGTACTTTTGATGGTGTTTTGATGGGGATCGAATCCCGTCAAATATCCACGTGGCTGTTAATGGCGATCAAACTCAACATCAAAACCCCGATGCCACAGCTCTTGTAGAACTCGTTATGTGTATATCAGGATGTCCTCTCTATCCTCCGCACTTGCTTTCAAAGACACGATTAGCTCCAATGTCTGATCGCCTATATCATCTACCCAGGTATTCACCCGCTTCCTATCCAAATTTTCTGAAGGCAGGACCCGGAGCGATGACACCGTGATCCAGGAATTGGACACCATATGAGCCAATAACTCCGCGGACAATTCGTTTTCGGCAGTATCCATCTATTTCCAACGGACTCCGAGATGATAGTCATAATTGATTTATCATGAGACATCCACCAAGTATCCGTTCTGTAGCGTTAGTATTTCAAGCACCAAAGGGTAGGTATTCATGTCAAATTAGGAGAGAGTGCCATCCGATTTGAGAACTGACGAATGGACCTGGGATAAACATTCGACCTCCTTCGATGGGGCGAATCACTACTAGCTTGTGAAAGCCACTCGCTTCTTAGGCTTCTAAGTCGCTCATGTGGATTTGTCTCTCAGGCCTTGTTCTGAACCAAAGCCAGGAATGACTTGACACTCTCGTTACCATCGATACCGCTGCGAATGGAGACGGTGGCGACGATGGGGGCCGGTCATACGGTTAATTCCATGCACGGGGGAATTGCGGCTAGATAAGATTGTACCGAACACGATGTCATTCGATAACGTATGGGCGGCGAGTACTAGTGCTTCGGAGGCGCAAATGATTGTCAGTGGAAGGGCTTTTGTTAATAGTGTATTCACTTTATCTTGATATCTAGCGTTGCCATTGACCTACTGCTGTGATGACTAAGGCTAGGAATTAGCCCCACTAGTATTTTTTACGTGTTTCGCAATTAACGAAGTCTTTTCGTTCTTTAGCTTTCTTATTTTTAAAGTGCACAGTAGCTTACTTGTCGCACAAAAAAGTATGAGCGACCACGAACGAACTTTATAGTGAAAAAAACCGTTTGGCGGTAGCTTCGCCCGTTCAATTCTGACCGGGCTTATGGTATCCTTGAACGTCAGTGGCGTATCATATGGGGAGCGTAACTTAGAATATTGGTTAGATCCACTCAGTGTTACTGCACCAAGAGGACCTGCGTGTACTCGGGATCCGAATCCGAGCTTTTGCTTGTGTCCTGCCCGCTTGTTGTCGATACCATAATTCGTAGGAAATCGACCACGGCTTGATATCCTGGATAGCCAAATTATTTAGGCGTTATGATACAATGCGCAGGACTTCGCATATGTCATTGCATACATGGGTGTCAATGGTTAGCTCTTACTTCTTTCGTGAATGTCAGAGCCGAGTGAGCAGCGGCGTTAAAGCTGTAACACATTTACCTATACGTTCGATTGTATCGGATACCAAACCCGCCTGGCTCTATGTGTTCGAACTATCTTCCAATCTTCCCGGACTCACAGGCCAGTTGTCAAAAAACAACATAAGCCGGGGCAGGAATCATCGACTATCGGATCAGTATCACGTCATTCGCAACAAGTATGAAACACCTGTGGAAAGAAGACATTATATTATTAGCTAGAGATAATGTTGTGTGCAATTACAACAGTGAGACCTATAGGCGAATGCCATCGTTGGATGCCTGACTGGTCGCTGTGCAAAAGTCATAGTCAAGCTCTGGGTCATGTTCTATTACTGCGATGCAAGGCGCTGGACTTATCGCTGTCGGATGAAGGGGGTCATTAGTGCTAGAATGGCCTACTTCCTACTTCATACTTCCTCCCTTGCCTCAGTAAATGGCAAGTCGTGATGAGGTTGATGAAACAACTTACACCACGACCAAAGCGCTTGTCGAGGTGTACAGCTGAAATTTCGGGTATACGCAGGAATGTTTGACCACCGAGCCGTCGATTTTGTCAGCATCTCTTGCCGCCAATTGCGATCCCGCCGTGATCGCAACTTGCCATAATAAGAGAAGATTGGATAACATCCCATATAATCTATATAAATAGGTTACTGCTCATCCCTTTGTACATGTATTTAGAGTCATCACCACTATTGCTAAGTACATTTTCATCACCGCATTAGGAGAAGTCAATGGTAGGAATAGGACGACTGTTACTGACCTTGAGATTTTAGCGCCGAACTCTGGCTAGAGGAAACAATAGTTGACTGAATGCTATATTCTAATTTAACACTAGTTTTGCTGATTGAAAGATCCCGCTCCTAGCCAACATCAAACTGAAGCCCCTCTAGTTAACATATCCCCGATCTCCTTTGCAAGCAACTGATGAGCCGGTTGACTAGGATGAAAATTGTTGGTCCAAAGGTATTCGTTCGCCGCATATTCGCACTCGTCATATTTGGTATTCCAACCCGGGGTGCCGTTTTTATACGCACTGCAGAACGAGGTTGTATCTTTGTAGATAGATGTTTCAACAAACTGACTTGGATCGTCTATAATAGAGTTGAATAGTGTGTTAACGTCGTAATAGAACACCGTCGTATAACCGAGATCATGATTTACGGATCTCGCAAGTTTCCATAGTCTGGCATTGTAGTCTCCAACGGTGGTTTTCATGATAGGAATTCGTATTGCGGCGGCGCTGGAACCCGTGACTTTGGGGGCTCTTTCAAGAGGAGGCATGTTTAGGAAGATGAAATTCCTCGCACCAGCATCGTATAATTCGACTACTAATTCGCGCAAGCGAGCGATTAATGCAGCGTTTTTGGTTGAGTCTTGCAACAGGAATGAGTTGTAGATGTCGTTTATGCCGATCCAGATGCCAAATAAACTTGAAGGACCCGTGTAAAAGCCGGATTGGCTGGCGTATATTGGTAGAAATTGGTCTGCAATCTGACCGTCGACATCTACGAGCTGCGCAGATGCCTGGACGTCCACGTCAATAGTAGCGCCACTCTGGGCAAAGTCATAAGTCCATGTGTTGTTCTTGTTATACGTGTCCGTAAGATATTCAACCCAATTTCTTCCATTAGCACTTGTGGTGCCAGTGTTGCCGAAGGGGTTTGAGTCCGATGGCTGGACTCCTGTGGATTTAAAGCCAATTCTTGAGTAAGAATCGCCGCTTGTGACATATCAGCTCAGATCTCTATTGCCATTACCGTGCAAAAGACCAATAGAAGTGGCATACAAAACAAAAAACCTGTTAATTTTGTTCCACCCGTTGTAGTCACTCTCGACCAATGAGCCTGGAGGCCATGCCCCGGCAAATTTTGAGAGCCATGCCAGCAGAATTGCAATATAGATAAATCTCATTGTTTTATGAGCCGAACCTGTGCCAGTCTTAGCATCTAGCAAGATGCAAGTGAATACATAGCTCAGAAACAACGGAATCTTCGCATATTTAACACTTTCGACAACCATTCTTGACCTTCCTCAGCTGCATTCAATTCAAAATAGAGCAGCGGGCCAATGCTATCGCTTTGCGGAACAATCTCCGGGTCAAAGGAGCTTTACTAACCTAATCTAGCCTCTACCGCTTTCAAACAAATGCATTATCCCCAGTACACTGTCAATGCCTTCTTAGTTAGGATTCTTCAGTGGGGTATGCCTCACGATTGGTCGTTCCCCGCAATCTTCATGTTAGGGTTGGGGGTGGGGGATTGTCACCCCCTGTATAGCCGGTCTTCAGCCCCTCAACCTCCACATCAGTGTTTGTAATTGAATTTCCGACCTCCAGCATACAACACAAGACCTGTGTAGAACAGAGTAGGCACTTCTGGTCTTGGCAGATATACTCGCCCTTCGGCACAATTATCTCGCTCTTTTTGCTTTTGGCTAAATCCCTCGCACTCTGCTGATACGGACTCAACCCTATCCCACACGTGTGTAAATTGTGAACGATTAATGGATACGAGTGTTGAAATGGTGCCCTCTGATTGTATCGAAGAATTCAACTGGAATACGATAAACAAATCGCCTCCATTTCGCATACTTACCTCGAGAACGACGGGATGCCATGTGCTGTAACTTGGGGCCAGGGCGGGCTTGTCTCAACACATATTCCTGGACGGTGACCCCTATAGTACGCCAGAAGGGGTGGTCATGCGTGCTAATACTCGTTAAGCTATTCGCCAATTCCTGAAAACTATGTACCTAGGTTAGGTTAGTTCCCCTGCGCGAGGTACTAACCTAGTAGAAGCCGGGCGACACGGGCCAAAACTCCTTGTGCCCACTTGCTTAACCTAGGACCTAAACCTTCGTTAGGTACGGCCAACTGGGGAACCCCCACCAGTACATAGAGTTTCGAAGATACGGAATGCATGTGTCGGAATTACCATCGGCACAGGACCAAATCTCAACGGAAATTCAATATTTTAATGATCAATAGTATTCTTTGCTCGCTGTAGCCATATATGTATACCATGAGCACCTCGATCCAAATTCTCGGCGACCATAGAATTTGCAGTCGTAGGAACTAATTTCAATATCATCCCGAGATAACCAATTACCCACATATAACAACCGTCGCTATTGATAGAATTGCTGTATCCGTGGCCATTGCGCAACGTGCATGAGCCGAATCGCGTTGGATTCTCGCCTCTGCAGTGGTCGCCGTTTCCTTGACCAAGACCTAGTCTAGGAGGAGACTGTCTGTGAGAAGGATAAAACTTCGATAGATCCGCCAAGAGCCGATGTGGCATACTGCGTGAGTTATTAGCAATGCGGAGAAGAAAGGACATCATTGCACCCACATTGAAGATCCCCCAACGGTAGCCCATGAAGTATTGCCATGCACTGTTCAGCGTTAAAGACGGACCAAGGCTACTAAAGTTCGTCCCGTCGTGGCTGTAGCTAAACGAGCCCGTACGGCCAGACCCAGGATTGATGTTAACCGTACCGCGCAAGTAAATGGTTCCCTTCGAGATACCAACGCTTGCGACTGTTGTGCCAGTATTGCTTGTCGCCCAGTCTGAGTCCATCAAGATGTTATTCGTCATGCCAACTGTGAAAGTCCCACCGTCATTCTTCACACCAATCCAACCTGACTGATCGCGGAAGAGAGCAAGCCCAGCCCGGTCACCCGCTGCCATGCTGCTCGTGTCAATCTTGATTGTTGCCGTGGATATTGGTCCGTGAATACGATGAGTCAAGGTGTTGCGGGCTTGGTACAAGTCATAGGTCACCGTGGCCGTGCGGAGTGTAAGACCGTCGTTGACAGCAAATCGAGAAGTATCCGGGTTGTGATTCCACTCCCAGGCATGTCCGAGAGAAGTACCGGAGAAGCTGTCAGTTCCAAGAGGAGACGGAACTGCATGTGAGGCCACTGGCATGGGATACGTCGCCCCCCAGTCTCCATTGGAAGTAGTCAATGTTGGATAGCCATCCGCACCCCAGGTCACAGGTGCTAATACTGGAATTCGTCCGCCAGGATATGCGTCTTCAAACGCCATATAATACCAATCTCCCCTGGGAGTATCGATTAGACCACCTTGATGAGGGTTCCCACCGCCGGGCACTGGTGGAGACACTGCATCCGCCAGTACTTTGATGGAATAAGAGCCAAATGGACTTGATGCTTTGAGAACCCATTCCTGGCTCGCAGGATGAGTGGTCAGAATGTAATACTGGCCATTTCGCTTGTACATACGACTGCCCTCGAGGGCTCCCCTTGTGCTTGTCGAATCGTAAATCTGCTGTGTCTTGACGATACTTGTGGCGTCTGAGTTCAATTGTGCAACATAGAGCTGCGTATTTCCATAAGCGACATACATTGTACCGTCGTCATCGATGAGTAAGCCGGCGTCGTAGAAGCACGTGCTAAGTGTTGCCTTCAAAATCCATGGTCCTGCCACGGTTGGTGCTGTGTAGACGTAGGTGCTGCCAAATTCGATGCAACCAATCCAATACCATTTCTTATCAGTTGCGCGATACCTCATTGTGGAGGCCCATATTCCTTTCACGTACGCTCGCTGACTATTGGTAAGATCATACTTCGAAGACCAACTGAGAGAAGGGACCGAATGTCCAATATATTCCCAATTAACCAAATCGTAAGATCGAAGAATAGGTGCTCCCGGCGAGTAATGCATCGTAGATGCAGAATAGTAAAATGTATCATTTACACGAAATATGTCCAAATCTGCGAGATCTTCCCATAGTACGGGATTTTTGTAGGTATCTGTCGCTCTCAAAGTTGCGGATTTCGCAGGGGACGGGTTTTCCGTGATGCTGATAGCCACTGTCGAGTCGATTATTGTATCAGCCTGGCTGCATGAAAGACACTGTGAATAATATTCGTTGACGATAGTGCAACATGCTCCTGGAGGACAACTCGTTGCACCTGTGTTTCCAAGGCCGCCGCCTTTTTATTTGTTAGCAGCCTGTTCCTACCCTCAAGTGTCCCTTGTATTGACTGACATTGACCATACAGTGCTGATTGATCGTACGCATATACCCCGAAGATTATCACAACGAAGAACGTGAGAGAAAACATTGCGATAAGATGGATACTAGTGTAGATGTTTTGTCCGAACGATCTTGAGTAATGAATTAGATGGAACTTAGCAAGGCTTTTCAGATCCATTTAGTGTTAAATTCTATGGTCTATTTATATGAGTCTCACACGCGATCGGTCGGGGTAGGATTACCGCATGTGGTAACATGGACTCATATTTGTGTTTGTCGCTTATAGAGAAGCCTCAAATTCTCCACAACTCGGTTCAATATGATCCGTTGTACAGTATCATTGACTTTACTGGGGCTGGAGGGTTCTGAGAGTCCGTTACATGAATTTGACAGATGCGCAATTATAACCTATATTTGCAGTGCGATGCGAGCCCGAATCGGCACCGGAGATTTTAGTCCCGCTATAATTAACCCCCTCCCCGGGAAATGCGGCGCAAGGTTTGGGTATTATGCGCTCCTGTGGGAACCCTTGGCCCTCTTGATGCGCTCCAGTTGAGTTCACTCACCGGCACTCTGATCCCGACAAAGGTATATTTTTGGTCTAATATCTTTGCTGGATGGCATTGGAGCATTCGATCACGGAGTCGCCTTTGTAGTAATGGACTTGATCAAGGGTTTGAATGGAAAGGCTTTCACTGTAGCATTCTAATAATCAAGTGATCATGTTCCCGCTTGATTTCAGCGAGAGTGAGATTAATGGCTGATCTTTACGCAACACACAGTTTCCTCATGGTTCGGAGCTCCACAGGTCCTACTAGCCCGAACTCGTGCCAATCTTCAGCCGTGTAGTATGTAGGTGTTTTGGGGCCATAGCCAGCACTAAAGACTCGACCGATATTCGCTTTGACTGCATTGAACAAAGAAGTCGTTACCTCGATATCCAGTTTGTTACTTCCCGCTCCCACGAGATCAGAAATATCAGACACGGGATTTGTTGGGTCAACGGGGGAGAGATGATGTCCATTTACCCAAGCCCTCAGGGTATGTAGTATTGGACCAAAATAGACCAGTATAGCTGTCTGATCATAAGAGTACAGATCAAAATTGGTTGAGTACATTCCAACCCCACTGATCTGCTCAATTCCAGAAATATTTGTCCATGGCACAAGATTATCTAGCCTGCCGACATTGATGGTTGTGATTTCGCCTTTCACATTGTAATTGTTGTCAGATGGACCATAGGCGTCGACCGTGAGATTCCATGGACCCAAGGTGGTTACAGCTGCGGGAACATTAGCGGCTGCGGGAATGACAACCCGTATCTCGTTGCTCAACGTCACCCATGCCTCCGACGAGTCGGCCACCCATGCCTCGATGCATTTGGCAACCCGAATAGTCTCAACGTTCGGAGAGTGATCGACAACAAACACGCGATCCTGTGTTGCGGATGCTGAAAACCCAATGATGGTTGTTTGGTTCGATTTCAAGCTGATCGACGTGGTGATGCCGGTTGAGGTGGTCTGGTATACAGCCAACGGGATCTGATCTCCAGTCCACGCATTGAAAATTTCCGGACTCGAGTTGGGCAGCACAGAAAAAGATACATTAAAAGTTTTATCAGCGCCAGTGTTGTATAAGTAGACATATTCGCTGTCAGATTTAGTATCTGACCTCCAAAAGGTGTAAAGACTAGATGCGCCGGAGTCCCCATGGGTATTGACACGAGGCAGGACACTGTCCGCAAAAGGCGTAGAGGCGGAAAAGTCATCGGTTTCCAGTACATGCACAACATCGTATGTCAAAAGCTCTTCCATATTTGCCGAGACTTCTTGTTGGCCGGTGGTCCCAATTGTGATATTGGGTATTGTTCCTACAATGTAGATTGGAAGTCCGTTGCGAGCGAAGACGGTAAGTGCTGCAGAAGCACGGGGCGTGATCTGGGTTTGGTTGTAAATAACCATAGCCTTGTATCCCGGTCCGTCAGGAGCAAGGATACCACCAGCAGCCACGGCTGGGCCGGAGACCAGGTTATCAGGTCCTAAATACTCAAATGTGTACCCTAACGACTGTAAGTTAAAAGTACTAATACAAAGAACCGCAGATCTTACCATATGTGTTCATGTCGCTTTGGTTGTAGCTACCCGCGCCAAAGCGATAGGGAATATCAAAATAGTAAAATACGAGATCGAACTTGGGGACACCAAGTTGTATAACCATCGAGTTCCTAGCGGAATAAGACATGAGGTCATCGAGGTGTTTCCAAGCTGGTTGTCGAGGGTTCCACATTTCTGAGTATTGATACTGAAAAGGAGTGTAGCCGGGCCAGGTTGTTCCCACATACTCTCCACTATAGGCGTACCCGTGAAGGACCATGGCATTGACGCCAGCGGCGAAAGATTCGTCGAAGAGGCCTTTCAAGTGGGGGATTCTCTGCTTGTAGGCGTTCCCGAGTGTGGCGCCAACCTCTGTTGAGATAATGTTGCGTCCAGCCAAATGAGCTGCACCCGTGAATTGGCGGTAGTTATTGATGCTTTCGGAAAAACCCAACGACTCCAGCTCGGGTACCTGAACGTGCGCCACTGCCTGGGTCTGATATGTTTCATGTCAATGTGGGATCTTTTGAGACTGGAACCAATTGCAAAATTTACTACCACGAGACTTACCATATCAACAGGCATATTGTATGCTGGCTGGGTAGATAGCTTCAAGCCTCTGGATGAAGCCCAACCGTTATAATGCTCCAGATATTCTAGATATCCTTGGCTCAATGCCGCCTTGTAGTCTTGTACGTATGCTCCTCCATCCGTAGCGTATCTTCCCAAAGTGTAGGTGATATTGTACGGGGGAAGATAACCACCCCAGGTATTTGTTGCATGGAAAAGGATAGGCAGAAACTTGGTGGCGCTGTAACCATGAAGAGCCTCGAAGCGAGAGAGCAGACCTCTTGTCCACGGCAGTGCGGCTTGCATTTCCATGCTGTCCTCCCAGACTAGCTAAAGATCAGTACTGACCATAACGTAGACGAGTAAATACGTACTATACTGGCCAGTTTCTGTGACGAGAGCATCTATCGTGTCATTCGACAGAATCTGCTGGTCCCAGAAGTCTGTCATCTTCTTAGCTCCGCTTGAGCTCCAGTGATCCACAATCCAAGAACCATTCCCTAGGGCCGTTGTGGCATTTGTGACCGATGCGCAACTCCTTTGATTCGTGTAGCGCTCATAGATACCAAAGACGATCCAATTTCCGTCGCCTTTTGGGGCAGTCCATGAGAGGTTACCCTGAATTGTGAGGTTAGTCAAGTCAACTAGGCTCGTCTCATCGAGGATAGACATGTAGAAGTATTGCGCAAGCAGCACGTCAGTAATAATTTTCCCAGCCACCACAGCTACAATCTCGTTGGCTCCCCACAGCTCAGGGGTGTTCATAAAGCCCGTAATTTTGTTGAAGTCGGGGTTGGGCTCCGGCACTAGCCCCGTGTACGTTTCCCCTGACTGGATCGTGATGTTTCCATACACGAGCTCCTTGGCCAAGCCGGGGGTCTCGACTATGGAGGGCACACCAGCGCCTTGATTAGCACCAAGCGCAAGGTCAAAAACTATGCCATGGGCCATACTAGTATTCAAAGCTGCTAGAAGCATATCTTTGAACGCTTCTGTGCCAAATCCGTAGATAGACCAGTCTGTGAGTGCAGGGCCTAGGCCGTAGTTATAGAACGGAAGGAACTCGAGGCCTCCAGCTCCTACCGAGACAATGTGGTCCACATCGTCCACGACGGATTGATATGGCACTGAAGCATCCGGAAGCCTGCTAATACTTAGCAACATCCAGAGCAAGATGCAAGAGAAGCAAGTACACACCAATATCGGAATTTTGGGCGGTATTGCACTGGTGGCCCTCCGAATTCGAACAGTGCAGCCGAGGATACCACCGTCCCGGCGATTTGTACAGAAAGTAACAGATATTGTGAGAAATGCATTGTCCTCGGCTCTGGGGAGAAGGATACTGAGTCAGGTGCCTATCGTGAACAGGACTAGTGATGAAGTAAATAGTGACCAAAAACAAACCACTCGGTTCTGAATGTGAGTACATGGTATAACAAATGACTCCGCAAGGTTGACGAGAAGGAGGTACAGTTCGTCATTCTGCGTCAGCAATATAGCATGCCGGGCGCGGCATCATCCCCAAGCATTCATTGCCGGCTATATGGGAAAGTTAGGTTCAAGCTTGGCCTTGTCTGCCTCGTGACTGGTTCACCGCCTTGGAGATGTTCGATATTGCAACCTTATCCAAGCTAACACTTAACCTCTAGATTTATTTGGGGCACTTGCAGGTGGAGCTCGCATTCGGTGCGAGTACGGCCTGCAGTGTGGCTCGATTATACTCAAAGACAACAAAGCGCATTGTCCTCGGTGGGATGTCTGCCGAGCTCATCACTTGGAGGCTGTTATGAACGCATAGTTGCTAGTAGCCTATTGGACGACAATGGAACGCGATAAGTATTGCTCCTGGCTTCGGGATATCGCATAGTGTTTGAGGACTTCACAATAACGGGCATATGAAAGTGCCTAACCATAGCCCCGTCTATTTTTGCAACATCAGGCAAGCCTCGAGACGGGGTACTGTCAAACTCCACATTTTGAAAATTCGATAGCACATACAGCACCTGTTTGTTCTCTGTCTCAAATTCAAACCTACGGTGGTATCTAAGTCCAATGCAACAGCTCGCGTGGACGCTGCAGCTGGAGCCAGTGAGCTCGTCTCTCAATTGACGTATGATACAAATATTGGCACTATTATCTATTAGAACTTCGTTGAGTCTTCAAGGATGCATAGAAGATTGTGATATGATCACGAGGCTCAAATTTGAAGGGGTTCGCATAATGGATGAACACAGGGCATTAACCCCGCGTCTTGCCCCGCGGTATCTCAAGATCTGGCTCGAAATACGACCTTGGCTCTGATTGAGGAGTAAGTTGACTGAACTGATGCCAAGCAGGTCTATATGCAACATTCAACTTGTTCCTTTCAGGTTAAAAGACGGGCTATATAGATTGGTCATATCCTCGGGCCTCCCAGCGGTGATCTCTAGGGTGCTCATCGTCTCTGAGAATTCATCTTGCTGTCTCGCAATTCACAGCATCTTTCCACATTTGGGGTTCCCATGTGTCTTCATCTTAGCATATCGAAAGCGTGGACAACTTGGTCGACTTGAACGTCTGTCTTACCGTCTGCCGCAAGTTTGTCAACCATGGCGCATTTGGCCTGCAGTATTGAACGATCAACAGTCTTGGTTGCCTCGATAGATTTGAAAATTCCTTGAGCAGGGTACGCCATCAAGCCAAACATGGCTGTTATTGTTAGTAAAACTACGGGAACTCCGCAAGGGAAATGCTAGTTTACCTGCTCCCGGTTTGGTGAATAGACCCATGGTACCTTTGCCGGCTCCTTTCAAAAAGCCCACGGTCCCTTCTTCCTTCGCTCCCTTATAGGGTTGAGTGATGAAGCCGGTGATGCCATGATAAAATCCAGATCCGAAATTCTGCCACTGTCAGTCCTGGTGACTTTTGTCTGTCAAACGTGAGAACTCACCTTGGCAGCAACCTTACTGCCGCTCTGCCAGTCATTGACCGTTCCATGGTCTTGGATCTCTTCACCATATAATCTAGGCACGTTCTTGAGTCCCTCGGCCAGCGCCAAGGGCATATCAACCAGTGCTCCTTTCGTGACCACCCCGGCCATGGAACCCAACCGGTCGCCCACTTCTGTTAGTGCAACACCGGCGGCCGATTCGCCATCTCCTTTTTCCCCCACACGTTTGTATGACTTGAAAGGGTCGATAAAGACGCCGCCGAGGGCCTTACTAAAGTCCGTCATGGTTCCCAATATCGAGGCTGCGCCTCCTGACACCGGATCCCATCTTTGAACGTCTGTATCATACTCCTTGCTCCGTAGACTGGGGTCGTGTCAGCTCTACTAACTATTTCCAACTTCGTTTTTACTCACGATTTGAGCTGGTTTATCTGGATCTTCTTCTGCACAATCAACACGGCTACTGCTGCGTCAGATATTCTAACTCGCCTTCTGCCCTTAGTGTCCAAAACCCAGCGAGCAACTTGGCCAGGCACAATCTCGCATCTCATCTCGGGGGTGGGAAGGGCGCGGTGAAATGAGGCTACGGCGGTGTCGACGCCACTCTCCCGTCGCATCTTTGCCGCCAACTTCTGCGCAGCAACATTGGCAGCGGGAGATATGGCGAACTTGATGGCTTCCACCAGGCGTTCGACAGTCAGTTGCTTTTGTGGGATTGGTTTCGTTCCAGCTCCAGCCTTGGCCACCACGTCCGCCCAGAAAGGTTGGCTATATGCATGTCAGCAGTGTCATCTTTACGCAATTAGTCAGGCCGGACGTACTCGCCAAAGAAAGGGACGATGATGGTCGGACGTGCATTGACTAAACCGCAAGCAGTAGTACCAGCACCTCCGTGATGTATGACGGCCGAGACTCTTTTGAACAGCCATTCTACACTGGATTTCAGTCATTTAACATTTCTGGAGGTCGAGATTGAACACTAACCGTGAGGACAGTCGTCAAGATAGAAGACATCGCTTGAGTTGCACGAGTCTTTCCCTAACTCACTCCATCCTCGAGATATTAGAACTCGGACACCACATATGCGGGTGGCTTCCAAAATGATATTTGTGAGTCGCTTGGGGTCGTCCAAAACGATACTTCCGAAGCCAACATATAAAGGAGGAGAGCCTGTAGCAAGGAAAACCTTTAGATCAGGCGGCGCGATATACTGCGGCTCATCACGCATAAAAAACCCGCAGACATCTGGTGCGCGTAAGCTTGGCTTGAATTTCGCAGGGGCAACTTTTGCGTCTCACCTATCTCGGATCCCCAATCGGCAGGCTTAGCGACCAAAGCCGGCGACCAACAGTACGTGTGTGGGATGCGCAGGTACTCCACAAGCGACGGCCCCATGGACGTTGCAATCTGTTCCAGCTGGAGATCCTGCTTCCTCCAAGCATTGATTACGTCGCCCAACCTAGTCGGGGCACAGAATCAGCTTTTGCGATGCTATTAAACTTGGTTTGACGTACCCCTGCCAAGTCATAAGCCCGACCATTCCGTAGCTAAGCCAGTTAGCGGCCGCTGGTTCAAGGTCGGCCTGCCTGATATTTGCCAGCGGATGAGGAAACGCTCGGGTTGCGGTCCAGGGCATGGTGAACATGATGTGTAGTGGTATACCTAGAGCTTGGGCGCAGTGGACGTGAGCGAAGCTGGGAGGATTAGCCACAATCGCATCGGCGACAAATGGCACACCGGAGACGGGGTCGGCGGCAATGCATGAAAGCCAACATCCGCGAAGTATCTCCTTGACCATAGCCCGCTTGCGGCCAATATCGCCGCCCTTGAGGGATTCGAGGGACGGGATCAAGCCTGGATTCTTGACCATATACTGGCCCGATTCAGCCTTTGCAACAGGCTCTTCCGGCAGAGGGATAGACACTTACAGCCATGAGATCCAAGGGGTCTCCACCAATTGCGTAGAACTCAAGTCCTGCATCTTTGACAAAATTTTCGAATATGTTATGAGTTGCAAGACGCACCCGATGTCCTTGGCGCTGCAGAGCGATTCCATAGGCGATAAAGGGTTGTACATCGCCTGTCCATTACCAGAAAGTTCATCAGTAATTGAGAGAGTCGAGAATAGAGGTATCTCTCACCTCGACTTCCGACTACTTGAATGACAATATTCAATGCCAGGCATTTTTCGTCGCTCGGAGCGACTTGGAAATCATGTTTCGATGGTGGCAAGGCAGGTATAAGCTGCGTGACTGCCTGGGGGTCCGATGAAGAGAAGGCAATCTCAATCGAACCGTCCGCTGTATTATCTTGGTCAATCGCAACCCTTTTCACCCGTTAGAACCGACCGGCGCACACCTTGTATGGCCGCTGAGCTGTTCAATACATGGCCCAATGAGCACAGTTCGTTGGGCGGACGAGCATCCATGGCCGACACAAGGCTGTCGAGTTGTCTTCTCGAACTCGAGGTCATGGTGATTGGGTAGGTGGGCTCAAAGGATTGTTCGTAAACAAAAGGCCGAAGCCTATTGATGTAAATGTTTTCATGATTAACAGTGAAGCGCTTGAATACCGACGGTCGGCGAATCTTTGCGCTATGCAGCAGACACGGACGTAATGCGTAAACTCAAAAGTAACCTTAGTCTAGTCCTAGCGTGTCGATGCCAAGCTCGCCAATTCTCGTATCTCTCGGATTCACCGTATAGCCGATGTTGGTGCTGATAGGCGCGGCGTTGAATTTCACCTGTGATTATTCTCATTATATCCAGCCGTTGTTCGCCGTTATCGTTCTCATTAGAATGGTAACAATATTATATGCTCTTTAGACTTGAAGATTTGAATGACGTTAAGCTTTTCATTCAATTATTGAAACTCAGGGACACCGAGCGGTTCCATGACCGCTGGGAGGGGTAGGGACCAGGCTCACAAAGACGATTTAAAATTTGGTTCAGGGTGATGAGCTACTAGTAACCTTAGTGCTAACTGCGACTAGTTTTCTCAAACTTCGAGTGTCGTACTTGCTTGTGTTCGGTTATCATCCGAAAGACCCCTCTGCCGTGGAGTTAATGTAGACTCACTGGGGAAAGAACTGTGTCTGACTATCATGCGATAGACATTCCATTATTGCTCCCTCAATCTAAATAGGACCTTGAGCTTTGTATGTGGTGTACATATGGTCGCGATGAAGAATGGCTCCGGCTTTGTGTCAGACGCCAGACGCCAGTTATACCTCGATAGGAATGTAGCAAATAAAGTCTTCATCTCGTGTACGGCTAGAAAACGACCGGGGCTTCAAAATTCAGCACCGTATTTACTATTCTAGCCATGAGAATCACCAGGGATAGTGTCCAGGCTAAAGACGTGAAAGTTGACGCCTATGTTGACCATCGTAATCGGCTTAGTTTCTGAGGTCTCGGCGTGGTAGAAGCGAAAATCGTCAAACACATCCGGATTCTCGTAGATTTCTGGATCCCGCTGCAGAGTGAGGGTTACAGCGCCGATTTTGGCACCAGCCGGAATGACTGTGCTGTCGGTGAACTTGAATTCCTGTCTTGCGTTTCGTTGTATAGCCACTTAGAAGTACATATCAGCACAGAAATCCAAGGGCGCATTGTCAAGACCAGCCTACTCAGTCCTGCATCGTTGAAGCAGCCAGATTCTCAATGGAAACTTTCCATTTTTAGGAGCTTCCCGAGAGAAGCCGTCGTGAGCTGGCCGTCTTCTAGGCTGTCAGTACTTCCTGCCGCAAACACCTCCGCATGCTTCTCATGCTCCGCGGCAAGGCTGTACTAGGTGGCCGTGAACGTCTGTCCGTCAAAATCAGCTCTCCGGTTGCAACTTTATTGCGTCTTTACAGACCATCTCGGAGGTGTGTATAGATGCTACATTCAGAGCCATGACCCGTTCCGCCAGTTGGAGCACGGTCCTCTCAACTGGAGGTGCTGTATCAATGAGACGCTGGACGAGGTCAGTTGGTTTTTGGTCGTATTCGCTAAGCTTCCCATCTATTCTTTCCTGGATGTAATCGCGGAGGAAGACCTCGCCCGTTTTGCGGTGACGGATGACTGGCATGAGCCGAATGATGATGCTGGCAAACAATCAGCTTCTTGTATATTAGACCGTAGAGCGACGTGAAGTACTTCTTGAGCTAGTCTGGGAATGGTCTAATTAGCTCTGACACAATGACCACAGCTTGGGCATAATCGGCCGTATCGGTGAGATATTCTTCGTTCCGGCCTATAGATAGTTCAGATATCGTCATATCGTTCTCTTGTCTTGCTTACAGAAGTCTGTGCCAACGTAGATTCTGTTGGCCATGCGCCCCACTGCCATGAAGATAATTTTGTACAATGCGAATAGCCTCTCATCTGCCCAAAGGTTCAGTAACGGAATGGTTGTGAGTTGGACAACGGGCTCAACCCAGCTCCATAAATGATTATTTCAGCAATTGCAAGGGTGGTCTCCTCGCAAAGAAGCGGCGTCCAGGTGTTGATGCTCTGCGTGATGCGCCCTCGGACAACTGGAGTGTCATGTACGATGGCCAACTCCATAGCCCATGGTGGAAGAGATTTGCTATTGCTAAAGCGTAAAATTATGGTCAGCTTGAGCTTTACTAACCGGTGTGAATATCGCATCCCGATCACAAGATGCTTACATCGTTGGATCCGTCCTGGGCATTTAGTACACGGTCGAGCGCTTTCAAATATTGCCATTTTCCAAATACAACATCATACCCTCAAAATATTGAACATCATTCCAGAGTGTCCGCCGCCCAGAAGATCCCAGACATTACTGTAGACATAATCAGTATTCTAAAGTTTCCATTGCAGTGTCTTACGTGTCTTAAAAAGGTAAATCACTAGGTAACCCAAGTGCTGGCACCGCCAGTCGCAAGCATGGTCAGGAGAAATTTCGGAGCCGCCGGACGCATGATATTCCCGTCTATAGTGATATACTGATACCAGCTCTTGCAGTCGCAACTGAAAAAGCTCATCTATATGGACAATTCCGAGGATACCGGCATCCGCGCATCGCTCGATCAGAGTATGCTGCAGACCGCGGTTGTCGATGAATCTTGCTCAGTCTACTGCAAATGTAGAGTAGAGAGGCTCCTTAAACGAAGAGATATATTGATATACTGTGTGGTGTTTGTATCTAAATCGGACGTGGCCGTAAAAGCTGTAAATCAGCTGATTGGAAAGGTTTCTGTTGACTCTAAAGGGCTTACAATTAGCATGAGGTATCGAATCCACAAGGTGCCTAGAAACAGGTGCACGGAAATCTCTCCGTAGCAGCGAAGGCAATAAATAAGCAGTATACGAGATCATTTCCAGAATTGTGTAGACAGGTGTTGTGTAAAGGTATGTTGCCGCAGGCTATAGTATCAGTGGCCCTGAGCAATTCTGTAGATCTAACTAACAACAAGGAAGTCGAAGAGGAAAAAGAAACGCTGGGGTATATCGATACAGCGGACTCCCTCGAACCTGAGAAATAGCAAAGTGCAGCTCGATGCTGGCATGTCTATGAATCATAGACGTTCTTTACACTCTAAACCACTAATGCCCTAGGTCCTCCAGCTCGATTGTTGAGAACTTAAGCGATACCGAGTTCAGGTCATTAACGTATTGCACCAAGAAGGTTCCCATCGTCGCCAGCATAAACGCTGCGTCAAAAAGATATAGCAAATACTCGCGCCGGACGATGTAGCCACCGTTGCCCTGTGCATATTCCACCACACGAAACGCACTTCGCACCATGATGAGGCAGCTCACACCATAGAGCGCCCACATGTGATTTTTCCACCTGACTGACCCCTCCCTAGATGCCGTGGTTGGGAGTAGAATGGTACGGCGATGAAAGACAATAGCGCTGACGATAAAGATGCCAAACATGCAGATCTGCACAAACAGACCGACAAGGATAGTCTTCTCGCCGAGTTCATACAGCTCCAAAGTCCCCGCGGCCTGGATGCCACCGCCACCGCCCTGTAGGATAAAGGACACGATGTCTCCAATAACAAACAGCTTGGTAAGCCACTGGATACGGATGATGGAATGATGCTCAGCTTGAACGGCGCGGATTGTGCAGCCTAGGATCATGTATACCGAGGCGGCGAAAAGAGCCGGGGCCACAAGAATCAGCAGAGACTGCATAACATATCCGCCGATGGCATTCTTGTCGAAGTGTGACCAAATTCGGCCGAAATATCCCACAGCCTCGACTATCCAGCATTAGTATGAAACACCGCACGCATATCAGCCTTGAAACATACAGATGCCCCCAATGGCAAAGGGAATAAAGTAAAAGGACCTAGTCTGCCAGAGTTTAACGATATGGGCCAGCGATAATATCGAGAAGAGCGCACCCGAAAGTGCAGCACCTTCGAGAGAAGGCGTGTATCTGTAAAGAGCGAAGAATGCATCGCCGCCATCACCAGTAGTCGACATGATATGGATAGACTTGAAGGAGCGATTGGCTTGAAAGATGGGACACAACGAAGGTCGAACGCAAGTGATCAAATGATTAATTAAAGACACAAAATAGCAAAGGAGCTGCTGAGTTTTAGCTTCGGAAAAGTCATTGTAGTCGATATTTAAATCCAAATTATGGGACGACCTAGAAAGTCTGCATTTGATATATTGGATTTCTGACTTCGTGTTCGGGCCAAAAGCGAAAATGGTTGCTCTCTAACCCTGAGTGAACGCGAGCTATCTTCCTGACGAGGATGTAATCATTCAGCAACTCGGGCTTAATACCGCCGCACTAAAGAAACGTGGGCGCTTTCCGTTATCTGCGGCGCATACGGTTATACTAAGGGACCCCTCGCCAAATGCAGACAAGGACACAGCCCACTTTGCACCTAGTTGCGCCGCTCACCTTCCACTGTGACAGGACTTAATAAATTACCGCTTTCTTCCGCGGGCGCATGGTTTTCAAGCAGGGGTGCACTTTCAGGACCCTGGCGTCGGGGCGCAAGGAAAGCATATTTTGTAACAACCTGAGTCTTACTACAGTAGCAGAACCTGAGTATGAAATCCATAACAATTGTAGAAATCAGGGGCTAGGATCGGTAGTAGGCTATGCCGAGACAGCCAGAAGAGATGGCAAACAAGTTGGTTGGGTCCCGCGTGGCTTACACCAAGGCCTCAAGATTGGCGGGATTGCCTTTCAGCAAATTGGCCTATACTACGTATGGCTTATGGATTGTTCCTACAATACTCGCGTGTCAAACGTGTATAAACAAAACTACAAAGGACTAAATAAAAAGAAAAAACCTAGCATCAACCCCCAACTCAGACGAAGTGGAAATAATAGTATCGAGCACCAGACATAAATCATCTGTCTAGTTCCCACTCATGGTATCGTAGTTGCGGTCAAAATGTCTAGCGACAAAGCACCTGGGTTCCATAGTCTGACCTTCACGGTCACCGGCTACTGCTTTCCTTGGGTGCGAGCAATCGAAAACGCAGTGAGGGTGTTTAGAAACGTTCGCGAACCCGAGCGAGTACGAGTCCGGGAACGATGATCAAAAAGGTAGCTGTGAGTCGGAAGACGATTTTGATTGTTGCTCGTAAACCTTCCGAAGCAGATACCAAGAGGTGCTAGGTTAGGGCTTCAAGTAGTAGCGGCTGTTTTACAATTGGTCTTCTCACCAGTTCGTTATCAATCAGGATTCCGGTTATGATATCTGGAGCTGTGACTCAATGCCACTCGAAATTCCCGCCGCTAAACTCTCTCCTTATAGCAGCTCGTATATAGTAAGCTTTCTCGGGCCACAGTCAGCTGCAAGGGGCACCATCTAACTAGCAACTAGCTGCGCAACATTGGCTTTCTCAAGGTACTGAAGGGCTCAGTTGAGGTCCGTTAGGGTTGGAACTTTAATGATACCTCAATAAATTCGAGGGAGATGACAAAGATGGAGCTGTAACTTGCGGTCCGGCATAGAGGAGTAAATGTTTCTCCAGGCACGAGCAATTCACAGTGGATGATCAATATCTAGTACAAGCTAAAAGTTTTACTTACGTTCTGAGCCGGCGAGGTATGATTCCAAAAACAAAGAAAATAAGTGACACTAAACCCGATGCGCAAAAGTTGCTATATACCGTGATGGGTAGGAAATTTATAGGAGAGGCTCAGCGTTAACTCCGACGGCTGCGGTGTTGTTCATGTACATACTCCGACGACATTGCAGCAAGAATCCCATGTGACACCACGGCAGCGACAGTGATATAAAGCTCTTTGGCTGAGCCTATATCTCTTGGTGTTGCTCCGTCCTTCCAAAAAAACAACGTCAATATGGGCGCAGAAAACTCAAAACAGCAGTGGCAGAAGGGCTGAGGCAAGTCGCCAATTCTCGGATTCTTTCGGCTCGAGTCGTAAAGCTCGTATTGAGTACTCCATTTAGTAGTAGATAGCGCTTGAAGTGGCACATGCTAGCAATGCCGACCCCACAAACAGCTCCATATTGACCGAGTAGCGTCCCCTGCAAGCTCCTGGCCATGGTTATAGCTTCCACTAACCTTAAGTCTACTCGGGACTTGATTTTTGCTACAAAGATGCGAGAGTGGATATAGGAGAAAATACCATCTTGTGGACCATTTCGCAATTGCATCGCCTTGTCTTTCAATAAGTTCTCCGTCTCAAGAGATTGAGGCCAATCCTTGAATTTGATGAGTTAAAACGGCTAACAGGCCGTGGCCTTGACATGAATCGTCGATTTACATGATGTAGTAGTCATGGCGGTATGCCAAAAGGCGGTGCTCGTCCTTATCACTTTTTAAATACCGAGGCCAGGTTGCAGCCTTCTTCGTTCACTTGTCGTATACCAACGCGGTCCATTGATTTTGCGTTTCGCCATGACTTCCTTCAAATCTGTATTACTGGCTTCGGCCCTCTTGGGCTTTTCGCAGGGCCGAACTATCACGAGGCACCACCATATGGCAGCGCGCGAGTCCACCAGCAGCCCAGACTTTATCACGAGTACAAACGAAACCACTACATTAGTCGCTACGGCTGCCTCTCCGGCCATCGTGATTCTGGATTATGGCCACAACGTAGAGGGGATCCCGGCTTTCGAGGTCTTGAACACCGACGGCGACACCTCAGTCTTGGAGATCACGTATGCTGAAGCAGGCGCTGCTCTGAATTTATACATGGTAAATGAAACCTCTAGTCGCTCGGGCTGCTGGTGCTGATGCAAATCTAGAGCGATGGGCCGCTCCCACTAGCAGCAGCCATGGACACTTACCGTGTAAACCGGTACAACATCAGTGGGCCCGGTCCGATAGTCAACCACCTTATCCAGGGCGCATTTAGGTACCAGAAGCTAAATATCTCTTCTGCCGGCACGCTATCGTTGAGTAATATTGGCGTTTGGCCAACCATCTACACAACTGCATTGACTGAATTGCCAGGTTCGTTTGTGAGTTCTGATCAAGGCATCAACCATATCTGGAACACGGGGGCACGGACGATTCAGATGACTGAGATCCCGGCTAAGTCAGTACCCGACTTCTGGCAAGTCACATCCGAGGGCGCGCTCGTTGACAGTCTGGCGCCACAAATTCTTGGGTTCGCCGCAGCCGCCCAGCTGCTGACCTACGATGTCCAGTTCAGCGTGAAACCTGCGGTTGGAGGGTTCGGGTTTACCGTACTGTCGGATACACTCAACTCGGGTGTCTACTTCTCGTGTAATGTCGTCAGTCGAAAGATCACAGCGCACGCGGGATCAACAGCTCAGGATACACTACTGCAGTCTTTCGATTTGCCAGAGAACCTGACCATCGCCCTTGGCTCCTGGAGCACCGTGTTCGCTACAGTGGCAATCACCGATATCAGTGTTTCAATCGATGGTATTCAGATAGTTCAGATGTCGCAGACATCTAGGTTCTACGGCTCTTTTGGGCTAGGGGCATCCATGGGCCACCGGGCGGTCTTCAAGGATCTATCGGCCACTTCTGCAGGGCAAGAAGTCTACTCCCATGCCTTGACGGATACAACATTCCTGTCAGATTTTTTCATGGGTACGAACCCGGCAAATATCATCGTGGACGGCTCGCGACGAGACCGCATCGCCTACACCGGAGATCTTGACGTCGCCGGCGGCAGTTCTTTAGTCAGCACGCATGGCGTGGACTTCATTCTCGGAGCACTCAACCTCCTTGGATCATACCAGACCACGTCTGGGTTTTTCATTCCCACTGCCAAGATCCAGCAGGAACCGTTGAGCCAGGATCTCGATGTTAACGTCACCGGATTAATTGGTTACTCGTTCAACTTCGTGACCGCGGTAACCTCGATTTACATGCATACGGGTGATACTGCCTTTGCGCAAAAGTGGGCGCCCAAGCTGCAAAAAATGCTAGACTGGGCCGATTCCCAAACCCTTGATAACGGGCTGTTCAATGTTTCGCAATCTTCCTTCGCTGGCGATTGGAACTACTATGATCCTGCCCAATCCGGTATCTCGACCAAGTTTAACGTCTTATATGCGTATTCTCTACAAGAATCTATGATACTCCTGGAAGATGCCGGCATAGAAATATCCGTATATCAAAAGCGGCTCGACTCCCTTCGCCATGCAATCGACAGTCAACTATGGAGCGATGACCTGCAGGCTTATTATCTATCTGAGGAATTTACCAACGGTTTCGGACAAGATTCCAACGCAATCGCTATCCTAGCTGGCGTTAACAAAGACCCATCACATTCGTCTAAGATCATTCTATCTACACTCTCGACTGAGCTAGGAAGACCTGCCGGACCTATGGCGTTCTCGAGCGGCCTTATCGCTTCGGGGTTTCAGCCGTACATCAGCCCTTACGCTTCAGCATACCACCTCCGCGCTGCACTGGCGTCGAGCAACGGGGACGTCGCCGTAGGGCTTCTGCACGATCTGTGGGGTTCCATGGCAGATACAGACAACGCCAACTACACTGGCACCTTCTGGGAAACACTGACAGAGGAGGGAAGGCCAGCTCTGGGGCTGTCTACCAGCCTGTGCCATGGTTGGTCAGCGGGGCCAACGGCAGAGCTTACAAAGTATGTGCTCGGCGCCATGCCCACGCGCCCCGGCTGGTCTGAGTTCAGTATTTCTCCCATTACTATTGGGCTCAAATCCGCCAAGGGACGTATCCCTCTCATTAATGGGCAGATCAACGTGGAGTGGAATTTTAGCTGCGATGGCCTCCTGACCATGGTTGTTGATGCACCAGTCGGGATTAATGGGATAATAAACCTGCCGACACCACTGCGCACATCAGTGGATGATTCTTTTTTCACAGTCAACGGTGAGACTGCCAATGTAACTACCTTCGAGGTTGTCGGAGGAACGACGTTCGCTTTAGAACAGACACATAAAGTATCATAAGCGATCGGATAGAAATTGTTAGCGATATCCGTGGCGCAGAGTTATCAGAAACAACAACGCTTTCACATCATCTTCCAAGTTCAATATGCTCCGTATGTATTGATAAGAATCATCTTATTTACTTGCTCAAGGATAAAGTATGCGAATGTTCTTTCTTTTTCTTTTGTATATAGAACAAACGTTATTTGCTAGATACATCATAGTAACATCTACAAATAATCACGCTTTTCGCTCCACTAATCGGCAAATAACGGCTATGTTAACTATTGTCATGTTCCTAATTCTTTGCTACCACCGTTATCGTCAGAACATACTACATGAGCACACGCATTATGCTGGACTGGCTTCTACCGAATGGAGTGTGTATCACAATTAAACATAACGGACCACTGCATTTTCTCGCATTCTGATTGAATCCTTTCTAGTATAGAATTTTGTAATAAGAACCCTCTATCCATCGCGCGGCTTCCAGGTGGTGCGATGAAAGTCTTTTCTCTTTGGCATATAGAGCTAATCAATGGTTTGTGCAGAGCAAGACTATTGATGAAGCCTGCGCACTACAGGTAACTATCAACCAAGCAAGCACCGCTACGAAGAACGATATTTCGCGGTCATAGGAGCCTGGCCCTGTATGGTACCACTAGTGCAGTTTGGCATCCTCTCGCCGTACAAATCGTCCAGATGCACAATACAGTTCGTCACAATACTAATTTTTGTTATGAAGAACGACCACGTGGTAGATTCCACTCTGATGTAAGCCCACTCTCCGCAATCGAATTATGTGATTTCACCTTATAATCTCCGATATGCCTACTGTTGTTGGATCCAACTGAAGAAAAATCATTCGGTGTTATCAAGATATCAGGTATGTGACCGATATATCTACAAGCGTGTAGGAGACACCAGCAGTCGCCACTTCAACACTTACTGGATGAAGGTGTATTGAATAGAAATCAATAGATTAACATTTTGATAGAAAGATTTTATAATAATCTAAATTCAACTTCAATGATTATAATCAAGTTGCGCATTTAAGTTTCAGGAGTTGAAAAAAGGTTCCGTCTTCTAGTATCCTTGCACTTTCCACCCCATCTTTTGTAATGGCCATGATAATCAAATACGGTGTTCCTCATCAAATAAACTTTATGATTTGGCGATCAAATGGTCGGCCCAACCCCGTAGGAACCACTACTCTTCTCATCACTTTAGTAATAGAGATCAGTGAGTCGATATCGCCACGGCTACTTGAATTGGCACTATAAGCAACGGGAGCTGGTCCTCAGCGACTTCAAAGATGCATACAAACGCATCGATCAAGTCGTATTGCTCGCGCCCCACACCCTCGAAGACAGAAAACGACTTTTAGCTCTGTTATAGATCTCACACAACTTCAAGTCGGCCTTCACGCAGCGCGACTAAGGAACTCATGCTATACAAGTGCTGGTAAACGGGCGACATGGGCTCGGACTTCGACTGCCGTACCATTTAACGGTCGGCGCCGTGATTAAATTGAGGGGCCAACCGCCCATGGGTCTAGACATGTGCTATACGAATAAATGCGTGTGTCCTGAAGCAGAAATATTCTATCAGGAAATACGCTCTAGGCGATCAGTATAGCTCCATCCTTCTTTCATGGGTATGCTAGGGTGAAGGGGATGTATAAGGATCTGCGTCATCCACCAAGGCCACTACATGCTTCCATCAGCCGAGTTTGTTGAACCCTTCTTTTTTTTTTTTTAGAGAAAAAAAAAAGTCCGTTGAATGCAAAGTTCGGCTACTCACTAGCATCCCTTAACGTAATCTGATAATGCGCCATGGCCAGCAACTAATAGAGATCCCACATATCGGGTTGGTGACAAGCAAGATGCAACGCCGACAATGCCAGCAGCATCTTCATGATGTAGTGGCATCCTATTTCAATTAGTACCGCAGTGAGTCGATAGAAGTCACGAAGATCTATGCTGTCAAAAAAAGTGGTAAACGTCCTTGTTGTAAAGCTATGTAAAAGCTCCAGGCTCTGGATATCCAATTTTTGGTTTGCACCAGGAGATAGAATATCCTTCAGTCGGTTGAACTCGCAATCCACATTGTGTATTATACAATTGCCATACTCGGGCCGTGATTCTTCACAATTGCAGCATATCGATTAGCCCTATGGCCGTTGAAAGCTTCAGAAAGCAGAGATGATTGGGAAGGTGGAATATGGGCGAGAGTCTTTTATTTGATTTTACGTGACTTGCATGTCTTACACCCTAGACGGCATTATGGATGGGATTTCTCGACCGTGCCATCGCCCCGTTTGATTCCCACGTTGACTAGGTTAGGCTGACCACAGGACCGCATTTGACCAGGCTCGAGTTCAGTCACGTCGGACCGATATCCTCGGGAGGGGTTAAAACCTGCTTTACACACCGCGTAAGGACTCCGTATGGCATGGGCAAATTTGAGGCTCAGAGGGTGTGGACTGATCTGGTCTCGGGATTTGTTAGAGTTTACCAATGACCAACTACGACCCACAAAGGGGGCGCCAATTGTGCTCAGGGTCTACATTAAGCTATCTTAGTTACTAGTAGCAGAAACTGAAACAAGTACAATCTTTGGAGCATACCTTAGTACGTGTATCGCCATGCCTCGTAATCACTCCGGTTCGGGTGCGATCTAAATGCCTCATTATCGTATATATATTACAGTATAAATTTTGAACAGAAACTTGGAATAAACATTGCAACTTATGTAATGTTATTCAGTTATTACAAGCTAATATTCCCTGTAAGCAGCCGGCATCTTTTAATCTCACTAGGAGAACATTTACGTCATTTTGATCCCAAATCATTGCTGTAACGCAAGCACGATACTGCCCAACTGGAGATATGTCCATAATTTCTAGTATGTGCACTACTTTCACCGCCACCAATCCAAGCCAACTTATTTTCAGATGGTTGATGTACGACTTCGCATTCATGGGATCTCTATGTTCAAAATTTAACCCCAGAACGCGATGGCCTGCTGGCCCAGCGACTTTTGTCCATCAGCATTGGCGTGGCAACCATCTTGGACCTCACTGGGATGAAGGAGGAAGGAGCCCGGGTATGTGACGTTTACGAGTGAGGTATCCGCAGCGACAGACTTGGCAAGAGCGTCAGTCTTGGCAGCACCGCCGGTACCAGCCAAGAAACAGTCATAACCGGCATCGTAGAGCGGCTGACCAGTGAGGTAGATCGCGGCGTCAGGCTGGGAATGCGTGCGTGCATTGGCGATCATCTTCTTGATCTCGTCGGCCGTGGCGCCCTGTTGCGCGAATATACAAATTTGTACCCACACGGCGTTGGGCTTGCCGTATTTGGCCACTTGTTGGTCGTACAGCTTCCATGAAGCCGAGTTGACGTCGGTCCATGATTGAACCACCTGTCCGCTGGTGCCATAGTTGGGCCACATACGCTTTCCGCCGCCAGCGACGTATCCCTGGCCAATGTTCTCAGCCATTGAGCAGCCGATGAAGCCCATCGTGTGGTCGGCGGCTGCTGCGCCAATTGCGGCGATGAGAGTGGCAAGAATCAATTGCATCTTTGCTGTTGATGCTTTTTGCTGGCTTTGTGACGGATCTGTTCTGGGCAATGTGTGTTTGAGTTGATTATTATTATATCCTGAGAAGTAGTCTTGTTCTGTCCTATTTGGTACGTCTATGCTAGCGATTGTACATTATCAAGACCTAAAGACCGGCATTTGTGCTCGGCACTCTCACACATGGTCAGCGATCAACGATTGCTTGAAATAGCGGCGGCTAATTTGTGGCTGGCTATATTGAGTGGTACGCGGAGTTCAATGTTTGAAAGGAAAGACTGTCCACGACTTTTGTATAGCCGAGTGGTACCCTGACCCCACACGCCGGACCGCGCCTTTATTGAGCTCCACATTACAGGGTCATGGCACGGTGCAGGAACAGATGTATAGTAACCGCTGTGTTAGTAGCAACCATTTTCGGTATTGCTTTGATTGTGCTGTAGGCAGATTACTTGATTCGGGGTGCTTGAATTGCGGACAAACTTCTCCTTTGGCAACCCGCAGTACTATCAAACATAGTCCCCCGTGACTTATTCGAGTCATAATAGTCTCATTGCCATCAAGCTGTCAAAGTCACAAAGGGTGAGTAAGTTCGATTTGTCTTAGTATCGTAGTGTTTAGAAATCTTTTTCTTGACTTTTCAAGTAAATATATGCGGCGTTGAAAGGAGACCTAAAAATAACCCCCTCCACAACCCAAACAATTTGAAATTGACCAGAAATAATTCTATTATATGTCTTTCAAGCAATAATAGTACTAAAATATAATGGCAAGTATCGCCTTTGAAACATACTTTCAGCTGCCTAGCAGTCAGTTCCACGCCTAGCTCACAGAGAAACGAAAAGCCGACCACTGAAGCCGGTTACTACTGTTGCATTTATTTTGTGCCCAAGCTCGTTGGATAAAACTGCCATTTAGCAAAAACAGGGGTACCACACACTGATGTCGGTAAGTAGGCACGGTATATCATTGTACAATTATATGACAGCCAAGACAGAGTAGCGGTCATGCATTAACTCTAGACAGCAATGGAATCTGACGTAATTTTTCATAAGTCATGATGTAAAGCTATGTATAGATTGCATGAGATACTGCATTTCTACCAAGGTTTTCTGATACAAACTAGAATGAACATTCATTTGAAGCAATAATTACAGACCTGTCTGACAAAGCTCAAAATAATATTTAGTAGATATAAAAACCCGTGCGGGGAAATGAATGGAAGTCCAAAGAGATAACGCATCAACAATTTGCCCTGTTCCTCCATCCTACTTGTCAAAAGAGAATATTCTCGTTACACTACATAGAAGGTGAAGTGGAGACAGTTGTTTTTGCTGGCAATGTCGGGCACTCCAGTTCCTCCCTTGATGTAGGCCTTGGCGCTGCCCAATTGCTTGTGCTCCCAGTCGGTAGCGGCCTGGTTGCCAGGGCCCTTCCAGTTGCCCTCGGTGCTCGCCAGGACTCTCTCGCCGTTGGGCTTCTTGTCAAACGCGGCGGCTGGTGCACCCTTGACAATATCCTGTGTGAATCCATTAGACACGTTGGTGCCGTCCGTCGAGGCGACGGTGGCGGCACCGTCGCATCCTTGCTGGAGAGAGATATCGCCGTGAGCCTTTCCATCGTTGGAAGCCTTGACCTGGAACTCGCCCCAAGTGGCTGGCTGCTGATCGCCGCGCTGAACTCGACCCTTGAACTTGACGTCCAACGGCACGAAAACGGTCTGGTTAGGACCAACTTCGACGTGCTTCAGCGGGTGATCGAAGTTGGCGCCGGCCGTACCGTTACCGTTCCAGTAGTTATCAAAGAAGTAGTAAGTGTTCTTCTTGGAAGACTTGTTGGTGAGTTGGATGCCGGGGCCAAGTGCAGTCGCCGCATTGACGGATTCCACACCGAAAGTGTCAGCTGACTCCTCCACATCAACGGCCTTTGGTTCTTCGGCTGACTCAGCGCTGACCTCAGACGGCCCTTCAGTTGAAGAAACCGAGAATGAGTTGATGCCAAATGACTGGCCAGTAAATGGCTTATTAGCGTCAGGAGCAGCGTTACCATCCTGTTATTCCGTCAGTATGATCTACGGATGTAATATTTTTGGGGACGAATTACGCTGTAGATAATGAGAATATCTTTGCTGCCCTTACCAGCCGAGCTCTGCTTGTTGTCTTCGGGATTACCTGCGTTTCCTGCCCTGTGATACTTTAGTCATGATCGCGTATTCAAGAGACATGGTGAGACGTACCATGAACCAACACCGATGTAGGTTCGACCGTTGGCAAACGTTCTGACGAATTGCTCCAGGGGTTGGAAGTCCTTCGGAGCGGCGATGCGTTTAACATTACCCTTCGCATCGAGAAAGACGTGCCCTTTGAGCTGGTTCTTCTTGTCCTGGGAAAGCTTGTGGTAGGCGTTGTTACATGCCTGCATGAAAGTCTCATGGCCCTTGAACTTTCCCGGGGCGTCGCCAACCTGTTGGCAGGTCAAGTTGCCACCAGCACCGCAAATGTTGCTGATGTCAATAGTGTCATTTCCCTGCCACCCGGACTTGGTGATCTCGCATTGCTCGCCAATCTGTCCTTCATGGACGGCAATGATGGCGCCAGAAGTGCCATCAGCGGCTGCTATATTGGCTTCCCCATTGGCCTGGATCGTTATGTCCTTATTGCCATTGTATCCATGACATTGGAAGGTCTGCGCGTGGTTAGACCTGTTTTTGATTCGAAGGTAATGAATAGCCATTGTAACTGAAGTTTTGATGTTTATTTGATAGTATTGGTGAATTGCTTAAGCAAAGAGGGAAAGAGGGCATTTATACACGATGATCAAAGAAAATCAAAATACATCCTGGCAAGTAATGGTCTCTGCAACGAAAGGGACAGTCGGAGTTCCGACCGATTTTGTTTAAGAGAGCCTACAAAACAGCTTTCAATGCCTATTTGGGTAGACTCAGCCCCTCACATGATCATATGTATTGTGAAACTCCCATTTCCAGCGTCAATCTGTCATCAACATCCCTTTCTGGTGATGTCCAAACTTTGGTTAGATGGTCAGAAATTGATTTAGTTGGTCAGATAATCCTAATTATGGGTCTAAGCCTCGAAGGATTACTGGCTGGCGCTGAACATGGGTGTCCGAAATGTCCAACCAGAGAGCGCTCCAGACAGAGTCAGCGAGGCTGAACAAGGGGGAAGAGGCAAGCCAAGCGGCTGACGACACTTTGCGAGGCCTCTACAAGGCAGCAGTTTGGTAACAAAGATGAACAATCCCCTGAGATTCTAGACGAAGCTCACATGTTCAATATTACGTGGGAAATACCGTGATCATCTGGCCCCAAGAGGAAGCCGGTGGGCATTTGGGGATAACAACCCCTGGTATTGACACTGTAAGCTTATGCCCCTATACGAAATATCCACCAAATGAGGAATGATGGCATCATCAGCAGGCTGACAAGGTGGTCGTGCCAGCGCCAGCAGCGTATTCGCCTAACACCAAGACTTTGGTTCATCAGCCTCGTTAGTGCTGCCATGATGTTGTCGTTGGTTTTCTTCCATACTATAAGTATCTCTCCAAGTCTATCTCCGTCGTGCTAGAATCACCAATATCCAATCGACTTACATCTAGAAAAATAAAACATTGTTAAATTCAATATCTTCAAGCCCATATTTTCCCTTCAACTTCCAAAATGGTTATCAAGAAGCGACAAATTCTTTGGGACTGGACCAACACAGGTGGTGCTGGCAATCCTGGTATCCCTGACAAGATTAACCAAATCCCCTTCGACAACAACAGCCCAGTCGCTTCCGTCGTAAACTGGAATGCGTGGGTTCCCCCGGAGCTCAAGGACCGAGTACCATTCCGTCCTATGGTGCGCGTTCTCGAGAACACCAAGGGCAATGACTGGGCTATCATCCAGAACACCAAGTATCCCATTATCCTGTTCCTGAACGAGCCTGAGCGTGCTGGCATAAGCCCTGAACAGGCAAGAGATATCTGGTACAACCAGATGCTACCTTTGAGGAAGAACAAGGGCAAGAAACTCGGCTCCCCGGCAGTTGCCTCCGTATGTCCCTGGTTCATGTTCTTATTCTTAATAATCCATACTAACCACTATACCAGGACGATAATGGCCGTAAGTGGATCGAGAAGTTCATGTCACTTGTGGCAAAGGACGCGCCCGACTTCCTGTGCCTGCACTACTACTCGACCAACGGCAATGACGCAATCAAGTACATCACTGACATGCACAACAAGTGGCCCAAACCCAAGGTGGTGAGTAGAGTTCCACATCTCACAATATAGCCAGCTGGTCACTAACGCCATTGAAGATGGTCACCGAAATTGCGTCCATTGACCGCAACTATCAATCCGTCCTAGGCTTCACTGTCCAGCTCGTCAACTGGATGGACAAGCAGGACTGGATCGCCGAGTATGGTATTTTTGACTTCCAGCGCAAGGTCGCAGATGGCTTCGTCAGCCCCGCCGCCCAGCTCATGGATGGCAACGGTAACCTCACTGAGCTGGGCAAGATGTACGTCCACCAGCAACCCTTGAAGTTCCCCGGCCAGGCCAACGTCTCTGCCTTCACCGCATTGGAAGCCGAGCCCCAACAGCATGCCATCGAAGCCGCTTCGCTCGGCGAGGAGACCGGGAAGACCGGGGAGCCCCTATCACACGAGGGCGACTTCCAGGCCGCCGAGGCCTCTGCAGAAGAGGAAGCGCAGGAGTTCGGCGTGAGCGCCGCCGCGGCTCTCAGCCAGGACCAGCAGAAGGCTTTGGATGCCCACAACAACAAACGCAAGGGTAAGGGCCTCCAGCCCCTGGCGTGGGATGCTCAGCTAGCCAACAACGCCACTGCGTACGCGCAGCATCTCGCTAAGATTGGCAAGATGGAGCACTCCTCCGGCGACCAGCGCCCTAACCAGGGCGAGAACCTCGCGTGGTAAGTTATGCAACATCTCACACAGGATTACATTAGAATTCATGACATGATCTGACACGAATGGTCTATAGGGCTTCTGCTTCCGGAACACCTCTCATCATGTCCGCCAACATGTGGCTGAATGAGGAGAAGAACTACCACGGCGAACCAATTGGCCAGGGCAACTTCGGCTCCTATGGTCACTACAGTGAGTCTTTCGTATTCCATTTCTACTTTTTCATACTGACGACGGTGTCTCACCTTCTAGCTCAATGCATGTGGAAGTCCACCACCAAGGTCGGTATGGGCTCAGCCAAGGACGCTAAGGGTGGCGTGTACATCGTTGGACGATACTCGCCCACTGGAAACTGGACTGGACAAAAGCCATACTAGTTTATGGTCATGCGGGCCTAGCTTCCACGAGCTCGGCATTGTCTTCTTGTCGGTAAAATGCAGTCGGTCATTAGTTAGAGTTGGAGCAACTGGATTGGCTCTAGGATAACAACCGTTTATTTTTATGCCTTCTCGTTCGAGGTTGTGCTTTTGAACCATATAACCCGACAGTAGTCTGGAACTCGTATGCAGTAGTGCGCATGTTCGCATGATGATCCATCCCACGATACGTCGGATAAATACATATAACACACGGCAGCTCTCTAGTATCAGACCATGAGTGTCTGCCTTGGTGAGTGAAGGCAGCATCGATTCAAATATGTCGCCATGAGTCTATTGGCTATGTGACCAGCCTTTACGCTCTTGATACCCAGTATGTAGGAGATATGTTGCCATTGCAGGTGTTCGTAGGGGCTTCTCGCATTACTATTCGGGTAGCCGGCTTCGATGGTTGAAGTGTGGACTTTCAAGTGGCACTTTTTTCGTTTTCTTTTCTTCTTTTCTTTTCTTCTCTGATTTAAAGACTCTTGAGTGTGCAACAAACAGGGTTTACGAGTCAACTTCGGTCGGCTGATGTGAGCGACGTAAGCACCGCCATGCAGCCTCGGGGACTGTTCCGAAAGCTTGGCGAGCTCGCACTTTGGCTGCGCCCTACTGTATCCGTCAGCTGTCTATATATCGTACTAAGAATAGTATCTTCCGGTTCAACACCGAAACTGCGTTTTTATATTGTTGATATACTGACACTGTCAACCCTACCCGGCGCTCCACACCTCACATATTGTATGGCCGGTGGTTTCATGGTGTAGATTGAACATAACCGTCATTTATCGACCATCTTCGTAACTCGCAATGATAAAGACTCTTGCGGTGAATTACTCGTGAGCCCTACCCTACACTCTTCGCACGTTCATGTGTTCGACGTAAAAAGTCAACCTAAAAGACCCATATCACCATTGATTAGCCCAAAAGCATATCCAAACTCTTCCATGCTGGGAATTGAGTATATATTATCGTCGTATATCATCCATTACTATATATATGCGCCGTCAGTGCGCACACCGTACCCATCTTCCCTTGTTCATGATGACCGTTTTCTCCATGCCTCGCCCCATCTCGAACGTCCCGGCCTTGGCGCATAGCCCGCACCCTTGATCGCCGCCGGCGTTTCTGACTCCTGAGCAGTTGCTTGACGGTTCATCCCCCAGCTATTGCTTCCCGGTAGCTCGGCAACTGGGCTCAACTCTCCACTCCGCCTCACACCTCCCGGCCCCGCAAAGCCTCCCGCGCTGCTCTGCGCCGAGGTCGGCGTCACGGGACTGCCCTCTAGCTCACTGCTGAACGGCCGCGCCACCGCCATCCCGCCGGCTTCCGACATGCCGAGCCTATTAGCCCTCGAGACGGCCGTGCCATCAGCCTCCGAAACGGCCTGCCCATCGGCCTCCGACATCCTCGGGTCCGCAGATGCCGGTTTCGTCAGTCTTGAGGCACCGCCATTGACGCCGCTCCCACCCTTTTCAATCTCAGACGCCACTGCTGCATTCCGACGACTGCGGCGACGGTTCACGATGAACCCTGCCAGGGCGGCCAGCAGGAGCACGACCCCCACACCTACGCCGACGCCGATGCCTATCTTGGTCCCGGCACTGCTTGTGCCGCCGTCCGAACCCGCACTACCGGTGCTTGTTGGGTCTATGGCGGAGGTGAGTATTATGGTCCGGGTCGCAGTCACGACGGACCCGCTCGGATCCGTGCTCGTGGCTGTCTGTGTGGACTGGGTGATCTCGGTGGTAGAGACGGGGTGGCCCGTGGTCATGGCCGAGGATGCGGCGCCCGTGCCGGACGCCCTGGTGGTGCCCCCGGCACTGGTACTCGACGAGGGGGCTGTGGGGATGTGGCCGGGGAAGAATTGGATGCTGGCCCCCGTGCTTTGGGGCAGCGAAGCGACGTTCTCGAGGCTGGTGGAATCCTTGAAGGCCACCGTGGCCGATGCCGCGTCGGTGCAGCTGCAGAAGGAACCCGGCTGGAGGGTTGTCGGGTTTCCTTCCTGCGAGCAGGCGGCCCATTCACCGCCGCTGTCGTCGCAGAGCGTCAGTGCGATCCATGGCCCGTCGTCTATGAGAAGGGGAGTGGTCAGCTGGAACTGGAATTTTATTTTTCGACACTACTATCTCTCCCTGTCGCGTCCTTTCCTTTCGCTTACCGATGCCCTTCTTGTCCGGACAGCTTGCATCTTTGTATTCGGGGTCGCTGCAGCCAGCCATGTATGTCAGATAACTACCATATCCGGAGCCGTGGACGCCGAAACAGGCGTTATCGGCTAGACAGTTATCACCTTTCCCGCAACACGTCTGGTGTCCGAATGCATCGTTGCCGCAGGGGAGGAATTCTCCATTCAATTCCTTTCCGGCGGCGGAATAGCACGTGCCATTGCTGACATAGATATTGGCGTCGTTCATAGCTATTGCATTCTCGATAGTCTGCTTAATACTTGATAAGGGTCAGCTGCCTGAATAAACTCATTTACAGACTTATCACGTCACACGCATTCAAACATGACAGTGAATTATTCACGGGATAACATCGAGAAACGGGGGTTGCTGCGATTCTTCTCTGCCCTTGATCAAATGAGGTCTCGATGACGTGTGGAGTCTTCCATACTTCTCATGACGTTGGTTTTTCCCAAACCTGTAAAATCGAACACCGGGGGTATGCCACACATTGAGTATAGAGTAACAATGGAAGCTAAACGACTGTTTGTCTATTGGCCGAACCACACAATGACGAGAACTTGCCCCGCAAACCCGCGAAAATCGAACGGTATGCTTGCCAGGGGCACTGCTGCCGAATCCAATGAATGCTAGTCTACCTTCAAGCTTGACATCTTGAACGACAATTGCCAGGCTGTTGGTTCAGCGCTGAGGTGGTTTGACTAGTGTCCTGGGATCTGTAAAGTCGTTTGCGATCAAGTGTAAGTCGTGTGCTATATCGTACTTGAGGTTATCTTGAACACAAACTCTAAAAGGTGGGACTGCTGTCCTATCTCATTTTGGTCATGCATTACGTGGTTGCTCTAGCGCTTCTTTCTACTATACCTACCTAGTCGGCTAGCTTAGGTTACTATTTGACCCAGGGTTCCATATCTGGACAATAGCTGCGTATTAAAGCTAGTAACGTCAGGCGACGCCATTCTGTTAGAACATACTGATCGTTGGGAATGATTAGCAGCATGCGCGAGTCTAAATCAGTCAGCGCCGCGCAATCAAGACAGCAATTGCAAAACCCGCAGGAATTCCTCGTTTACTGTGCGATATAAGCAGAACAGGTTGATGCTGAATAATAGTGATGATGCACCACACAATTTATCTAGCCTTGAAGTGTGGATCTCTTTTGACATTCTGTTTCTGTACGAGCAGTAGATTTGTCTTTGCCCAATCTTATAGCATACAAGGCGAGCAGATGCCATGCTACACTTTCGATCGCTCGTAGTCGCATTGGAACTGCACATTTGAAGATGTGGGATAGCGTTCTAGTTATTCATTGAGTAACTCAACTTGGTTGTGAGGTTTACTCGTGTGGAATCCGTCTGAACACTAATAGACTGAGACATAACACTGTCGAAAAACATTGCCAGGGTTAAGTATACACATCGGGTAGTTTCGTGGGGCCTTGCATACAAAGGATGATGAGACATTTTGCATGGATTTGCTGAAGACTCTGCGTTGTCATGCAGATTGGGAGCACGACACGACGGACCACGCGTAATGCACAACGGCGGCCTCGTCCGTTGGTCGTGATTGCCGAGCAAGGTCGTCCTACCTTGTGCCATTGACGGTATTAGCATTCTCGTGGGACTCCATGACCCAGTCCTGGACGCCGCCCTTCCAGTCGCTGGTCCGTATGTCCTTGATCTTGACCAGAATGACCCTCACCTCCTCTCCGGCGACGAAGCAATTCCTGCCGCCATCTTCCTGGCCGCCTTGAGGCTGTTGATGAAACGAAGGGGCGTCACCTTCCGAGTCAAAGGTGTTGTTTTCCAAGTGCTGTTCCCTGTAGAACCGCTCTTCTTCGGACGCCTGAGGTACCAATGATGCTGTGCCATTGATGGTGGCGCTGATGCTGGACATGGCGCTCGTGTTCAAGTTGAGCAGAAGCGATGCTAGACTAGATCTGTGTTCGGGAGCAGGCGAACCGCCAGAAGGCCTGCGACCATGGGTGGGGGGTCTGTGTGATACCCAGTCGTGGACCAAGAGCGAGACGTTGGGGTTCTCGACGACGTTGGTCGTCTTCTTGGAGGAAGGGTTCGTTGTCATGACGATGACGGGGGCGGACGAGTACGGCGATGACGGCAGGTATGTATAGTTCATCAAGGAGACATGGGGCTCGTTATTGGTACATGTTGCCAGATGAAGCTGTTGGCGGAATGGCCGGGTCAGTGAGGGGGCACGCGACATGCGAGACGCGAGGCGGGCGCAAGAAGAGAAGAGAAGAGACAGGCTGCTTGGCTCACAAATCGGGCATTCTCCAGACATTGTACGACTTCGGGTGGTAAGCTGTTGACGACCTGCTTGTTGTGGCTGTCGCCGGCCGAGGCTTCGTAGTTCAATGGAATTTGCGACATGGCTGATGCGTATGTTTGCTTGCTTGAGCCAGCGAGTGGTTGGTTGTTGGATATCAAATGCAGCCGCGAGGTGCTCGGTAGAGAACATGACGAGACAATTCCATAGCGGGGCACTTTTTCGGTTTACCCCAGGCGCTGTGACCACTATATCCACTCCAATGACCTCACTGGAATCTAACCTAGCGCTTTCTCCAGATCGATCAACCTAAACCCAGCGACTTTCCTCGACGAGAGAGAACAGTACCATTCTGCCATGTACAATATGTAGTCTAGACCAGACTATACCAGACTAACCTAACCTCAGTATTTGAGTGTAGAGCTCACGGCACAGGCGGTAGACACAAGAACGAGCTCTCAATTGGCAATGCGTCTCGTGACTCTTGACAATGACCCCGGCCCCCCCCCCCCAACCCACCCCAAGACCCCAAGACAGACCCGAACCCACGGCATTCAACGGCAGAAGCACCTGCGCATAACGTCGGCCCTCTGTCATCAAACCCAGACCCAACCCCAAACTGACATGCTTCCTCTTCACCATGGAATGCGTACGGCCGCAGGACATTTTCTGTTCCTTTGCAATGGGCCATGTAGATTTCACATTTGCTTCGAGATACCCCAATTGACCCTGCCCAAGCCCTAGTACTCATATACGTGAAGATGCGTTCCATCAAACCTCGTCATATCCCCCGCCGTCTGTTCAATTCCAGTGCCGCCGCATCCTCGGCCCCCGTAACACCCATAACCTCCCTCCTGATAGCCAACCGCGGCGAGATCGCCCTGCGCATAAACAAAACTGCCAAACGCCTCGGCATCCAGACCACCACCCTCTACACGGACCCTGATGCCTCCTCCCAGCACGCCGCCTGCTCCCCCAATGCCATCGGTCTGGGCGCCGCGAATGCTTACCTCGACGGCGAGCGTATCGTGAGATTGGCCAAGCAGCATGGCATACAAGCCCTCCATCCGGGCTATGGCTTCCTGTCCGAGAACGCCGCCTTTGCCGCGCGGTGCGAGCAGGAAGGCATTGTGTTCGTGGGCCCCCCTGCCAAGGCCATGGAGGAGATGGGCAACAAGGCCAGGAGCAAGGAGATCATGACCAAGGCCGGTGTGCCTTGTGTCCCGGGCTATCACGGCAGTGACCAGGGCGAAGCGCAGCTGTTGAACCATGCCAAGGAGGTCAAGTTCCCAGTCTTGCTCAAGAGTGTCAAAGGTGGCGGTGGAAAGGGCATGCGCATTGTCCTGGAGGAGAGCGAGTTCTTACAGCAGCTCAAGAGCGCCAGGGCGGAAGCCAGGGCAAGTTTCGGAGAGGGCGGCGAGGTCATGTTGGTCGAGAAGTACATCGTCCGCCCGAGGCACGTCGAGGTGCAGGTTTTCGCCGATAAGCTGGGCAACTGCGTCGCCTTGGGCGAACGTGACTGCAGTGTGCAGAGGCGGCACCAGAAGATTCTCGAGGAGTCGCCAGCGCCGAATCTGGATCATGTCACTAGACTCGATCTATGGGACAAGGCCAAGACCGCTGCGTTGGCGGTCGGCTACGTGGGCGCCGGTACCGTCGAGTTCATCCTCGACAAGGATACCGGCGAGTTCTACTTCATGGAGATGAACACCAGACTGCAGGTTGAGCACCCCGTGAGCGAAATGGTCACAGGCACGGATCTAGTTGAGTGGCAATTCAGAGTCGCCGCTGGCGAGAAGCTGCCGTTGACACAAGACGAGATCACCGAGAGGATCAAGCAGCGCGGCGCAGCGATCGAGGCCAGAATTTACGCAGAAAGCCCAGAGAAGGGCTTCCTTCCTGACTCCGGCAAGCTTGTCCACCTCACCACACCAAAAACGGACGACGATGTCAGGATAGACGCAGGCTTCGTTGAAGGCGATACCGTGACAGAAGCCTATGATGGCATGATCGCAAAACTCATTGTGCGCGGTGACGACCGAGAAACGGCTATCAGGAGGATGGAGCGCGCCCTGCGTGAATACGAGGTCGTGGGCCTTAGCACCAACATTGAATTCCTAAAGCAGCTATGTAACTCGCCCGCTTTTGTCGACGGTGATGTCGAGACTGGGTTCATCAAGAAGTGGGAATCGGAACTTTTTGCGCCGAAAATCGCACAGCCCGAAGTCTTTGTCCAGGCCGCTTTGGGCCTGTTCGCATCTTCTCTGCAGTCGGGAGCAGAGCTTCATGGCAGTTCTCTAGGTTTCGGACAGGCTGCTTCGGAGAGAACGTTCACGTTCAAGAATCTAGATGTGCTGGACCAGAAAGAAGGTGAAGTGGTTCAGGTTGCCATCACCCAGAAAGGTAACCAGCTATATGATGCACGCGTCATCAGGAAAGGGGAGGAGCCAGCAGTGTTCGAGAGCCTTGTCTCAGCGCCTACTCCCCAGTCACAAAAGGTGAACCTGACGACATTCTTCCCTGATGCGAGAGTGGAAACAACCGTTGTACAGGACCCCAATAACGACAACAAAATTTCGATATTCCAGCACGGTATCAAGACAGAGTTGTCCCTCGTGTCTCCCGTCTGGTATGAAAAGGCATTGGGCATCAAGGAGATCATGGCGTCCGTAGTGGCGCCTATGCCTTGCAAGGTGCTCAAGAACGAGGTTTCCGAGGGTGATATTGTTGTAAAGGGGGCTCCCTTGGTCGTGTAAGTTTAAATTTCTTCTTCCCTGACTTATGTGGTGTCTTGCTAACGATAAGTATAGTATCGAGTCGATGAAAATGGAGACCGTGATCCGCTCGCCGCAAGATGGTGTCATCAAGAAGCTGGCTCACAAAGAAGGCGACAAGTGTAAAGCTGGTACGGTTCTCGTAGTATTCGAGGAGGAAGGAGGCTCCGCATAATCCCGGTGTAGTCCAAGTCGAGATGAGGGCGTTCGGAGTTTTGTTTTCGAGATCTTTCGCTCGATAATTCAAAACATCTGAAATATAGGGATTATGAATTCTTACAAAACCATTGCCGAGCGATTAGAAACGACACTCACAATGCATCATCAATAAACAATTGGACATGAACAATAAATTAAAACAGCATCATAGACAGATACTTGAACCAAACAGTCATCAATTCAGTATGGCCCTGGACCTGTATGTTACCAACGACTTATTGTTGGTTAGTACTACCAGGAATAATGCGAATATGTCGAGACGGCAACTTTTTCATATGTCCTGTTTCTATTTGCACATAGTTTGTTTTGGATGAATCGTTGACATGGCCCATTGTTTTGCACAAACTCCATTCCATAAAGCTGTAGATGACATGATGAACGAGCACAGTATGAGACAGATTCCGCTGACCACCCCTGGAGGTCGATGCTTCTGCCAATGCGAGACAACAATTCCTGGTGCAACTGCTTGCCGTGCAATGTCGTCCTATCAAAAATCCCAAGAGAAATTGTCTGTCGGGCCGGAAGATAGTGGACTTATCTGCTTTCAAAGAAACCAAGACATCCAACGCGAATTGTTCTACCGGCGCTATTCAAAATTATTTCATGGCGGCTGTCGAGGACTTCACGTGTTGTCAGATTCGTAGGCATCCTATCACGAGCCATTTTGCGTGCATGTCGATTATCAGAGACACGAATGGGGTCTATCAAACAGAGGAACAGCATAGGAAATTTTGTAGACATCAATTGAACAAGCATAAGCTCCACGCACATATCCCGTCTTTACTAATCCTCAAGAGATCCCATGCAATGAAAAAGCCCACGCCATATCACCGTAGATCGTAAGGATTCGAGTAATGGTATTTCATATTTTAGGTATGCTTGGTAACCTGTCGGACCACCGTACGAAATCGAAGGTCCTCGGTGAAGCGCATCGCAGTCCCATGCATAGATGTAGTACAAGTGTGACCCGCTGCCGATTTCAGGGAGCTGAATGGGTGGAAATGGGGCGTGCTTCTTTGTTGTCGTTGCCTTGCAACAATCAAGTTATCGCATCTGATGCAAAGCCCGGCCTCACATTCCCGCTCTCACACCTCAAGCCACTCAGGTGGTCCGTTTCTTCGTATAGTACAGTCGTCGACTTTTTCTTTTTTCGAATGCAATCCCCAACGCCTGGTATGCTGATCTGTACAGTGGTATCATACATCTTGCTCAACTCATAGCACAGAGTCACTCTTTCATGCTGCGCCTGCCTCCTTGGTGATGCCCTCCGGCAGTGGTGGTGCTGTCCTCGGTGTCTGGTCCCTGTGTTTCGGTTGCATTATGCCCATCTGTACGTAGGTGGACCATCATCAGCAGTGCCCCCCGGTAGTTCCATGGCACATATCAAGGTGGAGATGGACTCACCATTGACATTAATCTCCACGTGGTATCCGTTGGCTGGGCGCCTACACCGATCCAGTACTTTGCGCGCAGGATATCGAGCTTGACGTCCTTGTGCAGACGACCGGAGTCGTCGTAGGGGTCAGCCTTTGGGATGGGGTCGTATGTGCCAATGACCTCAAGAGGCTTGGAGTTTCTTGCGGTACTGTGAGTATTGGGTTAGCACCGCTATCGCGTATCGAAAAGAATGCTGCTCAGGGGGCCGGCGGGGAGATGTCTTGCGGCGACTAGAGTGTAGATGTATGGATGCGCGTACCGAGCATGTGCGACGACAATGTTGTAGAAAGGGGCGTTCCGGCGGCCGAAGCGCGCAAGCCGGATCTTGATGGTCATGGTGTGTGAGAATTGGATTGGGGATAAATCAATCGATATGAAGCTATCACCATCTATCTGGCCGCACGCACTTGGCTCACGAGCAACAGCAGTAGCAGTAGCAATAGGAGCTCTCGAGAAATCTGTCGGATGTGGGGTTATGATGTTCCGATCTTCCAGCACACGATCAAAGAATCTCATCAACCCCCCGACCCCCTTGGGCCCCTGCTAGAGCCTCTGAGATGGGCCCCTAACGTTAGCTGCCTACCGCCCCTTGTAACCCCCATGCCAGCCGACGCAGCAGTCCGGTGATGTCAATTGACTTCAGCAACTCAACGTTAGGATTAGTCTAGTACAAAACAACAACTCTATGCGACACTTGTCTCAGTAAATAAACCATTCAAGCCGCATGCGTCCAAACGTTCCAGTATTGACCCCATTCTCTCGTCCATTGATCACACAGAATTCATCGCCAACAAAATGGTTTTGAAGGCAAGTCCGTCTTCTCATCAAGGTTGATCATGTCCCCACTAACACCGCGCTACTCAAGACACTGTCCGCCAAGGCCGCAGCTGCTCTCGACAAGGAGCTTATGAGCTCCGGTGCCTTTTCTATAGACCAGCTCATGGAATTGGCTGGCTTGTCAGTCTCTCAGGCCGTCTACCGTGTACACCCCCCGAGCAAGGGCTCTCGGGTTCTTGTCGCTTGTGGTCCCGGAAATAACGGTGGCGATGGTCTTGTCGCTGCACGTCACCTCTGGCAATACGGTTATAAACCCACCATCTATTACCCAAAGCGCAGCAAGAACGATCTGTACCAGGTAAGTCGCGCAGATTGGACGAATCTCTGGCTTGGCAGCTTTATTACTACAATGCCGTGTGATATGCCTGTTGTCCTGCCAGGCGGGAATCTATCTTCCTAATCCATTAATACCAAGTCCTACGCCTCCTGTGGTGCCGTTGACTCCCGAGCCTCCTGTTTGCGCCGTCATACCCCTCATACACATCGCGTAACTCATATCTCGTGTACTGATTTTCCTCTTTCGTTCAGCGACTTGCCAAACAGCTCGAGGATCTCGACGTTCCTTTCGTCGAGGATTTTTCCTCGGCAGTTCAGTCCACAGACCATATTGTTGATGCCATTTTCGGTATGTCGGAAGACCCATCTCCATCCGTCGCTGTACTGATCCCGTTCCAAGGCTTCAGTTTCTCTGGCGAGGTTCGAGAGCCTTTCCCTGCAGTAATCAAGGCCTTGGAAAAGACTGAGCTGCCCGTGACTTCTGTTGATGCGCCATCATCCTGGAGTATCGAGGATGGCCCACCTAAAGCCGGCGTGGGTAGCGCTTTCATGCCTGAATATTTGATCAGTCTCACGGCCCCCAAACCCTTGGTCAAACATTTCAAAGGTCGACATTTCGTGGGCGGTCGGTAGGTGCAACCCCATCTGAACTCCTTTGGAACTTTGACGTATCAATGACATCTCTGCAGCTTCGTGGCACCCTCCATTGCCAAGAAGTACGATTTTGAAATCCCTGAGTACCAGGGCCTCGACCAGATCGTCGAGGTGAGCGTCGCCGGAGAAAAGCTTTGAACGACGTTCCCAGAAATGAACCTTCGGGGATTGATTTGTTTTTGAAGCCGCTTTTCTAGTCCTCATATGACCTCGCATCCCCCAGTACGGCTGAAGGGGCATACTGGACTCGGGCATCGTCCTTCTGGCATTTCGCCCCTGGCCTCCGTCAGGCCGTTGGGACACCGAATCAGTGGCGGATGGAAGTCGTTGCAAAACCGGACGTATGACAGGTATACTCTTCCGCAGACAGGGCATTCGTAAGTGTGCTCCACGCACATGAACGTTGTCGAAGCTTGGCTGGGCTGGGTAATCGGCGGGAACTGGGTATAGACGAGTCCTCCAATACAGATTTGGTTCCAATCTGTCGAGATGGCATAACAGCTACAATAAATAGCTCTTCTGATAAAAGCTCCTCGTTCACGACCTTAGCACTCGCTTTCGAATACCGGGCAACCAAGAAAGAAAGAAAAGGTAACAATGAGTGAAGTAGACAAAACACCATCTAACAGAATAACCGTCGAACTCCCTGGAAATGCCTGGAAACCTCTATTGCGGCCACGACAAGATGTATCACTCAGATGAAATGAACAACGAATGGTAAGAAGAGTATCCATTTTGTCGTGCTCGTCAAATATTATCCTACCTCTGCGCCTGCTTCCACAGGAGGTATATTCGAGAATTTGTCCGGAGCTTTTGCTCCCTTACCGTCATGATTGGCTGGTGGCGAGCTGGCTGCGCTTACCACACTAGTGTGCCCCAGCAATAGGCCGTGTGTGCGATTGTTCCTTTTCCACCTGGAAGAAAAGCCAACCTACGGTTTGTCTAATGCAGCCGGGCCTTTGCGTCAAGCGATTGCAGTCTGAAATATATTTCTTCTCCATCATGCCAGCTCCGCCGGTCCTAGCAACTTCCACTGACCAAGAGCACACCTGACAATGGGATACAGCATGGGGCAACCCATTCTGTGCAGCGGGTAGAGTTGACAGCCGCTAAAATAAAGAGATCAGGGGATTGTTCCGTCCCCACAAGACTTAACTTACCGACTGTCCGACACTTCGCCTTACAGTCTCTATGGATATGTTTTTCCAAGAGAGAGCGCGCGCCGCATTTGGTAAAGATCAGCGTTTCGGAACATCTCCGCTGGGGGCCACCGGGCAACAGCTCTTCTTCCCAGGGACATGGAACATCGGACATCTGGGGACGCTATCAGCCCGTTCCAAGAACCATCACAGATCTCGACATGGCCGTGATGGCCGCTATAACTCTGCTGGAGACATAGTGTAAACTGCGCCAAAAGTTGAAATACCTTGTAGACTTCATGCTGTACTCCGTACATACGTTTTTCCCTGAGCTTTCACCTTCAGTCATTACCCCGCTTACTGGGGGCCAACCTCAACAAGACTTGACATTAGGCCAACCCCGCGATTGAGACGCACCCTTCTTCGCAATCTATGGAATTGTATCTGCCTAACCTTAGTTTCTCCTACTATGACGCACTGAGTTTTGTACGGTGCATGAAGCGACAGGACTTGTATGCAGTGCTTTAAGTGAAGCCTGCTTCTGCGTACATAGTTCCGCTAGCATCGCAATTTCTAGCTCGCGGGTCATGTTCTTGTATGTCTTTGAGCTCTATCTCTGAGCGTGGGGCAGCCACGAGGCGTAAGTTTCGGCCATCATCGAATTACTAAAAAGAGCCTCATCCACATGGCAACCTCAACGGTCATGACAGATCGTCAGCATGGGGCCCGTTCAGCGTACATAGGCAGTTACTGTTCTGCGTCTAGCAAAGCATCGCACACCACTCAAGCCTGATTCTATTTTCTTTCAGCTGCCCTTGAGCTTGCAGCTACAGCCGGTTCTCGCGGTTGCTCTAGTCGTGAAATATTCTTGACGGACGTTGCCAATCTCAATCCGTCTGTCGCCACTGACTCGCTTGGACTTTGACTGGATTAGCAAGTCATTCAAGTACAACTGCGGAACAATATCAGCCACCGGCATTTGCTCCGCAGGTGGATATGCATCACGAAGTGGCAGCTCCCGCTTTTCTACATAGGAATCCTACTACATTAGGCCCTCTTTTCTTTCTTTTCCGCCATCTTAGTTTCATGGAATCACTCGGACCGACCAATCTCAAGCCGTCAGCCTGTCATAGCCTTCCGAGCCTCCAAGGTCATCAGCCAATCCGATTACTCAGCAACGATGAATGATTCCAATCCTTTGTCACCTTGTTCCTCGTCGCCCTACTTACGGGACGCACCAAATTTCCACTGTACAAACGTAGCAGTGGGCCCAACCCTGTCCTGCAGGAAAATCCGGAAAAATCACGTCGCCTCCATCTGAGATCCGGGCCAACTGAGTCATCACCTGTCATATCCTCCTGCGACATCCGTTAGCATCAAATTTCACTCAGGAATAGACTTTCCAGCCAGATACACTCATGCTTGTTTTATGGCACCATCAAACTAGACTTCCCATCCTGCATGATGGCTCGATTGGCGGTCTGCAGGTCGATCCAGGCAAAAATGTTCACTCACGTTGCATACTGCAAGGTAAATTGGTCAGGAGCAGTCTTGCCACAGCTTTGCCACAGCGCGTTGTCTCGTCTATGACCAGATTCCATGTCGTCCAGTGGTAACGCTCTCGCCTTGATCCGCCACTTCGAAAGCCATTCACTGCCACTGTTGTTAGAAATACTTTCAAATCTTTGTTTGCGCACAAGCTCAGACAAGGTGCGTCTGTGATCAGACCCATGTCAAAGACAATTCTCAACTTCTCTGATCAACGCTCCAACGAAGCTCAAAGGTCGCCGCATTGTCGGGCTAAGCCCCAGCGCATCGCCTGTATCGTCTCATTGGTCAACTTGAAGCAGGTGCCTTGATTAGTTTGCGGGTCCGCAGACATTGCGGCTGTAAGTAGTGCACTCAATTGGTAAGCTCGGTTCATAACGCTATCACAATAAAACCATAACCAATCCAGGCAAGGCTTTTGAAGATTCCATTGGATCTGGTCGTTTGATGTGTACATAGCCTTTTAACCCATGTGCTTATGATAAGTTCCCTCATGTACAATCCCTTGGCAGATCATGCAAAAGCCATGTGAAGGCATTTTTTCCCAGACGCCCTGCCATTGGAGTCTCTAATCCAGAAGCGCCACAACTAACCACAATTAGCCACAACTGGCTCACTCGTGCTGCCCCGCTCCATTGCCACACCCCACTCCATGCTTTTGTTCATGTTCCAACCCTGCCAGCCTGCCGACTTCACGCAATAGAAAATGGATCCCTGAGTATACTACGGTCACGGAGCCTCGTGTCTGGAAAGTCCCATGTTTTATAAGCACCGTCCTACCCGCTGTTCTTATTCCCGGAGCTACCTCCTATCGCGATTTTGCCTCACTCCATTCCAGCGGGTCGGCCGTCTTCCTGCCGCTGGTTAGACTTTGCCACAAGAATGAGCAATGAGCAATGAGCGAGATGCAGTCCTTATACTGGACCGTACGGCAGAAACCTGGTAGCTGATAATATTGGGATTTCGTCGTGATCTGTGGCGAAATGAAAAGACCGCGCATCTTATTGTGGCAAAAGAACCTAGGAACAACAACATCGAGAACTGTGGCGAGCCGTGGACAACCTCTCAAGACGTTGCCAGGCACATGTCAGATCCGGTAAACCTCGATTGTATTCTTGTGTCACTTTTTCAAAAAAGGTACAACGCTAAGTGGATGATCGCTTGGGGAGATTGGTTGAACGAAAGGCTTTGTCCTCCTCGTTTGCCCCCAGATCACTCGCGTTCTTTGAATTGTGAACCGCGGTACCTGCAAAAACTCTAGCCCACGGCCGGAAGCGGTTGAGCCGCGAAATCGTGCAGAATTGGTGATGACGAGAAGGACAATTTTCTCCACTTCTTCTCGATTGGCTCGTCGGAGTCTACTGGTTCTTTATTGCTATTGAAACTTGAGTCGAAAGCTTTCTGTTTGGTCCCTAAAAGAGTTCCACAGCTCAACGGCTTCCAAGGCTGTGCACAGACAATCCGAGATAACAGCAGACCAAGATTCCCTCCTTCGGCTCGAGTCATAAGAGTTAAGCTATTTATGGTAATATTAGGTCAATATAAATTACAGTACAAAAACTATAAAGAGTAAGACAGCTTCATAGTCTTGACTATAAAGGGCAAACGATGGATGCGATATTTTCTCATAGGTTATATACCTTCGACACCGATGGTTCAAGCAGAGCCGGTGTCTTATGGCGTACCTCATTCTATCTTGACCAATACGGCGTGAGTAAATTGCGTTGTGCTCATGGGAATCGCGTCCAGCTAGCATCCGCTATGGCGGGTTTCACAAGTCGGTTTCAGATGTATCGAAATGAAACGTGCGGCCAGTACGGCCTTCCGCCTGCTTGACATTCTTAACAATGAAGTCGACAATGTCTTCTTTGTACCTCTGCACATAGCCCATGTGTACAGTGATTGAATTACCACGGTCGCAGAAGAAATCATCTTTATCACAGTACGACCGCCAAATGTCCCCGAAGTGTTTGCACTGAGCGAATGTCTGACGTGGAAAAATCTGCAGATCAAAATTATTAGTTGACCGGCGGCACATGAGAGAATATGTTCTTCTTTGATAAACTTACTCCTCCCTTTGTAGAGTTTCCAGCATGCCATGCCAAGTTCCTAGTGTTTGTAGGGTCACCAAGCTGGATGATTGCTCTTACTATTTATTTGATGGATCAGTGTTGAACTTCGACTCATTACGATAGGAATTTCAACTTACCAGACTCCAAGTACTCCGACGGAATTGGGAAATGGGGCCAGAACAAACCAGGTCGGACACCGCAAAGCGAGTCTCCGACAACATGAGCTCCCTGGGAACACATCATGGTCAGTACTTTCACGAGATGAGATGATCGTTGGATACCACGATAAATAGCAAACATTTCACTTACCTGGGAGTAGCCCATTAGCACTATTCCTGTCTCAGGACATTTGTTCGCAAATTCCTTGATCTCAAGAGCAAGTGCATTATATCCCTCGTTTTTGGACGCACTATACTGGGCAAACCTGTACTGAGTCTCGTTGGTTTCAGGGTCGACTACGATGCCTGAGGCGGGATAGTCAATGGGGAAACTGTCAGACCCGGGCAGCTCCTTTAATAGATCATCGACAATTTCTTGAAGTGCACCGAAGCCAGGTTTCTCCAGAGTTCCGCGTACACCAACAATATGGACACCTGTTGGACAATTGTCGTTGTCGAGAACCGACTGTTGATGACCGGGGTGTGCGGAGATGCCTTGAAGCAACATGCAGAAGAGCGAAGCTGTAGTAGCAACTCTTACAACCGTGGTGGCCATGATGCAAATATTGTGAACGGGTAGTGCAATACAACAGGTTGACCTTAGAAAGTAGAACGTTGCTCGAGACCTTGAGGAGGTGATTGAGTTGATCGTTTTGGGAACTTGGAGATTGGGTGCGTGGTGGTGTTTATATATCTTGAAGTCACAGGAGAGTTTTCCCCATGTATCATTCAGGAGCACCAATTTGACATCAAAAGATTCAAAATTGATACGAGAACTTTCTTCATTGTCACAGAAACCATATAACTGATTGAAAGCAGAGCCGAGAATGCTTGAAGTCGATAGAATGTTACTCCGCATATGAGCCGACGCATCAACGTCGCCGGCAGTTGGAAATTAAGTGTCACAAGGTTTTAACATACTGCTCTCTCCGTCTACGGTCGTAAGCCTTGTTCCACATGCGGAAGGCTTGAAGGTGATCTCTGCTTCGCTGGATATATCTCGTTCATTCCATGTTTGTGTAATTGTAGCACCTTGTTTCATTATTTAGAAATTGCGTGTTATATAGATGACTGGGTGACAGTCCAATTGGTATAGTTGTACCGTTGACCTCGTAACCTACTTTCTACTGTGCAACATTTTATGCAACCTCTGAAAAATCCTTGCTATGCAGCGTAGTAGAGGAACAAGCATTGGCGACGAATCCATACGGTTTTGAACCCCACAACTTTAAACATCCTTTAGGTTTTGCCGGTTGGGGTATTGGAATTTAAGACATGACCAAAACCTTTATGGCCAGGTTTTTCCCGGAGAAATTGTACAGTCGTTAATCCGCACCTTATTTGTACTGATGCACATGGAGGCTCTTATTAATGTTGGCGCTCGTGCTGTTATTAACTATTACGTCCGCTCTAGCTATGGAGCAAGTAATTGCATATCCGCAGCGTTCGCAGTGCCCGTAAGACTCTGTCTCAATCATAGTTCAGGGCATCCTCAGGTGTCTTCAGCGAATATCGTCCACCAAACATCAAGAAGCCTGCACCGGACCATTTAAGCCTGCAATGGCGAACAATAAGCTACTTGAAGTCCGGGGTATGGCTGAATTTCCTTTATTTTCTCCTTCTTTTTCTTCATCTGATGACTACTGCTATTAGAGACCAATGTCCCACCCCACAAGCTTTTTGGCACGGCCAGCGGCGTGCACTTTCCCAAGCAACACGGTTTCGACGGACTGGCAAGGTGGCGAATGTGCGACTGCAGATTGTGACATGAACAAACGATTGTGTTTCTACTTTTTTCAGGCTTTAGATGCTCGTCAATAGGATAGTCAATTGAAACGTATATTGACTGCACCTATCACACTAAAGACTGCCTGAAGTGCTACTGAATTTCGACTGAATCAGCAGTCCGTGTGGCAACATGGCAGTATCGATATTATAATATTTCATACAGTCATCCCACACCGCTTCAATAGTGCAACCATCGACTCCAGCATCTCAGCAGCTCGTCGACAATTCATCCGTCGCCTTGGGGAACCATAGATGGAGCTTGTTACGGAAGGCTTCGTATACCTCCCATGTTGTGGCGTTTTTCAAAGCTCCCAAGAGGTAGCCCTTCGCCAGATAGCACAACCTTTTCTTCTCGCGAAGCCATGCACGCTACAAACGACTTCACGGCCTTGCGGAAGGTGTCCAAATTTCCGCTTGTGAGGCACCTTTGAGGTAAAGCGAAGCCTCGGACTTACTACTTGGGCGGCCTAGTTCCCGGAAAATGTGGATGGTGTCGGGATTCCCACCAAGTGCGGCACAATCCAACGCCGAGGGGACGCTTCAGGTAGGACGTCGTAGCGACTCTACGACTTGTGTTTCCGCAGCAATTTTCTCGCCAGGTCGGCGTCTCCCAGGTAGGCTGCCACACATATGAAGTCGTAATCCCGGGAGCGTCCGGAATTCTGCGGAAACGTTATGTCCTTGGCGGCCGCCATCTCCAAGCCTGTTCAACAAACTCTGTCCAGCGCTGCATCGTGATCGACCTTCGGCATTCGTTGTGAGACACTCAGCTCCTGTCCAGAGGTGAACCTACCACTAGATAGGTTTGTTAGACTCAAGGTCTTTTTCTTCTTCTTTTCTTTTTGTCTTACGGGTAAAACTTACATAATATACGAGATCCTTGTTAGCCTTGAGGTACGAATGCTAGAACTGTGGGGCATCGTGATCCCGTCTGGCACGCCAAGCTGCTTTACCAGCCGGTCTGCGGACAAGACGGCGAGAGCAGGAACCATCGAGTATTCTGATCTTTAAAAAAACGCAAGATCGAGGCTATGATAGAACAGTGCTGGTGATTCTCTGGGTCAGCTAGTAGTCCTCATATAATTTGCCACGGATCTATTTTAAACAAGCTTTAGTCTCGAAACCCTCTCAATCTTAAACCACTTCCGAAAACGCGAAAACACGCAAAAGTGTAGAACTCGATCGATTAGCTCTTGTGGGAGATCCAAGATGCCTATGTTTTCGAAGGCTCTCTGAAGGCTAATTGAAAAGACCTACTTGAATGGCAAAGTCGATTGTCGCGGGGCGGAAAAGAGCTGTAAGAAAAAGTGCAGAGGCATAGGTCCACCTTATGCTGTTTTGAAGCGGTTTAAAAGAAGAAACCATTTGATTGAAATGATGAAGATAGATAGAATGTGACGTAGTCAGTGAACTTCTAAAGTGTGGCCATTGCAGTCACTGAAACTCCTTTTTTGTTCGGCCGCCACCACCAGCTACCAGGCAAAGAATATGAAACGGAGCTGATTGCAGATCCAAGATGATGCCCTGGATATTCAAAGCAACAACGCCAACTATAGCGGCCATGGTGCCAATTCTATCGAAGAATGTGATTTCAGGAATAAAATCGTTGAGGAAGGGTGCAAGTATCACGACAATCACGATTATTTCCAATGATCAAGAGGGCCTTATGCTTCTGCTCCTGTGCCTCTCCCCTTTCTTTGATATTTCTTTTTTTCATATTGGCGACGCTTGCTGGATTGTCAAAACGGTCATGGAAAGACTTGAAAAACATCTTCAAGTATACCATAATAAGCACCCAAGGCACTTCCGTGCGCCTCGAGGCAAAGTTGTTGATTAAATTACCAATATTTGGTAGCACGTTTGTAATCACGTCCTGCATCGACTAAAGTCAGCAATCTGATTAGCAAAACAATACTTGTAACGCGTGAAAAAAACCATGTGCACAAAGTCAATGGCTCGGAAAAGATACTTCAAGGAGGGGGCTTATATTTCTCATAGAGTAAGGATCTCTCTTACCTTGAGGTTAGGCACGGTCATGTCCGCTGCGAGTTGCGGGATGCCATAGAGCTCGTATTTCGTTCTATCACAGAATCTTTAGTCACAGGTGGCTTTGCTGGATGTAAGCCCATATAAAGATACCGTTACGAACCATAGAGTTCGCAAATACTTTTGGTCGGCTGAATAATGAACGTCTGGGGATGATTCTGCCGCCGTGTATCGCAAGGGAACCAGGTCTCAAAGGAGCCATATTACTTCTTTATGAAGACTCAAGAGACCATTAAAGAACCCAAAAACTACTTACCGATGCTTTCTGAATTCCGTATGTGGTTCTCAAGGCATTGTCGAAGCTGTCCGAGTAGCGAAGTTCGTAGGCCATCTCGTACTCATCGTACAGAGCGAGTGCCATCTGCGACCAGGGACATTGTTTGGTTACAGTGGTACAGCCGTTATCAGTGATTAGTTGGCGGCACAGTATTGTCGGAGATTAATCGTTGCTAGTCCAGAAAGAGCTGTGACGAAAATGCAAAAGTAAAGCATGGTCAAAAGAAAAACATAGGAAGGAAAGATTCAGCTACCGAAATACTGGTTACCTGCTCTTCCTTTGGGACTTTTGCACCTGGCATTTCCAAGAACGACTGCAAAGCCGGACCGAGCATATCTTTGACATATTCGACCTACAAAGACAGCGATTTGTCAATAGTGCATTTGAGATGCGGTAGCAACCGTAGGTGCTGGCTCTAGCTAATACTATTTGGCTAGCGTAGTATAATCTACTATCGGACACATTATACCATAAAAAATGGCTACGTCTTGAACAAACAGAAAATAGTTCTGAATTATTTTGTGGTGAGAAATCAGGCTAAGCACAAGCGGTGTCATGTAATGTGCTCCGATTTCCACTCTTGGGGTCATATGGCAAGCTATGCATACCCCATTTGCAGCTGATTACTTCATTTCAAAGCACATTGTGACTTATGCTGTCAAATCTTACGAGGTAGCATCAGCCTTATGCTAGCTCAAAACAATAAGCGGTTATGCCGAGGATCACGACCAATCAAAAGGAATATAAATACTTCGGACTTCCCTGAGCATGAAACAGTTCGACACGTGAGAACAAGATCGCCCGTATCATAAATACGACCATTGTGTTCAACAGAGAGTAGTTAAGGTAACATAAATGGCAAACAACTAGCGCTTTATCACAGATAGCCTTTCCTCTCATCTCCGGAATCTCGATTGTAATGTCTTCCTCAATCCGATACGATTCATCACTCGTATCATCTGACATTATGAGCAGTGATGCGCTCGAACTTGTCGAGAAAATCTCAGCACTCCAGGCTCCCGTTGATGCCGCTCAAGAACAACTCAACACACTCTTAGCAGCCAAGCACAATCTTCAAATGACTAAGACTAAGCTTGAGCTTCTGGATACTGGCATCAAGACTAACAAGTTCAACAAGCCTATCGAGGCGCTTGATCAAAAGATTTAGGATGTCAGCAGATTATGCCGAAGAGAAGATTAAGGCCGTGGAGAAGATCCAGCCTCTACTTCCTATAATTAAGAGCGTCCATGTGGAGATGGAGAGCCCACTAGACATTTCAAAACACAAATCAAATCAATGCCACTTGGTTCCGACTCCATTAATATGTATGTTTAATACTTCTCTAACGACACTAATAAGGAGGAGGTCTCGTCGGTGGCCGGCAATGTTGCATCGTATGTGTTAGCCCCAATGGATTATTTGGGCGCGACCAGATCTAGCTAGATGACTTAAGCCGCTGCGACTCAGGTTAGCGCGATCAAGTCAAAAACAACAATATATCAGGCACAATGGAAATTTTTATTTCATATACCCATTGAGCTGCAGAAGAAACACTCAAGAAGTGGTAGGATAGAGGGTTACCTTGCTTATCAAGGACGGTTCTGCCACGTTAACGAGCATGAGAAATCTGGGACAGGTGTTTAGCAATTGAAGGAAGTATAAGGAAGCTGGAGAGACGAACCGAGAGACACTGGTAATGAGGGAGAAGGTGTCGGGACGGGAACGCCCTCACACGCTAATGAGCACAAGCAATATGGGACAGATGCTTAACGGTCAAGGAAAGTATGAGGAGGCTGACAAGATAACACGAGAGAATATGATGTTGATGGCAAATGGTCTACTACAGATATCTTGTCCTCTATTTAACAGGATAATCAAAGTCTCCATCACAGGTCTCAAGAATTTGAGTTACATATACAGTGAGAGGGGCTTCTCAACTCTTTGTTCTAATATTATGTTTGAAATGAGATAAAGAGTGATTATATTTAGTTTTATTTCCTTTCGGTCAGAACGGAAAGGAAATTAGATTCATAGCTGCACTACTAACCAGTGAACTATGATGATGCATTCACTGATCGGTCTCAAGGTATAAGCCCATGGTCACAATGTGGTCAGGTAACTTACTTAGTTCAGGAGCGTATAACGGATTCACCCGGTTCGCGAAATTGGACAAATCTCTCGCCTTGTGCCAAAAAATTAGTGATCAGGGACAAGGGGTTTCTAAAGGTCCTTCATACGGATGATTAGACAACCGTCGGGCACTCTGACGATAATTACTGTCGACCAAACAAAGTCGAGGAGTGATTAAAGACGCCTCATCATCCATGTATCTTAGCCAGGCGGACACTTCGCCCCTTGTTGTCTGTTTTTTCCCTTAGTAAAGGCTGCGCACCATTGTCTATGCCTGTGCGTCAGCTGGTCTCCCGTTAGATTTAGGCTAAGCTCATCAGTTAACCTATGGTCATTTCTGACCCAAAGACTTCCCGCTGGCTTCTGCGCGCTGGGATACTATCACCTGAGCAAGGGCTGTCAAGAAGAGTCATGTGAATATTAGTGCCTTACTATACAGCATGCTCCGTGTCCATTTTAATTGATCCCTATAATCAGGTGTGACAGGTGGCCAGAACTAGTCGACAAGCATGAGTCGGCGTGCCCGAAGAACTGTCCTTCATTGGATGCTCAAATGTCTTGCAAATAGATCGTGTCCATTTCATTAGACTCAGTTACGCGAAGCAAGTCTGTACACTAGCCAAATAAATCAGCGCCAGCACTTCTCGCCAAGCAACAGGATCTTCTCTATTTAGCTAGGGACAAGCGTAACAGCTTTTGTGACATGATTTTCATGATCCACAAAACGCAAGCTCTAGAGCTGACAAGGCGTTTTCATCAATCCATGTTTGTATGACTTGTGTATTCAGTTATCGTTACACAAGGTTCTGCCTCGTAAATCCGCCTTCTGCTATTCCAATCTGCTAGTCTCGAAGGCGTATAGATGAATCACGTTAAGGGAGTCATGAGTTGCTGAGTCTGTCTCTCGACATTTTGGTCACTCGTGCGGAGACTGTGCACTGCTGGCTTAGCTAGAGACTAAGGTGTGTTACTTAAAGCTGTGTAACGCCAATAATAAATACGGTCCAAACTTTGAAGAAAGAACTTCGCAATATATTTATCTTAAACGAAAACCTACGTGGGTGCCAGAATTAACATCAGGAGAGTAATAAAAAGATCCCTAAAATCAATTCTGTTAAATTGGGAATGGTGGACTGGTATTACTCACTCACCTCTAGATTTAATGCCAATGATTATTTTATTGGCGATTTCATATAGGATGGGTCGCCTTGCACCGGGCAAACAACTACCACCAACATTAGTGAGTCGGTCATCTCGTCGCTTCAGTCGAATAAATAGCCAGCTGAGTCGATTCTCAAACCAAGCCAGACAACAAATCATGTAATAGATCAGATGCTCAAAGCATCTTACCAACACATCACAAAGTGAGCCTCCTGTTTCCCTGTGTGCTGCATGTCTAAAGCAAACGGAGGGTAGCGCAATTCCGGAGAGGCCGGCTCTAGTTGAATGAGTATATCCATCGAATTTAGAAGTTCATTGTCGCTTGACCGGGTCATTCGTGTGGTGGCCTTGACGAAGGTGTACCTACGCAAACGCCCAGAAGCTGGCTTGATAGGAATTGGTCCATCCTGACTAACACACAAGGTCGTTGTAGAGCCGGATTACAGCGTTCATTTATACTTTCGGAATACAAAGTGATATATGCTTCGTGAAATAAAACTCGCTTTGCAGCATCAGGGGGTTGCAGTGAGTGGTGTAGAGAGCTAGTTTCATTGCCTTTCACGTACACAAAGTGGGGATTTTGGATGAGGTCACGCGCTTTGGCGGATTATGTCGAATTCTAGATAAGCGACGCGCCTTTAGGGTATTGAATGAACTGATCAAAAAGTAGTTACGGAAGGGACTTAAAGTCCGTATCAAAACGGGCAAATGTTGTATTTCTGGTGCGCGCCGTTTTGAACAGAAATATGTGTGGCTATCTTCATGCGCTAAGACTATTTTGGCGCTCAACTCAGCATAAGGTCTGCTATTTTCTGATCCTAAAATCTTTAGTCTTGGATATCGCCATGCCGGAAACCGTTATCTGTATGTAAATTTTCAGTAATTATATGAGTTCTATTAGCCTGTTGGTTTGCGGATCTTTGATACTAGGAGGCTATAATAATATTAAAACTAAAGGGAGCAGGGTGAATGGACGACAATATCTGCTGGAGAAAACAAGTACTACTATTCTGACGGGAACACATGGCTTAATATTAAGGATATCAAAATGGATTTTGATTCTGGGTTTATGCCTGTTGACAAGTTCAGGCTTAACGATACCAGCCATTCTCAATGACCTCATAAACATCGTTCCCCCTAAGACATTGACAGACTGGGACTCGGTGTACAACTCTCTTACCATAGAACCTGGAAGCCCATATTTTCATATCCCCAAACTTAAGTATAAGACTTGCGCTACTGTTCTTTCATTTACCTACGATGCGACTAGCAATCTGTACTTATCATTTTACTCACAAGACCTTCCGGGCTTTCGTATCGCACGTATCTCGAATTTGGACTCACATCTGACTATCCAGATGATGCTGATCATCCGCCGTCAGTCATAACGCTACTATCGCTGTTACATCATTGCTAAATTATCTTTTCGTTATGTGTGATGTGAGATAAAGGATTATTACGCTGGATACCATTGTGTGCATATGACACGGTTATCTATTACAAGTTAGCCGCTAGTTTAGATGGCTTCATACCCGCGGTGACCATCCATTGAGAGATAACATGAAGTTCTTGCCTGATTGAATATGTACTGCGGAGGGATATCGGCATTCCTCTGGCTAACTAACTATCTACAAACCCAACCACACCCTTTCCCAAAGGTCGAATTTTGATGCTCACCAATTAGAACATTGAATGCACCCCCTCGTGGTTCGGCAGGAATCCTGACTATTGATTCAGCCCCGGCGCCCAAGCTTTTCCGCTTCTGCATTTCAGCTCAGCCGCATATGAGTCTCGGTGGGGCATGAGCACAACAGTGCACAATCTTGCTTAAGATGGACGAAGAACCGTTCTTTTCCAACACAGGGACACAATCATTAAACATGGAACCTTCCGATTTGTGTCCGTTCGTTTATAATGCTCTGGTGGATCCCACGTCAGAGTTCAGAGTCCTGCGTCTGGAGCCTGCACAGCATGGCGAGCCTATCAGCGGTAACTTGGAGACTGTTGCGGGAAATTTCCGTCCACATTACTCGGCTCTCTCTTATACATGGGGTCCCAAGAGTGATGGCAAGGTCATTACCATAGACGGCCATGCCATGGCCGTCACGTCGAATTGCGAGTCCGCCCTACGTCATATTAGAAAGACAGCGGAATCGACGATGATATGGGTTGATGCAATCTGCATCGACCAAGAGAACATGCCAGAGAAAGGCGCCCAGATAAATCAAATGCGCGAGATATACACGCAAGCCTCTGATGTGATCATTTGGCTCGGCGACCAGCTGGCAGATGCGTCTTTAGCTTTTGAGACCCTCCGACACATCAGTGAACTCGGTAAATACAATGCACAAGAAGCTACTTCAAGGACTGTAGGCACCGCTGAAGGATGGCAGGCTGTCGAGAACCTGTTCAGACGAGAATGGTTCGAGAGAATCTGGGTTGTCCAAGAAGTTTCGCTGGCAAAGATGATCAACATTCGGTGCGGCTCAAATGCCATGTCCTGGACAATGTTCAATCGTGCATTGCAGTGGTACTACGAGGATATAGCCCATTTAAATGGATCAGTCACGAAGCGAGGCTCACTCATAATGAATGCCATGGAGGTGAGGAATGCCTGGGCGGGGCGAAAATACGGGAGCGGCAGAGAGCCACGGCTGGAGAACTTACTCTCACAGTTCAGTCACTGGAAAGCAACCGTTCTAGTAGACAAAGTCAACGCTTTGCTTGGCATGTCACGAGAACATGCCACTCCTGAGTTGCAACCGGACTACACAAAGTCGGTCTATCAAACGTACACTGCGGTGGTAAAATATCTGATACGTCGTGACAAGCGGTTATGCATTCTCGGTTTGGTTCAGAACCCACCCATGTATCAGGGAGAAGCCCCCGACTATAAACCACTACCCTCGTGGGTGCCTGACTGGACAGCAAACCAAGGGTATCTGAATAGGCTTTCCGAACCTTTTCGACCGGAAGGTGATGCACAGATGATGGTTACCACAACTGGCGACATCCTTATTCCTGGTGGCCTTTACATGCCTGAGTCTTTCTATGGCGCCTGGCACCAAGGAGGCAGCGTGAGAGAGGAAATGAACTTTAGAGCCTCCTTGGACGTACCGGCAGAGTACTATTTTCCTACAGCTTCTCAAGATCGGGACGTTTTCGACGCGGGTTACTTCCGCGTGCAAGGACCTGAATTTGACCCTGAAGGGCTCATGAGCCTGAAAGGTATCAAAGTGGATACTGTTCACTCAGTCACGACCCCCATGTTCCGTGTGGTGGAAGACTTTGAGGATCTGACCTTTTTCTTGAAGTGGGAAAAGTTTGCCATCCTGCAAATGCCCCCCGCTGTAGATTGTCCCTATGGGGGAACGTTCGAGGGCAGACTAGATGCCTTCTGGCGAACCATCACTACCAATCGCATACATACAGAACGGGCTTACCTCAAGGCAAACCCAATTTGTCGCCAGATCTTTGAGCAATGGAGAGCCAAACTGGTCGAGAACACGAACCGCGCAAATGGGCACCAACCGGAGAACTTTGAAACAGAGGACAATCAAGATCCTTCCGCTAATTATAGGCTTTTGCTCAGCGTTATGGCCAAAATGGATATCTCAGGGGATTCGCCACCAGGCGAGGACGAGCTGCTTCGCGACTACGAGAAATGGAAGCAGAATATCGCGCAGCTAGTAGCATCGTCCAATGTAATAGAGCCCCCGCCCTCAGACATTCAGGAGTTTACTCTACCAAATTTGGAGAGGACTCTATCCTTGTGGTGCTTTGCCCGAAAGCTAGCGCGTCTTGCCTCCGGCCGACTAGCTTTGGTCCCCGAACATACCAGACCTGGCGACCAGGTCTTTGTTCTCTACGGAGGAAGCGTGCCATACGTTGTTCGCCCCCTTCCAGGCCGTGGCAAGACCAAAGGCTACTACGTCGACGAGCACGGTGAGCGCGGTCCGGCCGGAGCCACCTACCAAGTCATCACGCCAATGCATCAATTTGTGGGAGAGGCATATGTCCATGGCATTATGGATGGCGAAGCGCTGGAGTATCCATCCATTCACCGGCTTAAGCGAGTCCGGGAGGTCAAACTTAGTACCGCTCAAGACAAAGGTACGCCGGAGTCTGAAGCTGCTGGCACGTTTACTGTGCTCAAAGAGGTTTTTGACCCTCTAACGCCGGAGCAAGAAGAAATGGTTACAGTATGGCGAGAGTGGTTACGATCGAAAAAGGAGCAAGATGTTTGGTTCGACCATACAACTTCTGCTATGTTATAGCATTTATACCTATATGACCATTTAAAGACCTTGGCCCACGGATATCCTGTATGTACTTTATACGAAAGAAATTTGGTTCAAGTTACGCGTTCCACGTCACAAAATGACCTGGACGTGAAGGCTTTGGCAAATATGTCTCGCGAAAAATAAAGATACAAAAAACTTTTCATATTAAAATAGGCATTACAATACGGCCCAGCTACGGTTTGTTTCATGATTACACTACAATCTTTGTGGCGACTTTCGTGTAATGCCTCCTTTACTCATCGGCTACTAGCCTTGAAGTGATGAATCGTTATCGCCCCTAGAACTGACTCTGATATAATTCAAAAACCAATACTATATTTTAGGAGGTAAGAAATTGTTTCCTGGGTCTGGATCAATCGCGATTGTATTTCTGAAGGTGGTTTTGTGGTAGCGTAGCTCGCGAAGCGAGCCATCTCTGGAGAGTATGTCTGTGAAGGTTCGCAGATATCCCGCCGTTACGCGTGCATCCGATCCTGAGGCGAAGCTGTTATACTGGATAGTCTGGTGACATGCACATAGTTTGGCGTCATGATATTGTTATGCACCAGCTTCGTGAAACGTTTGAAAGAAATGTTATCGATGTCAAATATGCAGTTATGGCTCGCGATGCTCTGGATCCTCGCAACTTCGACGCAACATGATGTGATAAGAAAACTTGATAAAAGATTCGGAAAATAATTTTTTTATTGATTGAAGATATACGTACGTTTTGGCTGATGATAGTTCGCCGCCACCTTGGTAGGCTGTTTCTGGTGTGTGATGCTCTGACTTGCGTGATAGCATATAAAGTGTATACTTATAGACAAGTAAGTCGACTGGCGCATGGTTACAATCAAGGTAGAAGAACATCCAGTTGAAACAGTTATTCAAGCATTGAAGTTTCCGTACATTTCATGTCCCTTTTTCAAGCATCTATATTTACAGTCTAACAATATTACACTGACAACTTTCTAAATCAAATAAACCTTCCGAGCTAGATGTTCCCACTTACCTTACGCCCAGTCATCCACGCTAAAGTCACCGTGTCGACCAGCTTCGCAGTATGCAGCCCATGCTCTGTTGCGTCTTCTTTCTTCGTTAAAATAGGCTTGAGCAGTGGCTTGCGGGTCTACTCGCTGGCCAGCAACAATCTTGCCCTCACGACGATATCGACCGATGCGATCTAGTATCTCTTCACAGTCCTTCCAGATGCGCTGTCTGTTTTTCAGACCCAACAGTTGGCTTTGGTTCCGTGCCAGCTCGTACCGCAGTCGATACCAATCGGTCTTGTTAAATGAAAGATATGGAGCAGGAGTTGTGACATATGTGGCTTCGCTCTCGATGCCATGCACCGCATTTCTGACAGCCGTAATGGCAGCGTCGTTGAGGTTTGGCAAATCATCATCCTGTCTACCCTCTTCAGTAAGAGCGTCGATCGCAATTTGAAGATCCGCCAGCCTCTCACGTTGACTCTGCTTTTTGAATTTTAAGTCATTGGCTGTTGTAGTTGCCCAAAAGGAGTAGTCGAGCGTTGACCAGGCCTCCCAGAGCCAGGGCATGTGGCGGAGTGTGTGGGAGCGAAAGAATGACTGCGGAAGGTGACGGAACGTGCGTGAAGCGAGGCGCAGGTTTGCCACATCCTGTGAGCCCAGTTCAAGTAGAATTTGAGCTCGTAACTCCCAGGGTAATTGGGAAAATACATCCGTCAGGCTGTTAGAGATGCCATCAACGGCGAAAGCACAACTGTCATCCACGGTTTTATGACCAATCCGGCTTGCAGTTTCTAGTATGGTAGGTAATTGTGTAATGAAGCATGGATTCGCAGCAAGAAACTCATCTCCATCTTTATGACGCCATACTTCCTCCCAAGATACCGCCGGATGACGTGGAAAACGATGAAACTCATCATATGTAGCCTCAAGTGCCCACCAGTCCGCGAGGCCATCAATGTCGATACGTCCATGTCGGTGGAGCGACGCGCGCTTAAAAACCTCTAAGCACGTTGGATGGAATGGCATGACATATTCTTGGTCCTCGTCTGGTAGCCACATGATATTATCTGCATGTGGAGAGGACATGCCATGTCGTACTGGAAATACCTGAGTATCAGCACTATGACGGGTAGGCACGGCTTCAGTAAGACCACTGAGAAAATAATGACCGTTCATCTCGAAATCCTGGTCACCGGGTTCGGCACGCCATTGAGGATTCTTGAGAATCAAGCATTGGAGCGTGTTGCAGCTTTTCATGTCCTCTGCTGAGATAGCATGGCCATTGTAGCCTGCGTATTCTGGACATATCGAGTTGAGTTTACAGCCCAGTCCACCGGCTATGTGCTCGAAACGAGGACGGCCCCAAATCAGCTGACCTTCGCTTGGAGGGTGCTTAGGGTTTATGTGCTGGGAAAGCATCTTGAAGTCTTCACTAGAATTTTCCAGCATATGAAGAAAACGGCTGTACAGCTCTTCTGACGGTGCATCTAGGCTGAGATGGGGTTTACCGTCCGAATCATGCTCATAGTCGTCTGCAAGATCATCATCTGTGTCGCTTGCCATAGGTGTATCGTATTCATACAGTTCATCGTATTCAGACTCCTGCATGATGTAGTCATTGTCGCCCTCAATGTCATCCATGCCATCCTGGAAGCCGTCCATCCCATTCAGCACCTCCGCAAAGCTGTGTTTGGGGATATGCGCTCTTGGCATGACCAGACATCCCGCATCTGAAGGACAGAAATCATTCTGGTTCTCAGGCGATGGGACGTAACCATGTGTCGGGTACAGCAACCCATGCCACCCTGCGGAAAACGGCTCATTTGACGTGCGGATGCGACCGATGTTGAAGGATACTCCACATATGTGGCAGCGAATCTCCCCATAGCTCATGGTGACGACCAAATATTGGTTGAATTGAAGTGTTCCCGCGATGAAGCTACCTTCAAATACTGTTTCCCATGTCCGAAAGGAGGTCGGTAAGAAGTGATTTCCTGGTAGATTCGTGATTCGGGTTGCATCAATTGGGACTCTCTCGGCCCCAGTGAAGCAGGCAACAGTCGACCGCTGCCTGACCCACTACAATCCACTAACCTGAAATATTGAGGAGTGTGCTGCACTAAGTTAGCATGCCACCTTGGGGAAAGGTGCTAAATTGTACGGAGGGCGAGGATCTCTCTATCACGTTATTACCACTCTCAAGATATCCTTCCTTTCATCATTTTCTTAATACACAAGTATACCAAGTGTCTTTAAAACTGTTCTAAGGCAATCGTCGTGTCAACCCTGAGAATTAAGAGACGATGCCCTCGGTGGCCGCAAGGATCGAGCACTATTTTTGACACTGAGTAGACTTTCAAGCAGTGTGCCATGGGTTAGACCTTCTATGAAAGCACTGACAGAGAATTTCTGTGGTCCATGATCTGTCATCACCTTTGACCCTGCCAGAAGCAGCCAAAAGCTTCTGTCTAGGTCACCAATACTGCAACGACGAAACTTCACGACGCTTGGCGAATCAACGCGACGTAGGTTATGTCAAATTCGAATTTAATCAAAATGGTCCGTGGCTGTTTACGGATGGTTGCATACTATTTTGAGTCACCTGGCAGCACTGTCGAAAATTTCTAATTGATAGGGTCCCGCCTAAAGATTCACCTGTATGGGAATTTTCGACAACACGAACGTGATATGTACCAGGACCTCACTATGCACTCTATGTAGCGAGTCAGAATTTCTATCAATCGGCGAGGTTATTACATGAAATTGTGGGCTGAAGGTTCTGGCCCGAATCCCCGAGAGCATTTAACTTGCAAGAGCAGAGTTCGAGGTGAATGGTAAAGGATTGGGTTTTGAAGTATTACCACGACGCTCTCCTACCAGGTGTGACCGGGCCCAATGTGCGCTTGAGGGAAGATACCTCGGCCATACTCATGATACCCAGCAGATATTGCAACTCTTTAGAAACGGTCCTTATCCACCACAGCGCGCCATTTGACGAGCATTATCAAGAGAAGGAAGACGGGAACCTCCTTGACAGAACTTTTAGACCTTCGCGACATATTGCTTCCTTACTGTTGATAAACGTAGGGCCCCATATTTGCAACCCTTCGTTCTAACATTGAGCTAGCTCTCGCGAATAAGCTTCTACCGCATGAACGGCGACAATATATTTCGGTGAGGACTCCGGGTTCTCAGTACTTCCGTAAGATGTTGATGACGCGTGGAACAATTTGTATCAAATAGCTTGGCAAGCATGGATTCATGGCGGGACGGAATAAAAAGATTAAGGGAAAAATCAACGAAGTTTATCCAGGAATTTGTCGATCTTGCTGACGTGACTAATGAATTCGAGATTCCAGAGTACGAGGCTGTAGTAGAGGTCTTCCACAAGAAGCATCTTAGCCTCACCCTACCCTGGTCACTAAAAGAAGTTCGAGTGGCTTTGGACTGGTTTGCCAAAGATGCTACTACCTATGGAACCATGTTCGTAAGATCATTGCTTTGGATAGAAGGAAGTTAACTAAATATCCAGGTACGACCCAAGTAAGCTTTAAATTTTCAACTCACTTCGAAACTGGGCTTCTGTGTCTTCTCATATGTAGGAGCAGTGGTACCACCCTTCTATCAAATGGTACAGAAGATGAAGCGCAGGATGTGGCGATGCAATCGTCCTGTAAACACATGGCGAAGATGAAAACGGATCACACTGGACAATGCGGCACGTTTTTCTCAAATCGATCAGTGGTAAAATTACATGCAAAACCTGGGGACCTTCTTGGTAGGGTACACGGTTCTCAGTAATATTCGTTTTTTTTTTCCTTTCTAGTAGCGATGAAATTTTGGACTAATCCTTCCAGGCTCTCTATATTGACAACATCCAAGTCATGGCCCAAGGCGCGCAGACACTTTGGAATAAGCATATAACATTTGCTATTCTTCAAGCTTAACAACACAGACAGAACAACAAATATGTGTCAGAATTAACTGATTATCTACTTGTGTTGAAGTTTTGCTTTAGATACATGAACCGTATAGTACTTAGAATTGAGGAATAATGCCATTTTTGCCGTTCATATCTTTCCTTGTCTGGTAAATGTTCTCGGTACTTGTCGTAAGCTACCTAACAGCTATCCTCATTTCATTTGACTGTCGACAGTTATGTGTGGTTTCAAAGCGACGGCAGTGGCCGATCTTAGCGATTCTGACATCACGCACGATCGTTCCTCAATTTTGGTCTTCGATTCCAACATAGATAACATGGCACATGTGGGGGTGATAGGGCAGTGGAACAGATCGTGATTCAATCTCAGGATGACATGGCACTGATTCCCGCGCAAGGCTCGATGCCCTTCAACCTTTGTCCCTTTTCTCGCTGTAGGACGTTTCAGGGTAATATCCAAATATCCCTGGTAAGCAAAGGAAATAGATCATCAGCCGGTGGCTGCACCGCTACAGGCGGTCTGCGATAGGTAATCTGTGACTGCCGAAATGTGGCTAATGGAATATCATTTTGATCTCTAGGCAAAGCGGATCTCGCCATGTAACTCGATTCCTTTGCACATTACACTGGAAATATCCTCCAGCGAAATGCAGGTATTGACAGGTGTCACAAGGCAGTGCACCATTTGACGCAGGCGAGTCCTTTCTAGTACCCTATGACTGCTTCCCGATTGACAACATTGTGCTTTGCAGCCTACCAAGCTGCATCACAGGTCAAGTGGCGCTGGAGTTGGATCTATCGAGTATCTCAATAACAAATGCTCACCGAAGGCTGCATCAGACATCCTGTCCTGGAACATCTTCATGGACTTCACGCTTGTGTAAGTGGGGGTGAGGGAGACCATCGACTGCGCCTTTACCTTCGAGAAGCATGAGGGTCTGAGCCCCACTCAGTTACGAAGTCGACGATTTGGTGGCCGACGTACAGGACATCGAGTCCCTCATGAAGACTGATGTGGTAAAACTCTCCGTGTGTTTCTTGCATAGAAGTGGGCAGAGCTTGCAATGCGCGTTGGCATAAATGACGTACTAGCAGAGCACCTGAGTCGCAAGCCCGGCCAAAACCCAATGCTCTTCACGCCTTAGAAAGAGGATGGTGCAAGTAAGTAGGATGACGTGGTAGAAGTGTTTTCGTAACAGTTCTATCCCATTTTGCCTTGTCCTTGCCGGCGAAAACTTCCGTAACCGTTGCGCCAGTATGCCGTTAAAACGAAAAGTCCTCTCACAATGTGAATCAATTCAAGTTGTGAGGACTTTTCGGATCTAGACTGATAGGAATGACGTCGGACTTAGTAGACCCAGTGAGATATCGGCCAGAGCCTTGTGGTACACGTTTTACTTGGTACCAAAGCCGCGACTCTAGGCCCATATAACTCAACCACAAACGCCGTTCGCGGTGGATTAGTTCTTCGAGACCGTGAAGGGCGGGACGACGCCGGCGAGTAACAGATGCCGTTTGTCACAGGTTGAAGAACATGAGCTGAACGAAGTGACGCTAGCGGGTTGGTCGACTGAACAGTCCATCAGCAGCTGAATCTCCAGACTTTTTTTCCGCGACATCATCAGCACATTTTCGCCCCGAGATTAAGAGGACGACCCCTGGGCAGTTTGCAGCAACGGAAAGTGGCTATTATGTGGCTCAGGGCTCACGAATCACGGATGTCCCTTGCTTCGAGGTGTGCTAACGGAGAATATGTGGAGAATCGCGGATATCTATTGCCAAGAACGGTTATCTATGGGGGCGGGCAATTCCATAACAGGCACTAGAATCGATCTACACGAAACAAGACGAGATTGGACTTTGCTGGGTCATCGACGCGCGACAGCCCTACTTGCCCGCAGCACAGTAGCTTGCCCAAAGGTTCGAGAACGTCTCCTCAGAAGCTATTCTAGTGCTGGGCCAGATCATAGATGGCGGAACTGGCCAACGTGAACTCCACCAATCACGCTTGCGTTTCTTAATTGTACCACATTAACGGACGAAAGCCCATGTTTGTGATTGTACGAGACTGGGGAAGGGGCACTAGGGGATTTGTTCTGCGGAACTTTTCAACGGACAGTTCCCTTGTTTCTTCCCAAAACTTTCTTGAAAAATCAATTTGTGTTGAAGCTAGACACTCGACGTTGAATCCACCATTGAAGGCGCCAGTAGTATGTGATCATGACACTCACAACTCGCGATGGTGACCAGACGAGTTTTGTAGATCCCAGCCTCCAGCTGAACCTGGGATTATGGTTGCTTTTCGCCGGCGCGACACTGTTACTGGCCACAAGAGTCTGGGTCAAGGTAACCCGTTCAAACCTGTGGTATGACGACTACATCCTCCTGGTTTCATGGGTGAGTTCCATTGCCCACTGGCGCTTGTTCGAGGCGAGAAAGCCCGGTCGCTCTCGGAGCGGTACAGGAAGCGAGACCAAATCTGCGACTGACACTGGTTACCCTGCAGGGAGTCCTTTTGGCCAACGATGCATTGATATCTTGGGAGTACGCTCACGGCTACGTCAGCGCGACCGGCGACTGGGATACACACATGCACATTCTCATCAACATATCATCATGTGGCACGCTCATGGGCCAGGCGTGGAGTAAGACCGCGTTGGGCGTAACGTTGCTCCGCATGAGCAATCAGTTACAGGCTGCCATCATCTGGGCGTCTATTTTCATCATGAACATCTACATGATCGCCAAGTGCATTCTCCAATGGGCAAAGGTCTGCGACGGGACCAAGGACTATCAGGCGTCATATCGCTTGAATTTCTGTATTTATGCCGATTTTCGTGATGATTTCAAGGAAGGTGGTCAAAGTAAGTTTCTTCGTCAACCTCAAAAGAGCATGGATGCATACTGATACAAGCATCGTAGTTGTCAATATCATCATGGATTTTCTGTTTGCACTTTTTCCCTGGTGGATTACATGGCGTCTCAATTTGAAGAAGATGGAAAAGTTCGCGCTTTGCGTGACAATGAGCCTTGGTATGGTGTAAGTATAACAATTATGATGACCAAGATGGGACTGACAAGTTCATCAGAGTCGCAATAGTCTCAGCAGTACGCACTGCTTGGAAAGATGACGGAAATAAGCATAATCCTTGGTATTATTGTAAGGCCGAATTGAATCTTGTTGCCTTGCTCAGTCTAATACTTGATTATAGGGCACAACGGAATGTCAAATATTTGGTCAGTAAACACTTGGCACAGTTTCGTGTCTGCCACAGTCATCAGTTCTTTTGATAGTACTCTGAGATTCATTTCACTGACTCAATATCAGGTACTCGTCCGAGGTTGCGGGTACGATTATGGTGCAGTGCATACCAGTTCTACGACCATTAGTCAGGCAATTGGGCAACTCAATGGCGTCTCGGAAGCTGCCTTCGACGGAAGATGGGGCGACTGCAGCGACATGGCAACGCTACGGGTACGAGGCGAAGGTAATGTCCAACACAGGAAGACAACGAGAGTTCACAACCAAAGAGTCAATAAGGCTACAGACGCTGTGAAAGACCAGCCAACGCAACACATACCAGTACAGAACTTTCCAAATCCCAAACCAAACTTCGATTCAAGCATATTTCGTGTGCGGCCAGATTTCCTTTTGGGCCGGTTCTCTAGATTTGATGTCGTGTCAACTGTTGTGGTAACCCGCAAGACATTCAAACATGCATGGCCCAGCAGGTACAGAGCGTCTTCATGGTGGTGCTGTGCTGTGCAATCGACTCAGCGTCGAAAACGATCATTTAGTGGCAGACGAGGTAGCAGTCATTGAATTACCAAGAGCCCATGGGTGGTGTCTTTCAAGCGGAGCATGTGGGCACGGTTCAAGACTTTGCGCCTTAGGAGGTCGTGGCCTGGAATCGCTGCGTATTTAGGAATCATCTCGCATCTTCTAAGATGCCTACACATTAGGATCTCCGGACGCTGTGCTAAGGTGGATGTGGCTCTGTGCACGCATCGGCGCGGTGCCCGGCTGCCATCGTCTGATAATAGTAGCCTTGACCCGCCGGTTCTACTGGGTAGAATGGACATAGTTTCGGCCAGGTGGTTCAGGTACCAACGACCATGAACAATCTCATATTGTTTTAAAAGCTCTTTCTCGGCACCAGATGTCTATAATGCCCTGTACCTGTGCTCCAGAGAAGGGCTTGCTGAAGAATTGATCTGCACCGGCCATGAATGCTCTTTCCTGGTCCCGCTCGCTGACCAATCCAGTGAGGGCGACGACCATGGTGGGCTGCATTTCTTGAATCTTTTCATACTTCCGGATCTCCGTTATGGCCTCGAATCCATCCTTTACCGGCATGTTCAAGTCCATAAGAAGAACATCGAACGGCTGACCACTTGTTTGTGATTGTGTAAACTGCTGCACGGCATCCAGTCCGTTCACTGCGGCAACAACATAGGTTCTTGGGATATTGTGCTTATAAAGATACGCACATAAAACCTTGACATTAATTGGATTATCATCAACGACGAGCACTCGTGGCATGCTTATATGTGACCTGAGTGCAGCAGCCGAATCCGGTGTGGCAGATGATGCGTCCGTTGGGGTAGTTGCCGAGTCGAGGCAGATTGAGGTTACACGTGTCTGAACCTTTTGATCCAGTGCGACGTGTATATCTGGCGTATCAATCGGAGCCGTAATGCTAATTAGGCTTTGTGGTGGTTCTTCAAGAATCTCAGTAGTGGGAAGGTCGTTTGTGGAGCCAGATGACCTGTCATCAGCGACTACAGGTGCAACTGGATCTGTGTGAGGTTGATGGTCTAATGTTAACACTGTCATCTTCTGGATATGACTATCCGCAGTACTGCTCTTTGCTCCTCCGCCAAGAACTTCTCGCAGTGCTCGTTCCAACTTGCGGGGCGCCACTGGACGCCTTAGGCATGCACATGGGATGCCGGTAGTATCTCGATCGTGGAGACTGATATACGAGCTATCTTTGAGAATTATCCGAGGCGTGTTGGGGGGAAGTTTGGCGTCGGCCAGCCTCTCCTCGTCTACAATAACGAGGTCAGCAACCACGCCACTTTCTAGTTGCAAAACGACGGTGAATGAGAACCATTTGCTCAGATAGCCTACAAGGGCTTCGTTGGCATATTTGGCTTCTGGCTTTTCGTGTGGAACATGGGAACAGTCGGGTGTAGCACTGCGCAGAAATACAGCGACGGTCCGGCCTTGTCCTAGCCCTATCGTATCCAGCGGTTGATGTCCTCCCTCTTCTATCGGCTTCTCGTGTGGTAAGTGACCATCTGACCATGTAGTGGTGGGATCTCCTCGCCGTTCGCCTGCAGGCCCCCTCTCAAGAGGCAGTTTTACTGTAACTGTCGTACCCACATTGACCGTCGACTGCAGGTCAATAGTACCACCCATCAAGTTTACTATCTTTCTTGTGATTGAGAGACCCAGACCCGTTCCACGGACGGTTTGATCCTCTTGCGCAAATGCGCACCACAGCCGAGTTCTGATATAGTCCGGAGAAAGCCCACGACCACTATCGCGGACAACGAGAGTCACGATCGAATGTGGATTATGATCATCGATTGTCTCACGGCCCTGCGGTTCGTCCACGCTGAGATTGACCTCTATGAACCCGTGAGTGGTGTATTTAATCGCGTTACCCAGCAGGTTCATGATGACTCTCTGAATCGCGCCAGGTTGTACGACGAAATTCCAGTCGTCAGCAGTGATATTGAGGGAAACAACAGGCGGTGACCAAGTTGCAATATTTGACTGGCCAAGCGACACGGCCCGCGCAGCTGTGGAGCTCACTGTGCCATGAAAGAAACGGCTGATGAAAACGCTGTCGGTAACATCCTCGAACAAGGCGGCCAAGTCGAGGTTTGTGGGTTGATTGAGAAGCAAAGGGTTTCTTGGACTGCTGTAAGATAGATGTTCGGGGGTCATATTTTGTTCTGGTATAGTAGCAGCTGAATCGTTACGTTCGCGCATAGCTCGAGGCATCTTCTGTTGGCTCCGAATAAGATTTGAGAAATCCAGCACATGATCGATTGTGTTCAGAAGCACCCTGCCACAACTCTGAACATCTTCCACAAGGGAGTGCTGAAGCTCAGAACAACCAGTGTCCTTGAGAAACTCTGAGGTTGCTAGGATGCCATGCAGTGGACTACGCAATTCATGGCTGACGTTTGCAATGAAGTCAGCCTTTTGACGATTGGCAACTATGGCTTCCTGGTGAGAGACCTCGGCGAAGACGTTTGCACAGAAGCCCATGGTGAATGGCAGTTCGACTGAGTGAGTTATGACGCGATCCCAATTGTCGTTCCAAACAACAGCAGCGCCTAGCACGTCCTCTCGTGTGCTTTGTAGAGGCACGATCAGAACCTGTTGAGCACTAGGAATGCTCTTTTGTAAGCTCCTTGCGAGATTTTGACCGTAATTTTCTTTGCTGATACCATGTTCAAACTCCATGTCCGAATCGGGGTACGTGATGAGATGGGGCTGGCACGAGCCGGAGGGAAATTGGTCGTCTTCGGCTGTAGGCCATGATCTTCCCACGGAATCAAAGTAGAAAATCTGTCCCTGGGGATAAAGACGTAAAAGTTCTCGGAGAACATGAGCGGGAAAAGCCTGTGGTTGGCTGACGTCCCTCGCATTGATTTGAATATCGCGACCCAGCAAAGTGACATACGAGTCTCTGCCGCCATGAAAATCGTCACGATCAATAGCTAGAAAGACAATACCAGTGCACTCCATGCCATCACGCAGCATAGTAGCAGCTCGCTCATACGTGGATGAATGTGACGAACTCCTGATTGTATTTTTTGCCCCATGTCGTGGGGCAGCGTGCGAGGCAGCTGACTTAGATGTGCTATGTGTCTTAGAGCGGAGACTAGGTCTCGAGGGCTCCTGGTTCTCTCGCGGGTACTGCTGCGTTGTCCAATGCTGCAATTGGGGAGAAGAAGCCGGATCATCAACGGAAGCAACTGGTGGCAAGTCGTTCTGCCACCGATGGTCGCCTTCGTCATCTCCGGTTTCCTTACCTCCCAACCGTTCATGGGCAGGTTTTGCGTCTCGAACAGTGTTCATGTTTGCCATGTTGCCCCCATTAAGCTTGATAGCGTCCCTACTCGCAGTAAACTGAGCAAGGCTATGATTCATCCGCAGCAAACGATTGCGCTCAATGACGTTGAGCTCGAGCTCGAGATGATTCATCATTTCCCGGGCCATGCGCACCATGACCAACTTTTCGCGAGGCTCAAGCTGGGGCCGGGGCCGGGTGGAAAAAGCGAAGAGAGTGCCAATGTTCCAGCCGGCACGAGTTGTGATGGGAATACCTGCGTAGAAGCGATAAGCTCCGACAACATCACGCCATCGGGGTTCATTGGCAATGTCAGGTATGATGTAAAATGGGTATTCTCTGCCATCAGGGGTCATGGAGCAGGCCACCTCGCAGATACCACCGGCGATACCGATACTGTTGCAGCCGAACCAGAGCTCCGGGTCTTCATCACCCTCGACAACAGTGCTGGTGTGTCTGGTCGCACCTCCGAGAAAATACTGTGTGGTGTCATCGAGCAAGGACACCATGACTTTGTCGACATCGATCGAATGGACAACGCATGTTGCGTATGCCCCAAGGGTGAAGTCGGGTTCGGTGCTGGCGGCAGCGAGGGCGCCCGGGCGGTTGGGGTCCAACGCCCGTGAATCAGAGCTTGCAATTACTGATTGTCGGTGTAACGTATGCTTGGACTGGTAGTACCTGGCAAAATGCTGATTAGCAGCAATCTCTTGCCGGGGGAAGGACAAGGGGGAATCGCGGGCGCCTGAACCACGGACGAGGCGCAAGTCATTCAGCGGCAGGGCGAGGCCGGAGCACGGAGGACGGCGAGGCAAGGCAAGGGCTTACTTCCGGAACTCATTGACGCGTCGTGGATCCGATAGATACCTGCGATCGGCGTGATATTCCATTTGATGCGCGAGGAGGCAAGGTCGAGCAGCTCATGTCCCTAGTCTCTGACGACGGGAACGACAGCAGCAATCGCTGCCCATGGCCCTCTTTTGTGAAATACACAAGACGAATCCCATCCTAGCTCCATTCGTCAAGTCGTTCCGCTAGCTTGCGTCTATTTCAGCTCGCGCTTCCAGCTCACGTTTTGGTTGCAAGATTCTCTTCTTAGGTCATCAGGTGGCCGTCACAAGAATTGACGCACGGTTATGTGATATAGTGGCTGCATGCTCCTCTGCACGCCTGCTGGGGTGGTTAATTTGACGTCACGAAAGGCGAGGCGAAATGGTCTAGATCTGTGAAATGGTCAATCAAACGCCTTTATTTTTGCGGAGATCCGCGGGAGATCAGAGCGGCCAAGGAACGAAGTTCCACCGGACCAAAGTGCCGGTACAGCACGAGCCACCAATTGCGTCGGCGTGAGTTTAACAACCAACTTGGAACTACTAGAAGCTTGCCCCTCGAAAGAGACCAAACCAACCATTGCAAAAGTAGGATTGTACCTTCGGCGAAATTCACATGCATGATTTAAAAGACAGTCGGCAAATCATAGCGTTGTTATACGGATGAGCGATGCTATAAAGCACATATTAGAGGATGTCATTTGTCCTTATGTTTTCTCTTGATCAAAACTACTGGATCAATCCCAGTAGTTACATGTAGCAGACAAGGATGCTTAGCTCAAATGTGCTGCTGACTCGGCACAGCACGACGTTCAAGGTGAAGCTTTTGTGTGACAATAGTGATCTGCTGATCGGATCACAAAATGAACATCGAGAACCATGTTGTCTGAATGGATTTATCTCCAGGATTGCGATGAAATGGCATTTGATTTTGCACGGCTGAACATGAAGCCGCACTGCCAGTAAACCTGACTTCATAAATGTCATCTGTTGAACACTCGTAATAACCGCCGGCGATGCAGCTGTCCAGTGCACAGTGAGGGTCATGAATCTGTTTTGGCGAGGATCGCAGGGCTCGAAATCATGCATTTTATGCTCTTCCACCGAGAAAAGTAGCTGAAACAAGAGGTATCCCGTGATACTACAAAAACGAAATGAACAAGGTTTCGTTCTCTGATCGAGACGGAAAGCGGCGAAAGGGATAGCATACCATACCCTTCCAGTGTTACACATGTGCCGCTTAATTGCGAACCATATATTATGAGAGAAGGCTCATATGAACTAAGAAATACGTAGATGTATCGAGAATATTCAGTCCATCTGAGATGACTAGGCAATATATCTACGATTGGTGAGGAGATGGGTTGGCTGGACTGTCATGGGCGTGAGGGTAATGGATATTATTTGCACTTTCCATGCACAATTGAGGACAGTAGTATCTTTGAATTACAATCATGTCGCCTCACGCCTTAATAACATTCGCCGTACGGCTTTCACTCCTCTTCCCATTTTGGTGTTTTCTCATCTGTCCGCAACAAACTAATTGAACTCGTGTTCATGGTTTCCAGGGTCTGCTACGTGGGGTTTGTGGTCTTGGGATTGGTCCAATATAAAGGTTGACAATGAATACAGATCAGCGAATGTCGCAGGGGTCAATTGCATAGCGTGCTGCAGGAGTCTGCAGGTAAGGCAACGACAGCTGCAATCTTTTCTCGCCGAACAGATATGTCCTCGGAGTGCTGGAGTACTCAGGTGGGTTACGGCAATACCCACTTTCGTATGACTGGCTTCCGAGCCTTTTCAATTTTCATTTACAAAACGAAAGGTTACATTAAAATTAGGATAATAACTTAATTGAAGAAACCTCATCTTGCAAAGTCGAATTTGTTCAAAGTCACTGTACCAAATATAAAACGTTGTCGGCGTTGTAGCTAAATTGGCTGGACTAGCTTGGGAGCCCTGGATCCTTCGGCCGCACACCGCTAGACTTGATTACGATCCATCGTACCACTATCCATTTGAAGCCAACTATAAATAACTGCTGACAGGTGCTCGTGTTTTCGTTTCACTCCTTGGAGGTATTCCGTTTTCTGACCGCTAGAGACGAGCAAACAACAATAATATACGACACTACGTGTAATTACCTCATTCTTTTCTCAGACTGATGCTGAGCATTCATCATCATCTATCTGCGTTTGAAGTTGGTCTTCAGCAGCTATGGCGCCGGCTGTTTCAGTCAAAGTTCGGGTGTGGTCTCGGAGAGAAATCGAGGGATTGATTGCAGACGGGCGAAAGATAATCATATTGAGTGGTCAAGTAGTGAAGGCCGACGCGTGGCTACCATATCACCCAGGCGGGGATAAATCAATATTGCATATGGTTGGTCGGGATGCAACGGACGAAATAACAGCATTACACTCAAGAGAAGCACAGGCACATATGCAGAAATATGTGATAGGAAGAGTACACGGAAAATGGGAAAATCTACTCCCTCCGATACAGGGAGGAACTTTCAGAACGCTGGTCTCGACGCACGCCGACAACCAAACATTACATTCAGAAGAAGAAGAAATCAGCTCATCTGGAAATTCGACACCGCCATCACCAGTGTTTGACACCAATGTAATAGGAAATGAACATTTCCGGAGGCGTGCGGGCAATGATACGCCTGCATCTCAGCGTTCATCAATATCATCATCAGAGCCGGGATTGAGACAATTCAGATCTGGGGAAGCATCAACAGCCTACGGGATATCGACAGATCTTTCAAACTATCCTGGTCTTGATAAAAGATCACAAGACGAGATCGTCTCAAAGTATCGCCAGCTTGACGAAAGATTGCAATCCGAAGGATTATACCAGTGCCCATATGGCTACTACGCCATCGAGTTAGTTCGATACTGTATCCTTTTCGTTCTCTTCTTGACATGTCTTCACTACTCATACTACGCTCTTTCGGGCCTGTTCCTCGGGCTATTCTGGCACCTGCTTGCTTTCACCGTCCACGACGCCGGTCATATGAGCATAACCCATGGATTCCACACGGACAGCTGTGTGGGGATATTCATTGCCGATTTCCTTGGTGGCCTTTCGATCGGTTGGTGGAAGCGGAATCACAACGTGCATCACATAGTAACCAACTCGCCCGAGCACGATCCAGACATCCAGCACATGCCATTTTTCGCGATATCTTCTCGATTCTTTAATTCCTTGCGCTCGAGCTACTACGACCGCGACATGAATTTTGATGCTGCGGCACGGTTTTTTATTAAGCACCAGCACTACCTCTACTATCCCATACTTTTGATGGGTCGTTTCAATCTGTACGTCCTAGCATGGTCATACCTATTGGATCCGGTGCAAGCCCCCCGCAAAGGCCCAGCATGGTGGCACCGTTATCTTGAATTGGCTGGCCAGGTGTTTTTCTGGTACTGGTTCGGCTACCGGACGCTTTATCTCTCGATTCCGACGTGGTCGTCCCGAATCACGTTCCTGCTCATCTCACATATGGTCACCGCCCCGTTGCATGTACAGCTCACACTCAGTCACTTTGCCATGTCGACCGCCGACCTGGGCATCCATGAGTCATTTGCTCAAAAGATGGTGCGGACGACCATGGACGTCGATTGCCCTCCTTGGTTGGACTTTGTGCATGGTGGCCTCCAGCACCAAGTTGTACACCACTTATTCCCTCGTCTCCCAAGACATAACCTACGGCGAGCGCAAAAGTACGTGAAGGAGTTCTGCCACGACGTTGGAATTCCCTACGTAATATTTGGGTTTGCGCGGGGGAACATGGAAGTCATCAGCAGACTAGGCGAGGTCGCCGATCAATTGAAGGTGTTAGAGGAATGTAGAAAGGTTGCTGCAAAAGATTTGATCGAAGGCCACCACGGATATTGATAATGCCTTTTGCTTTTCTAATCTATATGAAACCTGTACCGTGAGCATCCCCACATGCGGCCAATCAATATTACCAGTCTCAGCATAGGTGCGACACCCCCTCACACCATATATTGTAATTGTACCGCCATGGAAAACCTCCATGATACATACTTTTGGCGCGTTCGTCAAGCAATACGCAAACGTACTGTGATACTACCTGCCACATCTAGAAGTAATTTTCCTTCCCCCGCTTCAGCTATTCCGAAACCCTTGACACCCTATACTTCATTGTCAAACGGAAAAATTCTTCCATGAGAGGCCTCTTATCAATATTCGTTTTACAAGTGCTACAAGATGTTTCATAAGTTCGTATAAATCATAATATAACCATACGAATAAAGATATAATAATATACATTGAAGCAGAAAGTCTTAAGAATATAAGATTACATTATATTATAAGTATAACTCATTATTATTACTACGTATTATTTAAATGGTTTTAATATACTTAAATATTAATTTGTAATTATAATTATGATATTTTGCTTATTTTAATAGAAGTAGAAAATATTTATAAATGGGTTATGTTAGATTAGTAAGTACAAAGCTTAGGCAAGTTATCCATTTCAAGTAATCTAGGCACCCCACTTAGCAAACACGGGGAGAAGAGGCTGAAAAGAGGCACCGAGAAGAGCTGGCGTTGCCACTTGAGGTGTAGGGACTGGAATATCCCCACACACTGATGAGCATGAACAATCTAGGATAGCGCTGACATATTCGCGAGCGGAACCAGCATGCAAATGGTGTGGGAACACGAGGACATTTCAGGCATGTCAAAAGGAAGTGTTCCTCGCGTTTCTCTTCCTTCTTCCGCGACCCTAGTGTCCACTCACCTACCCCGTGGGGCCCCGCAGTCGTAGTCACGGACATGTTGGCTGTCACGACGACGCGGTCCTGCAGCTTGTCTTGACGTCCGGTGCTCACTGGACTGTACATCTTGCGTAACATGAAATGAAATATCGCCAAATATGTCAGGCAAAGTCTGGCTCACGAGCTATGGTGTGATTTGTTGGCCTCGGCGAATTCTTATCAAATTTGCAGTATATAAATCAGTTGATGAACCCACTGCTGCATTCATAGCAGACAGTATGAACATTATATTTATGTTTTTGATCCCTGATTTCCGTGACTGCTCTCCATGTCCATTGCAATTTTCTTCAAGATAAGATCAATCTCAAGCACAATAGCCTTCTAAGGTTTCTCAAGCAATACATAATGTTTGTTGAACTTCTCTGTACCTTGCTCTTCGTTCATTGCACCAGTGGGGATGATTTTCGCCCTACCTATCATTTCGTCCCCAATCAGTACTGGATGAATGAGCCCAATGGCTTAATCAAGATTGGATCCACCTGGCACCTCTTCTTCCAGCACGACCCCATCGGCAATTACTGGGGAAACATTGTCTGGGGCCACGCAACCAGTGATAACCTCGTTGAATGGGAGTACTTGAACACCGCTCTTGGCGATGAGGGTGGTGTCCAATCCTTCACTGGGACTGCATATTACGACGAGAAAAACACATCTGGCTTGGGAAACTTGAACAGCCCGCCATATCTCGCGTTCTTCACTGGTTACGTCAATACCACTGGGGTTCAAGACCAGCGACTCGCCTACAGCACTGATGACGGTGCGACGTGGACCAAGTTGGTAACCAATCCTATCATATCGCGACCTCAAGAGATCCCGCATGACAAGTCTGGCGGCTTGGAGGCCCGTGATCCCAAAGTCTTTTTCCACGATGCAACGAATCAATGGGTCATGATCCTTGCGCATGGGGGACAAAATAAGATGACTTTCTGGACATCTTCTGACGCAAGGACTTGGACTTTCCGAGACGAATTAACCGCTAATGATGTCCCTGGTCTACCAAGTGATGTCAGAGGGTGGGAGGTCACGGACTTTTTTGAACTGCCTATCCAAGGCTCTTCAGACAGCAAGTGGGTCTTGGTATTCACTCCAGCCCAGGGTTCTCCTGCTGGTGGCAACGGAGTGCTTGCTTTCACCGGTTCCTTCGATGGAACCACGTTCATTCCAGATGCGTTCAACGCCGCTAATTGGTTAGACTATGGCAGAGATTTCGATGGTGCCCTGAGCTGGGAGAATGTCCCTTCGTCCGATGGCCGTCGTATTATCGCATCGGTTATGAATAGCTACGGCGATAACCCACCTACTAGCACCTGGAAAGGTATGCTTTCGTTTCCGCGTACGTTAGAGCTCAAAATGATTGGCGATGTGCTCCATTTCGTCCAGCAGCCTGTCACAGAACTCAACTCAGCGACCACTTCAATTGTCAATCTCACTGGCCAAGGACTTGCTCCTGGAGACACGCTGCTGTCAGAAGTTAGAGGCAATGCGCTGGATATACAGATTACGTTTTCGCCAGGTGAAGGCAGTACGCTGTCACTCGCTGTTCGCAAAGGAGGCTCCGAGCAGACCTTGATCACCTATTCTCAGGCCGGCGGTATACTATCAGTCGACCGCAGGGCCAGTGGTAATATTTCTTACGACCCGGCTGCAGGCGGGCTTCATTCTGTAGCCGTTGCAGTCGACTCAAGGGGCGTGATGAAACTCCGAGTTTTGGTCGACGAGTGCTCTTTGGAAGTGTTCGGCGGAGAGGGCCAAGTGGTGATATCCAATTTGATTTTCCCCAGTGCCTCCTCTAGTGGCCTTGCTTTGACCACAGCCGGAGCAAATATTATGTTAAACTCGGTAAATGTCCTTTCGGTAAAGTAAGTATGTTAAAAGAAGGACGAGACTCCTGCGAAATGTATTTTTTTTATCAGACCTAAGAGGATTGTTATGATTGATTATACGAACAACGGTTATGCAAGAAAGGATTTGCGCCTGACGCAGTTTTCGATAATTTTTTAAATTTGTGGTTCCCTCTTTGTGGAGGTCGGATGTCATTGTCTGTTGTTCCTCTCTTGTATTCATTGCGATTCGAAGTTCCGATGATGCATGACATTTTGAAACCTTTCCCGGGCATCAACCTCCCTTGAGAAGCCATAATCATTGCCTTCTGTTGACTAATCTTGTTGTGATTACAGTGAAATGTACCAAGCGTCTCGTTACATGAGTCTACATTTTTTCCTTTGCATCTCGCTACCAAGGTTACCACTGAAACGCCTCGTTCATAGGAAGCCGAGGCTTAGCATCGTGTGTCTCCACTGGGATGATGACTGTGAGATGAAGAGTCACATCGAGCCCGAGGGATTCCGCAATGATGGCAATGTTTTGTCTCAGAATCGTGACATTGATGGATACCATCATGAAAATATCCATGTTCTTGGCCAAATCCACCGTGGTGTCGGTCTGCCTTACACTAAAGGTGCGTGGCATACTTTTATTACCGTTGTATTTTCATAGCAGTCGTCAGTCGTCCTATTGGACTTATCGTGCAATTCGGAATGGTTTTTATTGGCAATCTAATTACATCCGTTCCCGTAATGTCGCGAGGAGACCTACCAGGAGAGTCTATTGCACGCATATTAGTTTAATAGAACGAGAATATGCATCAGACAAATGTGAGAACTTTGTTGATATACCTATTATAAGCTAATGTTGGTGTATCTTGAAGAACCAATATAATTCAAAACGGAGTACTTTTTAATTCCTGGGAGAAATAATATTACATCGTAAAGATAAACCTCAAAAGGCTCGTTCAATCGACTTTACGCTTATGTTAACCTTTCTAGTATCACCTCCAGATGTGAAAATCCGTAAACCCGTTGCGTCATCGTTTGGAAAGATTTGAGTGGTCAACGTCACTTCCCCTTTACCCCCAAACACCTCAACAGATGACCAGTCTAGTAGAATTCGCATAGTTACTGTACGATCGCTTGCTGGAGTCAGAGGTGCATGATACAGGCTTGAAAATGTACTGTCAAATGTGATGTTCCCCGATTTCGTCCGATCGACAAACATATGCTTGGTGCTGAAATCGTACCCAACAAGTGTTTGCTGTGTGAGGTCGGCATTGGCACGCAGAATGATGCCAAATTGGTCCGATGATGCTGAGATTGATGATCTATCAGAGAAGGATAACGTAATGTCAAGTGCTTTCCCGGATAAATTTAGCGCCTGGTTGCCTTCTGGTATATTATCCCAGGAGTTGACGTATCCACACTTCGTCTCTAGTGATGCCCAGGTCTCCACTGGCTGCTGTACCAAGGCCACTTCCTCGTTGACTGTCTGGAGTGAAAGGTTTCGTGGAACAGACATAGCGCTTCGCCAGGGGCTTGTGGGGATCGACCCTCCATATTGCCAGTTATTCATCCAGGCGATGTTTATGCGATCTCTTTGGGAAAGCCCATTGAAGGTCGCCGCAGCGTAAAAGTCCGGACCCCAGTCCATCCAATTGGTCCGGGCATCTTCTGTTGATGCGCTGGAGAAGGTGATGTGATCAATATTGATATGTCCCCATCCGCCTGTGAGTTGATCGACAATCTCAATGACAGCGATCTCACCTATGAACGCGGTGAGATTCCAAGACTGCGGCACGAGGGCTTCACTGTTAGAGCCAGTAGCGGTAAGCACGATCTGACCTCCAATTATCAAGTTGATACACTCTTGTTCTTGGAAATTGCCACCGCTAATAAGAAAGTTGATGTATTTGTGCGATATTGTAAAAGGTGGTGAGATGATTGTTCCTGTGGCAGCATCCCCACCCAAGAATGTATTCACAAGGCGACTACCCTTGAACCCAGAGACAGACTGTTGTCCAGACAGAGTGCCATGGGCCGGGCTTGCACCGATGAAATCACCCGTAGTGGTCCAACCAAGATCAGCAAAGGTACCATTGCCCTCAAAATCCTGGAAAACAATGACCTCGGTCTTAGTAGTATTTTCGATGACGGTGTCTTCAACAAATATTTCTCCGTCGAAACTTCCAACCACATACTGCGTCCCTGAACCAGTGGTGCCCGGAGGGCCACCAGGGTTGAGACCGATTTGTGCAACCCATTTGATGTTCGTCTCATCTCCATCAAGAGGAAGTGGGAAAATGCTAGGACATTCCCACACTCCACCGACCGCATTTATGGGGCCAAACTCGCTGATATGAGTCCAGTCTTTCAGGTTCGAAGAGGTATAGATGAGAAGTTTGTGGAGTGCTGCCAGCGACATTACTAAGACCCACTTTTGGCCTGGATGATACCAGAAAACGAAAGGATCACGAATGTTTTCGTACTGGTCTTCGTATGGTGTCGGAGGGAGTGGGATTACAGGATTGGCAAGGTCATATGTGGTCCATTTCATGCCTTCATCTAGGCTGTACGCGATGGATTGCGCCTGTGTGCCACCCTCAACCGACTTTCCGCTTGTTAAGTTCTGTGATTCTGGGTACTAAAAAGATGGTAAAGCATGTCAGAGTCATCCTTGCCGAACAAAAGAATTTGCAGCTACATACGTATGATGTATAAATTGCAACCAAAGGTACAGTTCCATCTACACCGAAACCGCTCGTATTGTTGACATCAGCAACAACTGAGCCAGAAAAGAACATCTCTGTAATAGTGCCTGGATAACCACGAGCCAATAGAGCAACAGGCTGATGATCCCAATGAGTCAAGTCAGTGCTGGTTGCGTGACCCCAGGACATGTTTCCCCATGTATTCCCGCCTGGATTATACTGGTAGTACATGTGGTAGATGCCATTGTGATACAGTAGTCCATTGGGATCGTTCATCCAGTTTTCAGCTGGGGTGAAATGATACTGGGGACGGTAGGGTTCTGTATAGTTTTGAGCAGAAGCCACACGTAGCATTGAAATGCAGCTCAGTAACAATACGTGGTGAACAAGAGGGGTCATTGTGGCTATGTGGACTGAAATAGTGCTTGGAAATGGAGTGTTGAAGTCAGCACCTGGGGGTTAATCAAGTCAACGAGATTGTTTTCTAAGGATTTCAGAACAAAAAGTGAACCCCATGATATCATTATTTATATTCATGTCGTTCATTGAGTCTCAATAGAATGTGGAGAATGAAATGCGGGGACAATATGGAGAAGACGCAGAAAATGGAGAATATGGGGACGATGGATGTCAGGAATCGAACGAACTAGCTGTGGTCACGGTACTAAGATAGGTTTCCCGGACTTCGGGACGTCTGTAGTTGGGGAGGAGTGGGACTTCTATCGGCTATTCGACTCTCGGCCATTAGTCGAAATACACATGCAATCTATCTTTTCACGAGGTGCAGTTCTCTGTAGTATGTTAGAGGTTCTCTTGATAGTTACTGCATCTTGCTGAGAACAAATCACTTAGATCAGGTACTTCGAAATGAAACCGTTGTGACAGTATCAACAGTCTTTACGACTCATTAGCAACTTAGTTCCGTTGTGATCGGCATTGGAATTTTAGATGGAAAACGATTCGAGATATTCTGGTGAAGCACGATATTTAGTCATTTCGAGCTTTTACATTGAACTAGCCTTAAACAGGTATCTCAAGGTAATGCAAGATTAAGTAATAACATTTTAGTTGTCGGGTCAATAGATAGTAGTCTAACTAGGGCAAGGGAGATGTTGCATTTCCATGGCAAACACAAACAGCACCGCTCAAGCGGCTTGGCATGCAACAAGTTTGCACGCTCGCTTATCGCTTTTGTCTTCCGGAGTCCGCTAGCGTCACACGCTATTTTAACGCATGTCACCCAAACTACAGACCCGTACCATGGCGCATAGAACGCACCATGGTTCTTGGCGAAGGCTTATACTGAATACGGAGTAGGTATGCGATGCATGTGAACCCGACATTGTCGAGCCAACTAGGGCCTAGCCTGTCCTGTAATATCTCTCGCCACTGCATAGCCCGGTACTTCTTCTCTGGGACAGGCGACAAACACGGCATGGTACTTGCTTGCCACCTCGTTCTCTGTTGCAAGGCACCCTCCAGCGTCCCATCTTCATGTAGTCAATCACATGGTTATTTACTTAGCGACATTTCTCAGGTACAGTGCTGACTCTCGCCCCGCCGATACGGACTGGTATGGGAAAAGCATATTCAGGTCGAGAACACATTCATAAAATGTATCCTAGGCAACAAATAACTTGATAACGTGAAAAAAAAACCCCCCAAGAATAAAATAGGGGGGCTGAGGGCATTTGTATTTGATGTCCTAACTGACTCTATGAGAAGCCAATTGTTTTTGAGTTGGATGAAGGACGCCGATCTCGGCCTGCTATTCACATTTACGTTTCACAAGTACTATAGAGTCTCCTCAACCTTTCTCAGCTCAGCTATAGGGAGATCAACTCTGGCTTTTTGTCCCACCGATGACGTAAACGAAAATAGATCGACATCGGTATATTGAAACTTTCTTGCCGAGACCTTTTGCTCAAACAACGCATTCAACTCTGCGTATGTCCGGTCTTTTGGTTCGGGAAGGCAGAAGAACGTCCAAATAGCGCAAAAAAGACAACTTCCAGCCCAGAAAAAGCCGGCCTTAGCGCCCCAGTCCCATGCTGATGGATTCAACATGCGAGGAGTAATAAAGTTGGTGGCGATGCCGACCACGTTGTACACATTTCTTGCTAACACCACAGTTTTGGCCCGTAGTCGAGTTGACGATAACTCCGCTACGAGAGAGTAGCACACCGGCCCAACACTACTATCGTACACGAATGTGTACAACAGTAGAAGTGTCCCAATAGCCCATTGTGCAGCGTCGTTGCTTTTGCCAGTGAGTGCAGTGCAGCCGATGGCAAGCAGGAGCACGAACATGATAAGTTGTCCCCAAAGATAGAGCGAGCGACGGCCAAACCACCGCATCAGGGACCAGGAAGCGATTGTACCGAGGGTGCCCATTACATATTGTACCAGAGTCATAGTAAAAGAGACGTCCACGGCCATACCGGCTTGTTGATAAAAGTACGTCGAGTATCCCATGAACGTCGAGCCACACAGCGTCTGGATTGCCCAGACGATGCAGACCAGCCCAGTGCGGCGAAATGATACAGAACCCTTGAATAGTTCCGAGTAAGTCGTGCTTTTGGAGACAGCCTTCTCGAGCTCATTGGTATGGACCATCATGGAAATGGTCTCATCGGCATTGAAATTGGCATCGTGAAGCTTGCTCGTGAGTCCAACAAGTACACTCTTCGCGTCTTCCACTCGACCTCGGCGAACAAGCCACCAAGGCGACTCAGGGGCAAATGATACACCGATGATGAGGGGGACCGTCCACATCCACTGTAGCCCGAACGGGATTCTGTAACCCCATTCGTCCGTGCGGGAGACCATTGCTCGCAGTACACCTGAAGCAAGAAATTGACCCAACACCCAACACAGGTTAACATATGTGGTGAGATAAGCACGTAGGGCTATAGGACAGACCTCACATGCGTACGTAGTCGTCAGTGTTTGAAATACCCCCCAAGGTATCCCCAAAAGAATTTCGCCAATAAACAGCTGGACGAGTGTTTCGGAAAAAAAGACGACGAAGATGAAGGCTGTAACAAGAACCAGGGCACCTAGCATTGTGTACCGGTAGCCTATACGCTCTGCGATGATACCATTCAGAAAGAGCCCAAGGATCTCGCCCACCAGGGCGCCGTTGGACAAACCTGACTGCCATGCTGCAGTAAGCTGGTATGCTCCGTCTGGCTGGATCTCGCCAAATTTCCTCTGAAACGGCGGGTATGCATAAAGGCTGCCCAGAATCACCCCATCAAAACCTTCCATGATAATGGCGGTTGATAGCAGGACAGACCAGCCGACAGCCTTACGGTAAAGTTTCAAGGCAGTCAGCAAATCCATCTCATGTTCGGCGCTCGTCGCGGCTGCTGCTTCGCGCACAAGAGCTTCCATGTCGGTATCCTGGATGGCAACTTGGCCGAGGCCATCACGGTTCAGATGAACCATGTGGTCGTTGCTCTGTCGGTTTTGGTGTACTTGGGGTGCCATTATGGTGGATGAAGCGCCATCATACGACAGAAACTTAAAAGGTGTGGGGAAGAACGATGGCGGAAACGTGCAAGTATTGAACCCTGACAGAATCAGGTGTAGAGAGCTGTTGTATGCATGTCAAGGGACCGATTCATAATATTGTACCAGGCTGTGGTTTTTTCTACCCCGGATAACTTGCAAACGGCTCCGGGCGACCCATGCGGGGTTCCCACATCAAGCTTTGCCAGGGTGTTTCCCCTATTATTGATGAAGCGAGGTTTCTGATGGTCTGATATCTGCATCCAGTGAGACTTAGGATCATATGGCGTGGCCACGTTTGCGGGAAACGGGATACGGGAAACTTCTCGATAAGGCTAGACACTGAACAATGTAACCGCAGAGATAATTGAGGGGAAAGTACATTAGGTTAGTGAGTGGATCAACTGGGCTCGCTCAGATGACTGAGGTCGAGCCCACTCCACAATGCTCCACCATAGTAAACAAGCGCTGTTTCAAAGCATGACGGCGTTAACATGCAGGACAGAGATCTTGTACGATACTCAGTCAGACGACACCCTACGTACCTTCGATTCCGGGCAAACAAAAAGACTGATATCACAGTTGTTTTGTTGTATCACGATGAGCGCCTCGATATATACCCCACGACAGCGAGCCACAAAGGCATGTGACACATGCCGGTCCCGAAGGACAAAATGTGACGGGCAAAGACCAAGATGCCTTTTTTGTAACCAGCATGACATAGTTTGCACTTATCGGACAGCGGATCCCGCTCCTTCCAGGTACGATACCCCATAACCGTCTCATGGTATACTCACAAGTTCTCCACAGACAAGATAAAGAACTCGCTGCGATTCGAGAACGCCTGGATGATATCCATAGCTTGCTTTCTCTGCGAACCACTCACGTCCCAGCTCAATCTTCCAGTAACCCTGCAGAACTCCCGAAACAGCTGAGTGAATACCCCGCGGACGAGTCTATCATCAGTCGAAACTGGAGGAGAGAGTTCCCGTTCATGACGATCCAGACTCCATCGATGATGTGCCTCTTAGGGCTTGATTCGAAGTTAGCAGCGCGACTAGCAATTCTAGAAAGAACAGAGGTATCCACTTTGGCCCAATCCGCTGCTGTGCCGGACTTTACGTTTGATTACCATGATGCAGTTAGGTAAGATGGAGTCCCAACCATATTCCGTATCAAGCCTTACCCAATATTTATGCAGTGCCTTCAAAACCTTTTGCGATAAAATCTACCACTGGTACCCTATATTACCTCTGGACTTCTCTGATACATACCACAACGAAATCATCGTTGGCAATGATGCATCTCTCGACACATGTCTTGCACTTCTGGTCGCAGCAATCGGCTCAGTCGCAACCTGTGCAGATATCGGAGAAGCATATCTTAGCCGGCCGGATTCAATTTACATTGAACGGGCTCTCTCTATGCTCCCGAGTGTACACTTTGAATTCAGCTTGAGGAGCGTTCAATGCTTAGCCCTTCTAAGTATCTACTACAACGTCATGGTAAAGCCATGTCAAGCCCACGATTATATCCTGATGGCCTCATGTAAGGCGCAAGCATTGCTCAAATGGTTAGATTCCGGCACCGTCCAAGATTCCTTCGTTCGGTATTAATAATGGACAGTCACTTGTATGATGAGGATAAACCCACAATGGAACTCCTTCGGCGGTGTTTTTGGTCAATCCTCCTTATTGAAAGGTCGTAACTCTCAACTCCACAAACATAATTCCAACTCGATTGACCGTTATACAGCGAACTTGCTTATCACATAGACATGCCGGAGAGTAACGTCTGGAAATTCGATGATCGAATCCTTCTTCCGGAAACGTTCGACTCTTGGCGGCCATTCCATACGAGCCGGCAGCACATGGTTGAGGACCAGCTCCCGCTCGACACCACCGGCATGCCTAGTGAAGCGGGGAAAGCTTACTTTCTCGCAGAAATCTCAATGTGGCGCATGGTACGGCGTTGCACTACATCAGTTACGATTTCACGCGAGCGAGAGGTTTACGCTCCAATCATCGCGGCAGAGCTTGCTCATCAGCTGGAGATTTGGTACAGCCACCTTCCCGTGAGCTTTCGGTTTGAGAGACACGGCAAAGTGATGGGAAGACTGTCAAAGGACACGCATTGCACACCTCTGACTGCCGCGACGCATTTTCTGCAGATGCAGTACTTTCTTTGCCTCACTAGCATTTACTGGCCAGCAGTATATGGTGTGATATACATGGACACACTTACTGATGCCCCGGTGGCGGATTGTGCACGTTTCTTTGAGTCCTACTGCAATTTCGTCACGAGTGCCGTAGCAGCTCTTTCGTGTTGCCCGCAGAGTACGTGGAGCATATATGCCAGGTCAGTTACCTGCCAAGATACCTCTGATGACCGCAGCATATTCAGCGCTGCGGTGAACCAACTTTGAGCTGATATTCTCCATAGCCTTTTTATAACGACGATGGCAGCTTTGCGAGGGGCACGGGCGCCATTACTCTATCGCTCTGTTTCGCCATCCCTTATTCAGCACTTCATAAACGCTGCCGAGGCGTTCGAATGTGGGGCTGCTGTGGCAATAAGCCCCTCGCTGAAGTCCATTGGCTTATTACTAAGGGATCATGTTAATGCGCAAGGCTCCCCCGATATGTGTTAAGTGTTGGCACTGGAAAGTTAGACTGATTCGATCGACTGACAGTTTATACAAACATGAAAAGAAGTACTTAGACTGGGAACTCATGGAGACTCAAGCATTGGATATGCCATACGTCATTGGTCGTTGATATTTAAATAAATTGGCTAGCCAGAGTTATAATAAATGCAACGTCGAAAGAATGAGATGCATTTATATTCGATACTGTCTCAAAGTTCAAGTAAGCTCTTAAGCAGTCCCAGGCGAAAATATATCCATGACTAAGACGGTAATATCCTAAACGAGCTCCTTAAGATTATTACTTGCACAGGATAAACAAGACTGAAGATTATAATTCTAGACTGGCTCTTGGATTGATGGAGTCACTCGTCAGGTCGACTTGTCAACTAGACTAAGTAGTCGGGTTTGCATAACCATTAGTGGTGGGTCAAGAAGATTTGCCTGCAAGTACATACGCACGCCTATGCCACACTAGCGGAGATCGGAAGATATTAGCGACAAGCGAAGTGATTACAGTAGACCCACTACCACGATGGTAAGGGTCTTCTTATGGCGAGAAATTCTTATTACAAGTTGGTGACTCACTATTACGGTGGCCTTCCGAACAGTTCTTAATCGAGACTATGATTCAAGCTTTGGCATGTGGCGAACGTCACTCATGGAGTCACACACCGCTGAATGCGGCATGCATAAGTCTTGGAGCTTTTTAGCGGGGTTGGCCCTATACGCGTTGTCTAACAAACAGTCCTACAAATAGAATGACAGTTTGAAATCTTGTGGCGAATCTTTTCCTAGATAAGGAGTAACTTCAACTCCCAAAGTGAGGCTCTAAAAAAAGACGTCAGAATTCTAATCCCCAAGAGCCGGTGCAACTCCAATTCCCAGATTTATGTACGTTACTGGAAAATTTGGGGGCATCCGCTCGCTTCCAAAAGCGAATTGCAAGCTGACAAACGGAAGTGAGAACTGCATCAAGATGGCTTGCAGAAGTAAGCCGCATCTGGTAACGTTTGGCTAATCCTACTTACTAAATGAATGTTAACTGTTTCGATTGTGATCCCGAGGCTGCTATATACAGTGTCTGTTGGCTCTTACAGCATATTCGTGTGTCATTCGTGCAGTTCCAATACTCTGTAAGCTTCAAATTCCGTCTTCTACACTCTATATACCGGCTATATAAACGCTCACCTGTGTAATAGCCAAGGTAATGCATATATTGCATCGTTCCTGCAGAGATACCTACCAATTTTCGTTTATTGCCGTAGCGATCATCAACTCTATGAAAAGAGTGATACGCTATTATATTAATGACTCACCAAGCAGACAAAACATATATGATCGTTGTGTCGTATTCAAGGACAATTTCGACAATGCATGTATATACCTTCCATTACTATATTAAGACAACATAATAATGCAAGATTCCCACGCTCTTTTCAAGATCACTATCAAATAATGTAACAAATGTTTGCGCGAAATCAGCTTCATAGATCAGCTGGCCATCTTTGTTTGGCAGCCAAGAAAAGTTTGGTAGCAAAGACAGATTGAGTGGCGTTTCACCTGTGCTAGAACATACAATCTCAGGGGTTACAAATCATATTAATCATGGAATCGACCAGTAATTTGGTAGTTTGCAATAACGCGATATAATACTCCGCTTATTCTATATGGGGAGAAAGTCTGGCCTGATAGAGTAGCCTAAATTGATCACAAAGGATATGGACGCACCAAATCTAATTGGTCTTGACCGAACCTATAAACATGGCAGGTTCTCCATACATCTATTCTTCCCTCAATTTTCAAGGAACAGATTTGAAAAGTCCCTACTAGTGCGCAACACATGATGATGTTGATAAGCCGGAGTAAATTATAGAGTCGACTAGAGGAACCCTTGTGGGAAGTTTGTGTATATATAAAGGCATGAGGGATTTTGATTAGTGGTCTCGCTTTATGCGCTTCTCTCCAAGCTGACGCATTTAACCTATCGACATGGAGAAAGATTGCACAGAGGTTTTTGACTTAGAGCACATATAACCCTTTTTACCAGGATATAAAAATTGTCATCATGAGTGGACTGACTCTACAGAGCCTCAAATCAAGTTCAGAAGGTAAATAAACATCTGTGAATGCCCAGAAAGATAGATGCGTATAGGATAATAATATAGAATTCGTATTGTGCTGCATATATATTATGAAACTCCCAAGTAGTGTCAAATTAGGCATCATACTAATCATAGATTCTATTTGATACTTAGGTGACCGCTTTACAACTGAGTGATTATATATATTACCCAACTTACTTCAAGAGTGTAGTCGCTAGACAAGAAGCGAAAAGCAGAAACTCTGACACTTTGGTCCACAATATAGAGAACTAAAAGCGAAACTATTTCAACTTCATACCCTTGATCACCAGATTTCATCTTCATATCTCACGGGTATATGAACAAATACAAAATAGAACCAATTTTCAAGCAGCGTATTTTGATCAACAGTTAAGGACAAGAAATTCATCCACTCTGTGTGCGGAACTAATAGTCTCCTGGCTGATACTTTCAAACACTTAGTTAAGTCCGAGCGACTTTGCCTCAGTCTCATGCCAGCTGTGTTTCGCACGCTCGTCTGCAATGCCTTGGACTGCATTGTATCCGGGCATATTTCGCTTGTCAGCTCCCTTCTGTTTCAAAACACTCTCCAACGGCGAGGCATGGTCCACCCAGCCAAGGTTGGGCATGCAGACATCGTATCCAAGGCGGCGCTGGACGTCCAAGGGGTACGACCTAACTAAGTCATGGTCTAGGTAAAGAGCAAAGTTTTCTTCCTGTCGCATATCTCAGAATCGTTATTTGAGGATCAGAGACATATAAATATCTCCTAATGGATGTATAAATACCTGACGAAGGTTTGCTTTCTGCATAAACAGAGCATACACAAGTCTCATCTCATCTGACGTGCTGTTTTCCCCAGCTCCGTGGTAACAGCTGGATAGCATGAAGAATGCATCTCCCGCATCGAGTTCTGCATCAACGGCTTGTGATGGGTCCGGCTGGGAGTCCGCTGCGCTCAGGTGGCTACCAGGTATGACCTTGGTGGCGCCGTTAGCAACCGTGGTACGGCTACCAGCCACAAAGAAACTAATCGATACATCGCGGCCGAACTGGTATTCCTCGGGCTCGATGGCAGGGAAATCGTTGTACCAAATGCCATCATCGCGGTGCAGGTCTTGCATGTGCATTCCAGGTCCGACCTCAAAAATTGATGACATAGCTACAATAGGGACTTCCACCGTCTCGACCTTCTTGGAAGCGCCTAGCCAGGAAGTATGTAATATGCTGAGGAATCTGTCCATGACACCTAAATAGAGCTTGTCCGTCAGTATTTTCTCCGTCAGCTTCGGAGAATGCTGAGGAAGGCGTGCCAGGCGCTTAGTGGGATCGTCGGGACTGCTGTATTGGGCGGAATCGAGAGCAGGTCGCACGTCAACCTCAGCAGCAGCAACCTCTTCTGGGTTCAAAAACCCTTTGACTCGAACGCAACCTGAATATTTGATAGCCTCGATGATTTCTTCAAGATTATTGATGTCACAATCGAATGACTTGATAGAGAACCTGGGCTCTCCAGTGAGCTTAAGAACGCCGGTCGTGGCCGGAGGCGCGTGGACGGTAAATGTCATCGACATCTTTCAACGTGTACAGTGGAGCAGCGCTTTGAAGTGTAGGAGATATGACACAAGGTTGTAATACGAAGGATGGAGCACAGACTTCCGATACTTCTTAGTTGAAAGTGATTTCCGAATTAATATGGGTTGATGAACCCTTTTATCATCGGTTTGTCTCCTCGTTGCGAGATGTTATCATCCCGTCGCACACCTGAGGTTGCTTGCCTGCTTGGTCGTCAGATTGCGTGTTACACATTCGAATTAACAAAGGCGTTATCCAACCGACACGCACTATCGCCGATCTGCATAGCTTGAATAAAGCTTCGTAACCTATGCCGTGCTATGCTAGATTTCCTTATCTGCTCAATTGTCCGAAGTGATCGGACAAATAGCGCCAAGCATTCGTCTTGGCAGAGAACCGCCGACGCCGAACTAAGTAGTCCTATCACGGTAGGGTTAACGTAATCGCCTCGTTCCAATATTTCCGAAAAGATTAGACTGCAAGTTGACCACGTGTTTAAGACTAGGGTGTTTTTCATTATAACTTCATTCAAAATATCTTTCAATCTCAAGCTACTAGATCCAGGTTGATTGAGAGGTATGACATTATACTTTGTCAGATCTTTATGTTGACCATGTTGAGCCCGCAACTTCTTAATGACAATAACGTCTACGGGCTATCATCAACCAGTCTGGTTATATTTCTGCTACTTCTGGTACTCATACTTTGTTACAATCGTTTCCGAGGTCACCTCCACTCTATCCCTGGTCCTTTCATTAACTCGATTTCCTCACTACCCAGGCTTTGGTCTGTCTGGAAAGGAACCTCGCACCTGGAAGACGTTGAATTACACAAGAAGTATGGCAAGATTGTTCGCGTCTCGCCCACAATCGTCTCCGTTTGCGATCTAACTTTCTTCGAGTCCATATATGGGATCTCCAGCCATTTCTACAAAGCGGGCTTTTATGAAGCCTGCCGCTTTTACGATGAAGAAGGCTTGATACCAGACCCATTGGTGTTGGCCGACAAGGACATGCATACGCGAATGAAGCGCAATGCTGCCAACGCCTATTCTTTGCAGGCTCTCATTCAAATTGAGCCGCTGGTGGATCAGGTCTTGAAGAGTCTACTAGATCGTTTCGATGAAATATATGTTTCGCAGCGAAAAACCTGTGACCTAGGTCAATATATGCTCTATTTTGCGATGGTAAGTCCTTCGCCCACCCACACCCTCCGAGTCCTTTAGTCTGCTCCTGAAGGAGACTACTACTGTACTACACCGACCGATTATACTGATAAAGCCAGGATGCCATTTTCACCATCACATTCGGTAAAAACCTGGACTTTGTTCGGAAAGGTGATACTAAAAAGCTTTGCCACCAAGTCCGTTCAGGACTACCATACATCGCATGCGTAAGAAGCATCAAATGAACTTATGCTATCATCCTGAATTCTTTTTATTTTCTCTCTTCACATATAAGATCAACAGACTGACACTCTTTTTGGTGCATGGTAGGTTGGTCAAATTCCATGGGCGCACAAGTTTCTTTTAGGAAATCCGCTCGTTGCCAAGTTCTTGGATGGGCCTTCCGACTCATTGGCTGGAGAAATCATGGCTATGGCAGTTGACCAGCGTGCAGCTGCAGAGAAGAAGATCAACGAAGACGACGACCCTTCGGCTCCTTGTACTTTTTTGATGCGACTATTGAGAAATCAAAGCAAAAGTCCGGCCTCTCTTACGGATCGTGAGATCAACTCCCACACGTTTGGCAATATTCTAGCGGGTAAGTCGCCCTCATCACTGATATAAACCAATATCGAGGATCTGCGTGATGATTTACTGTTTTGGTAGGCGGTGACACCACCTCAACGGCGGTTAAGGCAATTCTGTACTACCTCATTCGTAACCCAGAGTCGATGAACCGACTAGTTGCCAAACTTCGTGAAGCAGGTTTGGACAGCAAAGGATCCATAGTGTCTTACAGCGACGCATCGAAGATACCGTACCTTTCTGCCGTCATTCGTGAGGCTATGAGATTGCATCCTTCGGTGGGCATGATACTGCCCCGTGGGGTACCACCTGGCGGTGCTATATTACTAGACGAGCAGGGAAAAAGGTATCACATGGGTGGCGGCACCGAGATAGGTTTCAACCCATGGGTGATGCAAAGGGATCCGGATATATTCTCGGATCCTGATTCGTTCAAACCAGAGAGATGGATCGACACCGATGCAAGCCGCCTGAAAAGTATGAATCGCGCCTGGATTGCTTTTGGCGCCGGGAGGCACTCATGCTCAGGGCAACACATCTCCATGTTGGAGATGACTAAACTGATACCGAGCCTCGTATTGAAATATGAGATGGAATGGGAAGATGGTGCGCCTGACATTGCTGTGGAGAATTATTTCTTCACGATGCAAAGTGGATTGAGAGTACGACTGAGCAGGAGGCAATAAATCCACGTTTGCATTTCTACGAGGGGTGAATTGATGAAAAACACTCCATGGTGTCCCAATTGAAAAAGTCGCATACTCTCTGAGATTAATTACGAGTGAAATTGCTACACAAGTGCCTGATCCACTTCCATATCGTGCATAACATCTTGCCAACGTATCCGTCGACAGAGACCTATCCCGAGTTTTAGATCATCTCGGCGACGCCACACTTCATTGAGCACTTTCAATGCCAAGACGCCATGGTTCACAGACAAAAGTGTAAGACTTTCCAGTCGCCGGGTGATGAACTCTCTCTCATCCAAAGTATCTATCTCGGCGCCGATAACAACTAATGCCCAACCTAGAAATGTTCCTGGACCATTGGTGTCTGGAATAATTGGAAGAATCCGCAGGCTTTCCGATATCGCTTCTTGAACAAGTACGCCTTGCCCATCACCTGATAGCGGATCATGTACGATCCGATGTACGAATACGTGCAACGCGTACCTAAAAAGCTCAGCTGAACAGCGCACAGCCTCGTACAAATCGAAAGCTTCAGATTCAAAAGGTATTGACAATCCGTCGTGAGGAGTTGCCACGCTGCTCGGTGCATTCAGTAAGCTTAGTTGCAGCTGACTTTCGGGGAGGATTTGAGTAGTCCGGATCTTTGATTGTAGCACTTTAGCAGAAATAAAGACTGCTTCTATTTGATTTTGATCTGATAGCGCTCTGGCCGCTGTGAGGTCATCTTCCAACCGACAAGCTTCCATCTGCAAACGGGTTAGATTTGAGGTTCGGCCCAATCCTGATTTCGCGGCTTACAATTAGTCGAGGGAGAGCCGCAGACCCTCCCAGGATCACCTCTACAGAGTTCTGGCTTACGCATGGTGGAAGGAGCCGTTCTAGTATTTGATAGCTCTTCTGCCGCCATTCGCCTCGGGAATGCAGTACCACTTGTGTAGCGACCATCGTGATGAATGTAGTGAGAAATGGATCAATGTCCTCGAGGTCACTACGGTTTTGACACCAAGCGGCAATACCAGTAAAGTGCTGTTTCCAAAGATCTGTACCCTCGCACAACTGTTCGCAGTCAGGCAATGGAGCTCAGCATACTGAAGGGCCGACGCACCTCGTACGCCAGGAGCACCAGGAGAACCATGAGCGTGATCTCGTTGTTTAAAAGGGCGGGTTCCTGAAATCGGCCTTGCAAATGCTGAAGGGATTTGTGGATGTAAAAACGTGATTGCGACGTGCTTTTCCGTTGTAGGCGCTTGAGATGCGACTCGGATATTGCCAAAAGCGCATTCTGGAGTGCCGGTTCATTGAGGCTCACGCCTACAAGCTTTCTCCAGCCGTTTCCATCATAGTCGATGGCTATAGAGATTCTTGAGAGATTTTCTGTTGACGGGACCTGTCAGCTCTTCTCTTAAGACAAGAAAAGAAGCAAAGGAAAAGAAAATGTTGTGATTAACATGCTGGGTGCCGTCATGTACCGACTTACTAAGATAATGCTCCAGCAGCCTATTATCGTTCCGAGGTAGGCCAAGCGACGACACTGCCGAGTATAGAGCTAAGGCAAAGGTTTAATACGCTATTACTGACAATTACTTCAAAGGCGGAGGGCTTCTTACCGAGCCGCGCCTCAATCGGCTGCCTCGAGCGATTGTTAGACTGAGGCCACCTCAATCTGGCGTGGTACCCTTCGCACACTTGTCCACTCATGATGCATGCTGAACAGGCTGCGGTGTATCGGGTCAGTCGCCAGCTTAGAGGGGAGATAATCTCGCGCTGGGGTTACGCACCTGGCAACTGCTTGTCACATACCTCGCGATAAGGGTCAGGTTCTTCACTGGCCCTCATAATACAGGTCCAGCATGCACCAGTTGTGTTGGAGATCTCTAGATTTGGAATGTGTCTGAACATGATGGATACGGGCAAACAGGTCGTCTCGAGGCCTGACTGATGCCCGCTGCAATTCAGAAACTCGACTGAGTCAAGATGATGGGTGATGGATGGAAGGATGCGTCTCGTTAATGTGTTTCATAATTCTGATTGAAATGGCACTAGGCATGATCAGTACCTTATCTGCCATCTCAGCCGAGACACGAGACAAGACGAGACTTCCTACAAATTCAACGAACCAACCATGGCCCGTAAAGAAATCCATAATACAGACTACCCAAGTTTCTTAGATAAGGTCTACAGTCCGTGTCAAAATTTATGTAACCCTGTCATGTATCGCCAAGCCGCTAACCAATTCTGGTACCAATCTACGTGGTTCTAAACGCTGATACCACCCACCACCTTTACCTAAACAACACTCTTTTCTGAAGCTACTGTATCCAAGGTCGAGATGCCGCCGCGGGGTCCTGGGCTTTCAGAGGTTATGAAAGCTCGAATTTCAGAGCTCCGTTCTCTAGGCTGGTCGCCTAATCGAATTCATAAAAAGCACCCTGAAATCAAGTTATCGACGATTAAAGGCTATATTACACGAGAAGCAGCTATAGCTCGGCGAGCTACCGACCATACCCCCTCGAAACGCGGTCCGAAGCGTAAATTGACCGAAGAAGACCGCGACCATATCTACGATATTATACACCATGAAAACCCCCATATTAAGCACCGTGACCTCCTTCGGGAGGTCGACGATAAGGTTAAATTAACGTCGCTTCGTAACCTTTTACGAGAAATGGGTAAACGCAAGTGGCTCCAAAAGCGGCGGCCTATGTTAACTGCTGATCACGCCCGACAGCGTCTTCAATGGGCTCGGCGACATAGAAGATGGACGGCGATTTGGTGGCGTCGGATACGCTGGAGTGACGAGTGTTCAGTTGAACGAGGAACTGGAATTCAGCCTGTGTGGACTTTTACGCGACCGTGCGATCAAGCCCGCCTTGGCGACGTAAAAGAAGTCCGGTGTAGGAAAGGGGTAAAAAAGATGTTATGGGCTTGCTTTTCTTATCACGACCGGACCGGTCTTGTCCCCCTTGACGGCGACGAGGAGTCTAAACGGCAAGGGATTACAGCGCGTGTTATTCGAGCTCTGTACGAAGCATTCCTCCCGGAGTTCGTAACCCGCGATGGTATCTTTATGCACGATAACGCGAGAGTCCATACGGCTAGAATAGTAACAGCGCTCCTCCGGGAAAAGGGGATACGGGTAATGAAATGGCCACCATACTCACCGGACCTAAATCCTATAGAAAACCTATGGGCAGTCATGAAGAAGGAGATATATAAACTTTATCCGTGGCTTGAACACGCCCCAGATACGGCCGAAACACTACAAGCACTTATCGCCGCTGCAAAAGAAGCTTGGCACGCGATACCACAGCAAATACTCCGGAACTTATCAGATTCTATGCCCCAACGCGTAGAAGATATCATCAAAGCAGAAGGATGGTATACAGATAGGTAGTAAATACATATACGCGAATATTCCGGTTATGTCTACCAGAATTGGTTAGCGGCTTGGCGATACATGACAGGGTTACATAAATTTTGACACGGACTGTATGTAAGGTTAGTCTAGTGCGGGGATGCATGCTCTGGCACTATCACGTTCGGGGAAAATATAGCGGGGATCAGCCCTGAAAATTGCATTGGAGGCAAGCTGAACACGCTGCTGAAATACGGATTGAAAGCGACTGTAACCCATTGCGCATCCTGCCTGGCTCCTTTACCTGCATGCTTATTGAGATGTCTTCGAGTTGAGATACGCCATGAGGCCCTCTTGACCATTTTCACGACCGTAGCCGCTCTGCTTGATCCCGCCCATTGGCATCTTGGTGTGCGGAACCCATGGTTGTTGAGACCACCGCTGCCTGCCCCTAACTCTTGGGCAGGTCTTAACCCGCGAGATATCGACGCAGTATAGATACGAGCTCCCAAACCCTTAAACATAGTCATCCGCCATGGTGGTTGCTTCGCTTTCGGTCTCAAACGTTACTACACATAAAGCGGTTCCAATGTTTCTGTCGGCATACGAGTCTCGATAGACCTCTCGGCCACTGGCTACTGCCTCTTCGAATCCGACCTTGAAATTAGCGATAAATTCATCGGCGATAGTGTCTTGGCCCAGTAACATAGTCATAGCCGCACAAACTTTGGTCGTATTGATGACAAAATCCAGTTATCCGAAGGGTATAGAAGCTCATTCACTTAGAAACGGAACAAGTCATTCCACCGTGGACTGATTGGAACTTTTGGGTAAATTCGTAGAATGCCAAAGTTCCACTGCTTCTAATGCGTGCTATCCGCTATCAGGATCTACGTTTGAACGTCCCTGCATCTCGCGGGACTTTGAGAATACCTTTTGACTAGTTAGTCTACGCGATCCTCATGCGTGCGACTTACTAACCTACATGTGTGGGGGCCAACGGGGACAGGTTTGATAAGGCTACAGACTTGTGCAACTGACCTAGCGCTTGATCAATCGTGTTCTTTCCGTCACTCAACGCCATGGAGCGGGGCAGGGGGGCTGGGTTACTCTTCGGAGTAATTGATCTTGTGGGGGCTAGCCATGAAGACCTATCGCTCTCTGAGCGAAACTGGCCAATTACAAAAAACACCGAGAAGACTTTGTATTCTCTGCATCACTGACCTTTTGACTGATCACTTCCCAGTCTGTTTACTCACGTCTTTGATAAGAGGAGATACCGCATTTCAACGCGCAGCTAGTCTGAAAAGATCGCTATAGTCGTGGGTTTGCATGCATATGAGTTCTTATCAAGCAATACCTTTCCCGCCCTCTGGGGTGCAATCTGATTATACCTTGAGACTTTGTGGGGCGGCGTAGGATACGTGCTACCTCACACATGACGGCCGAGAGATACGACCGTGACAGTACATAGATCTGATATCTCTCTGTGCATTTATCCTATGTGTTTTGCGGCTCAAAACTTGTGAAATTGACGAAAGTGAAACCCAACAATTTTTGTTATCACTATGAAAACAATGGCACCGTCTTCGTCGACGGTCGCCGTAGCGAGCGTCATCTTGGGCGCCACGTTATCCATGGTGAATTTTTCCTACGACGCTGGCATGATCAACCAGCTACTTTTAAGTGTGAAGTTCTATGAGTGTATGCGTGTCAAATGCAACTGCGGCTAACTCCGTAAAGCATATCATTGGCTGACATGATGTTTTGCAGATTTTCAGCTCGATAGCACATGGATAGGTCTCAATGTTGCCATTGTCAATGTCGGTAACTTGGTAATCGGTTTGGTCGTGGGACCATTGATGGACCATCTCGGTCGCAAAAAGGCCATCTGGCTAAGCAACTTCCTGGCAATCGTGGGTGCAGCCTTACAGGCATCTGCGCAGAACAGTCGGTTTCCTATAACGCTCTTGACATGGTCTCAGCTAACGTTTTCCAAGTTGGAATGCTCCTCACCGGCCGTGCCATTCTAGGCATTTCGTTGGGCATCTCCGGCGTATGTGGACCAACCTTGGTGGCCGAAACCACGCCAGGCCGTACTCACGCTATGATGGCAAATGCCTCGATGCTTGGTCTACCACTGACAGGCGTGGTCGTATCAGCTGCTGGAATTGGGGTTTATCGGTCAGACTGGGATTGGGGTTGGCGAGGTGTTGTTCTCGGAGAGGCAATTCCGCCCGTCCTCTCCAGCGTGTTCCTACTGATGGCGCCTGAGTCGCCACGCTGGTTACTGTTTAAAAACCGCCCGGACGAAGCGAAGCAAGTTCTCGAGCGTTTACATCCATCGACCGAGCTAGACAGAGACGAAAAGATTCGGGTCGAGTACCAGGAAATTACCCAGACAATTGAGTTCGAGCGCCAAAATGATGAGTCTCTAAGAGCACTGGTAGCGAAGCCATCAGACAGGCGCCGTTTCCTAATTGCTGTCCTCACCAACATCTTCTACCAAACATCCGGAGCAAACACTCTGCCCTACTTCTTTACTCTAGTGCTCACGTCGATTGGAATCACTGATACGTATACCCTCTTATACCTTAACCTTGGACTGACTGCTTGGGGTGTATGTTCCCTCGCCAGCGGCTTATGGATGACGCAGCGCTTCGGGAGTAAAACTATTATGCTTACAAACACGGGTTTGGTGTCGGTGTGTTTGGCTTTACTAGCTATTTTCGATGCTTTGGGATCAGACCAGGGAAGAGGCAATGGTGCGCTGGTGGCGACTTTCATCTTCTGGTGGGCATCGTGCAGCTGCTGGATGATCTTAGAATTCACATACCCTGTAGAGATTCTCCGCTTCTCCCTGAGAGGAAAGGGGACGGCTCTGGCTCAACTGATCGGATATGCGTTTCAGTTGACTCTAAACTACACGCTTACCTTGGCATTGGAGAGGATCGGGTGGAAGTTCTACGCGATTAACGCTGTAAGTATCCCGGCCCAATATGAGTGGGTTATTGAGCTCACAGTTCTATCAGGCTTGGGATGCGTTCATCGTGATATGCATTTGGTTTTTGTTCGTCGAGATCAAAGGTAAGCCAATCCCCATTGTGATCATCAATAAGAAGTCGCTTCTCACCATGCACCAGGCCGGACGCTGGAGGAAATGGACGCTATTTTCGACGGAATCGTCCACTTCAATCTCCCAGAGGATGTCAAGATTATTAATGGCATAGGGAAAGAACCTCCCACGCTCACTGCCGGTAGCAAGCTAAAGAACGAGGTGTGATTATTGCAGATCGAAGCCCCGAGTGTAGAGTCATATAGGAGATTAGACTGGTCACTCGTTTCAATTGTTTTACGGTCCTGCGTACAATACTAAACTAGCTGGCGCTGGGCCTTCCGCAGGTGTGGTGGCAGCTGATATCTCGACAAGCGAGTCATGCTTACTTTGTATTTAATATCTAAAAACAGTTCTGCTGATGATTGAGTCTAAGGACACGAAACTATGTAGTTTAAAAAATAAATCAAGGGAAGACCTCTGAACTCACTATATATTTTCTTCTTTTTTTTATCCCTCCTCCCCCCCACCCCTTTAAAATGAATGTGATCGGATACATTGCGAGGGACTTTCTGACTATGTAATTATATCACTCAATACTACGGACGGCGACGAGTGTGTTATTACATTAGTGTCGATTTATTTCCTCAAGATTCATCACCAGCACGAATGGAACACACACGAAGTAACTTGGAAATCCTTCTACAGATGGTGTATAGTCAGTTCAAATTGTTATTAATGAGTATTTATTCTCAGATCATGTAGCTAAATCTTCTTATGTTGAAAGCAATTTGAGAGAACATAACAGTCAATCGCAAATCCCTACGCTAGCACGGTTGGCATCTGCAGCATCGGTTGCAGAGCAGGATCCTCGAGATCGAATGTGGTGTCATAAGCCTGGGGAGCGTCTTGGCCCGGTCGCAAGATCTCAAGTTGCCCCCCTGCAGGTACCGAGAGCTCAAACAAGTTTCCTTTCTTGCTGATCCTGATGTCCTCTGCGATTCTATCGAAATGCTCATCGACGTTTCCACGCGCATCGTGCTCAATGATCCAGGCAGGCTGGGCAATGCTCAGAGCGTCTGGGTGTGCTGCGACAAACTCACGTGTCCAGTCAACTTTGTGGTATTCCTCCCGATTTGCAATTGAAAACATATGGATAACATGCTGGCGATTAAATCGTATCCTCTCAAAAGCACGCAACCCGAGCGACACATCACCTTTGGCTTTATCGAGACACGCGGCAATCGCCGCGCCGTCCTCGATTGATTGCGAACCACCTTGCCCCGAAGTTGGCAAATGGCAGTGTGCTGCATCGCCAAGGACGATCATTCGAGGATTTTGTTGTCGAGGCAGCCAAGTTGCGAGAGGGTGTCTCCAGACGAGCTTGTAGTCCAGGAGGTTCTTGGCTGGTGACATTCTCACGACTTCCTTGAATAGTTCAGGAAATCCTGCCTCGTCAAGACAAGCCAGAACGTCTTCCACTTGTCCCGGAAAACTCCAGCCTTCTGTTATATCTCCGTCGTCTTTATGTGTTATGACCCAGCCGAGATCCTTTCCCTTGTTCCAGCTGTAGATGAGACCATGGAGGTCGTTTCCCACCCACATACCAGTAAAGTCGTGATTGGGATCTTACAACCAAGTCAGAACGGGTTTCATAGGAATTTAAAGCGCTGTTACTGACCACAGAATCTAGATAGATGGATATTTTTCCTCATTTCTGGCGTGAGGAAGTAGTGTGCCCGAAAAATCGCGTACCCGGAATTGACCTTGTTGTCTGCGAGTCCCAGGACCTTTTGTCTGGCCAAAGACTTTGGGCCGTCTGCGCAGAGAACCACGTCGCCCATAATCTTAAACCCGCTCTTGCACACAACGCCAACTTGACGGTCGACACCCTCAACACCCTCATCAACGTAATCCACGACTTGCTCCCCAAGCTTCAGTGTAGCCCCAAGACGGGTTGCATAGTTGGTAAAAAGCTCATGAATCTCGCCACGATGGCCCGCGAACTGATAACTCGTTTTAGTGCTCTGCAATCCATGAAGAATAGAGAGCTCCTTACCTGGCGGCGCCTATGGTGGATGTGCCGTAGCCACGGCTCTTCGACCAGTAGTTCGTTCTTGGCATTAAAAATCTTGAACGTATCGTTGTTGTTGATGCTCATGGTCAATAGTTGATCGGCGATCTTTCCTTGGTCCCATGACTCAATGATCATGCCTCCGTTGCCGAAGAAATCGATGACGTCTCCTTGTGTCCGAGATGCTGGGTACATCTCGACCACGGTCACGTTCATTTTGCGGAGGCAGCATTCGATCGCAGCTGTCAAGCCGCAGAAGCCAAGTCCGACGATGATCACATTAAGCCCAGGCGCACCAGGGTTGCTACCGTCAGGCGCAGAACTTTTGATGTAAATCTCTTCTGGGATTGCTGCCATACTGATGAGTGGGTGTAGTTCAAGAGGGTTGTTTCGTTTAAACACGCGAAACCAGCATGGGCTTGCCTCGTCATGAGTAACGATGTGATTTGGTCGTCACGAAGAGCACAGGCGATGCTATATACGTTAGATGACCATCGTGTTGCCAATCAGAAAAAAGCTGTGCGGGATGGTCGACCCGCTTTTCTACAGTTACTCCGATCAACGTGAGTCCAAGCTTATGATCACTCCTAGACTCCGAACAGTCTCGACAAGAACCGCCGAATTTAGGAACTAGACTAGTCTGGTCTAATTACAAGATTGTCCTTTTGGCGAGCGGAAGTGCTGCACAATGCTTGTTCGGGGGGTCGTAAGCCAATACATGGTTCAACAGAGAACCATTCATGGTGCCTGATTTAGTGATTATGGCATCGGCACAACTAATGACGCCTAGAATGGGCTGGTGGTGCGATGCTGTATTTACAGAGATAAGACAGATGCAACACAAGTACCATGGTATAGTAGATACCAATAATTTTGTATGTCCCCTAAGTACTACCAAGCCGTCAAGACGAGACGGAGTTTCTGTTAGAACTAAGTTAACCTATACTAGACTAGGGTTAACTTAGTCGTATCTACTCCGTACTTACGTACTATGTAGACATTTCAGCTTTAGACGAACCTTGGCACCGTGGCGGGGTCGGGGTGGGGCGGGCCTACAAAATCATTGTCACCTATTGTACATAGCTGTATCCTATCTCTGTGCAGATAACACTCGGCAGTTCAATCGTTGATTGATAAGCTTGTGCCAGAGTTGGGCTGCCCACCACGCGATCTTACATTATCAATCTGATCCCAGCCCTTTGCCTGTTACTCCGAAGACAGATGGAAACACCGCTCAGATAAACCCTTGCGAGCGATATGTCCAGAGTGTTGCTCCTGGCGTGCGAAAGCTGCCGGAAGCGAAAGGTTTGCTCGACTCCGCATCGTGTTTCCAAGCCGCAAGGCAGCTAACAAATCACTCGAGGTACGGTGTTCCGGCTCTCCAACAAGTGCGTGCAGCAATTGTGTGAAGCAGAACATCCCATGCCAGTTCGATCTGCACCGACAGAAGCGTGGGCCTCGGCCAAGACGCACAAATGCCCACGGTGACTGTCCGCCTTCATCTGCTGCAAGCCAATCGTCTGCCCTTGTACCCGTTGAACCTCCCCATCAGGACCGCCATGCTCAGAAGGACCAAGATAGCGCGGTAGAGCAATATTCCTCTCTTCAGCTGGATGCAATGGAAATTTGGAAGGCTCGATTGACTGAAATATTCGGAGGCGATAGCTACCGCTTAAATGGGTTCGACTGCCCCCTTGTTTCTGACTGCTCCCAAATCTGTGCAGCGTTTCAGCTGACAGTCAATGTGCTAGCGATCTGTTGGTATCTATCGACCAGACTTTACATTTAATCTTGATTTTTTGTGTAACAGTCAATAGCCAGCAGTGTCCTATACTGTCCCCAGCAGCCTTTCTGTTTCAACTAGAGAATGGCCAGGTTACAAGGCAGCTGTGTCATGCAATGTGTGCCGCCAGCACGTCGTACTCAAGGCATGCTTTTTGTACAGAGCCGCTGGTGCGAATTGCTTTTGCTGAGGATGCCCGAGAAGGTTTGGCATTGCTTTCGCGTGTAGAAAACTGCACGAATTACCAGCAACTCCTAATTTTGTCAGTGCTCTCATTATATGAGACGTCTCAGGGGAACGGCATTCAAGCCTGGTATGACCTTAGTAGGACTTATCTTTCCATGTGACAATGCATTACCCATTGCGCTAATATGGTTTGTGGTAGCGACTGCGATAAACATATTTTCTGCTCTCAGATACGCTTCTTCCACAGCTCAAGATGATCAGACGACTAAAGGGCTCAACATGGTTCATGCTTATTTGCAAATCGCTTTGATTTGCCATTCAATTGGGAGCCGAGTACGGCCAACTCATCTCGAATTAATAAAGCTACCTCGCGGTAAAGATGATGACTTATTGAATGGGACCTCATTCTTCCCCCAAGTATTGCTTGGACTGTCGGATCTTATACAACGATGCGTCAATTTCTCTCAAAGTGATTTGACAAAGTTGATCCCTGCACCTTGGTCCAGGAAATCAACGTATTCGGCACTAAAGCAAGAGTTGGATACTGCATGCATCATGTATGGTGGCGACTCTGCATTGTTAGATCCAGAAACTCTGGATCTACTGCAAAGCCAAGAAGGGGGCGTAGGATCTTACGCCATCTGTGTCAGTATGCTCCATTCAATGAGGATACTACTCGACGCTGTATTTATCCCAATCCCGGTGATTGCCATGATGCCATCCGAGCACTGCACCGCAGATCGAGAAGAGGATGCCTCTAGGATTGCATGCGTCTCTAGTCGCCGGACAGAAGTCTGCTTTCCTGCAGCACCTCGATTGTTCTGGTGCGAGCGATTAGCTTCATGCATCAGGAGTGCACGCAGTATCACTTCGCTTTGCCGATCGCTCATGAAGTATTGTGACTTTATAATGGTACGCAATTCAAATCCTGGACATACTATCATACGTGTGTTCTCTAACAAATCATGAAGCCACCATTCTTGGGGTACAGTCTATTTCTCGCTGGCATAGTATTTCTGAACCAACTTCGCAGCGAAAAAGACAAGCAAAAGTTAGGAGCTATCGTTGAGGAATTGAAAATCGTATTCTCCTTTCTGGGTACAATGAGGTCTTTCTTTGCACCAGCACAGACCTGGCTTCAAGTGCTGCTTGAAGTACATAGCCTTGACCCTCTATTGGAGATCGACGTTCTTGTAAGAGGTTCCACAGAGCTCTTTTCTTCCTTCATGGGAAGGTTCAAGGGGGTTTCGATGCCACCTTTCTGTCCAATCAGCCCAAATAACACGGCACCTGAGCAAGGAACAGAATTTCGTGCAATGATATCATTGCAACTCCCGGGAAGGGGGGTTAAATATGGGGGTACAGATTACACTAATATTACCATAGAGCAAGCATGTCGCTCGCGATTCAACACATTTGGAGAACAACAAGCTACTGTAATTCCGAACAATTTGGCGACCGCAGGTACAAATAACCTTCAGGAGATTTACAGGAACGTTATTGAGCAATCAATCCAGTTCCAGGATACAGCGGCCCGAAACACCTAGTCTTCTTCGCAATAGTGGGTACAATCGTGTTAAGAGAAAGAATGCAATGGTGATAAATACTACTTATAAGTTCACTCTAAACGCGGTTGAGAACTACTAATCCCCGTGTTTATCCACATTTGGAATTGCACAATTCTGAGAGTAAAGTTTAATCATTCAAGCCTCCGCGTAGCATGTTTACCATCCCACGATTCATAGCCGTGCACTGCACGCAGTAAATCGAAACATCATTGCACATGAGAAAATCAACCCAAGCGGGTGACAGATCTCGATCATATTCATTGTCACCCTGTCAGAATGAAATTAAAAAGAAAGTAAAGAATTGAATGAAATGAAAAGCTTGACGATGTGTGCTAGCAGAGCCTAGCTAGGAAGGTTTTACCCAATTTTCCTAATCTAAGGTACCATGCTAGATATTCGCTAATGGCCTACCTCGTAGCTTCTCTTGCACTCTATCTGAAACGTTTTAAAGATTATCACATGCTTAATTTCGATCTGGCGAGGCGTTCTGGGTATTGAAGTTGTTCAGCCGCAAGAATCGGGTGATGGAGTACGCTAGCCCCGAGGGGCTGGCGATGGCGAGAGCGGGTGCGGATCCAGCATTGCCGGTGAACAGGGACAAAAAGAAGGAGGAGAACAGCACGACGACCTCTGGATGGGCCTCACTTCCACATTCGTGAGGCATGGCACGCTTGATTTGCATAATGGGCACTATCTGGATGCTCAGACTGATCAACTGAGACGATTGCCTTGAACCACGGACGAGTTCAAGGGTAAATGAGAAATTTTATAGCGGCTTTCGAAGCTATCACATGAAAGACCATGGTCCCTCTACCCCCCTTGCTCCTCCAGGTCATCTTAAGTAAACGCCAAGTAATTTTACATAAACTTTTTTCTTGCAGTTCCTAGCTGTTGCAAGAATCGCTTTGTAACAAATTGTTGTCCTATGGCCAGTCTAAAATTTTAACTAGCAATTGGCTCATAAAGGCTCTTAAATACAGCATATACATCTAGTAAGTCCGTGGGGGATCTCATCTCTCGATGGTTAATAAAAATACAATACAGTGGGTCTTCATGCGCAAAACAGTCTTCACGCTCACAGCCTGAGGATACATACACGACAGCATTATCAGAAGCTAGTTGAGGTCATTCTCCGAACCACATGATGATCCTTGTGTGCTATGAAAATTAGCTTTTACTATAAGTAGTGCTTTGTTCATAGTTTAGCATCCTCTTGGTAAAAGTATAACGCTTGCCTTTCCCCATTTTGACGGCGTCAACAGCACTACTAGAATATCCATTGAATTCTGGGGCGTCTATGAAGATGTATTAGTCGGGTGCCATGCCTTTTGAACAAATTCCTCGATGTCTGCCAGTAGCTCATGTGGCTTCTCTAGTGCCTAAGAAGTTGGACATGTAATCAGTAATCAACACAACTTTCTCGCTGGAGGACATTGCTGACTCACAGCAAAGTGGCCACCGCTAGTGTGCGTGGTCGCGGTGACCAGGTTACAGCTTGTTGCCACCCAGCTGATAGGCATCGGCATGAGTTCCTTCGGAAAGAATGAGTATCCTGAAGGTTTAGATACATAGGCACGGATATCGCCTCTCTTTATTCACGTCAGATTTCATTCAATACATCAGAGATAGAGAGAGAAAAGCTTAAAACGTACACCTGAAGCCTTTGCGATTCGTGGTTCTTCTTGATCGCCCTCCATCTATAGCTTTAATATCAGTCAGCTGTTTTTGATATGTAAATAGAGCCATACTTACGTCGCGGTATGGGTAAAGACATCTAGGGAACGTATCAGTGAACCAATAAAGCATAACATCAGCGAGTATCACGTCTAGCGAAGGATCCTCATCCGACCAATCTAGGAACTTTTCAGCTATCCTGATGAGTGTCATGTTAGCATCCGTTGCTACCAATGGTATCAGATTGGGAATCCCACCAGCTCAACAACGCAAGCGGGCTTGCGCTGAGGGCGTGACCGATTGTTGCTGTTCTTGTTCCGTGTTCGACCGCATACGCCGAACCGACTTCCCTAAACCATTGTATTCTAGGTAAAGCTTCTTTCTCAATCTTGAGCAGTGGCAGATCATCTGCGTTCTTCGGCCGCAGAATTGGGCAATAGTTAATATGCATACCCTGGCATCCATCACAGAAGGCGGCCTGGTACCGAGCAATGGATTGACCCAAATCACCACCTTGTGAGATGTAGCCTTCCGAGAATCCAAGATTGCTCATTAGCTTATCAAGAGCTAGAGAAGCGTCCACAAGAGTGAAGTCCTTCCCATGAGGGGGGCCGGAGGAAAAGGCGTAGCCCGGAAGACTAGGCACTACGACATGGTAGGGCAGCGAAGTTGGTGTATACCTGGAGGTCAGAATTTCAAGTATGGGTAGGAATTCCAGAAATGATCCCGGCCAACCATGGTACCTATGAGAATTTTTGTCAGTCAAGTATCATGGATGAACGGGTCGGCTTCGCTTATTGACGAGCACTCACATGACTAAGGGGATTGCATCTACATTCTGAGAGAACAGGGCGATGAAATGAATTTCCAATTCATCATTCTTGTCATTGAAGCCATTCACGGACATCTTGAAATTGGGAAGGGAATTGATGCGCTCTTCTTCCGCTCGCCAGTCAAACTTGTTCAACCAATAGTCCTTGGCATTGACAAGCCATTCCCGTTGGATGCCATATCGCCTGCCGACGGATTGTGAGTTCTCAAAGGTGGCAACGGCGACAGGCGAGAGCCGCAGGAGCTGTTTGAAATCACGTAGTTTTTGATCCGGCACATGGACTTGGAACTGGGTCGGGTTCGTTCTAACGCCGGAAGGCAATCTTCCAAACTCCATAAGCGACATGCTTACGCTTGAGTTGATCGAATGTCGTCGGATAAAGGTTGCAGCGTCCTGAAGTTTCCACAGACAAATGATGAAAACTTCATTGCACCCAAACATTCAGGGTATGAAGACCTGTGTATGTGTGTAACCGTATCCGGTATTCGGTTTGAGCCGCTAATCTTGCACGACGTGTGCCAAGCCTCACTTGGAGAATCCTACCGGTATACGCGTGTAGTTATCCTAAACGGGGGAGCGCAACATACAAGCGCCTGCTGGTTATACGCGTATATCCATCCCGATTTGGCAGACGAACTGAACCTAACCTTGTTGGGTATGTTAAGCGAGTGTGTGCGCACCATTTTCTGTCAACACTTAGTTTTCTATCGTTGATATGGAAGAGTCGGCTTCTAACGACGATTTGGTAATTCTTTCCTCAACAGTCATTAATTCTTGTCTCCATTTGGTGCTAGCGAAGCGGAATGAGTTAGAGTAAGAGTGTAGTCATGTTTAGAGTTCTTTCGGCTTGAAGGAAGACAGTGAGGATTTTGTTGTGCATACAACATTGGGAACACGTGTATAAGTGTCCATATTTTGGCACACAATCCAGAGAAGCTAGGTACAGACCGTCTACCAATTCCCATTTGGAAAAAAAGTCCATCAATATCGAGCTTAACATTTCGCAGATATCTTAATTGAACGCTAAAGGTGGTCTTCAGTCGATTCACCTGAGCATCAAGTTGTAGGAGCCTTAAACTAGGCTAGTCGCCCATGTTCGAGAATGATATATAGTAGTTAGTAGTGCCCTGGATACTATAGTATCGTAGTGATGAACAAGCTTAATATTAGTTGACACGCAAAATTCTTGGTGACATATAGGAGTTTGTGTGGTAGTACAGTCCAGCTAGCTAAGCGATCCACTTTGGATGAGCCACTGCAGAAGCACTGGATGCGCCCACGACAGCTTCAGTACCTTATTATGATGAGAGTGAAATGTGTTCTGGTGTAAATCCAAGGTCCTGGCCGTAATCCAAAACAGGCAATATTGAAAGAAAATAAAAGGAAGCAGCCGGTTCCAGAACGAAAACCCTGTCAAGCAGGGGTATTCCACCACATACATGCAGATCACCTACAGACTACCTGCATAGACACGTATATCCTCCTGCTTTTCTCTAAGCGCATAATCCAGTCTCAACGGCCTGTAACAGCTAGTCTATTTCTTCGTCGAGTAAATTGCACGCGTGAAAGCTGACCTTTTGAGACTAGTATAGCACTCGTCCGATACTCAAACTTTGATGTAGTGTCCTCCTCTACTAGGGCTATACAATGCCAGTGTGCTCGGAGACCCATTTGAGTACATAGTGCAAGCAAGGCGTGGTATTTCATGCAAGATCAAACAAGTTCAACATTTTCCATGATATTCCATGCTTGTGAGTCTTCACTGAGGGTGTCAATGGATTTCGCCGTCATGGCAAGTCTGCACAACCAGACCTCATACTTGTCTCATCAATGATCGGCTCAAGAGTCATGGATGCATGGGTACATTACCGGAACCAGAGAGTCAATAACTATTAATGGTTACAACGACTGGGTCAAACAAACTAGACCCTATTCATCTTTCTCGTGGAGAGACAAGTCAAGGCGACTGAATGCGTGGTACGTGCAGACTCTGGACTTGTTGATGCACTATGACTCAATCCCGTGGAACTCCGTCGTGTACCACTCCCCATATGTACTGGTGCGGAGTATATAGAAAGCTATATTATGCTGAGAGCTCATCTGTCCCTAAACTAGATCTCACAGTGTCTTCTCTTCAAATTCCTCGTGCTGCTTCGCTCACAAATCATTGGCACCATCATGTTGCAGTTATCAAGTATCCTGGTAACGCTGCCAGTTTTATTACTTCTGATTCCACTCATATTTATTCTAACTTCAGTCGCTGAGTACTTCATTGATCGGAAAGGGTTTCGCAAATACCCAACACAAAACTGGGCTTCAGGAATAACTGGGCTCGCGTATGGATGGGAGTGCGGACGTCTCCATAAAGAAACTCATACCAAGAGGCTTCATCAAGCTTTACAAAAACAATCGGTGATCCGCATTGGACCTAATTGGTTGTCCTTCGGTGGCTCACAAGCAGCAAAAGATATCTACGGATACACTTCGAAATGTGTGAAAGCTGGCATTTACGACAAAATGGCCGATGGCGGCGCCAACCTCAATAACATTAGCGACAACGCGTATCACTCGGCGCGTCGCCGTATGGTCGCATCTTCTTATGCGCCCAAGAACATCGAGTATTGGGAGCCCGGAGTCGCCGCTTCGGTCATCGCCCTGAAAGATGTGTTAGATCAACGATGCGCAAGGCCAAAATCACAGGAGATGATTCAACCGGAGGAGCTGAATTTTGATGCCGTCAGATGGATTTATTTGTTTTCTATGGAGTGCCTCATCAAGATTGTTTTGAGTCGTGATGTTTTCTTCGTCCGAAATGGGACCGACCACATATACTTTAAGGACAAAAACGGCGACTCGCGAGCCATACAAGCTTTACACAGCACACACGCAGGACAGCGTGCCGCATGCACAATTATATGTAAGCTTCATGCTAAAGAAAAAGCATTGACCACCATTCGTAGCTCATATCTAGACTCTTACAGGGGATATGGACAGATTTGGCTTTTGGCAGAAAGTCACCAATCGTCTTTCGAAGTGGTACGCTGATAATTGGCAAGCGGGAGCGGACTTTCATACAGTCATGGAAGCACTTGCTATCGAAAGAATGGAACGACACGCGAACGGCGAGTATCTTTATGATTTGTTCCAGCCGATGATAGAAGACGTGAAAGGAAACGAGGCTGACATGACTATGGGAGATCGAATTGCCGACGTTGAACAAGCCGGTAAATTGTCTTTACACCCTACTTGAGTTGAACGAATACTAACGTCCATTAGTTGGCGCGGGCACGGATGGACCAGTAGGTTTCCCGCGTGATGCACATCACTCTCAGCCTCGAAAATCCTCAATTCGGTCATATAGTCCCGATGACATACATTTGAGTACTGACGAAACCTCTTATAGGCTGGTTCTATCATTATGACTCTATATTACCTTCTTCGCAACCCGGACACCTTTCATAAGCTTCGTACTGAGCTCGATAGTGTTCTGTCTCCGACTGATGCAGTTGCACCATGGCACAAAATCAAGAATCTGCCTTATCTGCACGCATGCATTGATGAGTCTATGCGTCTCTCACCTCCAGTGGCTACTGATCTTATCAGACGAACCCCTCCAGACAGAACGACTGTTATCGGCGGCGAAGTCATACCCCCTAGCACAAATGTTTCCATCTCAGCATACACTGCTCATAGAGATCCAATCGTGTTCAAGGATCCTGAAGTTTTCGACCCAAGCCGCTGGATGGCAAAGGGAACAGACCAGCTGAGAGAGATGCTTGGGATTTATATTCCATTCAGCGCAGGCGTGCGTGGTTGTATCGGCAGGAACGTCACTATTCTGATCCAGAGCGTATGCATCGCTAGTTTAGTCTATCACTATGAGTTTACGCTGCCTCATAAGGATTGGGAGATAGAGTTGGAGGAGTATTTCAATGCATGGCCATTGAAGATGCCTCTCAAAGTATGGAGACGGGACGAAGACTCATTTGTCAAGGCTTAGCCTAGTATACACTTAGGCGTATACTTACTGTCTGAATTGCTGGTCGGAGGTAAATCACCCATTGCCGATGCTTCTCGCATGCTGTCAAGGTTATTAATCGCTTGCTGTATACCATGTTCTTCTCTGAGTGTGACTGCATGAGCTTACACATAACCATATATATTATGCATGTAACAAAGACGACCCATAAACATCATTGATGCCATTAGATACTTATTAAGTCATTTTCAAGTTCTCATTGTTTTAATGAGCTCGAGCATGATATGATCATGATTTTGCTCAGCTCTGGACTCCAGGCGACTTTACTAGTAAGAGCCTGACGCTGGACTTTTCACGTGAAATACTAAATCTTTTCGTTATAGCCACATTAGTAATATGCATTATAGAATTAATTTAGTAACTGTAAGGCATCCGATCTATCTATGAGTCAAGCCATCGGTAGTAATCTTTCATCATTTCTGTCCATCATTTTAAATACCTGCCCAGCTTGATACCAGAATTAGAAAAGTAGTTGTCACAATGTAGGCGGCAAACGCATCTAGCACCGGACTCCATTGGAGATGTGCTTCAATGCTTGATGATCGAGCCCGCCACAATTCGCAGATCATGGATTCCGATAGTATATGTATCCTACACAGAAAACTTGGTTAAGACTTATCCACGACATTGTCATTTTCTCGGCAGGGTAATTCGCGCAAGGGGTGCCTGTATCATGCGGCTCAGTATAGTATCATCTGCAGTCACCGCTTCAGCTGCCAGTAATCCCCACGCCTATATCTTGTAGCAAGATGTATTGCAGTCCAAAAAGAAAATGTTTAGAATTCATAAAATAGAATGCTAATTGTAACTACGAATGCAAGGAAAACCCGAGAATAAGTCTTGAGATAGTCCAAGTAACCTTCTAGCCATGGTTGTCAAAGGACAGGACCGCTGTGAACTTTAAACACCTGATAGTGGACTTATGATGAGAAATATGTAGACACAGCTTTGGTCTGAATTCTTTAGGCTGCTCCAGAAACGACCTCGCTAGCGAAACCCTCGAAGAGCTCTTGAAGCTTGGCTGGGTTCTCCAGTTGAATCCAGTGGCCACAGTCCAGAATCTCAATGCGGAGGTCTTTCACCCACTTCTTGCTGTTCTCGCTCTGCATATCCGCGCGCGTAACGTAGTCCTGGTGGCTGACGACAAGTAACGTTGGTACTTTGCAGTATCTGTCCTCTTCGGGAATCTCCGCCTCATCTGGCAGATTAATGCCGCGCATGCCAGCTTTGTACCAGCTAAGGGGGCCTTGGTATCCCTTGGAAGCCAGGATCCGGTCACGCGTCGTGTACTCAGACAAGCTGTACCAAGCCGGCAACGGGCCAGTTCTGCCGGCCCGGACATATTCAGCGGCCTTGTCCACTGGAGCGAAATACCTTTTCCAGTCCTCGGGATCCTCCGGATAAAGAAGACTGAATACTGAAGCAGGCTGAACATAGGCATTAGTTATAGCGGGAATGGCAAGACAGATTGATTTAGACGCACGTGTTCTTCGCAATCCTTCTGAGCCTCCTCGCTATTGTGCCAGAGCCAATATCCATATGTCTCGTAGCCCAATGCCTCTCTTGTCAATTTGATGAAAAGATCTGCAAATAAATCAGCAATCATAGTCGTTGCTGCCAAAAAAAAGAAAAGAGATCTTACCAATATCCCACACCAGTCCCGGCTCCAAATACCCTACTGAGATGAACACAGCACCATGAAGACGGTTCGGTATATACGTAGTAAGGCGAGAAAGCAGACCACAACCCCTAAACAAACGGTAAGATGGAGTACCTGCACGTTTACCCCTTTTTTTTTTCTGAGAAAGGGGGGCTTACCAGTCATGGCCAACCGCAATGCATTGCGCCACGTTTTCACGGTCCAATATCTCAGCCATGTGGAGCGACATGGACTTCATCCGGTAAGACGTCACATCTTTCGGCGAATCTGTATCGCCATAGCCAAGTAGGTCAGGGGCGATGACGCCAAATCCCGCAGCTGACAGCGATGAGATCTGATTGCGCCAATCATAGCAAGAACTAGGATAACCATGAAGCAAGAGAAATGTCGGCTTATCTCCTGCAGCCGAGGCAGATGCAACGTAGCCATAAGTTGTTCCATCGGACAAAGTAGCCTTCTTGGCTAGTGACGGGAATGCAATGGAGGCCATCTCAGAAAATTTCGAGTATGAAAGATGGGAAATCTGAAAGTAGTACAGGTGAAGTTATGACGAGGTCGCGGTACCATTACACCCCAAGATGAAGCCCACGTTTTATTACTTGTGGACATCTATGTCTAAAAGACGGCCGCTATGATCAATATGAGATGCTCGGTCCGAGTGGTTCGGACTCCGCGATGGCCATATACGAAAAGAAAGAAAAATAGAAAAAGAAAATAGTAGATCAAGCATATACTGGGAACGCTTCGAGCCCATCGTTTGCGTTTCCAAACGTCGTGGCACCAAGACTGAACTGGAGAGATCCCCGCACTCGGGGTTGTCTCAGGAGATAGTGACCGAAATTCTTCGAAAACTGGGCCATCCCCTCCGTGTTAATTTTCTCCAAGATTGAATTCATCCCCCCGCAAGTGTGGCGCGCGAAACCTTTCCACCTGACGTCTGCCTGGATGGCAGTTTTTAGCGAGGAGCAGAGTGCTTACTAAGGTGAGTGCTCTATTGGTCTGATCAGCGGCATCGGATTATACTTTGTACAACCTGTGAAGATCTCTTCCTGATTTCCCAGATCCGAATATGCGCTCAAAGCTCTAGGTGCGTCTCGACTACCATTTGGATGCAATGATATGATACGAGACACCAGGAATACATGCCTCAATGGGAATTCTACACGAGTGTCTGAATGTCGTTGCTGTCACACCAATCGGTGTCAATTACGTTATCTCTTCAAGACCTGAAACTGGGTGAATAAATTGGAGGTTCGCACAGTCTCATTCGTCAATGCATCCAAAAATTCTCTCATTCGTTTGTGCAAACGGGCGCAGGTTTAACGATTAAAAAATTAAATCGGTGTTTCTTATCTAATTCGGGTCTTACACACGGGGAGATAAGGTGGTCAGCATGCGTGTAGGCGCCGTTATAATGTGACCCTGCATGATAAACGGGTGCCCCCGTCCCGCAACACGCAGATCCTCCGCAACGAGTCAGGAACCTTCTGATGACGCCCTACCAGTCTCTCCTACGAGATGGAAACCAAAGCTTAATGCGACTGTCGCTGCGTATCGTGTTGGTCATTCGCCTCTAGACTAGGTAGACTAGGTTAGTCTAGTCCGTGGGATCCGCGCTCTAGACTGGTTCTAGTATTTGCTGCAGATGATTTACAGTTGTAGTGCATGCAAAATGGGTGTTTCTTAGGTGGTACGCGTACATTCCTCACGCGTAACACGTCTCAGCTACCGACTCGAGGAGGCTCAACGCGTGTCATCTCCCTTGGCTAGCGTGGATATGAACAAGAAAAAGCTTGAGCGATGCACAACTTGCACCAAACACCGGGCAGGATTGGAAGGTCGAGGAATGTTGAAGACGACTCTAAAAGCCGAGCTGAAGGACTGAACCAGAGATTCCGCATGAGCATGGATGATGCCATCATACCTTAAACGTGGGGGGTGTGGTTTGCGCCGAGCATGGGGAGAATCCTATTCGCCATCTTTGACTACCGGGTATGCAGTCTACATGGAAAATTGTGGTAGTAGAGTGAATTTCTCCACGAAAAGTTGCAGGCGCGTAATCTTGTACTTAGCACAACTGCGCGAGTAACCGAGCGGCTCCGCTACCCCGTGGTTAATTAGAGGTCACTGTACTCCGTAGGGATCGGCAAGCAGCTAGGTTAGACTATAGGGAACTCGACAGCTACCAGCGGGGCACTAGTTTATCTCCGGAACTTTGCTTATTTCCCCACTTCAAACTCAATCTGAGGTAGCCCTGCCAAGAGACCTAGACGTGGAGAAATTAGCGCTCAATGTGCAAATCTAGTAAGCATTAGAGCTCGGGGGGGAGAGAATCTTGAAAGTAAAGTCAGACCCCTCCGCTTGGACACCTGCTAAGATTAAGACACCCTACCCAGCGTGCTCATATTGGACCTCGGTACGGCTTGAGAGGCACTGAGAGTCCATGTCTCTTCTTCCCATACGCAAGTTTATAGGGTGTCACTGAAACATACGGATATGCAATTTACACAACCCATTCCAACATCTATGATCCGCTCTGTAGTGCAACGATCGACAATATGGATGCATCCAAACTACCCAAGATGGAAATGTTCACGGTCTCGTAAGCTGGAGGGTAGAAGTTGGCAACACGAGTGACTACCACGCTTGAACAATTGCATATATAGTTACCATGAGTTTATTTTCAGAGGGCCGATGGCAGGGAGTGGCCGATGTTTGACTGTTTCAAGCAAAAAGACAAAAGTAGAAGAAAAGAACAACAACAACAACAACACCAACAACAACAACGCCCACCTCCGAAATGGCTGACCATCATGGAAATTCGGATAGAGATGCGTACCACAATCCGCACAGAGCGTGCAACAAGTGTCGCCTACGCAAAGTCAGATGTGATGGGCGCAAGCCCTTTTGCAAACGCTGCGCGAGAGGTAGCAGCGCATGGGAATGTTCATACCCAGTATCTGCGAGAAAAGGGCGGCCGAAACGGAGCCATTCCACCCCACAATCGGAAAGTAGCTCAACTCACATGACTTCGCCCCCATGTCCTACGATTCTCCATGTACCAATGGGCGCGGAGAGAGCCGCCTCTGATTGCAATTATGGAGGCCCTGGGCTTTTGGATGTTCATCCCTCGTTCGATTTGGCCCTATATCACATGCACCCGCCAACTGCCATCTTCGACGATGCCCTGCAATATGGCAACAGCATCGACAATATCTTCAACTCTCTATATGACAACTTTACCCTCTCCACATGTTCTACCTCGAGCACAAGTTCAGGGACGCCAGAAAATGTCGCCGTCGAACATGACGATGCCGATGATGAAACATCACCTATGATGGATCTTTCGTTGGAGATGCGAATTGACAGCCTCCTAATGCCTACGAAAAAAGACGGCGTAGATGCCCAACCGCATCAATTACCCCCAGAACTTTTGGAACTCTTGTAAAGCATCCCTCATCCCAATCTGCTGGTAACTCAATGCTTATAATGTATGGTAGATCTTCAACGTATTTCTACACTTGTCAAAGCACTGTCCGGCTGTTTGACGACCAGGCTCGTCTCTCTTCCTTGATGCAGCAATCTAGCTACGATTCACTAGCTCTGAGGCACGCTGTTTGTACACATGCTGTGCCACATTGTCCTCAGTTCTCAGCTTGGGCAGCCTCAAATATGGAGGAAAACGTCTCAGGATCAGATTACAAAGGATTCTTTTACCGGCTCGCCCGGGACGCAGTGGACAAATGTATCCTAGAAGACAAATCTAGTAGACCAACCCTTCAGGCTTTGCAAGCAATTGTCCTCATCGGCCACCACGAACTGCAGCAGGGAGAATTCGCCCGCGCTTGGCTGACAGCCAATAGATTGCATTGGATTACTCAGACCTTGCAGCTGCGGAACCTCGGTTCACCAGATCAGGTGCCGTGCGTGGATGACGAACAACTGGAAGACAAACGAAAGGCACTATGGGCTGCCAATGGTCTGGCTTGCTTTTTTATGGGGGGGAGCACCCTGATTGATCCTGGAACCATTGAGGAGGTGAGTACCCAACCCATATCACAGCCCTTCGGTCAAGACCTAATGAGATGGGCAGATCACAACGTCGCTTCCCCAGACTCACACTGAGACATTGTTACTGCCGGGAGTCACAATCGGGGATGTGTTTCGCAATGCAGCGCCACGACCACTATCGGTCGAGGAAGCTCTCTTAGCTGCTCGGATGCTCGCTCCTCGCATCGCCGCACATGTCAAGACCACAGAGCCAATAACGGGTAGTCCAGACCAGCAGCAATACAATTTCTGGATAAACCACCATCGACTGGAGGAGACATTACGATACTTGGTCAATTTCATCGTGTCTGATCCTGTCCCAGAAGCCAACGTCAAGGTCTTGCTGAACCTTTTGGTCAAGGCTCTGACCATCATTCTTCACGAGGCCGTACTGAGGAAGATTCGCGCTTGCTCTCATCAGGGCCAGAAGGCATCTGACCAGGTCCGCGTAAATGAACACGCGCTGCTGCAACGCGCGCTGGAGGTCGCAGCGGCGGTGCAGACGAGTGTCCTGCCCACGGATGCCGCCACCAATCTCACGACGTGCTGGATCGTTTACATCGCGTTACAGTCGCTGCTGCGCCATCAGAGGCGGACTTCAGCTCAGCGATCGGACCAGTTGACAGCTGCGTCATCTTGTACCGTCGGCGGTGATGCGGGAGCCTACGAACCGGGCAATGCGGCAGACCTGGAAGGAGCATTGGTAATGGATTCGTTTGATGCACTGCATTCTACGCTGGTTCGTTGGTCAGAAAAGAGTCCTGTCGCTGACTTCTACTTGGAGCAGGTCCGGGTCGAGAGCGGTATTGCTGACAGCGCCATTGACAAGCGGATCATTGGGCTGGTTGATTTCGCCACCTTGAGCCGTTCATGATGCTATGACACAGAACTTTGATTCTCTCTGTAAACAAATCATAGCGCCAGACCTTACAACCATATGAATTTTTTCTTTCTTTTTTTCTTGATCAAATATTTAGAAACTTAAATTGTAAACTAAAGCAAATCATCTTTTTAAACCTAAATTGTTAAATCACATATTTTGGCTTTACTCTTTGATTAAACTATTATAACTATCCATCTATGGCAAGCCTTTAACAGCTAAGGTTAGTCTAGTCTAGACTAGACTAACTAGAGCTCAGAAGAACTTCACTACATAGAGCCCTTATCTATATTCAATGTGGTCTGGTACCAAGGTTAGACTAGTCCAGGTTAGTCTACACAGCACAAGCCGGTGACGCGAACACCCCACCGATGCCGTCCGACGATCAACGCTACCCCGAATTCTTTAGTGGAGGTCAAGCCCCCTGAGTTGAACTTGAACGCCTTGTAATACATTCGATCATAGCGGGTGAGATGGACGATGCGCACCTCAGACCGTTGGATCTACCGGGCCGCGGCACCATGAAAAAGAAGCGCAAGGCAGGCACACGTAGCAGAACAGGTGAGTGCTATTGAGGGCATGTTTCGATGTGAACTTTGCGTTCACCATCTTTCGGTCTGAGCTCGCTGACGACAACTACTCGGTGCGCTAGGCTGGTGAGTCGAGTCAGATCATATTCTGCCCACTCTAACCTCCCCACCAAGTGAGCCACATACTAACCAGCAGCCGGTCGACAGCGTCACCTGTAAAGCCCGCCATACTCGATGCGATGAGACGAAGCCAGTATGCAACAACTGTGCGCGCCTGAACCTTGAATGCCAGCCTTCCGAGTTCATCACACAGTCCTCGTGGAGCGCACCGTCCAAGCCGGCAGAGCTAACAACCGACTCCTGGGACCCTAGCACCAGCACCACCAGCAGCACCAGCACCAGCACCAGCACTAATAACAACAACAACTTTGGGACGGCTTGGGCTTCCCTGCCGAAACCCACATCCACCTGGGACCTCTTCAACGTCTGCATGCCCGATTTCATTCTCGACGAGAATGACCCACCAACCTCCGTGTCGTCCGGCCTGCTATCTTCCTCATCATCCGCCCTCCCGTCTTCCTCCAGCTCCTCAACGCCCGCCCTTGCCCCCGGAACCCTGCATCTGCCCCATCAGCCGACTATCCCGCTCACTGCTGAGATAGCCCACCTCTTGGCCGTCTACCAGACTGGTGTTGCCACCTGGATGGATATATTCGACCACACCTGCGCCTACCAGCGGGAGGTCCCGCGCAGATGCCTGAACTCCGAGCTCCTGATGCGCAGTATATGCGCTTTCACCGCCAAGCACTTGAGCCTCCTGCCCTCCGGCCTCATCTGGGCCTCTGCTGCTTCCGGCTACTACGGCGATTCCCTGCGTCTGCTGATCCGCCACTTCAATAGCGACGACCCGCCTGACGATGCCCTCACGGCCACTGTGCTGCTTAGCAGCTACGAGATGATTGCTGCACAGGGCCGCGAGCACCAGCGCCATTTCTATGGCGCCATGGTCCTCATTACCACCCGCGGCATCAATGCCCTCTCCCAGGGCATGGATCGAGCTAACTTCTGGGTCTATATCAGGCACGAGATCACTGTCGCTCTGGTCAATGAGACGCCATTGCAGATCAACCCAAGAGAATGGAATGCCAGTTGGTATGAAGGCATGGTCGAGGAGGATGCTTTGGGCAACCACTTACTCTATCTCGTCGGCAGGGCCATCGACGTTGCTTACAGTCGCGCTCTGCCTGCATCTACGAGCAGCGAGCGGCATGCCATCCAGGCTGAGGCGGCGAGATGGTTCAATGCCTTGCCGACATCATACCCGGGGGTTAGATATGGTGAGCCTGATGTGCACGGCTTCAACAAGACATATTTCGCTATCCCAGCTGCCGGTAAGTTAGTCGAATGATCGATGCGCTGTGAGAAGCAAGCACGGTTGGTTACTTCAAGTACTGATTCCAACAGCTGCCGCCATGATGTGGTATCACCTGCTCCACATCCTGCTCTATGCGGAGCCTACTGCACCCCATCCCTCCCAAACCCACATCCCCGCTATATTTTTGGAGAAAGACCAGGTTCAGTATCATGCAATGGAGATTGCGAATATAGCGTTGTCAGACATACCTCAGAGCGTACGGAGCTTCTCTGCCCAGCCGCTTTTTTTCGGTAAGCTTTGTCCATGTTCATGACCTCAGCCCTATCCTACAATACAGGGCTGACCACCCAAAATCATTTGTAGCTGCGAAGCATATCAGCGGAATCGGCAGGAAGACGACGCTTTGGGCACTGCTAGATGACATTGAAGTCCATCACGGCTTCGGTACTCGAAGCCGCGTGATACAATTGCAGCAGCTTGTCGAACTTGGCGTATGATGCCTCGAAAACTGGCTGTCATTCAGGGTCTTGCCCAGGCAAACCACCGAAGCGCGGTCAAATCGGATCCATTTGAAACAGTGTGGGAGATAATTCTTGCAATTCCAGGTTCATCGCATTGCGGTTAGTTGGGCAGGTCCTCTCACCTCTCACCTGTCGACTATCATTACCAGATAACGATCAAGATTCTGAAAGTAGGCCATACTGTACAACACTTCCGGCGGCTATTGTATACATGACCCCTCTCTTGCTCATCATCTGGCATGTTGCCTAATATTGCCCATCGTCTTATCATAGGCTACACCAGCCCTTTTGCACAGTCTTACTGTCATCCAGCATAGATCTCTATCAGCCTCCCCAACTATGCATATCCCACCTCACATTGGTCTTTGTGTTCTCTCAGCCGATCATAGATCTTGGATGTCAAGCACTTGCCTGCCTTTCCCGTCTCCAGATCTTCAATGGCAGCTCTTCGGGCCACAAGTTGAAATAGTCCCTCCACTTCATCTCCCAATCGGGGTTGGGCAGTGCGAACTCGTAACGGGTTATCAGTGTCGCAAGATACACGAACTGCATCAAGATCGTCACATTTCTTCCTATGCAGGCCCGTGACCCGGCACTGAAAGCAATGTATACGGCAAGCATGTTTCTCAACCTGTCGTCGCCTTTCATCAGCCACCTCTCTGGTTTGAACGCCTCGGGATCTGGAAAGATCTCTGGATCACGGTGTGCCGTGTACGCCGAAATGCTCACTACAGTGTTCGGTGGTACCACCTCGTCAGCGATCTTGGATGGCCGATTTGGTGGTGTCCTGCGTGTGAGGTTAGTGGCTATCGGTGGCGAGAGACGCATCGACTCATCAACGCAGGCGCGCAGGTATGAGAGATTCTTCAATTTAGACCACGGGGCAACGACATCCTCAGGGGCCAGAACCTCGTCTAGTTCAGCGCGCAGTCTAGTCATTGTTTCCGGGTTCTTAATTAGGTAGTACAGCGTGTTTGTGAGGGAGATACCAGGACCATCGCCACCTCCGTTGACTGCCCGAAAAGAATTAGTATGGGCCTCATGTGCTGGGAGATCTGCCATGTGGCAGCAGATTCACCAACGTACCTATTTGTTCAACTTCAGAGTACCTGTCCGCGACATTTATATCCGCCTCAGCGCCAGTCTTCGGGTCCTCAATCATGGGTCCAAGGAGGTCGTCGAGAACTTCTCCGTTATCTTGGCGCTCAATACGCTCCTTGGTGATGTATTCAACGGCTGCCCGCCACTTAGCACCTTTGGCCCAGTTTCCTGCATACCAAGGAGAGATAAGCTTGCTTAGTTTGATAAAGGTGGGAAAGTTGGGTGTATCGTAGACTAGAGTGGAAGCCGCACTCGCCCCGCCACGGGCGCATTCGATGAGATTGACCTTCTCCACCTTTCCATCCGGGTGCTGGATTTGGATGAGGTCCGATCCCTGGGCGATGAAGCCGAGGTCTTTACTCAGGCCAATCTTGGTTGCGCCCTCAAAGCAGTACAGCAAGGCCCACCAGTTGCCATCGAAAGTCAAATCTTCCTTGCATGGCACACCAGTAGTACCAGTGATTAGGGGAGTTGTGCACAACGCATCCATCTTGGACACTAGAATACTTGTCGTTTCGGCCACCATTGGCTCCCATTTCTCAATTTGCTTTGGCGCGTAGGCCGAAGCAACCATCTTTCGGCGTGAGGAGTGCAACCCTCTGTCGCTGATAAGAACAAGGTTCTGTCCCCCGCCTTGAAGGGCGTCGTATAGAGGCCCCTTGGAGCACTGCGAGGTGTAGCCGTAGATGTCCTTGACGGCCTGCGAGCTTCGAAACGAAAGCCAATTGGGGCCCAACCTCACGACGGGATGCTTCAGTAGTTGATGATGTAGTCGCTCTGTCTGAAAATACCGATGAGATCGCCACTTCTCCATGCCGTACGCAAAGTTTGTGAAGCCCGAGAGGGGGTTCTGTGATGGATACTTCCGGAAACCCTTTAAGTCTTGGAAGTATCGAAAGATGGGTGGCCCAATTGTGAGGACCACACAAGCCACGAGGGCCGCACATATTATAACGAACATAATGAGCACGTGTTGTCCTTACGTCGTATTATCCAAGACGATTTCAAGATGATAAAAAATAGAGTATGGTAATACTTGGACCGAGATGAGTGGTTTGATGTTGAATATCCCCGGTTCTCAGTCTGTTTGCTACTAATTGTGGTGTTGTTACACGCAGTATTGGCACGGGTGCGGCATGCCTTGAAGTTGAAAGATTTCAAGGTAGCGCTCTTGGAGAATAAAGCTATATACTCCTCGGTGATTTACATATGCCGGAGAAACTTTTGGAGACAAGTGGCCGGGGACATTACGTGCGTCATAGAACGCATCCTCAAGATAGCTTGTCGGACGGCATACTGCATAGTATCAAAGCCTTCCACAAAGAGAAAACTTTACGAGCAGGTGATACAAGATCAGCATTACTCCTGCTGCAGTAGCAGGGCGGTCTGCAGGTGTAAGGGAAGGGGCTGGAACCAGAAGGGGATGGGTTTAGAGCCGAATTGTGTTGAGGACAACCGCATTCTCCACAGGCCACATAGGCTGACTGAGCTAGCACTACCCAGGCGGTGAATAAGAATAGGGATATCCTTCCAGGCGAAAGCAAAATAGCTACCCCGGTATCCACTGGAGATCATAAGAGTATACTGAGTGCAAGGCTAGCATGTCATCTGTTACGCAAAGGGCGCAGGTTCCTGGGCTATCCTTGCAGACCAAAAGTGGAATATTTTACGACGAAAACTTATGTCATCATAAAGATGGCTGCCTCGGATTGGCCAGACAGGTCATGACCGATCTAAGCCAATTGAGGAATGTTAAACGGTAGACGAGTGACTGGCTCCTTTTCGGGACTAGTGCGTGGTCCCTTGCTTTGTGATGGTACGGGGGCGTAACTTCCCAACAGCACATTCCATCGGAAATGGGAGTGACGACATGTGTGATCTGTGATCTAATCTTTCGACCTTTTCCGTGTTCCCAGGGCGCTCTCAGCTTTCTTTTCATCCCTCTCCTTTCTCAAAGGCATTGACCGCATTTGAACGCAGTCATTGAAGATTCGCACGAGTTTCTCACCGAGAGCCTCAATCAGCAAATATGCAAGTCTCCAAGCTTCTTCAGAAGCCGCCCCGCTATGTTGTGGCTAGTATTCTTTGCTCCTTCGGGGGCTTTCTCTTCGGCATCGATACCGGAATCATTGGCCCTGTCACCGTAATGGAAGACTTTGTGAAATCCGTCGGCAACCCCTCTCCAACAATCCATGGTCTGATCGTCTCTTCTATCCTGATTCCTGCTGCAATCTCTTCATTCTTTGCTGGCAAGCTTGCCGATACCCTCGGCCGGCCAACTGGTATCGCCATCGGCGCACTCATCTTCGCCGTTGGTTCCACTCTTGAGGCTGCCGCCGTCCACATTGGCATGTTCGTCGCGGGCCGCGTCATTGAAGGGATAGGCGAAGGTCTCTATATGGGCACCTTGGTCGTGTAGGATCACCCAGCAGTTTTGTTTGTTGATTTGTACCGAAAGTAACCAATCCAACTAGATACATATGCGAGATCTCGCCCCCAAGACACCGCGGTGCTCTGACCTCGGGACCCCAGCTTCTAATCACCCTAGGCCTGATGCTTGGATACTTCACATGCTATGGCACCGCTACCATCGCATCATCAATGTCATGGCGGTTACCATTTATTCTATTGGCTGCTGTCTCTTTCGTCTTCGCCTCTGTCTCGCTTGTTTGGCTTCCTGCGTCGCCGCGGTGGCTTGTTCTCCGTGGAAGAAACGACGAAGCGACCAAAGCATGGGAACACCTGGATGTTCTTGCTGCTGACCGAGAGAAGATCTTGGATCAGCTGGACACTCCTATGGTTGAGGGTACCTATGCTAATATTGGCAATGAGAGTAGCTCGCAGCAAGGTACTGGGGTGGCGATACATTCCAGGTCCAAGAAATCTACAATGCCTGAGGTTTTCTCCGCGGAATCCCGGCCTCGTCTCTTCTTAGCCGTCTTCCTTATGGGCATGCAGCAACTGAGTGGTATTGACGGCGTCCTCTATGTAGGTTCTCGTGCCACCCTATAGCTATGCTTTTCCACCCGAAGTACATTGTTGACATAGATATCTTCCTATACTGACATATTGTAGTACGCTCCTTTACTTTTCCAGCAGGCCGGACTTTCATCTAACGAGTCCAGCTTCCTGGCCTCTGGCGTTTCGGCCATTGTCATATTCGCTGTCACCATTCCTGCAATCATCTGGGCCGATCGCTGGGGCCGCCGCACAAACACGATATTTGGTGGTCTCGGCATGACCTGTACCATGTTCCTCATGGGCGGTCTCTACGCCGGAAATGCTGTACATCCTGACTCGGGCGCCGGCCGCTGGATTGTGATAGTCACGATTTACATCTTCACTGTTTTGTACTGCACTTCATGGGCCGTCGGCATGAAAATTTACGCTGCCGAAATTCAACCACAGAAAACTCGTGCCAGCGCGACAAATATAGCGCACGGAAGTAACTGGCTGACAAATTTTCTTGTCGCGCTAGTTACACCCACACTGCTAGCCAACACAAGCTACGGGGCCTACTTCCTGTTTGGAGCGTGCACCTTGCTTACGGTTGTGGTGTGCTGGGTATTCATGCCGGAGACGAGAGGCAGAAAATTGGATGAGATCGAGCAAGCTTTCCAGGCGAGTCATATGGTTGGGCTAAAAGATTCTATGAAGACATTTCGCAGAAAATTTGTAAAGAGACTTCCCGTTGGTGGTGATGCCTGAGGTTTTGGGGACGTTATGAAATATTGGCATCGTGGTGATGGCAAGTAAGTGAGTTGCGAAGTTCATGCATCGTTGAGCTTTGGGCAGAGTCGTGCATATTTCATGATATATTGTATTGTAAGACGAGAGATAACATTATGAAATGGGTCCTCGCTCCATTACGTCTTATCGACACAGAAACTGATGTTATTTTCTTACTTGCAGTTTTACCATCGGTCAGATGCTAATCAACCAGAAGTTTCAGATCATTATTATCTGCCGTGTTTCACGGATTCCAAAAATCCTGCTCAGTCTAGACTATACTTCACGAGATCTGATTGGTATGATATAGGGCTCTATTTGGACCGACTGTGTCATCTCTCCTCTAGTCCTTGATAGTGGTAGGTCAATTTGTTTCTGACATGAATATACATATTCGGACAGCCGTGTGAGCTTCTTGTAGGCTGCTTCACGTATGGATAAATCTTCGAGTGGTTATAAATATTTCTATGCTTGAGAAGCGCTCTATCTCTTTCCTAATGCACTTGTTTCACGGTAGAGCTATCATTCTGTGTGAGCGTTTGCTGATCTCCCGGATAGATACCACCTCAAAACCAACTTCGAAAATGCTTAGCCCATGTCCCCATCTCATAGAATAAAAGCCTGTAGGGAAAGCATAGCTGGTAAACAGTAACAGAATCAACAGAAATGGAAAATATCAGCAGAAACGCATGGAATTTTAAGAAAAAGGAAACAGAGTCATAATTGTCTGCCACCAGTTTGGATGGCGAGCCTAACTTTAGGAACAACTCGCATAAGATTCTTCGCTCTTTACCAGCCCCTCTTCCTCTCCAATGTGTTTAGCTAATCCCAACGAAGAGTACCATACATCTGTAGCTACTGGCCTAAGGTTTATGGTGTGCTCTAGTCGGAGTGTGAGCTAGAAGAACTGGCCTTTTCGCCTCCGTTGCGTAGGGCCATCTTCGAATTGTACTTCAGCCGGTAGTTAGGCTTGCGGACTGTCATGTATTCATCCACTACCCCGTTGTAGCTGTGCGGGCCGTAAGGAGTGAAGAAGTCGGCAATCTTGCCACCATTGCGTTGAGTCTTCACGTCTAGATCACGCAGAAGACGGTCGAGATATTGAATCCAGTCGAAAAGGGCATATGGGTAACGCTCCCCAACGCTTCCATAACGACGGCGCGTCCAGGCGTTCCACTCTGCAATCTCCTGGATCATGTCTTCCTCGGCAGGAAGAGTGACCTCTCCTAGCAGATAGGCAACCGCCCACAGCGACTGCACCTCCGAGATGGTAGGCGTCTGTGTTGTGTGGATCTGGCCCAAGATGACAATTGACCGGTCATCCTCGACAGCTGAGGCCATAGGCACCACCCGGTTGTACAGCCTCCATCGCCGCACCGTCATCTTGCGGCCTGGGCGCTTCCAGCCGTCAAGATCCTTGGGGCCGGCAGCCAAAAGCGGGATCTTCTTGGCGAGGGTCTGGTCGGCTGCCTTGTCGTGAAAGTACCAAGGGTCGACCTTGGTCGACACAGCCTGAGAGCGCTTCGCCTCCTTGGAAGGAACTGGTGCGCCGTAAGGTGGAATGCCGAGCTCCTCCTTGAGTTCTGGCGAGAAGAAGCTGAAGTGATCACCCCAGCCGGTGGCGTAGATGACGTAGTCGGCGTTGACGCGCTTGCCAGAGCGCAGGGTGACGCCCGTCGAGTCTGCGACGTCCACCTTGTCCCGCACGATGTTGATATCGGCCTTCTTCAGCGTGGTCCAGAAGTCGTCCATAGTGATCAAGCCCAGGGAGCTCTCGCACCAGAAACAGCTGTTGTCCTGGACCTGGGGCTTCAGACCTTCAACGTTTCCTGCGTTGCCTCCAAATCCAGCGGCCTCGTTTGCCTTGCTGGTGACGTAACCCCAGTAAGATCTGGTCAGCCAGCGGCCGACCATCGTTCGATGGAAGAAACCGCCGAGTGCAGTATCGGTAGTCATGAGCGATGGGCTGAGGTAGTTCATCAAACGATTGGCGCCAGCTGTGATTGTGTTCTATCCAAGAATGGGATGTGAGCATTTATACAATAAAGAAAGTTCCAGGGTTCGCAGGCAATGATTACTTACCATTCCTAGCATCTTGGATGGCATAATGGGCATGGGACCAGACCCATCGTCTCGGATCACCCTAGCCTAGATTTAGGTTTTGAAGCCTGATCGGATGCACGGTGAGACCACTTACCAGGTAACCTTTTTGCCCATTGAGGCGAGCAGGTATGCGGCGTCGTAAGCTGACTTGGCCGCACCAAGGAGCACAAAGTGCTGATTCTGGGGCTCTTGGAAAGTAGATGCCTTCTTGGCAATTTCGACGGCATGGATGGCCGGGATCGAATCGTCCCTGATAGTAAAGTCTGGCTTGTTGGTTTGGGTCGTGATGCCCGCTGCGCAGACAACTTTAGCCGCGTTGATGACCTTTCCATTGACGACCAACCGCCATCCACCGCTGGGGTGACGCTCAACGCTGGATACCCAGCTGTTGAATTGTATGTATCGTTTGAGTTTGTTATCTTCGGCAAACTTATCCAGATATTTCCAGATCATGTCACCCGTGACAAGGTTGTTCTTCGGTTTACCATCCTCCGACATGGGAGCGGAGGGATAGTTCTGTTGCTGTTTTAGTCCCTGCTTGGTGGAGAGATGCATGCAAGTCCACATACAAAATAGCCGAATTCAACTTGAGCAACAAGATTGGGATAGATGCGGTCTTTGGCCCAGGTTCCCCCTACTGTGTCATACTTGTCAAAGACAGCAAGGCGAGTATCAGGCTCCAATTTGAGGTAAGTATTGGCTGCTGTAAGACCGTACCAGCCTGCAAGAGCCAGGTTAGCATTTGCATACTTTTGAGGCACGGAGTTCATTACCTGCGCCAATAATGGCAACATCCAGGTGGGTTTCCTCGTCAGAGACTGCGTGAGGCATTGCGTTTATAGATGAGATGGTATGCCTTTAGGTGATGAAGTGAGTTGTCAATGGGAATTAATGTCAACATTATCTACATGAGCATTTCACTATTTATCAACTCTTAAGATCTAGATAATTCGCTTTAGTTACCTCCTGGAAATATGATCGACATCCTCCTCGGCCATAATGTCATAATATGCGATAGTGCGGCCACATGTCGCGGTCCGAGCCTTGCATGCATAAAAAGCGCGCTACACTCGATTCGGGCAACGACACGCGGGAGGAGCTTTCCCCAACCTTTCTGAAAACCAAATCGAGATCGTTTACATTACCACTTTCAATAACCATTGTCAACACGCGTCAACAGGACCAACAACATGTCAATAACAAGATCGCAGGATTTGAACCTCACCTCTCACAAACACCACCGTTCGTCTGACACGAACAAGCGGTAGTATATTATTCGGTGACCGACAAGGGTTCGGCCGTTTTACGCGATGATCTTCAACAACTATGGATAGTTACCCGGCGGACGCTCGGTCCGCAGTATAAATGAGGAACCATCAAGAGTGAGAAGAGATATTGCATAGACCAGAGACTGGAAGATAAAGTCCAAGACTATCCAGGAATACTAAATGTACAAAACGTTATTCGACCTACTCATAGATTCATGCATAGATCTCAACCATAGATCTCAACATTAGATCACCAATCCTCACATGATAATATACTGTCTCTGAGAATTCTCGAGTCGAGGCACCTTCTCTTGTTCGACAGGCAAGCCCCGGAGTCAATTCATTCAACTTACATCACGAATTGAAACACCGTCATTCAAGATGCCTATGATCATCGAGAAAGAGGATTCGGCCCTCGAGCCGATTGCCATTGTTGGCATGGGTAAGTTGACACGACCAACTTCAAATTCAGAATGAGAAAACGCTCACAGCTCTGAAAAGCATGTCGCCTGCCCGGCTCTGTGGACTCAGCATCCAAGTTTTGGGAGACCTTGCGTGACAAGAAATCCGTTAGAACACCCAGGGTACCTAGTAACCGGTTCAATATCGACGCTCACTACCACCCCGACCTTTCGCGCCCAGGCTCTTTCTCCGCCTTGGGAGGCTACTTCCTCGATGGAAATCCTGTGGATTTCGACCCAAGCTTTTTCAACATGACCCCTATTGAGGCGCAGTGGCTGGACCCACAACAGCGCAAGATACTCGAGGTCTGCTACGAGGTGTTTGAGAATGCCGGTATCCCCTTGGACAAGGTCGCCGGATCCAACACCGGCGTCTACGTCGCTAGCTTTACCAGCGACTACCAGCAGATGTCGATCTTTGAGCGTGACTTCAGGCACAACTACGCTGCTACTGGCGTGGACCCAGGCATCATCAGTAATCGTGTTAATAACGCGTTTAATCTGAGCGGTCCCAGTTGTATCATCAACACGGCCTGTTCTTCGTCCGTGTATGGTATCCACAACGCCTGTCATGCTCTGCGAGCCCGCGACTGCGACGCCGCTGTTGCTGCTGGTGTCAACTTGATCATGATTGTGGTATGCATTTAAATTCAGAGAGTATTGTTGGCACTTATGAACACACATGACTGACATGGCCTGCACAGGATCAACACATGAATACTGCCAAGTTGGGAGTTCTCTCTCCCACCTCCGAGTGAGTTCCCTCATGAAGCTGGAGAATTTATATTCTGACCCGAGATTAGATGTCACACCTTCGATGCGCGCGCTGACGGCTATGGTCGTGCTGAGGGTATCGGTGCTTTGTATCTTAAGCGGCTCTCGGACGCTATCACGGATGGAGACGTGATTCGGTGAGGCGCATGTGACGCAGTGGCAAGAGAGAAAACTACTGACAATTACGATTTCACAGTGGCGTCATTCGATCATCTGCTGTCAATACCAACGGCAAAGTTGAAGGCATGGGTATCACCTACCCCAACGCCCTGGGGCAGGAGCGCGTTCTCCGTCACGCATATAAGAGGGCAAACCTTGATCCCAACAAGACGGCCTATCTTGAATGCCACGGCACCGGGACTCCTACCGGTGACCCCATTGAGGTAAAAGCTGTTTCGATGGGTATGAACGACACGCGCAATGCCGATGAACCCTTGCTCTTGGGTGCTGCGAAGGCCAACATCGGTCACAGCGAAGCTGCCTCCGGTATCTTTGCTGCGATGAAAGCGGCTCTTATGACTGAAGAAGCCTTGATCCCCGGTGTCTATGGTTTCGAGACACTCAACCCCAACATCAAAGCCGAAGACTGGAATGTCAAGATTGTAAAAGACCTGATGCCCTGGCCCACGGGCTTTGACGTCCGCCGCGCGAGTGTCTCATCTTTCGGATACGGAGGTACCAACGCACATCTAGTAATCGAATCGATCGACAGCATTTGCCCATGGTACGAACACGGCAAGTCCAAAGCGGTGGCCAAATACAATTACCATGATGTCGAGCGACCTTTCCTGGTTACCATGAGTGCTCATAACGGGCCAACACTCAAGCGCAATATCCAAGCGCATCAGAAAATCGCAGGCGATTACCACCTGCCTGATCTTGCATACACGCTCAACGAGAGGAGATCGAAGTTCACCTCACGTGGTTACACCGTTGCTTTCCCCGGCGAGGAAACTAAGGCATTCGAGACCACCAACTTTTCTTACGGGTCGAAACTAACCAAGACAGCCAACGTTGGCTTTGTTTTAACGGGTCAGGGAGCCCAGTGGGCCCGTATGGGCTATGAAGCCATGCAACAATTCCCCAGCTTCGCGGACACTATTGAAGCCCTCAGCCGCGTTCTTCAGCGTATCGAGCCAAAGCCAACATGGAATTTGTGGGACATCCTCGAGGCACCAGCAGAGACTAGCCGTGTCGGAGAACCTGAGATCTCACAGCCCATCTGCACTGCCATTCAGATCGCCATCGTTGACTTGTTTGCATCCTGGGGTATCGAGCCCACAGTGACTATCGGTCATAGCAGTGGTGAGATTGCCGCCGCATATGCCGCTGGCCGTACTTCAGCCCCTGAGGCTATCTTGGCTGCCTACTTCCGTGGCCTGGCCGTTGCCAAAGCAGCCCCTGTGGGCACCATGCTTGCCGTCGGCGTCGGGGCAGACGAGGTCATTGACTATGTTAATTTCCTGTCGCCTGAAGTTGCCCAGCGCGTGACGATCGCGTGTGAGAACTCGCCGGGCAGCGTCACCATGAGTGGTAGCCATGAAGACATTGCTGCCCTCAAAGAAGTTCTCGACCAGTCCAGCACTTTCGCCAGACAGTTGAAAACTGGCAAGGCTTACCACTCGTCTCAGATGGATGCCGTCGCGCCGCTCTATGCACAGCTCTACGCGAAGGCGCACAAGACTCTTACAGGGGCTCACACGAAATGGCGCCGTCCTGTTGCCGAAATGGTATCAACCGTCACAGGTGCCATGGTGGAGGCATCGCACCTGCCGATCGATTATTGGTGCCAGAACCTACGCAGCCGTGTCCTCTTCAACACGGGCCTGCAGGCTCTCGGCAATGCCCCCGAACTCGCAGACGTCAACATTCTCATTGAGATCGGCCCTCACTCGGCACTAGGTGGTCCGATCAAGCAGATTGTCGCTGCTAACAACTTTGATATCCAGTATGTCCCATCGCTGCTGCGCGGAGCTGACAGTGCTGTTGCCCTGCTCAACGCCGCTGGAGAGCTCTATCTCCGGGGTCTCGATATCGACTTCGGGCTCGTCAACAGTATCGAGACGTCGAGACCAGCCATTATAAACAACAAAATCCGCGGCGGACCGCACTACCTGCCCGACTTGCCACCTTATCAGTGGAATTACGAACGTACGCACTGGTATCAGCCGCGGGTTATGGCCGAGCTGCGTGAGTCCCAGCATCCACGCCACGACATCCTCGGCCGTAGGATTTTCGGACTGTCGACGAACGCATCCACATGGAAGAATATTCTGCGACAGCGGGATGTGCCGTGGTTCGTAGACCACACACTCGGAACTGATGTTGTCTTCCCTGCCGCCGGCCACATGTCCCTAGCGATCGAGGGGCTTCTCCAGCAACTGGATCTTTCGCCCGAGGAAGCGGTTGGTGTCAAGTTGCGGGACATCAAGATCGATAAGGCTCTGGTTGTCCCTGATACCGATGATGGCATTGAGGTACACACTCGTCTTGAGAAGCTGGCAGCGGGAGGAGATTGGTACACGTTTACCGTCGAGTCTATAGATAACGACATTTGGACGGTGCACAGCACGGGAAAGATCCAAAAGCGGCCGGCGGAAGCTCCCAGCTTGTTTCTAACATCCCCTTACCAAGCTAGCCAGCTTCACACTCAGGTTTCTGGGAAGCAATGGTATCGCTCTTTCCGCCGGGTTGGGTTCAGGTACGGACCAAACCTTCAAACCATGACCCATGTCCGCGCAAACGGCAAGGACCGCGTCGCATCTGCTGGCATCAAGATTCAAACCGAATGCTCAGCAATGGAGCACGAGTCCCGCTACATGCTGCACCCGTCGACCATCGACGGATGTCTGCACGCCGTCATCTCGGCCGTTCATAAAGGCTTGCACAAGGAGATGCCGTGGGGAGTGATCCCCTTGGAGATTGAAGAAATGACGCTCAACTTCCCCAGCGAGGACCTGAACGCCGATGGCCAGTGTACTGCATGGGCCGAGAGGGCCTGGGACCGGTACTTCTCTGGTAATCTGTCATTATCCGGAGCCTCAGGCAAGCCGTTGATGGACATTAAAAACTGGAAGTTTATAACATATGATGCGGCTGTGCCTCCTAGCCTCACTGAGCCAGGTCCAAGACAACCCTACAGGATGGTCACGTGGGAGAAGTCCAACGCGGAAGAAGAAGTCTTGAACACCGAACTCGAGAAGAACAGCAACGTCGCCGTAGTGCATGTAACTGATGCGTCTCTTCTCGCCCATGCTTTGTCGGCGGCAGCGGTTCCACTCAGCACCGACGGTGCGTTCGAAAAAGTTGTGGTTGTTGGCTCCGATGGCTCTGGGGCTTCAACGCCGTTGACCGACGATGTCGATGCTTTCGAAAAGATCGTGATTGATGACTCAGATGGATCTATCCTGGCGAGCACTACCGAGAAGATCTGGGACTCTATCAAAAAAATCCTACAATCTGGTAAACCCATCGTGTGGGTTACCCGGGGAGCCAACCAGGGCAAGTCAGTCGCCAGCGGCATTCCCCAGGGATTTTTGCGCGCCGTGCGCTCGGAAGCTCTCTCATCAAAAATTGTTCTGGTCGATGCCGACGAAGAGACTTCTTTCGAACTAACTGCTGCTCTGGTACAGAACAAGTTGTCGACCGTGGGCTCCCAGGAACCGGGCACTGATCTCGAATTCTGGTTGACCAAAGGCTCTAGCGTCCTGGTTCCTCGCCTGGAGACCAATGACACCCTCAACCAGCGCTTCTTTGCGGATAACAACCAGCAAATCGCCACCGCATCAACTAAAGAGTCGTACAAGGGCAAGATCGTCGACAACGAGGTTCTCTTCGAGACCCTATTGTCGTCTGTCATTGCTCCTGAGCTCGCCCCGCTTGAGGCCGAGATCCAAGTGACGTTCGCCGAGCTTAGCAAAGAAGACCTCTCCGCCCGTGCTGTTGACCGTGTCCGTATCATCACCGGAACCATCATTCGCACCGGCAGCGATCTGGAGGCCAGCCTCCGTGGGAAGACTGTGGTTGCGTTCACCAAGAAGACATTCGAGACCCGGGCCATCTCTTCAATCTTTAGCGTGATTGACGATGCAGACCTCAGCAGCCCTGCGGCCGCCATTCTCCCGCACCTAACAAAAGCCGTCAATGCAGTCCTTGTAGCAGGAAATTCCAGCGTCAATGACCATGTGCTCGTCCTCCCTTCGACCTCGCACTTCGAGCAGGCGGTCGCTAAGCTCGGCACTTACGTCGGCTTTCAAGTCTCCAAGGCGCCGAAGGACGTGTCCAAGCTGCAGCAGCTGCTGGGATCTCTAGATGGCCCGACCATTGTCGTCGCTGACGCCCATAGCGCGCTTGTCTCGGAGGCCTGGCGTGCAATGCCCCGTGGTTCCAAATTTGTCCTGAGTGATGTCCCCACGGATGATCTGCTGGATCTGAGACCGTTTGCTCGGGCCGTCACGTTACACATCTGTGGCGTCTCGGATGGATTTGATTACAACCCAGTCGCCTTGAAGAAGGCACTGGAGGTGAGCGTGGCACTGCTGGCAAAGCTCGGCCCTTCTGCTGGGCCCTCGCTAGATATTGAGGAGCTTTCCAACCTGGACAATGCCCGAAGCCGCATCGTTGAGATCAACTCTGGTGTTTTGAGCATAAACTACGGACAAAGTAAGATCAAGGTTAGTATTGCTCTGTTAAAAAAGAACCTCGAAAGACACCCGTTTACTAAATCTCATACAGACACGCAATGCTCACAAGCCCGTTGTCTTTTCTAACGAGGGTGCTTACCTGCTCGTCGGCTGCCTCGGTGGTCTTGGTCGTAGTCTGACGACATGGATGCTTCAAAAGGGCTGCAGAAACTTTGTCTTCCTCTCCCGGTCCGGGACAGCGAAGCCCGAGGCCGCTGATGTTGTCGCCCGTCTCAAGGAGGCTGGGGCTAACGTCAAGGTGATGTGTGTAGACGCAAGCAACGAGCAGGCAGTTGCAGACGTGGTAGCAGACGTCTCCGCCAGCCACCCCATCAAGGGTGTAATTCACGCCGCTATGGTGCTTCAGGTGAGTGACCCAGGGTTCCAATCCACCACCTTCCCCATGCATGCACGACAGGAGACTAACCTTTTCCCATCAAGGACGGGCTGTACGAAAACATGTCCTTCTCCGCCTACCGCGCCGCTTTACAGCCGAAGATGCAAGCTGCCATCGCTCTTGACAAGGCGCTCGGCGATACGCCGCTCGACTTTTTCCTCATGACGAGCAGCATCTCGGGCGTGCTCGGCAACCCCGGCCAGGCCAACTACTGCGCAGGTAACAGCTACCTGGACTTCCTCGCCCTCCAGCGCCGCAAGCGAGGCCTCGCCGCGTGTTCGATCGCGCTCCCCATGGTCGAGGACGTCGGTGTAGTCGCCGAGAACGCCGCCATTGCTGAATCGCTGGCGCGTAAGATGCCCTTTGGGGTAGACGAGCGCGAGATGCTCGCGTCCTTCGAAGCCGCCATCATCCAGGGCGCACCGTCCAGCAGCGGCGAGGCGGTCCACCTCGGCGATGTCCAACTTATCCTCGGCCTCGAGCCCGAGGCCATGTTGGTTGCGATGGAGGGCTTGGACCTCTCGGACGCTTTCTGGCATCAGGACGCACGCATGAGGTCTGTGCGGCAAGCCCTCGAGGCCCTCACGGCCGCGGCTGGAAAGGCCGGTGGGCAACAAGATGGTGCTGGCGCGGGCTTCACCAGCACCCTCGCTGGCCTGCCAGAGGAGGAAGCACTCAACGCTATCGGGTTGCACGTCATTGAGCGCGCGGCGCGCATTCTTGGATCGCAAGCTGACAGCTTCCAGCTAGACGGGGTGTCAGTCGCAAGCCACGGTGTGGACTCGATGATTGGTGTTGAGTTACAGAGCTGGTTGTTCAAGGAGTTTGGCCTGCGAATGAGTGTCCAAGTGTTGTCAAACCCAAAGACGACGTTTGCGGGCTTGGCGAAGACTGTCGCGGAGCAGATCGGCGTTCTGCAAGCCGTGTAGATTTGTGATTCATCTCCTGGTTCTACTTTTGCTATGCTTGGGAAGTAACTTGTGTTTGTGGATGGCCTTTTGAACTACATATACTACTGGTCGTCAGCTTTTAGAGAATTTTTCTAATTATTTACCTGCTATTTCAGATCTCATTCTAACCTGAGCTTGTGGTTCCTTGCCAAGTTTGTGAAGTTCAGACTTAGTGCAACTAACAATATGATGAGCAGTACGTACCCAAGACCAAGTATGACAGAACGGCCCATACCAGGGCTTTCGGTCTTATCTCTTCCCGATCATTCAAAGGGCTTGCCCTATGTTTAACAACCTGTATGGCGCTCTTGGGAATGATCAACCAGGTTTAGCGTCGTAGCCATACGAAACAAGTTGTGCCAATCACTATCTTGTAGGAAATTCTGGTTCTGACCACGATTCGTGAATCGGACTGTGGTGGTAGCCGATACCGACAGACGGAGACTCTCATGAATCAGCAGGCCAGGATAAAGTCGTTATAGCATCAAAATGTGAACGACATCTTTATTTTACGTACATGGAATGCATGCATTAATATTCGTTGGTGAATGTGTTCCCGTATCAATTGATTCACAGTAGGTATGCGCAAGCTCTCATCAAGTCTCATGTTGCTACCTGGGGGTTTATGCTCCCAACATGACCACGTCCGACTCCGTCGATAATAGGTTGGGAGAGAAGGGGTGAGAAGGCAAGTACTGCTAGAGAGTCGGTAGTGATGGCAGCGTAGACCTGAGTGACGGAGAGAAAGAAGTTGACGGTGGAGGAAGCATTGACGGCGAACTTGCGTCTTGAGTCTTGGGCCGACGCGGTCGCTCTCTTCGCCAGACACTCTCTCCTCGTCGTTGGATCCAACGGTACTGGTAAAGCCACATCATTTGCACATGGCACTCGCTTGTTGCAATAAACCAGCCTGTCCCTTGATAAGACATCTTTCAGTGATCGATCGCCTAATCCAGTCTTTTCCCCCATGGCGGCGCTGCGTTTTGAGGATGAATCTCAGCAAGTTGTATGATGTCGGCCGGTCAGGTGCGGATTACCCTAACTGCTGAGCGGCGGACTCTGTCACTTCCGATGATGGACTTTTACGGCCTCAGTGTGGCTTGTGCAGATCACTTGCGTGGAGCCACCTGCTTATACAGGGTTTCGAACGAGTCACTGGTAGTTTGAGATTGTCTGTTATTATATCATTCATACATCGCCTGGGCCTATCTGCGTTTGGCTATATTATACAACGCCATCGTGTGCCAGACCAAAATTGCCTCGATAGCCTAGGCGGCGCCCATATTTTTAATCCACGGTGACCCGTTGTGGCCATAATGACAACCATCTTCTCATGATAGTAGCTAGGCGTCATGCAATAATACAAGTCCTCATATCGTACCAAATCAATCACCGCAATGTGTGACAATTAATCCTCTTCATTCAGTACATCCCTGATTCTCCTTTGCCTGACCTTCTTACCACCCTTAGTTCTCCTCTCCTCAGGGACTCTTCCACGGCCGCCAAGAAGGTTGCTAGGCGATACGCCGCCTTTCTCATTCGCCTTGAAAACGCCGCTCGCATCAGGGCTGAGGTTGACGGTCTTCACCTTGGCCTTGTCGGCTTCAGCCGCCCGCCTTGCTCGGACACCACCATCATTGGGTGCGATGCCGCCCTTGCCGAGCCTGATCGGTCGGACCACGCGAGTCTTCGCTCCCAGAGCCCAGAGATCGCCCCACTGTGCCTTACGGGCATCGCGGTACGCCTGACGACTGAAGCTTTTCGGCACTGTCCAGCGCTCAATAGTGCCCGCCGGTGTGCACATATCAAAGGTGACGTGACCGGTCCGCTTTAGTGGTGGCATAACGGCGCGCGGGAGCGACAAGGGGTTAGGAGGCTCTTCAGCATTCTCATAGCCCTCGAACGCAGCATCTGTAGCGTCGCGTCCCAGGCGTGTCGGCAGCGGCGTCGGTGAGCTAGGAGTGACGCCACGCTGGATGGCCACAAACGAGAAGTCAATGTCCTGGTGGTTTCGGTGAGAGGCGTCGAGCACCTTCTGTAGGAACGGTGGGCGAATGAAACGTTGGCTGAAATGACAGAAGTCCTTACGGCCATGGGCAAGACCCGGAGTCATATACATGGGACACTTCTTGTGGTTGGTGCAGGGAGCAATAATCATGCCAGGCTCTCGGATGCGGCGCGTTTCGGGTTCCAGTGCGTCGGGTTGAGGATCAGACGTGGAAGTCTCAATGAACTCATCCAGAAGTCGTTGGCGGACATTGGCAACAGCCTCGAAGCCGCGGGGATGGCCCTTCTCCAGGACGATGAGTATGCCTCCTTCGGGCGAGAGCATCTCCCACAAATTGTCAATAAAAGTTTTCCGCTTGTGATCCTCCTTGATCGGCATCAGCTGATGCGATGCAATGATTACGTCGAAAGATTTTCGTGGTGCAGGCAGTTCCGAGTCATCCATCTTGTCCGGATGGTGGCCTGAATGTAAGTAATCCGGTAGCCGAGGTAGAAACTGGGTGTTGTGTAGGAATCGTGATACTCGGCTGCGAAGCCGGTCGGAGCCAACGACGACAGTCTTCTTTCCTGGGGGGCCCATCATTCCCTTGCCAGTTGTGGCACCATGGAGCAGATCCCATTCTGTTTGCAGCACACGCTCCCAGGCAGCCAAAGCGGCACCGCCAGTGCCAACGTCCAGCACGCGAGGTCCTTCACCGTCGCCGCGGCGCAGCAGTCCTTGTAGCCAATGGGGCCCCATTCGTTTGCGTATCTCGACCAGGACACCCATGGTTGAAGCATACATACCAGGAAGGTTCGTGGCGATGTAGGCATCCGCGTCGATCTCGCTCATCTTGGACTGTGCTGCCTCGACTGGGATGGGCTTCTGGCCCGAGGTCTTGCCCGAGTGAGGGGTAGAGACAGAGTGAGGCAGGCCTTTACCTCCGTATACACTCTCGGCTGCTTCCCTGATATGCTTGACATCGGTTCGACCAAGCAGGGCATCGATCGGCATTACAAACTCGGCCTTGGGCAGATGAAGAGTGGATGGATTTGTCCTCCACTGTCCCATCTCGCTAAGCACATGTACACGGTCCCCATCGGGAAACTCCTCGAGCATGAACCTGGCATCAGGTTCCCCTTCGTCCTCCTCTGGCTCTTCTTCTTCGTCGACGTCCTCTTGTTGTTCTTCGTGCTCTTCGTCTTCCTCAATGGCCTCTTGGTCGGCTGGGCGCAGGCTTGCCTTCTCGAAATCCCTCTGTAGCTTCATGAGGGCGTCAAACTCTCGGTGGTTCTTGGCGACAGCCTTGATGTAGTCGATGCCGGCATCCGAGGGCATATCCTCGTCCTCTGCAACCTCCAATGACTCCTGTTCGCCCTCTAACGGCTCGGATTCGGACTCGGGCAACTGGGGGACGTGGTAGTCCACCTCCTCGAGATCTCCGTCCTCGTTCTCCTTCAGCAGCATGTTCTTATTCTTGACCAGGATGTACTTGTGGGTTTCTTGGAGGAGGGCCTGTTCAATGGGCATGCCAACATCTTCGGGGCTGGTTTCGCGCAGAGGAGGGCCGTAGAATCGAGTGTACAGCCTGTACTCGGCATCGTTCAGGTAGCCCTTGGGTAAGGTGGCTCCGAACTGCCGCCTCGTTTGGCGGACGATGAGCTCGATCTCTTCTGGGGTTTGGGGCACCGACGGAGTGGTCTCGGCATGGGCATCTTGCAGGCTCCGCCTTGCCGTCGAGAAGGGTCTGGACTTTGAAGCTACGGGGGGTTGTCTGGACAAAAGATTGCTCGCGGGCGAACGCCGGGGGCGGGTCGCATTGCTGGTGAAACCATTCTCGAATAAGCTCAGAAGCTGGGCTCTGCAGCTGGGACAAGCCCTTTGGACCTTTGTCGCAGACAACATGGTGTTGTACCAAATGGTAATGGCGATGGCAATGATAATGGTAGTACAAACACAGAACAGAAGGAAGCAGAAAATGTAAGGGGAATGCGGTTTGGCAAAGGCGAATTGCTGTTCCGGGTCGCAACTTCCTGGAGCTCCGTCACCAAGGTTAGAAATTCTTAAGTCTTAGTCTTAGTCTTGGTCTATCTTAGTCTTAGCATGCAGGAGCGCCTTAACGAGGTCGTGCTATCTTAGCGCGACCCCACTACCCATCAGCCAACCAGAAGGCCAGAATTCCTCATCATTGCATACATATGTATGTACTGTACATAACTAGGTTAGAAAGGTAATCGCGATGCAACGCCCTGAGAACGCTCACAGACAACCTCGAATATGGGCATAGTTATTATTTGAGTGTGGACTTTGGGGTGCGGAGGCATGAAGAGCACGGCGATACGATACAGTCATGCAAGGCTCACTTCATCAATACCCCCACCTAACTTCCACCCAGGTCAGCCAGCGTTCTCACACCATTAGATGGCCGCGCACCAGCACCTGCACCTGCACTACCCGGGGCTCCAGGCTTTGCACTCGGCTGACCTCTGCCAAAGGTCTGGTCTCTCGGCTTGTGCACATTGAAATCGGAGTTCTCTGCAGCCTTGTAGGGGTCAAACTGGGAGGTCATCAGTGTCCGTTGTTTCCTGAACTGCTGCGGCTTGAAACCACTTACCGAGAACAGCGAGACGACGTAGAGCCCGAAGAATGTCAGGAGAACGTTGAAAAAGTTGAAGTGGCTGAATGAGCTGAACCTGGATGGTCGGCCCAATGTGCGACCGCCGCCGGCTCCCTTTGGTGGTGTCGGTCCGCTTCCGCCGAGTGTCCTCCCCGGGGTCTTGAAGGACGCGAGGGGAGCGACGTTGCCGGCCAGCTTGACGGACTTCTCGACGGCGGCCGTGAGTGCTGGCGGGTTTGCGCCCTGGATGGTCTCGATGACAGAGCCGCTCTTGAAGATGAGGAAGGTGGGCATGGCCCTGACGCCGTGGGCGGATGCGATGGACTGCTGGCTATCCGTGTTGATCTTGCAGAATGTGATCTTGCCGGGCTTGGAGAACTTGGTGGCGAGCGACTCGAACGTGGGAGCGATCATCTTGCAAGGGCCGCACCAGTCGGCGTAGACTGTGAGGTGTCATTTGTCAGCGGAGCTGTCGCGACCACGGAGGGCCAAGGGCGAAGGCGGCTTACAGTCGGCGACGACGATGGTCGACGAGCTGAGGATGCGCGACCACTCATTCTGGGAACCAATGCTGACTGCCATGTTGACGAGGTGTTGATGTGCAGATGGACGTATGTGTAGGGATTGCCCAAGTTGCGCAGGTGGTTAGTTGGCACGGAGCGCTGGACGGGGACGGACGAGACGGGACGAGAACGGGACTTAACTTACAGTAGCGTTAGCGGCGCATGCTGATAAAGACAGATAAAGCTCTCAGGTGTCCACTTCCACTTCCGGCTCCACCTCCACCACTTGACTTGCAACACTTTCACTTCCCACTTCTCCACTATGCCACATCTGCGGGTCCGCAAGAGATCCGCATGCAGCAGGCGGTAAGTCCATCACTCGAGCCTTTTGGCCGGTAGAATTGTTTACTCCGCCAAAATTTGGAAATCGCAGTTCATCGGTCCCAGCGTCCAGGAGTGTACGCCAACGTGCTGTCACAGCGAACAATCGCCCAATTCTAACCAACAAGCTGCTCAGGTATCATACAAAGCAGTTACAATGTCATACGACCAGGACAGAGCAAAGGTGAGTCTCCCCCGTGGCCCCATCTGGCCTTTCGTCTTCAACTTTTCCTGCAATTTATGCTAACTGCCCCACCACAGAGGCGCATGACTTCGAGAGATGGCGACTATGTCGACACCTCCAAGCCCAGCGCATTCTTCCAGCCCAAGGGTGGTCGCGACTGGACAGTATCCATAGCCGTTCCTGGCAGCGTTCTCTCCACGTATGCTCTCCTCCATCTTGTCTTTGGCACAACGGGTCTTTTTGCTAATCATCAACACAGATGTCGGCGTGATGATCAGCGCACGGCTGTCATCAACCAGATTGCCCGTTCGTTGGCCGTCTTCAGCGTAGACGAGGTAGTCATCTTTGATGACTCCCCCATGGACAAGCGGGTCAAGAACGTCGACCCAAACAGCTACATGGGCGACATCGACCCTTGTGGCTACATTGAGCACCTCTTGAACTACGTCGAGGTCCCCCCCTTCATGCGGAGAGCACTCGTCCCCTTCCACGCGAACCTCAAGCAAGCCGGCCTGCTGGAAAGCTTAGACGTTCCCCACCACCCTAATCCTTCAGATTATCTGCCCTACTGCGAAGGCGTAACCACTTCAGAAGGTGCCCCTGGAGGCAAGGGTACAGTCGTTGACGTCGGCTCAAAGGAAGGAAAGGTCACTATCAAGGACGATATTCCGCCCAACACCCGAGTCACGCTTAAATTCGACGACAACGACCCCAACCACGCAGAACCTTGTCATCCAGACGCACCAAGGACGGAAGGTGGTTTCTACTGGGGCTATTCGATACGGCGATGCAAATCTCTGGCCGCTGTGTTCGAGGAGTGCGCATATGATGGAGGCTATGATCTCAGCATAGGCACGTCAGAGCGTGGAAGACCAATATTCGACGCTTTCCCTCAAATCAAAAAGAAGGAATCGCTCAAATTCAATCATCTAATTGTGGTATTCGGCGGACCGCGAGGGCTGGAGTATGCGGCTGAGAACGACCCGGCGCTGCAGGAAATGGGCATCATCAGGGGCAAGACGAAGGAGCTGTTTGACAACTGGATCAACATCTTGCCCGGTCAGGGCAGCAGAACCATTCGGACGAGCGAAGCACTATTCATCGGCCTGACGGGACTCCGACCTTTGTGGGAAGGCCGATAGGCTTCCAGAAACACGGCGCCCATGATGTTGTTTGTATTCAGGCCAAGGCTAGGTCCTATCTAATGAAGCAGCCCCCACCAATTAAAGCATTTAGTTACTAGGCCTTAGTCAATCAAAGCTGGCCAATCAACTAGACCCAGGATGGTTCTTCCAACTTTTCCGTCCGTCCATTCCTTAAAGTATTCTCGGTACTTCGAACCCATGGCGACTCGACTCGTTTGTCTGACTCCTTATACTTCTTCTTCAGGAATGTTAAGCAGTTTCACCTCAAATCACCCCAGGCCTCCGTGACTTTGACCCCACTCGCCATCATACTGCACAGTTCATGCAGCCGCGCCCCTTGTTTCTTGGTGATCTTATCAACGTAGGTCGTCAGCCAGTTGACATGCGAGCGATGAATAGCACCGCCGTCTGTACGAATGATTGGGACAGTGCCCATGTTATCGGTAGTGCAGAATGGAATCGGCCTCGGCCCAAAACTCCTGAGCACCTCACGTAGCGGACCGAGCTGTCTGGCGTGGACGTTGGTGCGGTCTTCCGGGCTTAGGTCCGTGTTGCTGTGCGCCAGGCGGACATCCCACGACAGGCCGAGCAGCGCAGCCCACGACACGCGCTGCTGCATGACGGCCGGCATGCAGGCAGGAACCACGACGGACTCGAAGCGCGGCAGCTCCGAGACGCCCTCGGGCAAGAATGCCGGAAGCGCGCGACGTCGCCGTCGCAGTTGACCTTGACCGCGGGGACCATCTCGCAATCCCGGCACAGGACGAAGCGCTCCGGGTCAACGACGCACTGTTTCGGGATCTTCGCATGCAGGAAGTTGACGACGGACCGAAAGTCGTGCGCCCGGAAGTCCTGCGGCTCCATGGCCAGCCTGCGCGCGTTCAAGTATCCGTCGCCCGCCACTGGACATACCCTCTTCGTCGTGTATGCCCAGTCGCCCGTCTGGCAGGACGGGGAGCAATAGCGCGCCTCATGGCAGCTGCCGCACTGCTTGGTGCCTTCTTGGTCGCACATCAGGCACAGGCTCGCGGCCCCGGTGTCTTCGCAATCTAGGGAGTCGTTCACGTCGCAGTCTGGGTAGAAAGTGCCATCGTACCACGGGTTGCTGAAACTCGCCGAGGAATCATTTTTGCTGCTGCTGGTGTCCATACTGGTTGTAGAAATGATGGAGAAGGTCATGGCGACATTGAAGATGTTTGCGTTTTTGTTGTCAGTCTTTTGAAATAAAGGTGTAGTTGTGTCAGATGTAGTCATGGTCTGGGGAAGTGATGGATGATGGTTGAATCGCCCCGAGAGGAAAGAAGAATGATATATGTATCCTGGATAGACTGGATGCCTAGGGTAACGAGACCAAAATAAGAAGTGGTGTTTACTTCGGCATAGTGACTCGGCGGCGTAATCAGCGCTGAAACAACAAGTAGAAGAAGCTCAAGAAAGGCTAGAAGTTCGCGTTTCCGATTGCATTCATTGTGAGCGGCACAGTTTGTTCCGATTGCGCGTAAGAGGTAGTTGATGTCTTGTCAGACGAATGTCGAGAACTTCGGCGCCAAGCAATCTCGGAACTACCAACGCTATACATGGGGGTGGCAAAATCGGAGTTCATAAGATGAAAAAAGAAGTGAAATTTCACATCTTGGCGACTGCTGACTTGATTGACGTTGGACAAAGTAAGTTTGAGACTTCAAACTGTTATATTTAGGTAAGTTAACTTGTAAATGTTTTCTTTTTTCTTTCACCGTGGCGTCGTCGCGTTATAGTGGCTTCAACACCGCGCCCTCATTCATATTCCCTCGGCATTCACAGAAAGAGACCCCAACTGCTCCTTGAGTATACACCGTTCCTAGTGACATGAGTCCCTCTCCACATTGTGCTTATTTTGATAAATTACCAGTAAATGGTACCAAATTTCGACGGCCAATGCTCAAAATTTACGAGTCCCTCATCTGCAAACAACTCTTCGGCCACGAAACAGACGAGGATGATGCCGTCTGCAAGTCGTCGCCGGTGCAAAATGAATTGGCACTCTTGAACAGCTGGAAAGGCACTTTCGACCAACTTCCAGGCATCGCCCTTGCTCTGCTTTACGGATTGGCCGCCGATCGCATCGGCCCAAAGCCCGTCCTCCTGCTAGCTCTGACCGGTCTTATGCTGGAAGAGTCGTTCATACGATTGATTTCATGGTGTAAAATTCTCGGTCTCGTCCCCTTGAGAGCCATCTGTCTCACCCCCATCTTTCAGTTGATTGGCAGCGGCCCAGGTATTGCGACATCTATGGCGTATTCCATCATTACTGATACCTTTCCTGCGAGCCAACGGTACGTTGTGGTTGGAACCTTCTGGGACCAAGCTAATCGGCAGATCACAAAACACGAGTTGCTAACACTGGGTAGCGCATCGATATATTTTCTCTTGGCCGCAGCTATTTTCATCGGTGAGATTCTGGCTACGCCGCTGAGTGCATTTCTCATGTCTCGGACGCCTTGGCTCCCTTCATTGGCAGGAATTGGCTGCCAGGTCTTCGGCTTAGTGGCCGCGGCTTCCGTTTCTGAGACGAGACCTCCCTGACAATCCGAAACGATGGGCGTGTCTCCTGTCACGAATGGCAATGGTGCATCGCGGCAACTGCCGGACCTAGACCAAAGCTCGAAAATCCCCGACTGGTTGACATCTTGTCGGCAGCGATGGGGGGACTTGAGAGAGCACAGGCTTTTAAGCCCAAGTATGGTTTGCATAACTGCGATCTTCCTAATGGGGGACATAGGTATGTCGTCAATTAGGCTCATGATACAATACGTTTCCTAAAGGTTTTCGTGGAGCATTGCACAGGCCAGCTTACTCGTATCGCTTAAGGGGAGCATCAACCTTGTCTGCCTTCTTGTCGTACTCCCATATCTATCCCAACTTTTGAGTCGGCGTGTTTCGCCAGATCTTGAGGCCTTGAGGATCGTGCAAGGGAACATGCTATGCTAGACGGTAGGCTTAACAGTCATGGCATTTGCCACAAGTGCAGGCGTGTTCGCTGCTGGCATCTCGGTGCTAGCCTTGGGTTCTGGTTTCTTCTCCGCTCTGCTTAGTCTAGCAAACTCCTTGGGGACGCCTTCACAGGTAGGTTTCATCAACACCCTGATTGGCTTTGCGATGAGTATCGGGTCGCTGATGGCGGGTCCGGCGATGGTTACTGCATTTAAACGTGGGATTACAGTGGGGGACATGTGGTCAGGTCTGCTATATATGGTCGCAGCATGCCTCCTACTAGCTTCTACCTTTTTGAGTTTTGGGATTCGTGTTACGAATAAAGCAGATTTTATGCAGTCTGATACAAGGGCCGAGAGTATGAATACTGAACCCGCGGCTTCGCCTGGCAGTTAATTTAAATAACTTTTTCAAAATGAAACATACTGCATGAAACTGTTTCTAATTGATTTATATTTTAAGTATTAAAAAAAGTAAGTGGACTGAAGCTATGTAACAGCGATTAGCTTTGTGTCAACTTGCACCAACTTTGTAAAAGAAGCATGTACTCTGTGCAGGAATTTCTGGCTTACAAAATAAGTTCTAATTAATATGAATAGGAAGAGATCCGACAGCGCTTGAGTGTGAACTTAAATCCTACCGCACTTACTTGTCTTCTAATCTCAATCTGCCTAGAGAACCCAAGAATGACTAAGAGCCTCACGTGCTATGATCCTCCTCCCAGATCCAAATTAGTTATCTTTGTGACCAAATCTCTGAGTTCCACGTCCACGTACCGCCACATCGCAAAAGGCTTACTTGAACGGACTCAGCACCGAAGGTCTTCGCGAGAGCGAGGAGACAATAGAAAAATTCATTGTCCTCTCCGATGTGCTGAAGGAGACCATTGATGCCGTCCTCGTCTCCAAAATAAGATCCACGTGTCCAGAGTATTTACCACCAAACATCGTCTCTATTCAACTAATCATGGTTCATGCGAAATACCATATCATCGAGCATTACGTTGATGACTACAATCCCGAAGGAGAAGATGTCAGACCATGTGTCCTGTTGGGCGCATGCCTCAGATTCTGGGCTTCTCCACATCTGATTCCTACAAAGGCAGCCCTTGAGCTTCTTGCCAGGTGGGAGGAATACTGCATCCTCCAAGTCGGAGATCTGAACACCTTTGACAACGAAATTGGCATCGGTCATCTTTCCGTAGTCAAGAATAACATTATAAGGTTTAATCTCTGCACAATGATCAGATCCCTCGCGATTTCTGTCGTGCTACGTTGTGGCGGATGCTCCTTTTCGTCGCCGTGGATAAGAGCTTCTGGCTAGACTGAAGTAAGCCGAAATCCATGAACCGATCGACGGATGATCCGAAGCTTAGGATAACATCGATCACTATCCGCAAATTGGAACATAAAGATAGAAAGTTTTGCAGGTCTTGCTGACACTCAGACTTGCTGAGTATCATGTTTGTAACAATGGAGTCGTCTCCCTCGTCCATTAGATAAGAATTCGGCTTCAAGTACGGACCATTACTTCAAAGTTGGGAACATAATCACTTCGCTCGATAAACACGGATCAACGGTTCATATCTCTCAGAGAGAACCTACTGAACGTTGTACGTACGCCATGAATAGCCGCGAAGCGCTGTTCTTGTTGGGAAAAGACTACATCACCTTTGCAATAGAGACAACATTGTTCAATAATCACTGCAGTGGCATGGTTTGATAAAACGTAGTCGGTAGGCAAGTGAAAACTGAAGTTTTTCTCATGAATGAGACGAAATCATTGAAAGGGATTTGCAAGAATTTGTATTCTAGGCCGAATCATCACGTACGGTACCGTAGAGGCTTCCGACACGAACTTCTATCACGGATGTTGACGTCAAAATTTTGACTAATGCTCTAATGAAACTTGTAGTCACGGGGATTTGTACCGTCATTCTGTAAGGATTATGGTAGTAAGGATCATCTATTTCACTTGTTGTTGCGCTGAAGTCTTGAAATCTCCAGTACGCACTCCTGCGTAGCGGATTCTGACAATGATACCAGTCTATTATGCCATGACTAATAATTCTAACCGCCGTGACATTTCAAATGGCTGGAAATGAACAGGATTGCATCTAGACTAGCCAGGACGACGCAGTACGTGTCTGATGTCAGGCTAGATGACCTAGCAGCTAACTTAGTAAAGCACTCCTTTCGACCACACCCGACTCCAGTGCGTCTATTCGAGCATGTAGGACAAGTGCAAAATTATGCCACATGCTAAGTATGAAACTGAGCCAGGAATCCATGAGATCTCCATGAAATTGACATACTTGCCGTCCTGTATTTGACCTGAATCGTTCAACCACATTACGATTTTCGAGGCTATATATCCTCAATTTTGTTTTCACATTCTTAGCCTAACTAATCATTGAAATAGTCAGCGCTAAGGTCCTCTCAACCAAATTAGTCACCACCGTTAAAAAGTGCAGTCGGGTGGTACAAATGTTTCGTCGACAAAACAGACATTTGGAATCGAAAGGCTCTAAGTGGCGAAAACTCGGCAGAAGTTCACGAAGGGGGCGGAGGGCTATGTTGATACTATTCGCTCCGAATACCAATATCTACTAACATCATATAAAACATACCAAAAGGTCTGTACAAATAATTCAAAGCAGCGACTTCATATTTCTGTGTACAAAGTATATTCGTCCCTGGTGTGATTTTGGGCCATGGGCAAAGCCCAAAGTCGCAGAGGTGCGTAGCATTCAAAACTGGAAACGATTACCCAATAGAACCATTGATTTGATCATTCTTCGTTTGCTTTTCAACCATACACGTCCCAGAGCACTACTATCTGTCTCGTACTTCTGGCTGGACTTGCCAATGTCGATGTTGTTATCTAGTTTGAGACTCGAGACGCTGTCCTCACTAGCGATGCTTCCTCTGTCGTACTTGCCATCTTCCTCGTCGATGAATCTCCTACGGCTAATTCTGTTGCGCAGACCACGGGAGATGCTCTGTGTAAACTTATGGTAATCACCATACTCGGTGTCTGAGTCGACCTCAAAGACAGACACAAAAGGCACTGTCTGCAGAGGCGGCGATGGGCTTGAATCCAGCATAGAAGGCATCGGTTCTGTGGGCAAGCTGGAACGCTGGGGGGCTTGTTCCTCACTTCATGTGCGGACCTTGAAGCCCGCAACTGGTGCGCTGAACCAAGTATGGGAACCGGAGCCGGTCTCGGGTTTTCCCATATTTCAACCGCCTTATTCGGCGCCAACGGAGAAACAGTTTGTTGGACAGGAGATGGCTGCTTCGACCTAATATTGGAATAAGACTTACTCCCGCCCAACGGGCGTGGCAACGATTCCGGTTGTTGAGAAAAGGCAATGGGCGGTAAAGCGGCTGGAAGTGGTATTTCTATGGGCTGAGACGTCGCTCGAGGGAATAAGGAATAAGAGGTTGCAGTGCGACCCGGCATTCGTTCGAGGGTTGAGTGTAAAGGTTTGGTCAACGACGACGGCAAATCGTGTCCCAGTTCCGGATCATTGACTGCGTCACTTTTACCGTTTACTGTCTGGCACTCGGCGGGGTGGTACTGAGAAGCTGAAATACGCTCCTCATGCAGTTGAGGAGCGCATGAGGCCTTTGACTTTGGTTTTCGATGTATCCTGTTCATCCTTTCCGGCTTGAAGCCATTCCACAACGGCTTTACTGTAGTTTCGCGCTGAACTACACTATTGTTGCCATAGTCAAAGTGGCGGGGCAATCCAGGTAGCGAGCTTTCGAAATCGAATTGTACATTGAAAGCAGAGAATCGATGGCCCTTTTTTTTGTATGGCCTGTGATTCAAGAGGTTGCCCTTTTGTTCATACTGATTAGCAGGCACCTCCGGACGGGGCAACTTGCCCTTTTGCATGCTTCGATATTGATTGTCTGAGTCTATCGTTTGAAGGAACTTTGATAGACCTTTGTAGATCTGCTCATGGACCGCAGTAGCCTAGTCGGAACAAGTTTGTAACATAATTAGTGACGGGCCTAGGCAGGCTCATAGCAATAGCTCGGTCAGGTGAACGCCTGTATTTAGAGGCAAGATCTTGGAAACGTGTCTTGTGGACTATTGGCTTCATCAGGGGAAGGACTATCGAAAGTGTGGAACAGCTGGCTTTCCTAAGATCAAGACTTGCTCAGTAACTTCACTACCGGAAAGAGACGAAGTGCACAAGAAATCACTCAGCACAGTAATAAGACCCCGCGCCGGCTTGGATGAGGCTTAGAATCAAAAGAAATCATATGAAATGTTAAAGACCTGGGAGTTTACAATGTTTCATCTTTCTTTCAAGGCGCTCAGCCACGCATTGTCCAGATATGCGAAACCATTTCGGAACTTTTCTCGGTGTTAATGAAAATGATGATGTACGTATAGATACAATCGTATTGTTAGGTAGAGAGGTTGTTTGTCTCTGTTTCAGTGTTGGCAGGTGACCTGATATTCAATCAAGCGAACTAACCAAGCCATGACAGATATCATTTCTGCGCCAGATCGTGCACTATCCGTGGTAACGAGGCACCCAGATACAACACATCAGCAAGTTCTGAGCTTTTGCATTCCCACCACAATTTCCGAATTCATCAGCCTGTCTCGATTTCATGACCGAACTGCCTCGCAATCACGGCGTAGTTTCGTTCAGTCATTATAGATGGGAGTGATTGCCCCAATTCTGATAGATACGTTTATATGATATCATTTAGTACGTCGGAGGTTGGCGCTCTCACTCTCGATGTGGAATTTCTCGAGTTTATCTCAATCATAGGAAGAGTCAGTTGGTCTGGCTTGTGCGGTACGACGCTTAGAAGCTATTAAGAGATCATCTTAAACATTCTCGATATAGAGATCGTGGCGAATTACAAGTGTTTCTCCGTTCCATTGAGAAAGAAGACGAAAAACGCCATGTATGACGCGCGTATCTCTGCAGCGCCTTCTCTTCAGGCTCGTATTGAAGCCGACGTCGCCATGACACTCAACATCTGTGATAACACGGTTGAGCACTTGAACAGCATCTGAAACATATTAAATTAATATAATTTGGATGATGCAGCCCTGTACTTCAGTCTACCCTCACGTGACATGTTACTACGCCCCAAATGTGGATATATCTGTCACCGTAAAAGAAAGCCATGTGTACTAATTGTGCTAGCATCGCATGACCATAAGCTTTGTTAACCTATGGTGATATAAGGGCTGCTGACAAAACCCGGATCAGTTGCCATAATTTCCCGCTAGGCAGCATTTGCTGTAGTGGTTTGAGCAGGGATGAGACATTCCATGCGCGGGTTTGTATTCTCGAAGGTTACTTTCAACCACGGAATTTAAGGGATACGTTCAACGGCTGAATTAGACTTTCTGTTGTTGTACTGTGGTAAGTCAATTCGAGAATGAGAGATTCAATTTACATTGATACAGGTTGGAGGCCTTAGCAATCGGAGACAACAAGGGTACCCGGTTCACTTTCCAAAATAGGTTGTTGGTAGCTGCTTTGAAAATCCGACTCTTTGCAACACCCCTGGTAGAGAAATATCAGCCTATCCTGTGATACGCCTTTGCACAAATCTTGAGCGAGTGCTTATACTGTTCAAATTCATGGAAACTAGTACCATTCCACCGTGATGAAGAGTCTGTCTCCTTCTGCTAATAAGACTGGGTTCAGGTATGGCTGAAGAGCCATTTCTTGCAGTGTCAAGGCATGGTGTTGGAGTGAAAAGGAAATCGTCATTGGGAAAAATATAATGTTTTGTGTTCATCGAGTGGTCAAAGCTTCGGCCGGCACGATGCTCCAATTGTCGGAGATATAGCAGAATGACCTAAGCAACGTTGGGTTGTACAAGCATGCGCCCATGATGTGCTCATTACGTTCCCAGTAAGTTAAGAAAAACTGTATTGGAACGGGATTCATTTCGTGGCTAATCCTGATCTTCTGATAGAGTTAGATTTGTCATCAACTGAATTGTTCGCATTTCCCTTTTCGAACCCGAAGTATCAAGATTGCGAAAGACAATTGAAAGGTCAAGAGAATGGAATTTCATGACAACACCAGTAATGTTTGTCGTTGCCGAACTCTTAAATTTACTGCTTTCTCCTCCCCCCCCCCCCCCCCCCACCCCACAAGGGCGATATATGGCCTTTGCGTTAGACTTTCGTCCAGTGGTTCCATACACGTGTATTGGAATGTCAGTGACCACTCATGGATTGAAATATTTCCCAAATAATGAACCTAAGTCCAGTCCATGTATGTTGCACAATATTAATGTCCATTGGGGTATAATTCGAAGAGTTCTGGGATACTGAGGATTTTTGAGACCGAACTAATGTGACTGTGTCTAAAAGTGTATCATGTCACCAACGTGATATCTCATAGTCAACGACAAACTAGTAGCAGCGTTGTTAAAAAGTCACGTACCAACGGAACCTTTATTCAAGAGTTTCCGCTTCAACTTATACCATGCTCGACCTATTTTGCCGCCCTTCGCACGATCTGAGCTCTCCGACCTTGGAGTAGCAGTCTCCTTTTCCACAAGATTTGAAACCTTCTGTTTGGTGTCACTACCTTTGTAATCCTTCTTGACGCGTAAGTTACGAGTGCCACGCTTTGATGTATTATAGTTCCCAATATATTCAGCATCTGAGTCCGAGTCGAAAACCGAAATGAAGCGCTCCATTTGTGAGGAAGTTGGCTGTATCTGGTCTGTATTGATGGGCATATACCCTAAGAGCGCTTGGCTGTCGTGATATACCCATTCTCTTATATCATGGGCTGATGCTGACATACGTAGCTTCGGCGTATTAAAGACTTTTGGGATGGGGGCAGGTCGTGGTTGTTCCCAAGTTGAAGCTGACTCCAGTTCAGGGGTGGTAGGTGCCAAGTATCCAATGAGGTTTGAAACCTCAGACTTCGTATTAGTGAAAGACTTGCTGCCTCTTAATGGACGATACTGGGAATGTCGTGAAATAGATGGGATTCGAGGTGCGACATTTATGCCGATTGGTGGTGGGGTTGAACCAGGATGACGGTGGTACGAATTTGTTCTGACAGTGGGCTTTGATACTGTTTTTGCACGAGTTGTCCTCGATGGTGATGGCTGAAAATAGTTTTTTTTCGATTTGTCCTGTGTTGACTTGTCCGCGGTGGTTGTTTCTGTCTTCGCTGGCCAGAAGCTATCCCATAGTTCATTCGCCGAGGCGTTATAATGGTTGTCATCGTGACCATCCACCCTGTAGTTGTTTTCGTGAGCTCTGTATGTCAACGGGTTACTGAGGTTGCTTGCTGAAGATTCCTTAAGTGATTGGTAAGGTTGATAAGCTGCATAATCGATCGGTCTAGGGTATGAGAAGTTTATTCTTAATCTTTGCCGAGTTGCGTACTGCTGCAGGTATGGGTTCTTTGCTTCTTTTTCGTCATGCCCTGGTATTATGTTTGGTTCCATTTGTCGGAGTCAAATTGCAAGAAAACCATCTTGTTGAACTCATTGACTAGGTGTTTGTTATAAATCCCGGAGGTAGCTACGAAGATATACCAAGAGTTTCTAACTACAAACCATAGGGAATTATCAAAGCATAGAAGCTCTAAGCCTGTCCATGACCACAATGAGATAACATGTACCGGATGCTATATTGAATAAGGTATCGGAGGCTTGTTGGAGCCACATGGATAGTTAACGCTTGGCATAAGTCTTGAAGTTAAATATCTGTGTGAGCTTATTTGCATAACAAAGCGACGCTTTTGCAAAGAATGTGGATCATGCTTGACTATTTCTCCGTGTCACTACATCTCGCAAGATAGCTGTGCCGGACGGGGAATTATCATGTGAATTCGTTATGGAGTGGATCAAATTCGTAACACTGTTATGCCATGACAGGGTACGGTTGAATCATGACCAGACGGTTCTGAGATATTATCAATGAGTCTCAGTGACCTGAATGTGAAGTAATACAACATGGTAAGCAGCATGCCTAGTATGTCCAGCTTGTTTTCACTGGAGATTTCGTGTAGTGCGGAACGCATAATGACGTTATCGGCGTTGCTTTTAGTTCATGCTGACCATAAAAATATCAGCTCGGCAAAAGAAAACGGAAAACAGTGTGGTAAAGAATTCTGAAAGAATATGTTGGTACTAATGGTACCTGTCGATGTTCAAGAATGTGTGACAACTTTGCCTAACACAGTATATGCCAGTAGCTACTGTTCCATACTGTTGCCAATTTATTCTTGTGATAATTGCATTGGGGTAAGTAGGTCGTTAGCTAGATATAAACTAAACGTCTATTCAAGGCACTCACGAAACTACCAATTGTCGCATTGAATATTCTTTCGTGGTTCCAAAATATTCTCGGCAGGGTTTCTGATCACGATGTGCGGTATATTTTCCTAGTATCTGCTTTCATGGCAATTGGAATGGCGGTATTGTTCAGTGTAGCATCAATTGGTGCGAAACTTAAACATATTGGAGTTTACAATCGACTTTAACACATCGGATTCATAATCAATATCCTTGATTTAGTTTCTGAATTACGTAACTGGCACATCAGCTAGTGGAGCCTCTTCGTTAATGGCGAAAAGGTTAACTGTTAGAGAAACCCTTACGCAAATTTCTAGTCTAACAGCCTACGATGCATTTTTTCAAGCAAAATAGCAGCAATCCTACCAGATCTTCACTTTGTTATGTTTGCATAGCTGCGATACTCATCTTCAAGGGAGGCGTGGCAACTGAATATTCTTTAGTACTTTCTGAACCAATAGAATTATCACATAAACGTTGAGGGACAAATTCTGCATACTGATACAAGGTTTGCCACTCAAAATTTTGTCGTACGATCGCACCGGATGCCGATAGTATTTCTTCATGACCTGGTCGAACACCTTGTGTGACAGTGGCTGCTTGTCTTACCTCCTGCTTTTGCCGTGCCCCCACCGTAGCCACTGACCTAGCCCGATGAACTCTCATCTCGAATCTCACCTTGTAATACGTATTGAGGCATAGCCGTATTATGCTGGAATATAGATATGAACAAGATGCATGATAGCACGGATCGACGCCGGGCTCAATGTAAAGCTCGGGTAATATGAACATATTTCGTATCGAATCTCTATATGTAAAAAAGATGAAAAGGACAAAGAAATCAACCTTGTAATAGTCGCTACGTACGCAAAGTCCTGCCTAATAAGCATCTGTATCTTATTGAGCCGGATTCTCTCATTACTAATGCACAGTTAGAGTTAGAGTTAATGAGCTTGGCAATTGAGAAGCATTTCCACGAAATATCCACAGTTACGGCGGATGAACAGAGTTAGCGCCACTCCGTGGCTTTTCATACGGCCCGCGTTCTCGCCGATGGAAAACCGGCCGGTAATTAGACATTACTGAGGTAGAAAAAGAAAAGGTTTGGGTTTACAAGCCGCTCAGCGGAGCTTTTCCTCTTCCTTATGTTTCTTTTCCTCCAGCGCCCTTTGCGGCCTAGCACAGAATCTTCTCTACGAAGACGCCGACAATAGCCTTTCCAGAGGAACAGGCGAAACGCAGGTTTTGGTGTTGACAACGACGCGGAAAAATAGTCACCAACTCCGCCCCTTCGCCCATCCGATCATACTAGTAGCGCAAATTTTTGTAAGGATCGTAGTGCTGGCATACCTGGTTTCCAAATTTAGTGCAGGTGGATCTTCCACCACAGTCCACAACCCAGGATGATGTCTGAACACAACGTCGAATGATATATCTGAACATCGATCGGTTGTCAGCACGTTTTTTCGAGGACCCTCAAGCTCAAGGGTAAACTTCAAGATCTAAAGCAAGCTGCGGACCGAAGCGAGCGAGCAGGCAACTTGCGCAAGGGGTATTTGGGCGGATCAGTGGGAGGGGATGGCCCGGGATCGCGCAATGCGGCGTGTCGCCATAGCTCGAAGTGGTGTTATATTTGAGCCCCTGTCAGTTGTCTGTTCATTAAATCTGATCCCGCACATCGCGGCAGTAGAATCAGTCTCGAAGCTTCTAAGAATGCCGGGAGTCGGGAGACTATCTACAACAAAGGAGGAAATGCTCCGTAAAGTTCTTGTTATCATCTTCTAAGCGAGTCGGACTCTTTTTGGAATAGTTCGGAATAGACGGCCTGCGTTGATGCCATTTATATTTCCCATCCCGAGCCGCTCGATAGCGGAGTAGACTCTCCATCCCAAACCTTCCTGCTCCCGTTGCGCTAACATACGATGAAGCTAGGAGCGGCCCTCGGGACGAGAGCAGCTGCGAAAGACTGACGTTACTGGAACCTATGCCGCTTCAAGTCAGGTCGGGGCTGTTTACGAAGGTCAATATGTGTTTCTAGTTCGTTTCTCTCGACGTTCAGCAGATTTGGGATTGGTCACTGTTCGAAACTGTCTTCCAAGACTAGACAGCCACTGCTATTTTGTCCGTATCCATCTCCTTCCAAGAGGCAAGGATGTGTTCTAGTATCTCCATTCGCAGTCCGCAACTGTCTACGCTCTCTTTGTGTTCCCCGAGCTGGTCCCAGCCAAGGAACGCGCGATTGGTTACCTGGAGCGGAGGCGAGAAAGCATGCCGCAGTGTCCTTAGAACGATAATTACGTCATATCCGTACGCAAAAATTAACCATCTGCTCAAGTTACTGATCAATCCGTCAGTGATACCCTTTGCATGAGTCAGTCAAAAAGGTGCAGGGGCTTAGATTGGCTTTGTGACAATATTTAGCGAAAAGCCAGTCGCTTAATTGATACAATAAACGTTATGTTATTACTAGTGTTCATCGCTCCGCATTGCGGGAGCAGTAAAAAGTCTATTAACAACCCAACACTATCCCCAATTCCATCTACCACCAGATAATAAGCAAATTCGTGTTGGGTGACACGTAGCGCAATGATGCATGGTTGGTACGCCCGCGTATGCTATAACAAATCAGAAGACCTCAGTACCATTTTTGGTCCCGGGTACGCAATACGATGTGTTATTTTAAGAATCGTTATTGGGTAAAACTTCATCTACGCTGGTCGCTGAGACGTTTTCAATTTCAATTCACTGAATTGAATGTTGCCTATGCGGTTCCTATCAAATAGTTGTTCGAAGCCGAAAGCCTCTCCGCATCGAAATGCCCCTTCTTGCACTAAACCCTACGTTAGGCGGTGTACCGGAAAAAGAAAAGAAGAAGAAGAAGAAGAAAGCCTGCAATCGAGCAGCAGTCAAACTCTAACCTCGTATCAAGTACATCTGAACAGTCAATGCCCTGGATTTTGATATGCAATCACTACACGCAAGGTCCTCGAGGTCCGCGCAGTCTAGGGCGCTTTTGATAAATCAGAAGCCGTGTTGTTGCCGCATGAGGGAAGAATAAGTGTACGCTCCAAAATACGGCAGCGCCCGATGCAGAAGTCCGCAAATGCTATGCGGAGATCAAACTTTGCTGCAAGCAAGCTGTGCAAGACAACCCTGGTATGGACATGGGTAGATACATAAGATTCGTTCTAAAGCAATCATTAACTTGGCTTCGGCCCCCGCCAAAAGATCGCGAAAGTGTCGTGCCAACGAGACCAGTGCCGCAGAATTATATGCGTCCACAAACTTCAAATTTCGCTGAATATATGATCCAGTTCCCTAGTGGCACCTCGAACAATCCTTATATTCGGCAATAAGACCCTGATTTCTCTTTCGCGGCACTCATTGGCTCAGACCGTGATACATTGACGTCACTCGTGGCTATGCTATGTCTCAAGTTCTCGGATCAGGAACATTACCAATTATTACATCACTACCCGTGCTTGGCTGGTCATTATATGACTGAAGTAATTGTAGATGGGTTGAAACCTACACACGCGGAAATATTGATTTCTAAGAAACCTATCCATAATCATGCTCCCCTCGACTTCTCAAAAAACGAAATCATCATAACATTCTTTGAGATCAATGCAAGAGAATGGGAAATAAGTCTTCCCCTTCATTCTAAGACATGATCCAGCGAGTTTGTGGATGCTACCGTCGTCTGCGTTGAAATCAGTGGTGCTATTTAAGGACTAGGAAGACCAATCACCACTACCCAGACAGGGAGAGTTTATTGACATCTTAAGTCATGCCAATGCTCATATAACGATAAACAATCAGCTGCCGATGTGACTCCAAATACTAGGTTTGGGATCCACGTTACCCGTCAATAGTACTAGGAGCGCACAGCCATCTTGGCTTCCCGATCTACCCATCACATGTTGTCTCACTGATATTACGACCGGGGCATACATTTCTTTCGATGGCTTGTTTGCGGCATGGTACATTCTAACCCCCACCCCCTTCCCCCCCAATTTTTGGCACTCGTGCTAGATATAATATCTACACGCGATACGGCATCTCTGTTCAAATATTGGACTTACGTCGTGATATGCAGTAGCCAATCATGTTCGCACAGCTGCATAAGCCCCGACAGAAACCGTAGTTGGGCCTCCTGGCCATATGTAACATGCTTCGTCGATGACGCTACGTCTGAACTTGGATCTAGAGCTGGGCTTGTCTTGATTTCGTTATCTTTTTGGTGAGACTAAAATATCGTGGACTAATTCGTTGAAACGTAACTTTTATCTTGTTTGACTGGACTTCGTCCAAGACACCCCCTTTATGAGAGCTGGGTACGGTACCATTGCGGGGTAGACTAGTTGACAGTTGATCAACAGTTTGTGAGACCTCCTTCATGTCTGCTATGATATCTTGCACTTGTAAGTGCTACTGATAATGCCGTATCACATGTCATACGCCTGATGATTAGTCCACGACTCCTCAAAATAAAGGACGTTTAGATGTTGTGTCATGCACTGACTGCAAAGCGCATGGTTAAAACAGGGCAAGCAGCCTATGGCTAAGCTACTCAAACTCATCCTACGTGACACCAACTGATGATTAATTATGCAAAAAGCCATACCAGTATTGTTGTTTTCGGCAATATCTAAGATCTGGGACAGAGCCTTGCCTTTCGATAGTCGGTCCAATACACCCCATCCGACCTTGTGTTGGCCGTTCTACCATTATCGTTCAAATGATTTTCGACCTTTATTGCCTATATAACCCAAGAATTCTGCTAAATCCTATAAACTCCATGTTCCTGTGTACTTCGACCATCTCTAGCCCAATTGTTGTGATTGCGAGCACGACAGCATTATCCAGTATGACACTACTTGAAGTGTTTAATTCATCCGAAAAGCTCGATGAAGCTTCTCTTATTGTGCTCGGGGGTATTATCGCCATTCTAGGTGTTACTCTCTCAACTTTCGTTCAATGGTATCGTCTCAGCCACATCCCCGGCCCGACATTGGCTTCTCTTACCAGTCTATGGAACTATATTGTCTATAAACGCAAGCGTGTACATGAAGTAATCGTAAGTGTCCAAGAAGAGTATGGAAAGATCGTTCGCATAGGCCCAAACGACGTATTGATTTCTGACCCGGAAACAATCTGGCGTATCAATTCTGCACGCTCGGTTTATGGCCGGGGTGAATGGTATGGCAGCACTAGGATAAACCCATACGCCCACAGTCTGTTCAGCGAAATGGACACGGCAAAGCACGATAAGCGCAAAGCGCAGCTCTCGTTTGGGTTCTCAGGAAAGGGGCTCACGGACCTTGAGGGTAAAGTGAACATGCAGCTGTTCGTGCTGATAGACGTCCTGAAGGAAAAGGTCCGTCAGGGCGGAGGACAGTTTGTCGTTGATCTAAGTCGTCTCCTTCAATACTTCCAGGTCGACTTGATCACACACGCAGCTATAGGAGAAGCATGGGGCGACCTAACGTCCGAGAAAGATCGCTTCAATTACTTGGACACAGGTGACAGGCTGTTTCCATCCATACATGCTGCGGCGACGGTTCCTTTCTTGCGTTCACTGTTCTTCTCTCCACTCTTCCTCCGATTCTTTGGTCCAAGCACCACGAAGGGATGGCTCGGGTCAGTACGGTCGATAAGGATATGTGAAATCTATACTGACTCAGGTTCGCAGGTATTATCATGATGCCGTCGTGAAAAAGGTTGCAAGTCCCCAAGTAGAGGAAGATGGAGATAACACACTAGTGGGTTAACGAAATACTTTGTCGATCTAACAGGGAAGACGAGAAACTGACAGTTCCAAGTCTGTATGGCTCAAACATGGCGTTACACCAGCTGAGGCAGAGGTGGATCTTGCTTTACTCATGCCTGCCGGTACAGAGACGTCAATTTCCACGATTCGTGGTGTTTTCATGTATTTGATAACATGCCCTCGCATATACAGCAAACTCAAGGAAGAAATCGCAAAGGGCATTGAAGAAGGGCGCATATCAAGCCCGATCAGCAGTGAGGAAGCTAGAAATCTTCCATATCTACAGGTATGTGATATTTGAAATACACTACTTCAGACTCCTAGAGTGCGAGTTTTCTGTGGTTTATCTTACATATTACGCACAGGCCGTTGTCAACGAAGGCATGCGCATGGCTCCTCCCCTCACTACCGGCTTTGCAAAGAAGGTGCCTGTTGGGGGCGACATTGTCTGTGGAAAGGAGCTTCCAGCGGACACGGAAATTTATATCAATTTCATTTCTATGATGAAGAATCAAGAGATTTTTGGTCAGGACGTAGGCGTCTTTCGGCCGGAAAGGTTCATTGACTGTGATGAAGCCACCAAGGCTAAACGTCTGAAGTTGGTTGACCTCAATTTCGGTTATGGGCGTTGGCTGTGTCTTGGTAAATCGCTGGCATGGATGGAGATGAACAAAATCTTCGTCGAGGTAAGTCTATCGCACTACGCACCAAGCCTGGCTTTGGTCCATATATTTCAGTGTGCTGATATTCGTTAAGCTGTTGAGATTGTTTGATTTCCAAGTTCTTAATCCGGAGAGACCTTGGCACAGGGTGTCGACCGCAACCTGGTTCATCTACAATTTCCATGTTCAAGTGACGAACGATCCGAAGGTCTCAGTTGAGGCGTAATATCAAACCTGACGCTTTCAATTGTACATACAGTGGTATTAAATGAGCGAGTTTTATTGGGATGAGATGTATGCTAAGATTGATTCGAAGAACTGGTGCGGGTATTTAGTTGCATCGTGCATGGAACTATACTTAACTAGTTATTGACCATTGGCAACTAGATGATCAAAACCTTTGAGCACGTGCTGGGTGGATTCCTTGCTTCCCAAGAGGATTTGCACGCGAATTCCGCACATTTCGTCGCTCGTCTATACACGTGCTAGCCGTGATTGGTTATGACAGGAGAAGTGGGATGGGCTAATTGGCTGAATTCGTAATCCCGACCACACCTATAATCCCTGCAATGATGTACTCGGACAAGTCGGACCCGACCTCCTCTGCAATATAAATCCACCATCACGACGAGAGCGCTTTGCAATGCACTTGGTTCAAACTCAATATCTCGAGATTGCGACAGCCTTTTGCAAAATCACATACGATATGTGGTCTCAATTACTTGGCGCCTATGCTGTGGCAGCACCTTTGGTGGCAGCACAGTCCGACATTCCAATTTCGGGGTCGCTGCAATCAATCCTCGACAAGGCCGGATCAAACCCTTTATATCAGTATCCAACACAGCTGACCCAAGGCATTATCCCCAAGGCGGTCCATAGTCACAATGATTACTGGCGCCCTGTGCCGTTCTACAGCGCCTTGGCCATCGGAGCTGTCAGCATTGAAGCTGATGTCTGGCTGTACGATGGGACGCTCTACGTGGGACACGAGCAGAGTGCGCTGACCAAGTCACGCACTTTTGACTCTCTCTACGTGCAGCCCATCCTCGACGTGCTGCACCATGAGAACCCAAACAGCTCATTCGTCAGCGGTGCGACGAAGAATGGAGTCTACGACACATCGTCGTCGCAAACCCTTTACCTCTTTGTGGACCTTAAGACCGACGGTGCCACCACCTGGCCCGCTGTCATCAAGGCTCTCGCACCCTTGCGCAACGCAGGGTATCTGACTACCTACAACGGCACCGCCGTTGTGAGCGGCCCCGTGACCGTGATCGGAACTGGTAACACGCCGCTGAATCAGGTTCAAGGGGTCTCACCAAGAGACTACTTCTGGGATGCGCCGCTACCCACACTGGGAACAACCTTTAGCAACATTACCAAGGATGTCTCACCGATTGCCAGCACGGCTTTCTCTGCACAATTCGGAAGTGTCAGGAATCAGGCGCTCAATAGCACCCAAACAGAGCTTTTAGACAGCCAGATAGCAACAGCCCACGCCAAGGGGATTGCCGTGAGGTACTGGGACCAGCCCGGTTGGCCAGTTGGAACGCGAAATGCCGTGTGGAGAATCTTGTGGGACGCAGGTGCCGATCTGATCAATGTAGATGACCTCGAAGCAGTGGCTAACTTCTGGGAAGAGTCGGGCTAAGCATGGGCAGTGGTAAATATCAAGTAATAGTCCTTACCAGAAATATATGATGAACCGGACCTATCTTCATCGGAAATTCTAACATTTGGTGGTATGCTGCGGCTTATAATACTGTGCTCAAAGAACCTGGTCGAGGCATTTGACCACACATCACTTTGGTGCGTACTGCCAACGACGACTTCGGACACCTCAAGCACTGCTCCCAGGTGGCCTAGCGGCACCTCAGTCTGATATGCGATGAAGCAAGTCGGGGTGAAGGAGGGCCAACAGCCACTAGAATGTTTTTGCTGTATGTTATACATAATATGATGGACAAAGACAAGGCCAATCAACAGATCAAGCGTAAAGCTCGCAAAGGTAAGTAGGTGGCCACATTTAGGACTAAACACTTAGAGCCCTATAGCCACAGAGTACGATGATGCGATTCCAAGTTCTGGGTAGCATTTGCGAGAAGCGCGATCAATATAATGGAGATCCGATATACCTCTTGTGTTGTTCAATTCGGCAGCTCCACTTCCTCAGACACTCCCTTGAGTGCAATTTCCGCACCTTGATAGCCATAGATGACTCTCGCAAAGTCTTCTTGGCCAATCGGGCCTTGGACCTTATCCTCCTCTGATTGTATATTGCCCAGCTCCCGCGAGCGGCGAGCGACATACTCGGCACGTTCCTTCCGAAGCTTGACAAAGATCTCGAGCGCCCGTGGCAGTTGAGCTGGAGATTCGACGTCTCTGAGCACATATCCGAGTGCTTCGGCGTCCTCTATTGTCACATTGCAGCCCTGTCCCGCATGAGGAGTCACAGCATGCGCTGCGTCTCCTATGAGCACGGCTTTGCCGGAAGACCAACTGTCGATTGGCGGTACATCTCGTACTCTCCATGCATCGATGCTGCTATGAGTGAAAAGATTGACGAAGCTTTTAGGGAAGTTTGGTGCAAATTCATCGATAACTCTCGAGACGGGGACGTCTTTGATAATGCTGGTCTTGGCCGCATCAAACTTTTCAGCATACTCCCTCTCCGTTGTATACCCTAGAACTTGCAGCTCTCGAGGAGATACGTGATACATGAGCATACGGTGTTTCGCCTGCGGACCCTCGGGTGGGTAACACGTGGTAAGACCTGCTTGCTTCGCCGGCTCGGTAAGAAACTGCAGCTCCGGATCATTCCGAACAGATTCCAGCGACACCTTCGTCATGAAGAGCATGAGATTATGAGTTCGCGGTTCTGTGGAGGTACCATCCTTTCGCAGTATGGCGGGCCGAACTGTAGAGTTTATCCCATCGGCCCCAATTATGAGATCGCCATGCAGCGTCGAGCCATCCTCTAGGAGCACCTTGCCGCTATCAATATCCACTTGATTCACTTTGGCAGACCGTTGAATAACGGCGGGTTTTCCAGGAAACTCCGAACTTGTTGCCAATCGGACGAGCTCATCCTGTATTTTCGCTCTCTTCGCCAGCACGGACGGCGCGCCACCGAATCTCGACCGGGTGTCGAAGTTAATAGTTCGGATCTCCTCATTCCTGTAGTTCCTAGCCCAGATGTGAGTCATCACGACCGTGTCCAGATTATCAAGTTTGACACCGGCCTTTTGTAGCAGACCGAAAGCGTTCGCGACAACCGACAGTCCATAGTCTGCCGGTTGCGAATCGTAGTGGCCGCGCTCGAGAACTGTGACATCGTGCTGAGCCCTCAGAAACCCGGCCACTGCGAGCCCTCCGATTCCACCCCCGACCACGATAACTTTTAGAGGCATATTCACACCGACGGCAACTTGGGGAGATAATGTATGGGTCAATGCAATTGAGATGGCCGTGTCATTGATTATTGAGCGAGGTGAATGATCTTGACTCCGCCATTTCGTCAGCTCGTGGTCCGTGGCAAGTACGGGTCTAAAAACTGACGCCAAGCGGGCAGTGCTCGGGCAGTGTTCTGCCGGCCATTACTTAATTGAAGGTGTACATTGTTTTATAACATCTGGTTAAGTCCTCCTTGACGTGTTTATTCGAAGTATTCGCCGAGTACAGGGCTAGGACGCGAGAAAGTGGCTGTAAAGACCAAAATGCAATGTTTGCTATACAGCATCGTGGTGGACTTGCCAGATGAGCACCAGCTTGTTGTGGGGTCAGCGGTAGCTATAACTATTGAACCCAGTTGCCGCATGCGACAACACAGACAGCACCAGACCTTGAAGAGTATGAAGGATCTACAATACTGTGTGCTTCTCACGAGACATCAACCCGGTTTATCCAGGTAGTACAGGAGTCAGCAAAAGAAATCGCTGTCTCTGGGCATGCCTAAGTGCTAATTGTTGCCGGGGCACCAACTGAAACCTCTGTTACTGGATTCCGTAGTTGTCTTCTCAAAGTCCACACAACGTATGGCTACCTATGGTGTAAGTCTCAACATATACTGTGTTTTAGGAGCACAGAAAGAAAAGGGTAAGGAAAACAACGCTACTTGAGGGATAAAGCAACCCGGCCGACTGTAAGAACTGCTAGACTAATTCCCGAAGTCCGTTCCAAACAATAATGGAAACTGGATCAAATACCGAGCTGTCAGCGGTCACCGACAGCCGTTTGCTATTTCCCGTGCCGGAGCCGGTTTGACTCCAATTCCAGCACCGGAACAAACGACCCCTCCATGTACTGCGAACATCTGCGAAGTACGCATACCACACGTGCTGCGATTCGAACAAGAGTCGTTTCGTCCCAATAACGTGTCAATTTCGACGCAGCGATAGAGAAGCGCGGGATCGTATGAAACGGCGTGGGCTCAATTCGATAGAGGCACCGCAGAACATGCAAGCTTGAATTGAATTATAGATCTCCGAGCGACATCCGCGGGGTCGATTGAATCTCCTGCGGAGCTTACCTCTTCAGCCCTTACGATTGGCCGATGAGTCCCCTATCAGCCGTCTCTAGCGGCGAGGCGACGGCTGCAAGCTCGAATTACGCCATCGCAACTTTTCTCCTTAGCGGGGCAGACATGTTTCGATAACATGAAGAATACAGCGACTCCGGAGGCGCAATTGACTCTTGTCAGTCAACAGCAGACCCTCGGTGATTATTTGATAAGGTATAGTATAGCCCAGGGCTTCCGGATGGCTTCACTTTCCCAGCTGCTGTGCGCGTGAACACATATCTTCTCTCCTTGTTGTTACGTTCTTCCGCTGGGCCATATCTGGTTTCGCAGACTGCCCCCTCGTCGACGCTGTAGTTGGTGTTATATCCTGTTCTCACTTACTTTCTGCTGCAATCGAAGTCGATGATGGCTTCCCATGTCTCCCTTCTCACAGCGACTGATGTTAGGTCGCACGTTCACCTGATCATCGGCTCGAACCCCCTTGCTGCAGGCCGTTGCAGCCAATCTCTGAGCGTGGGCGCCACTCCGATACTCCTTGCGCCGGAATCAGCAGAACTGCACTACGCGTTGCAGAAGCGTGTCGATGACGGCCAAGTCGAGTGGATAAAGAAGTCCTTCGAAGACACCGATCTTCTATCTCTGGGTAGGGAAGAGGTCGGCCATGTTGTGGACACTGTATTTGTAACCTCAGGGCCGCGAGATCCTCAGAGTGCACACATTGCGACTGTATGCAAGCGAAATCGAATTCCAGTCAATGTCGTCGACTCACCCCAGCTCTCGAGCTTCAGCCTTCTGTCCTCCCATACGGACGGTCCTCTACAGATCGGCGTCACTACCAACGGTCGGGGGTGCAAGCTTGCATCTAGAATTCGACGAGAGATCGCCGCCTCCTTGCCGCAGAACTTGGGTTCCGCCTGCCTGAGACTGGGCGAGGTGCGACGGAGGATACACGAAGAGGATGCCTTGTTACACCATGCATTGGCAGACGGCGAAGACATCGACGACTCGACCGATCAGTCAGCGTCGTTTAACAAGTTGGTGACAGAAGCGGACTTGGATGCCGCAAAGAACAGGCGCATGCGCTGGCTCAGCCAAATCTGCGAGTACTGGCCGTTGAAACGTCTGGCTGCTGTGAGCGACGACGACGTCAACGCCATACTCAAATCCTATCCGGGCAATGGCACGCCTGAATCGATTGGTAGACCTGCAGGTTCTGCCGATCCTGCTTCACGGGGTCGTGTCATTTTGGCGGGTTCGGGTCCTGGCCATCCAGATCTTTTGACCCAAGCAACGCACAAAGCCATACAGTCTGCAGATCTCATTCTGGCCGATAAGCTTGTGCCATCGGGCGTTCTGGACTTAATTCCTCGTCGCACGCCTGTTCAGATTGCGCGGAAGTTCCCTGGAAATGCCGATGCTGCTCAGCAGGAACTCCTGGAGATGGCCTTGGCAGGTCTGCGCGAGGGCAAGACTGTGCTGCGCCTAAAGCAGGGAGATCCATACATCTATGGCCGCGGAGGCGAGGAGCTTGCGTTCTTCCGAGAGCACGGCCTAGGCGATCGAGTCGTAGTCTTGCCTGGAATCACCAGTTCACTCTCTGCGCCTCTATTTGCCGGAATACCGCCCACCCAACGCGACGTAGCAGATCAGGTCCTGATTTGCACCGGCACCGGCAAGAAGGGCAAAGCTCCGAATCCACCAGAATATGTCGCGAGCAGGACCGTCGTATTTCTTATGGCATTGCATCGCATTTCAGGCTTGGTGCAGGAACTCACACAGTATACGGAGGCTGAGACGACGGCTTCCGAGGACGACTCAAAGTCACAACAATTACAGCCGAGAAGACCGCTTTGGCCGGGCAGCACACCATGTGCTGTGATTGAGCGCGCAAGCTGCCCAGATCAGAGAGTAATCAGGACCACGCTCGATAAAGTAGTCGAGGCAATTGAACAGGAAGGAAGCCGGCCGCCGGGACTACTAGTCGTTGGCAACGCTTGTGAGGCGCTTTGGACCAGGGAAAAGGGACGAAGCTGGGTGGTAGAAGAGGGCTTTAGAGGCTTGGAGTTGGGCGACCAGCTCGACCTGGGCGCTTTGAGCGCCATCACAGCGTAGGAAGCACATTGCATGATCCTTGGCAGCATTCGCATTTACAGCAAGCATTTGGGCGGCGTTCTACGGTGCTTCATATAATTTGGAGGTTAGCAATATGACGGCTGGACGCATCACGATCCAAGTAGCCAGTATTGACGGTAGTTTACGGTCAATCAATGTATATTTGTTAAAAAGAAATATTCACAACGATACTCAAAAAGGCAAGTTTCTGGCCCAACACGATCTAGAGGTGCACTGCGAAGGCATTCCGTACTGTACAAGCTACGCCGGTGGATGATACTACAATCAAATGCCCCTTCTCGAATCCGGCAGTTTCCGGCTCCCGCTCTCCTGCGGATAACTCTTCGTGTGTATATGATGTCGTCTTGTTTTTAGTTGTTGACAATGCGAGCCACTCATGACCTCGCGGCCACCACGCTCCTTGACCAGCAGCAACAGCCGCTGTCATGAAGAGCTTGGTTTCAGATACATTTTCTCTGTGTCGCTTATCGTAATCCTGTGCCTCAGAACCCCTCAATTGGGGTACAGGGGTCAGCTGGAATATAAGCTGGCGTTGTCCTACATATTTGGCGGAGTTCCTGAATTGCAATAAACTAGACCTGGCACCCGTCAAACTTCATATTGAAGGGCACGGTTCATTTGTGAAGTTGCCAAGTGCACGGCTGGACGAAGATCAGTGGCCTCATCCACTGTTACAATCTGGGTGACTACTCCGCTCATCAGTTTTGTGCCCTCAGTCCTCCACCATCTCCGAAGAATTCCAGGGCTGGAAATTGGAAGAGGGTGGATATCCTCGATATGACGGCCAAGGACAAGGATGAAGTCTTGGCCGTGGTGAACGGCTTCCTCGAGTCATTTTCCGGTACCAAACCTCCCTTCCCCGACACACTCAAATACCTTGTGCCTGGGGCTTTAGCTGTCCTTTCACGTCCGGACGGACTGGTCCAGTGCACATTGGCGGGCCTGGTCGATCGCTTAGAAGAACTGATCTCGAAGATTCACCAGTCCGGTGGCGCCTCCGTCAGCGAAGTTCTGGCACATCCTGGGCCGGACATATGGGTCCACGACAGGCTTGCGGCTGTCTGGTCGGGCTTTTCCGTCAACGTGGACGGTCGGACAAAGTCGTCAGGTGTGTGCGCATTCACGCTGGTCAAGCTCGACGACGGCTGGAAGATCGCGGCCATCGCAGACACGCATTTCAGAGATGACGAAGCGCCGCCCGTACTCGTTGAAGAGGCTTCGCCCGAGTTGGTGGGGCCTATCTTGGAGTCGATGCGTCTCTTGAACGAAAAGAAATGGGACGAAATGATGAGGCCGCGGCTAGCCGGCGGCGGCGCAACTATTGCGAGATCTCCTCGCTCGCTAACAACCATGCTGTGGCCAGAGCTGGACGAGAAGATGAGGTCCATGTCCGAGCGTGCTCCGGGCTATGTGGAGCATAAGGTGGTTGGTTCGGAAGGTCGGATGATGGGAGATTTGGGGTTCGTATGGTCCCAGTTCACTGTCACGTTGAACGGCGAACTCAGGATCACTGGCTATACCGCCGACACGCTCTTGAAAAGGGATGGCAAATGGCTTCTCAGTGGGGAAGTTGATGGCTAGATTTTCGGAGCACGGCCGTTGTAGGTAAAGTCAATCATGACAGGTCTCAGTTGACCAGGTGCTTCGCCATAAAATGCAGCATCACACTGATGACCTTGAAAAAAAAAAAGGCGATTTGAGAAGGTCCCTATAACATCACTATGGGAAATACAAGAAGCAGTAGTTAGCACGTCTCTCATTTATAACCTTTTCAGTCGACCCTCAAGATCCCGTATCATGGTAAGTATCCATTCTGCTCATTTACTTTAGGCGTTTTGTAGCCAGGGGTAGTGAAGCGGAATCCGTCTATTCTTGAAGGAATGGACGAGTGGCGGTTATGATACGTGTCTGGTGCCACAGAATATCACCAACAGCCACTCATTGAGATCTATGGTGCTGCTTATCAAGACACTCAAGGCTGTGGCAACTCGACTATGGTTGTATGATTGCGTCTCATCATATGTCCCGTACCTGTCTTTGCACGATATGAAGATTGGACGAAAAAGATAAAAATAACATGGTGAACAGGATGATCAAGATTATTAATGTTTTTGAACTCAATGAGACGTCCGAAATACTATGATCCCCGATGAGCAGCATATGATCCTCCATGAATTGGGGTTGTGGGAGACACAATATCAGAAGACGCCTCCCACCTCTCTCCTTCAGGCCATCCGGTAGTTCCCAGTGTTGAAACGTAAGGTGACGGAGGTGAGGCCTCTCCTGCCTTTGCTTTTTCATCCGGTGAGGGTGTAGTAGTCAGTGTAGACACCCTATCCGTACCTGATCGCCCGGCTTCGCTCGCTGCCAGTTCGTATATTGGTTGTTGTGGAGCTGGCTCTTTTGGTGCAATGTGTCGGCTGGAATCACCGTGTAGCTGGTAGATCTGTGGGGTATTCCCGTCTAGTTCTGGTCCATTGGGAAGCTTGATTTCTGGCTTGGGGCCGGTGTTATGCTCCGGACCTTCAAGAACAGACTCATCTGGCTCTGGCTCGGATGCTGCATATGATACCTTCCTTCGCCGGCGACGCAGGATGAAAGCAATGATTGCAGCAACAATGAGAATGCCAACCACTACACCAACTACAATCCCGGCTATAGCACCGCCGCTGAGTGATGAGCTTCCAGAAGAATGAGCGGACGGGTCGCCACCTGCTCCGCTAGATTCATCGGAGTCTTTAGATGTAATAGCAACAATATTTTCTTCAGCACCTTCATTCCATACACATGCAGAGACGTTGAACACACCGCGCTCATAATCGGCCGATAGATGGCTATATTCTAGTCAGCATTTGCCAGATTGAAATCATGGGGTTTTAGCGTTGCGAGTTAATATTTACTTACGTTTCCTGTAGAAATGCACGACCCAATGTGTATTGTGTTGAGTTCGCAGCACGCTTGAGCGGGAAATAGTAGCTTGTATTTTCTACTAGAGGATACTCTGCTGTCAGGTCAAACGCATCATAAGGAAGAACTATCCTCACGGAATCGCCGCCAGAAGTAACATCCGATAATCTGAAGGTTACCTCTGCGTTGGAGTTAACGAGTGTGGTATGGTGAGTTTCATTCACTAAGTATAAACCGGTCGTGTCATCCAATGTCAGACCAAATGCATGCTCAAATGCATCACAAACTTGGTCGGGTAACCAAAAGTTGGGATCCGTCGAGTCAATAAAAATATTGATGGGGTCGGAAAGAAGAGTTGCTGAAGTGGAACCGCTGTAACTGATAGATTGAACAACAACGACAAGGTCACGAGTGAGATCGTCTGCCATTGTAAAAGTTACCGAGTTCTCTGTAAACCGCGAAGTGTCATACCCGGAGAAGATCAATTGGCCATATACTTCTTTGAGACCTACGTCGGTGTGACCACACTATTAGACACCGAAAGGAATTACCATCATCGGCAAGCACGTACGATATTGGGCGCCAGCTGTATAACTCCAGCTCAAGCTTGGTATCCTGCCTTCATCTTTCAATGTTGTGAGAAATGAAGGCGCAGAGTAATTCCCCAGAGTGGTAAAGTTGACTGGCTGGCTGTTGAGTCCAAATACTCCACTGTGATTGGTCTTAAGTCAGGAGTCATTCATGAAGGGCATTTCGACTCAGGTGGCATACAGATAGAAAGGTTCAGCAGTGGCAATGCCCGCAACAGTCTGGTTCTCAAGGCTAGGCCCAGTGAGACCTATAGCTAGAGTCTCTAGCCCAAATTCAGCCCTCTGGGAGTAACCCAGGTTTGCTTCGAGACCAACGCCGTCTTGATTGATCCCGTAGAGACCTACATCTATCCAACTCGATGAATCGTTCCAGTTGAAGAGATTACCTCTGGAAACTGCGCAGCCTGCAGGGACGGTCGCGAATACAGCTGTTGAGCAGCCAGATTCTGACACTACGACCATTGACTGCGGAGAAGCTGTAGAGACGAGCACCCGGATATCCTGCGCCGGCTCACCAACCCGAACATCGAAGGTGCTCCATGGTCCGTCGTTACCCTCGCTTTATATCGCATCAGTAACTGGCGGCCGTGAATGGTCAAAGGTAATGAGAAGAAACAAAAAACATACAAATATTGACTGGCACCAATTACCACCGGCTGGAGTGAAGTATTGTTCGATGTAGCCCGTGCACCGACCACATTACTATCACCAAATGCCCAGCACTCCGATATCCAATGAAGTATAATCGCAGAATTCACCGTGGCAGGTCGCATCTCGACAGGGTGGGCATACACGTAAAGCAAAAAACTCGTTGAGCGGAGAAGTATTTGTTTACCACAATCACAGTTGGGAACACATGCCTTCTTCGTATTCTGGGTCGTGTGCAAGACACGAATATGAAATTCATTGGTCTAGACTTCTCGATCAACCTCTTTACCCGTCGCGGTTCAAGTTCTAGGTCCAATTTTGAAATTGCTGCAACCTTACGAACGCTCCACGTCATTGTAGCCTTACCCCTGGCTGCCCTGACCCCATTTCAAGTCCACGGCCAATCGATCGCGCTGACGGCATGCATTATTGTGACCCTTGTAAGTTCTGAACCACGCTGGCAAGCAAGCTGGTTCCAGTAAAAGCTCACCAATCATGGCGCCGCTGGTCGATATATGGTGAAATTGGCTCGATTAGTGCCTGTCATTGCCCGTTTGAGGAAGTGGATCCGGTAAACATGACAGCATCGGCACACACTAGCAGAACCGGGAACAAACATAGCCGTTGCCAGGCTGGTGTTATAAACCCGATAAACATGCAAGTCACTTGCGGACTTGTTTTCTGGTTGGCAATTTTTCGCTTATTGTTCAACCACAGCTCTCGTTACTGAATTTGTTTGCATTTCGTTCGTTCACGACTACCGCTATCAAGCAATCGTAGCAATGTTGACTGTTTCTGGCTTATGGGCACCGATTGGACTGACGATCTTGAGTGCAAGTGTGGCTAGTGGAAGTGGTATGGATAAACCAGACAGCCTTTCATTCCAAATCCACTAACACGTATGAAGCCCTTCATCATGCTCAAGATTATAACGTATCGAAAATCAGCCATGCGACCATCGCCCCCTCAGCAGCACCTGTTGTATTTCACAGTACCTCCAGCTGCAGTAACTCGACCAGCAGCGTCCCTTCGACCGTTATTTCGTACACAACAAGTACGGCCCATTGTAGTATTATCCCAGGCACCACAGTCACTGTAATTAGCGATAAGTCCTACACAACTACGCTGGTATCAACTGTCACAGAGAAGGAGACTGTGGTCCAAATCGTTACATACAAGGAAACGGAGGCAGATACTAGTATCACCACGACTACGGTTCCCACAACGACGACGACTACCGCTCCCACTACTACAACCACCACTACCCCCACAACTGTAACCTCAATCACGTCATTCACTTCATACAGTACAATTACTACGACTACGACCCGTAATTCATGTGATGCGACATGTAGTGTCTATGCAGGCACTGTTGAACTATTTTTCTGGCCCACCAACAATGACTACTCTTACCCGGCTACCTACGTCGACACCAGACTGGATTACACTTTGTGAGTATATGAAGTCAGTTGTGCGTTAATAGACATGAAACACTAACCTAAGCCAGCGTATCGCCCTCCGTGTACTACATGATCAACACCATTCACGGAGTCAACATTTCTAATGGTGCTGTCGTCGGCCCTTACGCCACTAGCACGATCTTCGGATTTGATCTGGGCGAGGTATCCACGATCGTTGGTGGCACCATCACCCAGCAGCTCACCCTCAACGATCTCGGTACCGACTGCCCTAGGACGGTTGATGCTTCAGCCATCGCGACCTTGGTGGACTCTCGTTGCGACCCTATTCTCGCGGCGCCAAGCAAGATCAGGGAGTGGGCCCAGCCCTGCGCTGCCTGCCAGCGTCTTGGTCTCTTCGACCCCCCTTACGCCATTCCCACCCTGACCGGTGGCCTCGTAGAGACGACCACAGTGGCAGAAACAACCATCACGCCGGTGACTACTGCAACTACAAAAGCAACAGCTACAGCGGTGCCAATTACGATAACTCCTACTACTGTCGCGACAGTCCCAACTTCTACAGCTGCGGAAACTTCCGTCGTAGAAACCACAGCTACCGCGGCACCAACCACAACGGCCAACAGCGCGACCATAACTGAAATCCTCAGCATCGGGCCATCAGGCGTCGTGATCGTCAAGGTTTTCAGCGGAACTTCAGTGACTTTGACCATCCCCGCGGCCACCGGAGCTTCAACCGTTGTAATCGGAGACCAGACATACACGCTGCCGGGTAGCCAGTCGAGCACCGCATCGGCTGTTATCACAGTGCCATCTGCCGTCACCTCGGAAACCTCACCCACAAGCATTCTGGAGTCTTCCAGCTTAGGCGTCTCCGGTTCGCCCACCGCTGGTGCATCTGGTAGTTCGTCGCTCCCCAGCGCCACGACTACTTCGCCTTCGTCCACAACGTCGTCTACCGACCCTGTGGCGACAGCCGCCGCATCCAAAGTCATGGGTGGCTTCACATATTTGCTTTCGAGCATCCTTGTCGCAATCCTTGCGATATAAGGCAAAACACACTCTGATCTCTTGAGTTCAAAGGTGTAATGTTAATGATTAATTACGCTTCAGCACATACAGTTATGATAGGGGTCGGCATTTACAGTAAAATGATACCACAATTCACGAATACATAGGAGTTTGCATGGCCGGCTACACACAGATACTTCTGTGGTAGCGTATACAGAAGTTTTAAACTCGATAGGAATTACGCAGTTCAGTTGTGGGGTACTATAATGACCAATATAAATGCTTTTTAAAGTATTCACGTGATTGAGCGCCATGACATACCTACCAGCTTGCGCTGTCTTTTGTTATTACCAGCCAAAGCGTCCTCTCGCCTAGTCGGAGGGTCGTATGTTGATCCAACTGTAAATCGGATAAATGTGTCCTGAGAGACCTCAACTGTGTCTCTGCATCTGCGCTCTTCCCCTGTAGCGCCCCCTCAAGGATCTCGTTGCTCGACACGCCTAGCAGCCGAGCCAGCTCATACGTGTCTAGCAGCTGCGCGTGCAGATGACGCGGGCCGAACCAGTCCTTGTTCGCCACCGCGGCATACACTGCAGCGCGCTCCCTAGGTGTCCTGGGATTCTGCGCAACAGCGTTGGCGGCCGTGCCGGGGAGGCTGACAACAGCGCCCACCGCTCCGATCGCTGTGGATACCGGCAGGCTGATTGCGCCGCCGATCACGCCAAAGGCGGCCCCCACGATGTTGCCCTTCTTGGCACGGTCGCTGATGTTGCGGCCGATGCTTTTCGCGTGAGATGCCACGTTCTTGCCGAAGCGCTTCGGCACGTTACCAACTTCCTTCGCGACGTCAGCTGCGTGACTGACTGCCCTGTCAGTGACTTTGGCGGCCAAGAAGGCGGACATGGTGTCCAGGAACGAAGTCCAGGTTTGGTCCGGTATGCCATGTGCTAGGAGTGATGGCGCGAAAGCGTGTAAGAATGGTGCCGTAGCGTCCGGGGACAATTGAGGGATGGCGATGGGCTTTTGTACTGGTGTTGATGATTGTGTATATGCTGGAGCGGGTATATCTGCTGGAAAGTTGAATGGTGACGCTATAGTTGGGCCCTTTGCTGAAGACGCAAGATCTCTTGGCACCGAGCTCTGCTGTGCCTGACTTGAGGGGCCAGCGTCAACAACTGCATATGGTGGCAGTGCTTCTGTCTCGTCCGTCTTGTCCCTACCAACATCCTGGTTCCATTTGTCGCCAGTCATTTCTGCGATATGATAGGGTCTGTGTAGGGGTGTATATGGTGATGGAGGAAATTGGCTCGAAAGAGAAGTTTGCTTTACTTGACGAAAAGGCTGAGGGTTTTCGTACGTCTTAACCGATTGATAAGTGTACTGAACAGTCAAAGTCCGAATCCGAGTGAGGCGCAGCTTGGTAGTTAGTGCTCACGCACAAGTGGAGTGATTTAGTGTCAACGGCCTTCGCTTGCGGGCGTAATTGGCCGCCATTGACGTGCTAAAAGTATGTTGCAATAGTGTGCGTGAAATGTGACTCAATTCAGTTGAATACATTCTATGGCACGGCTTGGCCGACTATATGCTTCTTGCCAAGAGGTATGAAGCGTTTCTCTATAGCACGCAACATGTGAATCTCCCCTCTCGGAGTCAGCTTGAGCCTCTGTAATATCAACTCAACTTCGCCCATTCACGCACCCGAGTGGGTTGAGGCTGTCAAGGACGCAATATTTCTACAATCCTTCGGCCCACCAATTCATCTAAAATTATCTGAAGGTAACAGATCCAAATATGGGACACAGACTAACAAGTAGTGGTCTTATGCTTGACATAAGCCGATACTGAATCGATGTTTCCAACATTTGTTCAATAACAGCAACTACGCTACTCGGGGTGTGGGAAGCGAAGGAGATTGCCAACAAGACGTATAATGCGCATGCGCCAAACGTTCACCCATAGGAGTTCATGGCTGATATCTCGCATCGCCATCGATCAGAAAGCTGAATTGAACAATAACTATTGAAGTCCCAACAAAACAACGATGCTGTTTATGTCTCTAACTCACATTATTGATTGGTTCCATGCAACACGATTGCGCCAAACCCCAGAGTTACCTTCTTGTGGTGAACGGAATGGGTGGTGGCGATGCGACCGGTGTCAGAACCATCATTGAGACAAATTCACTTCGTGCTAGTTAGTACAATCACACCCACTAGTCTAAACAGACTCCAAAGTCAAAGTATCATAATACACCCGTATCCACTGACCTAGTAAATAGACCACTGTTTACTCGTTGGATTGGGAGTATTAGCTAAAAGCATGACTATCTCAACCCATTTTACACACGGATTCTCGTCTAGCTGAACATATCAAGTCAGTGTAGAGGTTTACATACGGCCAACGTTGGTCCATCGTTCAGAAAGTTGGCTTAACGACGTGGCTGGCCATTATGTGAACAAGCCTCTTCGTCGCCAGCAGTCTACGTATGCAATTCCAAGATGCGGCGACTGATATAGCAGTAGGTCATTCTCTCACCACCGGGATAGAATTGAATCTGGCACGACAAGTTCAGCCTCACTCACCAGAACAGAAGCATTAAGCCTTCATACAACATACTTCTGAAATATGCTTGCCCATAGGTATAACGCTTAATCTGAAATGCATTTCACCGCAGCTCTCCTAGCATTTTTGAGTGAGTCTGCCATTGCCATGCCGGACACATATTTAGATGCCGAATCTGAAGCTGCTGTCGAGGTCTGGGCTGCAGAAGACTCCATCATCAACGCGAGCGCTGCTTGCCTCCACACGATGGCAAGGAATTCCAAGTGGAAGATCCGCCGATTGCAAAGCAGATGCAAGTACGACTATTTTGCCGAGTGGAAGTTCGGCATCGACAACGGCCAACGCGACAGCGTGAAGTGCCACGCCAATGTCTGAGAAATGGGGCCAAGGGTGCCAGTCAAAGGGACAGCCAGAACAACAACTGCGAACACTATACCGTCCATAGTGGCTGGAGTGGTCAGTTCGGCGAAGGCAAAGGGTTCATCGTCCTCTCTGTCATCGACGACGAGAAGAGGAAGATCGTCTGGCGGAGCTACACGTAATAAGCAGTTGGGAGATGGAAAGGAAGTCAAGCCAGACCAGGACAATGCTCCGGCTATGCTGCCCTAGCCATGTATTACAATCCACACGATAAACTCAGTGGTTGGTTCAAACTCCTCGAGCTAGGAAAGACATACATGGCATTCAGCAGGACAAACGGATATGTTCTCGATAGATGGATGTTGGTCATTGGGATCCATTGCTAGATACTATAATACTCCACGTTGATGTCGTACAATCAGCCCGCCGATGGATGGTGCACCGTTTACTCGCGCTCGCCTTTGGCGTGAAGCTTGGCGCCAATATATGTACCAACTCTACCGCGCGCTCTCTGATCAATGCACTTTTCAGTGAGGGTCGTAAACTCCGGAGAGTGAGTCGCATGTGCAAAATTTCTTCCTAGGATGGAACAGGAGGATTTAGAGTCATCTGTAACATCACGCAAGATATTAGCCGCCACTATAGCGGTCATCGGGTCCGTGGGCGGGCGGGCCTGTGGCTAAGCGTAATGCTTCCAGTACCAAAATCCATGGTGATTGGCTCCCAATGTTTGACATGAATAGAAAATACTCTGACTTGTTGGTCAACGTCGCCAACGTGCGTAATTCCATCTCTTCCATCTAGTTTCATCACAATATCGAACCCGAGGGTCATACGAAATTTGTAAAACTCATGGTGGATAATACTTAATCCGATAATCGAACCTGTCGTCCGTTTCGTCGCATTACATCATCTGGTCTTAGCTAAATACTATTTTTGTCGTATTGTGTAGTCGTCCAGACTGACGACGGAGATGATGTGGTGGGACAACCGCCATAAACACCCTGAACCAGCGGGAGGGGGAGGAGCCCACTAAAATAAACCACAAGTGCACCGAGCCCCTGAACTTTAGCACTACTTAATGTAGTGTAAGGTTAAAGTCCCCGCAAAGATGTTGCCAAAATCTGGAGCCTAGATTCGCAAGATTTCGTGCCTATTTACGAGCTTCGGCATGACTGTTTTCTTCACATTCTCGCGTCAGACTTTTCTCCCGTACGACTGACTGGGAAAGTAATCAAGACTATTATGTGGACCAGACGGTAGAGGCCACACTGCTAAGAAAGTCGCAATGTAGGCTGCCGTAAGATGACCTCAATGCACTGGTTATACAAGATTGGAAGAATGTGCTGTGGCTGCGCTTTTTGGAGGGCTTGACGAAACTGCGACTGTAGAGCGACATACTCCGTATCTACCTCGAAATTTAATACCAACGCGATGCGCGACGAGGGCGAATCACCCTTGTGTCTGCGTGATCTACTATGGTACCTTTCATCTTCATTCAGGAGTGAATGCCTCCGCGGTCTGCTGTTTCAATTGAAGTCCTCCGGGAAGTCCATTGAGAAACGCTAGCCACGGGAAACAACCACCGCTAGCCTGCACAGCATATTTGAAAGGCGGGCTGTGTTGGCTGGGCGCGCTGCCAAGTGGTTTAGCGTCCAGCAATCAATCTTGGGGAACCAAGTGAAAATACGCGCCCACGCACGCCCACGATTGCCCCTGAGGCTCTGGAGCATACCTCAAACCCTTCGCATCATCCTTTACAAACTAAAGCGCACCCTCACAGCTGGCGCAACTACGCGATACGGTTGCTTTTACTATTAGACGATGGTAGGGCGAGATATTTCACCGTCCAGGTCTTGTCACTCTCCAATGTGGTCCCTGAAAGATCAGCGTTGTCTCCGATGGTTGGTTTGGCTTGGCTCGCCCCAGTCCCGGCGTTGGCTCATCTCTTCTAGACGTTCCCCCTGAGATGGGGTCGTCTTGTAAGATTTCAGCCAAGCAATGCCAAGTTCACTGATACGATGCCAACAACAAATAAATTCTGCGCATTGCCCCTGCCGCGGGCGAACTGGCCTGGGACGGTGATTGACGAGTTTGGCCGTTTGATATCAGAAAAGAACTTGTGCCTACCAAAAGCGATGTCTTGCGTATGATCATTTGAACCCGCATTGACGTCGTGTTATCTGTTTTCTGAGCGTGTCGATTCAACAGGAAGTTATTTGTGAGGGATTGTGCTAAAGCACACGCAATCGATATGGGATTTCTTAAGCACTTGGTTGGGGTTTTGCAGCTTCTAGTTCTTCGGACCCATGCAATCAGCCTCGACCTCACGAGTTCTGGTAAGTTGCCCTGTGCTATGGTTAATAGTGAGTTTCACTAATGCATGCCAGCCTCTGTCAAGGAGGCAGCAGCGACTATTGCCTATGGATTGGTCAAGTTCTACACTGGTACGTGAAGCTGCATTGGCCTCATGGCTTGGAGGGAAGCTCATTTCTATCAGGAAACAATACTGGAGATGTGCCAGGAAATCTTCCAGATCCATACTACTGTGAGTTATAAGCCCTTTGTCAACGTTGATCTTAACTAACAAAATTATGTAGGGTGGCAGGCCGGAGCAAGTAAGCAGCACTCCCAATGAAACACGTTGCCATTCCCATACGGAGCTGAGCTCTATTCGCTCTGATATTCCCATAAGCAACAGCATTGCCACAATCAAGGCCATGCTTTTGTCTAATTTCCGTGGGAGACTCTGCTAACGCACGTTGTCTCAGTGTTTGGGTCGTTACTCGACTATTGGTCATACACCGGCGACGAGTCTTACAACAATATCACTTACCAAGCATTGTGGCACCAGCGTGGTGATGACTATGATTATATGCCAGACAATCAGACTCGCAGTCTAGGCAATGACGACCAGGGCTTCTGGGCGTTGACCGCAATGTCGGCGGCTGAGCTCAACTTCACTAACCCTCCAGATGGCGAACCAGGCTGGCTTGGTCTGACACAGGGCGTGTTCAATGAGTACGTTACTCGTTGGGATGAGGCCAAGGATACCTGTGGTGGTGGCCTCCGGTGGCAGATCTTCACATTCAACAATGGATACAACTACAAGAACTCCATCTCGAACGGGTGCTTCTTCAACATCGCTTCTCGGCTAGCTCGGTTCACCGGAAACACAACATATGAGGAATGGGCGGAAAAGATTTTCGATTGGGAGCTCAATGTTGGATATATCTCTGACGAATGGCAAGTCCGCGACGGAGCCGGTAATGCAGGAACTGCCAACTGCACGGAGATCAACGGCGCTCTGTTTTCATATAACGCAGGCATCTTCTTGCACGGTGCGGCATACATGTACAACATGACCGAATCCGACACTTGGAAACTCCGCGTGGAGTCGTTGGTCGACAGCATAGCCACGACCTTTTTTACGGGGGGTATAATGTGGGAACTTCCATGCGAAGCGACGGCCACATCCTGTAACAACGATCAGCGCATGTTCAAGGGGTTCCTCTCTCGCTGGATGGCCGCTACCGCGATGCTTGCGCCGTTTGTCTATGATAAGATCATGCCACTTCTAGAAGCGAGTGCAACCGCTGCTGCTGAGCACTGCGTGAGCCATACGGGAACCAATTTCAAGGGTCACCCCGGTACTGCTGTAAGTATATATCAACTCTATCCCTACCTCTGTCAAAAGCCCCACCTCCGGCCCAGTTATAGGGTATTGCGAGTTGTTGCGAGTAAATTCCATTCCGGGCGCGGTATCCTGTTGTCGATGAAAAATTGTCGAATTTTCAAAGACGAGGCACATCGGACTTCGATCGCTAACTCTCCATCTTTCAGTGCACTTTCAGCTGGTTTGAGGACTCGGCATACGAGGATACTACGGGCGTGGGCGAGCAAATGAACGCCATGTCCGTCATCATGAGCACGCTGGTCGACGAAGCGAAAACACCATACACATCTGCGACTGGCGGCTCGTCCGCAGGAAACATCGAAGGAGGCACGAGCGACTCGTCCAAGTACCAATATCTAAAGGATATCACAACGGCGGACAAGGTTGGCGCCGGTATTCTGACGGCGCTGATACTGGGAGTACTGATCGCGGGCCTGGTGTTCATGAATTTAGATTGAACCTTTCATTTTCAACAGCAATAGAATTCGTCACTTCTAAGGAGACATTTGGTACTCATCCTGTGCATGACGATTTGCTAAACGAACTGGAGCTAGGGGGACATGGGCGGTGGAGGCCCATCACCCGGCCCACCTCTTCCCGGCCGGCTGCCTCTGCCAAGTCCACCATCCCAATATCTCTCGCCCTCTCTCATCTCTGAACCGTTTGAGCATCTCGGGTTCTTGTATTCCTCCACCGTCCCCATGGGCCACATGGGAATTACACATACCTCGTCAATGGTACAGGGCGGACATCTCTTGAATCGCGTCCAGTTCAAGCTTTGCATAAGCGCCCCAAGGGCGCTCGCCGCGGCTGCCAACGACCCCCGGTCGGGAGCCGGGTCCTCCACCACAAGGCCCCGAACAAGAAAGAGCGTGCTGCAGATCTCGTGCGTGACGGAACGTAAGGCGGTCTTGATGAAGCGGTCCGAGTCGGTGACGGGCGCCACAGAGCGGAGGTAAAAGTCCGCGCAGCGGTTGACGGCAGTTTCAGTGGGCTCGACGCCCGAACCGTCAATGAACATGGTCAAGAGAAAGTTGACCTCACTGGCCATCGACTCAATGCGGGAGACGGATTCGGCCATGTACTTGATTCGGTCCGCGTAGCGGCCGACGATCAAGTCGGTGACGTCCTGCCAGTCAATAGTGCGTGCTGGCACGTCACGACGTTCCGAAATGACAGCCTCAAGATAATCCTTGATAGCGGCCAGCTGACTGTCCTCTGCCGAAAACAACCTCGGCAGGTCCTGTCTCTTGGGATTAGGATTCGTCAAGTTGACAGGGAAGAAGAAGGCTGAAACCATAGAGGAGTAATCAATTATCGTCCTCGTAGATCCAATCCCCTGGTACCTCTCTGAAAGTCCCCTAATGAATTCGAGGTTGCCGAAAACCCCCGGTCCGCGACTTTGTTCCGGACGCTGTAAGGCCTGCACTTCTTGTAGGCCGTCGGAGAAGTCACATTTAATGATCTCAAAACCGGCTTCCATGCGTACGATGCCTTGCAGACCCCATTCGTTGGCCAGTGCACAAAGATCCTTCGCGCGCGCTTGCTCATCCATGGGACCACCACCTCCAGGGCCGCGTCGCTTTGGTGGTGGCTCGTCGGCCCTCTCGTTACCTTCAAGCTGCTTGTGTGTCCATTTCTCTGTTTCGTTCGCCGGGTTCTTGCCCCTGAGAAGATAGTCCTGTGAGTCCAGTGTGCCCATCGATGTTTTACCACCTCCCATGCCATCAACGTAGAGAAATTTCAGATCCCGTGTCGTCTCGTATGTGTGCAGGTACCCATGGACGTCTTCATCGTCGCTCCTGAGCTCCAGGCCTCGCCCGCCTTCTTTCACGGCATGTTGCTTTTCCTCGTCACCTTCTGGCGGTGGGCCGCCATGCCCTGGTGGTCGACCACCACCAGGGCCTCCACGCCTTCCTCTTGCGAAGTTCTCTGCGTGTTCAATCTCATAGGCCAACCAGTCGGGCTCGGTCGGTGAGTCCGGGCTACCGTTCCCGTGGTGCAATAATACGCCCTTGGGCACCGTGGCCAAGAAGTACGACATGCCATTGTGGTGCAAAGAAGAGCCCCATTGGCGCATGGCGTTATGCACGGCATTAAAAATCTCCGGACCTCGGCGGCGCGCCATGTCTTGGCTCGGTCCGAAATGCCCATCGCCGAGGCTGACTGCGTCGGATGTGACAGTCGCAGCTGCGGCCAGCGACGCGGCGGCGAGCCAGGTGTGTATGTGCATCTTGTACGAGGTGCTCTGGGCGAGATGGGCAACAAAGCAGGCCTCAGACGCAGAAGGCTGGACTACATCGACCAGTCATGGGAGAAATGTAGGAACTCAGAGGATATTCGAGATCTTTAACGTTAGCTGCTAGATAAGATTGAATTGCGTATGCCCTCTTACAGTTGCGTCGTCAGCTGGCCCCACTCAGTCCTGTCGGGTGTTGGCCACCAATCGCGGAGACCGACACGCTCGCTTTCGCACTCAGCCACATTTAATTAAGACCTGACAGCTTCAGCAGCTTCAGCTAATGGAGCTTGGTTGATTGACGGCGTCAAGGAGCACGCGGGGCTCATCGCACTCATGTGAGAGTTGCGAAATCGGTGGTCTCATCGTGGAGCAAGAGACGTACCACGTCAATGATCGAAACCCGAAATCCACCTATCGCCGCAATGGTCCGCAACTCAGCCGCAAGCCCCCACAACGCCCAAAGGGACATTCCTCTATCCTCCTTGCCAGGCGAAGTAGCACATCGCAGTCACCCAAACAACTCGTTTCTGCTATTCCGTCATCGAACCGCAATGTCCATCTGTACATAGTACCAATGACAGAAATATGAACTCGAGCTCGAGCTGCGCATCCTGCGCTCTGGTCGCGTCAGTAGTGGACAAGTCCTATACTTCGTCCAGCACTGTCTCCCAAAGGAAACTCCAGCCTGTCATAGGGACGTTCTTGGAGCTCGAGCAAAACCAGACATGCGAGGTTTGCAAGTTTGTCGTATTCAAATTGAGGGAAGACCCAAGACGTGATGGCTATCTGCCTGATTGTGCAGTGACATTCTGGCAATGGAGCGAGCCGATGGAGTACACGTGGAGCTATGGCCCGCTCGAGAACGAGGATGGCAACTGCACAACTTGTGATCAGGACCACAGAGGGTTCAGGTTGATCGATTTCGCATTGCCGAGTCCAAAATTCGGCTACTTTGTCGAGCCCGACTCCAACTGGATCGACTTATGCCGAGTCAGAGAATGGTCTAGCCATTGTGACTCTACGCACGCGGGTCTATGTCATACATTGACAGAATGGGCAGATGTAGCACCGCCGTCGTTAGCGCCTCTCCTTCTTGTCGATGTGAATGCAAGATGCATCGTGGAGATTGATGTGTCCGCGAACCTCAGGACCAAGTACGCGGCACTGAGCTATGTCTGGGGTCGTCTTCCCAATGTACTAGAGGCAACAAGATCGAATCTGGGCCATCTCAAAATGCCGGGCGCACTCTCGCTCACAGATTTTAGTGACACTCTCCCAGCAACAGTCCGTGATGCCGTAGCACTTACAAGAAGCCTCGATTTAGACTACTTGTGGGTCGATAGACTCTGCATCGTTCAGGATGATCCTGCTAGCAAATCATTGCAGCTCGCGCAAATGGGTGCTATATACGCTAATTCATACATGACTCTTGTGGCAGCTGATGGCACTGACGCGAATTACGGGCTTCGTGGCTCCGTGAGGGGCGTATCTCAGCCTCGAGACTTCCAGTTGCCAGTGCTCACGTACAAGCCAGATGGTGAAAGTCTTATCGTGGAACCCGTGTTTGAGCTCGACTTCAATGCACCAGAGTGGCAACGTCGTGGCTGGACGTTTCAGGAGAGAACGCTGTCTCGCCGTAACCTTGTTTTCCAGGAGGGCCGCGTTTTCTGGGAGTGCCCCGGAGTAGTGTGGACGGAGGAATTGGCGTACGGTCCTCGCACAACATCGCAAGACTTTCGGTGGCAGAGGGGTAAGCCGTCGTCCTGGCAGAGGAGCAAGCCATCATCCTACCAGCTCAAGATGAGTCGGTGGCCCGATCTGGGCCAGTACGAAATGCTTGTACTAGCTTACAACATGAGAGTCCTGTCGTTTCCTAGCGACGGGCTAAATGCATTCGTGGGCATTTCCACTGCTCTATCCCGCTCTTTTAGGGGTGGTTTGCTTTACGGCGTTCCAGAGTACTACTTTGACATAGCCATGCTCTGGTTTCCGTTTTCTCCTATCCATCGTCGGCTCGTTAACGATCGAGTAGACTACACTCTCCCGAGCTGGTCTTGGGTGGGTTGGGCAGGAGGTAATATCAATTTGAGCATTCTACCACAACTTCAGCGCCGCGCCGACGCCACAATGGGTTCGTTTCCTCTTGAAAACATTGAGATATATCCCATGGTGACATGGCTCAAGACAAACTCTGCAACAGGGCTTGAGGAGGAAATAGATAACGGGTATCACGACGCAGTAAAAATGAAGAACGATAAGTATATTTCTCTACCTAAGGGCTGGTCTCGCATTGCTATGACTGAGGGGAATGACATCGGTCAAGGATTCAAGCATGATTCTATACCAGACACAGTTTTCACGTGGCCACTACACGTGCCGGAGCACCCCTTGCCCCCATCGCTGGTACAATGGAATCCTCGTCTTAGATTCCAAACCACTCGAGCATTTCTCTTCGTAGGGTCTCGTCTTCGGCATAATTGGGAGGGCAACTCATGGAATGCCGCAACAAATATGGCTGTCCCGATTGCCTCGTCATATAACATTCGAGATATGTCAGGAGCTTGGGCAGGAGTCTTGTACTCGAACGGCTCCGACACGATTCCCGCAGCTGAGAATCAGCGCTGCGAGTTCATTGTCATTTCCGGTGGAGTGACTTCCAAGGACACCGTCGACGACCATAATGGTTTGGAAGAATGGGCGCAGACTCCTGAGATTCAAGACTTGGAGACGTATGAGTTTTTCAATGTTCTCTGGATAGAGTGGGTCGACGCCATTGCATACCGTAAGGGCCTGGGCAGGATCTGGCAAGAGGCTTGGAAACGGCAACACAGAGAGGAATTAGAGGTAGTCCTTGGCTAAAGATCAAACGTCTTAACGGCCAGATATACCCACGTGCGTTGATCTCTCGGAAAAGTTTCAATCGTATTATTAGCAATTCATGCATCACGACTTAAAACTCATTGGCGCATATTGGAATTCTAAAATCTCTAGGAGCGACAACATTCGAGTATAAAACGGCATTCACTATGTCTTGGCTTGTACCGTCGGCCACATGGGCCTCATTGTTCTTCCCTGCGCTTACTCAGGTCTTCATTGGACCAGTGATCATATTTCTCATTGCTCATTCCACCTCAAGGCATGCCACCATTCCACTCATCAAGACTATCTGGAGGGTGGAGATAACTTTTCTCCCCGCCTATAGCCGTGCCGTCGCCGCCGCCAGAGCAGGTCATTGAGCCATGAATAGCGCATACCAGCCAGTTGCCCATATGCTTATATCATATATAGCCATCATAGGCCTCTTATCCGCCGATGGTGAAAATGCACCATGAGAGGCTCTGTACCTTCTTCTAAGCACTAGCTTAAGAATCCAAACAGGTGAACATACTGTTGTGTTTCTGGTGGTATATCCCCACCACAAGCCACCCAACGCTCCGAAATTAGCGACACCGCAAGTCCGTCCCGCAAAGTTTAAAAAGAATACTGCACACAGTAGTAATACATACAAGCTTCCGGGCTTGTTAGCTTACAGCCAGGTACCAGTTGAGCACCCTATCATGCTATACCATTGGTTCCTCGATCCTCCGATTGGGCAAACACCTGTCCATAGCCCTACTCCATCTATTGACTGTTGATGATCTAGAGGTTGAGATGCCCCAACCTGCGACCCATGATGTGACACCCTTTCGCAAGCCTGAATAAAGCCCAGAACTTTCAGCAGGACAGCGAAGCGCTCAACGAGACCGAAACACCTCTCCATATACAATTTCGCTAACGACCGCAAACCTAGAGCAAGATATCAGCGAATACATTCCCAGATGTTAGGGTTAAACAATGCAGTGGACCAACCGTGGATGAAAACGAATACGATGGAAAAGATAACCCCGCGCAGCAAGTCCTCTGCGACAGTCGTGAAGTCGAAGAAGCAAATGGATGATGTCAACCCCGAACTCGGATTTAACCACCGTGTCGTTTTGAGGATCTGCTCTCGGCTCATCTTCTTGTCGCAGGTGACTGGCACTATATTTCTTGTCATCGTCTCCAGTCGAAGATGATATCCTGCATCCTCTCGTCTCTGGTTGCCCTCCGCGACATGCATCGGCGCTGAGTGTGGGTTCAACCCATCCGCTCCAGACCGATTCAGTTTCCACCGTGAGAAACTTTCGTTTAACCCGTTGCTGTGTGATTTATCCAGATCAAGTGGTCGTCGTGCTCCATCTAAGAGTCTTGAGATGAGACCATTGAAGCGCCCAAGAGTGTCCGAGTCGTCAAAATCTAGATCGAGGAAGAGTTTCTCCGACAGATCGACTTTCCATAGTTCTCGGACAGTGAAGCGGTAAGGGGCAAGATCTTCTTCATTGGGGAACAGCAGCTGCCATCGGAGGAGGTCGGTGTCGAACTTATCGAGGAGACGTATGTCGCCATTGTCGCCGACGCTGGTTTCAGCGACGGCTCGTGCAACGGCAAGGAGGGCTAAGGTTTTGTGCAAACAGTCGGGACCATCAGGAGCCTTGCCACGGCAGATATCCTCCATTACCTCTAGCCCGACAGACCATGCCTGGCGGTAATTGTAACAATGGCGTTTGAACGATTTCAGGTTGTTTTGGCGGGAAGATTGGGAGAGGCTTACGAGTCGTTCATACTGTCTGACAAACTTGGTGCGTACGTTCTGAGACCCGTACACAGTCTTGACAAGTACTTTGGCGATTTTCTGCTGACCCGACCTAGAAAGATACAAAGATGCTAGCTGGACATCGGCTCCATGTTCTAGGAGTATTTTTATCTTGTGGGGCTGGTTGCACTGCGCGGCAAGACTTAGTGGCGTGCCCTCGAAAGTCAGGATGTTTGGATCCCTAATGCTCCCCATGATTCTTATGAGGCTTGATGAGCTTCCAGATTTGACAGCATCGAAGAGTTGCTTTACTTCCTTTGATTCGGGATCAGAATTACTGATCATCCCTGTTTGCTTCAAGCCAGCAGAGTAAGATGTATCCCACAGTAGGAGAAGCTTGAAAGCATCCATCAGTTCAAGTCGCGCAGCTTCGCTCATAGCAGTGAAAGTTCTTCGTGCCGTTGCGGTCTCACTTGTTGACAATTCGTTGATATCTGCCCCACGTTCCAGAAGGAAATTGATGATGGAGCATTGGTTTGTCCTTGTTGCTGCCAGAAGTGCGGTATAGAGCAATGTTTCTCCTTCCGCCACAACTGCCGCCTTATCATTCAAGTTTGCTCCTTTGAATACCAGGTGACGAACAACAGTTTCGTTGCTGCTTTCAATCGCAGCGATGAGTGGTGAATAAGTTTTGTTGTCCGTTCGGACCTGACAGTTTGGAGACGCTCCTTGATCTAGGAGCGATTGGACAGCACCAAGTATGCCATGCTTGCACGCTGAGACAAGCTTCACGTCAAGGTCAGCTTGCTGTTGCTTTTCGCGGCTGGGTTCAGTGGAAACAAAGCTCTCAGACGAATGGAAGTTGTTCAGCTCCTCAGAGAAAATGATTGGAAAGTTGGGCCCTCTGGATACAGTTGGAAGAAGTTGCGGGAAATCCTGGGGGAGATCGTCATGGAAGCTGTCCAGCATGAAGTGCTCGGGAAGCCTGCAGAGCAATTCCTCGGGCAGGCTATTGATGCCAGCCGAAGATGAGTCAACAACCCCCCTGTTTTGTCGCTGATGATATTCCCAGGTCGGCACATGGAAGTGACTGACAAGCGCAGGGGTTGAATCCAACTCATGAATCACTTCGAATTCGATCTCATTGTCCTGGGGCGGCGCAATTCCCTTGGAAGCGTGGAAAGGAGCATCGGCCGTTTTGAAAACGCTGTCAAGGCTTCGAATCCCTCGTATGAGGCGTCGATGAAGGAATGTATTGAGCAGGCTCGGATCCAAGACGCCTAAATCGTGAAGTGTTTCAATTCCAATGCGATCCCACACATCAGCATCTTCGAGCAAGCCTTCGACGAGCAGCTTCAAGTCTAGTATATCACTTACTGGCAGCCAGATATCACGGTTGGGATTGTCGAGGAAATCCTTCAGTTTGCGGTAATGTTTCAACAAGGTTATTCCATTGATTCCGGTTCCATATTGGAGAGGTATTGGCCATTTGTCGGATAAACTTTCCGTCTCCCCGATGATTTTGCCCAAATTGATGATCATATTTAAATTATAAATGTCAACAGCGATGGATTGCTCCCTGCAAACTGCTCTGAACAGGTGGGTGTGCTGGTGTGGTGAATCGAATCGATGGGGCTGCTCCAAATTATCAAAATGTGAACGACCACATAAGAATCGGCAAGCACAATCACTAGGACACTTTCGCTCTTCGAGTCCGTAATATGCTTGTTTTCCCCATGAATCAGCAAAATACCATATAGGATAACCTTTGGACCTGCGGAGAAGTTAGTTGGATCGCATGGACTCATTCTATATTGCTCAGGAAAAACTTACATATCCTCAATATCGATTGCAAACTTTCTGCGTCCCCTTCCATGAAGCTTACAAGTACGAGAGGGGCCGCAATCGGATAGAAAGAACACTTGTGAGTTTTCAAGCTCCGCAGGGACTCCAAAACCGGGAAGTTCAATGACTTTATCCGTTTCCAGATCATTCATTTCCAGTTCATTCATTTCCAGCTCATAAGCCGTCGTGTCATGGGAAGTCTTTCTCCGCTTCAAGTACTGATCGATACGGGCTGCGCTAAAGGTTTTGAGGAATTTTTCCTTGACGGTATTGGTGTTCATAAATCTGTTGACCTTGTTCCGCGTCAAGTTCTTTGCAAACCCCCATATCTTGAACTGACTTTTGTACATCTTGAGACTTTTTAGACAGTCAGTAAAGGTCGTTGGATCAGCAAGGTAGGGAACGCACGTTGCATGGAAATCATATGGGGGTTTGGACATGATTTCCATGACTGTAGCAAGGGTATAATCTTTCTCGAGGTACAACTCCGCGATGGTGCCTTTCACAGTTTCCCATTTCGCTGGAGCAATCTGACTTCGAGAGCTCCTCTTCTGTACGAGCTTGCGCTTGTTTTGGGTCGGTGCTGTCGAGGTGATTAATCCGAGTGGCTCCCCGTCGAAACTTATCTCATCTTCATAAGCATTGAATAGAACTTCTTTGTCAGAATCAAAACCAGACATCTTTCCACTGAGGCTTTCGTCAAAGCTGTTAGAATTCGTTGCGGGGCTTAACCCGTCGTCCAGCGTAGAGGCGCCGGATTCTGGTGAGATGGTCTGATCCATGGCGGGCAAGATGTGGAATCTCGCGCCTTAGGTGTCTTGTTCTCCACTGAGAATTCGAATCATGTATTCGTTTCGATTGTCAATGTTTCGCGTGAAAGGCACAGAGGGATCTTCTATTGTGGCAACCCAGCTCATTTTGAGGTACTGGGACCTGGAGTGTTGTCCGACACAGCCCCTGTTGTGCGCCAAGGAACTTTTGTAGGTGCATCCGATCAAAGGTCGGAACTTCTGCCCAGTGCGGTCGCGCATTCAGCCGACCGCGGCCAGGGTTGCCCGTATTCATTGGTCGATAGTGAATGCTGCGGGTCGTGAATATGGGTAAGGCGTGAACGTCGGTCAGCTTCATAGTGCCTCACGAAAGTGCCTAACCCGATTGCCTGATCAAAGTATCTGAGTGCCTCGTCTATGCCGGCCGCACGCGCACGATTCGCCCGTATTGGCGAGTTGGTGCGCGGACCACTCGCCTCAGTTGTCCGCGACTGCAGTATACACCATTGCGTAAGGGTGATGCCATCGACTTCTACTGTCTCCGACTTCTTCCCAAGTTGGCTATGTTTGATAGCTCATCGCGGAATATCAAGAAAAGTTGTCGCTATAATAAGGTTCAACGTTCTTGGGCTTCTACATGATATGACTTTGGTGGCTCAACAGGTTCCTGTCGATATTAGGTTGGAATGAAGCATCCAAGATCCAGATCTACATCCAGGTACAGGATGCATCGCCAAGGCTGCAACGCCAACCGCTGTGGGCCACCAGGCTTGTCGCAACGTGTGTGATACTCGTAAGTATTTCCGAGGGATGGGCCAATCTTTCAACTTGCGGCTGGCACGCTTGGTCAATGCTTTACTGTAGTGTTGAGATTCTCATTTCGCATACCTTGCCAAAGTGCCACTAAAAGCTGTTTATTTTTATGCCCTGTCCGCACCTTTCCGCTGTCAGTTAGTGCCCAACAAAGGCGCCTGATTGTTCCGTTCCAAAGTTTGCAAAAGTTCCTGAAACTGCTGGTTGCTACTGCATCTGTGCTTGTAGTTCACGTCCAACGGAATAATTCTAAGTAGGGACCGGATCATCAACTCAGTTGCCCCTGAATTCAGCCTCGCATGCGCCGAGATATTCAGATAGATGCATTCTGGTTCATCCGCAATCAGAGTCGCACCTTCGAAAGGTCCACAAAGTGCCTCTAGACTAACTACGTCTTGGGCAACATTAAAAGCTGTGGTGTGACATTATTGCGAAATTTATGTATGAAGTGCTCTATGCAGACGTAAATTGAAATTCTGTTTGATATATATAATCCATACTGGTTCTCTCAACTTTAATAGTTTTGATTCTTCGCAGAGCATCTGGTTACAAACCAAACGCATACAAAGCACACTTATACACAACCCAAACTTGGAGTATAGCAACCCGGAACGTTCTCGGTCGTTTCAGAAATTCGACGGGCACTAGTTGGGTTAGACTATATGATTAGTGTCGCTGAGCAATGGTATGCACCAGAGTGTTACCCTACCCCATCGACCTGAGTGCTGACTTTTCTCTACAGCCTGACCGTTGTCAAGTACCGGTACCTCGACCATGGGGTGTGCGCTCGCCGCAGGGGACCATTCCCAGCCAGAAGATTGGAGAAGACTATGCGCTGTCCAAGTGGCTTCAAGAGCCTAACAATGCCCAACCATTCAACAATATTGCCTTCGTCGAAGACAAATGGCCTGTGCCGTCTGCTGGTGCAGCACAGATTGGTTCGAGCAATGGGTACAGGGCACCCACAGCTCGCCTTTCGGCAGCTGCGGGGACAACCACCTGATAAAGCCCCGAAATAACGCATTTTTAGAGAAGGATTCAAGATAAAACATCTTCGCTTTTACACATATCTGTATTTGATCAATCTTAATCTCCTGAATGATAGTTCAATCCAATAGTGCCTGGGAGCCATATCTCAGATTCGGGGTATCTCAAGTATATCGCATGTGTAGGCTTAAATCCTATGTGCCTGGCCTAGTGAGACCCATTAGACTAACTTAGGTTAGCAGAAATATGGATAGCCAAGGCCTACGGGTCCGTACAGTAAGAGAATACTGATCGCCGCTAAGGACATCATGTATCTATATGGGTAGCTTTTAAGTTTATACCCCGAGAAGTGCTGGGCATTGCCTCTTGAAAGTCTACTATCCTAAGGTTAGGGCTTTACCAAACTTCATTAATGATTACATTCCTTTATATTTTCTAGCTTACTCTAGCTTTTCCTATTCACCTCCCTAGCATGACTATTTCGAAGTTTTGCCACAGCACGGCACAATTGGAGCACATCAATTAGATTGTCGCAGGCTAGGCTCTCGCATAGCGGGATAGCACATGGTACAAACCTTGCTTAATGGATTTATATTGATGCTATAGTTTGTCAATAACCTTGTCAATTGGACTATTCTGCATGTTAAGGCCATTTTCTTGGCCGTGCGTTCTACCATTAAGAGGAGACGTCCCTTGATTTGTACTAACCTTAGACTAGTCAGCACTAGCGTTCGTTCCGTTAGGTCGCCTATAGTATAATGCCAAAAGTCACTCCACAGTTTGACACTATACCCAGACACCTTTTACCCATACTAATGCTTGACTTGTACACCATGCTGTGAGGCCTCAATTCATCTTGAGTATGCAACAGTTTAGTTAGCGTTGACTTATAACTTTAGGACCATCACGGTGATGAACGTGACGGTCACATTGGCCGGCCTATCCATAGCACTGGAAGGACTCCTAGATGGTTCCGTCAAAGAAGGCCTTCGTAGGAGCGACGTAACAGACATAGCTCTACAGAGCATCAAGAGCCTCGTTGTCTTGCTCGAGAATGGAGCTCATCCAGCTGTTCTCAGAGAAAACGTGTCATCTCCTGATGGATGCACTATTGCTGCGATTTTGTCATTAGAAAAGGCAGGCGTTCGAGGGACATTTGCCCAGGCACTCTTGGATGGTGCTGAGATCTTCGCCGATAACTGATAAAGGGCGTATTGCTTGCAGAAACTCGCTGTTAAAACCTACACTTGTCTGTTTGACCGACGGGATCAAAATAGATCATTAGACTCTTTGAACGGTCATGAGCCAACGTTATGGCCATGGTTCCAACCATGCTCCGCACACCAATACAACTCACCGGTTCAGGTTTTGTGGACGAGTCGTAGTCATGTGTCTCCAGTTTTACATGTCCTGATTCCTGAATTTGGTCACACGGGTACCACATCACAGTTCATCTTCCTGTACTCCCCTCCGTAATCCACTCGAGATTGTGCTTGTGTCCAATGAAACATTACTTCTCATACTTAGTGCTCGTTAATATAGTATGTAGACCGTTCGTTTCGTCAAAAATACCAGCTATCCATCTCTTATCAACCAATCACGGCAATCTACAATCATAGATAGTAAATCGGATCGACGCTTGTATGCTGGTCCAATGAACTCGGCCACATCATGCTGCACGGTTGTTGACGTCTCATTGGCCAAGACATTTCGGTGAGTGCCTTTATCTGCACGTTTTGCCACCAAACGTAGGCGCTAAAAATGAATGTTACACCAACTGTAGCGACCGGGCGAGCTGGTCGTGACTGGCGTCATCTTCATGGTAGGATCGCGCTGATGTGAATGTTCATAAACCTATGGGAGCCACCTATTTTGCATTGGCCAGTCGGAAAGAGCACTCCGTAGCATCACGTCACCTCGCGTATGCAAGATTTGGTTCTTGGCTGTATGCACGGTTCCCTGCACGAAGGTGAAAGGAAAAAAAAAAAACCTTGAACGCGTTTTACGCGTCAGGCAAGGCCATTCTGATCTTGTGATTTAAAGTGCTGCGTTTCTACCATTCTACAAAAGCCAGAAGTTTTGGCCGCCACCATCAAGATTCCCTTTTTTGCAACCATACATTCTCAACAGCAAGACCGTGCCAATCAGGCTGGATATCAACACGATCATATTTGTGTTCATCATGTCCTACAAACAAGAAACAGAAGGAATATTTTTCCCTGAACACGTCGGAAATGTATCTGGCGGAGAAACACTTTCGAACTGTGGTTTTTGTGTTCAAGCCTGCCACGCAGTTCCAGATCATGTCGACTATATGCTCGCCTGTGAAAGATGCACCAAGGCCAATGACGCCAACTACTGCCTAGTGTGCAACGACGCTTCGGGCATCTGTGTCGACCACAGCTCCGGAACCAACCCGATCAACCAAGATTGGGAGCCCATGTGAGTTTCCATCCAAGAAAACGTTAAAGACTCACTAGGGCTTCGCGGCTAGAATAGTACAAATTGAGCGCAGAATTCTCAGTAGCACACCAGAACATTGGAGACGACCGACCGTAACTACAAATCGAGTCGAGCCGATTGCCCCCAAGGGTTGGCGGGCGGGTATGCCTGCCGACCGGAACAAAGCCGCGTGATCGTGTGCAGTCAGGATGGCTGGCGTACTGGGTACAAAAATCTGGGAAGACCTGTGCTGCAACAGCAGTATCAGTGTATCTATATATATAACCACAGAGTAAATGGTTTGGGGCAATCAAAATATGTCATGAGGTTGGGTCATGCCATAGTACATCGCGCTCGGTGGCTCTCGCCCTCGTGGTGGCGATAGACACCCTCCTTGTTCGTCGACTTTGTCGTTGTGTCACACGGTCACCCCGACGAGGTTTTGCATGTTCAATACATGTCGGTTGCAGTTGGAGGATACTAATGCTTGTGGGACAAGGGTTATAACGGATATTGGGCGGCAACAACCCATCAGCGAGGCCGGGCCGTGTTCAATGGCATCTGGACTAGGCCTGGTGGTAAACACATCTGATGTCATGTCATGCATAGATCCAGCGCAACTTAAGAAAGCTGAGCCCATCACTATAGAATCTACCTCTTCTGATGGAGAGAGTGTTGGAATTACTTTGGCCAATACCAGTGGTCTGTCAGACGATATTCGGGGCACAGTCACTCCAGAGGGATATAACACAAATGTACCAGGTCCAGTATTTACTGGAAATCTGCTCAGACTTCAAAGACACAGATATCATCCTGAATCCTATGGGTATGTACATACTCGCCTTTAGCCCAACGATAATTCGTACTGATACTTCCAGAAGAATTTCTTCGGTTCCAAAGGCATTATGTTGCCCAAGCTGCACAAAGCGTTATACAAGAATGAGCTCTCTTGTCAGGCACCGTAAAAAGATTCATGAAGTCAGCAATAGCAGCTCAAAGCCTATGTTGAAGAACTGTAAGCCGGCTTTTCGCTTCATCCTCTTCCTTTCTTTTTCTACTTTCTTCTTTTCTGGATAAAAATAAATCTGTTACTGAGATCTTGACCAGGAATTCGTCGGACATTTGTTCCTTGCACAACACCAGCCTTTCCAGAAATATCTACGAAGCTGCTGGCAATGTTAACGAACGTCATGTCCTAAATTTTCGTGGTTATCTGAATTCTTTCCTTGGGTTCGCCTTGATTTGGTTTGAAAGGTTTACGGTGAAGGAGAAAGGGGCTGGAGGGAGAATAGTTTGCAGAATGAATTGGCTATATGGGATCAATGTCACAACAATTTCTTTCACATCAATTTCTCAAATTCAGTCACATCATCATGAAAGAGTGCTCCCATGTTTCTACTTGCAGACTGCTGTTCTAGTATCCCTGTGGGCTCCCCGCCACACTGCCTTATCGAGCACTTGAATGAACTTTATCAAAGATCATATTAAACAGTTCAAGTACGGCAATCGTACTTACCTCCATACATGCACTTAAATAAAGCATTTTATTAAATGTCTCATTTGTATATATTTTCTTAAGATGCGTGTTTATCAGTGGCAGGTATGTTATATTGATTAACGCAGGAGCTAATTACCTCTGCCATCATGTCGCTCTGTTCAGCAGGGCGGCTGGAACATTTTAGCACTTGTCCTTCGAACAGCCAAGCGCTATAATCTCTTTGAACTGGCTGCTATACCAGTCAGATTGAACTATCAAGCAAATTTATTCAAACTTGCCTAAAAGCCTACAATGCCAGTATAATTTCGACCACATTTGATACACTGGCTGTTAGTTGAACCAAGACCAATTGTTCAGTTTTCGCACGAGGGAAGGGAATCATCTTGACTTCCAGTCATAACCCTCATTTTCGAGTACGAGCAGGATATCACTGTCTCTTTCAGCCAATGCCCACTTGAACAGGCGTATCTTGGTTAAGCCGCAGCCGACCACCTGGATTGAGGCTTCTCGACGAAAATGAACATGGTATATGCTCCACATACTCCCACAATCTCCCACGATCTGGGGCGTTGGAGCGATAGGTATGGCCGTCAAGGCTGGATAGCGGGTCTGTGTCATGATGTCGATTGACCTGCGCCTCGGCCAAGTCCTCTGAAAGCACATCATGGGCACATCTGCTGCCTCCCGGCTGTCTGTCGACCGTCAGTCATCCCTCAACCAGCGCATGGGCGGTCTAGCCTCCGCTATGGTGTGCTCTACTATTTCTTTCTTTCTTTTTTGATTTCATCAGTGACACTCAACTTTCATTAGCCATCGCATTCGTGGGGAGAGTAATACTATATTGTAAAACCCTAAAAAGCGTATACTATAATGCGACGACAACGGCCAGTATGACTGCCGACCTACACGTGGGTCAGATCCCGCAATCTACGACCCTCTCCCGCACCTGTGGGGAAGACGAGGTGGTCTTTGCCAATCTGACGAGCAGCAACCATAAATGGCAGCGCAAGGCAGGTTTCGTCAAAATCCGTTTCTGCAGCGAGACCAGGCCGCACGAGCTGCGTTACTTCTGAGTGGACACCTGTTATATTAACAAGGCCGAAGCCATCCAGCTCCAGACGGCCATCGACAGCATATTCCGGTAGTATGCAGCGCCACTAGCATCCCAGCCAGTGCACTTCGCTACAGCCCGTTGTCCGGCTTCACCTTCTCGAGGCGCGAGGCATGGATTCGGAGCGTGAGACGACGCATAAGGAGAATATGGCATGTTTGCTCCTGGGGGATGCTCTAGATCGGCATGCTGCTCATTTACGGCAAGGGTGAGAGAAGTATTTCAGCAGACTACGAGAGGAAGCGCAGAAAGCCGCCAAAGGTAATGCAAGACCAAAACACTACTAAGCAAATCCGTGGTGCTTGAGGAGTTAACCTGGATAGGCGTGCAGCAATCTGACTTTTCCGTCCCATTTAATCTGTTCAATATCCCTGAGATACACCATTCCATCGCAAGAAAGACAGAGTTGGTGGAACTGCGGAGGTCGCTTACTGCAGATGGAAGTCGGCGCGTGGTGGTAATCCAGGGTCTTCAAGTTATCGGCAAGACGCAGCTTGCGGTCGTATATGCGGAACAATACAGAGAGCACTACTCCGCCGTGTTTTGGCTGAACATCAAGGACCACGTTTGGGTCAAACAAAGATTCGTCGACGGTGCAAGGCAGATATTGTAGGCGCACCCTACTAGCAGCTGACTGGCTCGATGGATTTATAGGGGAACCACGACGAGGTCGTCGATGCCGCCAAGGCTTGGCTGAGCCTTCCCAGCACTGCCAGGTGGCTTTTGATATAGGACAATCATGACAATACGAGGTTGGCAAACACCTGAAGCACCAGAAATGTAAACATCGGCCGGTTCCTGCATGAGGCATATTGAGATCCAATCAACGTTACGACGCGATCGACATAGGGTACCTTCTGCGATCCCATTCGCATAAAGAACATGGAGTCTAGACGACTACCTGGAGATGCTCTCGACTGCATCCGGAAGAGGCAATCCGAAATATGACCACAACGCGAATTTTGATAACCAAGACATTTAGTACGAACTTCTCAATCATGGAGATCCCGACGACAAGCTGCCCGTACGAATCAAAGTATTTTCAATTTTCTTTTTGTATTCATGGTGTCACGGGAGCTAGTTATCGCCTTCCGAGGCCCCAAGTACATGTGTTCGCCATATACGTGACATTCGTAAAAATAAAAAGGGCCCGACTCGTTCGTTTTGATTGGAAAAGCCATCTCCGCGCGCGCTTTTCCCTGATCATCCTACGTCACCTGCTCTTCGGCCTGCCAAGCATCCAAAAGCAGCAGGACGTAGCCAGCACTGTACTGTAAAGGATAGAAGTAGGTTGTGCGGATGTTCAAGGAGCTGTGTCAGGTCCAAGAGAGTACTCCAGAAATATATAACACATTGGAAGGAGGGTGAGTGCGTAATAGCGGGTGTACTGATGGGATACAACCCGGCCAATGCGTGACTGTCATGTCAGGTGAGGAATGTTTGGTGAAAAGGTTGGAGGATTAGAAGAAAACAAGTTGAAAAAAACAGGGGAAGCCGTGGAGGACTCCTATATTCCCCTTCGGTGGTGACAGCCAATGTTACGCCAACACATGCCCGACGCTGTGCGTTTGTGCTCTAATACCCAATCAAATACAGATCGAACTCCGAAAAATTCCTTGTGCTTTTATGGACAAGGCTTGGTTCCTCAGTGAACCAGCTGGTGTCATATTTATGCACTATTGCATGCCTTATCAAGCGCCATACAAATACCCACCTTCCGTTGGTTCATTCACTCACAACAGAATGAGGTAATTACTTGGGGCAATACCAATCTGGCCCGTGTCTTTCCGTGCTTGCCACCACCTGCCACTGACGTCGCTGACCTCGATGATTTCGTGTTTTGAGAAGGAAATTTCGTTGGTATCATCTGGGTTGGCCTCATAACTGTAGATCGCCTTGGCGCGGTACGGGTAGTCGAACGGTGCTTCAACGTTGCCGTTCTTGTTATCTCCACCACCCTGTAGGTTGCCTTGGCCGAGTTGGTCCGCCGCCGGGGAACGGGGTGCGGCATTGGCGGAGAAGCCGGCCACGGGGGATGGGTTCTCCAGACCGCTCAGCTGTGCAGAGGTATACATCTGCGGCGGTGCGTTGGACACGGAAGTCTCCGGGCGGCCGCTGTGGCCATTGTAACCATTATAGTTGTTTGTGTTCATTGTTTGTCGGTTCATCGGCGCCTCCTTGGTCAAGGCGAAGGAATCCAGGTACGCGCGTGGAGTTGCTGACGGCGCAGAGCCAAAGTAGAAGATCCACACAATCTAGAGCAGCAAGCATTAGTCACCCAAGTCTACAAAGGGAGATTCGGAGTGGCAGAAAAAGTATGACTCACGTTGACCATGGATAGCAAAATGAAGCCAGCTGCAGCAGCTTCGCGAGCGGCACTTGATGAGTAGACCAACGCGTTGACCGAGGACGAGGTCAAAACCAAGCCGCAGGCCAAGTAGCCTACGAGGGCAATGTGATATGTTTGAGCAGCATCGGCGGCAACGACGACCATGACGCCGATAATCAGGAAGAGCATGAACACAACACTCCACCATGAGAAAGTTGGGAAGCCATCCTGCTTGGTGGACTGGATCTGACCAATAACACAGCTGATGAAGGCGATAATCCAAGCAAGTGCTCCAATTGAAGTAGTGGCTAGGGCGAATGGATCACCGATGATGTTGCCCATGGATGCGCCTTTGCGGCCGCCGTGAGATTGCCTCGAGTATTCCATTTTGCGGAGTGATGGTGAATGGAGTGAACCGTAAGGCATAGAGACGAAAAGTGAGAGCTGGCAGAAGTCTGTGCGACAACGTGTTTATTGCGTTGCGATGAAAAGCGTACTATGGGCCGCGTGGTGGCAACGACGAGAGACGGGAGGTTGCCAATCGACTCGGGATGGCTGAGGCTGAGGGCGGCCGGTCGCGATGGGATATGCTCCTCTCCAGCCGAGATGTTGTGGCAGGGTGAGGCAAGTAATCCGTATGCTATCCAGGAAAGTCGGATAGAGCAGTGTGGCTTCGCTAATATGGCCAAGTTGCCGTCGCAAGGGCGTCGGAGTGCAGCGGAAATCCAAGAGTTGAGTGGTTGCGACAGGTGCACGTAATCGAGACTTGCCCTTTGTCGATAACGGAATGCGAATGCGGTGGGCAGGGCAATGAAGATGCGTCGAAATGGAATCTAGTTCATGGACGAATCAAAAAGAGTGACTTTGGTAGGTGGGGGCGAAAATGCAACTGCAATTGCAATGAGGCGACGACGAAAGGTCTCGGACTGTAATGTCGTGCCGTGAGATGTTGTTGTTGTTGTTGACTGGTCCGAGTCGAAACGGGGAGGGAATGGGACAATAAGATTAAGCTGAAGCGATGCCCTTGAATTGGCAAAAGTTGGGGTGAAATTCGTACACTGAGTGCCAGCAGTGGATAGGACAGGACAGAACAGGACAGGGACAGGCGGAAATGGGCTGGATTGGGTTTGTTGCAGTGCCGCAAATATGCAGGATCCAATTAAACCCAAGCGTAATGATTCAATCAATCGACCCGTGAAATAGTCCGTTCGACTGTCGACGACAGGAAAACGACGAGGCGTGCAACGAAAAGGAGGGTAGAGGGGTCGTGTGGTAGAGTAGAGATGAGAAGAGAATAGAAGAGGATGAGACTGATACGTCAACGATAATGGGAAACGTAAAGGGTAGTTTGACTCGAGGCTGGATCAGGAGGCCAAGTCAGATGGGATACGAGTTTCTCTTGTCGGTCTGGGGAACTGCGTATTCCGTACAGTAGAGGATTTGTGTTAACCTAACCTAGGAGCGTGTGGGCTTTGCGCTACGACCTGGACCTGGACCTAGACCTGGACCTCACGGGCGATGCGATAGCGTAGAAGGGGGTAGTCGTCAGCAAGCCACACAAGCTCTTTGGTAATGTAATCGTTTCCGCCCTTTCGATCAACCTCGAGACAGCACAATGGATAATTGGCTGCCGGCGTGCGATAGCCCAAGGACCAAGAACTCGACAGCAGTTTTGTTTCGATTCCGCTTTCTGGTGGTTCACGATTGTTTATAGCACTTCCCCTAGTATTGTATGGCCCTCGCTTCTTCGTGGTGAAACCCGAGTCTTGGCAAAGAACAACTCATTCGCAGTTCCTGACAGCGCTTTGTTCCACAAAAATAGGCACAGAGCTTGCAGGTCTGTTCCGGTGGAAGGGAAATTTAGCCAGTTAATGAAACGTAGGACCACTGCAAAAACTCTCGAAATACTGAGGATCCCGTAAGTATCGTGGCTGTCGTCTTGGTCGCTGGCCGCAAGGAGAGATTTACGTCGAAGGAATCAAAGGGTGGAAATGGATTGAAGGAAGGATGAGACTGGGGGGGGATGGGTGGGGTAAAAAAGAGGATGGGAAAGGCAGGAGATGGACGGAATGGGGGTGGTGCTGGGCGCTGTGCACGCACACTTGGCCCTTGAAGAGCCTGGGAGCCAGGGGAGTTTGCTTCAAGCGGCGCGGGCACTTGCAAGGAGGCTTGAAGTGATGTCGGAAGCCCTGACAAAAGACTGTACTGGATTGTAGCCTCTGTGCAGCGGGCCCAGCCTGTGCTGATGCATGTACCGGACTCTACATTGAGCAGGCCATGGAGGGCACTGAGCAGGGGCAATAGGTAGCAATATTATTGTATTGGCACTCTATGCGAGTTATGTGTGGTGGTATCCAGCCAATTGACACATTTTCCTTATCCGTCCCGGCTGCGAGATCCATGGCATCCTGGGCATTGGAGTCTGGCCTCGGGGGCAAAGAGCAAAGGGCAAAGGAGCAAGAATGACTTAACGTACGGATCCGTAGTCTAGAGTAGAGTGTACCATGATTGGGGCGCAGTGACGTTTTTGCTTAGCCAGCTCTGACTGGCTAGATTTCAACTCTCAATCTGCTGCAACCAGTCTTCGCTTTTATGCCGAATTCCAGGGGCAGACTGTACCAAGCACCAAGACTGAGCATACTTTAACTCTATTTCATCAGTTGGACTAGCTTAGCCTAAGTTAATCAATATCTATCAAGTCGAGTCACGCGTGACTTTGACATAGCGAACAAGATCTACTGTGTAGGTACAGATTACTGTGACGACTATGCACAGCTGTCAAGCGCGGATTACGCCCGTCTTTTTCATCTTACCACACCATAAACTTTTGGAAAACCCACATGATTATCCATTGCCCATGCGCTAAGGCAGGAACGCGGATCCTCCAGTCGTCTCCCTCAGATCGAAAGGACAAACTACCATGGACGTGTACTACATATTGCTAGCAAGCAAGGAACGGGGGGGGGAGGGGGGAATTCGGTGTTTACGGCGTCTGTGTAAGTGCACACCGATTAATTCGAATTTTGCGTTCCACGTCTTCATTCAGAAGGAGAATTCACTCTGGCCTATCATCTCGTCGCAACAATACCGAATTGGTATTGCTATCGGAGAGTTTGTGAGTAACTACGGCCATCACGCACAATTTCCTTGTTTGACGTCTGGCTGAGGTCTGAAAAGGAAGAGACTCGAATTTGGATGGTCAATTCTATTGGCTAGACACAAAGGTAAACCCCAGTGCACAAAGGCACGTCGAGCCACCATTTGCTACCATCCAGTCGCTCACGACCGCTCGCAACCACACCGTCCACAATCAGATCTTCGTGCGTGACCGCCATGCCACGAGATAGCTGCCACACAAAACCGCCATGCAGGGGAAGCGTGAACTGACTCATGTTTCACAAACCATCACGACAGACATTCAACCGGCCCGTCCGTGTCGAAGCACATGCGAGGCTTTGACTATCGATGCAACCGCTGAGAACGCTTCATCGTCTTGCAGAAATGGTCACCGACATTGCGTGCCAACCAGCCATGGTCATCCAATTCTGCGACATAGCCGCACGAAATGCGCTGCTGTCCTGACACGACCCCTCTCGAAACCCCGAGCCCAAGGTTTAAACTCACAATCAATCGCTGCTAACTGCACGTCACTGTTTCGAAAAGACGAAAGTATCTGTCACAAGTGGGTATGGATGAACTTCAGTCTTATGTACGGGTCCGCAGGTTATTGACATTGCCGAGCTGATCATGAAATTGTCCTGCGCTATGTTTGAGGTTGGCGGGGAAGTGCCCACTACGGTTTTCAGCCCGTATAATAATAAATGACGGCGGACAAGCAATTTTCTTCAAACTCACACTCAATCCAGTGTGATTATCCTCACCATAATACCATGACAGGCCAGTGCAGCTCATTTATTAGCCCATGCTTGTGAGACCTACAACTCGCCCCCATCGATACTTTACCATCTGAAGTTCGAGTTCATCAATGAAGCTTTCACGATGATAAACTGAATCTGGCCCCTGTCGCCCCACTCCGCACAAGCAATCAGTGCAGTGCTTCAGGGAAGGCAGGGCTGCCAAGGAAACATTAATCGTCCTCTTGCCGAGCCGGCCGAGGACACCTCTTCTTGCTTGCAAACTACAATACACCGTCTTTCCATTAGAAATTCCTTTTTTTTTTTTTTTTTTTTTTCGCAGCCAAGCCGCTTGAGATACGTTCTCTGTCCACCAAGGTACGGAGCGTTCTAGGCAGGTTCCAAGTAAACAACCCAAATTTGTGTGCGCTGGAAGGTATGAGGACTCAAGAGGAATCCCCTCAAGATGTCTCTATTATCCGTGGATACTAGCGAGTAGAGCTTGAACGCCAGCGACAGGTGAAATTTAGACCCTACATAGTACCTCAAGTTCTAAACTTTACGATCTGCTACATGGTGGTATGGCCTCGAACAAACCTCTCGGATGGCGGGCGATCGACCAATTGATACTCCCACTGCCTCAAATCTCCTCGGGACTACGGAACCGAGGGGACATCCCATACAGACGGGATAGTCTCCCAACCATCCTGCGCGTCGGGCAGAATTATCAACTCATCACAAAAGCAAGTGGGCTGATGTCCAAGCAAGGCCTCCCAAATAGATACCAAGATGATCGTCACAGTTGATCAGCCCTTTTAAATCTTGATTCTTCGAGTCTCGGCCTTCTTTCGAGGGCCCAACTTCCCCACTCCAGCGTCCCTGATCGGGGATTTTTGATTTGCTCGACCCGCCAGACTGACTGCATTAGCTCACCGGAAACCGTTAAATATGTCGACGATCATCTCGTCGGGACCGCCACATATTTTCCACCCAGTGATAAGTGGCGCAGCTGAAACCGTCATGTGGCTTGACACGCAATCGAGCAGTAGATTACCATTGTGATCTTGTGTGGACAGGCGAGGTGAGAGACAACCTGTCAAAAGTTTTGACTGTGCAAGAGGGTATTGGGGCGTACGACTATGGGCGGCCTCTCACAGAGCCATCGTGGATGAACTCCATGAAGGCAGATAAGCGGTACGTCAGCGCATTTGGTTCTTGGGCATTACACAGATTGCACTCAAGCGTGGTTTGAACAGGCCTAAGATACCCCAACTATGTACATCCTGAGCGTGATATACAATTCGAGGTTTAGGGTACGCCTAAAAACATATTCAGCATTGATGCATTTCATCGGTGTGCGGCTCACCTCCCGAGCCCTGCACTGCCATGCGCCGAAATAAAGCCATATCTCGGGGTTATATTAGGTAGTCATGTCGGAAATTAAAACCAGGACGTACGTAGGCTGGTAGGCAAAGAGAAGGGTTGATTGTAATCCCGATGTAAATGTTCGAAGGTCAATCATGCAATTCAGTTAACGAGACCAGCACACATTGCATCAGCCTGCTCCATCTCGACCAGTGCGTTCTTAGCGTCTTCGAAGTCTGGCTTAGAGTTCTGGCTACTATAGAAATGTTCATAACTCACACGTTCACAGGCATGCGAAGTTCATTTGCGCCGTTCTCCGGCGAAACAATTGTTTTTCTCTATTCATCCTCCTAGACCATTTAGAACAATTCCTCTCAAATGTGAAGTTCCCATCCACTTCCCCTGAGGTGCGTATGCCGTCATTGCATTTGGCCGGACGTACATCTACAAGAAGTGAAGGTAACATAAACAGAGCCGTCACGATTTCTGACTACACGGGGCCTTCCTCCGACCGATCAAAACCATACAAAAGAGCGGTAAGAAAATTAAATCAACTGTGATTATTATTGAGTGGGATAAAGGGAAATGTGTATTCCAACCCCGTCAGTGAGATGTAAAGAATACGACGCTGCAGATACGATCTGTTGCAGCAAACAACCCAGTTATAAGAACTAAGCAAAAGGGCTCCTTTCTTGGAGAAGATGGGTAAGAGTCAAGATTACAATCAGTCGTGGTCGATTATCCACCCATCAGGACCCTTTTTGATGGAAAGACGAGTGACAGGGTTGACCTTGGAGTTGATCTTCTCCAGCAGAGGCTTGACCTGGTTGTGTACATCTGGAACCGAGGCGGACACGGGTAGAATGGCAACTTTGGCCTGGGAACCACTGAAGTAGCTGCTACCACCCGTGATCCAGTTCCAGGCGGCAGTGGCGGCGTTCTGAACTGCCTCCCAAGCCGACCTAATCTTTCCCCAAAGATTCTGGATGAACTGGACGACAGCATTGACCACGGTCTTGATGCCGTTCCAGACGGTCTCGAAGAAGACCAAGACCTTGTTCATGCCGTTCTTGAAGGTCTCGGCGGCCGACTGGCGCGTTGCCTCGGGCAATTTCTGGATGACCCCCTTGGCAGTAGCTGCGGCATCGTCGATGATTTTATCACTTTTGGCTTTGGCTTCGGCCGCCGCGTCGTCAATGGTCTGCTCCCATGCTTCCTGATCGGGTTGCTGACCCTTGAGGCTCTCTACCTTGTCAGAGAACGCCTTGTAGTGGTCGCGACCCGAGTCGATGACATCCGTGTTGATCTTGTCGATCTGTAACTTGGCTTCAGGGTCTAGATTGCTAGTGTCGTCGCTGAAAGTTGAGAACTGCTGTGCGACGAGGACGTGGAACGGAGTAAAGGTCTGGGTGGCGAAACAGAGCTTGGCGAGTGCAACTCGCTCATCAATTTGGTTCTCCCAGCTAGCAGCCATATCTGTGACTATGAGTAGCGGCTCGACAGAGTGTTGATGAGGAATATTGATGTGTAATGGAGATTGAGGTGCGAAAGGCTAAGAAGTCTCTCGGGTTGAATTCGTTCCTCTCTGTTAGTAGAAAACCAAAGAATGCAAGGAAGATCTAGCAATGCATGTTGAAATTTTGTCGATTGGTGCGAAGAATAACAATTTATATATCACTATCGTTTCCCATTTGATTTCACATATATTGCTATCACATTATCTCATCAGCAGGCCTGATCAACTTTGTGTTAAGGAAGCACTAGATTGACTCCGTCAAGAAAGCAAATGTTTGGCCCTCGGTGCACTGCTGGACCTGAAACACATTTTGTTTATGCAGAAGCCCATAAACATTCACTATGTTTTAGACGTCTCTGTGATTGAAATCGATTCAGCGTAGCTGTACACCCTATGCTAGATGTTACAAGTCAATCGACCTGGCAATGGTCTTGGTTAGGTGTTACTTTTCTTCTGGAAATCCACGATAGACCAATTAAGTGTTACATGTACACACCTTCGTAGCTAACAATCAGTATCACTCCAAGCCGTATTATAAATGCTCTTGCCTATTAACGCCCGTACGCTCTAAGTGTCACCTGGTGCAGTCACGAAACTGACTTATTAAGTCCTCCCTGTGCAACTTAATACTGCCCTCAGAAAGGCACAAGAAAGTCTGATACCCATCAAGACATCGGGAAAGCTCTTAAGGCCGATGCAACCTCATTTGTTACTTTGTCGCACGCAAATTAGAAATAGGATATTGTAACTAGAGTAATCCACTCTGGAATTTCTACATCAATTAAATTTCCCAACTCACAAATGCCTCTCTACTGACTATAAACTTCAGATAAGTTAGCTAACCAATTGTAGCTGAATACTTTGAGCTTCTTCCGCTCTAGAGTTTCAGTTATATCCGATAACAGGATGACAAGTTTAGAAATGCGAGATAATGATGTTTTTTAAGAAGATGATTAAACCTGTGGTTTGCAATTCCTGAAGTTGTGTCAAATGTAGGTATACGGGTTACTCAGCACTAGCTACCACTGTTTCTCGTCAACCGTGGACCCATGTTCTCAGCTTTATCACACATGTTTTTTTTTTGCAAATGGGTGACCACTTCATTTCTTCTTCATTCTATCTACTAATAAGGACTGTCATAAATACTATAAGTTGCCTACATTTTAAATGGCAAACAAATGTCAACCAAGTATTCTCAGTGCCTGCCAATCTGATTATCATATTTGCAAACCCTAAGCTAACCCATCATTACCATTTACTTATCGACTAATAGTCATCCCCATTATTCATTATGTTTTCACTCGTTTTTCTCGCATCCGGTTTTGTAGGTGCCGGCGCAGCTGGCCTATACATCCCCGAGACCGTTAATGGGTCTTTCTCCATCCATCAAGTCCGCAATCTGCGATATAAACCTCATGGTCCCACAGCCATGGCCAAGACATATATGAAATACGGAGCACAGATGCCCCGTGACCTTATCAAGGCCATGGCGGCCTATCACTCCGAGAAGCTCCAGAAGCGGGAATATGGCATTTCCACCACGACCCCGGAGTACGGGGACACCGCCTGGTTGACCCCAGTTCAGATCGGGACGCCCGCCCAAACCCTCAATCTCGACTTCGACTCGGGCTCGTCCGATCTTTGGGTCTTCTCCTCGCTTCAGTCCTCCGAGAACATCTATGGCCAAACCCCGTTCAATATCGCCGACAGCAGCACGGCCGTGGAGGTCGCCGACTCCTCGTGGAATGTCTCGTACGGTGATGGCAGTTCGTCTTCGGGTATCGTCTACTCAGACATCGTCAAAGTCGGGCCCCTTTCCGTTGGTTCCCAGGGCGTCGAGGTCGCTACCCGGGTGTCGACTCAATTCGCGTCAGACTCGGAGAACGACGGCCTTCTCGGGCTGGGATTCAGCAAGATCAACTCTGCTAGCCCAAGGCAGCTCACCTGGTTTGACAACGTCAAGTCGCAGCTGGATAGCCCCGTGTGGACTGCCGATCTAAAGGCAGACGCTCGTAAGTCTGAATTGCATGACAACGCCTGTGGAATACTAGCTTATGTCATAGACAGCTGGGTCCTACACCTTCGGGGCCATCGACAACAACAAATATACCGGCAATATCGCCTACACCACCGTCAGTACGGCCGAGGGCTACTGGGCCTTTACCGCGTCAGGGTACAGGGTCGGCGCTTCTGGGACCAGGGGCCAGGCGATAAAAGGCGTCGCCGACACCGGGTCCAGCCTCCTCTTGGTGCCGGAAGCCGTCGTTAAGGCTTACTACGCAAGGATATCCGGCGTCACCTATGACGCCGACCAGGGCGGCCGCGTGTTCCCGTGCTCCGCTACTCTGCCCGATTTTACTCTGTACATAGGCACCGCCGAGATCGTGATCCCCGGCTCCTTTTTTAACTTCTCCCCAGTTGACGACGCCGAGATCAGGTGCTTTGGCGGGATCCAGGCTAATACTGGGATCGGGATCTCCATCTTTGGCGGTGTGGCCCTCAAGGCTGCCTTTGTCGTCTTTGAGGACGAGGGTGCCTCGCCTAGACTTGGCTGGGCTAATAAGAACCTTGCAGTCCAGGATTCCTAGGCTGGGCTGGTAGAAATATGGTTGTAAGCGGTACTACAGGATGAATAAAGTCGGAGTTATGTACTTAAAAGTCATGGGGTCCGCTATCACACGGTATACCCGAGCCCGGGCTCACCAAAGGCTGGGTATGAGACCGGTTGTGGGTCCTGATGGTGAAACCCTGACGTCCTTGCTCTTCACTTAGATGCCAACGGGTTTACCAGATTGATCAACAAAACTCTTGTTATACCATGTTCGAGCTCGCTCTGAGGGCGGGATGTAGACAGTAAGCATTCAACTGATGACATTGTTTTCACCTGCAGGCTTAAGCAGGCTTAAGCAGGCTCAAGGACACGAATCCGCTCTATATGTACTTCGAGACATCTGACGGTAAATTTGAGAGGTTAACATTGAGTCGTCTAGCAGACCAAAACAGCTACCGGCTCAGCTGACGTAAAATGAAGTGAGAAGAACTTTAAGGTGTAAATTATGTGTAGCCGTTAGCTCAGAATTGCCATTCTCAGTGATCAGGACTCAATATTCATTTCTTCTTTTGGGATATGGTTCAATCTCGGACACTGGACACATGGAGCTACTATGCATTTTCCCGGTCATAGGTACCTTGTATCTACCCAAAGTGGGAACATAGAGCTGTATTACTTACGTAAGTATTGTAAATCATACACAGACATATCAAGTCTAATCATATGCCACACATTCCTGTTAATAGGGGGAACAGCCCTGAAATCAGTATTTTGTATTTTGTAGTAAGCACATTGAGGAAATAGGCCGACATCGTTGACGCAATTTGCGTGTCGAACCTTCCAAAGCCATCTATCCTACAAGCAAACTATATTAACCTACGGTACGTAGTAATAACTATCAAACGCGCCATCAAACAGCTTATCATAGTTCTTGTAGTACCCGCGCATGTGGACCAGACTTGTAGCGCCCGTTACTATAAAACTGGTCATTGATTGGTGTTGTATAGAGATATTAGACACGAGTCTCCATAATGCGCTGCGCAAGGGAACTACGAAAGGGTCGCTTACTTTAGGCCAGAGCGACCGTGGCGGGAATCTTTTATGGTAGAGCCTGATAAGTGAGGCATGGTGTATCTAGTTTTGGGTTTTCAACAAGAGAGAAGTCGGGAGATGCACTAGATAGTGGAACGAGTCTTTCATGAAGATTAGAAAAGAGGTTTCTTAATGTATATGTATCTCGAATTCATGGCTGGCTCGCCCTGTTCCAGTTTCAAAAAAACCAAGAACCAAAAAAGAGGCACGAGGAGTGTCTCCCGACCTTGACACAGGAAAGTAGATTCGGTAGGAGAAAGGCATCAAGCTGATTGCAACCTGCATGCTCGTCTCTGAGAAATGGACTACGTGTAAACCATCCAATGGAACGGAAATATTTCTCGCTGCTCATCCTGTCACTCCATCCCACAGCTTTTTCAGGATCTTGCACACCAGTCTAAGGTAACATAGAAGCATGTCAGCCTACCAGAAGAACCAATAAATGTAGATATGGCAAATACCGATTATTGTCACTGGAATTTGACCTTTCGTTTGCTCCACTTGGACCGAAAACAGTATTCCATCAAGTTGAGCGCATATGCATATCTACTTGATGCCGGGAAGCCTTGGTGCGGCTCAGAAACCATGATTCGTTATTGTCTTTTTGTCCATGCAATGGATGAAATTCTCCACAAAACAACCTTGCCTGATAATATCTTATTGGCTAGCGTCCTTTTGCCCACAGTCTGTCGTACGTACCTGGCTATCCTCTGATCCCGGCAGACCATTTCTCGTGGCACAGCGCCAATATGGATATCGAGAGCTCTACGTCTGACCTTTGTTGCCCCCCATATGCCGTTCAATCAAATATGACCATGTCACAAAGGCACTATCATTCGCCTCTTTCTTGAGGCAGACAAGTCTTCGGGGATGTTGCGAAAGAGACGAGATTAGACTATTGATATGACGCTAGTTGAGTACTGATGGAGCCTTTTTTTTTTATACTGTCAGAACTCTTGTCACATCATCCTTCTTTAAGTTGCGACTGACTTGATCAAAGCGTTCGACTGTACAAGTATCATCTGGAGGAGTGGAGCGTAACGAAGAGTATATCGTCAGAAGGTAAGGAAAAATCTATTTAGGTGCTCGGAAAACGTGTGCGAGACGATAACGAACACGGTGGCGTCAGATACAATGTCTCGGAGGTTGACAAGAAGCGCCTGCCTTATGAGTGAACGCTGTCACGCAGATTCGCCTTTTTGACTGAAGGAGGAAGATCCTCGGGTTTCGCCAAATCTTGACATGCTCGTAATTCAGAAGGCGTCGAGCCAAAAGAACGGGATTTATGCTTTGCCTTGTTGGAAGATCGATAATGAAACCATTTTGTTTGTGCAAGGGTAATTCTTGAAGCCGCTGCATAGGGAAATCGTCTTCCTACCTTTCAGCTCGGTCTCAAACATGAGTACAACTCTCGTGATCTGTCATTTGTCACCAGCCTACAAGAGAGAGGAAGTAAGGATGTTTTCAAGAGGTTACTACCCCGTTGCTAGAGACCTCATCCAGTTTGAATACAGGAGAGGACCAAACCATTGTATTGAAAGTTCCTCATAGCGCCGCTGTAGTATCTCAACAAAATTGCGCAACCCAAAACTTATGACAAGTATAGTATAGCGTTGATTTCTACGTAAGGATCAGGGCTAAGAAGAACTGTCGATAATCCAGGAATGAAGTAAAGCACGACCGGGAAGCACAAAGCCGAGACATGTGCCGAGGAGATATATCCCATGCGACTCCTACACGGCACTGGTAAAAGCCTGCGCGAGTGACATTAGTGAGAGGTACGTGATTACTAGGTTACACAAGTTTCGAGAACCCAAACGACACCAGGTTCCAGCCCCGGTAACCTTACAAATATGCACCGGGCCAGAGCGCCCCGGTTCGGGTCAAACAGGATATGCGGAGGCCTCCACCGCGACACGCGAATTCCAATCGGATACCTCTGGCACATTCGAAGGAGCTAACCTTTCGAGTCTGCCGGCAGTTCTTGGCCTTTGAATGTTACACCGCAGGTTATGCAATCTAGAGTCTGGGGAGAAGTGTTTTGCCGGATCTGTATTATCTGCGATGATGATGTGATGTCTTGGCCTTGACATTCGTTCACGGGGGTGGTCTCCTTGAAACTGTAAGGCATGTTTCTTTGTGGTAAGAAAGTATATTCAAGACAAGTAAGATACGTTGCATCGTTATCTCCCTTTAAACACGAATATTTATCAGCTCAGGCATGGAGTTGCAGTACAACACAATTTGTCGATTCAACGCACATACCATGTCTTTGGAAACGACCATTGACAATCAAGCAGACTCCCGTACAACAAACATTTGGAAAGACACAGTTTGGTGCACGTCTCATAGGCAGTCAATTGCTGGTCCGCCAGAGGATCGGTGTCTTGATTTCTCAACTACCAATATAAATGTAAACATGCAGTATTTTTTTCTGCTGGGTATCTCTCTATGTTCTTTCCCTAATGCCTAGGGATCGGACTCAATGGTCTGTCACTGTTTGCAACCAGAATCCTCGCCTCTTCTCAGACTCATTCGTGGGTCTGGTGAAATGACATCAAAGGTATTTTCCCAGCGACATTGTGGCCATGTTCAGAGCTCTAGGAGCAATTTCTAGGCATGATGCCGGTCGCATCTTTGAGATAAGACATCACATCTGTGGGGTACGATGGTGCATGGCCAGCATCCACGGGCGAGGTGGTCTCATGCCAGCAAATGCGGCTTGAAGCTGAGACTTGGCGGTTACGTTGAATCCAAAGTCCACCCGGGGCCACTGAGTCGCCTCATGCAAGATAGTAGGCGCCTCGGCCACTCGTATCCGTTCTCATCTTCTCAGGGAATCTCAATGCCGTCCTGAGCATTCCCGCGTGCTGGTGAATGGCACAGTCCGCTTTTCTTCTTCCCCTTTTATCCTTTGGGCGCTCACGCATCCTCTCTGACCTTCTCGGCCCGCCTAATCGCCCTCTCAGCCCTACCTAGGCGTTTTTCGGTATCGGCAACAAAATCGCCGTACCCCACGACGCCCTGCTCGTACCACCTCCTGATCAAGAGCTCACTCTGGCGCTTGAGCTCGGCAACCTCGGCGGCCTGCGCCTTCTGGGTCGCTTCCACGGCGCGCATCCGCGGGAGCAGTGATATGACGTTGGCACTTAAAGCTGGATCGGCGACGGGGGTGTCGCTGATGGCGTTTAGAGCGGAGGCAGTGGAGGGGAACAAGGAGGAGGAGGCGAGGACCATCTGCGCGAGAGCCGCGGTGGATAGTTCGGGGGGTGCGACGGCGTCTGTCGATGGGGCGGAGAAGAGGTTTGGATGCGCGTTGTCTTGGGAGTTACGGTTAGCTGGATTGGGGCTCTATGCCTTGGACTGGTGCCGTGGGATGGTCTCATACAGATGTCTAGGAGCTCGCCATAGGTGCGGAAGCGCTGTGTGAGCTGAGCAAAGCGGTGTTCGAGATTTTGGACATTGGGCAGAGCGTCGATGTTCGAGGAATGGGCTGCATGACCATAGAGGATATGCTCGATGCGCATAAGGCGAGACTCTAGGTACGATAGTGTTTGTATGGTTGTGTCGTCCAGGTATCGGGTCTCGTCGTGATGTAGTATGTCCGCCATGGCGAGTTGTTTGTTGAAGATGACAGTCGGTCGATGGACTCGGAAGATAAGACAGGCGGCAGGTTCAGGATCGGACCAGGCTGAGAAGCAAGGATGGCGTATGTATTCATGTATGTGTGTGCTGGTGGCGCGTCTGCAGATGGGTTGCAGTTGGAATGCAGAAGCTCAATCCCTCCCCTGAGCCCGTTCAAAAGGCTGCGACGAGAGCGCTAAAGCCCCGCTATTGGTGCGAGGCAAAGAGCGCTAAACAAGGCAAAATCCGGGGGTTGCTAGCGGCTGACGGATGGGGGAAGGGGGAGATGTGAAATGGAATTTGCTCCCGAGCAAAGAGCACGGAGTACTTTGTGCGTACGTAATTACGGGATCAACCTTGGTTACTTTGTCCTTCCACGTAGTTACTGGAACCAAGTGACATACGGACCCGTAGTTATGGAGCACGCTGGGTTGTTACATTGGATAGATAGGCCGAGGATCCACAGATTGCTTGCTGACGACACATTGCGAGCTGCCGTTCACCTGGAGCCTCGAGCCCAGAGAGAGCACGAGCAGCACCAGCGCAGACGCAACGGAACATAACGTAATCAAAATTCAATGAGGAGAAAGCCTCACTCCTGCCAATCCTGTCGCCTAATTAAACACTCCATGCCAACTTGGCGCATCTGCCGCTTTGCCGTCGCTCAACTGCTCGAATATCCGGTGCCCTGCCCTGTTTGCCGTCTCTGCAAGAAGAGAAGCTACAATTACTTTCGCGTGTGTATAAATATACACATGCTCAATTGAACCTTCCTGACTCGTGCCGCATTGAGGCTCAGTCGGGGGCTAGACTAGCTCACCTGCCAGCTTCCTCTGTCTCACAAGCCGCAGATATCAGGGACGCTGTGAGACATTCAGGCTCTGCCAGAACAACTTCCTGTGCCACAAGTCAACGGTTACTACATACACCAAGACCACCACCAAACTGGCGCCGCGACCCATGCCGAACTACGAATCCATATCTGATGGCCGTGCCGCCCCCAGCTCCCCCTCCCCCTCCGAAATGACGAGACACAGAAGGGCGCGAGCCCATGGTCAGAAAGATGGAGGACACAGTGGTCAGGCGAGCATGATCAGTAGTATCATCAACCTGTTGAACACGAGTACGTTGCACCCTCGGCGCATCCACGCCACACTTCCGCAAGAGGCCAACTCGCCCGTGACAGAACATCCTGACCTAACCCTTCCTGCTCTCTAGTCGTTGGAGCTGGAACTCTCGCCATGCCAGCCGCCTTGTCGCATTTCGGAATCATACCCGGTGTCATAGTAATCGTTTGGTCGGGCTTCACCTCGGCGTTTGGCCTCTACCTCCAGTCACGATGCGCCCGATATCTCGACCGCGGCTCTGCCTCATTCTTCGCCCTCTCCCAGCTCACCTATCCGAACGCCGCAGTCATATTCGATGCCGCCATCGCCATCAAGTGTTTCGGTGTCGGCGTTTCATACATGATTATTATCGGTGATTTGATGCCGGGAGTCGCGCTCGGCCTCGACAGCCGAGCGCAGCACGTGGCCTTCTTGATGGACAGAAATTTCTGGATTACGGCCTTCATGCTGGCCATCATTCCGCTCTGCTTCCTGAAGAGGCTGGACAGCCTGAAGTACACGAGCCTGATCGCCTTGGTTTCGATTGGATATTTGATCATACTCGTGGTTTATCACTACGCTGCCGACTCGATCCCTGATAGGGCTCCAGTCAGGTTTGTCACATGGGATGGGCCTATATCCGCTCTCAGCAATCTGCCCGTCGTGGTGTTCGCATATACATGTCACCAGAACATGTTTTCTATTCTGAACGAGATCAAGGACAAGGCTCCAAAGAGGTAAGCCCCTCCCCACAGAACTAAATGACATGGAATGGAACGAGACTAACATGGAATAGTGTTCTGGGAGTTGTTGGCTCGAGTATTGGCTCAGCTGCCAGTATCTATGTTCTAGTGGCCGTCACTGGTTACCTGACATTTGGCGACGATATCCATGGCAACATTGTCTCCATGTGTATGTTACTACAATCGACACCCTATCGTTTGGCCCTGGCGAGTACTGACAGCCTGCAGATCCTCCGTCGATTGCCTCCACCATCGCCAAGGCAGCCATCGTTGTCCTCGTTCTCTTCTCCATCCCCCTGCAGGTCCACCCCTGCCGCGCATCCATTGACGCCGTCTTGAGGTGGCGTCCCAACTCTGTATCGCGCCAATCTCAGAACCGATCAAATTCTCCAGGCGGTCGCCCTCTTCTGCCGACAGTCCAAGCACGATCCGACCATGGCCCCGGCGCACCCATGTCAGACATGAGATTTGCTTTACTCTCCACTGCAATCCTGGTCCTAAGCTACGTCGTGGCGCTTACCGTTGTCAGCCTGGAGCGCGTTCTAGCCTATGTCGGTAGCACTGGCAGCACCAGTATCAGCTTCATCTTGCCCGGACTGTTCTACTACAAGATCTCAGATCCGAACTCCATTCACCACCAGCGTCTCGCCAAGTCCGACGACGATGTCGGCGCCGACTCATCCGTTTCGGATGACGACGATGATGACGAAGAGGCCAACGAAGCCATGGCTCGGAGCGTGGGGAGCGTGAGAAGCGCCGCCAGCGGAAGAAGCGGCAACAGAGGATCTCGACGCTGGGGGAGAAAGAGGAGATGGGATCTGGAACACATCAGTCCTGTCTACCTGAGGCGCGGAGCTCTGGCTCTTGCGATATATGGAGGCTGCGTGATGGTCACGTGTCTTGTGCTAAACATGTTCGTCAGCGTTGCACACTAGAGGGTAGTCATGGCATTTGAGGCAGGGGTAGATGGCGACATTTCCTTTCTGCATCATTATTGGAGTTTGGAGCATTGGAATTTGGTGAGCAGCTGGGGGTGCAATAGACAACCATTGGATTAGCGATAAATCTGCATAGCTCGAGACCAATAGCGACATGCTATTATTACCTTTCACTGACAATCATCTTGCTTAATTGTTTGCTTGTGCTGGTTGATGTCAGGGCGGAGGCGGTAAAGCGGCCAACTCAATTCCCCCCAGAGATATGGGACGAGGTAATCCATCTACATCATCTCCTGCGTCGCGGGCTTGACACTGCAAAACTGGTGGTCGCCCAATCCCCGCCTTTCCAAGCCCCAGAGCCTCATGACCATTCGTTCTATGGTATAGATGTGGGATGGTCGTCTTGCCAGCCTGACCCTACGTGTAGATCCAGCGTCGAAAGATTAGAACACTTTGTATCGCCTGGCTCCAAAATATTGTATCGCAACGCTTATGGAGTGCTTGACATGCACTCTTGCGGGCGAACGGGTGCAATTGCCCCGATGGCGTCGCTCCTGTCACCAACTGCACGGTAACCATTTACGCACAACCTAAAGCGTCTTTCAATATCACATCTGCCGAGCACATGAATGGACCGGGAAAAGGAGAAAGAAAAAAAAAAACTGTTTCTGTAGGATTGACACAAGCCCGATACGGCTCGACGGTAGATGCTGCCTATTGGTTCGTTATAATTTCCGGGGAAGGATGACCAACCAAAATAGAGTCACCTGCCTTCCTACTCTATCAGAGTCTTTCATTCGCAATGCAGCGTGGATGATTGTATGTTGACCGCCTAATATTGGGAGTTGGGAACCTCCCGCTACAGCAAAGGTGCAATTCTCGAGCTTTGCCCCCCTCCCCCCCCGCGGTATGCCTCTCAGACAACACCGATGATGCTTCCAGCGCGCCCTGCCGAGAACAAAAGCTTCACTTGGTCCCAAGAGATTGTTGAAGATCACACAACAACCACTTTCTGCGTGAGAGAGCCGCGAAGTGAGACTCGCTATACTGGTGTCTAGCCGCCGCAGAGCCAGCCTTGTCCGTCTCGTTTGCATTACTTCGGCAATCCATGTTGCACGGCATTGGAATTGGAACATTGACAAAAGTCTCGTTCAACACGCAGAGGCTTTTACAATCATCGATTTTTCAGATCCGTGCGGGCGATTGAGAGAAAAGAAACATGGAGAAATCAGTCCTCGCGTCACTCTCAGAAGACGACCCGGGTTTTGTGCCTACCAACATGACCGCGTTTGAGGTCGTCCAAGGCGACTGTAATGATGACCAGCAGAGTACCGATCCGCCTCTGGTTTCGGCAGAGGACGACATTGGCTTGTGTTGAGATGCCGGGTGGGTTCCAGGTTGCAACTCGAAGCGGTCAGGCCTCAACATGTTACCAAACATCCACATAATTTATCTTGCCAAATTCCGATCTACTGGTCGTTCAGGCTGCTGAAAGTGGATCACAGCAAATCCCATACTGAAACCCTGAGTCTTGTATCGTGCCGGAAGTTCCTCGGAACAAATTGGGCTTTATTGACATATCTAAGGGCGTTAAGCGGCACATCATTAATGACTGGTTGCGTGATTGTGGCTCTTTTCACAACACGTGCTGAAAGCTTGTCCCATGTAGTAACTGCTGGTACTAGACTACCTGGAACCGGAGAATCTGAAGCTTCGACACCTCCAAATGCCGAGTGGATAATATGTTGCCTTGAGCTATATCAGGGTTCGTTCGGATGTGGCCCCTGTAAAGGAGCTTCGTGATAAATTACCAGTACTCCATTTACGCCATAAAATGCCTCGGTTTAAGGTATTTGTGGGTGGGTCGGTATTGTGTGCCAGTCGGAAAGGAATTGAAGCACAGTATTATTCAGAACATGGGTAACATATATGCCAACTCCATGTTGACGATTATCGCTGCAAATAGCAAAGACCCTTCAGAAGGCCTACCCGGTGTACGTTTACGTAATCGAACAAATCCTAGTACATCTAGAATCGGGAAACACAAGCTCGTTTCAATGGAGGGGTTTGATATCAGGAAGGACGTGGAACAGTCTAAATGGAATACACGCGCACGGACATACCAGGAATCTTTATCGTCTAGAAGGAGACTCATTTTTGGGGAAACCAGGCATACTTCCAGTGTCTGGACATGCATTGATATGAGAGCCTTCGGATTAACCTGAAGAATATGAAGTGCCCTGTATATACCCAAGACAAAGCAGCGCTTACTACTCTCCCCTTGCCTAACACTGATACTCGATACAGAAATAGGCCCATGTTACCGAATATCTCCATACAAGGCGTATGAGGTAATGCGGGAGATACTTTCCATCGGATCGACAAGTACCTGCAGAGAAAACTTTTCTATGATTTCCGAGCTTGGACAGCCACCTTTGCGGCTGTCTGCTCGGAGCTGGGCAAACACGACTTATCCACGACGCTGGGCACTCGTTATGTTCACAAAAACTAGAGTTGGCATAAATTCTGTTCCAAGATCAAATCCTCTATGGCTCAAATGTCTGGCTGGGCTGGTAAAATCTGCCACGATACACAGGGGGATTCATCAGGCGGGGTAGGGACAGAAGGACTGGAGTTGTTAGCAGTGTTGCTCAATGCTGATCGAAGAAGTCTTGTTGCTATGATTTTTATTCCAGACTCAAGCATCGGGTGCTACATTTTTCGTGGTTCGTATGAATTTGGCCAGCCTGGTAACGGCAGGTAAGACTTGCACAGCATAGGCGACGTACCTACCTAGATAGAGTATGCAGGAAATCAGCCAAGCGACTAGCCCAGTCTAAGTGATCCTCAATTCGATAATTACAAGGAGTCGGACAAGGTCACATAATATGGGGTAGAGTTTGAGCTCAAGGACATCAAGCTTGTTTAGAAACTGGCTTTGCCTCATCTATTGAATCAATACGTTACTTAGGAAAATTGAGGCTTTAGCGCATTCATGAAAGTGACCATCGGAACTGCGCGTACGGACGAGCATGATATTTGTTTACGCGTGCGGTAAACTTGATGATGGTGCACTACAGCTGAGAATACAAATGTTATTTGAGGGAGATACAAGTCAAACACTGTCAAACTTGATGAAAATTATTTAAACATACAATAAGTGATAGGAGGCTTGCTGGAAGTAAAGCAAATATATAACTCACTTTCAATTAAGTGGTGGCCATTTTCAAAAGCTTGTGCTTGTTCTGTATGATATATTCCTTACGCCACTCAAATTCGCAAATCATAGACTGGCTTGACCATTCGCTTTTCCATTTACCACCCAAATTTAACTTAAGTTTCAGGAAGAGAATTTAGATCACCACGCCTTGGACAATGTATGCCTTAAATTAAATAAAAGACAGCAGTATCAAATGAACTGTCAAACGACAATCCGTCCAACTTCGTCAAAAATATTCACAACCAAACTCCAGCTGAACGAATGTCAGATCTATTACAACGTGAAACTAGAGATGGACGGCAGAAAGGCGGCAGTAAAATCAAGAACACAACAAGTGCAAGGAGAAATCTACTATTTATTTCCATCACTGTGTTTTTTTCGTCCTTGGAGATAAATGGGCATGTGTTGGTTCAACCACATGCCCATTCTTTTCATATATACTTTTCGGTTTGAAATTCCGAATTAATTCGTGTGCAAAGCCGCGATTGCTGTTACAATTTACTTCTAGCATAAACGCCGAGATGAATATACTCTTACAAGTTCATCTTATGGAAGCATATTTGTGTCACCGGAGACCACTTGTACACACACAGCACACATGGTAGGTATACCTGGTATAAGGACGGCACGACTATTAATATCAATTGATGCTTGATGAGTCAGAATAAACAGCCCATGTTGGACCAAAGAAGGTGTGCGCTACGCACATCGTGACGACGACTTCTCCCATACCAAAGAATATAGGTACGTGACTTTTCAACCAATCACAGAGCAATAAAAAAGAATCACGCAGGAGGCTTCCATCAATGAAACATTCCAGCCTGAAATCCCCAGCGCAGCGAAAACCGGCGTAGTGTGCCTCAATTGACCTTGGGCCAATGTAGCACTGAACCAGATTCGTAATGCTGTTGACGTTCGTGAATTCCGGTCAACTCCGAGACCGAGTCACTGAGGAGATCTGATGCCGACCTGGATTCTTCAATACATTCTATCATGCCCGTACCAGGGCCCATGCTAAGCAAGGCACAGTACCCATGGTGGTTTGAACTGCCCTTCTGCTATTGGGTGCATACCAAAGCTTGAGGAGACTGCTAAGCTAGTACCATTTGTTTCACTAGAAATCTTGCAAATACTTTCAACCAAACAGTGGTGATGGTAGAATACTAATACCTGCCATATGATTTCAGAAGCTCTTCTCGAAACTCGAAACACGGATTCAAGTAGGGAAATCGCCACTCTAGAACAAATGGAGCCGCACTGGTCTGATTTCGATTTTAAGAAATAGGGTAGAAGCATCTCCTGAGCCGCAGACACCTAACATCAATATTTACCTGCACGAGGTCAGGGTGAATCAGGAGATCTCAGATATTTTCGCCCCGTGTAGATGATTAATTGGGTATTTTCTGTGCCTTAAGGCCTAAGACTAAGTGTGCTTTATTATAAGACAAGGCGCGTTGGCGCGGTTAAGTGACCAGCTTGGGATCATGGCCGGGATGTTGCATACAGATATTGCACAAAAACTCCTCCTTTCAAATACTCCCATCTTCATGACGCTCTTGGTTGTATTATATCATCACCATCCAAACCTTCCTCTTCGCCGTTTGCATTCCAACCGAAAGGCTCCCTCCCAAGCACAAGTATCAATATGGCGCAGAAGGCAATGAAGCCAAGGAAAATCGTCAGAAGTCCCAGTAGCTGCGTGGTAAACCAGCCCCAATGGCCATTAACAGCAACCCATGCCGGAAAGCAAATAAAGCCGTATACCCCGCCCACAGACATTGGAGTCAGGAAGAGGATAGCTAAAACCTTCCAACCAACGAGTAAGGAGCGAAAACGATAGGCGAGCGCGGTTGCAAAGAAGACCCCCACAGCGTTAGGAGCCATCCACCACCAAGGAAACATGTTGAAAACAACCAACGGTTGGTTTCCGTAGTAAGAGTAGACTCCCATTGGCAGTAGGATCTCTTCCACGACTAGGTCAGAACCCATCATCAGAACCAAAAGCCACCAGAGATTCTTGGTCTTGGTCTTGCTGTACAGAAGCTGAAGGTTGACTTGCATCAACGAGCCATAACCAAACCATATCGGGATCCATGGAGGCATCTCGCGGCCTAGGAGGTGAAATGAGGCATTGCTTTCCGTCCAGGGGTAGTATGTGCATCCTAATACGTCGATGAATGTCTCCGGAAACGCGATCATCGCCCCACTCAGGGGGAGAATAAGGGGGAGTATCGTGCGCGTGCGTCGTGCATCCCGTCCACCCAGTAGAACGGCTGATAGTCCGATCAAGCTCATAGCAACCATGCAGATGATGTTGTTGGTTTTGATATATGGCAAATCAACGGGTGGCCGCGGAAGATTAAAGACTGGGTCGACATCGAAGTTGCCATTTCCATTTTCTGGCGACCAATGAAATCGTGACCCTGCGAGCGCCAAAGCTGTGATTGCAGCAACAGTGATGTATAGAATCGGTCTCCTGGACCGTTCCGATGCGATTGTAGTGAGCTCCATAGGATAATGTCATTAGTTGGTGTCAGTGATGTAGATAGTGGTAGTGGTGTTAGACATGATAAAAGCTGGTCGAGGAGATGATGGGCGCGAAGAGAGCCCGTTTAAATATTGTATGACCAACACGGTACGGACCAATGTGGTTGTTGGTGGAATAAAGTCTAGTCGCCCCCAATGGGTCCGGTTCTGAATGAATCGAATACGGGGACCGAAGGTTATGATAATGGATACGCCAAGCTAAGTAGTTGGCTGAGCACTTTGCAGTCGTATGCCTTTAGTTAGTATGATGCAATTTTATAGAATCATGGACCCGAGTTGCCCTTCACGGCTTAGCGTAGAAATCTCTGGTTGGCTGGTGTGCATATAAACAGTTATGTCTTGTTAACGCACTGCTTAGCAGTTTCTTAATTTAAAAAAAGTCTTCGACAAATGCTTAATATAAGTCCCTGCGGCCGTGTTTTCTTGGGTTTTCACTGTCATTTCATTTTTATATATAAGAGTATCGTGGCCGCCCTTGAAACCGCACGGAGCGATAGGATGGGACTTATAGCTTGATTACACTATGCCCTCGAACACAACTATCGCTTGACGGGATTGCCTGTACCAACTCCTCTAAGCAATACGACAATATTCTCTGAGTGCCTAGATATCAACGACAGATAACCTTAGTCATTTCGCATCATGCTTAGTTTACTTGGTTAAATCACGAAGGATACTTGTCAGTATCTCCACACAATTGTCGTTAAATGTAGCACATAGCTTATTAATCCAGGACGCCATCATAGCTCGTCTTCTAATATGTTACTAGTAACCGACTTATCCGCGGAACTAGACTAGTCGAATTGCCGATTTGCTGGCTCCCAACGCTACGAAGCATCACAATCTCTGAATATTGTGGTTTCCCGACCGCGGAGGCTTTTGCTTGTGCGTAGGAGGTCATGCGTAGTTTGAGCTAATTATCAACCAATCCAAAGCTTATAGTCACAGATAGATGCTAGGGAGAGAATTTCACGACAGTAATGGCTGGTCCATTACTACATGATATTGGTGACCAGTGCGTTCCGGGTGTGATAGAACGGCTTACCGAAAGTTGGAAAAACAAACAGCCTCTCCTGTCCTGTGACAGGCAGTGTTGCCTGCGTCATGCGTGTTGCTTGGATACATATCGTTAAAAAGTACAAAAGATCAAGATCTTCGGGTTGTGGTTTTTGTGTTATGAGATACATATTATGTATCGAGCTTAAGGGTGAGGAATAATAAGAGGTGAACCGATTTGGCCTGAGCGTAAGAAAAATCATGTTGATCTCTACGAATGGATAGGGTGTAAGAACTGGAAGTTATTCTTATTTGGAAAGTATTCTGCCGCTCCCCTCGATATTATAAACATCGTGTGAACGTCATCACCGTTACATCACATAAGCAATATGTAGATTTGTAATCCCTGACGTGGTAACTATTATTTGTGCGTCGGTAACGTGAAGTGTTTTGACATTGATACGCTTCATGCCTCTACACAGCTGAGATTCCTTATCCCATTACACTACCTAGGGGCGCGGGGCGCCTGTCTGCATTCGCTCGAGTTTCTACAGACAGATCACCGGAAAAGCAGAGGAGGTACCCCCCATCCACATTTTCTTGTAGGCCGTTGATTCTAGCTGTCCAGAAGTGCTTTCGTTCTTCACGCGTTCACCGCATATATATTTGTGGCTTTCAATCATGCCGTCTACCTTAGCCAGGCATATTTAACTCGAAAGTTGATCTTATAATGCCTTCGAGATCATTTTGTATGATGCCTAAATGGAGTGAGAGCGTTTCATTTGACTCTAGAGCTAGGCATCGGCGAAGTGCCAGGAATATGCCTACGTAGGGATTCTGCTTGAATTTGTACCAGAGAGCTACGGATTGCGGTGAGCTTTAGAATACTCAAGAAGAACAGATACCAGCGGCACAAATCTTAGGAGTGGCGATGTTGGCCTCATTTTCCGTAGCGTGATTGCTAAAATGTTGGAGTATCAAAGTGCCACTGTTCCGAGCCCGTGGTGCTGCCAGCCTTAGCAATGGGAGTATCCGTTCCCTCAGGAATGTCTGTGCAGAACGACCCGGCAGCGTTAATCGCTTCGACGGGATTAGCATCCAATTCGCAACCAGTTCTCATCCAGGGGTAATATTGTCGGCATTCCATGAGTGTTTCGTAATCGAATGTATCCTCTAGGATGCAACATCGTTCCTTCTTAGACTAGTCTAGTGGACAGAAAACGGGTGAGCGACGTTGACAAGCAAGCAGGCCAAAGCGTTATGAGCAAGCGAACCATCAGCGAGGCTGTTTTCTCGTACAGTATGGAAAGGTTAGAGTAAGCGACCTTGATAGAGCTACTTCTATGGGTTCCGAGTTTTGGTTGGGCGTGGACAACGGCGCTTCGGTGAACTCATGGTTGCCTAAACGTTCTTTAGGCGTAGGGAGAACAAAATTACAGGCCTGCTTCAAGAATCCGTTTACAACCAGGCAAGGGTTATTTCCAGCACAAATCTGTTTTGAAACGGGGAAGAGATAAGGTGCGCCATTTCTTGTTACCAAAAGTTCCAGCTTTGGACATCGCCATGCCGAAAACTCTCATCTGTATGCAACCTTGGTAGAACGCCTCTCCACAAATCATGCATGGTATCTCCTGAGTCTTGCCTCATGATACCTTAATTATGTCCTGCCCTAAAACTCCAAAGCAATGCAATAAACCATCCAAGATGCTCAAAAATTCTACAGCTGTATCAGGTTCCGCACAGTTTGACAGAAGCACCTTAAGCTATAAGCAACAATCTGCCGTCTGCTTCAATGCTGTATAGACCAGGTTGCTGGTCCTTTAATTCCGCAATGAGGTCGTTGTTGCGACACATGGCGAGTCTACTCTCGGGTTTGTAGTGAAACAATGTCGAGATGGCGCCTCTGGGTTTGAGGTGGTACTTTGTCAGGGCTGCCGTGTTATCACCGACAGAAACGTAACTTTTGACGCCAAGCTTCGAAGCAACCACATTAGTCATCAATCCGGGGAAGAGGTACGGGTACTGCAGGATTTCGGCCTCGAAGGCATTGACGGTCTCCTGCGCGTATCGCGTGAACGTCACATTCTCGCGTAGAGATCCCAGTCGGAACAGGTTTGAGGCCGATACCGCGTTATCGGAAGGTAGCGACGTATCCATGACATCCTTGATGCGCAATAGGACGTAGGGGTCTTCCTTTTCTGTACTGTAGAAGGCACCGCACCCAGCGTTATTGCCGTTAGAGTCGGCATCGGGGCTGTCATAGAATTTTTCGATTTGTGCCGCTTGATAGAATTAGCATTATGATCACACGAGCCGCTCAAAACACTCACACTGTACGTCTTCGGCCCATTCAAGCCAAGACTCGTCAGCAGTGGCCTCGTACAACTCCAGCAAGCCCTCAATGAGAAAAGCGTAGTCCTTAGAAAAGCCCTTGGTCTCGCTTCTGGTACCATCAGAGTACATGCGGTATAGTGTGTTAGTGTCCCAGTCCCAAAGCTCCTTTTTGATGAACAAAGCTGCATCGGTGGCTGCAGTGAGGTAAGAGGATGATCTTGGATTGCCACCGATGACCTTGTATGCGGCGTACGTCCGAGCAAGTGCCGCGATTGCCATGCCGTTGTAGGACGTGACAATTTTCGCGTCTAAGCTGGGCCGGGGGCGTTCTTGAGCTCGGTAGGCGTGCAACTTCGCCTTTGCAGATTCTATGTGCTTGAGGACATCGGATTCGGGAATGTTGAATTGGGAGCTCAACTCGGCCACATTCTTGACCACGCGAAGGACATTGTGGTTTAGGTATTCATCATTGGGATCATCACCCTTTTCGACATTTCCGTGCTGCTTCACGTCCCAATAAGCGGCTGCGACAGACCGCTCCTGCTCATCACCAATGGCGCTGTCAAACTCCTTCCGCGTCCATAGGTAGTAGGCACCGTGACGAAGCACATCGTCGCTCTGCTTCTGGCTGGAATCCGCAGCTTCGCTAGATGCAAAGCCGCCCCCCTGAACAAGAATGGGTGATGAGGTCAGATAGTCGGCCAGCTCGGTTACGACCTTGGCAAAGCGGGTTTCAGCTTGAGCGCCTTGCAGAAACCACGCATCGAGGTAGATTCCCAGTGCTAGTGCGTTGTCTGACAACAATTTCTCGAAGGTCGGGAGCGACCAGTCCCAAGTTGTCGAGCAGCGATGAAAGCCGGCACCAACTTGGTCATGAATAGCGCCGTCGAGAATTCGGTTCATAGTCTCGAGGGCGAAGTCGGAGCACTCCTTGGTGAGCTTCTCATCTATGACATCGGTCACAGTCTGAGAATACTGGGTGGCGCGCAACAAGAAGGCGAGCTTCGCTGGGGTAAGGAACTTGGCAGTGCTTCTTATGAGATCATAAGCCTCTCTCATTTGCTGCAGAGGAACGTTCCCAGAGAAGAAGTTGGGTGGGGCGTTTGCGGGCAAGTGCAGGAAGCCACCATGCGTCCTGTCGAAGGTCTTGGCGATGTGGCTATAGGCTTCCTCAAGCTGGTCGATGTCAATTTCGCTGGACGGGTCGTTCGTGTTGGACGGACGATCATTGCGGCCCAGTGTGCCCTCACTCGTCATCTTGCGCACGTCCTCGACGCTTTGTCTTCCATCGGCGCGAACCTGATTTTCCTGTTCGGCCCATGCCGACTGTGCCTTCCGCAGGACGATGAGAAAGTCTGCTATCTCCTCGCCCGTTTCTTGTTCGATATGGTGGGAGCCGGGGCTGGGGAAGTAGGTGCCGCCAAAGACGGGCTGTAGCTCGGGGGTCAAGAAGACATTCAAAGGGTGGCCGGCGGCGCTGTTGAGGGACTGGACGTAGTTGATATAGATGTTGTCGAGGTCAGGTCGCTCTTCCGAGTCAACAATTATGGGTACGAAGTGGTGGTTGAGAAGGTCGATGACGTGTCGGTTCGTGAAGGACTCCTGGATGGTCAAGTAGCAGTAATGGGATGCGCTGAAGCCGATGTGCAGGAATATCAGCTTGTTCTCGGACTTTGCTCGGTCGATGGCCGCCTTCCCCCAGACCTGCCACTTTATGGGACTGTCCTTCTGCGATCGGACATAGGGACTCTTGCTGGTAGCCGCGACATTCTCCAGGGCCGCCGTAGTAGCACCACTGCCGGTGTTCGCGGCCAGAGACGTCGCATCCTCGGCCTGCTGGGGAACAGGCTCTGAAGCCGAGGTCGGAGCTGAAGGCGTGCTGCGACCCGACTCGGCCAGCTTTGCTGACATCATCTTCACGGGTTTCGGTAGGAAATGGGTTCGTATATAGGGGGTTAGAAGGACATCTGTACACGGCGGGCTGCGAGAACTGTAATCTGCTCGACTCGTCCTGTGATGTAAGCAAAAAGCAGGAGCAGAATGCGGTGCGGTGGTAAATCCAAAAAGTTTCCACTTGGCGGGGTAGCACTTTTGTCGCAATTCAAACAAAACCCCACAAAAGCGTTGGCGATCATTTACTCTTTTCAGAGATGCAGAGGCACCCCAGTGATAAGGATCTGCCACTACAGGACATACGGATCAGTGCTCTGAGACTAGCGATTGCCCGTGGTACATACTATCATTTACAGTGCTGTACGTGCACAGATCCCATCGGTTGACACGTTGGGTGCCACGCAGGCTTGGTGCTGCGGTCATGCTGTACCATGGCCTGCTTGCCGTGTAAGCAGATGCTGTTCTCTTGTCCGCATGGCTGCGTTGCAACACAGACACGAAGACCAGGGGTGGGATGTAAATGTACCTCAGGACTGAATTCCAGGGTCCGGATCACCTTTCTTTTAGTGGAGCTCGGCATTTCTCTAACCTAGGGTTAGCAGGGGAGCTTGGGAGAAATATATCGGTCCGGCTCTAATCTATTGACATTCCTTTGTGCCAGTAATCAGCAGCACCAGGCCGTGCAACCTGGATAGCAATATCACGCGCCGTCTCCTGCGTGCCTGCGCCATGAGTTACATGTTTTTAATGGACTATCAATATTATATTTCTGCGCAATCACGCAAGGTTGCTTAGTTCATCAACTAGCCGAGGCTGAGCGCCGGGCGACCTCACTATGTAGTTAAGGTTAAGGCGTCTTTCGCACACTTTCTCCATCTAAATTGGAGCACGTTGCTGGTCAGATTCAAGCTAACCTTAGTCTAGTCTAGACTAATCTTAAGCTCAACCCGATATATTTCGGTATGATATCACCTCACCCTAAACGGCGCCTTCGGTACGCCGCGTATGCTTGGAATGAGGCAAGCATTATGCAGGGGCAGAAACGCCATGGCCGGCGACTCTTCTTAGATGTCTCAAGAAGCGACTGTCTACTGTCTTCACTGGTAGCCTCATTCATACTCTACCTAGGGCTCATACTCAAGCTCCGCCGTCTCCTTAGAAGACACTACAAGCAGGCTGTCTTTCGTAAGCTGCGTTGATTTCCTGGTTTCTCTTTCTTTTTTGCGCAAACATGTACTACCTGTCCCCGGGCTCATCACCCGTAGCTCAAGCTTGTCGATCGGTGACGTTGGTCGAGATAAGCTCACCATTTCGGATTGGACAGACTTGTGCCGGTAAATTTCGAAATGTGCCCTGTGAAGCTGGTCGACTCCAGAGCGTCTTGGAGTGTATCACAAAGCTTGTCACCCACATTAATCTGGAAAGGGCTGAGGATCTTATCAATCACATCTTGTCTCCCCAAACAATTGCACTTCCTACACTCCCTCTAAATATCCCTGCCCTTGCCATTTCTTGCAACGTGCAATTCCGTGTAAGCACCATCAGTCCCAAGTTCGGTGTTCATCGAAAAGGTCCACATACCCAAGGCTTGGACATTCAGCATTATGGATCCGATCTCAATCATCGGAGGAGTCGGTGCCATTGTCGGCATCATTGAAATCACCTGTAAAGTAATATCGAACATCCGGGCGTATCATAGCAGACATAATTACGAAGATTCTGTCGTCATGCTGAGCATTCTTTCCCAGCTAGTCGCCTTCAAGACATCATTGGCCTATATCAGGGACTGTTGGCAGCTTTCTACTCCTGATCAGCCATATAGCCCTTCTCCAGACCTTGATATCATTCTCTTGTGCTGTAAAACACTTATCGACAAACTAGACAGCATTGTCCTCGACCTCGGCGTGTCGCCAGAAATAGAACTTTTAACTAATAGCGGGTTCGACAGGCGTCGAAAGGAGTTGTTAATGCTGCAAGATATGATCGATAGACAGACAACCGCGCTGACACTACTCATCACATCCAGCAACTTGTGAGTAATTGCCGACCTTGCTTAGTGAAATCCATCGATTCATAGCTTTCTCCTAGGCCAACACACCGAGAACAACAAAGTATTCTCAACAACTCGTTCACCCGCCAGCTCCTCAGGCACGTTGTCAAGGATTCGGATTCACTGCGCGCACAATACGATAATGCTTCGGTCCACACAGAATACGTCGACGACCTGTCACGGGCGTCCGCAGAGTTTCAATTCGACTCCATCCTGATGCACTCGTCGCCCTATGAACGAGTCCTGAACTTCTCGCTGACAGATACGTTCCGCCGCAACATCCTAGGCCGAGTCCGGCCACCCAAGGCCGCCCCAGACGAAAGCATGACCTCGAGTATAGCTGGAAGGCCTACTAGGTCGCAGTCTGAGGGCAATATATCGGCAGGATCAGCTTTCGGGGCGAGCGGTTTCCAAACGCCCTCGACTCTCGTTGACGACGTGGCACGTGCAAATACACAGCCCTCGTCCGTACGAGAGGGACAGCGCAATCTACCGTACATTCCGCCTTCACGTAGATCGTCTAGCACGCCCGCTTGGCCGTTGATGGGATTAACTTGGGATTCCACAAAAGCATTCACGCGATGATGCACAGTTCTCATAGGTACGGTATTAACAATTGGCTCTATGTACAGCTAGCCTTTCAAAATAACTAATTGGATAATATTAACGCGTGAATGGAACAGCCTCCGCCGGATCGTTACGCTCTCCTTTGCATGTTCGTCTACCGAATGTCGTCTTAGTTCTGGTAAACCTGCGAGTTCTTGATGTCTCCGTACGTGCCAGATCCGAACGGGCTAGAAGCAGAGACTGTCTGGCAGTTGACGTCGGCGACACCAAAAGAGGCGAACTCCTTGTCCTGGACGACCGTGAGGACAGCAAAAGCGGGAGCTGGAGCAGTAGCATATCCCCAGGAGACGTTGAAGCTGGATCCGCTGGTGCAGGGCAGGTCGAACCAGCTCTCGGTGGCGGCGTTGGAGCCGGGCATGCGGATGATGGTGCAGTTCTGGGTCTGGTCCGAGGTCTCGATGGCGAAGTTGTAGTCACAACCCGACTCGTCCTCGCCGCAGTATCGGCTCAGGTGGTTGAGCGACCAGGTCTTGCCCTCGACGGGCTTGAGCTCAGGGTAGCCGGGGATGGGCTTGACAGGTGGGCAGGCGGGGACAGCAGTAGAGGTTGTTACCTGGACTGTGGTGGTCACCTTCGCCGTTGACTGAGCTGGCTTGGTAGCAGACTCAGCAGGCTTGGTGGTGCTAGCGACCGGGTAGGTTGATTGGCCTGGCTGGGTGGTCGATTGGCCTGGCTTGGTGGTCTCTTGAGCTGGCTTGGTAGTGGTATCGAAGTAGGACGAGGGGCATGATCCGGGGTGCGCTGGGTTGCAGCCGCCCGGGATCGACGTGGACGAGGGAGTAGCCTCCGTGTTGGCGCTCTGAACAGGATGAGTGGACTGAGCCTGAGCCGGCTTAGTCGTGGTGTCAAAGTAGGACGATGGACAAGATCCAGGATGAGCTGGGTTGCAACCTCCGGGGATGGAGGTGGATGAAGGCTCAGCCGGCTTGGTCGTAGACCCAGCAGGCTTCGTGGTGCTCACGACAGGGTAAGTAGACTGGCCGGGCTCAGTAGAGTGGGCAGGCTTTGTGGTGGTGCTCTCATCCTCTTCAGGGCAGGAATCGGTAGCTGTAGTAGTGGGCTTAGCAGGCTCAGTGGTGCTCTGCACCGGGTAGGTGGACTGAGCCGGCTTAGTGGTGGTGTCGAAATAGGACGAGGGGCATGATCCGGGGTGCGCTGGGTTGCAGCCGCCAGGGATCGACGTGGACGAGGGGGTAGCCTCCGTGTTGGCGCTCTGAACAGGATAAGTGGACTGAGCCTGAGCCGGCTTAGTCGTGGTGTCGAAGTAGGACGATGGACAAGATCCAGGATGAGCTGGGTTGCATCCACCAGGAATGGAAGTAGAGAAAGGCTCAGCGGGCTTGGTGGTGCTCTGAGCAGTGGATTGAGCCGGCTTAGTTGTGGTGTCAAAGTATGACGACGGGCAAGACCCCGGGTGAGCTGGGTTGCAGCCTCCGGGGATGGAGGTGGATGAAGGCTCAGCTGGCTTGGTGGTGCTCTGAGCAGTGGATTGAGCCGGCTTAGTTGTGGTGTCAAAGTATGACGACGGGCAAGACCCCGGGTGAGCTGGGTTGCAGCCTCCGGGGATGGAGGTGGATGAAGGCTCAGCTGGCTTGGTGGTGCTCTGAGCAGTGGATTGAGCCGGCTTAGTTGTGGTGTCAAAGTATGACGACGGGCAAGACCCCGGGTGAGCTGGGTTGCAGCCTCCGGGGATGGAGGTGGATGCAGGCTCAGCTGGCTTGCTGCTGCTCTGAACTGGGTAGGTTGACTGGGCTGGCTTGGTAGTCGTATCGAAATACGATGATGGGCAAGATCCCGGGTGGGCCGGGTTGCAGCCTCCGGGGATGGAGGTGGATGAAGGCTCGGGGACCTCACCGGTGCTTTGGACGGGATAGGTTGGCTCCGCGGGCTTGGTGGTCGTGTCAAAGTAGGATGATGGGCATGAGCCTGGGTGGGCTGGGTTGCATCCACCGGGGATAGAAGTAGACGATGGCACATCATAGGTGGTCGTTGTACCAACTGGGTAATTGGGCTGGGGAGGCGTGACGACCGCGTAGTCTCTACGCATGGCACCTGGTGCGGCCGAGACAGCCGACACCAAGGCCAAGGTAATGGCAACGTTCTTAGAGATCATGATGACAAAGACTTTATAGGTGAAAACGAGCGTGTGAGGTCTGTGTTGTCAAATCGGAAGCTGTACTGGATCATTCAGTTGCCGCTTGCTGGGAAGATCAGCTCCTTTTTATAAAATATATCTCATCTCTGTCACATAGACGAAGCCCAGTTGTCAATTATGTTAGAACTCTTCGTACTACAGAATCCACTCTAGTCGTCTAGTGCCAAAATAGTTAGATGGGCATTTGTGGATCTGGAAGTGTCACGAAATCTCAATATGTAATCACTTGTTGGACAATGCTCGTCGACATATCCGCTGTTCTAATTGCACTTGCTAAGGCGGTTACGAGGCTCTATGGCGTTTGAGGGGCGCTCATACACGAGCAGTATTCTAACCTTAGTTAGGCGAGCACCTTAATAACGTCATAGTGCTATAGGCTAAGTTGTGTACTCCGTAGTCCTCAAGCTATCCTATGTACATCCACTATATTTTCTCAGCATTCCACATGTTCCACCTTGCACTCCAATGATCCTGTCAATTGTCTGTTGTTTGATTCTGCTGCTGCGAGGACCTGAGTTGTGGGCATACCCGCATCAATTGTCGACTAGCTCCAGGCCCGTTCGTCGTATTCACCTGAGTATCCGCTGTCACGAACTTTTAAAATGGACATCCACTACCACAGCCCGTTTAACCTTATAGTTTAGCTTAACCCTCGTCGCCTAGGAAGTTACGCACCGTTCTTTCGACGGTATCCAATGGTTGCTACTATCACGACCGGGCCTTGATCTGCACCTACAAATCGCTACTAGGACCTATGCTTTTGAGGTTGTTCAAAAAGTGCTAGATAAGTGATCAATCCAGGCATAATGACGTGTACACTTGCACCTAGCTGAGCCGTTCTCTTGGAATTTCAATTGACATGCAGATGAAGGTTCGATAGTCGGCAGACTTATCAAGTCGTGTTCACATTGTAACTAATTTGAGAACCAGCGCATAGTTCAGCCTCACTATTCGACCATATCGCGAGAGCTGTCTACAACAATTTCCAGTCATAGAAACTCGGAAAACTAAGATAGTGATCTACCCAAAAGCCGATGTGTGGATCATGGGTAACGCGTAGAAATTGGTCCTAAGAGCCCTAACGAAAGCCGTTGCTCCGCCTCCCTTCCAGATTGCTTCCATTTCTAAGAATAGAGTCGCTCGGGTTACAAAATACTTACCCCAGAATATCTCAAATTTAAGATGTGGACTTTCTTGATTTCCGGGACTCCCGACGCGCACTAACATAGTGACCCGGTATTCCGTGCTAGGTATACCGCCCGCTTTTTTAGTAAAGGAGTCGGTTGTTTAGTGACAAGTGGATATGCATGAGTATGTAGACTCAACTTGCTTCTTACTTAACACGATTATCGGTCGTACTGCGGTATAATTGTGGTTCATACAAGTCTGCCTCGCTTCGTGTCGTGACAGTTTCGAATCCGTGTATTACGACAATCAATTCTCATGCCCGCCGGCCAGACACCATAGCTACAACTGCACAACAAGTTGATTTGCCGCCCAGTCGTAGCCATAGAAAAAGACTTGATCGCTAGGTCTGGTTTTTGTTTTCTCTTTTTCTTTTTTTCTTTTTCTTTTGCCATCGTGATAAATACTTTCCAAATTACAATTTGACCGTCCTGCAGTCAACTTTAAACAAAAGAAGCTGGAATCCAGCGACATACTCAAAAATCACGCTCTCGTAAAGAGCAAGCTTTCAAGCTACTAGAGCGCTTTGCACTGGCAACTTGCATATTTCTGTCTTCAATTTCATAGAACATTACATCACCAGTCACACCATACGTAATGGGGTAAATCACTTTACGCCGCTAAAAGTGACATAGCTATGGCCACTGGTCGTGAACTTCGATGGTAGCTCGGACACCTAATTCACAGGCACTGGCGGCGAATCGAACATTTCTGAAGACTTGACGCGACCTTTTTGCGGTGCACAGAACAACAGAGAGACAACGGATACGCAAAAGCATGTTAGGAAAGTTTTAGGTTTAGCAGCTGCTGAAGAGCCGCCTGGGATGGGAGCTCAAGACAGGCGAGTAAGCGGGAACCTCTTGACAAGTGTGTAAACGCGCCTCTTTTGCGACAACATTTCACTCTAACTCGAACTACTCCCCGTCGTCTCGGCGGGTATCAACCGGCGTGACATGCGCTTGGGTAATTTTGTGTCATGTGTGGCGCCGTCCAATAGGATTGGTCACCCTGATTTGGTTCGCAGGCGTTATCGGCAATCATGAATCTTGAATAAATTTGGCGCTGCTACAATTGCGGGACTGTGCAGATAAGATGTGTATATGTTGGATCGTGTACAAGTTCCGATCCTTTCTTCACTTTTTGTATGCCCCACCGCAAACCATATATTTATCTCAAGCAGCAGGGCGAGATGAGCACCTGCAGGCTATGATGTGTAATTGCACAGTCAAGAGGACCTTCACCATGGCGACTGGCGACTGGCGACAGTCGGGCATGCAATCCCAATATCCATATAAATTTGGGGCAACACTAACTGGCAGGATAAGCGCTGTATGTTGAGATACTATAGAGATCGAAGGTTATCTGTCAGTATACAACTATGCTCCACTGTCTGACCCAGACAGGATCCGTACTCTCGAGCTCCACACGACCAACTGAGGCATCATAGAATGCAGTCTCCGCGAGGTCATCGTTCTAGAGCATGAATACCAAGCCTTATCATATGTCTGGGGCAGTGAAGAAAAGCCCTAGTGTGCGATCTTGATGGTATTCCGCTCGGGTACATTCCACTGACAGCGGATCTTCATCAGACCTCGCAGGATCTCCGAGACGCTATGCGAAAATAACAGAAAAGACGTTTTGGATCGACCGGATATGCATGAACCAAACTGGCGAGAAGCATCAGAATCAGCGAGTCGCCATGATGGGCAAGATCTACAGGAATGCCGACCAAGTCATCTTTTATGGAGGAAGTTCTCGCGACGACGAGTTCGATTTGAAAGGTATCGAGCTGGTCGAGCGACTGGACAAACATTTTTCACCCGACTATCAGGCCATTAACGACATCAACAACCTATTCACTTCACACCAGAAGAAGCGCCAATTACCGGTGCAGAACACGCCAGATGACATCACGCAGAATATCAGCCAACATACCGCCGCATTCCAGTGGTTAGCTGAAGTGGGCTACGGAGGATGGCGACAGCGACTATGGATGGTGCAGGAATAGTTGCCGAGCAAGGAGTTGGTTTTCTCGCGGGGACCTCGGTTGTTGTCCTGGAACGTCGTTGCCGTTTTATCCTTCCTATTTTACCTCAAGTTCCTTCCCAGATCATATATCTGTGACTTTTGGGAAATGTCCAATGAGGAACCTACTGCACGACCATCGGAGAAACGGAGAAGTCTATGGGACATTGCCTTGCCGGTCTTCTCGGTGTGCTATCCACATTACGTGCGATGCATGAGTGTGGGGCATCGACAATGCTGAAGAACCTCTACGTCTGAGCATCTCAAGGGTCACGACCTTCGAGACCGCATCTACTCAGTGCTAGCAATATAGTCCAATACTGCTCGCCTCGAAATTGTCCCCAGCTACCAGAAAAAGCCATCCGTTGCCTTCCACCAGCTATCGGTCAAATTTCTGACAACTTACAACAATCTGTCCCTGTTGTACGTGGCATTCCGCTAAAAACAATCTTTCAAATTTAACCTATCCATCGTGGTAACTCTACAAACCTCATTCGTTCCTACTTCGGCATTTGGATGTCTTCGATGACAGTCCCGTCAGTTCACTCTAAAAGCTATTGCTTGTGCGGTCCGATATTTTGATCAAACTCAGTGCAACCTTTGAGCACGCTTGCAAGATAGTCAGTGTCACAATACCTGATCCGATATGGGCGCCAGCTGCGAGGAGAGTCTAGGTCAAATATACAGGAGATTGCAAACCATTTCTGGTGGTACTTCCGACATATTCACCTAAGCATCGAGTTTCAGCGCAAGACCAGCCAACAAGATGACCGCGAATTCCAATCAACTAGAAGCGGGTTCTTCTGGCTCGGGAGAACGGAATGGTCAAAGTAGTTCTTTTCGAATCCTTTTCGTATTTGGACGATATCTCATTGGAGATGAGTAAGTCGACCATCACAGAGTTACCCAGTCGTATGTTCATTCACAGCCGCTCGTTCGCCGTGACACGGGATGGGCGTGTTTGTAATGTCATAAATGAGGCCCGAAATGGCGATATCGCTGCGTTACAAGGCTGGCGCCACGGGTCCTTCGTGCTTTGCATAGCCACCGGCAGGGACGTGTTTCGCGTTGTGGAGAAGCTTGTGTCTCCGGATTATTGAAAGGATAGACGTTTGCCAGCAGATATCCAGCTGTAGTGGATGCTAATATAAAATTTGGTTAATAATTCTAAGGTTGAATTAAAAGTTAGATTGTATGGGACATGAGCTTCCCTTCCTCTGAGTCTCTGTCATTGCATCCCATGACACAGTTGACGGTCATAATACAGCCACCTTCAGATGGACACTACCACATTTTTCCGCAGTTGCCAGACCTATGCAGCGACTGGTACATTCCATTGCCACTCATAACACAGTCTGTGCATTGAACAAAAACGCCACATATCCATTCGAATCGAATAACTTATATTAACTTATAATAATCACGTCATAATGTTAATTAAGCCTTAATACGTTATAAAAAGAAAATGATTAATGTTAATTCTTATCTCGTTCATATGGTTAGTTAATTGTGACGATTATATTATCAGGTTACAAAACCACAAATAATATAACAGGCTAGGTTTATGCTAACAAGATATAGTAGCCATAAAGAGAAGACTATAGAGATAGACCTTTAGAGTATATTAAGTAAGTGTTGGAATATATTATTCGCCGTATCGTACGACGGGTGACCATATAGTCTAGCTAGTTACCGGCGTACTGGTAGCAAGCCACCATAGCCACGGTGTGGCTGTCAGCAGCCAGCAGCCGTGCGGGTGAACCCCAGACCCCTATCTGTCGACCGTGTACGATAGGAAGTATCCCTTCTTCCTCTCGTACGATAGCGCTGAATATAGATCTATTTGTCGCCCACCCCGTACGGAAAGAATTGAATGGAGAAGCCATGGCATGTGGAGCGGTTAGTGGGAACTTTTTCCTCCATGTCGCGTCTTCGATATGAGAGAATTGCCAAAGCTGACTTGGGTTTATTTCCTGCTAATAGGTTACCTCTACTGTATTCAAACAAGCAGTTCGAGGAGCGGTGACACGACGTCGTCCAGCACCGCGGCAACGACGACGACGACATGCTCCTTAACGACTACTACCACATCGCCAACGCCTCCTGCTGAGACTTTGGACGGAACATCTCCCGACTGTACGAAATGGAATGTTGTTGCAAGTGTGTACCCACATTTGCACCCCTAGGCCGCACCTACTTGCCCCCATGGCCGTTTGCTGACTATTTACCCCCCGCCCCACTGTACAAGCAACGAGGACTGCGGCACTCTCGAGTCGGAATACGGCATCACCCACGAGCAATTCCTGGATTGGAATACCGCCGTCTCGGACGACTGTTTCACGAACTTCTGGGGCGGCTACGCATACTGTGTCGGCGTCGGCTCCGGGGACAGTGGCAGCGCCTCCACCACCACGGCCGCAACTGCCACAACGACCAGCAGCCCGGCCACCGAGACGAGCACCACCACGGCTCCCGACCCGAACCAGGCGGGCAACGTCATCTCTACCTGTAACCGGTTTGGGCAGGCGCAGGATGGCGACTGGTGCACAGCCTTTGCCGACCGTTATGGCCTGGCCTATGCCGATTTCTACAGCTGGAACTCAGTCCTGGGCGAGGATGGAAGCAACTGTGGCGGGTCTTTCTGGGGTACTTACTGGTACTGTATTGGCGTGTCCGTATAGTAGCCAGCACCATAGATTAGCTAATTACACCATTCCCAATCACAATAAGAACCCCCCACCCCTACCCTTTGCCCTATACGAGGAGAATCAGCTCAATCGCCAGCACCTCATAACTGTACGATATAAAAGTGTGATATAATAGCGGAGAATTGTCAATATTCTTACCCTCCGAGATGACTGGGTCATCCAAAAAAGGCATTTTCCAGAAGGCGCGTAACCTGAAGATTGTTGGAAGATGAAAGGCTGCGTCCAACTTGGTGAGAACTCTTCCAGTTCACAGCACATGAATGAAGCGGAGCTGTAAAAGCATACCAAGTCCGGAGCGAATCATTAAAGATGCATGACCTTGTCAACCGTTTTATATAACTTCAAGAGTCAGATACTTGTATAGCCGCTGTTGTTAATCATTATATACGTTGTGTTTTTCTATTTCATCCCGACAGACAATTTTGTCGTGACCAATGGGTAGGTCTCTCTCCATGTATTGGTTTTATTTACAAAATGCCAAAGCTTTTTAGCTTGCTCGACTGCACCAACGGGTGTGGTTAGATCTCAATTCTCTCCTGTTCAACGGTCATGTAGATACGCCCGTTTCCATCGGGCCCCTCGAGTTCCCTCTTCAGCTCTTGCGGCATCCTCCACGAGGAGTCAAAGTCGAGAGTGCCGTCAAAGTACCATCGCGGGCATTGTGTGTTCTCCTTGTCGAACTTTTCGCAGTCACCCAGATAGTCACTAGCCCGGCGGTGCGGCTGGCCGGGAGCGAAATACAAGAGCTCCGACGGCGAACTACACGCTCGTACCATACCCCCGAAATTGATCTCCATACTGCGTAGCTTGGGCATGTGATGGAAGGCGGCCCTGGCGAACGACTGCGCCAGAGGCACAAAAGTGTCGGGGTCGGGAGTGCTGCGGAAGTTGGTGGGCGGGACCTCGCCGTCGAGCTTGTCCCACGCGAACTCGGGTTGCCAGTCCGACGTGTCCGAGTCGTCCGAGTCAAAGGGCGCGGGAGACTTCTCGGCCTCGGAGTTCCAGTAGCCGTCCTCGTAGCTGGCATTTTCGGGGTCGCCCGTCATCAGATACCTCCCATCGGGCGTGGTCATGGAGACGTTGATGATAACCTCCTCCAACGACGGGCATTTCAGGTCGGGCAAAGCCGGATGCGCCCCGAACGCGACAGGGGACAAGCTCCAGAGTGTGTCCAGGTCCAGCTTGCGAAGCGTTGGGAGCTGACAAACACGTCGCACGGCTAGGCTCAGACTATCGAGCTCATCGGGGTTCTCCAAAACACTCTCAAGCTCAAACGCCTCATTCATGGGGTCGTTATCCATCAGCCTAAGCACGATCTCGTTTGCTGATGTGAATTTTGCCTGCTGCAGGGCGCGAGCCAAGGCTGACCTGATCTCGCGGCGTTTCGGCATGGCACCGCGCTGAGGTAGACCGGTGCACCAATCTACCCTGGTAGCACGCACGCACGCGTTGGTTACGGCAGCCAGGACGTTGGGGTGCAACTCCCGTGGCTGATCAATGCTGCCAAAGTCGAACATGGTGATACACTTGACCTCTGGGAGAGGCGGGGCATCGGCCTCGAACTGGAGATACTTGTTCAGGTTCCGGACCTGCCAGATACCGCCCTTGAAGTCGTTGTGCGTATTCTTCAGCGTTTGGTTCGCCACCAGCTCGTCGATCTGAGTGTAGGTGTGCGAATCCGCCTTGATTGTCAGGCTGAGACTGCCGCCCTCGCCTCGGGTCTCCCATTTAGCCAGGCGCTCGAAAAAGTCCAAGACAGCGCGTGTGAAGACGGCGTCGTTCGCCGCTGCTTCAGCCTTGCTTTGCAACTTTTTGAGTCGCTTGACGCTCACCTCTGGGAGGACGACCATGAAGTCGATGCTCCTCACAAGTTCGCGTTTGCTGAGCTCCGAGAAGATATGATCAAATTGTGCCAAGCTCTCGCTAGTGCTGAGTACTCGCACGGAATTTTCCGAGATCCAAATGCTACCGCTCATGTTCCAAATTTGGGTCTGGTTGACAAGTACGGAGGTCGCTACCAAAAGTCTTCGGTCGATCCACTCTTTCTTGACAGCCGGCAATGGGCTCACAAAAACGTGAATTTATCACAGTGATCACTAATTGAGTGCACAAACTCAACTGCAAAGACCACAAATACGTGTCTTTCGCGATCGACCTTCCTAATCGGGCAATTAGGTAGCTATAAATGATGCCTGACATGATATTTAAGCTGTATATTGTTCGTCGGCAACTTGATCGTTGCTTTGCTCGTTAGTCGGCAACTTGATCGTTGCTTTGCTCGTTAGTGTAACCTATCTTTTCGTGGCTTTCAATATGGTGAATCATGTTCACCTTGACGAAACCGTCAAATCCGTGGTTATATACCAGAAATCCAAGTTTGGCGGCAGCCTATCAGCCAATCAAATTGCTCAATTACACGGTCGCGACGAACTAGGCAATTCCTTACTCAAGAAATCGACTATTAACGATATATATAAACGGGCCGTAGAACGTGGCTTTGACAACGATGCACTATATTTCCGAATCGGGAAAGAAATGGTTGCCGATGCACCCCGATCGGGAAGGCTAACACTTAACTTATCTAATCAAGTTAAAGCTAAGGTTAGCCTTGATCGATACGCCAGAGAAAAGACTTGTGAATCGATAAATAAGGATTTAAAAGAGCAAGGGATATAATGTTCACCAATGAGCGTTTGGCGATCTTTACGTTCTATGGGCTATAAAAAGACTAAACCTACACGAAAACCGGGGTTGACTAAGTCTATGAGGGAAGCTAGGCTCGAATTCGCTATGTCACACGCCCATTAGACTATAGAAGATTAGAAGAAGGTTATATAGTCTGATGGATCTAGCGTTGTGATTGGTCACCGCCGTGGTGGTTATATGGTATGGCGTATGCCTGAGGAACGATTCTTGAAATCGTGTATACGGGAACGATGGAAAAGGTATAGTGATTTTATGTTTTGGGGTTGCTTTTCATAGTTTACTATTAGCCCTTGCCATTATTGGGAAGGTGAAACAATTGCCCAAAAGAAGCAATACCGTCGTCTTATCGAGGGTGTGTTGGGTAAGGCAGCCGCTCGGTTCGAAGATTTACCTCGGGGCAGGAGTCTGACCTGATGGCTAGGGAATGCTCTGCTTGAAACCCTGATCTTGCATTTATGCATACTGCTTGACGCGGCGAAGCAGTGATCTCCTTTTTATCATCGCTATGGCAGCCCCACTTCTTGCTGGTCTCGTTTCTCGCAGTCTTGAAGAAGTCCAAACGTGGGGACTGGGTGTGTTGAAAGACTATGAGAATAACGTGACATTGCAAATGGCTTACTGACCGTGAAGCTAATCAGATGGAGCAAACACTCGATGTTGTAAAGCACGAAGAGCTGGTTAAACATGTGGCCTTCACAGATCCAAGGCAGTGACTGACACAGGCATCCATTTGTTTAATGCGTGAACTGTTTGCGATGCAGACCGTATCCGTACTCATCGCAATTCTTTCGTGCGAATAAGCCTGATTATTTTGACGTATTCGACGATCCATCATTCGCGTATTGAATATTTGACCTATATTCTCTATTGTGGTGAGTTAAAAGTCTTATGTGTCAGGAAATAGCACTGGCTGAATCCGAACGTAGAGTACGAAAGTTCTTCACTAGCTTGCCGTAAAGTGTATTGAAGTTGATATGCAGTTTTGATTGATTCTGAAAACGCTACATGTTATCTGGTGGTTACTCCAAACTTTAGATCATACAAGTAGTAATCGCTGTACTCCTTACTATTCTTGAAGACTCGGCATCCTCACAAACCATCTACTCTTCTTTTCCCACATCAACAAAGTCCATACACATTGGCCGCCCGAGGATGATCAACTGAAAACCTCATTTTTTTCAGCATTCTCGTGAAGTAGAGTTTTGTGTAACATTTCCACCAGGGGGTAAGACATGAACTACAAGTCAAAAAAGTAAATGAACGATCTCAGAGGCTGACTGGGTTTCTATGGGAATATTCCAGGAGTTTTCGCTATTGACACGTACCCTAGCAACGCCTATAATGTACTGCATTGTATTTACCGAAGTTTAGCATGTGGCTGAGTATACTCCTGATCATTTTCTTCCTCACGAGATCCGACGTTATTGAAACATTCCTTGAAGTAAGTAACCCAGAATCTCGAACTATGACGACTTTAGTATTCACTATCGCATATCCCCCTCAGATGTGCTGAATTTTGGAAGAATCATGAAATTTATCGCCGTCGAGGTTTCATCTCCTCTCTGCCTATTTGAGTTTATCATGAATTTACCAAATGCCTCCTCATGTTCCAAAGATGTACCTAGTCTCGCAACGAAGTTTTATGTTGCGTTCATGGACTTTTCACTCCTCGCGTCTACGCCTAGACGCTTAAGATTCGCTGCAGTCGGGATTCTGAATATAACCTGGATTCCCATACAGCGCAGTGTGGTGCACTAGTGTGTTATGTCAGTTGCTGCGGTGGACCTAAAGTGGTTGTCGTGACAACAAGAGCTGAAAAGGCTCATGAGAGGTACTACTGACTGCTTTGAACAGTCTCGTTTCACCATTGCAATCTTCGTGTTTAATATTGGCACCGAAATTTGGAAATCGCATACAGCCGTTAATATTATCAAAACAAACTCTGATATACAGCAGTGTTACCGGCCTTTGAAATGCATTTTTCACTATGTCACTTCTTCATCGATGGAAACACTGTTCTCCAAGTCGATCGAGCTCATCGGTCAGAAACTTCACATTCTATCCGTCTATTTTCTCATCCTCCTGTAATCGATAACTTCATGGAATTGGCTTCATCACCAAGCGGGACTCAATGTCCTTCCATACGACAGAGACGCTGAACTCAAAGTAAATCTAGGAGGTGCACCACATGTAGTAACCTACAATGCACTAGAAGTACTGATCTACTTTACAGCCTCGTGTAAGTGATTGTGGCTCGGTTATACGAATCCTAGATGCTGGTAACCTGCGCGAGAACCTGCTTGGGCGTTTGTGGTCCCATACAATCAGCCGGCCATAGTACCGGAAGGGGGTTTCCCAGCGGCCTCCACAGTCAGCTAAAGGTCCAAGACGGCTCCTCTGGTGCATTCCTCTAATATTTATGGAAATGACGCCCCCCAAAGTTGAAGTACCGCTTAGGTAGGTAATACCTTCAATACCAGCCTATAGTTGTCAATTTTCGATATGTAGCGGTAGACCTGCAACAAAAATCATGGACTGCTACGGTAATTTTGTAGAGGTGAAGATTACTAAGTCTGACCTGATAGTAGCTTAACCTCATGAACCCCTAATAAGCTTGTGGAACGGGCCACTATTTATAATGAGCTAAGCAGTGTTGTTCAGTCTCGGACTATAACCAGTACCGATATGAGAAGATGGGTTGCTGATGGTGGGCCATTTGAGCACAATACCAAGTGTCATCACCCTTATCTACATGATGACCCTGCTCTTAAAAGTTTTCAGCAAACATTTACACTATGCAGCCCAACGCTCACCGTAATTAGAGGAGGGTCATCCACAATCTAAATATCAGAAATATGTGCTCAGACTTCTTACTACCAGCTTTCCTACCTACCAAGGACATGCTGGATACTGCGTGTTGAGAAGGAGAGAATACTAATCACAAAGGTTTCAGCTACATTAGTTGTGAAGGACACAAAGTTACACAACTAGCGGCATTATTGTGGTCCTTCACCTTCACGCGGCTCAAGTTTTGACACCTTAAGACCTCGTTACTCCTTCACTGTCATACTTTGACAATATGTGCAGTTCGTTCCTGCTTAAGGAGCTCTACGGTATTAATGTGTTTCGGACGCTAGTATTTGCTCTAGGTATCGATGATTTAATGTCTGACACAAGACCTATCGAAAGCCGGGAAACTTTTGCTGAATTACTTTGGTCTTACACCGTGTTACGATTCTTAGCGTGAATTTTTTTTTACTTAGTCTAGCTGAAGCACATTCGTAAGAGACTAAGTTCTTTGCGAAACTGTACAATGTAAAAGATCTCAATGACTGATGGATATTCCTGGATGAATAAGCCAGATGACTATCACGAGGCTCTTTCAATTAACCATTTCATATTGCTTTCAGATCGCCGTTGTTTGTTAAGAAAAGCACATCTCGAGTGCATAAACTATAGCGTAATGTTTTCCATATGACTGGGCTGTATACGCTGATTTCAGCTGTGGCGCTAGTGACCAATGAGACATGCAGTTTTGAGGCGGTAGAAGACACAGAGTTCAATAAATAGAGACATTGCGAAACCAACGAATCAAGCTTATTGTAGTATGGTTCGGAGCCTTGAGCTGATATATTTTGAAAAATTGGAGTTTTCGTATTATAAAACTGAGCTCTTTGAATCTTTCCATCTCCTACTCTCTGTTTTCTTCATAGACTCAACATCTCACTAACCGGTATTATTGTTCATATTTCGATAATCAGAACAGCTCTATCTGACGATGAATTTCTTACGCCTTAATATGCGCACATTCTGCTTCTTCTTCTTCTTCTTCCTCCTCTTCCATCACTCCTTGGGTCACAGAGAATTCGGAAAACACCATACAAGGAAGTACTCACTAGAGAACCCATGCTCTCAACAAGCCCCAGGTTATCCGGTCTCCTATGAACAAGCAAGTCTGTCGACATACCCACAGTATCCTGCTCATACTGAATCATGGACCTCATCTGACGATGTCGAACCGGTTTTGTCTAGTACAACATCGCCTCCTACATCTGAATCAAGTTCAACTTCGGTCCCTTCTATCACTTCCCCCATTACATCTATAAATTTTTCCACATCATCTACGACTTCGACTCCCTCGTCGTCAGACACGGTTTCATCGTCACTCTCAGCTATCACTTCGAGCTCTAGCACATCTAGAGATGCTCTCACGCGTTACGCCATTGTGTCCCCTTCCTCTTGTCCCCCTTCAATACAGCCCACTGGAGCACCGATAGGACAAAGCAGCAGCAATTTCTCTGTTTCGCACAACGGACTACAGTATCAGCAATTTCCCAACACACAGTTCAGTATCCAGAACGACACCAGTGGGCCGTTCTATGTGGACTTATCCACACCCAGCCAGATAGTCATAGAAGATGCAGAGGGCTTCATGCTCATTATTTATGAGAATGGCACCTTTATTGCCTTTGCTGGCACCTGCGAGCTCGAGATCGTAGGACGATGGCAGGTGCCGTCAAATTCCACCGTCAGTGAAAGACGAGACGTCGGGCTGGTGAGAAAACAAGCTGGAAGCGCCCTCTGCAGTGATATACAATTCTTCTGTAGTAATGGGGTAGGGGTATTCATAGCCGGCGCGGCAGGAGGCGCAGCCTGCACCGCGCTCGGAGCTGAGATCGGTGGGACCATCGGAGGGGCCATCGGATTCCTGGGGAACGTCTTGGGACCGGAGGTAGGCCTGCCCACAACCTTGGGCGGCGTGGTCCTTGGCCAGACAATCGGAGCCTTTCTTGCTGGTAGATATGGCCAGATCCTATGTAGTGGTGCTGCGAGTTCCCTTACGTACGAGATGTGCCAGTCCTGTCCACCTCCTTCCGATTGTGGCCCCGGAACCATTTCCTGCAATGGCGGGGCATGCCAGGATACCCTCAGTGATCCCAACAATTGCGGCGCATGTGGCAACGTGGTAAGTGCCTTCCGAGCTGATTCACCGGTTGCCCTACCCTGAAATGTACGCCTCTTGACTTGTCTCTAGTGTCCATCAGGAAGATGTCGAAACGGACAATGCTCTGCCCCAGTTTGCAACGGGTCGACTTGCGGCAGCCTGGAAAGCTGCGGGTCAGAGTGCTTCTGCTTCACGACCGCGGGAAACACGGGGTTCTGCGGTCCTAACGTGTCCTGCGCACCTCTGGCCGACTGCAGCTCCGACTTTGACTGTGCCCAGGGGGAGGTGTGCGCGATAGGCACTTGCTGTGAGAGAAACGTATGCTTGTCATATTGTGGGGTTGTTTCCACACGCAGGGATACATCGGTTGCGGCTAACGTCACCGAACTCTATACGGGCGGCCTGGGAGGTATCACTGGTAGAGATGTTCTCGACTCTTTCTAGGTTCCGCCTGACAGCGGCCTACCAGCACCTCTTTCAATTGTCGTCTATATAACGACTTATAACTTCAAGGTCTAGTCAGTGTTCACAAGGTTTTTATGAAGCGGGCGATATTTGAGCTACCTGTGCATTTCGCTTTACCACGTGAGCTCCGAACTGTTCATATATTTGGACGTTCATACCTCCGTTCGATTCTCAAAGTTGAAGGTTACGTAGTTAAAAGAAGAATTTAAACGCTAGCGTCAGTGCTAATAGTAGCGTGGAACAGATCTGACTAACTTGGTCCAGTTAGCTTAAAACAAGCTTAAATCTAGTCTAGACTAGACAAGACTAAACTAGACTAAACTAAATTCTATTCCAATAATCTAGTTATCTTGTCTCAGATCAACAATACTCACTCCTTCACACTCATTACCCCCCCCTGAGCGATTCATTTCAAGTCACTCTTTGCTCATTGTCTCTCGCTATTTTTAGATCTTACTCACTGATGCATTATCATGTCTCAATAGTCGCCGTGCTTAGCGCACTGGTCCGCCTCGCCTCAGCAGAGTGTTGCACCGTCGACGATCCCATCGGCCCATTCCGAACATGCTCCCCCGTCGTCGCTGCTGCTGATACCCCTTTTTTGGTCAAGGCAATCAACTACACTCGCTATCACGATGATCTAGGCGGCGGCACCTTTGATCCCGACGAGAGATGGGACAGCGTCGCCGTGTGGTTGGCGCGCCAGTCCAATCGCGTGTGCCCCGAAGACGAGACCTTTTGCGTCGTGAGCGGTCCAGTCTGCAAACTAATCGACTGCTTCCCTCTCTCCCAGGATGCCAGCCGCGCGACAAACAATGACGGTACTCTGATCAGCGACTTCGTCGTCAGCATTCCTGGCGGCGCGGGTCCAAATGGGGCCTACTATGATCTTGCGAGCTCACTGTTTGACCGACACGACGGATCCAAGGATTTCACCAAAAGCGTGTGGCGCACCATCCCGTATGCAAGCAATGCATCAAGTCTGGAATATGACAACAACTGGCGCGGATTCAACATGACAGGGACGGAGAACCTGAATGGCACCAATAATGACGGCTTCTATCCATTCGAAGTGGCTGATTCTCACTCCTGGCCAAGTTTCGACCTACTTGAGGTGCCTTGCAGCGCGTATGCCTGCGCTAGACGTTGTGTCCATGAGGCTTGGTCGGGAACGTCTGTAGATGTTCACACTGCCAAGGCCTGCATTGACAATTGCGAAGGTGTCGACGACGTCGTAAATTATTGTCCTGACGTCGGAGGCGAGCCACTAACGATTGACCCTAAGGTGCTGGGATTGAGTTCGGAAAAAGCTTTAGAAGCTTATTTGCCCGACGGCTGTGTAATGTACGAAGGCGCTGCTTTCCCAGAGGCCCATGCTAGTTATGTTGCATCGACGGCCAGCGCTTCGAGTGCCGCTGCTGCGAGAACCTCAACAAGCACGACTGCGCATGCCACGGCCAGTAGCGGGGCAATAAGCGGTAGAAGGGAGGCTGCAAAGGTTGGCGCGGTCTTGGCTGTCATGCCTATCGTGGTGAAAGTGATTATCGCTGTATAATACTGGCTCACTAATACATGTACTTTACCCCTTCATGCTAATATCTCTGTCTTTGGTATCAGGCAGGACTGCTAGAAGATTGCGTTCGACAAATTGCCCCATCATTATATGTGTGTTAACTAATCCAACTAAATTCGCCGCTTGCAATGTCTCCCGAACGAACTGGTTGATATCGGGTTTCGTTTTGCCGGTCTACCCTATGGTTGACGCTCATATTCTAGAAAACATACCCCCTGTGGAATGGCTTCTCCATTCATTTCTTTCCGTACAGTTTGGGCGACAAATAGATCTATTCAGCGCTATCGTACGAAGGAGAAGAAGGGATTCTTCCCCTCGTACGTGGTCTATAGATAGGGTTTTGGGGTTCACCCGCACGGCTGCTGGCTGCCGACAGCCACGTCGTGGCTGTGGTGGCTTACTGCCAGCACGCCGGTGACTACCTATACTACGTAGTCAACCGTCGTACGAGACCGCGAATAGTATATTCCAACACTAGCTATCTTTTCTTTCGCGGTTCGTACGTTCGTAAACAACTGACAATAATTCCTTCGGTAGTGTGTTTCCCGTAGGGTCGTCCTCTTATCTGTCCTCCGGGCTGTCCTTATCTATCCTCTGGGCCGTCCTCTTGTCTATCTTCCTAGCCGGGTAATGGTGTACGAGTCGGTGCCGGAGTTGCGGCATTCGTACGGGGACCGGGAGTTATAGTACTCGCACAGGGATCGAGAGTTGTAGTACTCGTACGGGGTGATGGTTAAGGTGTTCTGACAGCCTCCTTGTTGTCTAATGGGTAGACGAGCTTTTCGTTTTGGGTGAGACCGCTCGGGAAGTGATACCCTTTTCGTTCGAGTGTCTTAAGCATCGCACGTTTGAATGGTCGTGATGTATACTCGAACTGGTACGTAGTCCATCCCTCGAAGTCTTCCTGGTATGCTCGTACGAGTGATCGGAGCGTTGAGATGCCTTGATATTCGGTAACGAGCTGACCGACATACGTATTCATATGTACTCGGTCGAGGGGTTGTTCGATATCGACCGTACGATCCCAGAATTCGAATGCTGTGCCGGCTCGCCAAGCGTGGACGGAGATATCGCTCCCCTCCGCCATCTCCTCGTGCGAGAGGATATTTTGTTGTCGTGGTACGGTACCGGAGTTGTCGTGAGTAATGGCACGCATGCATAACTCTTTGTTCGTACGGACGGGAGAGGACATCTTGCAGACATAAGCACCTCCGTACGAAGAAGAATCTGTATACGTCTTCTACTCTTGTCGTAGTCCGAGGTTATCGCCCGTGTCGCGCGCACCGGTAGCTACGCGTTCTGCGGGAGATAATGAACCTATTGTCGATGCGTAATGGCACGCACGTGTAGCTCTTTGTTCGTGCGGAAGGGAGAGGACTTCTTGCAGACATTAACACCTTCGCACTAGGAAGAATCTCTACACGTCTTCTACTTGTTCGTTATTCGTGCGGAAGGGAGAGGACATCTTGCAGACATTAACACCTTCAGCACGAAGAAGTCGGGAGTAGGATTAAGCACGACGTTTCGCTACGTACTACCGTACGTACTCAGATAACGCCGTCTCTTCATTCTTGCCAATCTGCGTTCACAGCCAAGTGAACACTGATCAGTGTGGAATGGCTTCTCCATTCATTTCTTTCCGTACAGTTTGGGCGACAAATAGATCTATTCAGCGCTATCGTACGAAAGGAAGAAGGGATTCTTCCCATCGTACGCGATCTACAGATAGGGGTTTGGCCTATACGGCTACAAGCTGCCGACAGCCACGGTGTGGCTGTAGTGGCTTGCCGTCAGTACGCCGGTAACTAGCTAGACTATATGGTCGTGCGAGACCGCGGATAACCATATTCCAACACCCCCAAATATAGTGAACTACCTCAATTAACGTTTCGTGCGCCTGAATATCACGGAATTCTGTTGTAACTATTACTTGGTGGCTTGGCCCTCATTCGAATTATGGCCACTGATACGGTTTTTGCATCTCCCGGGTGCAGTTGCTTGACGCTTGGATAAACTTCACTCAGAATATTCTGTCAGCGTTCTTATATTGCTTACAGTACATTAGAAAAGAAAATACTAGTTAGTCTCTAATGTATTTAGTCACCTCAACCTGTTTTTCTTCGCTGATTTGATCCTGGACATGTGCGTTGCGAAGCGCATAGTTCATTATGACGTTGCTATCTTTAGGCTCGACGTCACCAGCACGATATTTGAGCTCCAAGAGAAACCGTCCTAATTTTCTTGGACCTGTGACATGATGAAGCTAGTCATGTACTTAGAGAGCAAATATAATCTCACTTGAACATTCAGCCCGTAAGTACAAGCAGTACCATACGACTCCAAGCTAGAGTAGGCTCCATGCCAAAGTGTTGTGTGAAAATATAACGCTGAAGACAGCGGCGTATAAATTTACCGCCATGAGCACTTCTGATAGCTTGGTGACGATGTTTATTCGTAAGATGGATAGGAACTATTTTCGTCGGAGTAAGCTTTAGAGAGAAGTGCCTAGGATATCTATAAGCTTCCCGCCCGTGCGGTTGAAAACGTTATAGCAACACCCGTAAGATTTGATGCTCATCGACTGAGACTATCTGGTAGTAACTGAATTTTCATGGGCGGCCGTATACAATTTGTGGCAGACTCAACTAAGTTGTATCTTACAACACCGCAGTAATGATTGTGACGGACGCTGTACCATATGATCAAACTTGACCTGGTATGGCGCCGAGATAACGATTAACAACGTCACAAATTCGAAAAGGGGGGTTCTTTTTTCTCCTACCACTAGTTTATCTAGATTCAACTGCTTCGGAGTCGTATTTGCAGGCCTCGGTTACCTATAAGAAATGGCGGTCGCTCGACGTAATGCTCATATACTGCAGAGAAGCCTTTTCCGAGGGTGTGGCCATTAATGATATGCACCTTGCGTACGTGCTTGGGACGTCGTATACTAGAGGTTGAATAATTATAGTCTATACTGGTCTTATCCTATAGTTGTTACTTGACAGAGTCAGTGATCTAGTACGAGTCACGATAAGGCCAATATCTCATGCCCGCCCCCAGACAAGCCCTACTGTCTGGGCAGCCATCACTTATCACGGGACGGTCAAAAGCATTTCGCCATCTGTCTACTTGTTGGAAATTGACGTGATAATCGATGTGTATTTGCAAGACGAGCATTCAAGCAGCATTCATTTGACAGTGCGATAGCGGCATTGCACTTCAGTACGCATTGCTTTCAGATCGCCGATCCCTTATTAGTCACAGAAGCCATTGCAGCGTTTGAATGGAATATCCATTCACCAAAGAGTAGGACACTTGGACGAATGTGTCATGCCCATACCCACTTCATCATCTTCTCTCCTTCAACAAGGCAGTTTTGATGATCTCGACGATCTCTTGATTTCCGACTGTTCTTGCAAAATCCAACACTGATGGGTAACGTGGATTGTCCCGAAGTCTCTGATGTAAATTCGCACCATTACTTACGAGCCATCGTACCGCGTCGACATGGAAGTTCTCGATAGCTTCAAAGATGGGTGTCCAAGCGTCCCAGGTCTTGGCATTGACGTCGCTGCCAGCATCGCGCAAACATTCCAGGGTAGGAACAGAACCGCTGCGTGCAGCACGGTAAAGAGGCGTTGACCTGGAGTTACTTTGAGCTGATGGAGATGCCCCAGCGCTCAACAACAGCTTCACCACCTCAAGGTTGCCATAGGCAGCAGCAAGATGGAGGGCAGTCTGCCCATGGAACGCGGGGATTTCAAGATCTGGATTTGTTCCAAGCACTGTAGCCACCCCTGTTTCACTACCTTTGATCACTGCTAGGTGCAGAGGCGTGTAGCCTTCCTGGAGCAGGATTTTCGCACTGCCCCCGTTGTTTAGAATATCTTTGAACAGGTAAACCATGTTATATTCGACTGCATAGTGAAGCGGCTCAATTCGCTCGTCGTTAGACTCATGGTCGAATGCATTGTCATGGAAGACCTGCTGCCACGATAGAAAATGATTGCCGTGGCGACCAGGGACAATGAACCATTTGATCCTACCAGAAATAGCTTCAAAGCTCGTTTTACCCACAATGTGGGTGAGCCAGTTATTCGCAGCGAAGTTTAGAAATTTATAAGATGAACGTCTATCTCCTAATTCCTGGAGAGATCGACAGGGCTGCTCAAAGTCAGCGAAGGACAAGTACTGTGCACATATGGCAGCAATGCTGTTCAAGAACAATGCTGGGACATGAAACACAGAGAGGCTGTCGTGAATTCGCAGCCCGTCAGACTCTAAATACTCGTACAAACTGAAGTGAACCAGACTGATTACCGGGTCTTGCTGAGCCGGGTCAAGAACTATTAGACTTCCGAGGATTTTCAACAGATCTCTGTCATCACTCATGATTTTGTCGAGATCCCTGCGAGTGTCGGTTGGCTCGATTGATATGGCTTCCACCAGTTGACTCAGCTTCATTGGAGCTCTGCTAGACACTATCCACTTCAAAGCAGTGGCTAGAAGCTCGATGTTTGATTTATGACGCTGCTTTGCTTGTTTCAAAAGTTGCTCATACGTCGCTTCGAGGCCGTCCGGTAGTTTGTAAAGGGCCTCGCGAATCGCTTTGTCGTTTGTCAACTCTGAAATAATGTTCAATTGGAAGGATACCCAGATAAACCTGCCCGCGGTCAGCAGCCTACATTGAAATTTATAGAAATCCAGAGGAAAAGACCATACATGCCATCAGCGCGTGATGTCAATGTCTTGACGATGAGTGCTCGGAGATCAGATGATCTGACTTTCAATGTGCGTGCCTTTACTCGTGATTCTACTTCATCGGTGACAAAAGCATGGATATCGCGATCAATCTTTTGCTCCAGGGGTATGCGATGCTTTGCCAAAGGTCCTATAGTATTTTCCAGAACGGGCTCATATCTGCTCGTCGTAAGTATGCGGATGGTTGCTTGCGACTTCGATAGCTGTCTGAGGCAGTCAGCAAAGTCCCTGATGCCTTTGCATTCATCCAATGCGTCGATAACAATACTAATATGGGATAGCGTTCGAGCTAGTTTGATGAAGAGTTCAACATATTCATCGACTTTGAGTGCCGTCCTTGTCCTTGAGTCGGGCCCACGGAATGCATCCATCGCTATGGGCTCGAGTATTGGATGCTGATAAAGCAGCTGGACTACAGCTGTAGACACAAAATTGATGAGCGCTTGCTTATCGAAGTCCCGGTGGTCGCAAAAGAAATACACCACACCGACCGCCCCGTCAACCTCTGTTCGAAGCTTGTTAACGATGAAGGAGCTGGAAGCACTGTTGTCAACTTCGGTATCAAAGTCATGCGCAGCTGGAATTACACTCACGCCAGAACTGTCTTTCCGCTACCAGCTGCAAGTAGTCAGTATGGAATCAGAGCAGACATGGGATAGAAACTGACGAATGCCTTGGATCCACAAGATGGACGATGATTGACTAGACCAGGAGTGGTATTCAACAGAGTCCAACAGCCACTGGCCCGTTCCTGGGTGATGATGCTTGAGGCCTTCTATGAGGTTCTCATCAACGTCGATGGATTTCGGATTCAGCCACTTGAACAGAGCCTTTCGATCTGTCATCGCGTCATGCAGAGCCGACTCCCGTCGAAATTCCGTAATAACAGACGCAGTGCCATCTGTGATTGCGTGGATATCCCGCACAGTGTAGCTACAATTTTACGCTGACTTAGCACTTATATGATCCTCTCCAAGGGCCTGCGGAGAACTGACGCGATGTCCACGGTAATAGATGCTGCGAGACTCCCTCGGATACGGGCGAGTCTTGCGATAGTTTCTTTCGTTTCCTTCTCTTTGAAAGGCCAAACCATACGACGACCAAAGTTGCGAACACTTTGCCCCGCAATCTGACGGCACTGGCTAATCGATGCGTTGAGCCCGGCCAGAGATTCCCTGCAGTCTTCGATTAGTCCAGCTTGTGCCAAGTCCTGGAGCCGTGACTTTTTCAGTTCAAAGGGCATCCCGTCATCTAAAAGATCTTGAAGCTGTCCCAGCACGGCGCCCAAGGCTGCAACCTCCGCAAGCAGCTCTTTCAGCTCTTGCGGTGCTTTAATGACGCTGGCGATGAAGGCATAGCCTTCTGCCAGAATTGTTCCACTCAAAGATACGAGGCCAGCAACGGCCGATGCCGTGCCCAGGAAGTCCGCCATGATAATGTGGTAAAGCGGATCGCGTCTGATTTTATCCTACGTTCGATTCATGAATCCTTCTGACATAACGGAGCTGCTTAGATTCGTTCATTGGTTGATAGACTGAGTGCATGCGGGGTTCACCGCACGCGACGCTGAGGTGAGTAGTGAAACGGTCTATCCTACTCGTTTGTACTATTAAATAACACGAGTTGATACATTATAATAAACCCAGGGTTTATATTTCAATCAATTCCATAAAAGGTTATGGTTCCATTATATTGAGAGTTGTAATTTTAGGTTACAACACAAGTAATACAGAAACAGATTTGGCAAATAAGTATTACATAATTCAGGTCAAGTTTCAAGCTAGACGCATACAATCTTTTTCTTTATCGAGATGCACAAGCCTATCTAGGTCCTAATTTCGATCAGCACCATTGGAAGCATTCTTTTTTGTGCGGCGTATACCAAGTAACCACAGATATATTGTTTTCCCTCTCCGTGGCTCTCGACCGTGTTATAGTGGACAACTAAAAATAGTATTAGACAAGCAAGTCAGTCTGCTACTCAGCTAGCAACCTATCAGCAGGTCAGATGATAACTTGTAAGATTTGAGGGGCAAAATGCATGTGTATAAATTACCACAGAAGCACTCCCGGGTTCATGGTAGATGCAAAGTTGGGGTAAAGAATCATTTAAAGAACGACGCCCTATTTCTCCCGCTCAACCCCCCCCCCCCCTTTTTTTTTTGAACGATGTTTCCACTAGGCTTGGCTCATTCTCGTCCACTTTCACCCGCAGCTGTGTATACAAGCTATCAGCATGGGCAAAGTGGCAAGATGCCGAGATTCGTCCAATTACCCGGCCTCGGTCTGGCTCGTTGCTGTCAAGGGCTTTCAAACAAATCGTGACCCGTACAGTGCAGGACTACCAAGGCTTTGAAGCTGCCACAAGGAGATAAACTGCCTCGAGTGCGGAACAGAACTGGTGTGCACCGGCAGCTCGGCTCTGCATATCACTCAGGCCGTGTCAAGAGATTGCACGACCCAGCTCCAGGGCGAATTCACTTGGACTTTCATATAAGCGGTGCTGTCACTACACTGGAGTTCGGACCTGTATTTACAACCCTGTTCTTCCTACTTCTTGCCCACAAGCAAGCAGAAAAGACGCTATCATTGGTTTTGTCTTGAGCTCAGCACAGAAGTTGAAGGACAAGAAAACTGTTGTGAGCTTAATACCTACACAGGCCTATTCGCAGCCAGGCTTTTGCCCAAAATGGCAGAATCCGTTTCCATCATCGGCGCCATCAGCGCGCTGGGCGGCATTATCGGCACGGCCGTGCAGGCGGCGAAGAGCCTGATCGGCTTGATCGAGCAACGGGAGGACTCAGACGTGATACTACTCGAAGCTATGCACGTAGCTGACGATGTTAAAAGACGCGCGCAAGGGGCTCCGAGCGTAGCTCGGAAGCCTGGAGCCGGGCAAGGGCACCGGCGAAGTCTCAATGTTCGGATTGAGGCAGGGTCTGGAGTAGCAGGACCAACCCGGACAAGAAACGATGCTTTCTCTAAAAGATTCGCCGGTAAAAGACAATGGAGATTTGCTTCTCCGTGAGGCTATAGTACTGCCACACTGGCTCATTGGAGCGGGCTCTACAGAGCACGTGCAGGGGTGGGCAAGGTCATCTGAGATGAAATAGAAAAATGCGTACTTGGCGATCGCCTGACTTGCACGGCCAAAAAAAAAAGTTAGAAAAAAAAAGTTAAGCAAGTGATTCTCCCGAGTTTGACGCCGTTTACGAGACAACGTGGAAACAAAGTCAACCGATTTGTCTCGTATGACATTGGGGGGTATCAATTCTATGGTGTCTCGCCACAAATACAGCTTAAAAGAACCCTTCTTCCACTTGGCTCAATAACATACAGCTAAGATCCCACACGCGCTTCCCCTTCTCCTGCTACTACATTATGACCATTTTCGTATTATATGCTGCTCTTCAACTTGATGTACAGAGTACGGAGCGCACAAGCGATACAATGTTCAGATTTACCACTCCGTGCCGTACAGTCTCCCAATTTGAAGCGTTCACTTCCCAGCTCCAGGTTTCCTGTTCATAAGATTACCGAAGAACTGAGCCAATCTCTCCGTATCCACGGGTTTGTTCACACCCGATTCCTCTTCGGCGTCGGCTGGCGGTTCCGGCGTCTGACTGTATGCTTGACGGTCCTAATATAGCTGTTAGTATGGATGTAGTAAGAATAATAACCTAGGACAGTCTTCACGTACCTTAAGTCGTTGTACCATATCATCGGCGTCTACCTGAATGCCGCCCATGTTGAACTGAACAGGACCGATGTGCTCGCTGATGACTTCATCTGCGCCCTGAGTATCCTGCACAAACTGCTTGCCTTGTTCTTCGTCGACCTTCTTCTCCGTGTCGATGCGTGGTACCAGTGTTGCTAAGAAGTCTTGCGCACTCGCTGCCTCCACCTCGAGTCTTGTCGTATCCTGCTTCTGCTGGGCTAGGTGCAATGCGTCAAGACTGGAGTCTTGCACTTGGGACTCGTAGAGAGCGACTGCTGAACCTTCCGGGTCCTGAAGAATGCTTTCCGTGTGGCCATTTGTAGACGCGGCGCTATCAAGTACCTCCTCCTCAGCGCCATTCGTCTCAACAGGCTTAGGTGGCAAAATGAAGGGCTGGTCAATATCGATACTCCAGCCATTGCTGACCGCATCTACATCAAAGCCGTCGCGGAGAACCATGATCTTGCTGGTAGAATCCCAGTTCGGGGGCACGACGATCTTGTCCCTGTCGATGACATTGTGCTTTAGAGGCGCGCGCTTCAGTAGCGAGTGAACGCCTAAGCTTGCATGAATTAGGCTTTGTAGCGGCGTGTCCTTGGCTGGACTCGTGTATATCAGAGAAGCACCATCTAAGCAAGGGTCAGCCGAGTCATGTGCATAGGGGGCGGGTTTTGACTTGCGCTTCAGGAGAGTGGTGCGAAGGTACTGCAGGACCAAATCGAATTGCTCCTCCTTCCAGCTTTGGCTCTTCTCCAAGTAATCCATCCTCTCCGCCTGTGTCGAGTATTAGCAACCAGCACCGGTGGCGTCGAGAGGTATCACGTACGTTCTGGCAGACCACGCAGACGGGCAGGCCCAATGGCTCGTCCCATTCGCCTTGTCCGACAGGTAAAGGCATGTCGCCTTCTGATGTTACCGCAGCCGTGCCGTCCAAGTTCAGGGCGCTTCCTCCCCGGCCCCTGTCCTTCCATGCGTTCAAGTTCTCTTCCAGAACATCTTTGCACTCCAAGCTCAGGGAGCTTATGACAGTCCTCATGAGCAGAATCCAGTCTCGCAGTTGGCGCATCCATGCCCAGGGTTGTGACCAGTCGAGGAGTATTACTATCAGTGTGTTGGGGATGGATTGCCGTGTGAGAAGGGGCTTCAGCAGAGATGTGAAGGCGGGAGAGGGTGTCGAGAGGAGATACATGGACACACGTGCTAGGATATCTGCAGAGAATCAGTACGTAGTCTGTCCAGCACTTTCTCCGCCCGAGAGACGATACCTTCTTGGTCTGCGTCAAGCACATCGTAGTACGTGTATCCGAGGGCGTAGCTGTTCGCTATGGGTGGGATCTTATCCTTGGATCGGTCCAGGTTGCGCCGTTGCTCGTTGCTTGACAGTGCCTCGAGGAACTCTCGCTGTGATTCTACCGAGCCTCCTGTTATGCACAATCAGCGTTTGGGGCAGCGGGCCAGCAAGAGGACTGCAATTGCATACCCAGCACCAGCATGTTCTTCTCCGGCAACCTCTTGGCGCTGGCTACGTTGTCGAGCATGGAGCTCCACATGTCCTTCTTCTTCTCTTCATCTTCGGGCCCGGTGGACGTGGACGTGTATGTCGAGAAACGGTTCGTATTTGCCGTCATGATTGGTTGTTGGTTGCTGGCAGCATCGCCAGCGTTTGGTGTGTGGGTTCACCAGGTTGAAGCTTCGAGCAATCCGAGGTTGTGCGACTCGTGGGCGTGGAAGCGCGTCAGGCAGAGAAAAGGTACCGAATTTGGTCTATTTAGTACGCGTTGGGGATCTAACTTAGAAGCTTTACCGGTAAGTTAGAATCTTGCCGGCTTCCTGTGAATGCAACTCCAGAACTTCGGGTTTTCAAAAGATTGGGCCAGGCCGCTGCTGATGGTAACAGAGGCCGTGGGACTGAACGGGAAATTAGAGCTGCTGTAGTCTATTGTATGTTTCGTTTTCAAGAAGTGCAATCCATTATTTCGTCTCATCAAATGCCCCCAGATTCAAACGGAGATCACCATGGATCTATCTAACCGTGGACTAATAAGACCCTCTAAGCGTAGTTAGGGAGAGCCCCTTGAATAGCTTTGCTGCAAATGAGCTGTCTTCTGAACTGCTGAACTTCCGCACCACATGCAGCTACGGCGGCGGCGCCCAAATTACAGGGGCTACCAAAGCTGCTATGCTGCTGTGGTACAGGTACAAAGCAGAAAGAGGTCCGAGATTCCCCCAGTGAATATTTTTGGCGGGGTCGCTCGGCTCACAGCCATGACCCTCCACCCATAACCCTTGTCCGCTGGACTTCCAGAGGGCCATGCCGCTAAACGTCACTGTACCTTCAGCCTCGCATCCGCTGAATTTCTTCTGCAGGTTGCATTCAAACTTCAGCCTTCCACATTTTTGAGACATCTGTGACATCAACACGCAGTCATTCCCTTGCTCGAATTTCTCGGTCTCGAGGCACCAGCAGGAACGAACATCCTCCGTCGCACACATTCCTCACCCAACCGACTTACACCCCAACTGCAAGCTACACCACCCCGGACCAGCAGAGAAGCCTCCCCTCACGCGCTCAGCAGCGACAGCGCGCTGCCGCACCATACACCATGAACCAGATCCGGCAGATCCAGACCCTCAACAAGCGCGAGCTCGAGGCCGGCATCTACGACCCGGCGGCCTCCTGGCACGCTGACTACCGGGACACGGCCTTTGTCAACTTTGGCGGGCTGCCCTACAACCTCACCGAGGGCGACATCCTCGCCATTTTCAGCCAGTACGGCGAGCCGGTATGGCTGAAGCTGGCGCGCGACAAGGAGACGGGCAAGAGCAAAGGTTTCGGCTGGCTCAAGTACGAGGACCAGCGGAGCTGCGATCTCGCCGTCGACAACCTGGGGGGCGCCGAGATTGCGGGGAGGCTCGTCAGGGTCGACCATGCTAGGTATAAGGCCAGGGATGATGAGGATGACAGTGAGTTCAGGGTCGGCTGGGACGACCTGCGGAAGAAGGAACGCAGGGATAAGGGCGAGAAGAGCGAAAGCGAGACGGAAGAGGAGGAGGAACAGGTGGTCAGGAGACCTATGATCAAGGAGGAGAGAGAGTTGCAGAAATTGATTGCTGAACACGACGAGGACGATCCCATGAAGGCCTTCTTGATCGAGGAGAAGAGGAGGGAAGTCGACGAGGGACTGAGGAGAGAGGAGAAGAAGGACAAGAAGCATAAGCACAAACACCATCACAGAAGTCATCGTTCGCGCAGGGATGAGGAAGATGGGCACGATGACCGCGGCAAGAAGAGGTCACGTCGCGATGAGACGCCCGTGGCCCACGAGCGCCGAAGGGGCGCGACACCAGATGCCAGAGAGCGCGACGGGCACCAAAAGCGCGACCGCAGGCATCGTGACGATGATCACAACGGTGAACGACAAAGAGACCGGCGGCGGCACCATGATGATGAGGATCATGAGCGCGAAAGACGTCGAGACAAGGATCGGAGACGAGAAGGCGAGGGCAGTGCTGACCACGAAAGTCGCCGGGATCGTCGCCGGGAACGAGATGGTGACAATGATAGAGACCGCAGAAGTTATCGGAGAAGTAGATCGCCGCGCCAGCGTGGTGACAGGTGATCATGTGCGGAGAATCGATTTAGTATTGATCTATGAATATACCCCATGCCATTAGCCATCCAAACTCCGAAACCATGTCGCTGTGTATATGTACCTGTTGTTTCGCTCTGTCCATGCCGACCCCTGAGCTAGGCCATTTCAAATTCACCATCCAAAAGCAATGCCTCAGTGCAGTGTTATATACGGCCTGTGACCTGATCCGGGGCGCGCAAGATCTTCCCGAGCTTTGCTTGCTGTCGTCACCCACTGGTGACTACGTTGAATGCGCCTGATCCGAGACGCTCCCATCAAGCTTGACCTCGATAATTCCATAGTATTTCGCACCAAGTCCATGAGCATTCAATGCTGTTCCAGATCATCAGACTTGGAAGTTCATTGCCGACTGAGATATCGTTTCCACCCTCCTCTGACCAGGATCCGCGTACCATTTTCGCCGGCGGTCAGGACAAATCGTTCCCACCGTGCATCCGTCCCAGCACCCACAATGATCAGACAGTTCTCCTCAGTCCATCCAATGACTCCTTTTATGGGCCGTGTGGTCCCAAGGACGGCCATGCTGTCGTTCAATCCCGCCTCATCGCCAAGTTCGAACTTGGCAGTCGCGAAGGAGTAAGTGTCCTGGAAGGGCCCAAACGGGATATTGGAGAGGATGCCCCATCGATTCGTGCTGGGATTATTCGCACTTTCCATCGCGCTTGCTGCCTGGGAAGCCGGATTGACGTCAAATACGTGTAGACTGCCTTTGGCACTGGTGCAAGCCAGAATGCGACCGCTAGGACTGAATCGTAACGAATAGATCTGTGCTGACTCACTTCCTCTCCTTCTTTCGGCAATCTTGGCACAGCTCGATGTCGAGAATACCCTGATGATTGTCCCTTTCTCGCTGGCAGTCGCGAGGAGCTCTCCGTTCGTCGATAGCTGCAGTGCTTGCAGCCGCGATGTGTGGGCCGGAATGATACTGACGTTCTCTGTTGCTAATTCAACTACTTGCACCTGCCCTGGGGTGCGACCGGGAAAGACAAGCCACTTGTCCGTAAGGCAGCAAAGACCCGAAAGATTGTCGGCAGTCTCATACATAGCCAGCGACTTTGGCTGCTTTGCAAACTCATACAGGCGGACGCTGTTCTGAAGCACTACAGCGACGTGTTTTCTCGTCAGCTGCACGCCACGGATTGGAGTAAGCGTGGTGATCTCCAGTGCGACCTTGCCCTTGACCTCATCCCAGACCATGACCTTGTTGGTCGGGTACTTCGGAGAGCGACCACCGCCGACCAAGGCAATAAAATTGGTGCTACCCATCATCTGCACGAGAGCAAGACCCCCGTTGAAATCCCGGGCCATGTTGAGGGTGCAGGTTGATGTGTGAAATATGCAGAGGCCCGTATTGAGCCCCACGCTGAAACGGCTTGCATCGTCGTTAAACGCCACGGACAAGACCGTCGGCTCATTGGGTGCCTCAATGGGCGGTCTGGTGTTCATCTCTGATGTGGTTGCTGAGCTTGGATGGTGTCCTATATCATATTGCCTGTCCGGCGAACTGGCTGCGACCACAGAGCAGGATACAACGTCCAGATGGTGATACCTAGCAGCTATATATAATAAGAACAAAGGTTGTCTGGACTAGACAATGAGATGTGCAGGTTTGCTGGAGCCTTGTGATGGAGATGCTATATTGGTGAGTAGGCGGCCTTCGGAAGCTTCAGGCAAGCGCTAGCAAGACACAAACGGTACAGTATGGAATCAGATGGGATAGTTCCCTTGGAGTGAAGTGAAGAAAGAATAAAGATAACATGAAAAAAAAGAAGCTGTCATATCAAAGCATTATGAGACATTACCCGAAGCGAAGGACACACTTTAATGGGCGAATGTTGCTCAATGCAGGTGAGCGATGCTGCTAAAGTTAGAGATACATTGGTTAGTTCGGTCATCTGGCCGTCAAGCGTGAGCTGGAATATGCAGCAACGAGGGCACGGACCAGCCCAGCAGTCGGTGATGAGCAAGAACACTTTGAGGTTAACATAGTATTTTGGCACTCCGTGACCAGGAAAGCATACTGCATCGTTGTAAAAGTAGAACATATGATATTAAAGACAGTATTAAACGATACGTACTCAATGGTATGAGATGATAGCATCCTCGTACAAGTGGCTGAAGGTATTCTCGCGTAATGGCTACTCAACCCAGCTTTGGTTGATACATAAGCAGGACGATCATACCATTATCTCAATTTGCTGAGAGCTACTATATGGTACGGACCACAAGCTTGAGCTTGAGCTTGAGCTCCGGCAGGGGTTCCGTAGCCAACACCATCATGACGGGACACACGTCTTTTGAAGGCAGTAAAGACGGACCTGGTCAATCAGGTTGATCCGTGAAGGCAGATAGATGGGTAGGTGTTGATGCATACATTCATCCAGACTATCTGAGACATGCAACCTGCCAGACTGCCATCTGCCGAAAAGGCAACTCAGTTCTGCGACCACCTTACTAACATGACTACGTGTGTTAGGTAAGTACAGTACAGTACAGTACAGCACAGAACAGTATGTACGGATAGGATGTTGTTGGACGGGGCTAATCCGTACTGGCCGTAGACTAGTTAATCTTGGTGCCAAGTTCCAAGCCAATGCGTGCGGCATGTTGTTGTGCTACCCCTGAAATTGGCCAGTTTGGTGGTTTGTGGAGAAGATGAAATGGCAGGAAGCATGGACATGGTCCCGACCCGTGCTCCCCTAGTAAGCAAGCAGCAACATGTACTTGGAGCTAATAATCAACGGGCCCCAGTGGACCAATTGGACCCTGCGCCTGTCCACCTTCAGAGAGACGCTTGCCTCTGCTCCCCTGTCGAGAAAGCACCTGCAGCACATTCAGTACACACATTTCAGCAATTGTGGTTTGGATGGCAGCAGCTGGCCAGCACAGTGGTAGTAGTAGCAGCACCACCAGCAGCGGCAGCAGCAAGCAGCAACGTCGACCGTCTCTGTTAGCAGTGTGCCCAAGCCTAGACAGCCTCCAGTCCAAAGGGCCAAAAGGCCAGAAAGACTCCCCCCCTCGAATCCCCGACCGTTGTCTCTCCCTGTCCTGTCCCAATTCCCAAAGTCCTCCCTCCAACCCCCAAAACAACCAGCAGAGCAAAAGTCCCCTTTTTTTGAGAGATACCCTTTTTCGCGACTTCACGACTTTTGGACGAACATCAACATCGTCACTTTTCTCTTCTTCTTCTTCCCACTCTCCAATTCCTTCCCACCCGGCCCCTCTCTGCCTTTCCGTCGTCAGGCCCACCCTGAGATACCGCCCGTTCTCAGCAATCGCAATTTCGCCCGTCAATTTGCTTGAATTGACCTCTGCCAACACTCAGTCCAAGAAAAGCATAGCTTAATATGTCTTCCCCAGCCGTATGTTTGCGTGCCCCATAACCCAAGAAGCACTGATGCCCTCTCCTATCCCGAGTGGCAGGCAGCATTTGCGGCCAGAGTCTGCTCTGTTTTGCTTTTACACACCCACTCGCCCATCTGCCTGTCCAAACCCAAGCTACCACTACTCAAACCAACCCGTTCAGCCGCGGCATCGCCACCCTCACATCACGTACAAACACTTGTCCTGTCGCGACCCGACAGCTTTGCTCAAACCACTTCAACCCCCATACTAATTCTCCATGCCGCCACAGAAGATGATCCGCCGCAAGAAGAACGTGAAGAAGGGAATCCAGTTTTGTCTGATGGTCTGCGGTGCCTCAGGAACAGGTACATCTCACCTTTCTCTTTTACCGACTCCTTGTCCGACCGCTCGCCAGACGGCAACTTGACGAGAACGCTTGGCGACCAAATCGCTGACATGTCTACTTCCCTTCCACAGGCAGAACCACCTTCGTCAACACCCTTTGCGGAAAGAGCGTCCTTGCCCACAAGGAGTCGGACGATGCCACCACCGCCCACGTCGAGGACGGTGTAAAGATCAAGCCCGTCACAGTCGGTACGTCGAAATCCATCTTGAATGATCTCTTGGCACCTCGTATCCGCTGCTAAGCGCTAACACCCACCACAGAGCTTGAGTTAGATGAGGAGGGCACCCGTATCTCTCTGACCATCGTCGACACACCCGGTTTCGGTGATCAGATTGACAATGAGGCGAGGTAATACCACTCGAACCTACCCAATGTCGAGAATCGTGAAAGCTGACTATCTACTCTTCATCCCAGCTTCTCAGAGATCGTCGGTTATCTCGAGAGACAATATGATGACATCTTGGCCGAGGAGTCGCGTATCAAGCGTAACCCCAGATTCAGAGACAACCGTGTCCACGCTATGCTCTACTTCATCACACCGACTGGTCACGGGTAGGTTGTCGCCGTTGTATCAAGCGATTCAACTCAGATGCTGACTGTGCTCATGTTAGTCTCCGAGAACTCGATATTGAGCTGATGAGGCGCCTCGCTCCCCGCGTCAACGTTATCCCTGTGATCGGTAGGGCCGATTCCCTAACACCCGCCGAATTGGCCGAGTCGAAGAAGTTGGTCATGGTGGATATTGAGCACTACCGTATTCCCGTCTACAACTTCCCCTACGACATTGAAGAGGACGACGAGGACACCGTCGAGGAAAACGCCGAGCTGAGAGATTTGATGCCTTTCGCAATTGTCGGTTCTGAGGATATTATCGAGATTGGCGGTCGCTCAGTTCGTGCCAGGCAATACCCCTGGGGTGTCGTCGAGGTTGACAACCCTCGTCACTCGGACTTCCTCGCCATTCGATCCGCCCTGCTTCACAGCCATCTTGCAGACTTGAAGGAGATCACCCACGACTTCCTCTACGAGAACTACCGTACCGAGAAGCTCAGCAAGAGTGTCGAGGGTGGTGCTGGAGTGTATGTTTTTCTGCTGTCTTCTTCATCAGTCCTGACCCTATGATACTAACTTGCTCCAGCGACTCTTCTATGAACCCCGAAGACTTGGCGTCGCAGTCCGTCCGCCTCAAGGAGGAACAGCTCCGCCGCGAGGAGGAGAAGCTCCGCGAGATCGAAATCAAGGTCCAGCGCGAAATCAACGAGAAGCGACAGGAGCTGCTCGCCCGAGAGTCTCAGCTCCGCGAGATAGAGGCTCGTATGCAGCGCGAGGTTTCAGCACAAGCTGCTGCAGCATCACCAGTTCCCGAATCCAACGGCGACCACGAGGCTTAATCGCTGTGAATCTCGACTTCGTCTGTTTTTCAGTACTCCTGGTATAATGGTGGCCAGACAAAAGTATGGACTGCGGGCGTTGGATTCCATGACATTCCTACCTGGCTTGCACTTGGTCGTTCCAGGGAATAGAGGCAGGCAAACCTGTACGCATTTTTTCGACGAAAGGGGGTCCAATAATTCGAGGTGTGGAGGGACAACAGGAGCAGGAGATAGGTTCCTGTGGTGTATGAAGCTCTAATCTCAGCCAGAGGATGAGAGACCGGACTGATGAGGATGGCGATTGAGTAGAGCATTGAGCTATGGATTCCCGATCTGATATGAGCAGCCATCATATCATTTACTTATTTACGACTTTGACAACCATGGACGAGAATTCCCGCCTGCTTGATGTAGTACTTTGCGAGACCTACCACCGTCTCGTCTCTTTTTTACTTCCTACTTATTACCCGATTCTATTTTCAAAATGACGCCGATACCTTTCCTAGTAATAGTGGCCTTCTAATGCAGATATTGAAAGATAACCCTGATTTGATCAACGTGTTCGGCTCGGTGAGCAGAAGATGTTTTACTCGTTCACTTTTAATTTACAGCGACTCTAAGAAGCATTTTCAGGGGCAGCCGAAGCATAGTGTTGGATTACTGTCACCAGCGCTTCCATTGCCGGTCAGCAGCACCATGAGTACCTGCCAGCTACACCAATATCAGCAGCTTCGACCCAGGACCATCTACAGCCGCTTCTGCCATAGCTCCATCCTCTCAGTCTTCGTCTTCGTAATGACACATGAACGGAGAAGGGATAAGCTCAAGATAACCCTAAGCATCAGCTCTCTTGCCACCATCCCTGCGCTGACCGTTTCCCTTGAACTCGGGCGCAATATTCGAAAGCACTTCCAGCATCTTTCAGATACCCCCCGGCATAGATAAAACCGAGTAATGCCTTATTACTAATAGATACGTTACTGAACCCGTCGAGACGAGTCACGTATTCGAGGTTAGGGAAAACCCTTCCGGATCTCGTCTCATCGGAAGTCTGTGAGCATTCAGCTCTGGCCCATATACATCTTCACCAGCGAGCTCTTCCGTGCTCTCTCCGCCCGTCTTCCATCGCTGGCGCTGCTGCTCTCCGGCTTCCCCCGCCGGGAAAGAGCATCCTACGAAACTACCACCACATCTTCTCCTCCGCGACCGGCGCGTCGCGATACTCGTCCCGTCGACCACCCAAGGATCCCCACCACGTCTCCCCGAAGCCTCGCAGGGGTCCAGGTCGTACATGACGACGTTCCGCTCTCAGCGGAGAGGGACACAACCGGCGTCGTCATGATCGGCTCCGTAGTGCAGGGCCCGGCACCGCCACCTCGCACATGTTAGCGCTCCAGCGCACGTCCGCGGCCGGCGACGAGTAAGGGTGCAATCAGGGTCGTGGTAAATGGCGTTATCGCCCTCGGGGAGAGATTCCGGAGGCGAATGTACAGTACAGCACGAGGCAAGCGGGTCTCGGCCTCTCTCGTCGAGGGCGATATACCAGATCTGGAAATGGAGTGCGGCGGGCACGGTGTTGGATCCGGTGGGGGGATACTGGACATTTGTGGTGCGGTTTGGTTGGCTGTGCTGTGGTGTCCGGGTTCCGACTGCTTTTTTCGCGAGACCGACGGTACTCTCTTCGGACGAGGTTTCTTATGATGTTTGGTCGAACTGCAAATTAATGGTGACTTTTGGCTGTTTTCTGAAGCATGAAGGCCGCTAAGTGAGAGTAATTTGAAGTCCCTCGAGATTCTTGTGAGCCTTGTGCTCGCAAGCAACGACAAGGTCATGAGGTTTCAGATGTTTATTACCAGAATATCAACGGTCTACTATTGGGGAAGTTGTCTGGTAAGCACAAAGTGTCAAACCGAGTAGATTTGTTCGGTCATGTGGTCACGTCAAACTGGGCATGCTTCGGCCCCTTTATTCTTTTTACGAACACCACATTTTGGGCTATTTCCAAGAGTACGGCTGTCTTGTATGATGTTCGTACCTCATGACCAGCAACGGTACCGAGACAGATCTTGTTCTCAATATCGGTATGCAAAATGTGCTGCCAAGCGTGCTTGGAACTCATCTTCTTCAATACACTCCCTGTGTCTGGGCTCGCACATATACCAAATACTGTTTTAGACCTCACGTATGTCAAAGTCGCTACGTATACATGGCGTTGTACAAGGCGTCACAGAATAGCGTTATGGCCCTCGCACCAGCCTCCAGTACCGCATCCATCGCAATGAAGGGGTGGGGTTGGCCCTTCATGACGTTGATGTCGGCTTTCACCCCGGCCTCTTCTAGTTTCTTGCCAAACTGCTCGCCCTCGGTCCGGAGAACGTCCAGCTCACCGAGAACGAAACATGCAGCCGGCAACTTGGACCAGTCGCCTTTCCAGAAGAGAGGGCTTGCTTCAGGATGGTCCCAGTCATTCCCGTCGGGCAAATAGTGACGCCTATACCACAGCATCTTCTCGGCGGGCAGTGCGGGGCTGAACTGGTTTTCCTTCCAAGACTTATTGTTCGTGGCATCGGCTGTGTTGTCCATTACCGGCACAGACAGCAGCTGTAAGAGGAATCTGGGACCTCCACGGTCCGCGGACCTCTGGCACATGATAGCCGCCAAGTTTGCCCCGGCTGACGAGCCTCCAGTTGCCAGCTTGTTTTCGTCGATGTTCAATATCTCCTTTCCCTCGCCCAGCGTCCAGAGCACTGCCTCCCAGCTATCGTGTACCGCAGCAGGGAAAGGGTCTTCCGGGGCGAGCCTTGGGAGAGTTTTGTCAGATCTACGTTGTACCATATCACACGCGGTCAGGGAAGGAAGGAAAAAAATACTCCGCTGTTTCGTCAACTGACAAGGCCTTACCTATAGTCCACCGCCACCACTACACATTTCGCGCGGGCGCACAGGTTGGACGCAATGACGTTTTCGGTATCGATTGTTCCAAGAACCCAACCACCTCCATGAAAATACACACATGCAGGCCAGCCGGCATCAGGCTTGTCTCCTTGAGGTGTGAAACATCGCACTTTGACTTCCGGGCCTTGGCTTTCCTTCCTGGAGATTGTATGATCCGAAGTGCTGGCAACCGGCTGAAGCGGACCGGCTCCGGGAATAAGGATACCGCTCGCCCGGGATGCTTCCACGGGCTGCAGATGAACTTGCTGCTTATCTATGATGTGCTGGTTATAGAACGCCGCGTACTCTTCATCAATGCGGCCAGTGGTCGACTCATGAAGAGGGTAAGGGGGTTGAGTTATCCCTGCCATGCTGTCTCGGCCGATAAGTGTTGATACCTACGTTGGTCACAAGCTCGTGCTGGGTTCAAGTTCAGAGTGATCTCCAAGAATAAGAGTGGAATTTCATAGATCAAGAGGTGGTAGTTCCATGTCATAGACATTGTCTTCATAGTCCCTTCTGACCCCTCTCATCTATTAGGTCGATCCGTGGATCCTGCACAGCACCGGGGCTCCATGGGAACAGCTCGTGTCCAAAACCGGGGGGCGGCCGAATTAGGAGCGGGGCTGTTTTCGGGTATGGTTCGCGGCCGCTAACCTTATTATTATGAGCGAGTGTATCATGTTCAAAAGGTGCCAAGAGACGACTCCATTTGGCAGATAACGAACTTGTTTTCTTCGTATTTGTTATATGCAGTCAGCTATGATGGATAGTTTGTTCTCGATAAGCTACACCGACATAAGTCGGAGCGCATCCGACAGCCCAAATCATTTGCCAAACCAGAACGCAGGATTTAAGTCAGGGGTGCACCTGCTGATCAACGTCTCTACTTGTCGAGATAATTGGCCGGCGCCAATACTACGTAGCATGCAGCTAGCTACATTTTGGTGAACCATGGAGTACCCTGGCTACGAGCAAACAGACAAAAGACCTTCAATTGAAGAAGGGTGGCTTTCGTCGCAACATCTCAACTGACTTTCTCCTACCTCATGGTATCTGTTTAGAACTAGCGAGGGAACATTGATCGACAATGGCTGGGTCAATAGACGACAAACCTTTGCCGGATGATGATGTCGCTATTGGACATGTCGATAGTCATGACCAGCCGGCCGATTCGGCACGCGTCGTTGATCATATCGCCGAAAGACAACTTTGCCGGAAGTTTGATGTACGACTTATGCCCGTACTGGCCATTATGTGTATGTGCGAGTCAGACTACTCACTGTGCTCTTTACTGACGACTTACTCTTCCGGTAATTAGACCTTTTCAACGCATTGGACAAGGGAAACTTGGGCAATGCGCAAACAGCAGGTCTCTCTGACGGTATGCACCACTCCAGAAGGGAAACTGATATGTCATTGCTGACAGCCCGCAGACCTCGGCTTTCCAAAGTCGCAGTACAATCTCATCGTATCAATCTTCTTCGTGCCATACGTCGTATTTGCACCACCTATCGCCATGATTGGCAAGCGCTTTGGCCCTGCTCGCGTGCTGCCAATCTTAATGCTGATATTCGGCGCCATGACTCTATGCACAGCCGCTACGAGGAGCTTTGGAGGAATATTTGCCTTACGTTTCTTTCTGGGAATGGCAGAAAGCGGCTTCTTTCCGCTCGTCATCTACTACCTTACCACGTTCTATCGCCGCGGCGAGCTCGCCCGACGACTGGCCATATTCTACGCGGCCTCGAATATCGCCAACGCGTTCAGTGGCCTCCTCGCCTTCGGCGTGTTCCACATCAAGTCCCACCTGCAGTCCTGGCGGTACCTGTTCATCATCGAGGGTTCTGCGTCCGTGCTGTTCTCTCTCTTTGCCTTCTGGTATCTGCCGCAGGACGCGAGATCGGCCCGGTTTCTGGACGCCGAGGAGAAGTCGCTAGCCTATCACCGCATGGCGGTGGACTCCTCGTCCGTCGTCTCGGAGAAGTTCAACCTCCGGGACTCGCTCAAGATCTTCAGGTACCCCACGACGTACTGCTTCCTCATGATCGAGATCTGCCTCGGCGTGCCCATCCAGTCGGTGGCGCTCTTCATGCCCCAGATCATCCAGCGCCTAGGATACGACACGATCAAGACGAACCTGTACACGGTGGCCCCTAACGTCGGCGGCGCCGCGATGCTGCTCGTCTTGGCGTTCAGCTCCGATCTCCTGCGCATCCGCTTCCCCTTCATCATGCTCGGCTTCATACTCAGCTTCATCGGGTTCATCATTTACGCCGCCATCACCGACGTCCAGGCCCAGCTGAACCTCGCCTACTACGCCTGCTTCATGATGGTTTGGGGCACGTCCGCCCCGTCCGTCCTGCTCTCGACGTGGTACAATAACAACATCGCGCACGAGGGCCGACGTGTGGTGCTCACGTCCGTCGGTGTGCCCCTCGCCAACCTCATGGGCTTAGTCTCGAGCAACGTCTTTCTAGCCAAGGAGGCGCCAAAGTACGAGACGGCGCTAATCACGACGGCGACGTTCGGTGGTGCGGGTGCCATAATTGCGGGGTGTCTGGGCTCTTATATGATATTCGATAACTACAGGAGGAACCGGAAGGCCGGTGTGAGACTGGTGGCGCGCGATGTGCCGACCTATAAACTGCGCGATGGTCCCAATGTTCCGGAATTTCGCTGGTTTCTATAGATGAACGGTCATTGGAGACACGGTGGAGCAGGTTACATAGCAGCGATTGCAATTATGAGTAATTACCCATGCTGCTTGATTATGTTAAACTCCTGCTCCGGAGCTGTGTTCAGGCTCGTCAATTTGGATGTACAACTGCCGGTGGGTGAATATTCTGACTAACGCCCACGACAAATCCAACCCAATCCAATCAGTTCGCCTCCGTGCTGTAGTCAAGCCAGAGCTATAGCCACGGTGGGTCACCTCTTGCAAGAGACGGATCCACTTATCTATGGTTTGTTTTCGGTAGGTCGTCCCTTATCAGCAAGCCGGCCGCGAAAGCCCCACCAGAGAGGGACAGGCATCCGACACTTGAGTATGTCATGACCGATACCTCTTAAATCTTCCGGATATCGCTACCCGTAGGCTTGTGAGGTTGTTGCAGTGGCCGTTGGTGCTCCGATGCACGGGAATGATCTGGGCTCGGGTGTCTGCGACTGGGCTGCTGGGTGCTGCTTTCATTTGTGTATACGACCCGGGGTTATTGGGGAGCTTGATTCCCTGTGCGTCCCCGCTAACCGCACCATAAATTTCCGTTTCTGACGTCTAAGATTGGACCGGTGCATAGAATTAGGGAAAGCAGCGAAGATCTATCTTGTATTTCTAACTGGACATCTCTCGGAGTATTTGCAAGTGCCAGCCAATACTTGCCTTTTATAACGTGCTATGAAGAGGCCCAGTCCAATGCATTAGAGCGGTCGTGGCGGAGATGGAGGGGCCGTTGTCCTCTTGCAAATGGTTGTGACGAGACGCCAATCAACTCCAGTCCTGTAGCAACTTGACCAACACTCACTTTCATGTAACGTTAGAACGCTAACAGTTCACATCTCTTCCAATGAGCCGCCTAATGTGTTTATAATACATCTCAATAGTATTGAACTTATTCGGAAACCCTCCATTTTCATAGCGTTCTAACAACACCCAATCTCTTACCTATCTCTAAAATGTACAATCCCAAAGTTGGCGACCCAGTCCAAAGCCTGGACACGCCGTCCATGATTGTGGACTTGGATTTGATGGAGTCCAACATCACGAAGCTGACATCCAAGCTGCTGCCGACGGGTGTTGACATACGGCCCCACCTCAAGACGACCAAGAGCGCAATCCTGGCGCGGAAGCTGGCGGCGGCCGGCTGCAAGGGCGGCTGCGTGGCCAAGCTGAGCGAGGCCGAGGTCATCGCCGGCGCCGGGTTCGACGACCTGCTCATCACGTGTGAGATCGTCGGCCCGGCCAAAGTCAGGCGGCTCGTCGACCTGTACCGCAAGCACGGCCAGAAGATCCGCATCGTGGTCGACAGCGTGGCCGGGGCGGGCGCCATCAACGCCGCGCTCGCAGCTTCGGGCATCGCGGAGCCCATCCACGTTCTCATCGACCTCGATGTCGGCCTGCATCGCACGGGCGTGGAGCCCGGCGAGCCGGCGCTGGCGCTGGCACGGCATGTGCGATCCCACCTCAAACACCTGCGGATCATCGGCGTGCAGGGCTACGAGGGCCACCTGCAGCACCTGCACTCGCGAGAGGAGCGGGAGCGGGAGTGCCTGGCGTCGATGCGCCTGCTGACGGAGACGGCGGAGCTACTCAGGGGCGACGGGTTCGAGGTGCGGGTGGTGACGACGGGGGGCACGGGGACGGCCGAGTTCTGCGCGTCGGTGCGGGGCGTGACCGAGGTACAGCCGGGCTCTTTTATTTTCATGGATACGGACTACCGGAACGCCGTAGGGTCCTTCTACTCGAGTAGTCTGACTATACTCTCTACGGTCGTCAGGTCAGTATTCGGATTTCTTTATTTACGGGTTTGGACTATCTTGGAAGCTGAAGATGGCACTGTGTGGACATTTTGATAAGCCAGTATTGCTTCCAAGGCACAAAGATGTTTCGACATTCTCCTGAAAACAATATGGTAGACAGATTACTAACCTGTATGGGATGTGTAGCCGCCAGGGCCCGCGTGCTGTCACCATTGATGCTGGCCTCAAGTCACTGACGACGGACAGCGGGCTTGCTGAGTGCAGAGACCCACGGTATGCGTATGATGTTCTTGGTGACGAGCATGGAACGCTGATGTGGAAGGATGATAATGGGACGCCAGCTCTCGATGTGGGGGATGTAGTTGAGATGATCCCGAGCCATATCGACCCCACTGTCAACCTGCACGACTTTTACTATGCGCACAGAAACGGTGTCGTCGAGGAGATTTGGCCGGTCGATTCGAGGGGGAAAGTTCAGTAGTGGCGGCAGCTTGATATGGAAACTCTCACGACTTTCGGCGAATTGGTTTAGCGAACTCGTTCTTAGATGCAGTTATAAGAATGTTGTTGCTTGATACTCTAGTTTCTCGAAGTCAGACTATCAATAAGTCCTATAGATCTAGTGCTGTGAAGAATGCACTCTAATGTCTTTGCCAGAGTAGGGACTCACACTAATCCTTCAATAGTTATGCCAACGTTCGCGGCGTCAAGCTTCGATGTAACATTATCCTCCTTACTTCCCCTTCATATGTTTCCCATATATCGACGATCCAAATCTGAATAAATATTACTGCCCAAAGGGATAGATCACCATGTAGCACTCAGGTACCATATGATCAAGCCTCTAAAGGATTTATATTGGTTACAAGCTTTTGGCTTCATTTTGTCTCCTATGCAGCGACCAATTCTGAAGACGCTGTAAGATATTTCTTTCTCAGTCTTTTTGTTATCTATTTCAAGCACAGCTTTTGAAATATTGTCTAGGTCTCGATAGCTATGCTGACAGCTCGCTATGCCTTTTACAATCGAACATAAACACTATTTCTGTCTACGCCCAAGCCTCAAGAGTTACACCACTTATACTATATGAAATCGTAACGTTTTACTTACCTCCAAGAAATGAACCACAATTAACTCAGATGTAAGTGCGTATTTGAATTGTCGATTTCACTTACAGTTCCAATTGCTAGTTACGGCAAAGTAAGTGTAAACCATATACCCTACTCTGGTTACAGGCATGACGAGGCATCCATGCCATCCAGTAGGCCGTAGTTTCACTTGCAAGATAGCTTTATGGATGATTTCTATCAAGACCAGAAATAAAATCTATGTGAATGCTAACGGCGCCTGACTATATCATTGGAGCCATCTTCCCAGTATCGCCTTGTTTTTCCCTACAAGCTCTACAAAACTCACCGCAGCTATCGGGCTACTTCTCGAGCCTCCCATCCGTCCGATATATATCTTAAATTATATCACGTTCTATTAATCCAGTGTTAGCAGACTATGTTGTAATATCAGATTCCAACGAGCGTAAAGGCCGGATATGAGAACAAACAGAAACCGCAGCTAGACCCCCCTACAGTCGGCAAACCAAACTCAGCAAATGTCTGACAGTGGATCTTGATCAATTCATTTTAATACATGTCCCGTATAAGGATCACAACCGCGCTGAATAACATGAATGGAGTCCTCCTCGAGCCCACAGCGTGTGCAGCGTTTAATGCAACCTTGACAGCTTGGTAACGTACAAGACCCACTTATGTTTCAGGTTGCTACCGGCTGGATGGATAAATTTATCAATAAACCTCGCCTGACTCACAAGGTCTGCCGTTTTCGGCAATCGTTCACAAATCAAAACAACTTGTTGAGGATATCCACTTCTGACTATTGAATGCTCGAAGTAGTAAGTACATGCTCTTCGTTGGTGAAAGAAGATTCTTCGGGTTGATGCCCGGATCTGGGGACTTTCCGGGTATCTTGGAAACCCGGACCATCGATGAGAGAAATGCTGCTATCACCAAAGTTTCCAAGATGAGGAATCTTCTAGGAAGTGACTTTGCTTGTAAGGGACTCCGGAGATTCACGGAGCTCTGAAAGATCAACATTACCACCTGCCGCGCGAACGAATATACTTTTGCCTGTTACCGTCTTACCGAAGCAAAAGAAAATACCAGTGAGAAGAAATGGTGAGATTGGGTAAGATGAAAATTAAGTAATTCTTGTCGATAGATTAATTATTGCGCGAATAATATTTAGTTATGAGTAGCTCAGAGACTGTATGTTTGTGACGCCGACCGTTGTTTATGCTTCGACCACCAGCGTAAGTTCAGGTTGAATATTGGAAGACCTCGCTTTATGACATGAATCGTATTGTTTATGGAATTAGCTACTATCCAGTGCTTATCAAGGCCAATAAGATTGACCAAGTCCTTGGGTGCTCATATACCACTATAGGGACCACAAGACACTTCAAATTCTAATATAATTAATAGATATTAGAATATTGAGAGGTAGCTTTCACTGGGGCCGCATTCATTCCATTGCGATGCCCTTGGCGTTTCTTACTACAAAGCTAAGCACATCTCGGTCGTAGGCCCTTTCTTTCATTGATGATATCAATTTAATGGTGTTATTTAATAATACATGTAGATAAAGCCGAAATGTTGAGTTAGTTCTACCGCTTCCACCTCCCATAATGATGACACCTAGTCTAGCACTGATATTATTGCTTAGCTTTGTGTTTCTATGTGGTCTCAACCGCGATCTGGAGAGGATTTGAAAGCATGATAAAACTGGATTTTACTAGCCGTTGGAACTGAACTCGAAGCTTAAAGCTTTTCGACTCATGGGTTCCGGTTATCACTTTGATATAAATTTCGTTCATGGAGAAGCCCGCATCTAAGCCTTTGGCATTGCTGGCCCCCTAAATGGAATATTGGCTAATCTACAAACGACGGAAGAAATTGGACAGTTCCGTTATACGGTGGGCTTGGGCTTACTAGTTGTGAATCTGGCAGGAAACGAGCAGGTTGTTGGTCTTCTTCCGTCACAGTATGGGGGTGCTAGTAACTAAAGCTGTAGGTCATTGCGAATAAATTTCGGACGAATAAAACCATATGAATCCAGCCAATAAAAAAGTTCACGGACAACAGTGGCAGTGTCTCCAGCACAGGTCACGAGCCAATGATTTTGATAAAGTGTATCCAAGGATCAAGGAGCTCATCTTCTTTGACACACCGCATGCTGTGAGGGAGTATGGCGTTTGATGAGAAGCGTATCTAGATAGTTGAGAACATGGCTAAAGCGACTTTCACCAAAATCCCCGAAGTTGAAAGAAGTCATGAAGCTGGGTCGGATAAATTGCTAGACTTTGGTAATAATTTCGGGGATCTCAGTCTAATTGTTGAAAGAAAGTACTCATGGCCAGTATTTATGAGTAGCAAACGACAAACATGCTCTTTGACACATTTATTAAAGGGAAAATTATTTTTCTTGTATACCATATAATCACAGACTTTATGATGTTGTACACGAGTCTGAGTTTTACATTATCTATTTTAAAGCAAAAGACCGGAAACTACCATTATAAGCTATATTCACATAGTAAAGGTTTCTGGCGAAGAAGACACGTATTACAGCGATATCTGAGCCTTGTTTATTAGATAATAGAAGTAAGTCATCCGAATCTGGTCAGCGCCTTTCTTAAATCTCGGGCCTTCCATTGATATCAGAGAATAATTACACATAAAAACTTCACATGACACATCAACTGGTAAATAAAATGTAAATAACAATTATTGATACAGCCATGAAGCCGCCAGCTTAAAATTTCGAATTGTGCGTTGCGGCCGAAGTGGGAGACCTATCCCTAGTCTAGGTGCGACCTTATTCATGAGGGCGTGAGTCCTAGCCTCGAAGACCATCAAGGTCGGACGCCATTGATATTTGCGGTATAATATGGTAGGCTAGAAGTGGTAAGATAACTCCTTTTGAGTCCGGGCGTGTAAACAAAATTTCCGAATCGAGAATACCAGCAGACGCCTCACTTCAGGGCAGCCAAATGTGGGCATGATTCTGTGGTGCAGGAATTACTAAAGCATAACGTAGATACCAACTATGCAGCCGTGGATGATCAGACACCGATTGCTGTAGACTAGTAGCCAACTTTGGGCATGCTGACCCTGTTCAATTGTTGGTGGATAACGGGGCTGATGCGCAAAAATTGGACAATGAAGGCCGAAATGCTACCATACGAGCCAAGACGGTCGGCCACCGAGAAGTGATAGACCTAGTATCTCGGGACCATGCTCTTAAAAGATTGGTTTTATGAGTAGGTCAAACTAGTATCTATACTCAAATTCCCCATATGCCGAGCATCCTTCAGATTTAGAATATTGCCAACAGACTAAAACGATCAACAAATCAGCACCACTAATCTGGCCTCACAACATCAAGTACTTTTCACATTGAGCGATATTGTATGGACAGTTTGACCATTAGACCCATCACACACCCAAGCTGGATGACATTAAGCACGTATAGAATAGGTCAATCTGTTGGCTATTGTTGGGAAAGCATAAACGTCGCCACGAAAAGTACACATTTGCTACTCAGTCCGTCCAAGCTGCAACCGTCGATGCATCGTCCTGTTGTTTGCAAGCGCTGTTCTGGAGACAGCATTTCCCGAATTTTTTTATATGGAAAAAATTGATTTAGCCCTTCCCAGAACCATGCACACTCGGTCCGCCTTCATTATCGTTCCTCGACACAAATATTATTGTAATTAATTAGGACAAGCCAACCTAGTTGTTTTGCTGGCTGTTCAGGATGCGCAGAATTGCCAAGAACAGGTTGAGGATATCCAAGTAAAGACTAATGGCGGCAGCAATCTCCTCCTCGACATGGTGGTGGCGGATGACCAGCTGGGTGTCGACAAGAATGTAGCCAGAGAAGATGAGGGCGGCGAGACCTCCGTAAATCAGCTCACCAGTGCTGCTGTAGGGAAGGAACGCAGCCATGAAGCCGAAAAGAATCAGACCCCAGAGACCACCGAAGAGGTAAGGCATCCATGATGTGAAGTCGTACTTGGTCTGGCAGGCGAAGAGAGTAAGGAAGATGAAGATGCCGCCGGTTAGGAAGACCGCGTTGAGTACGATGGAGGACTTGTAGAAAGAGACAATGACAGAGATGGAGTACGCCTCAAGCAGGGTGAATCCGGTAAGGAAGAGTAGATTCGTCGGGTAAGACTTGCGCTTCCAGTAGGTCAGGAGCATAAAACCGATGGCACCGAACAACTACGAACAGACATGTTAGCAATGCAGGATTTGAGTGAACATGGGACGATGACGAGTCGGACTTACCGATACGAAGACGAGGGCAGGATGCGACTGGATCCAGGCCTTGTAGCCCTCGCTCCAGAAGCTGAGACCACTGACAACACCGGTGACGATGAGCTGGGCGGTCAGGATGGTGTAGACCTTGCGAATGAACTGGTTGCGAATGTCGACGGTAGCCTCTGCCACGGAACCGCCGAACTTGAAGTCATCGGGGATGTTGTCTTCGCTGCTTCGAGGTGCGCCGCCTCCAAACAGACGCTCGGTATCGTCAGCACTCTCAGCCTGGTAGGACGGTGGGGCCTGGCTCCAGGTGCCCTCTTCGGGGTCCTGCGTCGGCGCGGGTTGGTATTTGGCGGTGCTAGCCATGTTTGCAATACTCTATACGACCGGTATGATGGACTCGATGTACTTGTTGATGGAACCCTCTCTGAACTGGCGACGATGTGATGTATTTGTAGGTCGCGGAGATGGGAAGGCGAAATATTGCCAAGTCAGCTGCTCGGCCGAGGAAAGTACTAGATTAACTACTGTATGCAGTAGACGAGGCGGGGAGCTGCGAGTTGACTAACTTAAACTTGATAATCATTGACCAGCAGCGGGTTGGAAGCTTCCGGGCTGTGTGTCATTGGCGTCATTTGGTGGCCAGCAGCTCGATGGCATCACTTTCACGCGGGAGGATAATGTGGCGTTCGTTGACAGAGCAGCAAGTGTGACAGTGACAAATTGTGGCTGTGCTTTCTCTGCGGACCAGTTTCGCCGCGATAACGATAAGGATCAAGAGTGCAGGTGTGGAGAACTACACAGGTCAGAACCTGGCTGATGAACCAAACCTCCAACCTCCAGCTTCCAACCTCCCACACATTCGCATACTCATCCCAACAATCGCATGGCAAGCAAGGGCATTGCAGTCTTCAGGCTCGAATGCCACAATATATACGGATTTGTACAAGGCTACCAAAAGAAGTCCCCATGACAATGTTTGGTACCTAAGCTAAGACGTCTCCTCCATCCATGTATACTCCTTACCATACGTATTGCACACGCAAGATCCTGGCCAATTGGTGCTACAGAACAGCATTGTAGGATGCAGCATTGACTTCAAGCAGGGACTCGACCCCCAGGCGGTACTATGCATGAGCTCGAATGTGGTTAAGTCAGTGCGGGGTAGCGGTGATAGGAAACACAAAAGATCAATTCGCTGCTGCGAAACATTCAAGTTGCATACATGTCTTTTTTCTTGTCTACTGTATTCTCACCACCATGTACATGTACTATTTAGAGATCTTACCGTCTGGGGTTAGAGATCTGGAACCCCAAATGTGTTACAGACCAAAGGTGATTGGCGGTTTAGAGTTCATTGTAGCGCCAAGGAAAGTGCCGTGCCTGAAAAACCGAACAGGAGCCGCAAAGTATCTTTGGGCTGGGAAAGAATACATACTAACTAGGCTTGGACTACTGTAGATGTAGTTAGACAAGGACATGCCCATGGAGCACTGTAGCTCAGATAAGCGGCCTTGAAATAACAACGAAAGATGTGTGTGTGTGTGTGTGTGTACGGATCCGTAGATGCTGCCATCCAGGATTGAGACGATGCGCAATCACACATTGGTATGAGGAAAGAAAGCACCGTTGCCTCAACAAAGCGGTGATCACTTTGCCGCGCTTTGCTGCACGTGGTTAAGCCGTTCGTTGTTCGAGATAGGATGCATACATAGTTGATGAATTATTGCGAGCTTGTTTGGCTGGGATGGATTGGCTTGATAGGCATGCAAGTTGCAGCTCCAGCTGGGCAGAGGACCCCTGGTTTTTCTTGGACAAGATTTTAGTCGTACAGTAGTACTGCTTTGTACCCCTGCCCCTCATCCCCTATCTTTTTACTTTCTTTCCGTCCTTCTTTCTCGAGATTCTCCTGAATGCCGTAAGAGGTAGAAGGCCTCGATCATCGACGGCTCTTCGCCTCTAGTTAGCACTCCGACTCAAGACAAGGCCATGTCACTCACCGCCTTGACGACGCCCAGCCTTTCCATGCATGCTCATCTGCAAATCACCAATTCCCTGCTCCTATCACTGGTTACTGCCGTGGCCTCGAGCTGCATTGATCTGATGAGCTGTGGAGCTGGCACTTGCTTTGGAGCTCCATAGGTCCTTTTCCGTACTGTAGGCAGGCAAATCCGTAGTATTTTAACATGCCATAGTACTCGGTAGTATTTTGACACCAAGCACGAGTACGGAGCAGTACTTGAGATCCAAGGGGGAAGGGGGGAAGAGGGCAAAGGGGGGCCGCTTTCGTTTGGGCTTGGGCGTGGGCGGGGGACCCACCAAACCCACCAAAACCCACTAACAGTGCGCTGCTGCTGGCACTGCTGGCACTTGTTGCAATTCAACCAAACCATTTCCAGATCAGGGCTCTGCTTCTTCTGTCCCTCCAAAACACTTCCGCTCGCTAGCACTCCAGATGATTGTCTTTTGCCATTGAAGGAGACACTGGGACTGGACACTCGTTTCCATGAGCACCGCCGACATAACGACCTCACCTATTCGTATTCTTGGCGATTTCTTGTGACGAATATCCATCCTTGCCGACGGTGTAGAGAGCCACTGCGCATCAGCTTTCACTGGCCCGCTGCCCGTCTTCAGTCTTGTCGAACTCGGGAGCCGCCCACTTCAACCCTCTGCTTGATACCCTCTTTTCCTCGTGACCCGCGGCCGCCGAGCACCTGTCTACGTATAACAGAACATCAATTGGTCATCCGCGACTTGTCTTGGGCTCAATTGACTGCAATTGAGCCGCCGAGCCCTCGTTCACCATGAGCGACTCCAACCACCATGGCGCCACCATTGAGCAGGTAGCCCAGGCTATTCCCAACCCGAGCCCGCCCTCACCCGTCGCTGTCCCCGAGCAGACCAAGACACCGGAGCTACTCAAGGCTCCCGCGCGACCTTCGGTCCAATCCCGCAAGTCCAGCTCCGGTATGAATGGGCCCTTGTACATGCAAACCTCGAACAACAGAGTCTTGATCCGCAGAGTCAAGAGGAAAGGAGATGGTGTTTTGAAGAGCTTGTCTCGCTGGTTCTTGGAGAACCAAGCCGGTACGTGAACCGATCCCACTTCCACACCAACAGTCCCTGCTCTTCTTGTAGCCGTCTCATCGTCATCTTGCACACAAGAAGTACCGCCGCCGCGCTGTTCTGGCTTTGCTGTTCCGGTGTCCAGCCGCCACCAACACACCCAGCTATGCCTCCGTCAAATCAAGAACCAAGCTCTAACCTGACCCTTCCCAGGCTTCTCTCTCAACCTCCTAGCCCTCTTGTTCCTTACACACATGTTCATGTCCAAGGCGCGGCCGTACACCACACGCTTCTTCACGTTGTCCCACTACGACCACGAGTCCGGTCTATACGCGAATGGCACCGGTGATACCTACTTCGTTGCCTTCTGTGTCGTTCTGTTTACCGGTCTTCGAGCTGGCTGCATGGAACACGTCCTCGCTCCTTTCGCCAAGTTGATGGGAATTGGCAAGAAGAAGGACATTACGAGATTCGCCGAACAAGCATGGCTGCTGGTCTACTACTGTGCTTTCTGGCCCCTTGGCTTCGTAAGTGATACGCGGTTGCAAACCCACGAACTCTCCCACTAAACTTGCCGTAGTACCTCTATTTCAAGTCGCCTTATTTCTTGAACTTGCAGGAGTTGTGGACCAACTGGCCTGCGAGAGAGATTGATGGTGTCATGAAGGTTTACATGTTGGCTCAGTTTGCTTTTTGGCTGCAGCAGGTCCTCGTTATTCATATCGAAGAACGCCGCAAGGATCACTGGCAAATGTTGACACACCATTTCCTCACTATCGCACTCGTCGGCGCCGCATATGCTTACCATCAAACACGTGTGGGCCACTTGATCTTGGTCTTGATGGATATTGTCGATCTGTTCTTCCCGGTAGGTTGATTATCGAAACCTCACATGTGAGCTTTAGCTAATTTCTGCCAGCTTGCGAAATGTCTTAAATACCTTGGATACCAAACGGCCTGCGATATTATGTTTGGGCTTTTCGTGGTTTCCTGGTTTTTTGCCCGCCACGTATTTTATCTCATGGTTTGCTGGAGCATCTATGTCGATCTCCCCGTCTATCTGCCTGACCGCTGCTGGCGAGGCGTCGGCAAGAACATGTCCGGCCCTTACCCCGTGCCTGCTGGACTTTCTTATCTTCTTGAGCCATTCCAGGATCCTCAAGGCTTGGTCTGCTTCAACAAGAGCATCACCAAGGGATTTTTGAGTTTCCTCATGGCTCTTCAAGTCATCACCTTGTCATGGTTCTGCCTGATCTTGAAGCTCGTCATTCGTGTGATCCGAGGTGGCAGTGCAGATGACCCCAGAAGTGACGATGAGGCCGGTGAAGAAGAGGAGGAAGAGTTCGAGTACGAGGAGGCTCAACCATTGGAGGAGGAGGTTGGTGTTGAGGCGATTGACCTTAAGAACTGGGAGCGACGTACTGGAGTCAAGCGGTCCGCTGCATCGTCCGGCGTGAGTTTACCTGGACACAGCGACCGCAAGGAGTTGCTCGGCAGAATTGGATGTGAGAAACAGGTCGAGTAACACGTTTTACTGCATCCATGACGGTTACTCCTTATCCTGGGTTTCGGCAGTGTTCGGCGCAACACAGATATGCATATGCTTGCGGGGATGCAGGCAGGGCAAGGCATTGGTTCGATTTATCAACGTTTCAAAAGTTCGGCGTGGCAATCTTTAGACTCTGCGCAAATTATGTCATGAACCTACGATGCACGGTATCATGGGCTCGGTAGCCACATTTTCTACCATCTGGATGGCGTGGTATATAGATCTGGAATTCAGTATTATACCCCCCAAAACGCCCTTATCAAATTGGAAGACAACGCGACCACCAGTACTCTTTCAACCAAGTTGCCAGAATCATAACAATGGTTGGTGGGATAAGGGGTCACGGGTACTTTATATTTGTTAGTGATGTACACTAGCTTGACGTTGCGGATATGACATGTTGCATCAAACCAGATAACCAATGTGTCGTCGTGGGCCCGCCGTTCATTTCTGTGGGTCTGATCATGGCCATTGTACCGATATTCTTTGTCTATCGACCAGCGGACCCTTACCTGTGGCTCCTAGAGTTGTGTTCGAAGCCTACCCTGGATGCCTAGTTCAATGTACTCTCGTCAAGTTGAAGATAAGTTTTCAACCAGTAAAGGAGTTATCTCATTCTCATGGAAGAATGCACTCCTTTCCTCACTCGGCTGGCTCCTAGGGCTTGGCATCATGTGTGCGTGGCTCGACCATTTGTCTCTCGAAGCCTATCGACGCGGAGTGAGCATATTAAATCGACTCGTGCATGGAAGAATTCGATACCCTTAGGATGCAAGTTATCGTTCTCTCCCGCTATCTCCGCTAACATTGCGCTGCAACAATTACCTGCCCATCATCCCCGTTCAGAGACTCATGTGGATCGCCGGAAACTTGCTTAGCTCTGAAAGCCTATAAGCTGATATGTTCTCGGATTCCCATCTCTGCGCATATTATTTTCGGAGTTGAGCCACTGACCCATACATAAACTGGGAGGTGAACTGGTCTTCCTTTCTCTTTCCGTTTTGTTCATTCTAGCCCACCCTCTTCAATACAACACATTCATAATATCCTCCATCAATACAATCATCGAACACCAAGAAGACAACGGTGTCTTCCAAACATCAAGTCACAATGTCGGAATTAGACAGCGGATGCGACTACAGATCGCCTACTGCCGAACACATCGAATATGCGGCCGACTCGTACTCCTACAAGGCAAACGTCGTGGAGTTGCGGGCCTGTGTCGAGCGGCTAAACGCAGAGGCCAGGACCGCCAACAAGGCTCACGAGGACGAGCTGGAGGCACTCAAAGACGCCCACGCCGTCCGCATCGCCGAGCTTGGCGACCTGGAGCTCTTGTCGCTGCAGGCCCAGGCCGAGGAGCACGCCCGGGAGATGCTCCGGCTCAGCAACAAGCACGAGGGGCGGTTGGAGCAATATGCCCACGAGGCCAACGTCGTGCATTGCAACCTGAGGACTTTCATTGACGACCTCACCGACGAGGTCGGAACGTTGCAGTGGTCGCTCGACGCCTTCGCGGCTGATCAGCGCGTCAAGGACGAGGAGATCTCCCGGCTGGCGGCGGAGCTCGTGACTGCGAACTCGCAGAACAGGTCCTACAAGGCCAGTGCCGAGGAGATGGGCAGCCTGGTGGACGAGCTTGAACAGGTGTGGCTTAGGGACTATGTTCAGCATTCGGTCAACAAGGACGCCGATGAGGATGCTGATGAGGATGCTGATGACGACGAATCTGATGATGATGGTGAGCTTGACGACCACTGCACTCACTGCGAGGGCCGCGTTCCAATGGCGAAAACGATCTCCGATCTGGAGCGGGGCTTCGACGAAACACAGAAACTCAACGGAACCTTACGGGCCAAGGTCACATCGCTGGTATCTCAACTACAAGATGCTTTTGAGAATGGACTCGCATCCAAGAACGAGTTGAGGGCCGAGGTCACATCCATGGGATCTGAACTAGAAGCTGCTCTCAAAGACCATGCCACGGCCGAGGTACACCTAAGAGCCGAGATCGAGAAGCTCGAGCTCAAGAACACCGAGGCTCACAACCAGGCCTACAAGCTGGACCAGCAGGTCATGCGCCTCGAGGGACAGGTCTCGGCCAATGCGGTGAAAGAGAGGTTTCTCAACCAGACCATCGAGGCGAACACTGATCTGAAGCAGCAGCTCCAGAACGCCAGGTTCGGCATCGCAGACCGCGACCGCGAGATCCAGTCCCTCAAGGCCGCCCTCGACGAGTCCAGCAACGCCTGCCAGGCAGCGCGGAACTTGGCCGCAAAGGTGCAGAGGGAGGCCAACTATGCCAACAGCCGCGCCACAGACGTGGACCAGCAGCTGCGCAGCTGCTCCCGCCGATTCAACGAGAGCAGCGCCCGAGCCCAGCAGACCATCCGCGGCCTGCAGGCGCTGCACCAGCATGACTGCTGGGATCTGGAAACACAGATCTCAGACCTCCGAGACACGACGCACAACCTGGGCGCACTAGCCGACTCCCAGAGCAAGACGATCGAGGTGCTAAAGGACGAGGCTCGCGAGGCTCGGGAGAGCCGCGCCGAGCAGGTCGAGGTGCTCGAGGCGCAGGTTCGAGACCTGATCTCCGAGAAGGCGAACCTCAAGATTGAACTCATGGCAACGCATATGCAGCGCGAGGATTGCCGGCGTGACATCCGAAACATGGAGCTGGCCATCGGAGAGCTGCACGAGGCGCTCGAGCATTTCACAGGCAATGCCGAAGTTGTCGAGGAGGAGCCGGTAGAGGTAACTGAGGTGGATGACTTTGAGGTCATCGAGAACTACGAGAGCGAGCGGGCTGTGGTCGTAGATGATACTTGGGATACTGCCTCTCTCATCGATCAGATGGACGATCTGCAGTTTCACGGCGGCCTAGATGATATTGAGGTCCTCGAGGGCTTTGATCCCTTTCGCCGTCCCCAGTAGTCCAGCAGATGAACACCTTGTTTTCAGCGTTTGATTTGGCAATGGATGGTAGCCAATAATTCCTGCGGGGCATCTGTTTTGTAGTTTGGTATCTGATTTTAACTCACCGCTGGAGAACACGACCCGGCGGCGTGCGTAGTCTGGCATTTGATTTCAACCCATGGATAACACCCCGCTACTTTGTCAAAAGATTGCTGCCTGCATTTTTAGAGCTAGTTTTTAGGAGTTGTTGGGGTCAGTTGAATGTGAGTCGGCTTTACGAATTTATACTAAACCTTTAATTACCTTTCCCTGCAAGATCACCATCGTGACCTAAATCTTGTGCCAACTGCTTCATCCAGTGGACACCGTCAAACATGTAGAACTCTATGCGCTATGGCTCCCCAAATCTAGCATTAGATAGCTAGACATACGTTTTCCAGCGACATGTTAGCAAACAATACAGCTGCCCCATATGCCCTCCGGACCCCTCTCAGGTGACTCCCGCTTGACAGACTCCCGAATTTCCCACATCCTCATCGAATTTATGCCTGCATCTTCCGCGTCTCTCCACTCCCCTCTCGGCGGAAGTGGCGACTTGCGAAACACCAATCGATACCCATACCTCTGCGTAAACTCCGACATGTGGGCCTTACACTTCACGTCCAGAGGCGTGCGGAACTTGCCTTCCTCCAATCTATGACAGTTTCTACAGTTGATATAGAACACTGTTGTAGTGAAGGTTTGTTATGATGCACTGAAAGGAAGAGCCTGAATCTACTCGAGCATAGGATAGTGAATAGGGCGCTCGTATGAGCGTGGGATCGCAAGTGTAACGCTCCAAGCGTGAAATGATAGTATAGGTACTGTCAAGTAGTATATAGAAGTCAAAGTCTACAAAAGAGAATATCGGTGTACAGAAAGTGGGCATATACCCACTGGCTAAGTCACGTGCTCACCACTTCCCGAATTAGGTGATCCGAGAGCTCGTCGCCTTAGTGTACGGAGTGCTCCCCGTACACTTTGGCCATCTATGGTCGTCCATTTTGCCACACAATCCGACGATGAACTTCTTCGACTGGAAGGCTTCGTCTCCCAATAAATCCTCGTTCATTCTCCGCCCGTCGTAGGCGGCACCCGTGTAACGACGAGTTGTGAGTGTGATCTCGATCTCGAAGTCGGTCAGGGTATGCACTTCTGCGCTCACGCGGCCTGATTCGGGGCCGAGGACCAGGATCTGGTTTAGTACGTGAGGGTTGGGGCATGTCCAGTCGAATTCTGTGGCGATCCGGCAGACCAGTTCTGCAGCGCAGTGTATTTGGATAGCGTGTTAGGAGCTTGTGGCAACGAATATATACCCTGAGATTACCATCGCTCTATTGATGGTGGGCGCACTGTTCTTGAATGTCACAGAGCTCTATATGTTCGGAATCTTGCACGGGAGGGAGCAAGGAGCAGGTAGGTACCTTGCCCGTTCTGTCTTCGTGAAATTCGAGAAATATTTGATAATCGCCTTGCCACCATGTCTGGTCGTGACTGAGAATTGAGCGAAGTGTTTCGCCTTTTTGAGATGTCATGGCGTTGGTGTGAGTATTCCAGTAGTATGATGTGCAGAGCTGCCCGGGTATGAGATGTGTGTTACGCAGATATAAAAGTTTGTGGATATGATCTCTTATGTTTTTGATTAGATAATCAGTTGTACTTTGGTGTTGTTGAATAGCAGCCTAGGCCGCTATGCACGCACCACTTCCACGTGCGGAAGGTTACATTCTGGTAGTATCTGCTACAATTCAATGACTAGCCAAGTCTCACACTCTCCCAAGTATCAAAACATTTGTGTATATCCTGAATCAATGTACCTTCATAGTTTCTGACCGTAACAATCAAGAGTGAGGAGAACAAAAAGATTTCGAGGTTCTTCTCATCCGCCTGAAGGTACCTTAAGTCCGACTGTTTCATTCCGCCTGTATCCGACCATTCATTCCACCGATCTAGCATAGCCTCAATTGATTCAGCCAGCTGCGGTTCGTCGACGATACGACCAAGTATCAAGGCCACTAGGTTTTCACGCAGGTGCGCAGGGCCTAACCGCTTGCTGAGCCACCGCAAGCCGTGGTGAGCAATGATCCCTACGTCCCACGTCTTGCTCTGCAACGCTTGCGACATCCGTTCATCATGTTGGTCGAGTTTCTGAAGATGTTGTTCTGCCCCTGGTATCTCGTCAGCCAGAGCACCGATAGTTATAGCACATGGTGAACTCACATTGCTGCACTAGGCCGTCTACTTCGGCTTTCGTCCTCTGTGTCGACGGGAGATTTGAAGGCTGCCGCATGTGCCCCAAAGGTACGGGATTTTGCCGGCGGGTCGTCTCCCATTCGGGGACTTCCTTACTATCCACGACACCAAGGATAACTAGTACGCCAGATGGGATTGAACATGACTGAGCGAAGTTGACGACATCTTCCGGTATATGGTATTTTGTCAAGACTCGCTGGCTAGCGGCGTAAGATGTGAAAAGACAAGCAAACCACGAGATCGTTGGGCTTCTGCGGCGGGATGCTAAGTGTTCAATGTCTATGGTTTGATCATTTACGACAATGCTTCCACTAGCTTCGATACGGAACCTTAGGCCATTTTCTTCACTTTTTGCTGAATCTGCTACTACTGTGAGATGTGGTATAGTCGTGGTTTCAGACTTTGAGGAACGCTGAAACTCAAAGATCTGCTTGTCTGGATCCTCGGCCCTCCTTCCGATGGGGTTCCTCTCCTCAGAGGGATAGACTTTTTTTATGTCCAGTTTGGCCCAGTCCGGGGCTGCAGGAGTCGCAAAATTGTTATATCGTTTCATCAAAGAGCCAGTCTTCTGCGGGACCTTTAGCGAAAGCCTTCCATCTAGACTTGAGATGTTCAAAGACGCAATAGTAAGCACTGGATGTCGTAGTCCATCTAACGATACCATCAGGGCAGTATCTACAGTTGTCCAAATACCATTGGATCGAAGAGCTTTCCAGCCTTGTGAATCGGGAACAGCGCCTAAGTCAAGAAAGTAGTAGATGAGTTCCCTGAAAGCTACTTCCACTTGAAATTGTCTCAGCTGGTTTGCAGACTTGAGACGTTGAGACATCTGCCCTGCTGGAAGATATCTCCAGTTGAAAATCCCCCAAGAGCCGCCTGTGAGCTGCTGTTGATTTGAAATCTTCCAGTACAGCGGATCTTCCCGCTTCAATGGCATGACACGAAACGTTCTTAATCTCACTTCGACCTCCCCGCCAAAGTAATCGTTCGTCAGCTCGATATCCTTATCAAGCTTCCTCGATGGCTTCAGTCGGGCTTTGACCGTGAAATATAAGTTGGTGGTTCTGACGACATTGTACAGTATGGGAAGCACACCAAGAACTGCCAGTGGTACACCAATATATGTAATGATATTCGGTGCGAGATCGTCGTCTTCTGACATTGGAGAAACTATAGTTATAGGCTTGCTGCTTGAGTAGAATATTGCGCCTTTGCAATGGGCACAATTGACGTCGAGGGTATCCTTGAAATGAGCTACCGGCTGAATGTGCGACCCTAGTACTTTCCGTGTCGCATGTGGTTGAAATCTCCCTGGAACGTTGTAAAGAATGTGTCTTAGCGACCGCCAAACTACTACATCATAAAAATAAAGACAGATTTGAAAGGACCTAAACGTATAACTGGTAGACCGCCGCTATCGCCGCGTAATATTGGCCCAGTGCTAATTGAAGAGGGAGAGTCGCAGATCAGTTGACTAGAAATAGCCCTGGTGTACGAGACTTTACCCCTTTTGAAGCGAGGCTCTGGCTGGATGTGCATGATCCCAGTCTCAAAATGCCACAGTTTTGGCTTCGGGTATCCAGGCTGTAATGTATCAAAACACTGTAGGTAATGTGAGTGCAATGTGCCAGTCGGTACAGCTAGCCAAACCTGAATATAGAGTGTCAGGTACATATGGAGGCCGCAAGGCAATCCTTTCAAGCATATACTGTGACAATGTTGTTTGACATCGCCAGGGCCATCAGTCTGCCCGATGCGAAAACTTCCTGCTCAAGGCATCCCCAAAGGAAGTTTAGCGGACGTCGAATACACCAAGCTGTAATTGGGCTACTCGTCCTTAGTAGAGCTTAGACAATGCTGATACTGTCAAGTCGGACAAGGGTAGCCTTTTGGCGTCGCACAATGTGTCATGCAATTTTGGTTCCCAACGTCTGCAAAATAGGTGGCGACGCGAGGCAACGAACCAAATTGCATGAATCAATTGCACTAAAATTAAACCTGCAAATCATTTTCGTAGACCTGAAGGGTGGCTGTCACAGAATGCAAGCACAAGCTTAATGCATGAGATGTGCACTTTTCAAGAGTGGGTCAAGTAGACCAGAAAAGACAGCACAGCGTCTATCACATATATCTTATTGGACAATGATTAGCGCCTGGGCAGTATCAATATGTAGCCTTTTGAGCACAGTGTGCAATATCAGTCGCTTTATGGCCAGTTCTCACGAAGTGCTGCAGAGCACTGGGTGGTCATCAACACAAACTTGCCAGACTTCTCTGCGTAGGAGAAACTCCTTGGTGTTGTACACTCAGCCCCCAGACTTGTGACTTCCGTCCACTGAAGTGTGCAAAATCAATGCAGCGTGCATATAGCAGGACTATGCAGCCCTTGAATTACATGAGGCCAGCAAGACTTCTGAGACATAATGTACCCGACGTAGAACAATCGATCAGTGCAAAAGCACCTTGGTGCCCTCTGCGCTGGACAGGGTGATTGTGAGATTCTGCTTTTCAGCCCCCACGGGTTCATTTGGGACGCCTGGCGGCAGCCGAATGTTAGGATATTTTTGCAAGATCCTCACAACGGCTACGCTGGCTTCCTGGAGCGCATAATCCTCTGTGGTCAACTCGTTAGCTTGAAAGAAGGTACCGGGAAGTACGCACAAATCAGACCAACTTACTGCCCAGACACAGTCTTGGCCCGCCATGAAAGTCCACAAATCCGGCACCCACGCCGACCTTCTTGACCAAGTCCCCACTCTCCCAACGTTCTGGCCTGTAAACTCGAGCGTCGGAGCCATACAGTTCTTCTCGTCGATGCAAATGGTACAAAGACCAGCCTACTCCGTTGCCTTTACGCAGAAGGAGAGGCGCATTTCCATCTGGTCCGCCTCCCCTTGGGAGCACCGTCGTCCGAGTGGCGAAACGAACATTGACTGGTAGCTGGGGATACAGTCGAAGGGCTGTCAAATTCAGTATCGCGTTTTACGACCCATGCACTCAAGGAAACCTACACTCATTGAAGCAGCACCTCAGAAATGATAGCTGTTGGATGTGGTGGCGAGTGATCTCCGAAGTGTCAGGGGGAATATTCTGAAATATCTCGACCTTGAGGCGTTCTATCAGATGAGGATTGCGAACGAGGTGGAAGAATGTCCAGCTAAGTAGGCATGCAGTAGTGTCGCGTCCAGCGATTAGCACATGCAGTAGTTGATCTCGCACAATGGCTCTATCACGTGTGTCGAGCCACAAGTCGATGATGAATGAGTACCTCTCCCGAGCGGCTTCCTCGCCGTTCTCCTCGTAGAAGTCAATGGCTTTATTGGCAAAAAATGATGCCCAATCTTGAACTACACGACACCCTTGTCGGAACTTGGACGGTGTATATATCCACGCGAGGTCTGCAAGCCTAAGCCGGATTGCCGAAACCAGACTCGCATAGTCAAAGTTGTCCCGCAGCGAGTCGCGGTCAGCTTTGGGAAGACTACTGTGTGGTTCACCAAAGAGTAGATCTGTTGTTGTAGCAAGGGTGAACTCAAAAAAATGCGGCTGCAAGTCGACTATACTGTCAATAGATGTTTCGGCTTCGCGTGAAATGGCTTCGAGCAACTTGTCTGCATGAGGAGTCAGAGCGGCAATACCACGCTCACGGATTCGTGCAAATTGTCGACGGAGCAGTTCTCTCGAATGCTTCCACGAAAGGCCGTCTTGGGTGAAAATTCCTTCTCCAAGTAGAGGAAGTAAACCTATCCGGCGAGAGCCTAGCCCGAAGTCATCGAAATTCGTGTCGAGAATTGTATTCAGGTTAACCGGGTCAGTTACGATGTATCCATCGCCTAAGACAGTCACACGAATGGTAGGGGCAGCAGTTATGTAAGGAGTTTGGAACTCGAGAAGGCGTTGATACGGAAGAGCATCGTACTGTTTCTTGAGTACGTCAAGTGCGAAAGGCCACTTGTGAGGTACAGTAGTCATGCAGGGTTGGCAGCCATGTTTTGTGGCGATAATATTCTCTTCCTTTAGACTTTCAGCGACTATTTTTCGACGCGACAGTTAGCATCGTGCTTACTAGCTTCCGTTGTCTTGCGTTGAATTGCCAGTACACCAGCAGGATGACAAACAATGTAGTCGCCAATGCTTTCAGTGGATGCAAAGTCAACGATGGAAGTTTCAACGCACGGGCTGTTGAAAGAAGGGCAATAGCAAGTGGGGATGGCGTCTCCATCCTGGCGCTAGGTGAAGAATCCGCTTTTACTTCGTCTGATACTTGGTTTGGATTTTGTGAATACTCGCCAGGTTTGAGAATGATGCGATGAAAAGAAACCAAGAAATTGGATGAATACACAACAGAGCCTGCGACTGCCCGGTGTGATGGGCAGGTCTTTAATCGAATTTGTTTCAGCCGCTCAACGCAGGCAGTAAACCGTCTCCCTGCGCCTGCATGCACATACAATGGGTGTCTCACACTGTGCCGTGTGCAGGTCTTCCAGAAATCAAGGTCATGTCATACACAACCCCCACCTTCAACACGGGATTTACCTGGGTCGCTCGGAAGGGCGTTACAGCCTGCTTGCTTGCCATCACTGAGATGATCACATTCATCCTTTCAACAATAAGCCGTGGGAATATCTCACTACTTCGGGTCAAAAGGCCTTTGACAGTATTGTATTGCACTACTCGACGTTTCTTCCCTCACTTCGCTTAGGGATTGCTTCAGCATTGCGAGGACCATGTCAATCCCATTATGCTTTGTCCCGGCACATCTTGCGACTAAAAACAACTATTGATCATTGAACGACATCCCAGGCTTCAAAGTCGTGCTTTCCCTCAAGAGAAGCAACTAAGCTTCCCGAAAAAAACTGTAAATGATACAACACTAACTGGAACGGCCAGAATCGAATCTGAGATCTGCAGGCCGCAATGGCTCAGAACGATAATGGTGTATGGACCCGATCGCCAACGGCTACTTTGATCAACGATGGAACGCGATCTCAATCAAGCATTCATACCATGTCATTCGGCAATTTTGGCACTGAGAAACTCAGTGGAGATGTGAAAAAGCTACTGGGTATCCTTGAAGCATTAAACAGACCACAGAAAGAGTTCAGAAACCTGCTCGGGCAGCTCAAGGCTCTCTTTACAGTCATACAGAATTTGAGCGATGGTGCTCTCGAGTATAGCCTCGACGGTATTCCTGACCCGGCACAGGACCGGCTTTGGCATGCGGTGGGCAATATCAGTGAGCAATGCTGCAACACTATGGAGCCTTTGGAGCACAGCTTTGAACAGGAGCTGTTGAATACTCGCGCTTTTCAGTCCTCACAGCCATCGTTGTTGCACGAACCGTCATGGCCCTACAATGAAAACATTGTCGCAATATGTGTTCATACAGATGTACTTTCCGTGCTACAAAAAGCAATAAAACTCGAATCAATGAAGAAGCAAACTGGCCCTGGAGATATGCCAGATGCCGCCTATACTCTAGCTTCCACAATATCTCACAAAGCATCAACATTGGTTGCTGATATAGATGAAAACTATTGGTAAGCATGGCTCAACCACTTTCTCTGCATCATGTAGCACTATTCGATGGATATCATTCGTAATAGTGGTTACGAAATGGCAGGAAATTTTTTCTGACGCTTGTCCCAGTTTTGACCAAAAGAATTATGAACGGGTTATAGAAGATTTGAAGAATGCGCTTCAGAATGCACTGTCGGTTGCGAGGGCAATGCCGAGTAAGTCCGTCAACAAACATTGGACAATCACAAGAGAAACCAGCAGGCTCTATACTGGCCGACGGGAGGAATTAGACACAATTTTCAAAGCATTTACACCTGCTACAAATACAAATCAAAGACGTTTTGTTGTCCAAGGCGTGCCAGGATCAGGCAAGTCTGACTTGGTGCTCAAGTATGCTGAAGAGCATATCACGTCCTACTGGGGCGTCTTCTGGCTCGATGCAAGCAGTCGAGAGAATGCTAAGGAGTGTTACGCGGAAATTGGTAGATGTGGGGGTGTCGAGCCCATAGAGAAGGCTGCTAAGCACTGGCTGTCGCACCTTCACAGCTCGTACACTTGGTTGTTGATCATCGATAATGCAGATGATGGGGAACTATCATTGGAAGATCTCTTCCCTCCCAGCGTTCCAGGCTTCGCACAAGGATGCATCCTTGTGACAACTCGCAATCCAGGCCACCTTGAACATGGCACTACGGGTCGATTGGAGCTTAAAGAAATGGACGACGCCGATGCGAACGAGTTGTTACTGAGAGCAGCGAATGTTGAGGAGCCATGGAAAGACGGTCCAATCGAGTTGGCGAAGAAGATCTGCAAGCACCTTCATTATCTACCTCTAGCCCTTTTGCATGCAGGAAGAGCCATCAGGGACGGACTTTGCAAACTGGCTGAATACATCAACTTTTTCAATTCCCAAGCCTCTCGTATTCGGCGTTCGCGACAGAGAAGACGCGACAGAAGTATGTCCAGATCACAGAAGCGAATCAAAGAGGATGATGAACATATGTCGATATTTGGCTCTTACGAAATCCTGTATGAATCATTGGAGGGGGCAGCTGCTCGAGACACTATTGGCAAATACCAAGACGCTCTGCAACTACTACGAATCCTCTCATATATGCATTTTTCCAATATTCGTCTCGATGTTATTACACGTGCCGCTACAAATCCAATAATGGAAAATCATTTCCGAAAAGAACAGGAGAATAAAGATGCGGCAATTCTCCAGCGTATAGGTCCCCTCCCTCGCCCTCCCCTAAGTGCACGGATTAAGGGTCTGGCGATTCGTATAAGAAGCCATAGCCTGTTGACTCCAAAGCCAACTTTACCTGATGTGCTCAAGGATCGCGACGAACTCGCATCAGAACTGGCTGAAGACGTGTTTTCTGATGTACACCGAGCTCTGAAAGTCCTTGTCAATAGAGGTTTAGTGAGTCGCGGCAAGGATCGGGCCGGCATTAAGCGTGAGCAAGACCGATACCATATGCACCCGCTTGTGCATCAATGGGTTCGGGAAAGGCCACAATGCTCCGTCGGCGAAGGCGCGTTGTATTGTCAAATTGCCACGACTATTCTATCCAGAGCAGTAAGGCTGGCTGGCAAAGATGAGGACGGCGAGAAGGAGATGCGACGTGATATGAAGCCACATATCGACAATGTGCTCGACTATTCCAAGAAGCTTCAAAGGGATTTGCAAGAAAATCGCCAACGAAAGAGGACCCATATTTGGTCATTGCTTTTCGGGGATAGTGAGCCAAAAGAACTCGGCGGGACGCGGGCATATGAATTCGGCCGCTTTAGCAGAGTCTACATAGAGTGTGGCGCTTTCAGCGAGGCGGAGGAACTACTGCAACGGGTTCACAACTACGTGACTGCACGTCTAGGTCATGACCACGAAATATCCCACGTGGTGAAGCAGGCTCTCGCTTTTACCCTCTGGAATGAAACCCATTGGAATGACGCGGCCCAGCTTCTGCGCCAGGTGTACGTCTCCCGCACAAAGACATTGGGTTCAATGCACCCATTGACTATACAAATTACAAATAAAGTCGGAGAATCAGCACTAACCCAGGGACGCATTACTGAGGCTTTGCAGCTGCACCAAAAAGCTAAAGCCTGCCTGATAGAAATTCATGGAGAACAACATCACGAGGTGCTGAAAACGACTAGATTGATCGCCAGATGCTATTTCTATCGCTTGGATTGGAAAAGTGCAGTCGCCCTGCATAGAGAAGCCTCCAGCGGCCTACGAAAACTTTGGGAAAAAGATGCGACGGATGAATTAACTGAAGAAAACGTGCTAGACAGTGAGGAGGACTTCGCAATGGCATTGATCCGGCTCGAAAGAGACAATTACGACGACGCGCTCAAAATCATGCGGCACGTAATGGATCGAAGAACGGAAATTTTGGGAAAAGAGGCACCTTTCGCTTTAGTCGCGAAAGCCAATTACGGCCAAATTCTTTCCAAGTGCGGGAGATTCCCAGAAGCCAAAATTCTGATGAGGAAGACTTTGGATGTCGCGGAACGCAACTATCACGAAGACCATCTTGGTGTAATCGCTGGCAAGGGCTGGTACGGGAAGGTCCTCTTGGAGAACGGAGAACTCGAAGAAGCGGCATATTACTTCCGCCAGGCCATGAAGAAAGAGCATTACAGCAAAGCCGCAGCCGATGACGGAGAACACCCAGATCGGATCATGGTCGTGTGGTTGTATGTGCGGTGTCTAAAGCAAGAGGGCAAATTCAACGAGGCGCTCAAGCTTTGCAAGGAGCTTGAAATAAACATTCCTTTGATTGGGGGGAAAGGTCTCGGAAACAAGCATGTCTTTGCTGAAATGCTACCAGGCATAATTGAGGATATTAAGAAACTGCAGACTTCAGCGGACTGTGTGCGAGATTCGGGCTCAGTTGCTCGTCAAAGGCGTAATGTGTCTTGAGGCAACCATACTAATGGTGCCTGGTTGGCAGTCGTGTGATGGATACAGCGATTTTCAACAGCTGGACTGGACATGCTCGTCCTCTTATCGTTAGGCCACGATGCAATGGGCCAGGCACGCTTATAGCGCCGTCTTCCAGGAGTCAATGGCAAATGTACATAATTTCCGGTCCAGAGAACGAGCTTGCTGTATGTGAACGTTGGAAGTTGGTTTATCAAGACCTACAATTGCGGGAAGTGCCGCTTATGGTCGCAATGTGCAGAGGAGGCGATTAGAGACTGTGAATCGAAGAAGCCACGATCTGCCGACGCGATCCATGACGCTTGTGCTTCTCGAACATCTAGGTATGCCACTAGGCCAACGTCAACTTCCCGTCCTAAAGTCTTGCTGCCAATTTTACCTTTTTATCTAACAGTCTTTCAATCTTCAGCAACCGCTTATCTTGTCCCCATAACCTACTACGCAATTGCTAGGTTCGTAACGGCGCAAGCGAAACGAAGTCGAGACTCTAAGCTAGCATCGACCGCTAACAAATCTCCATTCTCGCAGCGCAAATTGTGCACAAACTCAGTAGCTCATAACCGAAAAGAATACAACTCAGTATAGAGGCCCTGTTAGCTCAGCGGTAGAGCGCCTCACTAGTAATGAGGAGGTAACTGGTTCGACTCCAGTACAGGGCAATACTCGACTTTATCTTTTGCATTTTGTGCAGATTTGTTCTTTTGCCGCCTGACTATCGTGCCAGCTCGTTTCAGTAGGTTAATCTAATTAATCTACTTGTCGTTGTTGACCATGCAATAAATTTTGTTCTACGCACGAGTCCAATAATACTCTACAGTAACGCATTGCGGATTATTGGATGATTTATTCGATACGTAGCCTGGGGACCATGAATATGACCGACCGACCCATGTAGTCAAGTAAGGTTCCATTGCTTTGAACTGAACAATATTTACCAGCTGCTTGTGTAGTGTTAACAAGTCTAACCTTACCCAATTTATTTTCTTATTTATCTTAAGCCGTGGAACAATACGACTTAACTGCTGTTCAAGGAGACCTTGACGTTCATTATCGAAGCTCACTTTATGCGGCGTAGTCATCTAGCTAAACTACTTTGATGCCAGGGCTAATGGAGCTGTGAAATGCGAATAGAATAGACATGCGCCTCTGATGTCTTCACACGACTCGACCGAAGCTGCGTGTGATGTGACATTTGAAAAGCCTATTCCGTTCTATTGACTGTTCTGGGCGTCCTCCAGCCACGCTGTAAGTCAAGGTTGGTCTGGCGGGGCAATGCCTCAGAATTGCCCCGCGTGAGGCGTGCCCATCTATAACTTACCAAAGAACACAACAACACAACAATACATGATCGAGTCAATAACCCACACATAACGAGGACCACTCTCGAACACACCAACATGGCAACGTACACGAGCTCATCCGGACCGTCATCCTATCGCGACTGTGTGGGCGCCCTGCGCAACTCCCTGTCGCATCTAGAGTCCTCCGTCGAGACTCTGGGCACAGGTGTCGCGGACTTCCCACGTCTGATGAGCGTGCTCAAGACCGTCAGAGTAAGTCCATCCGACGTGCTCCGAGACACTACCAGATGGCGCAACTGACATGCTGACCGAAACGTAGCACTATGAACTCATTCCCCAGCCCACCCTCGCAGCCGCCGAGGCTTCTCTGCGCGACGAGATAGGTCCCGCTATTGCCGTGCTTCTCGACCGCGCCGACTCCCACATTGACCGCGTAGAACGCCGTATCGAATCTCTCAAGGCTCGTTCCGAGCTGCAGCAGGGTCGTCTTACGGAGACCACTGGCGTCCGGAATGCACCTTATGGCCGTGCCAAGAGCAGCAGTACCGGCCAGAAGCTGGGCGGCGAGGCAAAGCTCAGGGCCAAAGCTGTGAAGCAGAAGAGGGAGGCACTCGAGTACAGCATCGAGAGATTAGAGCTGGAGGTGTCGCAGAAAGAGAGGGAATTGAGAAAACAGGTCGAAAAGTCATGAAGAAATGTGAGAAACATGCAGTCCACCCCGACCTGCCACGCTGGGTCTGCGGTTATTCTCAATCTCGACTTGCTACCACGAAGCAACCCCTAATGCCAACTGGCCCGGAGTAGCCGTACGATATCTACGCCAGCGCTCATACAAGAGATGGGAAAGTCAACCACCACATCACCAAACGGCTATGCTAATGGTGGGATAATTATTACAAGCGGTGGACGTCTTTGGGCCGACGAGTGCATACGCACGAGGAAGTCATGAACACGGGAGTCATTGGCCGCCACAAATTGTGTCGCCAGGATTCCATCAATATCGCCATCAAACATGGCAAGGAGAACAACAAGCCCATCATCGACCGTAAAATCACGAGTCATTACATGTTCGTAAGTTTAAATTGAATTCGCTTGCTTTGTATCATTTGTTCTAATCTTTAAACCAGCATGCCCTTCTATCGTCGAGCTGCTTCTCTCAGGGCTTCTGTTCTGGACTTGCTGTGTGGGTCAAGGTATGGTTGCTCACCAATACCCACAGCTCGGTTTCCGAATCGCTCGCCTATATCATCGTAATCAAATGTCGCGCTGTGGAACGCACTACGGTTATCCCAGATGGCTGTGTCGCGATCGTTAGCAGGTTAATCTCAACAGGCGGGTCCGCGTCTGCTTACCAATGTCATTCTCATTCCTCCACTTGAATCGAACCTGCAGATCGTGGTTCTCGGTGATGATTTGCCTGAACTTTTTCAGGATGGCCTCGGATTCATCACTGTATAATCCGTTGATGTGCTTTGGGAATGGTCCAACGGCGAAGATACTCTTCCAGCCAGTAACAGGATTTGTACGCACGACGGGATGAACAGCCTCTAATCCTGCGCCTACGTTCAACGGGTTTCCACGCGCCTCTTCGTAAATCTTAACGTTGGGGTTCTGCTCGACTGCCCGGTGAAATCCATCACCACTGAAGGTCGCCGTCAATCCCTCGAAGAACTTCTGATACGGTTTGGAGAAACGGTCGTAGATCTCATAACCAGAAGCCCAGAGCGTGTCACCACCAGTGCTGGGCAATTGAGTCAACCGCAACGAGGTGTAATCTGCGGGTACTGGCTCAAATTGGATATCTGAGTGCCATTCTGCAGAGTCATAACGACCCCTAGAAGGGTTTGCCTCGTGCTTGAAGACTGTCTTGCGTTGGCGAGAGCTGATGGTGCTAATCTCGTGATCACCCACGCCGAACTCGGACGAGTTGTTCAAGACCGGGTGGATATGGAGGGTGGAGTCCTTTGGCTTGCCAGTCACCTGGCCAAGACGATGCACGAATTGCTTTTGCAGGTCATTGCTGAGGTTGTCCTGGGCGCGGAAGAAGACAACGCCACGCTGTGAGACTGGAAGAGATGGTCAACAACGCCTACTCAAGTTGCCCGGAGGAGTGGCCCTTACTGGTGATGGCGAGATCTCGCAGAAGATCGTCGGCGTTATCGGCGTTGAGCAGGTCGTCGACGATGTTGACACCTACGTACTCCCGCCCAATGACAGGAGTTGTTTCTTCATACTTGAATTTCTCAAGAGCGCCGCTGAGCCTCAAGGGTTTCGGGTAGGACTTGGTCTTCGTGCTCTCATCCTGAGATGAAAGGGAGTGCACGGGTATGTCCGATGTGAGTCCAGGGGCCATGGCTGCAGCAGTTTCGTATTATAGAATGTCTTTCAATTGTTACAGATCGAAATATACCACAATTTTGAAGTGTTCTCATTATGCGAATGTTCTTATCTTATATGGAGTCCTGGCGCTTCCCCATGGCGCCGGTATACTAATCCCGTGGGGTAATCACGCAATATTTGGAAACATGAGCACGCAACCTATTGTGGGACTGACGTCTTGCCTAGCTGCCCGATAGTCGCCTATAGCCAAATTTTACTGGTCTAGACCGTGTTTTCATGAGATTCATCTGAGTCTGAGGGATATCGTAACGGAATGTTTGCCCAATTGGCGGTGACGAATACCGATTGCCGATGTTTGAGTTGGCTCGCGTAATCATCTACTCACAAGCGGCTCACACACCACCAGTCCGCACATCGAACCATGGACTTTCTAGGCGCAACACATTGACACTGCGGGGGACAGTGATAGAAAAAGAAATCAAGCGTATAACCATTTCCCTGGCGAATGATTGTAGAAATAGTTCAGTTTGTCCTGCTACAAAGGTTTCAGAATCCATTCGTTCTTCCTATTCTCTTTCTAGTGCCCCTTCAACCCTAAATTCAACTAACTTCTAAGTACTGTTGCGAGCTTCAAGCAAGTCTAGCATCGGTTTATCTGTCTTGAACTCGCGGTCAAACCAGTCCGGCAGCTCTGCCGCGATCAAGTTGTCACTCCATAGTCCGCGACCGGCTCTGTTGTGTTTTACTTCAGATGCGTCGATAGATGATAGCATGCCGGCCACTGTGGAGACAAATTGGATCACAAGCGCTTGTGATTTACTTGTCTTGTTCATCGGGTCCGACTCCAGTGCACTTGTTCAACCATTCTCTCAGCTCCGCCAATGCTGACGACGGGTTTTCACCTGGAAGATCCTCATCATCTGAGGCCCGCCCATCCCTGGCTTGTCGGTAGGCATCATCGAAGGCATGCATGAGTTTTGACACTCGAACATCCCTACAACAACGTGGATTGCTGAACTACCGTCGGCACCCTCTTGGCGCCCATGGCGGCTTAGTCGAGGCAGGTGGTCATCCAATAGTCGACTATGGGTCTGGGGTACTCCGTCAAGTGGTTTAAGGATGTGCTCTTGTTGTTACTCTGCAAAAAAGCCAGCTCCAGTGTATGTATAAATTGGTGCTCAGTGACGTTCAGTACCTTGTCAGTTACCAAGTTCATGAACTTTGCGGCGCGACTGATGTGACCCACGTCGTTGGTAAGGTTATAAGAGGCTGTAGATGCACGCATGCAGACACTGACTGCAGTGGTAACATGCCAAGAGCTCATGGAAGTTGTTTCGCTGCCGTGTAAGCACTTGAGGTCGCAAAGGCCAGTATAGATCCGAGAGATGTCGCCATCTCTAAGTTGAGAGGTAGTAAACGTGCAGCCTCATAGAGGTGTTTGGTTCCATGAACCTTGGGCACAGGACTACCACGTGATTACTCGCCGGAGAGCTTGTCAAATGACACATCCTGTTCGGTCTTAACAATCTGACCACGTAAGTAAGTGACAGTGGCATTGACATTTAAGATAACGGAATGGCCACTAAGTGGAGCGATATAGCAATGTGGATTAGCCATCGATAGGAAGGTTCACGGCGCCTTCTCGATAGCTTTGATAACTTGCCGTTTACTGCGATATCTCAACGAGAGTAACTCTGAGATATACCGTGCGTAGTAGTGTTTGTACCTCAGGGTCGTTGACTCCACCTCCGGGGAAACCCACAACATTTCCTTCCAAAGAAGGCCAAGTTCGAAAGATGCAAACGTGATGATCTTTTGGAATAGCTCGAAACTCAGTTTCTCGGAATCAAGGACATCCATTTGTCCGACATCGATAATGCGGCCCAGGAGTGTCAAATTTTTGAAAGGTTAATGGAACGAATGTTCTGTGGTGGCGATGAGGATGGCGTCGATAATACGACCCCCAGTGCCTTTAACCGCACTTCCAAGGTCGGCTACGGTAGTGAGAGGGATATATATGAAGCAAATGCATTCAACTCTTCGACAAGTCATTGAGATTGTATCGGAATCGAAGTCATTCCTTGGACTTGAAGAAAACTGCGCATTCGCAACACCTCAGCCATCGCCCTTCATCTCCACCACGAGTCCTTTCCTAGTATTGACGGATTAGGGAAGCGCGTGGCTGAGCTCCATCGCCTTGAAATTATTGTCCTCAAAGCAGGTGTCAAGTAGATGGTGTCAAGTAGATGGATTATGTTCAATCGTAAACTGGCCACGAGGCTCATGTAAAGGTAGGTCTTTGCGTCCTAATACATTGCATAGCTAAAAAAAAATAGCTCATCCGGGCGATAGCTGATGATTAAGTCACAGTTTTGGGTCAACCATCTGTGTATGCCCCTCGTCTCGTTATATACGCTCAACCCGCTCCATCGTACCGCCAGAGCTTCCGGCGCTCTAGGCCGCCTGGCTATTGTATCCTCCAAAAACCACTTTGGGCCGAGTTCAAGCAACTTGGAGCACCCAATGCACTTTTTGAACTTAATACAAGCCAAGCCTGCTTTAAAGGAACACCCAAGTTCAATATCGAGCATCCAGCACGAGCGAACTACATAATGTGTTTTGAATGCGGGAACTCAACGCTAGAGCATCCAAACTCCAAACAGAGATTATTATCATTACTGTAGACTCGGGCTCTTGCGTCAGTACGCTGTATAGGGCGGACGCACAAGGTATTAAAGCTGTCAACCTCCTTGGGCGGGACGGCTACTCAGGGTGGGCAGTGGCTGACTGACCTTGCTACGCGACATGGTGGATACGGGAGAGCATACATCACCGAGCAAGTCGTAAATAAGTGAGTGCACATATTCTACATACATGTCATCTGAGATGAGGCAACAGTTGACCGTATGATCAAAGGCAAACTTTATTTATCACGTTACCTGTTAGAGCACAAACGCAAAAGCAAGAACTGGAACGAAATAGTCGAGGTTTTCCAAAAATAAAGCTCCTCTTTGAGTTCAGCTTCATGAAATAGATGAGGCTTGACAATAAAATGACAACAACCTAGATGATGCTACGAAAGGGTGGTGTGGACAAAAGTCTAAGAACTTTTAAACTCCGGAGCTGACGGCCCTTATGTAGCATATTGGGGGTATGTTGGCTGGCAACAAGCCGTGGCTTTGTTGTTACTATTGTGTATGCCCATCGTTAGCTGGCTATTTCACTTCATTTTGGTACATCAACGCAGATAGCCAATCATCAACAACACCCGGGAGGATATGGGTAAAGAAGGATATAAGCTATCATAATTGTTTGCAAGAGTTGTCATAGTGCGTGGAAGACCGGCGGTCGACGCCTATCTGCCGTACATAGTAGCTGAAAACAGCATAGCAGGTACACGGCGGCTGTAGACGGCGCATAAAACAATAATGTGATTAATACCGAAGTTTCAGATCAAGACAAAGACAGCATCACCCAAATTATTGTTTTTACTCTTCTTTTATTATGAGCCGGTCTTAAGGTGATATTGAAACTTGCCTGTTTATTTTATTTTATAACAACTTCAATTTTATTATAAATCGACATTATGATTGTTTAATAAGCACTAAGATTATTCCAATACTCATAAACTCCGTTGTATATGACACGTGTATAAGGAGATCTGATAATTCTTTTCCTAGAATAAGTTTCTTTAGCAAGACATTACTAGCCCACATCAACTTGACAGTTCGTGACGTTGTAGGCTTTTTGTCTCACACTCTTCGTGTCAATTATAAGAGAATCACTTAGTCGCACCCCATATTCTCACATAAAGCCAAAAGTCTTTCGATAAATCTTCATAATTATAAAGCTTATTCTAAAATCTCGTAATCTCAACATTACTGCGAACATGTTTCTTCATAGCTAGGTTTCAACTAATAGACATGTTGATATGTAGACAATATTGCTTAATCCCTACCAACATTTCCGTTTAGGAAACTCACTTAGCCGGAGGTCCTCCCGGGCCACCTGGGAAACCACCACCTCCTGTCGCCTCACCACCGTGGTCAGTGAGTTTGTAGGAATATGTCGGGGTATACTTGGCTGAGGGATTGACACCAACGTAGAGCCAAGAGAAGATACCAGACTCGATATTATCACCAAAGTACACGTAGTTAAAAACAGGGTCGGACGTAGATTTGGCGGTCTCCTGCTGGCCGAAGACACGGTCCGCGGCGTTTTTGGTCAGGCGCTGGGTGTTGGTGCTGTATGGAGTTGTGGCTTCGACGGAATTGATTAGCTTCTGGTCCCAGAAGAACTGACCGATGTGGGAAGCTGTTCCACCGATGATGGTACCATTCTCAGCCTGTGTGGCGTCCTCATGGACAACGACGTGCAAGTGAGTCGCGCGACCCGCGTAGTGACCAGGGAACTTGGTTGTGAACTTGACAACTCCCTCCTCGTCGGACTTTTGGATACCACGCAGTGCCGTGTTGTTCAAATTGGTGGCATCGGCGCCGTTGCCGTTCATATTGGTCTGGACACCGGAGTAGACCCCAGTGGAGTTTGCGCTCCAGATGTCGAAGTAGGCATTGGTGAGAGGCTCACAGGTGGAGACGTCAATTAACTGGGCCTCGAGGACGACGTCGACACCAGGCTCAGTGTTACGAATGTCCGAGCGGACGTACTCGCCAAGGACGTAAAAAGGTCCAATCTCGCCCTCTGGGTTGAGCACGGTAGAGCCTCCGGAAGTAAAGATGGTCGAGGGATCTGCGGCAGCCTCCGTCGCATTGATGGCGCTGTTGTAATGGTCCTTCAATAAGATGGAAGTGGTGTCGCGCTTGATAACATTCTCCTGGTGGTATGGACCTGGGAGCGTCGTTAGCTAATGAGATGTAATCTTGCAGAGTGATCCTTACTGTTGACAGCGATACGGCGGGCAATACGCTCCTGGTTGAAGTCTGCCAGGCGACGCTCGATAGCACGTTGATGAAGAGCCTCCAATTTTGTGCTACACGCCTCAAGGGCACGCTTGTTAGCGTGGTATGTGTCGCGTTGGGCGAGTGCTTTCAGGGCATCCTCGCGCTCGTGGCCGGGGTGAGCAGAAGCAAGGGCGGCAAAAGCGAGAACGAGAGGCGTGCTGTAAAGCATCTTCGCAGGTTACTGATGAAGGATATAATAGTAATGACCGTACTCCGCGATTGAAGTTGTTGTTGTAATTCTCTATCGTAAGTGTCACTGACCATACTTTATATATTCAAGAGATCTTGTAAAGCCTTAACATTCATGAAGCTTCGAAGTTCCGACCGAGCGACTTACATCCGACCGACCTTCCACATAGGTGTAGCAGTATACCATGTGTTGTATATATGCCTACAGGGATGTGATTAGAAAATGTGCGTCTCTCATTGGTCCTACTGCAGCTGACTGCCGCAGCGGGTCCGCGGATCCGCAACATAGAGCCTGAAAGGGCAGTAGAATTAAAAGCTACGGGTACCCTCAATCCCCAAGCCTCCGTTGATGGCCTGGTGGATTGAGGCTGTTTCAAAGAACCACTGGCCAATCTCGTAAAATCTTTCGAATCAATTTTAGCGACCTGATTCGACTTCTGGTTTCCACAGTATGTAGCGACGTTGCCACCAATACAACTCGGTTGGATAGGTTGAATTTAGGCATAATCAAAAGTAGAAAGTCTACGTAAGCGTGGCAGCGAATTCAGGTCGATATAAATTGCGCCGATTTAAAACCAGGAAGTATTGGTTGATCTAACTCCATACCAGCCTATGTTGGATCTCTCAAATACGATGTTTTGTGGTCATTTCTGCCAGAAGACTTACACGTGGCCACGAGGATCTGTGCTGCTGAGATCTCATCAAACTCTATGGATAGGCAGGCACTGTAGCGCTCGTCATAATTTAGATTGCCTTTTCCCTGACGTTCCGCCGAGTCTTCGCGTATCACTATCTGGAAAACATCTCCAACGTCGTGCCTTAATCGACGATAAGTCATACGAGTGATTCTAGTGCTACCTTCTTTCAACGCTGACAATAAGTTCCCGGAATTCGTTTCGTTCTCTTCTGGCCTGCTTTGTATGTCTATATGAGATCAGCGTTAATACCAACGTTGGTTCTTTAGCTCCGGATCAATACTAACAATTTTTGTGCCCTGAATCATTTAGTCTAGTCCGACATTGAGTCAATGTGGCAAGGAATTAGCAACATGATTGTATATATACATTGATCGTTGCTGTCGAATCTTTATCCGAAGATAGGCGGAAAGTGTCATTGTATTGTCTATCCTTAAGTTGGCATTAAACGTTTGCTGCGAAACGCCATGCTTATCCGAGGGGCCATGTTATTGGCAGAACAGGAAAAGAAGTTCCGCTTCTCGGTGTATGTCATTTGCCACGTGCGAGCGAGCGATCGAACAAGCTTCAACCAGGATATCTTTAGATTGAGCGCAAATCCTCAACGACGTAGGGTTCCGACATTGCTCCTTCTATCTTGAGACTGTCGTTTCTTTCATTTGAATGGCGCAATGGAACTTAGCGATGAATGCCAAGAGCATGGACGGCACCGGGCAGTATTTAAGGCTTAGGAGCTCGGTATTTGAAAAATCACCGAAGGCTGAAAGACCCCTGGCGATGACGCGGCATCGCTCCAACCAAGGTCTGCTTTCTTGTAGTTTGATTTCGATATGCGATGCCTGTCAAATGGTGGCAATACGCTTCCCACCCAACAAAGCCAAGGACGAGAACGCTCAGCACCAGAATGTAAGTAGAGGAAACCAATCGAGGGCTTGTATGCGATATGACCTCGCCAACACTGCGCGATTCAATTCCCTGTCGTCTAAAACGCTATGTTTACAATTGCAGACTTCTTTGTTGGAGTGTGCTCAAAAAATTCGGAAATGACGACCTACTCTCCGTCAGTCGCTGACGTTTATATCCTTGCCGTCAAAAGTTCAGTTTCTGTGGCAAGAGGCTCGAATGGCCCGTATCCATCAAGAACGTGAATGCCATAAAACCAATCAATGATGCAGAACACGCTTTCTCCAGGCTCTATGATTGTCGCTGAACATACTGTCAATGGTGGCTTGGAGAGGCCTTGGTCCTTTGGCATGATACATCTCGGCTGACCAAGCAGAGCCCTTACCGCGTATACAATACTTTCTTGTTCCTCTAACTAAGATATTAAAAGCTCTTGATTAGAGGTTGGCAGTGCTGTGAAGCCAAGCAATGCAACTTTTAAAATGGCCCAAGATGAAGAATCCTGTCGAATTCAATGTCTAGTATAACTTACTGGGCTTCGTGTTAGTATGCTTCTGATGGTAAATTGGTGATCAGAATAATATTAACATCTTATCCAAGTTCCAAATAATTGTATAGATACTAGCGCAGACATGGTCATCACCACAAAGCATCATATAGCTCACAGCCCTTCCCACGGTTGGTGACAATATCCGCATTATCGCGGGCGACAACTTATTGATTCAACAGGACAAAAACATATTTGATCACATATGTCATCAAAAGAGGTCCAAAGCCAATGTTTTGTTTTACAATCAGGTTTTACCATTGTTGATCTTTCCTATTTTACCTAGATGATGGCGTGTCGTTGGATTACGGCTGAAGTCAGCTCGTCGACCTACCGGCCCGTACGGCCTGGCGTGACTTCCGACGGACAGGTCTGCGACTAGTAAGGAGCCGAAAAGGGTTTAAAGCATCTGAAATTGCCGATTTATTACCCTAGCCTTAGTAAAGCTCCTAAATTTACCATAAAGCTCCTAGCTGGCATATGTTGCATGGCGGAGTTTGACCGTGGCGAATATCCTTTTTAGCGTTTGGAAGCTTGGGAGTCCAGTTAGGCAAAACGGTAGGCGATAATCTCTTTTCTTTTTCCCAACAGCCGTTTCACTTGGAAAGAATCCAGTCACCAGTATCATAGCTGTGATTTGTGGTATGGGACACGACATATGTACGAACCATACTCGCATGTCACATTAAGGGGAGCGTGGATCGAAGAATTGCTTTTTTTTCCTGTTGGGCCTCACGCATCGCTTATATAATCGGAAGCAAAGTCCAAGTTCTAACAAATGAAATCTAGAGATGACTTGCCACGGCCAAGTGGGCCTCTCATATCGCATGAAATGATACATGCATGCGTTTGGGCGGCTCGAGTCAGTTATGATTCGAGAGCCCTCGCTCATTGAACAGTTCGGTGTGTGGCCAGGCCCAAGTCTCGGATGACGACGGACGTTGGGGTAAGTACAACGCATGGGACCCTCAGGGGCAGCCTCTCGTATCGACAAAAACATGGCTCGCTTTCTGAAATTGATAGACTTTTGTGTATTTATACCAGCCTTAGCGCCTATAACGCCGGGCCCCAGATTTCCACAGCTTTCTTTCACATAAGGGCATTCGTAACGGATTTCAGAACTCTACTCAGGATTTCTGTATATCAATGCTATCAGTAATTACTGGTCCCAGAGAACAAGAATGACAGGTCAGGCAGAAGAGGTGTGTCTCACAACTATTAGATATGCTCTCTTACTAAATAATTTGAGCAAGGTGCAGTCGTGCTTCGTAACTACAATATCCGCATTGGAAACCGGTTTCGAGAGGTAAAAGATATCATCATGTTTTCGGTGTGGTTTTATTAACACCGTGATAAGCATCATACGATCCAGGCCTGTGAGCTTCGTAGCTGGCAACTCTGAGACTGAATATGTGCTCCATGATGGTGTCGTGGCACGCTTATCGAAACCCCTCAATGTTCTTGTCAACGGGATGTTGAAGGAAGCAAGAGATAGGCGCGTTGAATGGCCCGAAGTGGATGAACAAACCTTTATACGGTTCAGCCAATGGGCATATACGGGGATATACTTTGCCGCCGATCCTGATATCGTGCTGTATCCTTCCGACATAACTGCCGCCCTGGCACATGATACGGCAGAGACTGGAGATCCTGTACACATGGAGAAGGTAGTAGCCACTAATCAATCAAATGCGCTACCAGCCATACCACAGGATAATGCGGAAAAACCAACTCCTTATTCCCTGGCTTCTTGCCTACGAAATGCCCTAGGTGCGGCACCTATGACCTGCAGTCGAGGTCATGCATTCGGGGTTGTTCCGACGATCGACAAATTATGTGATAAATGCTCAAGAAATTTCAGAGTAGCAATCTGCTCCCAGAAGCTGACACCCACCCGGAAGCTTGATACATGCGGCTTGCCGCAATATTCTGTCTGTGTGAAATGTAGGGAAAGATTGAGGGACTCAAAAAGGCTCCTGATGGCCACGAAATTTGTCTATCCGACGCCTGCACGACCATTTCAAGCAAGGCCAAACCGAGAAGCAGCAGAGGACTACAGTGAAGTCTTCTTTTCCCATGCCAAGTTGTATGTTGTCGCAGATATTTACGACATAACATTACTTGCTAAACAAACTTTGCACAACCTTGCAACAACGCTGGAACAGTTCACTCTTTACAAGAAACGGATTCGCGACGTGGTGATATTAGTCGAATATGTTTTCAAAAACACACAAAAGAAGGATGCGATGCGTGACCTCTTGGTACATTATGCCGCATGTTTTATTGAGGAGCTCAACGAGGACGTCGATTTCAAATGTACACTTGAAAACTGTCCGGAGTTTGCGTCGGCTTTGATAGCAAAGATGATTGAGCGATTGGATTAGCGCATTGGAATGCTTCAGAGGCGGTGCAGCTTTCCGTACGCGTTTGTTGTATTGCTAGTTCAATCTTCCATATTGAATTACCACAGACATACGCAAATTACCTTGATTCTGACATGTATTTCCAGACCTTAATGATTGCCTTTCTGCAGTCGAACTGAGTGCTTTGAGGATATCATAGGACTAAACACAGATCTAGGCAGGCTAAGTTTGGACGATGGAGGCACCAGCTGCTTGCGTCTAGTTGGTGAACACTTATTTGTCTTAAAATTCAGCATTTCTTTCGAAGTAAGTAATATTGCGATGCAGTCTAGGTTCATCGTTGACACCACGTTAAGAGAAAGACAGATGACCTCCATAGGACAAATACTAGAGATCCAACTCATCTACAGCCATTATGCTTTACCATCGTCATGATACTGGCCAGCATTCAGCTCTAGTGAACATGAAAAGCGGACAACACAGCATTCGCCATAGTGCAATCCTTGTTCAGCTTTGCACAGAGAAGATCGAATAAGAAAAACAGCAATGTAAAACCAAAAGCGTAACTAAAATCTCTCATCCAGCATCATTTACTACTACTAATCAAGTATGTTTCCATCGATAGCAGATCTGGAGAGCGCCCGGTGTCAATGTGGCGACGGGCATATATTAGTCGCTGTCATTGGAGGACGTGGTACTGTACCAATGGGCATGTAGATCATCAGGCAACATTGAATCTCTTTCAACCTTCTTCACCATCAAGTTGTATCCCAGTCCTTCATATCTCAATTCTGCACTTCCGCCGAACCTTTTTGCAGCGGAGATGATCTCCTTGATCAATGTTGCCAACTTCCTCAATTTATCCTGATTCCTGCGCTCCCATGCACTAATATAGTCGGTCATATCCTCCACCTGTGGTTGCTGAAAGATGCCGTTGCGATGATAAGCACGCACAAGCTTTGGTGTCTGAGATACCCATAGTTGAGGTGCAATATCGGAGGCATTGATGAGTTTGTGAGCAACGCGCGTCTTGATCTCAAGAATGGATTCAGCAGGCACTTGTGAACCTTGCTCCTGGATCATAAGCTTAGAGGTAGCTGGCTTGTTCGTTGTGCTGACGAGAGGATAAGGATCGATAGTCGCTGAAATAGACATGGACCCTAGGAGATCAGCAAGATCCCCCTCTTTGTTCATCTTTGAACTCTTCTTGCTGGATGATATTTTGGTGCCTGCAGCGGCCACGTACCCGTCTACTTCGTAGCGCACAAGCAGTTTAAGGCCGGCGAAACCGTATGTGATGATCCGGTGGTGACCGGTGCTGTTTTTGATAGGGGAATCAGTGTAGGCTTTCTCGAACTCGTGGCCATAACCCTTGAACTCGTGTGGTAAGATCACCTCTTTGGTCTTTGACTCAGTCCGGGCAAAAATAATAGTGTTCCCTCGAACCTCAATATTGATGGTAAATGCCTCAAGTCCATTTCGACTGGATGATGGATCAACAAAAGTTAGGAGCTTGCGGAGGTTGTTCCGATCGCTCACGAGATCAACATTGCGTACATCAAACTCCGGTTTCATCAAAAAGAGTGCACGGAACAAAGGCTCCAAAGGACTTTCAGGGTGGCGCGCTGCATTTTGGGCGATATAGATCAGTCCACAGTCTTTAGGAAGTCGTCGTGGTGTAGCGAGTGGACTCCACTTTGGTGGGATGCCCGGCACGGCAATGGTAGGCGCTTTTGACTCAATCCAGCTATAGGATGCCACATACTCGGAATTAGTAATGGTCGCGCTGGAGCTGTCGCCTTGAATATCGTGTCGTGATATCAGCAAGATAGTTTTTGGAGACATGTTGGGTATGTTCTCGTACTTTGGCATTCGTTCCTTGAGAGAATGGAATGTACAAATCTTGAGACAAATCTGATGCTGCGCACACAAAATCTTAAATCAGGTAGGAATGAGCGTAGGAAAGTGAAGTGGCCGCACTGTTGCCTGACTAGTCTTTCCATCAATTACGACGAAGTCTCAGTTTCGAACGCTCCTATGTCTTTGCCCGGCTGAACTTCGTGCATGGTTTTTATGTTGCTTTTCGGTTTTCGATTTATTTTCTTTGGCAGTGTGGTAGCACGACCGAAACTTAGATCACCTACACCAACGGCGTTCTCCAACGTATCCATGCGTCCTGTAGACGACCAGATTTAGCCCTAAAATGTACAAGACCTACCGATATATCAACTCACGTAGCCTTGAGACCTACACCGAAGGGGGTCGAAATCTATTCAGCTGACCTGCTGCAGTCGCCAGGTTACGGCAGAAGCCGTAGGTTCTAGATGTGTTGATAAGACGTACTTATTGCATTGGTTTATAGGATCCCATATCATACTACGATGGATCCCAGCTCGTTCTGGTAATATTTGCAATTAATACCACATAGATACTACTCCCAAACTCGGGATACCAGTGCGCCTACCTGTGGGCAGATAATTTGATATTGGATACCATTGTAACTGCGTATACACAACAATAGTGTAGGCTTGTTGGCCTAATTCGGGCGCCATAAATTGAATCTCCTTCACTCACCACTTCCTGGCCCAATCCCCAATCAATATTGAATTTGTCGCTAGGATTCTTAGCGGAGGCCTCCTAGTCGAGATCAAGGAGAGCCTTGGTGTGGAAAAGAGTCTGTTCATGCCTAAAGTGCATATAGTCAAGCTATGTGCCGTGTCATAATAGGTACGGTCAAGCATGAGGCGGAACGGGAATTTCCGATTTGACAGTCTCAATGTGTTGTACGACTTCATTCGCGACGGACGTGTTACAAAACATTTATTTCCGAACACGAAATACGGTCGACCGTCTCCTGCCTCTTGGGCTGCACATCTTAGGGTGATATGCAAGAAAAAGCAAGCAGAAGAATCGAATTTTGTGCAACCGCGTCGAAGTCAAGCTTGTCAGTTGTGATATTTTCATAACAAGATTAGATTACTGTGCACGACTATCAGCAAGAATCTTTAGCAAGAATCTTTACTATATGCCTCAATTTCCCTGAAATCAAGGTCTCTTCATTGATTGATTTTCATATTCAAGTTGATTAGAGTGTGGACTTTCCATCGAAGAACAATGAGATGTCGTCCTGATAAGAAAGTTTTTCATTGAATTTCAAATCGCAGGATATACAGTGTAAAAAATTCTCATACAACCGTCTTGCAACTGTTAAGACTGAGGACCATAATAATCCACAAATTACTGATTTAGCTACTGCGGCAAATCTTTTCCGTTTCAATCAGAGTTTTACTCAACCTGAACTGCCGTTTTTGCGAACGACTTTCTTGGTTCTGCTGTTGCTGCTCCCCATGAAGACAACAGCACCCATAGTCCTGCTCAAGGGAATGAAATCACTGCCGCCACCGGTCCTAAAGACAGGAATTCCCACTAACTGGTCTCCCACCACTAATGTTACAAACAACCACATTCAAGTCTTGTAAGTTACACATATACTGCCCGAACACCAAAAAGTAGTATCAGTCGAATAGGCTACAGAACATCGTCTTGTTGCAGAGTCTTCCTTTTGTCCGGTCTCCCGACTTGGCCGTCATTCCCTACAGCATCCTTCCCAAAGCTTGCACCAACTTCTCACCAGCATGACCAACTCAAGCCATCTAATCTACAAATTGGCTAATACTGCAAGGAAAATTACTTCTGATAGTAAAATAAGTCAGGCTTGCGCCAACACGATCTCTGTAGTCAGCCCATCGCCCGGCAGCCTCAAGCTCAAGATCAAAGAGAACGACGTCGACGTCGGTGTCGCCAAGTCGTCTGATGGTACCTACACGGGACGATTTAGATGTGTATCAAGGATTTCTTGGATCAAGGTTGGTAGTTACCATTTAGTGATATAGCACAAACTAAAAACAGCTTCTTAGCATGATCACTTATTATCTAACACAGCTTTCAAGTTCCCGCAGGCTGCAATCTGTCGTTAGGAAAGTCTTTCTTGAAAGAAGTTAATCATGATGTTCGTTGACTCGATTCGTCGTGAGCACTGCTTGAGTCAGATCACAACATGGTTACTATCATACAAATGCATCCACACCATCTATAGGTGCAGGCATGATTGTGAGGAGAGATCAGTGTTCTGATTTGGGCATCTTCCACCATATGTTTCCTCCTGCGACGTCCGCCAAAGGGTTTCCTTCACCACCCCCTGCCGAACCATCTTGTACTTCGAATCCACACCTCTGATAGAACTCGTCTTTGTCTTTCGCGCTGACCACCGACGCACAAATTCCCTCAAGATCGGCCTGATTCAATCCCCATAGAACCAAGTCACGCCCGACGCCCTTTCCTTGATAACCGGGGTGTACTGCCAATGCTTCTAAATACCATGACTCCGCACGATCGCCTGTCCACACTCCGTCAAAATAGGGATAAGCGCGTTCGATTATATCCTCATTCTTAGGATCACAAGCATGATTAACCCAGATGAGAGAGTGTAATCTCATGGCAATGGAAGACAAAGGCTTGACTAAATTTCCTACGTTGCCATATCAGCACCTAGACTTATAGCGACACGGTAATCAACGAAGTACAAGGATTTATACTCACGCGGATCATACCAGGCACATTCTAGCAACTTGCCACCATCTCCTAGACGGGCCCATTGGGCGATGCCGGCGATTACGACTTCGCCGGTGTCCGGGCTTTTGTCAACAGCAACAAGCCATTTCCATCTATAATCCCAAAAATTGATGCGCGCTCGTCGTAGCCAGTAAAGATCTGCATCATTCGGATGTTCCTTGCGATGAGGGTGGATTAGCTCGCCAAACAAGTTGTCGTTGGAGAATGCAAGATTCATGACACGAGCTATTTCTGGTAATTCGCCATATCTGGCGTCACGGAGCTCCAAGGATGACATTTTATGGTTGCACCACTTAGAACATTGGTGCAGTGCAAGATGTTAAAAAGCAGTCCTCTGTCAAATCATCACATCGCAAATAAGAGATTCAGAAATGAGTCTGAACAGCGAATAGGGTCCACCAGGGTCTGCTTTCATCATGCGTTTTACCGAGTACGCGACGCCTCAGACGAGGGTTCACTAGACTAAACCGAGGGTAACCCGGATGATTGGTTTGGTGTGGCACATTGCTGCACGAAAATATATATTATACCGTAGTATCATGCAGGGGGGCTTAAGCGAGCCATTCTCACCTGAACAGAACCGTACTGTCATCCACCATGCTCGTACGATCGGCTGAATGTGCCCGGTACGGCCCCTTGACTAAAGTCACTTCAACGGCACCTTTGGAATCAATCGATCTTGAATTCGATCGCAAATATCAAGCTGATCGGCGGCGCAAGCGTTCCCGCTCTTGTGAGGGCCGCAAGCGCTGCCTCTCAGTTTCATTTCCCCATTAAACTAAGTTTGAATTTTGGTGAATCCTTGTCAGCGGGCTCGCGGGCGGCTGGCCCCTAGCGACCGGGACGAGTTAGAGTAAGCATTTTACTTGTTAAACAGCGCAGTGGGGGCAGCTGCAGGGATCAACTTGTACAAGTGGATTGAACAAATAATTACCTAAGCACAGAGAATGCGCTTGGAAGAATACACCACCGCGTCTCTTGAGGTGCTCGATTCGCCATACGTTGTAATTACCGCTCCACTATTGAGGCTTGGGACTATTGCAGAGAAGGAAACTGAGAAACCAAGTCCCTAAATTGCTACGGTAAGCGAGGGGGGAAACAGAAGAAAAAGTCTCCCAACTTTACTTCCTCATTCGTATTCGATCCCCCACTGAACCTTCCTAGTAATGATCAATTCCTGGCTGCTCGATTTCCCGATGCTGTGGGTATCATCGTCGTGCTCCACGCTGCGCTCCCGATGTGTGATTGCGCTAAAGTGATTGGCGATATCTGGGCGTAGTACCGGCCCGCCGTCGTGATCTTCGTCGCGACCCTGGTCGTCATGTTGGCGTGGAGCTCTCATGTGTCGTTGAGACCTGGCCGTAGACCTGTTGCTCAAGGACTGTAGTGGGTAGCTGTGAGAGTCGTTGGTTGAGTCACCGAACCCCTGTGCAAATCCCATACCCATAGAGAAAGATCTCATAAAAGCTTTCAGATTCGGTATAGTGGCCGAGATCAATGCCCATGCAACCATTGTTTGTTGGAAAAGAAGAGTTTTTGTGACGGCAAATTGTGGCTGAGCTGAGGAAGGGTATTCATTGAAATGTGCCAAGTGCAGGGCCGAGAATATGACGACGATGAACCGAAAGCTGAAGGCCAAAGAAACCTGGAACTTACGTTTCATGGTCATGTTCAGCGGCCACATGAGCGCGATAGGAAGCAGAAAGATCAAAATTTCGGTAACAATATCAGTAATTGTGATACCTCGCCATCGTTCGAACTGCATGTGTTAGTATATGTCCCACTTTGTCCTATAACGTTGCTTCGTACCTGCGCAGGACACCGCCTCGGATTGTCTGTGGTTAGTAGAGTGTCGCTATCGCAGTTGATACTGAGTGCGATTATTGATCCGATACACCACAGTACACATAGCACGAGAGGTGCCACGCATGCAGCCCAGTTGTTCCATTTTTCGGTCGCGAATATCCTAAGCATCAATGCGATGATTGAGCATTTGGCCAGGCCGAGGATGAGGACTGAAAGGATTTCAGAGGTAAGGAATGACTGTCAGGCCACAAGTTAGCTTGCTGGATAGCGAAAGCGAAAGTTCTCGGACTGCACCTTTCCAGACAGTAGCCATTCTTCTGGATTGCTGTCGGAATTGAATTTGGCTAGACCATGGTTAAGACCGTATAGAACAAAGGCTGATTGAATAAAGTGAGCTGCCTGGATCGTGTCAGTGATAGAAGAGTCAAGTTTACCGTGACGTCTCACGCACAGTTGCCACTGCGATGCAATAGTCATCTGGACCGTAGAGTCTCCATTTGATGTGAGCTCTTAAGGCTGTTGACATGGTCCCATAAATTAGACCCAGTATCGTCACGATCCAAAGGTATCCAGCATGATCGTTTTCGAGAATCGGCGAAAATCGTAGCGAGTCGTCGCTGAAATTTTCTACATTCATGGCTGGCGCGCTGGTGGCTAAATTTTGGCCTTGCGAGTCAATCCTAGCAGGAGGGTTGTTGTGAACAGAACGGCATCAACAGGAAAAGATTTTTTCAAGCGTCGACTTCGACGACAAACAAAATGATCCTAACAGCCGGACTTCGGAACTACAAACTACGGTCTTACCAAATCCTTCCAAGGCAAAATGTGTGTCCTAGCCGATAGATCGCTAAAGCCACAGCCGTGGTAGCGAACGCATTTGTTACAGAGTGTAGACCCTGGTTCATATGATCGAAAACATTACAAGTAGCATCGTTCCACCCTGGCATGACCCCAATGACTGGTTTCCCTGCTTTAAGCGAGATCATCGAACCCAGCATGGCAGGAAAAGCTTCTGCGCCGAGAGCCGCGGATTATAGTGTCCCAAGGTTATGGTTGACGTGAGATGTATTATGCAGGCTCTAAATAGTTTGGTTGCTCATATTATGTACATGATCTACTTGAAGGAAATGCTTCATCTCGATAATGAAGACCAGGAAGGATGTGGGGCGAGCCTGGTGCATTTATTAACTAGTCTAGACAAGGAGTTTGGAGTGGGGGCATCTCGGGGAAGGATACCGGAAGCCGTTTGATTTGCTAATACCTTACAAGGTACATACCTAGGGAGCCATGTGAGATGCTGAAGCGATTTGACTATGCATGCACATGTGCACCAGGTGATAATTAGCCCGGCTGTTCTTTTTTCTACTGAACAATGTAGCGCCGAACCCTTTTCTTCTTCTCCCGGCACTCCTGATTCTCGTGGTTGAATCTCTGCCATCCGCTTGCATCGCGCAAGACGCCTTGTAGAATTATCCGTTGTCTGCGACTCTCTGTATCCAATATGTCGAAAGTCCGCACAGAAACTAGCGCTCGCGATTCGCCAATCGACATAGGTGCTGAGGGCATCGACGACAAGAGAAATGGGACGGCCGATGACCGCGCCGACATGTCGCGAATGGGCAAAGCCCAGGATCTGAGAGTCGGTCACCGATGATAGAAGGAACATGGTAGAATGTGCTGATAATTTTGCAGAGAAATTTTAGATTCTTATCAATCTTCGGCTTTTCCATGATTCTCATGGCTTCATGGGAAACCATGTTAAGGTCTGTCTATTGCAATCAGCTTTGTTACTTCACGTAGCTCACCAAATTCTTTGCAGTGTTTCCACGATAGGGTTAGTCAATGGTGGCACTGCTGGACTTATATGGATATACTTCATTTGTTGGATTGGCTTTATGCTGATCAACACGTCAATGGCGGAAATGGGTTCGATGTGAGTCTTCTTTCCGAGAGTCCACACATGATCTAACACGCCTACAAGGGCCCCTACAACTGGAGGGCAATATCACTGGGTATCCGAATTCGCACCTAGAAAGCATCAAAAGTTCATCAGTTACCTGATGGGATGGATGTGTGTTCTTGGCTGGCAAACCTCCTGTGCGTCTACGGCCTATTTGTCTGGCACTCAGATCCAAGGTCTAGTCGTTCTTAACTATCCGGACTACGTATACGAACAATGGCACGGGACTCTCCTTACCATCGCTGTAGCTGCCTTCTCTGTCGGCTTCAACACTGTATTAGCTCGGAAACTGCCGCTTATCGAAGCGGTTGTTCTCGTTGTGCACATATTCGGCTTCATTGGAATTCTGGTCGCCTTATGGGTCCTTGCGTAAGTAAAAAAAAATTGGATCACCACATGCCGCTGCAGACGCGCTTCGGGGTTCTCACACCTTCGATGCAAGGCCATGCACGCCGGTATATATGTATCGGTGTTTCCATATAGCACTCAAGCTAGTGGCAAAAAGACTCACTAACATTGAGTTTTACAGTCCGAGAGCCGATGCAACAGCTGTGTTCACTGAATTCACCGATGGTGGAGGATGGGGAAGCTTAGGAGGCAGCACCTTGGTCGGTATCACGGCCGGAATCCTTCCGCTGCTCGGTGCCGATGCCGCTGTTCACATGTCCGAGGAGCTTCGCGATGCCAGCAAGACTCTCCCAAAGTCCATGATTTATACCACGTTGTTCAATGGTGCTTTCGGCTGGATCATGACAATCACATACTGCTTTTGCCTGGGAGATCTAGAGTAAGTAAATCTCTACATGGCGCCCTACAAATTGAAATCCTTCGCGCATCATACTGGGCACTTCCAAGTTCTGAAGATCTGTTAATATTCAGAACTTTGAACTTTGAACTTCTTAGAAATAATCACTGACATCGAACTCCGCAGGGAGGCTCTCGGTTCGCCAACTGGCTACCCTTACCTTCAAGTCTTTTACAATGCGACGCAGAATACAAGTGGTGCTACTGCTATGGCTGTTTTCGTCACTTTCATGTCAATGTTCTCGAACCTGGCCATGGTAGCAACTGCGTCGCGTCAGCTCTTTGCTTTCGGTCGCGACGATGCTCTGCCGTTTAGCGGCTGGTTTTCCAAGGTCCGGCCTGGCTGGGATGTACCATTCAATGCCATTCTCACGACATTCATCATTTCCAGCCTCTTGTCACTGATCAACATCGGTTCACCCGTAGCACTCAACTCAATCACGTCCCTGGCAACCACTTCTCTTCTTTCTAGCTATATCACCTCGATTGGATGTATGATCTGGAGGCGTGTAACCAACAATCCTCTCTTGCCGTCAAAATTCTCCCTTGGAAAATGGGGATTGCCAATCAATATTGCTTCAGAAGCAATTCTTATACTATTCTTTATTCTGGCATTTTTCCCAACTACTCCCAATCCTAACCCGGCTGGGATGAACTGGAATATACTAATCTATGGGGCCACTATCGTGTTTTCTCTGGGCTACTACTTCGTGAGTGGCAAGAACAGATATGTCGGACCAGTTGAATATGTCAGGAAGCTTGAATAAGCACATCGGTGATCCGAAAGATTGTCGGAGCCGAAGAGGGCGGATTTAAAACACAACGTTGTAACTGAGCGACTACGCAGAAGTAAGAATTCAATGACAAATAATATAACCTGCTAGCATATTAGTACAATAACCAGACATCACTTGAAAATCATGCGATATTATTTACAGTCTATATAACCCAGATTTATCATGAAAGATTATAGAACTATATCGACCTTATCCGTCCTCGGTTCTGCTAAAATGAATACTCACGTCTGTAAATCAAGATATCTCAATCACAAAATTATACTTAATATGACTCAACTCATCGAGCTATCGAGTTCCAGGCCTTTGATGATGCAGATTAACTTGATGTAGTTTTGAAGCAATATCAAGAATAGACATTGTTTAGTCCATTTATCGAATCGTATCATACGTTGAGGAATGAGATGACAATTTCTCCCGAGTTTTGGTTTAGATGTGATGATTCTAATTATATGCCCATAGCAGTTGTGAATAAGTCTTCCTTCAACGGGGATCCCTTAGAATATGGCTTGGGGTGATTATCTCAATTGTCATAATTGGAATCGAGTCGACCCTGTGAGAACCGAAGGCGCCTTGACTCGTCGTCCAATTGCGTCCTCATCGCCTTTACTGTGTCCAGCTCTGAGGAACAAGCTGAGTTTCCTCCAGTGACTTGCATGTGCACCCAAATTTGAACAGTCCCTCTGTTTGTCTCAGGAGTCCTGAACCTGTTGGTTTATAATATACTTCGGTAGCTGAGTCATTCAGGGATGAGAAGTTCTGTCGCTAGACTGAAGCCTCAGCCTATATTCTCTGCTTACTCTGTGGATATGAGTGGACGCACTTAATCTTGGTCTATAGTATGTGGATTTATGCAAAACAACTTATAGAGTGGCACATCTGGAGACAACTGAGCCACACTGGCTCAGACATCCCTGTAGCTCGTAGGTGCCCAGGTTAAGTTCCCGTGGCTACATTAAAGGTTCATCACGACAAACAACGATCATGACCGACTCCTTGCTGATCTGGGCTTTCACACATGGCTTCATAAACATCCGGGACAGGACAGCCCACTTGTACGACGGTGGTGACGTGTGTTAGGTTTTACCACGCTGACCACGATCGGTTAAGCCGTGTACAGTGTGCTCAAGCACCCGGTCAAGACGGAGAACTGTGTCTTCAAAGTGCACGACAAGGTTGCCACACTAACAAGCTGCTCGCGTGGCTCAGTGTCATGCGATAGTGTTGCAAGGGAGTGCTAGGGTACTAGTATTGACGCGCTCAGCCCTACTCTCTATGACATATGGAAGATTACAGCCTTCATATACCCAATGGCAGTCCGATACCGGATAAGCTCTGACACTCAGAAGGCTGTCGTTTATACTTATGTGGAGAAGGTTACAGGTATAGAAAAGAATGAGGGAGAAAGAAACAAAGAAAGCGGTCAACTAATTATAGTAGTATAATGTTGACGCATTTTAGACGTGACGTGCGTCGGCTGCCCTCCTTGAGCCGGTTCATGTCGCCGATAATTGTCCAAGCTTGCAGGAAAATGGTCAAGGGCCCGTACCACATTAGATAGGCACTTATTACACATCATTCGCACAGCTATATACCGGGCGATGCTTAGACATTCCAACCGACATTAACCAGTGTCGCTTCGTCTGACTTTGTTGCCTGATTGATTGGTGTCGATGAAAATTCAAACCTTGATTTCCACAGATTACCGTGACGATTCAAGGAGAATCCCGAGGCGTACGTAGATGAGGTCCCGCTTTTGAATCAGTGGGGCCGTTGTTAGTTACGCTCAGCCCCTCTCGTATTCTATGCGCATCATTCGTATACCTCGGATTATGAGAAGCCAGTATAATCGGATTCGCTCTAATATTTTCGCACCGCATGCGCGTCCGTCGCATATTTCGGGACGATGAACTTATACCAAGTAGTCAAACCCAGAATTCTGAGCTTATCTGGGCCGTCAATCATTCATAAATGCCTGTCAATCCGTCTATTAGCTTCCCATGAATATGGTATCCGTTCCAAAGCAAATCACCAGCCGGCACGATGGACAGCACGATGAACAGCGCGAACAACACCAATGCGACTGCTGCAGCAACTGAAGGGTTCGACTTCAAGCTCTACCGATACGAACTAAACCTGCCGGCAGCGATAGTGGCTGTTGTCATATTCTCTGTCCTCTCGATACTCCACCTGTACAAGATCGTCCGTCACCGCGCACTCTATTTCACCGCATTCACAATTGGTGGCTTCTGTAAGAAAACAAAAATCCCACTCATTCGGTTGCCTACGAGGGACGTGATCGCTGACCGGGTCTCATTCGCACAGTCCAGGTAGTCGGTTATGCCGGCCGCATCTGGTCGCATTATAGTCCGACGGCCCTTGGGGGTTTCATCATGCAGGCCATCCTCATCCTCGTGGCGCCTGCCCTATACGCAGCATCGATTTACATGATCCTCGGCCGACTCGTCAGGGCACTACGTGCCGAACGGCTCTCCGTTGTGTCGCCGAGGTGGATGACCAGGATATTCGTCATCGGCGACGTGATTTCGTTTTCGCTGCAAGCGGGCGGTGGTGGTATCCAGGCAGGGGGGTCTTTGAAAATGTACGAGCTGGGCGAAAAGATCATCATAGTCGGCCTGTTCGTCCAGATTGTCATGTTTGGCCTATTCGTAGTCACGGCGATTTTGTTCCATCGCCGACAATCGCGATACGGCGTTCACCACAGCTCGACGGAGCATTCTATACCCTGGAAGAAACATCTTTGGGTCTTGTATAGCGTCAGCACGCTGATCCTGATCCGCAGCATTTTTCGGGTAGTGGAGTATCTGCAGGGAAACAAAGGATACCTTATTTCGCACGAGGTATTCTTGTATTGCTTCGATGCACTACTGATGGCGGCTGTTATGGCAGTCTTGCTGGTCTTCTATGTTCATGACCTGGATTTCGAACACTGCGAGAAGCGAGAAAGTGGCGTGGATTTGATGCCGAGTTCTGAAAGCGATGGGGTGCTAGAAATGGGCACGCAGCCTCATAAGCACTCCGGGCAGTCGCCAGTTCTTAAAGGTCATTGAGGCGCCAGGCAGTTCGAAGCATGGAAACGATCGAGTGGATATGAATTTGATAATTATTGAGTGACTTTCAACGCTGCTTTTAATCAAGATACAAGTTTGACGCGCGGTCACACGAGTTGACGGAAAAAGAAGCGGAAAGCACACTGCGTCCAACACTAGAATCTTCTAAACACTTGGTTTCTTAAAATAGTATTTTCCATATGTGTACTACAGAAGTCCTATTGGTAGTCGTCACTAACATCAACAACTTTTCTGCCCCACACTGACTGTTTATTCCGACATCTGTAACAGAGGCGTTAACGCAGACGTCTCGCTTAAAGCCACAACTGTATTGTCTTAAGATACAATCTATAATTCTAACACAATTACGTTTCGTCGTCGAAAAAAACAAAATCAACCGAAGGCTGAAAGAGGTATCCAGCCAATCTCGTCTATGGGCCACCTTATCCTCAGTCTCCATTCATCATCCAGTAATGCATACGCACGACTTATAAGATGCTGGCCCCAACCTTGAAGCCACCACTGTCCGTCCAGCGCTTTGAGAAGAACACAGAAAAATGCAAAGATAGCCACTGCTTCTTGTGTCGGAGCTCGTAATAACGGCAGCAGGTCTTCCGCCACGACATAAATCCATACAAATGCATCGGTCAGCTCGTAGGGGGTCTGACTATGCTGAAGCTGACTGAAAGACTTTTTCAGCTCAGCAATCGCTATTCCATAAATGCGCCGAAGCCTTTCGGGCAGATCCTGTCGCATGATTGAGACCTCTAGCTCCGAAAGCTGCGCATGTGCAGTTGATTCGAGGTGAGCCGACTTCTCTCGTAGTTCGTATCTCATAATCCCATGCTTAATGATGGGGGAGAGCGGACCTTGGTCCATGGCGCCAGCTTGGCTGAGTAGGCCGTGGGGGCCTTGCGACAGGAACACCCAGTCGGGAAATGTAGCTTCTTCCAGGAGTAGGCCGTCATCCACTGATCTACGTGGGCCAGCAAGAGCTAAATTTTAAATCCAATCAGCAAGTGATCCTCGCGGTTTCTCGGCAACCTTTTTGGAGATACTGACCATAGTATACCGTTAAGGTCGAGAACAAGAAAAGTTTCTGCGCGCTCTCTGGAGTCACTTCCGACATGAGCGGTATTGCTACCCTCGACGCTAATTGATGTTGTGTCATGGCCATCGATTGGTAATGACTTTTTAAATGAGGCCGATGTAGTGCCAGGTGAAGACTGGATATAGCCAAGAGCGCTCTCATGATATAATCGCAACCCAAGCCTACCTGTACCACCGAGACTCTATAGAACTCTCGCATAGCCTATTTAATCATGTTAGCGTTCAAACCGAGAAGAAACGGAATATGTATTCGACAGACCAAATCTTCAGACAAAGTCCGGTACGTGCTGGTCGAGTAGTTGTGCAGGAGTTCGAGATCCCTCATATTCAGGCTACAGGCGGACTCAAGGCCGGGCGTAGACGACGGCCCAGAAACCGGCGACCCAAAGTCCATAAAGTCGCAATCGATCTGGCGTTTGACACAGTTCGAACACGCGGGCTTCCGCTCATCACACTAAGAAATACACCGTGAGCGACGAAGCCGAGATGGTCGGTAGTGCATGCGATTGGGAAGACATAGCGATCACGCTAGATGCCGTTTCCAGAGTCGGCAGAGACGCACGAGTTGTGGCGCAACTGCGTTTATCAAGCAAGCATACCTTGACTTTTCTGCTTTTACAGTTCTTGCAACCTGTCCGTTCGCACACCTGAGTATTGAGCTTCTTCTATAACGCTAAGGATGACGTACCCGCCCGGCTCTTCTGGTGCGTCCTTCTCTTCAGCGCTGAATCTGACATGGCGCTCGTGTGAGTAGATAGATCCCGCGCCCAACCACAAGATTTGATATCGAATTTTGGTGGCGTATGGTATCCGCTAATAGAAGGATTTTAATGGTGAGAGTGGTGGCGGCTCTACACTCCCTTATGTGTACCTGACAACAATCATGGGTCGTTGGGACATCACGTCGCTGAGCCTCAATTGGTTATTGCTGTCCCAAGCTGCGCCCGTCAAGTTATTAAAATGGGAACTGTGAGCTCCAGCGCTAACCGTAGTTCGGGGCTCTTGGTGTCATTATTTCAGCACTGCCCCTCCACTGGAGCTGAGAATGTAGCACCCAAGAACGGGACGAACCGCTCGACCAGGCGGACTCACTGATTCAATCGAGCAGCCAGTCCGATGCGCAGAGCAAGCATTTATTGTACGTATCTTCCAGAGGGCCAACCTGTTATCTACACAATTTTCGTGCAAATATCATTCCTAACGTTGCCGGATGTCATAGTCGAGGTAATGAATCTGCTACCATTCATCGTTCACCATGGAGCTATACTGCAGGATAGCGATAGCGAAATGAGTCAAGAACGCAAATTCTCATCAATCATGTCTTGTAATGTATGCTCTCTACTTATCTATCACGCGCGGGAAGAGTGTTATATAAACAAGCCTTGAGAAAGACCGGATTAACCTAATTATCTCCCGTGCCAGGTTCATCCTCAGTAGGCTGAGCCGTGTTGTTTGTATCGGTCGTGAAAGGCACTCTGGACTGCAAGTTCTCAACGCGACCCAGCAAGACCTCAAGCTGACGATACGCGACACTGGGCTGGAATCCAGGGACCTCGTGTCCACTGAGCATGACAGTGGAGTAGGTAAGACCGCGTTCAGTGTGTGCCGTACCCAAGACTCCCGATCCCGCAGCCGTTCCCAGGTCGGGACTAACGTGATAGGGAACGAAAAGAGGCTCGGTCGGCCGTTCCTGGAATCCGAGCTGCCCGCCCCAGGTCATGTTCTGGATCGTAAGCAGGGTGACGTTCTCAAAGAGCACCAGGTCCAGGATTCCGTGCACCAGCTGCACGTTTTGCGTCTTGTCGATGATTTTCGGAATCTGCACAATGCTCGAGGGTGCCGATCTGTCGCCATAGGGGAACACGCCATCCTTGCAGACTTCCCAGTCCGTGTCAATAGGCACGTGCAGTGCTTGTTTGACCTCGGTGCGGTTGAAGTAGATCGTGGGAGCTCCTGGTGGCGAGTAGAAGTTGGCGGCAGCGAAGCCGAGAGGGTCGTATGGTAGGGGACATTGTGCGCTGACCTCGTAGATGTTGAAACAAGGGTTCAAGTCCAGAATAGCCTCAAACACATTGTTGACGACGTCACAGCCGGGCAGATACATAGTGTGGTTGTCGTTGATACCCGGCTGCCTGTCGTTTGGCTGTTGGCCGGAGGGTGGGTAGACAAGGTACTTGTCCAGATATTCGGCATAACCACAGCTTTCGTGCGCTTTGTGTATATTTTCGCTGAACGACTGGTTGAAGGGGAATAGCCCATGCCAGTAGTCGACGAACGGAACAGTGACGATATCGCCAGAGATATCGCTTAGAACACCATCATAGACGATGATTCCATTGACGTCGAAATATTCAGTGTCATTCTGATCGATCATTCCACCAGCCACGTACGGGACATAAAGCCCGGCATAGCTCTCGCCGGTGACGTATACCTTGTAGTTATGCATGCCAAAAGTATCGACGAAGTTTTTCCAGAAGCCCCTAAACTGGTCGGCAACCTCACTCTCGTTGTGGTAAGTCGGTTCGCCAGAGGTGTACCCAGTGCCAACAGGCTGGTCGATCCAAAGCACGTTGCTGAGATGGTGCCAACTCCATGGGTTGAGCTGGGGTTTGTAGGTGCCGGGCTGCCACGTGAAGGGCCCATTCTCCTCAAGCAAGGCGATCATGGATGAGCAGCCAGGACCGCCGGTAAACCAAATGACAACCTCTTCCTTTGCTGCTTCATTCGTTGAGGGAAAGAACCAAAAGAACAAATCCGTGTCATTAGAGTTGCCAATGGGAAGGAGACCAGCATATGACTCGCCAATATCAAAGCTCAGATCCGGAAGCAGACTTGAGTTGACAGCAAATTCTATTCAATCATTAGCTTTCGGATCGCGCAGGCCAATTAGGTAGCCACATACGCTCAGTTTTGTTTGTCAAGAACTTGTCGCCAGTTTGTCGCTTCAAGAGAGCGTCGAAGTCTTCGCTAGCAGCTGCGCGACCCTGAGCCCTTTGCGTTAACTTCTCCTTGTACGTCTCCATGCGGTAGCTAGGACTACCAAGCTTAGAGGCTGACGCGGTCATGGCCGAGGCCAAACCAACAACGATAGTGGACCAGCGCATCTTGGAAATTTGACCGGCTGTGGCAGATGTAACGAGTTGGGACGAAAAGAGGGATCCAATACTGGACAAGAGCTAGATAAGAGCTTGCTCTTCCCCGGTTTTGAGGCTCGTATTTATGTCACGTCAAATCTGAAAGCACAGGCGCAATTCAATCCTTGGTCTCACAAGCCGGGGTGTGTATAGATCGTCGCTGCCAGTACCTGCAGATTAGCGGAACGGCGTTCACACAATGGTGCAACGTAGATGGAAGCTGACTCGCTGACATGCAATAGCTGCCTAGCAGCTTTTTCAGCAGATCTTATTCGACGAATACCCTGGCGAGCTAGGCAAGTATTCGTTCGTTTATGCTAGACGGCCGCATACTTATGACGACGTGACTTTTGTCAGGGTAACTTTAGTGGTACAAGTGATCGTCTCGACTTTTGCCAATTGGTGACTGCGGGGGTATTAACAGGCATCTCTCTCGACGTCAACCCTACAGTAGGAAGCCTTGAAGAACTCGATCACAGTAGACAGCTTTCTTGTTTTGGAAGGTGACAGTCCCTAATTCGACAGCGCGAAAGAATACCGGATACTGCAGAGTCGATCTGCAAAACGATCTGGCTGCCAAGACCGGAAGGTACCGAGAAGGTACGGACCACTGCCAATTAAGCATTCGGCATTTAAAATAACGCAGTCACTTAAATGAGCTTATTCCAAGCTTCTCGAACATCGAGTTGGTACAGCATGTGGAGCCTTGCGTACTGTAGCTTTATGTTTTGCCTGTTATTGTCGTCCAGCTTACACCACTGTCTGCTGTGGATTCATGCATCTTGCCCCGTTGTACCACGGCTAGTCACGGATGTCTGCCGCAACAGTGATGTCCCGCGATGTCGTGCTACTTACTCAACAAAAGTCAGTGCCTATGAGATAGCCATAGTAACCGTAGGATTCATATGAGCGAGATAATAGCATTAATTTGATGGCCATGATCACGCAGTACAAAGCATAAACGAAAAGTCCACCTAATCCATTGCGACATAATCACGCTTTAGATAAGTGCTTGTTTATCATAAACAAAGGGGTGCAACATCAGAATGTACTTTACAAATGCTGGCAGTTTTGCAAGTGTATGACGAAAGGAACAAAACATCTATTCCAGGAAATAGACAAAAGCCCAAAATTCCTCCTCGATATAATGGTCGCACCCAGAGGTTCGAACCACAACAGTCTAATCTTCCACGATTCTTTGCAACGTGCGGCTCCCAGACGTTCCAGCCGCTAGATCTGGACAGTTGGAATGACAGTCACTTCAGTCGTCGAATTTATACCAACGGTAGTCGTATCAGTGGTAGAGAGCGGCGCTGGCGTGGACTCCAGGACCGTTAATGTGAACACAGTTGATGCGGGTGGTAGCGTCTCTGTAGCGGTGGATACAGCGGTCCTGATGCTTGTCGTCGAAACGGGAGGCACTGGACTCAACCGAATGCGATCGACCCAGAAGGTGTTGGATCGTGAGCCACCGAGATAGTATGCGAGGGTCAGCTGGATCCAGTCAGCACTAGGGGTGTATGCTGTGTGGATGTTCGACCAAGATGTGCCCTGTCGCCAGGCAATAGCCGTCATGACGTTGGTGTCCTGGTCATTCATCTCGAAAACCATGCTGGAATGATTGGGGTATTCAAACTTGACCCAGCATTCGAGGGAGTATGTTGTCCCCGGCTGAACGCTGTAGATGGGACTGATGAGTTTAAATCCGACTCTGTCGTTATCATTATTTTGCGTCCTGTTTAGTGATACTTGCCAAGAGGTGCAGGACCCTTCGGCGCCATCATTCACTCTGTCATATCGCGAGGCGAAAGGGTCCGCTGCCTCGAATCTCCACGGCGGTAGACTATCTTCGAAATCGCCATTGATGAAACCAACATCCTGTCCTGACGAGCTTGTGCAAATCGGTGCGGAACTCGACGTGAGTGTCGCTGTGCTAGTTGAGGTGAGTGTTGTAGCAGTAGATGCAGTGGCAGTTCCTATAGATGTAGAAGTGGGGAAATCTGAATCCCAATTGGACGTTGCTGTGACGTTTCCACCAGTTGGTAGGATAGGAGAAACTGTGTTCGAATAACCTGCAGAGCTTAAGCTGGTGGAAGCAGTTGTTGTGACGGTTGTGGAAATCCCGGTAGTTCTGGGTACCGTCGTCAGAGTTGTGTTGGTCGACGTAAGAGGTGAGGTCGGGTAGGTCCCGTCGCAAACTGATTCTGCTGAGGAAGAGATAGTCTTGATTACCAAGCTTGTTGCTACAACTGTTGTAGTAGAGCTTGATTTATTGGTAAATGAGGAGATACTCAACGAGTACGTGTTGGTGACAATGGGAGAAATCGTGTCCGTGGCGGTGTTGACAGATGTGACAGTCACGGTATCCTCGCCACCATGACTAATCAGCGAGCTCGAAGTCTGACTTTTTGTGGCATTATACGTCACAACTGTCCCAGAAGTCAAAGTGACAGTCTTGTCCGGCCCTAAAGAAGTATTGGATGATGTACCAAGGCTTTCACTTGGACTTACGACAGTCGTCATAGTAGTGGCAGACGTCACAGTGAGAGTGGTCCCTGTCACAGAATTGAGTGTTTCGGTTGAGGTGAACCTCAGCGTTGGATCAACGATTACGGACACGGCGTTCGTCATGGCGGAAGTAATTGCAGTTCTACTGACCCCAGACCCCAGGTCGTTTGGCAAAGTGCGCTCGATTGTCTGCGCAGTAGTGCTTGAGGATGAGCTGGTTACAGTTGTGGTCGCTGTCGAAGACGGAGTACATGTCGGTCCACAAGCGCAGGCTATCGGCTCGTCAGTTTTCCTCAGATATATACGGTAGCTTTGGGGGTGAGAGGGTGGTGTTGAACACCATCATACCCGACAGATACTGGGCCTTGTTGATGCCTCCACACGATCCAGTAGCACGGGCCGGAAACTCGGAGGCGTAGACGTAACGGTCGCTCAAGGTCGCACAAAGAGCCACTGCGTCAGCAATGGCTTGTGGGGTTTCGCATGGAAACAATGCGCGGTAACAACTGAGAGAGGTCAGTCTCGTGGTCGTCTCGATTAGACCATGGATTCTCACTCGTCTGCTACACAATAGGCTTGGATACTGGTCGGTATTACCAGGGCCGTGAGCAGCCACGCAGTCTGCTTCATGATGGTCAGGATGATCATAGTGAAAGGTATTTCAAGAATGAGTGACTATGTGAGTGATGTAGACAGTTGTGGTTTCAACATCTGATATTTCGACAAAGCTTCTCTTGAGCATTATATAGATACACTAGAGGTAGACGAGGTGTTCCCAGCTGTATATAGTAGCCGGCGTCCTTCCAAGACCAATAAATTCGTGGTGTATGACAGAGCTACTCTTGTACATCTTCATAGAGGTAACACTGTACGCGTAGGTGAACACTACAGCTGAACATGGCCGCCTTGTTGTTGAGACCAGAGATCAGTCTGCACAACTGTTTTGTGTGATGTTTCAGCTTATGCTGCAAGATCACGCAGGAGGATGCAAGGGGTACTTGTAACCATACTGCCGTTTCCAAGACAAAATGTACATAGATGATGCATGGACAGACGTCTGGCCATGGTTTACGTTGTGCGAACTTTCATTATACGAAATTCTTGACTGTCTGCAGCAGGGAAGAGTGAACCACGACGATTGATAGCATGTTTGTCATAAGAACAGTCTTCACTACGCGGCTATTATTTCCATGGTCCATCACAGAGCGTCTCAGTTCGGTGTTCGTCTAGACTGTCAGCCTAATTTGTCTGAATTCAGACGCCATGCTGTCAGTCCGAGCGACATATCGGATATCTGCAGGACGTCGTTCTCACATGAGAGAATACTCAGAACGTTATGTACGTCGAATGTGTCAGAGAGACATATTTGGACGTTGAGATGATTCGGGGGCAAGAGAGAAGGGAAGAACAAATCATTTGGCTAATAACGATAATCAAGGTGATCAGTTTAGTTCCCAGTGATTTGGTTGGAGTCGTATACACATGAGAAGAAACAAAGGTCGGTTAGACTTTAATACTTATCTCATAGGGCTTAATTATAGTTTGGCTTAGTGCCACTTGGGATCTCGTCAGGCTCTAAATCAGCCGTGTAACCACATTCATCGATCTGGCGGCTACACATACCTTCCGCCGGACGGAGGTCTGGAGAAGACCGGTACAGCCAAACACTTGTCATACGAACAGTAAGTGCAAGGAAATAGGCTCAGTGCTTTAGTAAACCCATTAAATACAACAAATTAGATTGAGAAGCCATATTTCTGTACTGCTGCAAACGACTGGGACGAATCAATAAATAAAAAAGAGACATCATACCGCCCCAACCAAGACAGTATGACGGGAGAGACGCTATACAACACCATCCGTGAGACGGTCTGGACATACATAGAAGCCTACAGCTTCAGCGGGCCACACGGAAAGCCGAACATCCGGCTCCTAACCTCGCTGATGTCGCCGGAATACCAGCACTCCTGGGGCCACAACCACATGATCCGCGACATGCCGCGCCTACAGGGAGTGCTGGACGGGGAGGGGTTCGCGGCGCACCTAGGCTCCATGGTACCGCACCTCGAGTCCTGCCGCGCCGTCGTGCACGATATGATCGTGGACGCGCCGGCGCGCAAGGTCGTTGTCCGGAACAGCTTCTTCATGTGTCCCCGGGGCCAGGGGGGCGGTGGAGAGGACGGCAGGGAGACGGTGGAAAATGATGTGCTGTGGATTTTTGGCATGGATGAGTCGGGTAGCAGGATCGAGAGCGCGATGGAGTTCTTGGATGCGGCAGCAACGGAGCGAATCGGGGAGTTGATTGCCAAGGCGAAGGAGAGGCAATGAATGGGAACATGTATACTTGGTCATGAGCAGTTGAAAGCGAGGTATGTAGCGGCCGGAAGAGGCCCATGTTTTAAGTTCGTAATCGTTTGTTGCACCTCGCTCTGAGCAACTCCTGATCGCTACTTCATCTTAGCAATGTTTCCTTCTTTCTTCTTCATTTCATTAGACCCTCCTTGTTTAAATGGACATGCTCGCGCTATATGTCTGAGTTACATCCTAGCCATTGAATCCAAGCTGGACCCGGAGAGCGACGAGTTGCTGCCATTGTCGCTTGCTAGAAGCATACAGGCCAAAGCCTTCCACAGATAGAAGGTAAGAAAAGGCCTGAAGCAGTGAGGCGACCCCTTCTATGGAGAAGCAAGCTATTCTGGCGTCGACACTGGAAGTCAGCACAAGCAATGACATGAAACGACCATATGACAATAGAAAATCGATTGATAAACCGGGGGCAGTCTGTAATGTACATATCCCCATTCTGGTATAAGGGTCTCTCATATAGGACACTCGACACTCTGGTCGTATCCTAGATACACGCAACGCATTCCCATCTGAACCCAGGGTTCCAACTCGGTGCGTGTTCGTCGACAACAGCTTCTCCAAGCCATCAGCCAACAAGTGCAGTCCTTACATCGCCGCTTCTCCTGTTCTTCCACCGTTGTAACAGCATACCCTGTACGTATATTTCCCTCGATAATTTAAGACGACTTGACAGCGGCCTTGACCTCCTCAACCTTCTCCTCGACCTTCTCCTTGGCCTCGTCCTTCAGCTCGGTGGCGGAGGGCAGGGCGCCGTTCTTCTGCGATTGCTGCCACATCAGGATACGGCTGCACTGGACGACACCGACAAGACCGAGGAAGAAGTTAACAGCAGCAAGCCTGCGCGGATAGAGTTGATTAGTCACTTTTTTCTTGTCTCTCTTTGCGTCTCCATCGCAACATGTATTCTTCCAACATGTGCCCCTTCGAGATCATACGGAAACAACTCACAGGTAGTTCTTGGGGGTGATAACAAAGCACCACCGCGTCCAGATGAGACCGGTGGCGGTCAGGGCACCGTTCTGGGTCAGAGACAGCTTCTCGGCGGGACGAGCAAAGTCGGAGATGCCGGCGAGGACCAGAGCCCACTTCATGACGGGGGCCCAGAAGTGCACCGTCTTGAAGCCGATGGGGGAGTCCCACATGCGCTTGGCCCAGGACTGCTGGGCGCCCTCGGCGGTGGTGCTCTGCCATCTGCGGCCGGCGCCCTGGGATGCGCGCTGCTGGAAGGCGGCTCGGTGTGCGCCGAAGGCGGACTGGCGGAAGGCCGGTCGGGCGGCGCGGAAGAGGGTAGTCGTCGCTGGCATCTTGTTCTGGATCGCTGGGGCGTGTTGATGTTTCTGTTCTTGTCTCTCTGTGGGTGGGTGGAGGGGAGATTTGGCGGATGGCGATGGCGATGGCGATGCGGGAGCCGTCAAAGGATATGGGTTGGGGGAAGTTCGGAGGTGTTTGGCAGCTATAAACTGAGATTCAAGATAGCGAAGAGCTAAAGTCCGAGTCGGGTCAGCGAATGAATTCAATTGGGAATCCTCATTAATTGGGGGTACAGACCGGAGATAATCGGCGCCAGAAATTTAAACCAAAGGTGGGCTTTCTTTTTCGCTCGGCGGCTTTGCGACGCAGTATGTAGTTAATAAGTTGACATGCGTACATACTTTATACACGCTCAAGCCCGCCTTTGCATAAACTACCCCGATGACCAATGACGAGGGTTATGCAAGGTTCGGAAAAACTTTATGCATCTGCGACACTCTCTCTCTCTCGCTCGCTGAGCAACATCCAATTGAAGCACGTCAATTGCGAAGCTATCCTCAAGCTCACGATCGCTCAAGTAGACATACCTCTTTCGCGACCGGCCGACGACAACACACTTGACAGGCAACCCAATTGGCGGACCGCTCCCCTCAATTGCCAACCAACAACATGTCGGGCAAATACGCTTTCACCAAGGCCCTGAAGGAGGTCCGGTTCCTCTTCTGTCAGACTGGCGATCACAGCGCCGCTACGAGGTGAGTCGGCTGTTGGAACTTTGCATCTCGCGCTGGCGACCCGGCAGCGTTTGGGAACAGATCAGAAATGGGAACGAATTGCTGATTTGTCTTCGCCACATCCACAGGTCCTTCCTCACCCGCGCGTATCCCACCATGAAGAAGAACAACCCCAACACCCCGATCCTGCTGCGCGAAGCGGCCGGCACATCGCCAAAGGTGTATGCGAGATATGGTGCGTCCCCTTCCTCCGATCAACCAGATCGCTTTTCTGCGTCGCTTCCCCCGGGCCACTGCAGATGAGAAGTCACCCAGCACTAATACATGACAGAGCTTGGAAAGGAGAAGAGCCAGTCGTTAGAAGGCCTGTCAGACAAGCAGATCGAGGAGGCAGTCACAACGCTGGTCAAGAACAGCACCTCATGATTAGTAATACCAAGACAAATGCAAAAAGAGCTACACGGCATGTACGATCAATCGGATACAGAGGACGAGAGGATCACGGGTGAACTGGTCGGAAATAGAGGCCCGAGGTTGATATGACTATGAAACGTCTGTGAAATATATCTGCTTCTACACCATGTGTACCTGCACCGTTATGCCCCGAGGAAGCCCAGCCTGTGTTCCAGTTTGTGACTTAATCAGTACGATCCCCGCTACGATATCTGTCCAGCTGGGGAAGGTATGATGGGAGTTGTGCATCTCAGTCCCGATTACCATCAAGACTAACGCACAGAAGACGAGGGTGAGGACTCTGGCTTTTTTGCAAAATATGAACGAGTGAGTGTGCCAAATCTCTGTCCTGTCTGCCTTTCTCACTCATCTCTTTCAACCGTGCTCCTTTGTTTGTCTCACTGTGTGCCTGCAACTGATGAGCCACTCATGACGCCGAAAGATGTGTGATAGTATATCCTACTATTGTACACAAAGATCCACTCCGCTAGAAGTTTACTTCGAATCTTTCAAATCTGATTTGTCCACCAGATACCACATAGCCGTCTACCAGAACGAGTTGAACGTGTCAGAAGAGGTGGTACGTTTTGCAACTTTTGCCGCCAGATGCCCTTCGCATACTGAAGCACTCCTATTTTCGATTTTCGGGGAATCTTAACACTCTCGGGTTGTTCAAATTCTCTCTCTCCGGCTCTCATGGAAAGAATGTGACCCAGATCGCCAGCATGACGAAAATCAAGGGAATGCTACACATCAGAAAGACGCTGACGTGCCACCGTCAGACATCAAGCTGATTCTGCTGCTCTTCAGTATGGTTATCAGGACAAGCCGGGTACTGGCTAGTGTTCTCGGAGCTGCTGTTGTTGCTATCGGCGGACCTCTTGTTGGCCTTGTTGTTGTTACTATGAGTCGTCTTAGGGTTTCCAGAGGGCTTCTTCTTTTTGGAAACGACTCTAGTAATGACGGGCTCTTCCTGAACCAGCTCGGACATGTATGAGTTTTTGGCAGTCGCCGATTTGGCCATAGAATCGCCGACTTTGCTAGGTGTACCTGAGGTCGGCGATTTAGTCATAGGATCGCCGACTTTGCTGGGAGCCGCGTCAGGTGTGGACGAAGACAATACCATAGCAGAGACATCTTGCTTCTTTTTGGCTGCACTCTTGTTCATTGCTGTGATCATAACAGGGCCATCAGATTTGCCAACAATGTTAGCACTCAGCGACCTGTCAGTGCTATAATCACTGATATTACTATATAATACTAAAGTTGGCGATTTAGTGCTCTGTGTAGTAGGCATAGACGAAGACAAAGACGAAGACGATGCCGCGGCAGAGGCATCCTGCTTGTTCTTGGCCTCCTTCTCCTTTTTGGATATGTCTGCAACGGTGTCAGTCGCCGAGCTATCAGTATTAATGCTGACTTTGCTAGACGGACGGTGAGTCGATGATTTGACAGGAGTGGATGAAGACACCGCAGGTTGAGTGTCTGGTCGGCTCAACTTTGACGGAGTGGTGGCCGCTAGACTGACTTCTTTGTTGGACGTGCCTGTGCCTGACTGGGAAGCGACAGGTAGCTTAGGTCGGTGAGCCCAAGCACCTTGGGGAACGTGCTGAGACAGGCCCTTGTTAATTTTGTCTGTGTTCTTGGGACTGATCAGCTCTGGGAAAGAAGTGTGAAAATCGTCAACAAAGAGATGGTCACTGTCAGCCGTTAAGGCAGTAGGAGTCGCCAATGCGTCGACAGTTGTTGAAGCAGTACCAGTACGAGTCTCTGATGTGTCCACAATCATTGAAATTGTACCTGTAGGAGTCTCTGATGGGTCAACACTTGTTGAGTCGCCAGGCTTAGTAGTCGCTTGTGTGAATGCATCGACATAAGCAGGGAACTCCTCAGTCTCTGAGTTGGTTGTGTGGTGTGTTGCAGGTGGACTCTCTGTCACAAGGAACGGCATTAAGAACTGTGGCAATCCAGTTACTGGGTGGCACATAAGGGGGTTTGGGTGATTGCTGCTGAATTTTCGGCGACGTGATTGAAGTTCCAGGCGTGCGTCAATGTCGCGCTCTTGCTCAACGAACGGTCCCGTGTGTGCAAGAGCAGGGACTAGAGGCAGGCGCTGAGCTTCGTGCTGCTCGATCGCTAGTGCGCAATCAGTCGTCGTGGAGGTCATTGTACCGGCGAGGAGATTCTGGCGGTCAGAGGGCTCAGTGCTGCTGATGAAGTCGCGATTATCACTGCTGTGATCCCGGTCCTTGCATGCCAGGAGTGAAGGTGCTTGGCGAGCATGGTCCATGACATCACGGCGTTGCTTTCGTAGTTTGAGAGGTTCTGGTACCAGCTGATCCAACTGATAGCTAAAAGCTGGACGCTGTGTGAACTGACCAGGAGAGGGTTCACCACCTTGTTGTGATCCACGGATAACTGCATTTCCTTGTCCATACTAAGGACGCGATGATTGCCGGTTTGGATTTTGAGGGAAAGGTGGCTGATGATGAATGTTATCCAACTGAGTGGTGTACTTTAGCAACATATCCAGAGACGATGTCGTCGCATGTGTCTTGTAAGGCGCATTGTTAATTGTATCAGGCCGGTCGGCGATTTTGTGGTCTTGAAACGTATTTGGTGGAGAAAGACGGCCGTCAATGGAAGAGCCAGGCTCAATCCAGTCTATAGGAAGAAAATTGCGATTTCCCTTGCTAGGGTGATGAGTGACAATATCGGGGCTATCATCGGCGTCTATGAGCTCTTTCTTTGCAGCTGTGTTTTCACCTTGAGCATTACCTTCCGGCTGTCCTCCGTATCTCATCTGACGTTTGTCTGTATGTGCTTCTTCAGGCGCCGGCCCAATCGTAGGCTGGAAAGGGTGAGACTCAACCTCTAACGACTCCTCTCGTTCTGAGATAGCCTGGTTGCTCACAGCATCAAGGATGGGGTGTGGTGAATGGGGTCGTTGCCCTGTTGTGGGGAGGTGGGGTTGCATGGTGATGACAAAACCAGCCTCGGCCGGTGTGGTACTATTGAGAGAAGATGAAGGGAATCTTTGTGGGTGCTCAGAAATGTAAGGCTGGTAGGCTGGCGCCTGAGGCATTGCAACATTAGATGGTGCGGGCTTATGGTTACCAGAATGATGCTGGATTGGATCAGCATAGGCGGTACGACTCGTCGAATATGAGCCTAGTTCTGGAGAAAACGGACGACAAGGCTCGGCAGTGACGTGGCCTGGTTTATCCTCGGGGTAAATCGCCTGGTCCGGGCGGTATGGCTTCTTGTTGTTTGGTCGTGGCCGAGGTTGATAATATTGGGAACCGATAGGGTGGCTGACTGTGAGGATTTGATTGTCACAGATTTCGGGGATGATCTGATTGTTCAACTTCTCTATAGCCCGGAAGGCGGCCTCTTCTGACATGAAACTAAGGAAGAGCAAGTTAATACACGTCAAGGCTTGGTAGGATTGTGGAAAATACTCACCGAATCTCAACGCTTCTGCCGAGAGTTTTGACATGGACTCTATCAACCTCGCCAAAAACACTGAAGATACGGTATATAGTGTCTACTTTTGATCTCAGACCACCGTCCTCACAACTGCCAACGAAAACGCTGCGATCTTTGCGTTTACATAGGGAACAAGGACATGGCACAAACTTGATATATACCACGTTGCTAGGTGTTTTTCCTGGCTTGAAGTTGAGGCAAGGAGGCTCTCTATGGCACCCTGACGGCCAGAAATCAGATTGCGGCCATCCGTTTTGGAGAGACTGGGAAGGCAGAGTGCTAGGATCGAGTGTGGGGAACGACCGTCGTTGAATTGGGCCGTGCAAACAGTCGTGTCCAAGTAGCTGCCATCCACCACTGCCCGTCGAAGGTTGGCGATCGAACAAGTCGACCTGCTGCTGATGAATTGTTCGTGAAGGATGTCGGTGACCTGACAGCGTCAGCAACCAAGGAGTCGCGGGTCTTGCTTCAGAAGCTGTACAGCCACAAGAAGCTAGACGACCTCGGTAGAAATGACTGTATGGTCCGCTATAAGCAGGATAATCATCGGCCGTGTCCATGCAGTAGGCGTCCTGTTGTGGCATTGTCGGTGAAACAAGCTGATGCTGCGCCATCCAGTGACCAAAAGTGCGACATTCGTAGGACTGCATTATAGGTGGAAGCATACCAGCCCGAGGCCCATCGATGGGGATATTTGGTGCCTTTCTAGGGGCACCGTGCCTCTTGTCATCTTCCGACTTAGCAGGAGGCTCGTCATAAAAAACTTGCCCCGTCGGCTCGGGGTGCAAAATGATATCGGCAAGTTCGAACTTTGAGGACTCCACACTATCAAAAGTATGGTGCTCATTGCCAGCTTTTTCTGCCCTCAGCTCAGCGGGAATACTGGGTTCGAGTCGTTCGGGACTCTTGAGCTTAACGATACTGGTAACCATGACGCTTTCTTCAACCCTCGCAATCTGAGAATGAAGAGGCTCTGCAGCTATGAGAGGTTAGACTTGTCAAGAATGCTATCCTGTAAGCAAAGCAAAAAAAAGGTCCAAGTTGCTTACCATTATAAGATGCGGGTTGTGATAGAACGAGCTCATCCCAATCACCATTGATTAGATGGTCGTGAGCCTTGCATAGTGCATCGCGGACCATATTTAGGTAGTAGGTGGGTAGAGAATGGAGACTTTTCAACTGCTCTCCGTCGAATTCGCCCAGAGGATCGGCCTGCTCCTTACGATCCCACTCTAAGAAAGCCTTCTTGTTATTTGGGTTGGCAAGAAAGTTGCAGCACCACGACCCAATGATCTCGCAAGTCCAATCAAGCATAACAGGAAGACATGATTGTACCTCGCTGTATAACTGGTTGATGATATTCCAGGCATTACGGACGCCGATGGTGTAGAGGTCTTGGGCGTCGAAGTAAATGTATAAATCCCAATAGCCCTTTGGCTGCTGGATATCCTTTAGTACCTGCCAGCAATACTTGGAGAAATGTTCCACAGCTGCTTGGATTAGCTTGGCGTCCCAAGAAAAGATCTTACGGCCCGTAGGAAAATTAATGCTGAACCGACGGCCTTGCCTGCCGCACATGGTAGAGAAGTGTGCAGGCAGATGAGTTGGTGCGTTTAGGAAATAGTCCATCGTAGGTTCAGCATCCAGGAAATGCGCGTATCCCCACGTCGGAGGAGCGCCGGCCTGCTCAATGAAAGCAGAAGTCATTGCTGCTACGTTGCAGGAGTGGGTGGTGGTGAGGAGATTGATGGTGTTAATGTTTGAGGTTGATGGACGGGTTTGATGAATGGGGTTGAAGCGTGAGGTTGGTTTGGTGGCAGGTGATGTTGTTGAATTATAATACTAGTTGATGAAATGATTATAACATAGGGCGATGAATTAAGTTACTAGCAATATGTTAATCATAACGGTGGTTAATTCATAAGGTTAGCAATATGGTATCTTAGCCAATTATAAGGCTAATAGCGAGTAGTATTAATTATAATCAAAGCTCTAATTTAATATGCTTGTTTTATATAAAAATAAAAATAAATAAAAAAACGGGTATAAAGGTTAGAAATTACTTATAAAAATATTAAGAAAATTTAAAAAGTATTAAAAGAAAAACATAAGAATTACTTAAGAAATTAAAAAGAACTCTTTAAAAAAACATAAGAATTACTTAAGAACTTAATAAATATTAATAAAAAAAATTAAAACTATTAAAAAGATAATAAGAATTATTAAAAAGGGTGGTTAAGAAATATCTAAGTTCACCGCTGCTAAGATGTGAGTGTCGATACTCGAAGATGCAAACCGATATCATATGTCTTGTCCAACAATACTTAACTCATTAATGCTTGCCAAGAAGACTCAACTGGTGCGAGAAGTGGAGGTGGCCAGGAAGCAAATGCATTTGGCATTTCAGGTGATGTATTTCAAGGCTGTCTTACGTGGATTGATGATGGTCTAATAGTGGCTATGGGTCTCAAACAACAAGGGTGTAATAAACGGTTTGAACAAGTCGGGTAAGTCTCTAGTTTAGTTGATGAGATGCGGACGAACTTGATATCGACGGGCACTATGCTGAGGTGGAAAGAGTTGAGAAGATATTGGTTGTTCATATTATCAAGATGGCGCAGAGTTGTTGTCGATTGGCGATGAGGAGGTTATGGGTGCGGTATGTGGCAGGCAGATTGCAACGCAAGCAGTATTGACTTAGTTTGGCAATATGGGTATAAGTTGGAAGACTCCAACCAGCAGTCTTACACAGGAGAGAAGCCGACGTTGCTCCCACATACCGAAGAGCTGAACGTGGTACGGGCAGGTGTTGGGTAGAACCGAATGGCGAAATTCGAGGCGAGTCCTTGAGAGTTGATAACATTTGTTATAAAAACACTTCTCTTCCTTGAATACTTGGTCTTCTGGTAAAATAAGCCGTCTTTCTCGCATAAGCCACCACTACTTCCACTATACCAATGACCTGCCGTTTGTATGGCAAATGGCATCGGAGTATCCATAAACGTTTTTAGAAACCTATGGAGCTGGTTCTTTTCGTATTACGAACTCGAAATACCATGACGCTCACTCAATACCAGCGCGACCCAGGCAATATGAGATCAGTGACATACAAGTGGGACGCTCGTTCGAAACAGCAACCTTCAGGTCCATATGGCAAGCATTTCAGGCAGAACGAGACGACAAACAGGTGAACGGGCCAATCATCCTTATCATCATGAAAAGTTTAGCATTTGACTATTGAATAGACTAGTGACATATGCATGGTGGTATCGCAGTTTGTACATGGTGAGACAGGAGCTTCCGAGGAAAAGATTAGGCCTTGTTGAGCTCGTTGACCATCTTCAAGATCTCGGACTCGTTTTCACTAGCAACGGCCTTCCCGTTGTTCCAGTCGACAATCTATGTATGTTAGCTTGCACGAAAGTAGGAGTTTCTGCAACTTGACGCAATATGACATTGCGCATGAACGATGGCGGGGGACGCCACATACCACTGGCCTCTTGAAGTTTTCCGAGCCCTCCTTGAACTTCTTCAAAGCGTCCTTTTCATTGGTCGCGCCTGGGATGACGGAGCCAATCTTGCCTGCACCGACGTACTCAAGGATGGACCTCAGCTGGTCTGATGTGGGGGCACTCTCGGTGACGTCGAGGTCGAACTCGGGGCGCTGGGGGTCGGTCTGGTGGGTGTGATCGCTTGCCTGGTCCTCGGTAGCTACCTCGGAGGCATTGGCAGAGACCTGCTTCAAAAGGTTGACGACCTTTGTGGAGGCAGGAGAGTTTGCCTTGTGGAAGACAGTGATGATGTCCTTGGTCTTACGCTGTAGCGAGTATGTTAGCAATTGACACTGCGACTGAGCAGTAGCTCCAACCAGGGTTTCTAGACTCACGAAGGAGAACATTGTGGAAGATTGGTTGTGTGCGGGATGTTGTCGATATGAAAAGAGTAAGTAGAAGGTTGCAATTGAGGTTGGCAGCTTGAGGTCGAACTTCACAAGCTATGATGTCGTCCGGTGTGCCGTTTTGGGATAGCTAGCTCATGGAAGCTTGGGGGGGCGGGCATGGGTAACTACAAGTCTGCAAGCCATGCACCTGGCACTCTGGAAGCTTGGAAGCTTGGGAGCTTATAGAGGCTTGTGACGTGACGGCACACCGTCTTGGCCAAGGCTCCAGTGGGTATGCACCGAAGATCTACTGTAGCACCTCAAAGGGCCCCTGCACAATCGGTACTGTAAAACGCATTTTCACAGGGGACCCGCTTGTTGCTATGGCAGACCACATAACTACAGTACAGCAGACGGTCGGTTTATACAGTGTACGCACATAGTCTAGTCTTACCTAGACTAGCATCAAGTTAGTTAGCACTAACGTTATTATTAGTTAGCAACTAAAGGCGGACTGGACAAAGTTGAAGATCGCGAACTCGCCAGAGGAAAGCCTTCGCAAAGAAGCATCCAAAGGTCCGATCCTCCCCCAATACAACCATTCATTCAGCTGCACAGGCTCTTCCTCACGAGTCGCCACATTCTTTGAACCCGCTGCAGCCTCCGACTGTTTCTGCCTCTGCCTCGACTGCTGTTTCCACACAATGCGTCCTCTAATCCTACACAACGTCCCCGATGAGGAGCTGTATACCGGCGATGATGGCATTACAAGGCCCTATGCCATGATATTTCCAGAGTACGCAATATCCCAGCCCCAATCTACATGGTCCATCCCGCGTCTCGTTCCCTCAGTGACCCTGACCCCGACCCTGACCCTGACTTACAACCCAACCACAGAGGCGACCGCCTACGAGATGCGCCGCGACGGAGAGCAGTAGCAGAGACGGGTTCTTTCGGAAAATCAACCCGCAGGTCGAGGTCGAGGACCGGCAGTCTGCCCCCCAAGCGCGAGGACGCGACCATGCAAGCTGCCGATAGGATCTTTTCCGACTTTCTCTCCAAGCAAGAACAGACCTCCAACCCCGCCACCCAGCGCAAGCCCAGCTATGCCACCATCCCCGACGACAACGCATCAGCTCAGCTGCCGCGAATCGTACAGGAGCCCACCGAGGTGATACTGCGCGGCTACAAATCGTCCATCCAGCAGTATGCAGCCATCAACCACTATGAGCAGCTGGCTGGCAGGATATGCGAAGACTACCCTCGCGAGCCTCCCATCGAGCAGCGGAGATACAAGTCAGAGCTGCGAGACCCAGCCTTTACCAGACGGAAGCCCCTGACCCCACACGAGAAGGCAAAAGTGAACCAGGTCGACGGCGGAGAACACTGGATCAAGGTCACATTCGAGTCTGCCGACGCGGCAAACGCTGCCACTTATGCCTCGCCTCAGAAGATCCTGGGCTATCTAGTCTATGCAGAGCACTATCGGGGTCTGCCGCCCATGGAGGATGCTGCCGTCGTTGACATGGCTGGCGACGTCGGCATGCTACAGGACGAGAACCCACTTTCTCGAGGGCCATCACTCCGGAGCAGATTACAGAAGGGAAAGCAGTCTACCCTGCCCAAGAACTGGCAGTCCACCCCCGCAGTCGCTGCACCTGGTCGAACAAGCGGGCTGGAGCTTGGTATCCACGGCTCGTCACCCGATTCGCGAACATCGACTCAAACCATTGACTCTACCACCTTGTCTACTGCTACTGGCACAGCCTCGTCAGCCACCGTCACCGGCACAACTATCAACGGGACCGCGTCATTCAATGACCCCCCGCGGCCCGAAAACACAGGGGCTGAGGCACAAAATGGCGACTACTGTAGAAGGATACCGACGGCGCGTCGTGCTAAGCTCCTGACAGCCGAGCAGGCACTTCTGCCACAGCAGGGTCTCATTCAGCGCATTGGCAGTCGTGTGCCCCTCATTGGATGGTTCAGCGGCAGCATGATTGGAGACGAAGTTCCTCGACTAGAGAATGGCGAGTTCGACTTGAACAGAGCCAGCCTGTATTGGCGTCTCATGTACTTCCTGGATTACTGGTTCGGGCTTTTCGGACATGAGATCGACCACCTGGAAAAGGATGATTGAGAAAACAAAGTCGGGCGAGATCAAAGTCGTGTAATGCATAATGAAAAAAAACAAATTGGTCTTGTACATTCGTGGGACGGCCAACACATAAACCATTTTCAGGAATTGAGGAGTTGAGGAGTTGAGGAGTTTAAAACCGGGGCGCATGAAGCGGACATGTTAGACAGTGGCTCCCAATGATACTAACCTAAGACTTGAAGTAAGTAGAATGAATCTTCATACTTGGTCTTCTCGTGTACGGATATGTATGTTCGTCCGTTCGTCAGAACCCCACTAGCAGAAGAACTTCAGCCGAACAAGTAGGTATACTCGACTGAAATAACGATTGTCTTAGTACATATTGTGTGCAGGGGTCCACCTATTGCATACCCTCACTTGATTACAAGGTCACGGCATGCTCCAAGGTCATCCAAATCTCATGCATGTCTGGTCGGCTCTCCTCCCAACGCCCATCCCATGGCCTGGATTAGCGCATCTGACAATTCATGATACGGTGTGTTGGTGGGGGCGTGAGCGGGCGGTGGGCCAGCTTTCGGTCACAAGGCAACCGAGAAACAGGGACCGAAGCATAACTACGGGCAGGGAGGTCTTTGTTATCTTTCTCCCTACCGGTATCACTTAACTTTGGGCCAGACTTGCGCCATTCTCTCACAAACCTAAATGACACCATCTTCACTTCTGTAAATGAAAATTACCAGATTGAATTAAGGACTTATGTGCGGAGCAGCAACAAATCGTACTCAATAGCAATAGACAGGGTCGGAGGTCCAGCCAGTCTAGCTGAAAGTAAACAAACCGGACCACTCACAACTCAAGGATCCTCATCATCTAAAGTTACCAGCACCCCCCGTCTCATCTCACTTTCGCATACACGCATCGCAACATCACCACCAGCCGAGATGACCTCAACGGCGACCCCCGGAGGCGCCCCTCAGACCCGGCCGACCTCGCCGTCGCCATCACAGCTCCCGCCGATCCCCGGCTCGCCGACCTTTACGTATGCCACCACAAACCGCATGTCCACCTACACCCTGCCCATGCCCCCACCGCCGCGGCCCTCCCACGCCATCCTGACCAAGGCCGACCTCGAAGCCAGCCAGATCGCATACGGTGACCTGCTCGCCACCGCTAAGACATACCGACAGGCGCTGGCCTCGCTGTCGGTGGCCGCGTCCGCCTTTGGCGCATCGCTCGAGGCGTGCGCCCGCCTCAAGGAATCGCGCTCCGACGCCCTGGGCCCGGACCACCAGAAGCCGGCGAGCCTGACCAACAGCTTCACGGCCTCGAGCGGGTCGTGCACGGCGGACCTGCTGCTGGGCGCCTCGGGCGTGCACCAGCTGGTGGCGAACCACCAGCAGATCCTGAGCGAGACCGTGTACCGGAGCTTCGAGGTGCCGCTGCTGCACGAGCTGGACAAGTGGCGGGCGGCTATCGAGGACGAGGACGAGTCGTACCGGCGGTCAGCGGCCGCGCAGTCCCGCGAGATCCGAAAGCTCGAGAAGGAGGGGCTGCGCCTCCACAAGCAGCGCAGGCGGGACGTGGGCAAGTTCCGCGAGCACCTTGTCGAACTCACCACCAAGCTCGACGGCCTCACCACCCTGCACGGCGAGCACGCCCGCACCATGCTCCGCGAGAGCCAGGAGACGAGCGAGAAGATCCTCGACGCCAGCTGCAGCCTGGTGCGGGCCGAAGTCGACATCTTCGAGAGCCTGGCCCGCAAGGGGTGGACCGGAGGAGGGCTCGACGAGCTGCTGGACAAGGGAAAGGATCTCTTCGCCAGCGACGAGGACGCGGCCTTGGCGAGCGGCATGGACTCCTCGGTCATGGGGGGCGCCTCGGCGGCGGCGGCGGCGGCAGAGGGCGCGAGGCTCTTTAGTATACTGCCTCCCAAGAGCATCCTGGCGGACTCGGCTTCCGGCCGGTCGGGCACGCCTGCGCATAGGGGACACGGCCGCGCCGACAGCCTGCTGGTCGATAACGACCGGTACCAGAGCCTGGCCGGGGCCATCGACCGCGAGGGCGACGGGGGCGATGCCGACAGTATCTTCAGCGATTTCAACCAGAGCCGGGGCGTCAGACCGTTCAGTCCGCAGCCCATACGCAGACATCCCACCGATGTCGTCCTAGACCCGGACACCCTAGTCATCGAGACCCCACAGCCGTTACGCCGACATGCGACAGATGCCATCCTCGACCCGGAGTCACTCCTTTCCGGCGACGGAGAGCTTGAGGGAGGACGGCCACGGGACGCCAGCGCGCAGGACTTGCAGGTCGATGAGCGGAATGAGGAGGATAACGACGACGACGACGACGACGATGACGACGATGGTGAGGACACGGCCGAGGAGTCGCCGTGGAAAGACGTCGTGGTAGGACCGAGAAAGGTCAGCGGTGATACGGCCACCGATGTCTCGACTGCCAGGGACAGGGAGCAACGGTGGAGTGCCGATCACGGAAACGGCAGCGATACCGAGTGAGCACAAATCACAAGCATAGGCCTGAGGAAGAGTGCAGGCTCACCTCGGTTTCTCGATGAGAAAGTTGACCACGAGGAAGACATGATAGATGGATAAGGCATAAAACTCTTGGCGCAAATTGCATATACCCTTCTGGTTGTATTTTTCTTTCGCATTATAGATTGATGATTCTCTGGTTTTGAGTGGCTGCATTGGCATAACGACATTGCTGTGATGCTGTGGGCGTTCCTGGATCATAGATAGATTTGTTTTAAATGAACTCCAAAACTCCTATATACGTCTCCAACTCTCTGTTTCTTTCAAACCATGGGTATAATGCTTGCCTGCTGACCGACCCGATGCCATTGATTTAGCCTCAGGAAGTATTATACGCTCGATGAAGCACCTGAGTTGAGTCCCAAATATCTGCCTTCCAAGTTCGATGTCCTGGAAACCCCTATTTGCCATGGTGACCTGTTCCAGAGCAGAAGAGGAGTAGTGGATAGGGCCCTCGTGTGCGTCTGACGAAACTTGTTGAACGACACACGCCCCCGTCTCGAAAAAAGAATTTGTAATAAAAAGATAACGAAAATTTGTTAAATAAAACATAACAGAAAAAGGAGAATGGGGATGTTATCTCCATGATTCCAAACTCCTATGCGTCTATACTTGCAGCGGCGCTCCAAGGTGTCGGTCGTTGATGTATTACTACTGCCGCTTGCTATCTTGCATTGTATAGAGATGTGATGAGTTGAGATATCTATGGGCCGGCTCACTGGCGATCTAGCCAAGGGAGAAAGGGAAAACACCTCACGAGGTGTACGACCTGGTAGTCAGAGTGGGAGTGGGAGTAGGAGTAGTAAGGAGACATACATGCGGTCGTTCGGTGACGGGGACGGGGACGGAAGCTAGGTGAGAGGGCGTTTCTTTTCTACCCCAGGACTATATTGACATTAAAGAGTTAGAAATCGCAACGAGTCACCAAGAAAGACATGTCCTATACTTACAAAACAGACAAGGCCACTGGTATCTGGGCAAACGCTCCGGAAGACGTGGTTTGAGCAGCTTGGGTACTGCTTTTTGGCAACCCGATTTAGAGGACGCTGTTGGTAGATTATTCGAGCATGACTCGTCCCACAAGGAAAAGACAACAAAACAATATCAAACCTCGCCTGGCGCTACGAAGTTCTGTACACATAAAACCGTTCTAACCACAGATCCTACACGCCTGGTGGCCTGGATCTGTGTCTTGTCGTTATTTACCCGCTGGACAGTCAAGGTTTACCATAGGATGACAGCACTGGACTGTTCTGGACCTCAAGGCACTGCTCGGTTCCAAAGTTGTTGCCGGACGGTGAAGACGCTAGTCCTCATGAACCTGCCGCTGGCGGATATGTCACGGTGCGGACCGACTCTCGGTTTGCCAACGGTCGGAAATACAGTAGAATTGAATAATACACCGCGCGAATGACGTTGCGCGAGCAAAGGTGCTAGAACCGCCCATCCCCTCTCGCCTCGGCATTACAATCGCAACTCTGGTCGAAGGCAAAAGCCTCTAACGAATATAGCTGTTGCAAGATAAGAATTTCTTGTTCAAGCTCCATGCAGGCATTACTCTCATGTATGCCGCTCCCAAAGGCCCGGTGCGCTGCTTGTCTCGAACGTGCAGTCCTCGCCATTCCATCGGAGCACAATAGAAACAACGACACGCCACAAAGTCAACGCCTCCCCCAACCACCGTCAAATGCCAAAAGGGGGTCTTACCGCCATCGGTGGACGTCCCCCAATCTGATGCGAGATGCCCTTATCTAAAAAAATTCTCGTTCTATCTTTGACGCGTCTGAGACAGGATCTAGAAGCAAAAGGACCTAGACACGGCACGGGTCGGTGCGTACATGTGGGATGGGTGCTGGACCAAGGCGCCCCGGTGGCCCTTTTTGTTTTCCTTTGCTGACGCGTTACGACGCAATAAGTGGACGGAGTATGAAATTCGCAAAGTGTTTCTGGGGCAATTGATAATCTAATATCCTTGGTGAAATGGTGGGCTCGTCGCGCAAGAGAATGTAGAGAGTGCGCGGTTTACTAACCTCGTTGCAGCACGCATGGACTGCTGAAATATTCCACGTTGAAATAGTGCAAGGTTTCCATATGAGCGAAAGCACGAGGCTCACGATGAATAAAGCACGTCGGTCGGTGGGGTATACAAAGTGAACCATCACGGAAGAGCACAACAAACAACCGAGAGGTCCTCCTGAGCTCATCGGTATTGAATAGAACAAGAACGCCGTTTCAAGGCGTCGGACACGATGCCGATTCTTCGTAACCATCTCTTTCTCTTTCTACTAATTCGGATTCAACCCCCATGACGGCACCACAAAGTCCAACCCCGCAAGGCTCCTAGGAAAACGGTCAGACATTGACAATATTGAGATATTCTCCCAATGATCTGCAATCCGGGAGCACACATATTGGCATATGCGGTCCGGGCATATGAAACTACTACTTCCTATTCAAGATAAAGTGACGGATACGATGATGATGATGATTCTTTTGGTACAGTGCCTAAGCATACCAGCACCGGCGCTGCTGGTGGCGCGCAGCTGAACTCGTGTTGCTAAAGACTCGATTAAATTTATTTCAAGGTTCAGGTTCTTGGCCGAAAATTGGCGCGCCCTCGGACATCTTGCCATACTTCAGCTCATGTGCGATGACGCGTCAAAGTCGGGATCTTCTGTGAAGACCAGCCTCGTTGATTGCCATGTACTTGTCCATCATAGTCCGCGGAACGAGAGTTGGAGTGTGCAGAACTGGCGACGTTTGGACTAGTCTAGACTACATCGATGTTTCGGTACTTGACGGGGCAAGGTGCATTGACCATGACGAAAGCCAACATAAACCTGCATTGTGGTGAAGACGCGATTGATAATAAACATAGTTTGAGGAACATTGCACATGTCACACAGCATCAGATGAGGAAAAGATGTGATAAATCATCGTCAGCATTTTCATGGCTAGCTGGACTTGGGCCGTCTCTTGTCTCTCAAGTCTACAGCGAAATCAACGCGAAAACATGTTTTGCTCATCCCAGAGAACCCTAATTCTCAAGCCATTTCGCGGACATCCCTTCGACCCTAATGACTTTTGCCATGACGCCAATCCCAATGTGACAACACATTTCAAGCGAGGGCGGCATCCATCACGTCGAGTCTCGGGACAATGCCATGCAGAAAAACAGGCTAGGTACAAGAAGTGAAGAAAAATCAGAAAAGGGGCCGAGACTCGACTGATGAAAATGCATGTCCCTCCAAAGATGATGGCCTAATCCGGTAGTTCAAGAAACCAGGGAACCAAAAACAAGGACCAGGTCGAAGAAAGAACCGCAGATGCAACCGCCGAAAGTCTGGCAACGAAATGTAGAAAAATGCTCAAGTGCCAATGAATTCCCTTTTGCCCCGAACCCCCTTGACACGCCCAGTTTCTTTTGGTCATTGCAGTCGTCATCGTGAGATTGGTGCGGATTGTTTCCGCCATGCACAGGATCTTCTCTCGGTGAGCTGGAACGGTATGTGGTGACCACCACGACTGTGCGCGGTATGAACGTTGGTGGTTGATAAACAGACTTCGTGTACAAGTTTATACACTACAAGAATATAAGAGACATGCTCTGTTGATTCGCTCCAGGCTCATCATAGACTCCCTGCCCTCAAGGCACGTTCGAGACTAGGGGCCGATTCACGGCGGCGTTCTAGATGGCGAAACTTAGTTGGTGACGGTAGCCTCGCCAAGGGACTGCGCAATGTTGGTGCCGTAACCGCCGCCAACGTTGCCTGTAAGAAAGTTAGTCTTTATGAGTCTCGCCCTCGTTTGACACCGGATTAACGTACCAGCGGGTCTGTAGTTGCAGACCATGTACCAAGCATCCATGTCGGAGTACATGGTGCCGGCGGCGCAAAGCTTGGCGTAGCAGCCGAGCTGGTTGGATCCCTTCCAGACAAGCTGAGAGAAGTGACCCCAAGCTTCGAAGTCGGTCATGTCGGGAGTGGACTCGCCGTAGTAGGAAGGCAGGAAGAGGTTGACTTCGCCATTGTACCACATGTCGTGGGAGGCCATGCCGATGGCGCCAGCCTCGCCAAGCGCAGCAGCGTTGTCAGACGTAGCCCACATGGCGATGTTCTGGCCGTAGTTGCCAGATCCTTGGTCCCTGGGTAATTGTCAGTCATGCCATATTGGATAGGCGGTGAAAGAATAACTTACATGTCGTGTGCGAACTTGCAGCTGTTGGCGGTAGTCTCAGCGTAGGTAGCGATCTCATCGAGCCACTCCATAGCGGGAGCAGAGTGGTTGGCACGGTGAAGGTTGTGAGCGTACAGAGCAGTGCTAGCCATGTCCGAAGGCGAAGCTGAGGCCTGGGTGCTGCTAGAAGCCGCGGCCTCAACATAGCTGGATGCGGCCTGGGTGCTGGTAGCAACAGGCTCCACAGTGGTCTGAGCAGCCTCAGTAGTTTGAGCAGCTTCAGTGGTCTCAACAACCTCAGTGGTGGGCTCAGCCACGGAAGTTGCCTCTGTAGTCTCGGCAACAGACGAGGCGCCGTAGGTCTTGGTGGAAGTGACGTAGACAACCGCAGGAGCCGCGCTGGACGGGACGACAACGGTGCTAGAAGACGACTTAGATCTGTGCTTGCCGCCGTTGACGAAAACAGTAGGCTTAGAGACACCGGTGGTGGTGGTGGTAGCAGGCTCGTCGCCAGCAGTGACAGTGACGGTTTGGTACTCGACTACAATGTCAGTCTCGACAACAAGGCGCTTGTCGACGGGTGTGGCGAGAGCCATGATGGCGCTAGTGGCCGCGAGAAACATTGACTGCTTCATCTTGATGATGGTTGACAAGTTGAATCAAGGAATGTCTGCGGATCGCGTTAGTGAAATGAATGATCACCTCGACGGTGTTGGTTTAAGGAACGTGTGTATGTTTGAGCGGAACGAATGAGCAAGTGAAGAGAGTTTATGGTGGTCCGATGCCGATGCATATGCTGGATTCGGCGCGGACACCCGCACGTGGGCCCGGTTATGAATGTGGAGATGACAATGAAACAATGACATGGCACTATGGAAAGAACAAGGTTTCCTCCATTATTGCCATCCGTGCTTCTTTTGACGAGGTATTTCTTTCTTGTCCGCTGGCAGACAGCCCGCGCCAAGAACCTTGACACCGGAAAAAGAACAATGGCGCTCAGTGATGGCAACGGGAATGCAGATCCCCAGAATAGGTGGAAGATCAAGATGGCGGACCAGCCAGATTTGGTATTCATGACATACCTTAAATAGAAGATTTCCTGTTTTGAAGCTGAGGGCTGCTCCAAAGGTTCACAAGAGTTGGTGAGAGATTGCCTCTTTTATCTGTAGCAGTAATGATGATGTGGAGCTAGGTATGATCCAGATGGCCTCAGATAGAGAGTGTGGTTGGACAACAGGCAAGTCTTGTTCGACAAGATTGAGAGACAGAATCAACTGCTTTGATTTGACGAGATCGTGAGATGCGATTCGTGGAGTTTGTTACGAAGCAGAATCCTGTGCTTGTGGTTGACGAGCTGGCGACTGGCGTCCAGGCGAAAGAGTGTCAATGTCGAACTAGCCGAACGGGTTGAAGATAACAACTGAAAAAATCCTGATGCTCGTAGACGAAATGAAAACTTGTCAAACGAGATGAAAGTATCCGGGGATTTCTGGTATGTTTGTGAAGGAGTGAATGTGCGCCGAAGCGGGTGGTTGTTGTTGTTGTTGCTGAATGAGCGGAAGTGGTTGGTCTGTAAAGAGGTCAGGGTCTCTGAGCAGGCCACACCGGGGATTTTGAGTGAATGTCGGGGTGGGGATGGTGGTTTTGACTAGCGAGCGGATACGGGAAGGAAGGAGTGGGTGAATGTGAGAGACAGTGATTGTGAGTGGGTGGATGCGAATCGTATGTACCTAAAGGAATGGACTGGCTGAAAAAAGTCGGCCGTGCTTGAGAAATGTCGAACCCGAAAGGCAAAAGAGAGGGTGAAGAGAAAGAAGGAAGGAGGAAACTCGTAGATGTTGACGGGTGACGAGGTGGAATTAAACTACTCGAGTCGCTAGCCTGCATCTTGCATTTCGAGGCGGGGGGAGCGGGGTGAATCTACGAAACGTCCAGGAAATCTGTGAGGCGATCCGCCGTGGTAAACACCAGACAGGGACATGAACTACTAGGCTGCTAGGGAAATGAGCTTCATTATTCCTACAAATGATCAAATCATGGCGGAAAGTGAAAGGGACTGCCTGGGAGGGGCACGCCCATGCTGCTTGGTGCGGTGTGCGAGATGAGCAGATGGGGGGGTGTGAAATTAGATCCAGGCCCCTTCAATTCTACTTTGTGCCTGTTACGACGTCACAAACCATGGTGTCGATCATTGGGGAATCCGGGACTTTCATGGTGGACCGGACAGGAGACAGCTGAGGTCGAGAACAAAACTCGTTTGCTTGGCAGAGTCTGGGGCATCGTGAAAACTGCTCCAGTATCCCCTGGCTCAAGCCGCCACTGACAAACTGCTGAGTCCATGGTAAAACAGACGGGCGCAGATTTATGTCTCGCCTTGCGCCGACAAAGCAACCACGCCTGCGGCGGATCCAGTAGATCATGCCCAGGTGATAGTTGACAGCGGTCTGTGGTTAGATCGGATCTCACGAAAGCAAAGTCAGCAACACCAAGAGCAATTATGGGCATGCACGGATCACAAGCGCAGAAGTATGTTAAATGATCGCCATTATAAGCGCTCAAACTGAGTTCTGTTCGCGCATTCGAGAGGCTGTGCTGTAACAAGCAGCAAACTTTGGTCACCAAAACGCTCCGTCTGGGACGTGCGCAGAGGATTAACACTTCAGCGATGGCGATAGTGAGCTCTCAGTAGTCCTTTTGCAAGTACAGTCGGGCGGTATACTAAGTTATACAAGTATAGGGGTGTACTGTGATATGTAATACGTACGTGCTTCCGCTGTTTGTTTTACGGCGTGGACATTCCCAGCCAAACAGAACTGTTTCCATCAGACCCAGCGTTCGTCACAAACCTGTCTGGCGGCTTTCCGTGCATGACAAGAGTCTGCCAATCTGTTTCCCAAAACAAATCAAGCTTATTATGAGATGTGCGCTGATTACCATCGGGAAACTTGACACACCAGTGGCAAGCGGTAGCTTCGGATCTCTGCGCGTGTTCATCCAATCTTCTCGTGGCCCTGTGCCAATCCTACCCCTTTCCCAAGCAACTGTCGTCTAGCGTGGCTGACCGATGCAGATGTGTGGAGTTAACCCCTGCCGCTAGCCCTGCTAGAGCGTTTCCAATATGCAGGTACATTCCGCACCAAGATCCATCTGAAGGCAACGGCGCCGCCAAATACGACAAGGGGACTCTTGGCGAGGCTTGCGGAGGAGTGACGCAGCTTATGATTTCTAGAATAATACCCCGTACATAACAAACAGTACAGTACTTTGCCAAGCTGGCTTGTCCCGCTACAGAGGCACAGCGCGGGACCGAATAGATGCATCCGTCGTCCAGACGACTTTTGAATCGTTCTTCCCAATAGGCAGTTCGACAGTTTCAACGGTTACTGCAGTGAACCCTAGCCACAAGCAATCCGGGGTCAATATCATGCACTGCTATTCTGCAGCCATTTAATGCAATATCAGCAACAACACGCAAGCTGCGGGGTTTATTAGAGTGGTAGTATAGCAGTTCAGACCTTCCCAACCGGGCTGCTGGGGCGCTGCTGATGGTGAAGAGGAGCAATTGAGATGACTGATTGATTGATTGACTGATTGATCGATGGGAAGAGCTGATCGGATGAACCACAGACATGGCTCGTGCTTCTTCTGAAACGTGCCAGGCTTGGCTTAGGCTGTGTCTGCCGGCTGCCCGCCTGCCCAGCGCTGGTTCGCTGTGACTTTTTAAATGGTTGGCGCGGGTTTTGGCCGTACCTTAGTGGCCCAACTTGATAAGCCACAAGTGCCTGATTCCAACGTCCGCAACCGCTTGATCGGCTCAGACATCTAGGTTAGAACTTTTCGAAGCTAAACAGAATCATTTGATAACGCCGAACATCTCACGAAGATTAACATGTCTTGGTGCAAGACATCCGGGCTTGACTCGGGTTGTCACACGCACGCACGCACCTACATACACTCACAAATATACGTAAACAACACATATTCCGGATCCTCTTAGCGTTGCGACACTTTGACATACTCAAATTCTTCTTGTGTCACGCGGTATCTTCCCGGGTCTTGCGTCTGCTCTGGCATTAACTTACACCCGTACGTATGGGCAGCTCACAAAGCACCGCATTCCTATGATTGATGGATCTTGCGATGACTATGGCTCGAGCGCTAGATGTTTTCGTACCCTTGTTAAAAATTGCTAACTCTACGCTATACCATGTAGAATTAACCAGAAGAGCAATATCATGCATATAATCGTTCACATTATCCTGACAAGGTTCAAAAATAGGTGACATACCCTACTAATAGCCAAAGTCTCTCTCTTAGCAATTAAACAACCGAGAGGGAAAAAAGAAGAAGAAGAAAAAAGCCAAGGTCGCGTTCTGGCCATATTCTCTGTCGTCTACTGGCGTCTCGAGTCAATATTTCGCCGAGACAGATCCTGTAGTGGTGTGGCGCGATCTTCAAAACCCCTGGATGAGGTAATTATCTTGCTTGCCAGCGACTTCCGTATGGTCGTGGGTATCAGTGAAGAATCTGATGGAACCCAAGTCCCCCGCCTTAGAACATATGTATGGGACGACATGCTCGGCATGATTCAGCAGCCGCCACGTTTTTGTTGTCTCGTCTCGAGTTTCTCAATTCACAGATCACATGTACTATGGATCGGGTTGTCCTAGGCCCCACGACGGGCCGTCCGGGATTGCAGTCGAGACCATTGACGCGTTGGCTGACAGGTCATGGAGGGTGCAAATCTGTGATCATGATACGTGGTGATCACAAGTGGAGATGGTGGTCTGTAAATGAAACGCTGGTCACCAAATGCACCAAAAACTTTATTTTCATCGCGCGTGGATCCCTGATCCCCCCATGCCCCCCTCCCGACAGCCCAACCTGCCAACTGTACATAGTATAGTACTATGTATTCTCCGTAGATGCGCATTTCGCTAATGGAGCTCGTCAATGCGTGTAATTTACTGATGCATTTTTCCCTCATCGCGCCCCAGTGGTTTGTTGTCTAGACCACTGCGAACTCCGCACTTTTCTAATGCGACGTGTCTGCATGCTGCAAACGCACAGGCAATAGGTACGCACTGTCGTCGATCAATGCCAAGCATTTCTCTCTTCAGCCCGGGGTTGTCTTCCGGGTGCCGGCACAACAGCAACCCGCTACAGCCCGAATCCTGGAGATTCATTAAATCAATAGATCTTACGGAGGACGGGGCTACTTTGATTGCGCCGCTTCATCTCAGGTTCGATATTAACTCATTACATTTCAACATTATATCCCAGTTTGATATGTGGAAGCCCTCATGGTCTTACTCCCTTCTGTATGTTATCGCATCCTTCTGTATGACATGACGCCCGCTGCATGCCTGGTGTGTTTGCTCATTTTCTTGCCTTTAGCCAGCGTTTCGGACTGGTATTGGTGACTGATAATAATCCCTCTTGTATAACCTTGCTCCATGTACAGTATGCTGCCTTCCACAATCCCACTATGCGAGGACAGCGATTTTAAAGCTGCATACGTTCGCCGCAAGGCTAGATATGATTGTAACTTAAGGAATTTTACACGGCAAAGGTTGCCTGGTTTGGAACGGTTCCTGGTCAAAGGTTACGCTCATCGTTTGATTCGTCATCTTTGCGGGAACACATCTACTTTCATTCGAAGATTGACCAATATAGATTGCATTGCGTACTATAGTTTGTTCGGCGAGGCTCTGCAAAGAAGTCCCGTCATCCCTCGACATGTTGCTTTTCGTTGGGGAAAGGGTGATTGCAGAACTCGCCCCCCAGCTGTTAATAGGTGTGTAGGAACACAACCACAGAAGTTCCTTCTTATGTCATACCGCTTCCCCACATGAAGCAATTATGTGGCGTCCGGTTGTCGGGTATGAGCTCCCTTGACTCTCTGAGAAATGATCACTTGGCCTCAGAAGCGGTATGGATCACTGTTTGTAGAGTTCGATTGGTAGCAGAGCAGGCATCTGGAACGCCAGTTTGTACATTGTATACGCAGTACTACGCGATGGCACCCAGCAACCACGCGGCGCGCCTACCCTGTGATCCAAATCATAGGTGGTTCCTGAGACATCTGTTTTCTTTCATAACGATCGAGCTTCCAGAAAATGTTTGAGGCAAACTTCATGCCGTCCACAAGCAAGCATTTGCCTCAGACGATAGACCTGAAAGTCAGAGGATGCCACAGCCTCTGACGTGTTAGAGCTACGAAGTTCTTGCTGTACGTAGTCATGTGTAAAGGCTAGCAGTGTGAAGCTGCATTTCTTGTAAAGGAAAGCACTCCCCTTTAACCAAGCCAAGATGACCGGATGTTTCAGTTCTCAGTGTTATACACGAGTGTTGGAAATGGCTTTTATGCATGAAACAATGACATAGCCAGTATATGTGTGTCTCAAATTTGGACGCTGCTTCCACCTCGTCGGAGTCGTCTAAGTTAGGACGGGTGCCTGTCTTGCTTCATTCAGGTACACACAAATAGATAGCCTCTGAGACATGCATACGATTAGCATCCAACTGAACGGGTATGCCCATAACTATCGTCCGACTGTCAAATGACGCCTGTTGCGAAATCCGTGGGCGCTGCCTGACTTGTGCAATCAGTCAGTGAAGACGTCATCACCAAAATTTCTTCCACTACTCTTATATGATTCACCATGGCAACTTTTCAAGACCTCGCACCGGTATACATGAATGTTAGCTTGTTGAATGTATGTGGGCTACTATCGAACGATACTTAACAAATTTCTTAAGAACTGTAAGCAATGAACTACCTTCGCGTGGCTGCTGTGCCACACGTCCAAGTCCAACCTCGTAATCGGGAGCACCACGCATGTTGCTCCTGCAACCCATTCAAAGTGACGTCGTCAATGAGCTCGTCGTTGATCAGTTTGTGCAGTGCGGTTTGCCCTACGTGGTTCAGCTGATCACCGAACCGCCACCACTGCCTTATACCTCGCATCATTATTGGAAAAATCAACATTACCTGTCAGCAACGTGGAAGCATGAAGATACCTACATTGTAGAAGCAGAGGGCGTTTCGGCCATTCTCTAATACAGTCGTAGATATATTATTACCTGTGGTAAAACACAAAATGGTGATTCTGCCTCACGGCAGTAGCCGAAAAATCGGGGTAATGTCTACGGATGATGTCTGCTTTTAGTTGTAGACATGGTTTCTCAACAGACCAGCGTCGGTTACTTGCCGTATTTTATGATCGAACCAATGAATGAATCACAGAGTCAGATAACCTAAGGGCTTGCAAAATTGAAATACTTCATAATTACAAAGAGTATAGCCCACTGTATAGTTCATGTATCAGCCGCGAACTCATGGGCAATATGCGTGTCCCGAGACTAGACTTTGTTATGTGTATGGAATAACAAACATCACTAGATGTCCCATTCACAGATCATGGAGAAATGTTACACGTGCCCGGAGCACGTCCAATGGGAAATGGGGTGTCTATCGAAGAAACTCATATTGAGTTTTGTGGCGCCAAGATGTGTCATAGGACGGCGAGGTTGTATATGCCGTGCATCATCCGGTTTTGCGGGGTAAGCTATATAGGTGGCTGGCGCAATGACCTGTGAATCATGACGTATATTGCTGGCATGATTATTGGGTAGGGATAATCGATTGGCAGTCAAATTTCACCTGGAGGTTGCAGTGTCGGATGGTTGGGTACAGCTACGGAACTGACTACCTTGACGCTTGTATTGCCTTGGAAGCTGACAGGTAAGTTGGCAGGAATCTGTGCTCTTCGCTGCATGTTACTACATGTGGATGTTACCCAATCCATGTAGCAGGTAATACAATGGCTGTAAGTAACTAATAGCGCCCCATCAATAGCTTTCGCCAGGATGTTCTGCGAGGGAAAGGAGTATCACCGACTAACGTATATGCAGCAAGTCGTTGACGATGATCAACGTGGTTCAAAGGAACAGCCCGGAGAAAGACCCAGCATCCTTGTCCATTCTCGGAGTGTCGGTCTTGTCCTGATAGTTTGTCTACTGCGACTGATACCGCAGTGGAGCGGACGTTGGTAAAAAATCAGGCATTCATATGCACTCGTAAGATTCAGTATAGAGAGGATTATCGTGCCAGTCGGACGAAAGTTTAAATGAAAGCCTGTTTTTCCTCGTGCAGACTCTGTTTGATGTTAGAACAATTGGCACTTTCCTGCTCTATGTACACGGATGCCTGGCGTCCAGCATCTCGAATCCCTAACCACAAAACCAGCTCATACATCGACCCTAACACTTTCTATGATGCCGGTGCAGATTGGGCTGAAGGAGCCTCAACAGCTTTGCCGAAGGGCTTCTGACCAGGGTCTCTGAGAATGGGGTAGTGGGCATAGATCTGCTTGGAACGAAGGTGGACGGGGATGCCTTGAGCATCAGGAAGTTCCTTCTCGAGTTTCTGTGGAAATTGTTAAAGACCTTGGCCTAGTATGCTGAGAGAACACATGGAGTGACATACCAGGTTGTCAAAAACACACTTGTTGAGCTTCCATTCGGGCTTACGGCATTGCCAGAGCTGGTGGTTGTTGTCATCAAGGCATTGCCAGTGTTTCCGGAACTCCTCTAGACAGTGCTTGTTGATATCGTCGACGCTGTTGAAACCCAAATGTCAGCCTAAGCTCGTGATCATCCCCGGATCTCAGCATCTTCTATCCATGCTCCAACTCGTTCCTCCCTGTGCATAGACGAGCGGACCGGTGGCCTGCTCCCAGACCTTCTCTCTCGGAATGGGGGATTCCACCTACACGGTGGCGGCGCATCTCGTGACCCGTCTGCCCTCCTTCAGGCACTCGTATTCGCCCTTGCCGGGATTCTCGTTCTTGCATTGCATGAAGTCATCGTTGTATGGTCGGCATCGGGCACCGATGAAGAATGAAGCCGACAGAAGAGGTGCAGAGGTGGCGCCGACCTCCTTGACCTTGGGGATGCTCTCGGGGAGAGGCGTGGTATCGACCAAGACTTGCTGGTTGAAGCTGTCGCAATCATGTTAGCTCGTTCCGGTGGTTGAGAAAGGTATACCGGAGGTTTTTTGGATGCTGTCGGCGTAGGACAACTTTTGGAAGGTCTTGGAGGAGGTGTGGTACGTACATTGGCTTGCGGGCGGCCATGGTTGCGGTATTGTCGGCCTTCTGGCTGGTGATGCGACTCTTTTGAAGCTCCGAGTTGACGTTCACGAACTCGAGAGTCGATGTTGATAATTGACGTCGCTGATTGGGTACAGCCACACTGAGGCTGGATCGACGGGCAGCAATGTCCGTCACTAAGCTCTTCTTGGAGTAGATGTGGCGGTGCGACCTGGAACCGGGCTATTGGACAAGGAAATTGGAGCTAAGGAAAGTTGAACCTCAAGATTATTATCATTATCGGGCGCAGATGCTTCAGCTGAGCTAAGCTGAGGCTAGACTAGGGCCAATGAATTGAAAGTCAACATATATGGAATTGATTGTTGCTGGGAACTTCATCGCAAAAGGCGACGACAAGCTGTAAATTCCAAACCCGTGGACACTCACTCACGTCACCATCCCAGCCGCCTCACTCTCACGCGCACTCAAGTCAAGACATCGTTGCTTAGAGTCGTTGACTGGGTCAATCATTGGTGCAAGTCTAAACTTTTCAGCCCGTTGTTTTGTTTTGTTCTCTCGAGCTTTGCTTTGAGTTGGAGCTTCATCTCTTACTGTCCTGTACCATCGTCTGCACCTCAGCGGAATATGGCAGCCATGTCTTTATTATTTCCGCCAGCGCAGCCGGCCACGAATGCCACCAATCCCTTTGGAGCTCCTCTTAATCAACAACAACAAAACCAAAACCAAAACCAACCTCAGCAGCAGTCCGCATTCGGCACCAGCAGCCTCTTCAATCAGTCGCAGAGTCAACAGCAGCAGCAGCAGCAGCAACAACAACAACAACAGCCCCAATACCAACAGCAGCAACAACAACAACCACAACAGCAAAACATGAGCGCATCCTTCTTGAACGCCAGTCAAAATCAACAGAGATCCAGTCTATGGGAGCCCGGTAGAGACTCGCCCAGTACGTCATGTCACTCCACCCCATTTCCTCGCAAACCCTTGCGACATTACAAGTTGCTGACCTTATCTGTCCTGTCCCAGACCAGAAACCTATTGACCAACAGATGGGCGCTCTCTACGAGAAGTGGAATCCGACAACAACCCAGACCGTGTTCAAGACCTACTTTTACAACAAAGTCGACCAGTCCCATGTCCCCTTCTACGCTCCGGGCCCCGCAGAAGATCCACGGGAATGGGAGGAGGCTGTTCGCAACAAACCTGGCTCAGCCTTCATACCTGCGTATGCCACCGGTTTTAAGGGGATTGGCGAGCGACTTCTTATGCAAAAGGCCGTCCTTGCTCAGTTCAACGCCCGCCTACACGAAATCAACAGCAATCTCGATGCCATCTTGTCGAGACATGACCTAGAGACTAGTGTCCGCGCCGTCAACGCTCGAAGGAAACACGTCGTCCTTCGTCAACGGTGTCTGGCGCTGGCGAGCAAGGTCCAAGTTCTTCGAAACCGGGGATATGCCCTCGACACTGACGAGGATGAGCTCAAGTCTAAGCTGGAGCAACTGGACCGGGGAATGGCTGATCCCGCACTGAGTGCCAGGACGGAAGAGCTTTGGAGCCGGCTGATTTTATTGAGAGGACATTCCGATACCCTCAGAAACGAGTTGAATGCTAGAGGAGGTGACACTGGAGAGGGTATTCCTGAGGAGGCTGAACAGAAGGCCAAGAAGGTGAGCTACTTCTCCCTTGTTGCCAATCCTCCATGACCACATGCTAATCATTCCGACCTCAGCTACTTGAATACTATGACAAGCAACTACAGGAACTCAAGAAGACCGTGGACAGGGTCAAGGATGACTACGAGGAGTGGGAGAAGGAGCGGAATCCCGACCCCAAAGGCAGCAAGAGCTGAACCCAATAGCTCAACAGGTTCGCGGCTTTGAGATACACCAATGCAGAATCCCCATGTGTCGTTTTGTAGAACATTTGCCTACGGCCACAACCACAGTATTCGAAACATAGTCAGACTCGCGGTGCTGATGAGAAAGCTATTCTACAAGCACGGGCAGATGACAAGGTGCTTGGCGAACATGCCGTCGCCGCTGCACAGCAATCCCAGGTGCATGATGCTTGGACTTGTGGGAGAGCTGTCTACGGCCGAGTTTGAAGGCGGCCAGTGTTTGAACAGTGACTATAGCCTACTGCCTTTCCAAACCTTCCGTTGATAGTGGCGGCGCAAGGCACCAGACTAGTCGTTTGATCAATGCAATGCTTGGGTGAGAATGGATGTCCGTTTCTATGCACAAAATATACACGTAATATACAGCCTGCAAGGAGTTTGCCCCTTTTTCGTTGGCCGGACCTGACGCCTGTCCATATCCATGATGCCCATATACCCTGACCAGAGATGATGTACCAGTGAAGTGTCAAGACGCGTTCCTATTATACAATGTATGGGCTTCCATCTGATTCCTTTGCGGCATCGCCGATACCATTTGGTCACTTAGAAGAAGCTCGAGACGGCATCGATCACGAAGGGGGCTGTCGGGCAGGATCAGCAACGCCATTTGGAGAGGACACAAGAGACATGACGAAAGACGTACAGAAGTACAGCGCAACAGCGGCACCAGCGAATGACTTGATGGTGAAGTTGGCAGCATCTTCGAGTTCGCGGATCTCCTCCTGAGACAGCTGCGGCGGTTGGACTACTGCATGTCAGCTCTCTCTGCGGCCTCGGTCAAAAAGATAGAAACATGAAACAAAATAAAAGGCAGACGCATGTTTCTCGCGGGGTGTCACCTACATCCGAACATCTCGTAATGGGGGTTGGTGCAGCTAAAGTCGGGCCTGAGGGTTCTTGACTTGTGTTGAGGTCGAAGTGCGACGCCGGGTGTTGTGTCAGTTGGTGGTATGAATGTCAGCGGTGTTGAAGTTGTACCGAAATGCGCAATGACGCTATCCACTGGAAATTTTTTGGTAGCTCCAAAAGTTTAGTCTTTGGTTTGACCAACTGCCAACAACAACGATGAGGACCGTCCGCTGCGTCCCGTCACATGCACCGCCTAAGTTATGCCCCAACTCCTAAATACGCCTAGCCTACGCCTACGAGTGAGCTTGGACAGCCTTGGAGCTCTCCATTGGCCGGTTATCGCTATCATTGAGTAAAAACTGGGGTATACTTGTACCTACCCAAAACTGGTAGCTTGGTAACTAGTTAGTCTATGTAGGCACTTATTTGCACGGAGAAGCAGCTACAGCGATAGCCATAAAACAGCGAGCAACTTGAACATCTCTTTGCTGAGACACATGACTCTCAACTGGAACAAGGTCGACTCTTTGCGACTGTCGAACTCTGGTAGAAGTGAGGCAGTGCTGTTAATCAGACATCCAGGGCTACAATGACACTGATTCCGCAGTAATGCTGATTCGTACCGCCATTGATCTACTGTAGGCCTAAGCCCTATTCAGTATCATTTAGGTGGTTAGTGCTTCTCGGTCAGGAAGAGAGCCCGCAGTTCTCAATGGACCGCTTTGAGCCGGTCCCTTACCCCATGTGGCCCTCGGATAAGCCGTTTGGATCCTCTGTGTAAATCTTATCGCCATACATAATTGATTTGCTACACAGATAGCCGATCAACGGCGAGTCAGACGTGTGAGCAAGAATACTGGTTTTCAATCTTGGAAACTCTAAACTCTTCTGTTACTTTATCTCTCGTTCCTCAGAAACCATTGGCTCGAACGGACGATTGCTTCATTGCGAATTGGTCCTTACAGCTCGTCGAGGTGGCAGCCCTGGAAGTCGATCTTGAGTACGAGTACCTCCGCCCGTTTGGTGCTCCGTCTTACGACCTTTTTCATTGATCGTCACGACTTTCGTGCAACCGTCCCAGATCAGTGATTATCTATCAACAACCTATGGTCTCTTTTGCAGTCTGAACATACACTGCCAACCTAAAGAACTAGGCAACGATGGCAAGCTCTGTTCGAACTCTGCCGAGGCGATTGGGCCAGTTGACTGTCCAGACCAGGCTGTCCGCGGCCAGGGCAAAGCTCAACCCCAGGGCATATCGCCAATGCGCTCTCCAAACCAGCACGGCCATTGCCCGGCCGTTTACCAGCTCCGTGGCTTCAAGAGCCGAGGTAGATGTGAACGCTGTACCGCAGTCGACTGAAGCTGTCGGGAGCTACGCTGATTTGGATACCTTTCCCCGGCGTCACATTGGACCGGATGATGCAGATACAGCAGCCATGCTCAAGGCTCTGTCGCCAGCCGTGGATTCACTCGATGCCTTCATTGAGCAGGTTATTCCAGCGGATATCCTCACGAGAACCCAGATGGATCTTCATCAACCTGGAAGCCAGTGGAAGCCGCAGGACAAGGCCATGTCAGAGACAGCTTTGGTTGAGTGGTTTAATAACTGCGCGAAGAAGAACATTCCTATGCACAGTCTTATTGGTGCCGGCTACTATGAGACCATCACACCACCAGTAATCCAAAGGAATGTCTTGGAGAGCCCAGCATGGTATACCAGCTACACGCCTTACCAGCCAGAGATCAGTCAGGGTCGTCTGGAGTCCCTGGTAAACTTCCAAACCATGGTGACTGATCTCACCGCCCTTCCCATTGCAAATGCCAGTCTGTTAGATGAAGGCACAGCAGCTGCAGAGGCCATGACACTCTCGATGAACGCGTTATCATCATCCCGCGCCAGGAGAGAGAACAAGACGTTTGTGGTTTCGCACAGGCTGCACCCACAAACCGTGGCTGTTCTACGTGGACGTGCTGATGGTTTTGGTATCAACATCGTGACCAAGGACGTCACGAGCAAGAGTGCTACATCCGAGATCGAAGCTCTTGGCGACGATTTGATCGGTGTCATGGTCCAATACCCCGACACACTAGGTGGCGTTCAGGACTTCCGAGACCTTGCTTCTCTAGTTCACAAACAAGGTGCACTTCTGAGTTGTGCAACTGATCTGTTAGCACTCACTGTTCTGACCCCTCCGGGAGAGTGGGGCGCAGATATCGCCTTCGGAAGTGCCCAAAGATTTGGAGTACCTCTTGGCTATGGTGGTCCTCATGCTGCTTTCTTCGCGGTTACTGAGAAGCACAAAAGGAAGATTCCCGGAAGACTTGTGGGTTTGTCCAAGGATCGTAACGGCGGCAAAGCCTACAGACTGGCTCTTCAAACCCGTGAGCAGCACATCAGACGCGAGAAGGCCACCAGCAATGTCTGCACCTCCCAGGCATTATTGGCCAATATGAGCGCCCTCTACGCAGTCTACCACGGACCTGAGGGCCTCAGGGCTATCGCAGAAAAGACCATCCGAGGAGCCCGCGTTATCCAACACCTAGCAGAGAAGGCCGGTTTCAAGACGGTCAACTCCAACACGGATGCCAATGGAACTGTCCTTTTTGACACCGTAACGATCGATGTCGGTACTTCTCACACGCGAGATATCATCATGGAGGATGCACGGAGTCAGAGACTGCTTTTCAGGACAACTGGGGAGGCCAAGATTGTCTTTAGTGTTGGTGAGCTGACCAACCTTGCGGTCTTGAAGAAGGTGGCCAGAGTGCTCCTCTTCCAGGGACAAGACTACGATGATTTTGCTAGTATGTCCACTACTTGTGAGGCAGCTGTCAATGAGGCCCTTTCCAAGCAAGGTACAGACCTCGCCATTCCTGATGCATTCCGCCGAACCAGTAACTATCTCAGTCATCCCGTTTTCAACACACATCACTCTGAGACGGAGCTTTTGCGATATATCCATCATCTCCAGTCCAAGGATCTTTCGCTGGTGCATTCTATGATCCCACTTGGTTCGTGTACGATGAAGCTCAACGGTACTACCGAGATGTCGCTGATCTCCAACGATTTCATGGCTTCCCGTCATCCGATGGCCCCGCTTGAGAACACGAGAGGATACTACACCCTCTTCAAGTGGTTCTACAGCCAACTGGCAAGTATCACTGGCATGGATGCCGTCTCGCTTCAGCCCAATTCCGGTGCTCAGGGTGAGTTTGCTGGTCTGCGTACCATCAGGGAATACCAGAAGCTGCATGGAAAGGGTGACAAGAAGAGGGACATCTGCTTGATCCCGGTGTCTGCGCACGGTACAAACCCGGCTTCCGCTGCGATGGCCGGCATGCGAGTTGTTCCCATCAAGTGTGACACGAAGACCGGAAACCTTGACGTTGTCGATTTGGAAGAGAAGTGTAAGAAGCACCAGGATGAACTCGGTGCTATCATGGTCACTTACCCCAGTACCTTCGGTGTCTTCGAGCCCGAAATCAAGAAGGTCTGCAACCTTGTTCATGAGTATGGCGGACAAGTCTACATGGACGGTGCCAACATGAATGCCCAAATCGGTCTATGCTCACCCGGAGAGATTGGTGCCGACGTCTGCCATCTCAACCTGCACAAGACTTTCTGTATTCCTCACGGTGGTGGCGGCCCTGGTGTCGGTCCCATCTGTGTCAAGGAGCACCTGAGAGAATTCCTCCCGCGAGACCCGTACAAGGTTCCCGAGAAGGGCGAACCAGGAAACCATCCTGTCAGCAGCGCACCATATGGTAGTGCAAGCATCAACCTAATCAGTTGGGCATACAACACATTGATGGGTGAGTAACAGTTCGTCAACGTACCCCACAAGGATTTGACTAATATGTGCAATGAACAGGACCTGAGGGACTCACTCACGCCACCAAAATTGGTCTTCTCAATGCCAACTACCTCCTTGCGCGCCTCAAGCCCCACTACCAGATTCTCTATACGAATAACCATGGTCGCTGCGCTCACGAGTTCATCCTTGACATCAGACCATTCAGCAAGTCTGCTGGTGTCGAGGCTATTGATATCGCCAAACGACTGCAAGATTACGGTTTCCACGCACCCACTATGAGCTGGCCGGTAACCGGAACTCTGATGATTGAGCCTACAGAATCCGAGTCTCGTGACGAGCTCGATCGATTCGTGGACGCACTGGTTTCTATCCGTAAAGAGATTGCCGAAATTGAGGAGGGCAAGGTCCCGCGTGACCGCAATGTCCTCAAGCTCGCGCCACATCCTATCCAGGACATCATTGACGGAGATGGTGAGGGCAAATGGGAGAGAAGCTACTCCAGAGACAAGGCTGCCTATCCGTTACCTTGGTTGAGGCAGAAGAAGTTCTGGCCTAGTGTTGCCAGGATTGACGATGCGTATGGCGACATAAATTTGTTCTGCACGTGCCCGCCTGTGGAAGACACGACTGACACGAAGTTCGGTGTTGCTTCGTAGTGGTGTGGTAGTCTAAGGTACTACATGTATTTAGAACAGCTAGGGCTATGCCATCGTGATCGATGGATAGCAGAGGGTCAGCATAACATCCGATTTCAACAGTTCGGTATGAGGCGTACAACGGCATATATAAGACCGGTATTTGACGCAGAGTCAATTTACTTTTCGAGCGCGGAGTTCTCATCAACTTCTAGGAGCACAGAGTTTTTGGTTGCTGCAAATGGGTTATAGGATTGGTTGGGTTATGATAGATTGTGTCGGCAATAGCACAAAATATTACTGATGGCTGCGATCATCTCATCTATGGATTCCATAAAAACCGACCGAGCAAGCGATAGCGTTGATGGCATCTGTTTATCGTCCCCTCGTGTTTACGAGATCTCTCCCGTGGTGTAAAGGATCAACGTCAAGACAGTGACAACCCAGAAATTGGGAATGCATGATCCGATACCTTAGCGCTATTGGTACTGCAATCACTAAGACTGGATGAAAAAGATTCACTTGATGATTATATACACTTCTCAAGCGAAAGGCTCCGACAAGTTGCATCCTCATGAAGCCCGACCACTAACCACTCTCGCAGAATCTGAGTTTCTCCTACCGCCGTTATCCACATCATTGTCGTCATCATCGCCATCGTCATCACCACCACCTGTTCATATCGTCGCCCACCAACTCTCCACAACCACCACATCAGTACACATAAGGTTTCGTCCCCGACCATTTTGACTATCCGGTATCTCACCGTCGCCCTTTTTGGCCGTTCTTGAAAAAAGACAATAACGTGGTGCTGCTTCAACAACAAATGACCCGCCTGGTTAGCTCAATCGGTAGAGCGTGAGACTCTTAATCTCAAGGCTGCGGGTTCGACCCCCGCATCGGGCTCAATTCCTGATGCGTCTCAGTTGACTGAGACTTAACTTTTGTGATAACATTCTCCTTCTTCTTTTCTTCTTTTTTATCTTCTTTTCTTCTTCAAATTTCTTTCTGAAGGATGAGATGCGTGGAGTATGTCCCGGTAGAGCGAGGTGGGTGGATTCAGCGAACAGAGTACTTCGCGGGTCAGATCCGGAAGATATTGTTGCACAGTCAGTCGTTCACACTAACAATTATTTATATTTTTTCTGAGCTAAAGATAGTGTTGTACCTCACAGGCAGTACTGGTATTGCAGACCCTCGCTCTCAAGAACGACGACTACACCTCCTTTGATTTCACGGCGTGAAATATCTCTATCACTACTAACATGTCAAAGACGAGAGGAGAATAGACGATCAAGGCCATAGTATCAGCCAGTATTATGGGTGGTCATGGTGGTTACTCGATACTTCATTTAGAACAGTAATATGTGACAGTCAACGATACTATTAGCAAAAGAACGAACCTTATGTGCCACGCACGTCTCTCCTGTATCTGAAAAGAGATGTGGTTATTCGTATCGTAAACAGCGTCGCATTCTCGCACAATACAGCCAGATCCAAGACTATTGCGTGGATAGCATGCGTCTCATTTGCACGATGCGGGCGCCGTCAACACGAACGACCCAATATTTGGTTGGGGGGTTTCATGTGATTGTTTGCTGCTTGTTCTCGTTGAATAACATTATAAATCTACGTATGGCTGGGTTTATGGTGACCTAGAGCGGCAGTGACAATTCCTGGATTGCATATATCGCCGGACTCGGAAGGACGAAGAGACTCGAAGTGGTCGAAGTGAGCAAATAGTGACTCGCTCTGATAACTCTACTAAAACATTTAAGCAGGAGGAGGGTCAAACTGAAGGACTTTTTGCTGCGAAAGCAACTTAACAGAACAAACATTAGAATGATCCCCACGGAATGCACTAACCTAGTCTAGTGCACAACATATTGCGATGCCTATTAATTTAGATTCTTGTTTCGACATGGTCTGTTGGCTAATGAAGCTTATACGGCTCTGCTATAGTCCAATCAAGACTGATTTTCAATTCACCACTAAGAAGAATTTCCGATATTATTAACTCCAAGCATAGTATTCGGTTTATCATCATGCCAGCCGCATATTCAATTAAGTCATTCCGGGAATCGTCGCATTCGTTTCTCTGTCTCCGTACACTCCTTCAAGTTCTCGTCATTTAAGAAGCGACCACTACAAGATTATGTTCGAGACTATTTCAATATACAATGCAACACCGGTCAATACAAAATAACAAAATGGCCACATGGTAATTTGACATGGAGGGTTCTCCATGTATAACAGGGATGCTACATGTTTCAGGATCGGATTCAGACCTTCCGCAGTGTGGAGTAATGTTATGTATTTGATTCTTAATGGTGGGTTTTCTTTTCCATCATGACTCCCTCAAATTCCACCTCCTTACCGTGCTCGAAGTAGGCCGTTGTATCAATGCGAATACATAAATGACAGGTAAGTCATGCTAGAAAAAAAACCCTCATCAAAATCAAGGCGACTTGGCAATTTAATCATGATGCAGCATTTAACGATATTAATCACAGCATTCGCGGTCGCCAAGACTTGTGCCACCCCTGCCCCGGCACCAACTCCAGGACCCAGTTTGGAAGATGCAGTCGTAAAAAGAGCAAACTCGTGCACATTTAGTGGTTCAAATGGCTACTCGTCAGCAAGTATCTCCAAGACTGCATGCTCCACGATTGTATTGTCTGCTCTTACTGTTCCCGGTGGCAAGACGCTGAATTTGGAGGGTCTTCGCGACGACACCACGGTCAGTAAATACGAACTACCCAAACACAGACTACATCCTAAAGATGCATATCTAACCACGAGCTTCAGGTTATCTTCCAGGGTAACACGACATTTGGATATAGCGAATGGTCTGGGTCACTCTTTTCTGTCAGTGGAAACAATATTACCGTGAGAGGAGATCCCGGATCCGCTCTAGACGGTCAAGGTGCGTTATACTGGGACGGCAAAGGAGGAAGTGGGGGTGTCACAAAACCAAAGTTTTTCAAGGTCAGTCGTATTCTATTCAACTCTTGACCTAGTGTTCTAGATGGCCTCTGATTCAGTGCTTGGAGTCACATATGCTCAGCACAATTGGTCTTACTACGACGGATTAAACTAACAGCTATGACAGGCAAACCATCTAAATGATTCTCTTTTGGACTCAATTACTATTCGGAACGCACCGCGGAATTCATTTAGCTTAAATTATGTCAACAACCTCATCGTCAAGGACATTACAGTGGACGACTCGACTGGTGATTCGTTGGGCAAAAACACTGACGCATTCAACATTAACAATGCGGACGGGGTTCTTATCACTGGTGCTAAGGTTTGGAACCAGGACGACTGCGTTGCTATCAACTCTGGCAAGAATATCGTCTTCACCAACGGCTTCTGTTCAGGCGGACACGGTCTCTCCATAGGCTCGATTGGAGGACAAGATGACAATACTGTACGCAATGTTACCTTCAGTGACACAACCATGGAAAAGTCGCAGCAATCCGTTCGTATTAAGACCATCTCCGGAGCAAACGGTACTGTAGATGGTATCACCTACCGCAACATCGCCATGAGTGGCGGAGATGACTATGGCATTATCGTCATGCAGTCATACAATGGTGTCGACGGCGAACCGACCAACGGAGTGAGCATCACCAACGTCGTGTTGCAAAATGTCACGGGTACAGTTCAGAGTGACGCTGTCGACATTTACATCAAATGTGGCCAAGGAAGCTGCAGCGACTGGACATGGACTGATGTATCTGTTACGGGTGGAAAGAAGAGTACCGCATGTCAAAATGTCCCTAAGGGGATCTCGTGCTAGTGCACAAGACCCGATATGGGTTCAATGCGCATGCATTGAGCAAAGGAATCAGCATATGGCGGCGGAATCATAACCTTGGTATGTATACTACAATTTATCTTTGAATATTTGCAACTGGACTGGATGTGACCCTGCTCTCGTGGGGGCTGGTGTACCGCAGATAGACTGTTCTCGAATATCGTAATTTGGAGACTAGAAAGCTTTTAGACCTCGAATGAAGCGGCTTTTCTGTTTTACCAACTTCAAGTGATCAGGACAGTTCAAGAAGAACTTATGACATTCCAGCAGTGCGTCTATGTCTGTAGTTCTACCACGCTAGAGCCCTCCTTGATCGACCGAACAATTCGCGAGTTCTTGTGCCAACGATTGATCTTGCGTTTCGTAGAGTTTGGAGACCTTCACAAATTCTGTTGTGGGATACACATATAGAAATTCGGGGCAGGTACTCCATGCTCTAATGAAAGTCGCGACATCAATAATACCGGTCAACATGCCCCTAATCAACGGTAAGAAATCATAGCCTTTGCGGCGTCTCCAAATACGGTGATACTTGTTCATCTTAGTGAAAAGCACCCAACTCACCAAGATGAGTCATGTCAAGGCGGTGATAGCCACCAGAGGTGAGGTCAATCACGAGCTATATGCATCAGAACCAATATGGTAATAAGTAAAATCTATATCCGTGTGTGGTCTAATTGTACACAATAGTCTAGTAGCCGATTTCTGACCTCCACTGAATGTGTTGAATAAGGCAGCTCCTCGTAGGTAAATTCAATCATGCCATCTGTATAGATATCCAAGCCATCAATGATTCAATACAGTATTATAGACATTGGCCTTCAGCTTTTCTCAAGAACATGTAGCAAGGTGTCTATAGGTGCTTGCGAGAATTCTTGGGTCTGGTGACAGGCGTGGAATTTTTGCCTACAGTGAGGATATGGGTAGATTTGACGCTGCACGTTTGACACTGCATAGGTAGGAAAAGGAGTTCTATGTCATTGGCGACAGGTTTAATTGGAACGAGTCTGTCAAGGCTATCGAGGATGCCTGTTATAATTTCGAAGCCGAGCGAACGTGCACATTCTTACAATCTTACCGAGAAAATTAGAAGTATCAAGTTTGACGCCACGAACGATTCGATTGAATTGCTCACCATCTAGCAAGGCCACGGAGCTCCCTGGCAATGTGCCCGGCTATGCATTCCATCCTAAGAAACAGACACAAACGGTAATTGCCGGCTATGAGCTTTTATTTGCGGAAGGTTGTTTCGATTCCAAGGTGAAACAGTGGGCTGAACGGCCTGTCTCCTGTGATCCGTAGGATATCTGCTAAAGACATGCTGCAAGTTGGTTGGAAATCCTCACATTGATGCTAGACCATGAGAGCCACATGAAAACTCGCAGAGTGCGGCCTTGAGATATTGGTAGGAGATCAAAAGAGTCAAGCAACTCGGGGTTTGGTACGCTTTCAACACCCATGATCAAGCATTAATGGGCTGGGGGATCGACGAGTGAAGGGACGCAGGAGGTAATTCCTGAAACTGGAAATTCTCGTGTTTCAACCTGGCGTTCTCGGATTTGTACTTGAAAAGCTCGTCCTTCATACGCTTCAGCATGACCTCAGTGCCCTTGACGTAGCGTACAGCTGACTGATAGTGGCTCTCGAGTTGCGTTATCGTCTCACAGTATACATCTTCCCTTTCCTGAATTTGAGAATCAAGGTTCTGTATCATTTCATGTAAGCCGCTCGAAGATCAACCAGCCGCCGCCGTAGATTGTCTTTATCAGGAAAGCTATCTTCGAAATTAACATCGCCCGACAGAGAATCCATTCCATTCTTTCCTTCGGCAGCATCACAGCACCAGTCTCCCAGCTTGGCTTATTTCTCTCAACTTCCACGGCTGTACCGGGGTGCTGAGACCTGGCTTGCATTAGTGCTCAACGGTATGCCCTCGAATTGACAACAAGATCATCGAAGAGAAAGGAGGTATGAGTGGCAACCATTCCAAGGATGCTCTCGTTGTCTAATGAGTCTTCAAGTATTGATCCGGGTGCTTTGACCCTTGGATTTCTGGATCTCAGAGAACGCGTTTGACAATGATTGGAGTTGAGCATAAAGCTATGCTGAATCACGAGCTAGTGAGTGTCTGATAACGACTCCCTGCACCGGTGAGTTATGGGAATTCATGTTCTAATCTGAACACTTACAGCTGCAGTGCTTGGATCAGCAGGCTGATGGTGTGCTGCTGAGAGCAGGTCGGTTATAAATTTCTCCTTCCGGAGGAGCTTGACCCTCTCCTTCCGAACAGGCTGCAGATATGCTGCATATTTATTGTATAGCACTGCATATATCACCATGTATCCTGTAACAGCGATGTAGAATATCGCCACGAGTTCAGAGTGTTCCCTCATTTGTGACTGTAGAGATTCAGGTCTAAGCAGCACTAAATTCTGTATCTGAGAGAGAGAGACGCACAAATAACTGTAGATTCTGTGCATAGTGCTGATCATGTTATGTGGGCGTATTTGAACTTCTCGCGCAAGTCGCTGATGGCATTCGCCGTTTTTAAACAAGCTGATGTTAGTGCTGCGACGCTTGTAGTTATCGAAATGGGGTCCATCTTTGCTCTAGTGCTTAGTCCGCCAGGTCGAAGATGATAGCACAAAAGACGAGGGAAAAGCGATAACCTTAAGGAAGCTGTAATTGGGCTTTGAAGCCTTGTACCGCGATGAGACTGAGGAAGGGGCTAGCGGTGCTGTAGGTCGCATTTCATAGAGCGCTCGTTGCTCACGCCGCCTACAACAGTCAAAGCCCAGCCAACGGCGACGATTTGTTCGGGAACCCTCCTGATGGTCCTCGCGTGCCTCAGAGTTGGCCACGCAATATGTGGAGGCCACCCAAATGACAGGAATTGATATAAATGTGTCAACCGAAAGGAGTCCATGGTCAGCTTGCGAGAGGTTTTAGCAAGGCGAGCAACTTTGCAGAGCCATTGAGATAGTTGTGGAATTGGTACCGAATAGCGAATATATATTGCCGGTGATTAGCGCTTTGAAATTCATATCTGATGTAGGTTGCGATCTTCTCGCGCACCAATTTCAAATAACGAGTGACGAAGCTGCGAAAAGAACTGCTACGTTATGAGAAGAGATTGTGGGTGGCTTGCAAAAATATGAAGGAATCTCGGAGATGTGAAAGTGTACCTGGTTATGTTCCCCAATAATGAGAACATCATCAAAGCTTCAGTGGCACTTGGATGCTGAGTCCTGCTAGCCATCGAAAACTTCATCAGCTCTTACACTAAGAACAAAGGTGATTAAGAACACAGGAATTTATGGGCGGAAATCTGGTCGCAAACTCTTCTTGAATGTTTCTGAACTACTCGGTAATCCAGACCGGCTGACAATCTGTAGTATCGAAGAGCATTTCTACAGTGTTTCACCACCAAGAGTATAACAAAGACGTGAGAATTAGACATTGACTCGAAAGCGAAAACCTCGTTAATTGATTAGAGAGGAAAGCCTTTCATTCAACGGCCAGCCACGGTAGCCGATCGAGCTGTGAATCTGCGCAATGCCGCGTGCAAGGATATTCAAAACAAAATCAGTGACAATCTTGGCTATCATAAACATTGACATACGCCATTGCGAGTGTATCGAGGATAATATAGTCCAAGAATGTAACGCAGCCAGGGATCAGTCCTGTATCGACTAGCCCAATGAGGCCGCATGTAACAAGTATGGCTCCTAAGTGATGATGCTTAAATGCTGCGAACTCGCGTCGGTTTGCCACCTCAGATAAAGTCAAGAGTTCCATCAAAGGCACCCGACATGCCTTTGAATCATTCGAAAAGCTCGGTATGTCAAAGATGATCAGCATGATCAAAGGCATAATTATGACGAGAAAGAGTTTCGTGGCGTTCAGCTTTGAATTATGAGAAAGCTTTTGAATAATTGCCGAGACAATACTAGTACGGCCCATGAGCAACAAGAAATTGAGGAAAATTGTAGGAGTTAAATTACGCCGCGACACTGAATGAACAAGCAGAACTTTACGCATAATTACCGATACATAAATTCAATATCTTTCTACGAGTCTCATTGAAGACAAGTGATTCCTTGACCATTAAGAGTCGTACACCGTCATACCTGCGCCTTGTTCAATCGTATCCACAACTCAGGTTTGGTCATTGAATGAAATACCTTCATAGGTTTCATCTTGCCATCTAAACCCCAAACGTCATTCTTCTTTCCAAAGTCTCCCCTATCAATTTCAAGGTCAAACTTCCATAGCAAATGTGCTGTGATAAGCCGCATCTCCATGTAAGCAAGATTTCTCCCGATACATACTCTAGGGCCAGTGCCAAAAGGCAAAGAAGCACTGAGATGATCATTGATGTAATCTTTATCTTCACCTAGCCATCGTTCCGGTCGAAATGCATCGGGCTCCTTAAAGTGTAGACGTGAATGTGTTGACACCCAGGGCGGAACGGCAACTGTAATGCCCTCGGGGACATGCAAGCCGTTGATTGTGGCACCACCTCGGGGAACTACACGTTGCTGACTCGCGGGCGAAGGAGGGAATAGGCGCAACGATTCATGTATCGTCGCTTCAAGATAGGGAAGTTTCCGAACCTTGTCCCATTTTATATCGTCATCCGTACCCAATGCACCTCTAATTTCGCTTATCAAACGTTGGTACACATTTGGATTCGTACAAACAAAGTAGGCCCAGCCAGTGAGTGCTGTAGCGGTGGTATCTGTCCCTGCACTAATGAATAGTGCAATGTTTAGAATTATTTCGGTCTGAGAGAGCGAATGTTCAGTTGCACTGTTAAGAATGTGATACATGAAATCAGTGTGGTCGCGATCCCGATCGTTCAAGCGTTGGATTGTCTTCTCACGCGAGTTTTGCAGATGAGTTTTCCTCCACTCGGCCGCATTTGTAGGAACAAGCAGCCAGGTCATCAGAGACTCAAGCCACGTACCGGTGCCAGACAGCCGGCGGATGCCCTGCGTCCAGGTAGCCGCCACAAAAACGTTGATAACAGAGGTAGACCAGTCTGTAGCCGATGCCTGGTCCAAACATCCGAAGGGCTCTGCGAAGCAAAGGTCGCCCATTATGTCAAACGCAAGGTAGGTGACTATATTTGCAGTTAGTCTAAGCAGACCTGAAATATATCCTTTTATATGTTCAAAACTGACACCAACTCGATAAGTCGACGGACCGGTTCTCGGTAATCTTCCTGTCAAGAACGCCAACGAACTTGTCGATCTGTAGTTGAATCAAATCCTCAAACTTGAGTAGTGCATTGTTCGTGAACAAATAACCTAATGCCTTTCGCTGGCGAGTGTGCTCTGCGTCAAGCGCTAAACTCACGCCAGTCTGGCCATCGACGTTTCCGACCGCTCCAAGAAATATCGGGCTTTTCTCCATGCGCAGTCCGCCCTTCTAATGGTATTTTAGCTCTCATGTATTTCATTTACGTATTTGACTTACCCGGAATCCATAGATATCCTCTCGAGCTTGCACACCAACGAAGCTCAGTTCATTGGGAGATACTCGTACCACTGTACCGTATTGATTATGTAGTGACTTATAGTATACATGTTGTTTCCCTGTCACTAAAGCGAGAAAGGCAGGAAACTCTGAGACCCTATTGAGAATAGGACCTGGGACTGATCGGAGTGGATGGAAGAATAATCTTTGCAAAATATGAAAGACCATCCAAACAATAAGCTGCGAAATTTAGCGGAGATTTTGCCGACTGGCATTCAAGGCCAACTTACTAGCAATACAAGTATCGCGATGCTGGTCGCGGTAGGGAAAGATTCGTTCATGATCAACTACTCAAGTGAGCCTTGATATACGGAGACGCTCATGCACACCCCTTGACGTTCTTCTTATCAACCGCAGGAGTTTTTCTTCCTCTTTGTATAAATTATATGTTGCAGAGAAATTACCGAATTCGGTAGGTTCTACGACCAAGCAACGTTGCAGGTGGTTTTCAGCCTTTGCGGGTCATGAAATAACCGCTGGTAATACAATACAGGGCTGCCTTTGCTGCTTCAAAGTATGTGTCCATTTTAACAGTGTTCGATCTGCTAGAATGTCTCTCGGCTACCTATGTAGTCCGAAACGAAAAGTCCCCACCAGTTTGCCGCAACTATTAATCTGCAGGTGTTGGGGTAAGCTATGGATCCGTAATGTCACTGAACAATTTAGCACACAGTAAATAACTTAAATCTAGTCTAATGTGCTCAAACCACCTCGTCTTACCAGAGCGTTTCGGAAGGTTGGCAACAATGCATCTTAAGGAAACTGTCGGATTGAATCTAGCTCCGCAAAGCGGCCTCATCATGTCCAATTGCAAATATAAGGTTGCCAGCCCTTGTGGTAGGTATGCGCTCGTGGAACTCCAAAGGAATAATTTTGAGGATCTATACACCATCACACAAGCTTTATTTCAGCAGACACAATGGACACCGAGGAGCTGGCGAAAGGTTACACTGCGGTGAATGACACCCAATATAATGCAGGGTTATTCCTTCTGGAAAAGCTGGAAATAGTTCCAGGTCTGCGCGTTCTCGATGTTGGCTGCGGGCCTGGTAACCTCACCTCTCATATCGCCACTTGTGTTGGGGATCATGGAAGCGTTGTTGGCATCGATCCGAGCCAAGAGCGGATTGCCATTGCCCGTGCCCGTGGCAGAACGACTCCGAACCTATCATTCCATGAAGGAAAAGCTGAAGACCTCTCACTATTTGCCGCGGCCAGTTTTGATGTTGTTTATGTAAACTCTACATTTCATTGGGTAGAAGATCAGCCGGCTGCACTCCAGGAATTCGCGCGGGTGCTCAAGCAAGGGGGCCGACTCGGTATCTCAGGTGGCTCAGGAGACTTTGTTTCTGCACAAGAAAAGATCAAAGCAGAGGTGCTTTCGAGGGAGCCCTATCGGCGTTATCCAGAGAAGAGCGGCCCGAAATTTCTTAAGCAGCGAGAGCTTGGGGTTCTTCTGGATGGTGCAGGGTTAGCCCGAAGACAAAGTGTCACAAATAAGATCGTCAAGCTGGCTAGGAACGGAGAAGCGATGATTGAGTGGTTGGACACAAGTTCATCGGGGAAAACCTATGGTAGCATCCCGTTGGACTTGCGCCCAAAAGCGCGGGAAGAGATGAAACAGGAATGGAACAAAATTGCCACAAAGGATGGAATTCAAATGGACATGGAGCTGTTGGTGACTGTGGCTATCAAGGAGTAATAGTTGCATCCACTCCAGCGGGTGTACTAAGGAGTATATCAAATCTTTATAATTATTCATATTGAGCTTCGGACTATTCCTTAGAGTTACAGTGCTTGTAGCCAGCCAGCACTTCGTTAGTTTCGCCAGCATTTCTTTCGTTTGAGTAACATAGGTCGACACTGAAATCATCGCGCAACGACTCAGCTTGACTTCAAGATGAGGGGGGGAGGGGGGACTAAAAATCCAGGCTTCTCTGGGGCTACGTAGAAAACGATGCCGATCATGCTTTTGTTCGCATCCAAAAATCACCAGGTTGACACGGTACCTTGTGTCAGATTCACTAACTTAGCTCACATGTATGCCAAGCGTCCGTAAAGAGCCAAGAGCCTGCTATACCCCTCTCTAAACTTGTTGGGAGCAGTGCCAGAGCGAGTTTATAGTGCTGCACTAATATATCGAGGTATTTTGAGCAAAATAACCTCGATGATCCGGCAATGCCAATCACGCTTGATCTTTGGCATGACCTTAATTTTAAGCGCAAAAGTACGACATGATGTGTGTCTCTCCAATGCAAAGTGCGCCGAGACAAGACCTCGGCAGTGGAACGTCTTCCGTTCCTGGTAATGTACACGAAGTCATCAGCTCTATTCTCTAACTACGTGGTCCTCTTCTCAAAGTCCAACTTCGGTGGCTGGGTCGAGTTTCGTTTCAATCGGCGACCACCTGTCCTTGTATTTTCCTACGACTCACTATGCCGTCCTCGCCGGTCTCGGAGCAGTGCTCGATAGGGTCCACGTCCAATCTCTCGCATTCAGCGGAGATGGAGCGAATTACAGGCGTATTGGCAGAGAGAGGCGGTTCAAGCCTCATCGGAAAGAACAACAACCTCACAATAATCACCCCCCCAAGCGTTTCATTATTCAAGGACGAGACTATCCCACATGAGCTCGACTCGGAGTTTACAGTATGGTGGAATTTACCGGAACACAAAGATCCAGAGAACCCAATGAACTGGCCAGCACAGAAGAAATGGGTTAACATCATTACTATTTCCATAACTAGTTTTCTTGTGTGAGTATATTGCATAACCATACTGTTCTACCACTCATGGTGTGTCTCAACAACTCGTTGTCAAACTATCAGTTAACGCTATCAGGCCGCTCGTGTCCTCCATGCTTGCACCGGCTGTGCAGCTTGTGATGAAAGACTTCAGAACCACTTCTACATCATTCGCGACTTTTGTAATCTCAATTTTCGTACTCGGGTTTGCTTGCGGGCCGTTAGTACTCGCGCCAATGAGTGAGCTTTATGGCCGTGTGCTTATTTACAACATAACCAACGCGCTATTCTTGTGCTTCACTATCCTGTGCGCTCTATCACTAAACGAGACAATGCTTCTGGTATTCCGCTTTTTTTCAGGGTTCGTAGGGGTCGCCACAATATCCATTGGCTCGGGCAGCATTGCAGATATGATGCCGCGTGAGAAAAGAGGTCTAGCTGTGTCAATATGGTCTATAGGTACGATTCTAGGCCCAATGGTTGGCCCGATCATCGGCGGCTACGTAACAGAAGTCGCTGGCTGGAGGTGGATGTTCTGGGTCATTGCAATTGCTGTAAGTAAATTTCAAAGCGCTCGTCTGGATATATGATGGTATCCATTAACACTCACCAGGTCGGGATTGTCGCGATCTTCACGTTTGTTGTCTTGAAGGAAACCAATCACGTGGTGTTGTTGGAGAGAAAGGCAGCTAAGTTGAGGATCCAGACGGGAAATCCCACATACAAATCCAAACTCGCACCAGACATTACTTCTCTGGAGCTATTCAAACGAAGTATCATGCGACCTTCGAAACTGCTGATTTGCTGTCCGGTTGTCACTATCATGTGCACCTACGTCGCCATTCTATACGGAATACTATATCTCCTCTTCTCAACATATTCCTTTGTATTCAAAGAAGTATACGGATTCTCCACCTTCGCTACTGGCCTAGTCTTTCTTGCCGGTGGCGCTGGTACATTGTTGGGGCTTTTTTATGTTGCGAATTTCAGCGACCGAGCCCTGAAGAAGCGTGCAGCGGCGGGGCAGGCGACTACACCAGAAGATCGACTCTCTCGCATCATCATCTTGCCTGGTACCTTGACATTTCCAATAGGCCTGTTTGTATACGGATGGGGTATTGATGCGCAAGCTCACTGGATTGTTCCTCAAATCGGCACGGCTGTTACGGGATTTGGCTCGATTTTGGTATTCATCAGCATCCAGACTTACCTGATCGACGCTTTTGAAGGATACGCCGCCAGTGTGATTGGCGCCAACACGGTGCTAAGAGGTGTCGCCGGAGCTCTGATACCGCTAGGCGGGTTGAACCTGTACAAGGCGCTTGGATGGGGATGGGGAAACAGTCTACTGGGCTTTGTAGCACTGGCCTTTGCACCAATACCCCTAATATTTGGGTCCTACGGCGCTAAGATTCGTAATTTACAGCACAGCCGGCTAGAATTGTGACGTACCGCTACACACCCTTGACATATAAATGTATATTTTCCAATTGAAGCTGAGCCGCATATCGCTGCATCTCAATTTAGACATGCCTGTATAACTGAGGCTCCATCTTCCACAAGGTACACTTATGATTGAGAAGCCTCGCATCAAAGTTGCACTTGAAGCTACCAGGTTTCACTAACCACTATTACAATCGACTCTCGAAATCCACTATTGAGTTGTGGCCAAACCTTGCAAGGAGCTCGCTTCTAGTGACGTCTCGAAGTTGAAGTTTGTTCAAATTCCTCCCCATGCGCATGTAGTCTGTGCCAGTAGCCATCCCAACGAGAACAATAACGGCAGAGAGAGGCGATGCATCTATGCCAATCTTTTCAGCTAGGCCGTGCCAGCTCACCAGTAGGTCTGGCACGTCCTCTGAGATGTTACGGTTGCCAATGTTGGACGGTGCTTTCAACTTGTTGTGAGGCGGCGACCGGCGTGCCAAATCGACCAGGTCGGTGAAAGTTTGACCGTAACACTCATTGGAGACTTCGAGCGCACTCCTCAACCTAAGTCCAAATGATGCAGCAATTTCTATTCGCACTCGGTCGACCGCAAGCATGGCATTGGCAACTGATCGGGTGAGACCATCCCGATACAAAAGGAAATCGCCAGCAGTGCTTTCGATACGGCCAGCGTTCATCAACATCATCAAGGGATGAAACACTCCATTGACATTCGACAGACTGACTTCAACAACGCTGCTGCACCAGCGCAATGTCATTGGGAAGATGCTCTGTATCGAATTGCGAAACGCGGGCGTCGTATCATGGCGCAGAGCCGCGATAAAAACGAGGTTCTTTCTACCCAGCACAAGCAATTTCCCACCCTCCATTCTGCAAGAATACGGTGACAGGTTGATTTCGAGGATGTTTTCCACCTCAATCTCTGTCTCAGCTATCAGGGAAAAAAGGTTGCCAGGGATTGCGATGATTGTGTGCTGGTGCAGGTCAAAATTCTTCAACTCCTGCAGCACTGTCTCTTGTCCAGTGGATGGGACCGTCAGTATGATCACCCGGGAAAATGCAACGACCTCACTCATACTAGTCGTCAGAGGGAGGTTGGCAAACCCATCCACCGTACCGCTCGCTTCGAGATATCCCTGCTCTCTCACGGTTCGGGCATGCCGTGCATGGGTTGGATGCGAGTATAGCAATACACCTTTCCCGTGACTTTGGAGATCAGCGGCAAGTGCAAACCCAGAGGGCCCGGCCCCAACGATTGACAAATTCGCCTGTACGTCCATGATATGATATATTTGTTAATTTGTTTTTGTCCGCGTCAAAACATTCATGTGTTTGATGTGATATATGTAATACAACGAGCGCCAGAAGCTTGATAGTCGCCCAGTGATGAACTTGGAGATATGAAAATGGTGTCATCGCTCATCTAGTGCTACATGAAAAGTCGGAAAATGTCCTAGATGTATATGGTAAGAGACTCTGTAGCACCATGTACACTATGTTGAGCGATGGCACAACACCTTTACGGAATACTCAACCTAGAATGGCGTCAATACGGGGAATAAAGTCCCGCAGAAATCGTTTTCGTTCTCATTCGAACCCCTGTCCGTCATTCCCCACCCATTTTCCTTTATCATATTGCTCCGTCGAGATCATAAGCCGCGCCCCATTTTAGTTCGCCCTTGAGCAAGTTTGCTCGGTTTAGAGTCCATTTGGTGAAACTTGTCTGTTTTCAATAGTACCTCATATTCTCTTTTCACATCGCCTCATCTAATCATTTTGATGTCCGGCGCCGATCTCGCATCAAACGAATATCGTCATAACGACATCTCAACAGGTGCATAATGATTGTCCTGTTATTAGTTGGCAATTACTACAATAATCGATATTTGTGACCTGGCATACTCGCCAATACCTAGAAGCGACATTCCTCGCCTCGCTAAGACGAGTGCCCATTTAGTTCATGATATAATCACTCGGCGCCACAACGACGGTATGAGCAGCTTACCGATCTTAGCGGAAAATTGGGTCATAGAAAGAGTAAGAGAGCGCCTTTGAACTGGACTATGTATGGAGAAAAGAGCTGGTGTCTACCAAGTGTAAGCTTCCTCCACCAGATCCACGTCAAACCCATCCTTCACACAACTCACAACTTCTCTCGTAGCCTCATCCGCCATACCACCAGGGCCACAGACCAATACGGTTGTCTGATGACCTACTTCCACGGAGGATCTTATCACAGTCCCAACGTCCATTCTTCCTGTATTTATTACTGGTATTGCCGGCGTCGCTGGGCTTCTACTTTGTTGACCCTCTTCCTTGAAACTCTCAGCCTTTGGTACAGAAGTATCGGAAGTACCTGTACACCAGAAGTGATACTCAATCCCTTCCAAATCGGTAAGAAAATTCTGTTTGACATGTACAATAAGAGAAATCTCTCGAGCAGACCAGTCAAGAATGAACCGTTTCGTATTCCTCATAATCCCATGAGTGTTTCCTGATGGCTTGCCTTCCCGGAGGTTTGCTAATGTGTATGCGTGGATAAACCCCAGTGCATTTGTGATGCCAATGCCTCCCGCTAAACATAGGACGGTATCGGCAAGTAACAACGGTTGAAGTGTAGCTCGATGACCGGCATATGGCCCCTCATTATAAACCGATACTTCAATACTGTGCTGGGGAGAGGATGCGAGGAGGCGACGTCGAAGGCTAGCAGTGGTTCCACTGTGCGCACGAACTAAGAAACGAATAGATGCACGGCATCGAGTCTCCGTCTCGTTCAAGGCCATTGCCTGAGTTGTGGTCTCATATATAGTCTCATCATCGTTCTTGGACCCAGACACAGACGAATGAGCCGCCGGTAGTGCTTGTCCCTCCTGCTTCCAGCTCGCAACACTGAAAGGGTGGCTCTCCCAAGCCTTGCCTACTCCAAGGAAGTAGAGAAAACTGTGCTGTCCAGGCCCAAATCCGCGGAGTGTCCTTGGGAAAACAGTAATCTGCATGATGCCGCTATCTGGGATTGCCTGCACTATTGCCTTGGAGCTGCCGATACGGTTATAATAAACGATGCGAGCGAACCTCACAACTCGGTCGACAGCCCAGAAAGCAAACGCAAGATAGAGCCAAACTTGGTAACCATAATCGTACCCAAAGTGTGGAACGACATGATACCAACACCCAACCAGGGCCAGAACCACAAGAACGATGTGGAGTATCAAAAAGGTCTCGTAGAACCTGATGCGAAATGGTAACATGGCAAATCCTGCTGCCAAGCAAAAGGCTATCGTCGCAAGAATGCCCCACCACTACAGGAAACAATTAGCGAATACCGAGAAAGGGAAAACTCTATAGGAACAGTTTGAAGCGCAAGTATATAGCACGTACATAAAAGGGCTCTGCCGCCTTAGCAGAATAAGCAGATGCTCCATCGTACCCGGGCTCGAAATATGCCAATGTATACACGATACTGTGTACAACGGCTTGCACAGTAGCGACTCGCGCGGCCCAACGATGTAATGTTAGAAACGCCGATTGACTCCATCCGGTCACCACAATCAGAATGTTGTTGCGGCCTGCAAACAAGATGGCGATACTTGTGTTCACGAAGCTGAGGATACCCGTTCGGTTTCCGACATATTCGCAGAATTCAAATCCTGAGGACATGAACCAAATGTTTGGCTGAAAACTTTGGAAGGAGATGGAAGATAAAATAACGTTTAATACAATATATACGAAGATGAAAATGCTTAGCGCCCTGCTTGGGACATATCCTAGTTGGGAAGGAAGCGGCTCTAACCGCCGAGATTCGAAGAGAGCAGGAAGCCATATAAGTCGACGAAGCTTGGTCCAATGCTTAGAGGTCTGCAGCAGTTTTTGCAGTCTGGGAAATGTGCTCATAATATGGTTCAGAATACCGCAGCCGATGCAGATGCCAATGACTATCAGATAGAGAATTAACCTTCAAGACGAATTAGTGTCATGTTCAGAAGAAATGTGTCTACTACCTAAAACGGTAAGCTCAAAGCAAACTTACGAATATGTTGTGTGGAGATATTCAGATCTTGCAAACTCCCCGAGAGTCCCATGAGTAGAGTAATAAAGATCGTGATTGACCAGGCTTGTCATGTTAAGCCACATAGCATCATCTGGTAGTTCGAGTGTAGGAGCGTTGGCAGGAAGGCTATCTTCGAAAGTCGGTTCTGAAGCCCCAGCAACTGCCTGATGACTGAAGCAGGTGGCTTGCTTCTCTGAGGGATAGCCATCTGCGTTACAGTTTTGCTGTATACAATACGCCATAGTCTGGAGCCAAGGAATGTTGGTCGCATAGCACTCATCGCTAGTCGTACCCATAGGCATGTCCACGCCCATGTCATTCATGTCCATATCCGACATTCCACTATCAGTGTCAAATATGCTACAGTTCAAATAGAGCGAGGTGAGGGAGTCATGACATGCTTGACAGCACAAGTCCTGATATAGGGAGACACCAAAGCCGACGATTCCATACTGCATGGCTCTGGCATATTGGGGAAAACAGGATATGGGCAAGAAAAGAAGGATGAATGAAGTATTCATGATGAGGAAGTTACAATCCAATTGGTTGACAAAAGGAAAGAAGTATTACCAGATGACAGCAGTTGTTCAGAGGCAAGAACGAATATTCTCTTCCGTAGTATGGAACAACAAAATATCAAATTTATATGGACCAAATCGGAGGCGAAATCTGAATGCGATGGCTAAATTGGCGCTTTGGAACATCCGTTTCTAGTTCATTCGAGTGAATTCAGCTCGCACTACTTAAACCTGAGTGCGTTCAGTGCATGAATAACGGCAAATAATTTCAGCAAGAATCCAATTCTGGTGAAAGAGGAATTCTGATTTGTTCATGGCGAGAGTCTGATTAATAACATCTGCCTACAGCATCTCGCCATGTTTTATCACAACGAGGACGCTGGCCTGGGAAATTGGGCTAACTCCAATGTGCTGCAATACGTTTTGATATCATTCGCTCACCCTGCGGTGTTTCAAACTGTTAAAGATGTTAGGGGGAACGAGAAAGATTGAGTAAGTTTTCGTTACCGGCTACTGACGCGGCTAAAAGTAGTGAACGCGGAAAGCATACTCCGTTCCAGTCATGTCGTGCTATATATAGCCAATCATGATAAAAACAACTTGCTCAAAGCGGGCACCTCCGAGAAACACATGACGCGCCCAATTTGGCGTAGCTTTGCTTTGCGCTTCTATGTAATATTAGGCAGTAATCATGGCGACAAATCTTGCGTCTTCGCGTATGGCGTTGGCCTCTCGACAGAACGCTCATAAGGGTTGCCGCCGTGATTTACTAGACAGCGATATGCAGCAGATGAGGATAATTGGATAATCGGGCCAAGATTTATTAGTTGACTAAAAAGCGTTAATAAAATAGAGATGGGCTTTGTTGCATAACAATGGATCAACGCAAGCCCGTTTTGGGAGCAAACTCGACCTCACATCTCACCCAGCGCATTAGCCACAATCAGCATATATATTACAAAGGACCTGAGTTTATCGTACAAATAGATTTATCACATTACTATAGGAACCATTACAGGTTTACCATATTAACTTGACACATGGATTACAAGATTCATGAAGTTGATGATTGCAGAGCCCGTGAATCTTGAAAGTCTGCTTCGATACCCGTGCAATAACTGCACTTCTCCGACCATCTACAGAGGTCCATACCACTAATTGGTGGCACATGCCAGCGCTCACCAAAATGTTCAACTGATGCAGCATATGTCATACCCATTTCTACGATACCCCTATGCCCCTATGGTCGGCCAAGTAGTCGTGATCACTCGGAAGGTTTCTATCACCAGATATGACCAATTGTTTCTTTCTTACGCCATGAATCGTTGATTCAAATGTATGCTTTATGGTATCTCATTTCAGCCTTTGCTTCTAGAGCATTAAGATGAACGAATTGTGTTGAGTTCTCGTCGCCGTATGCGGCCTGAGGGATTTGAGTGATGTTCCAGATGCAAATGACAGTAGTGATAACTGATAAAGGAAAATGATAAAGAGAACAATAACCTTAGCTCAATTCTTGGGCGGAAGTTGATGGGACATCTTCATGGATGGAGTAGTCTATATCGGTTCCACAATCGCGCAGACCGTCCATGTCGACCTAACTCCGAACCTCAGGTAGGCGAGCATGGGCCGAATCGAATTTGACTCTAGACTACGGATCCGTATACTCATTCACACTTGAATGAATTAGCTGATTGGACTGATAGAGATTTTCATCAGAAATGAAATGCTGGTAATGCTATCAACACCTTGTAAACCAGGTGTCATGCATTAAGAACTGTATCTGTTATCTCGGTTCTTTACGACTTCTTGGGGCACGTTGCTGTCCTCTTTCTGGATGTCCACGCGAGCGGTTAACGAATGCGTCGGCCGTGCTGCCACGTTAAGCTACTACATATGCAAGGACACTCCCCACTCATTCAACATCCCTGACCAATCAACCACAACACCCGTCAAGCTGTGTACGTATCAGCCGATTGAGGAAGGATGTATGACATCCACATATTCTTGCTTCATAATTGTAGCTTCTTTGCTTATACGTCCTTCAAGATTGGAATTTCACTCGTCCACATTTGCCTAGTCGCGATGTCATTATATCAAGAAGATCGTGGTATCTCAGGCACCAAGAGCCCTTGTCATGAGGCGGCCAGAAATGCCCAACCCCTCACGGGCGATGTTGGTAATCAAATAAGAGATGATGCCCTTGATTTTCTTGAGCATCATAAAGCAGGAAGAACGGAGAACTTGTCCCAGGATGCCTGTTTTACAAAGGCTCTAAGGCGAAAAATCGATTGGAGATTGATGCCTTTCCTTTGCGCTTGTTACACGCTGAATTTCATTGACAAAGTCCTCTTGAACGTGAGTCATGGTTGGTTATTGTACGGCAATGACGCTAATTGGTGAAGTATGCCAAAATCATGGGAATGGAATCTCAATTGCATCTTATCGGCAACAATTATTCGAACGCTTCCTCTGCCTTCTTCATTGCCGTCCTTCTATTCTCATTCCCAAACATGTGGCTGCTCAACCGTCTACCAGTTGCTAAATGCTTAGGCTTCAATCTTCTTGGATGGGGTCTATGCTCAGCTTGTCACGCGGCTCTTAGCAACTACGGCGGGCTTGTTACTGTTCGTGTCCTTAGCGGAGCGTTCGAGTCAGGTATTCCGCCAGCTTTAATGCTTTTGAGCAGCCAGTACTTCACATACAGCGAGCAGGCTCCTCGGTTTGCCTATTGGTATATGGGAATGGGGAACGGACAAATACTGGGTGCTCTGATCTCCTTTGGTTTCCAGCATATGTCGCCAAGCGCCCCACTCTCTAGTTGGAAGACGATGTTCTTGGTTCTCGGGCTCGTCACTATGATGCTTGGGGTCATTGTCTTGCTTTTTGTCCCAGATTCGCCGATGAAGGCTCGATACCTGAATAATGAGGAAAAGGTGGCCCTACTAGAGCATATCAAAGTCAACCAGACCGGCATTGATAGCCGTCACTTTCATCCTCGTCAACTGCTTGAGGGTCTACTCGATTTGGGATGCTGGGGAATATTCTTTGTCATCATACTCCAATCTTCTGGCTCCGGTGTCGTCACAGCTTATTCAGCTACTATTCTGACCTCGTTTGGTTACACCCCAAAACAGGCCGCTCTGCTCAATATTCCTTCCGGCGTCGTCAACATCATCGTCATCCTGTCGTATTCTGCATTCGTCCGATTTAGAGGCCAAAGGTGGCTGGTGAATGCTGTTGCAGGTGCTATAGGTACGATGGCTGCCGCACTGCTCTGCTTTCTACCCAATTCAAACCGTGCCGGACTTCTCGCGGGGATGTATCTGATCAACGTCCTGCCTGGAGCCTCGAACATCACCTTTCAGTGGCTGACGTGCAACACTGGCGGACACACTAAGAGGACATATGCTACTGCGGGGATGAGCGCTGCTTTCGCCATTGGGAATATTATCGGCCCTTTGACATTTAGAGCCCAGGACGCGCCACAATTTAGACCAGCGAAGTTGACGCTCGTGGTCATGTGGGGGACTTCAATATTAGCTAGCGTGCTCTGCTTCCTCTACTACTCCTGGATGAACAAGTCTCGAGCCAGAGGCTCTGGAGGTACTGCAGAAAAGGTCGAGCTGAGTCAGGCTTATGCCGGACTCACGGATAAAGAGAACAAGGATTTCAGTTATCATTTGTAGCAATCCGGTCATTAGACCAGCAGTACTATGGCGCAATAATTGCTTTCCTTTAGCGGGGATGAGGGATTGAGTATTCAAGGAAGTACTCACAACGCATGTCGATCTGGCACGGTAAGTCCTGGCCAATCTAACACTCTGCATGGGAAAGAGATAGAAGTCTTGTAGAATATCAACATGATTGAAGTCGTCGCAGATCCGGAACAAATATTCGGAATGCTGTTCCTCGTAATGTGGTTTCACGATCTCTACCGCAGAGGCATTATTAGCCAGCAGCTACCGATACTTCCTGTGAATGAGCACCATGTACACGAGTAGATGCGGCTATGTAGACGCAAGCTATCATGCTCACCTTTAGTGCCTTACCAGTAATGGAAATTCAGCATGGGTGAGCGAGTGATTTTAAGCATACCTTCTTGCATATGCGAGTGGACCCATAAGCGAACCCTTATTTCCCACGTTTGAGATACGCAATAAAATCTGGCGATTGCTAATTACATTCTATTCCTTGCCTTCGTTATTCATCAAACCTTTAATTCTTGGAATCTTTCTGCCGCTGCCGAGAGATGTCTGCGCTTCAGATTCTGGACTAGTTAGGTCATACAGCCGAACGTGAAGCCCAGGGCGACAAGCAGGCCCGTCTAGACCATCTCAAGGGAATCCAGAGGCTGCAGAAAACTGTAGCAACTCCAAGATACAAGATTCTCAAGGTGGGTTTTCAGGCTTACCGAAATATTTGTGTACGAATCGTCCAGGAGAGAGGGATCCTCCTAACCCTGGCAGCCGGTCATTGCGTGACGGCCCGAAGCTCAGTGCCGCTAAAAAAGCTGATGAGATACTGATAGGTAACAATGCTCTTAATCTCTCGAAATGCATGGTCTAACAGTGTCAGTACACATCATGAGACTAGTGACAATGATCGGTGTAGCAGACGAGGTCGGGCCTAGTACCTATGAAGCCAACGAGGCGACGCACTTCAACGTCAAGAAACAGATTCTTGGCGATTCCAAATACTAGTTAGTTGCTACGGCGATTATATAGCGATCTTAATGTTAACTCGTTTTTAGTAATGACATCGCCCTCAAGGTCTACAGCAACATGGGCTCTCTGATGGCCCAAGACATTGAAACTGACGGCCATTTATTTACCTTTGGCAAGCCCATGCTCGATTACACTGCGGAAAACCAGTAGTACGATCAGGCATTCAACGACTTCTTTACGTCTCGTCGCGCTGCTACATGAGGTAGATGGTTCGGCCATTTTCCGGCTCGAGAAAAGGCTGACATTTCGAAGAGGAGAGAGATTCTGCTTGTGGATGTGGCAGGTGGTCAAGGATATTGATTACATCAGTTTCGACAAGCATATCCAGGCTTGCCAGGACTCATCATCATCCAGATCAAGCCACATGTAATCACCAGTCTTGATGATATCGAAACCATGGCATATGATTTCTTTACTCCACAGCCAATTCTTGGTGCCAAATTCTAGTACATCAAGCAGACCTTGCACAATTGGAGCGAAGAGAAATCGATCGCTATTCTCCAGAACACGGCACGAGCAATGGAAAGAGAGTATTCAAATATATTGCGGACATGACACAAAGTTAAGACTCAGTGGTGGCATGGTTGAAAATTGGAGCACTGCCGGTTTCCAGACCCGTCCAATGTTCTTGTATGATCAATTTCATCGGCGATGTAGGTTTACAGAGACATTGAGAGAATATCAAAAGTGCTTTCTTCATGTCACCATGATCACCTCGGCACCCAGGTTCTGTTGACAACGCGCAGATAACAGAACGAACGTCTGTGTTTACTTCTGGCCTTGAGAATCGATTCTCAAGTCGCATTGATGATTTTGCGTCCAAAAGTAAGGCCAAGTTCAGCTAACTAGGATTAGAGATCTCCACTCCCAGTGCGCCAATAGCGGATACAGGACGCGCAGGTAGGTATGCCACAGTGACAAGAACATGTTGGGCAGATTGAGGAGGACGCGCAGATCGTTGGTATAACAGTACTCGTAGGTTGCCCTTGTGCTAAAGAGGAGATGGAGAAGCTTTAGAATGAGCAGCTGGAGTGAGATCTCGGTCTCGCTTCCGGGGGGCAGTGAGAAGAGCGTGAAACGCCAACCAGCCTTCTATGCCCTAAAATATTTGCAGAATCCTATGCTGTTTACATTGACTCCAATTAAACGCGTCTTGCGGAACTTCAACCATTGATATGCCACAATATCCTCAAACACCATGTTACTCATATCTGAAAGCCGTCATGATCATTGCGTTAAACCACAATGCCCATGTCCGTCCAATGCAATTTGATCAGATCTGCGCACTTCTCCCCAATGCCATACGCTGGCATTTGCGTGTGACCGCCGTGCAGAGTTGGAATGATGCTGCAATCGGCCACTCGCAAGCCTTTGACACCCCTCACGCGGAGCTTCTCGTCTACTACAGCTGCCGGATTATCCGCCTTGCCCATCGCGCAAGTCCCTGAAGCATGATAGCCTGAGATTCGATTAGATATTACAGTACCCACCGGACTATTAGGATAAAAGTTACTTACAAGTCGTAGCATTTTCGCGAACATACGGTATCCACTCCTCTCGAGAGGTGTATTTGTGGTGGGCCAAGTTCGGCGGCCACGATCCTTTCACAACGTCTTTGGTGCCTTTGCCATTCATGATAATCTCGTTACCGAAACGGCATGCTTCGGCGAGGACCTCGACATCCAATGGATCGGTGAGATATCCGCAGTCAACCTCCGGTCCAACAAGAGGATCTGCGTTCTTTAGTTTCACAGAGCCGCGGGAGCGGGGCGCGAATAGCTCCGCAATCATGCTGAATGCATGCTTATTGTCGATCGGGAACTGGTCGTACTGCCTTGGACCTCCGTAACATTCGGTATTCCAAAACTCCACATTTGGCTGTTGAGGCGTCAACCCCATAGGATCCCGTCCCGGTTGCCTTGGCGCAGAGTTCCACAATTCAGAATCAGCGAGGCGATCGTCGAGTCGGGCGAAAGCGAATGCTCCAAATGGGAATGTCGCAAGAAATCCTGTCTTGGTATCCTTCCACATCTTGTAGGAATTAGCAAGCCCGTCGCCATGATATGCAAGACGATCATTTGTGAGCCCTTCCTGCTCAGTTTCGTAGAACATGAACACGATCAAGTGGTCCATCAGGTTCTGGCCAACGCCAGGCAAGTCGATCAACACTTCAATCCCCAGTCGCTCGAGTTCTTCTTTGCTTCCAAGACCTGAACGATTTAGTATGTTTGGACTACAATAGGTTCCGCCGCTAATAATGACTTCCTTTGAGGCAGCGATCTCGGCTGGTGAGCCGTCTGGCTTGATAACCTTGACACCGGTTGCGCGCAGCTCTCCGGACGGGCTGCGCTCGAACATAATCTTGTCGACGTGTGTTTCTACCAGAATGGTGATATTGCCTTTGGCGCGGTTGTTGGTAATGAAATCTGCCCCGGTTGTACGAACACCCTGATGAACTGTTCTAAGCACATGGCCGCATCCGTGTGGATTCTCTCCATGAGTGAACATGTCGTCGTCTAGGGGCATCCCCTTAGATATCATGGATTCTAGTACGCGTTCCGATATAGGTGCCAGGTCGTGCGGTTCGATATGAAGCGGACCGTCATATCCATGTAACTTTGATGAGGACTTGAGCCATGGCTTTGAATGGAATGTTTCAGACTGGTTATGGTGTTGACATCAGCATGCGCGCCAACTCGTTGGCTGGAAGCCTAACTGACCTTTTGCATGTAACCAAAAAATTCTTCGCCACTCCAACCTTCCAGTCCCCAGTCATCAAAATCTTGCTTTGAACCTCGAATGCAAAGCGTGCCGTTGCAGCCTGAGCAACCACCAAGAAACTTGCCTCTACTTAATTTTACTTGGCGGTCGTCGATCCCATATCCTCTCTCACAAACAATGTTCCAGTCAGTCTCTTTGTCGAACAACTGCGACCATCTAGGCAAGGGTTAATACGATAGTAAAAACATGGTTTTCGCTCTTGGGGCAGCAACTAACCCTCCGGCCATCTGGGTATTTTCAAGGTTCTCATTATGCTGGCCTGCTTCAATTACTAGTACGTTGACATTCTGGCATTCCGCAAGTCTGCCCGCTATCACGCAGCCAGATGTTCCTCCGCTACATGCAATGTCAATTTCGTTTCTTGCCATGTCAGAGGGAGGCGTGGATACTGACCCGCAGATAATGAAGTCGTATTCAAGCTGTTCGCCACCAGAGCCCATTTTGTTTGTCTCGGATAGGCAATGATAACATCAGCGTAGTCTTGTTCTACTCAGTCGAAAGGGCATAGGCATGAGCAATTCAAGTCTGCAGGACAGAATACTTATACAAGATCTGGCCATGTGGAGTCCTTCAGATGGGATATCGCTGTATTACTAAATAATCTCACGGTTTAAGTCGAGAAGCTAGCTTAATCCGCTGATGCTAAGCATAGCGAGCCACGACCCCGCATTCTACCAGATGCACGTTGCTTATTCAAGAGTCTTGTCACATAGACCGTGTCTGATCCCCAGCTGCACATGTGCCGTGATTCGTCAAGAGCGCCAAGTCATGGAGCTATGAAGCGATAGCGTGTGGAGAACCCGTGACGATCCCCCGTGGGGTAGGTCGAAGGAGGCCAGACTAATAGAGGAGACGTGTGGCACACACGGGATTGGCTGCCGTTCGGAAACAGAATACTGGCGGAATAAGAGCTTCCTCGGAATCAGACCATGAAACGGAATGCATATGGCTTCAACATGCGGTCAATATTAGCTTTCATGTTCATCTCTCGGGGCACCGGGCAGGACTCTGTCCGGGTCTTCGAGTCATCAAGTCGTCGGTTATCCATCAACTGAGGGTTATGCAGTGTAGATAGGTATTGAATCAGTCCCATGGTTTGCATTCAGACTCAATGGAAAGGCTTGATTGAGTTATGCTAATGCCCCTGACATTATAAAAGCCAAGAAAATAGAAACGACCATGGAAGAAATCAACCTCAACCCTTCACACACATTCTTTCCATATTTCAGCTTGTCCACAGTCTCGTTACTGTGACTTGGGTTTCCTGTTCTGGTCAATGCCACCCCGCTACTTTCGGTCATGTCTGCAAATTCGCTTACTTAGGGACACATGGCTGCCAAGAGACGTGAAGCTGATGAGTAAAGGCGACTGTAGCATCATCGTCGGATATCTGGCCAGTGGCTGTAGCGTTACTGCTGGTCAGGGCAATGCGGTTGTTGATATTAAGAATGCCCGTTTGGCCGCAGGGAGACCAGATGGTAGAGGCGGTGGGGACCTGGTCCTGCTTTGTGTAGACCTGGCCGTTGGCCCATACGCCACCTCCAGCAATCGAAGCTTGAGTAGTGGTCTAAACGGTATCATTAAATAGCTGTTCTTGAGTTGTTAGAAGAAAGCAAAGCTCAACGTACGGTAGCTCCTGCATCTTGGGAGAAGAAGTAGGTAGAGTAGAAGGTTCCAGTAACACCCTTGTCCAACTGGGCAAATCCGTGGTAGGTGGACTCAACGATAGCGAACTGAAAGCCACCAGGGTACTTGAGATTCAAATGCAACTGGCAGTTCTTGGTCTTGTCTGCAGCAGTAAAGCCAGGCCCGATGTAGGTCTGGAACCCGTCAAAACCGAAGGTGACGACCTAGCGCTGCATTAGCCGTTGTGTCTCATGTGGCATGATTACATAGTAACGTTGTGCCGAGGGAGAGTAGGGGGTTCAGGTATCACGCAAGAAGATGCTCACAGTCCTATCGGGAGAGAGGTCGGTGGTAACGGTGCCCTGGGGACATCCGTTGCCAGAGTTAGAGGTGCTGACGATCTGGATTTCGTTGGGAGAAGGAGTATCGCCGTTTGAGCCAGAGGGAAAGTTCACCGGCCCAGCTACAGCCAGAACAGGTGCGAGAACAGCAACAGAGAAGCGCATCTTGAGTGATTGGAAATTTCTCTGTTGGAGAGAGTAGTTATGAAGATCCTATGACTGAAACCTGGAGAGCGAAGTTGGCTGTTTTTTTCTTTCAATATCGCATCATGAAGGGATCAAGGCTTGTATTTATAGGCATCGTCATCTCGTACTTGCTTGGTAAGATCTCTACAAGTCCAATAAACCGAACTCATGATGCGACGATGCTGAGGCTGGAGCGGTCCCGTGGGTACGATTCAACACGTCCAACGCAAAGGAAGTTGTGTAGCTCTGACGAGAATAGATTGCCCGTGGTCTGACTTCAAGGTCGCTCAGCTCTTCATCTCCGTTCCAGTCCGCCAGCATCTAGATTGCGGTCGAAATACTTCAGTCAGATTATAGATGAAAACATATTGTGCCAAGGACATTTGGCTACACCTTGTTAGAGAGCAAAGTGCAACATTATTCTGTTTATAGAACCACTTGTTGATAGCTTCACTAGAATGGAGGGTCTCGCTGCCGCAGAACGCTCAGCACTTTTGTCAACCCAAGCTTCTGGGCTAATATCGGTACAGGTCTGGCCACTCTCAAAGTTACGGCGCTGGTATACCGCGTCTCTCAAGAAGACTTAGTCTTATATGTGGCGCACGTGTTTTCATGGTAGCACATATTGCGCAGGTTCTAGAGCTCCGTATTGTCGGAATTGCTGCTATTTTTGTATCAGTTCGAGAGTAATATATATTAAGCTTTATTGTACTCATCAGCTGACCCACAGAAGAAAGTTTGGTTCGAATTCGCTTGCATATGTCGAGACCCTTCCGGCGATGGCAACCGGCCTTCCTCGACGCTCATCATGGTAAAATGGACTGACGAATTGCTGGAGTGGACGACCAACTTCTCCCTAAACCGGGTGCTGGATTGGAAGGTTGATAGTATCATGCTTGATATCAATTAAGAGATGTAAATTTTGATACAATCAACAAAGCGCGCGACTCGAGCACTTTCGGCTTCACGGTGTTTCCTTCTTGTGCAATCCTGGCTAAATATACATTTAGCCTCATTTACGAAGGTCAGGGACAACGCTAGGGACCACTAGTTGTAAGGTTCTGTCCTAATCAAACGATGTCACTGTAACATGACATCTAGACTAACCCAGGCATAAATAAATACTAGGCAAAGCTAAGCTTTGAGTTCAAAGCTGAATGGTCTGCAAGATCTCAGATATTGTGTAGCATTGACGCCTGACCCTGAAACTCGCTTGTTCGCACATTTTCGAACACCGGACCGTCAAATCATTTTACCCAGCTGAACTGTGGTGTATTCTTGTTAGCGTAATGCTATGCTCTTCTGGTCCACTTCTCATTATCACATTCTTCCATACTCCATTGTCACAGCAGGATGAACAATATGATTTTACTGGCGTGGTATTTTCGTAGCGTCATGAGCTCTCTGGAAAGGAAGAACATACAAAAACCGCTGGCAAGATCAGAAGTCTAATGTCGTAAGCGTAACTATGAATGATCTCTTGCTTTTTCTTTTCATAAGATCTGATTCCATAGCATTCAGCTCATGCATCAAGTAATCCCTGCAAGTTGATGCTCTTGGGCCGCTCAATTGGCAAGCCGAGAGCACGATCCCAGATCAGCTGGGCCAGAGGACCTAGACCTCTACTTACGCCGAAAGTGGCGGTGTAGTAAAGGGTCTCATGGAAACCATAGTGATGAAACAAAACGCCAGAGCTTGAGTCGACGTTGGGGTATGGGTTCTTGGTCTTGCCGTGCTTCTTCAATACTTCAGGTGCAACTTCACTATTGATCTTGACCAATTGGAACACGGGGTCCTTAGCGATCTCTGGTCGCGAAGCGGCGTAGTCCATGAGGGCCTCAAAGCGAGGGTCAGGCTTCCGAAGGACTGCATGGCCATACCCCGGAACAACTCTTCCAGAGTTCAAAGTGGACCACAGGTAATCATGTACTTCCTTCTCCCCGTAGTTCTCGGGAATAACTTCCTTCATCTGGATGATCCATCGCAGAACTTCTTGAGCAGCCAAGCCATGCAGGGGACCGGCGAGACCCTGGAGTCCTGCACTGTAACTGAGGAATGGGTCGCTTAGAGCGCTTCCAACCAGGTGGGTGGCATGAGCCGACACATTTCCGCCTTCGTGATCACCGTGAAGAGCCAGGTATAACCTCAACAAATCCTGGAAGTTCTCGTTCTCTTGGCCGCCTTTGCCAAGCATGGCAGCAAAGTTGTAAGACCAGTCCTGCTCCAAGTCTACGTCGGCTGGCAATGCGCCGCCATCACGGTATGAGTTTTGATATATCTTTGCAGCGATCGTGGGTAGTTTGGCGAGCAGGCTTATACAGTCGTCAAAAGTAGGCTCCCAATAATCGGCTTTGTTCAAACCGCGCTCATAGGCCTTGGCAAACTTGGATGTATAGTTTAGCGCGCTGACAGCAATAGCAAACTGGGTCATGGGGTGAAGATCTTTGGGAAAGTTGTCGAGCATCTTATTGACGAAATCAGGAAGTGATGCTTGCTCAGCAAGCTCTCGCGAGAATTGTCTGGTTTGGGCGACAGATGGGACTTGGCCGGTGAGCAGTAACCAGAACATGGCCTCTGGCAGCATCTCAGTACCGGTCTTTCCTTTGGGAAGCTCCTTCTGGCATTCCTTGATGGTTCGGCCATGAAATCGGATACCCTCATTAGCATCTAATACTGATCCTTCCCAGAGCATTGCCTTGAGTCCTCTGTCGTATGATTAGCCTGTAAAGCACCTCCCATGTCTTCAAGTCGCGAAATGGTTTACCTCATGCCGCCAATTGCATTTTCCACCTTGACCTCTCCAATGACCTTGGAGCCATTGGCTTTGACCTTCTTGAGCAGCTCGCGTTTGGCGGGTATAACTCCTTTCAAGGTCTCCTTCAAGTCTGGTTCGGAAGAGGACGAGTAACATCGGGCTGCTGGGACTGCAATAGTTGGGGCAATGCGTGGCTATACGGGAGCATGAGACGTAAGAACAGAGACATGGTCGAACGATTTGTTGGATGCATAAGTGAGTGTAGGTCTTGCACTTACACGAAGAGCCCCAACTGCTCTGGCTGTCGCTCTGACGTGCGTAGCCATCCTTTCTGCTCAATTGACGAACGAATTGATCTGTGTTACCTCGGCAATCGCGGGATGCGCTATGCGATGTGTGTTTAAGGCGTATGAATATGATATGAATCGACTACTATGGCACGGTCTTTGGATATAAATAAAAAGAAGAGCTTGCACACTGCAAATTCCCACTTTATGAGCTGAGCAAACAACAACAAGACAGATTATTTGGACAAAGATAAACAACACACTCTCAATGACCCAACCATCCGCCTTTTGAAGCTCGGCATTAACGGGAGACAAGACATGCGGGAGAGGGGGGCGCTACGAACACTCACACCTAGAACTGACCACAACCCACGTTCCCCCGCATGAACCGAGGGAAGCCGTCGCTGCAACGGCTTCGGGGATATGGGGGAACACTGGGTAAGACCCCTGACACTTTTGACCCGTCCACTGAGCAACTCTAACGCCGTCTCCATTTAGTGGGACATTCCCCTCACCTCCCCAAGTGTCAGCGCCAATTGCCCAATTACAATAGCGCTCATGGACTCTGGATGGATGTACGCACTGGAGTAACTACTGGATCCGTGCCTGATCTGATCCAATCGGCAAGCGGTTAGTTACCACATACCAGTAACCAAGGTCCAAACCACCACCAGATGCAAGCTGTGAGGGTGAGCAGTTTTCAACATCCAGACGGCTGTGAAAGGATAGGTCCTGTAACACAACATGCTGGTAAGCAGACTGCTGATAAGCAAGGACTGACTGGTCCGATTCGAATCTAGATATCAACCAAGGACCCGACATTGTAGGAACTATTATCTTCCCCGCGAAAAAGAAAAAGACACACCCCAGCCCGCTATAGCCGCTCTACCCGCGCATGAGCCGGTCTTGATAGACCTCTCTCTCTCTCTTGTTCTCTCTCTACCTCTCGGCCCATGATACACACTTGAGCTCCCTGTTCCTGATTCTTTCTCGATAACCTCAAACTATTTCCTTATTTACCATCTAATCGACAATCTCACAAATACTGCAGAGCATGATGCTTCGCCGTGCAGTGCTCCGAGGTTCCCGCAGGGCGCTATTGCCAGTGCGCGCAGCGCCACTCATTCTGTCCGTCACAAGACCGCTGTCGACGTCCGTGTCGAGGATGTCCCAACCATCTGTTGACCCTCCCATCTCCACGGTCCTGCCCTCCGACTCCTTCCAACTGCTCTCCGAAACCGACAAGGCCGGCGCGGCAGAGGATGCCCTGTATGAACAGCAGATCAAGCATGTCGAAGCGTGGTGGGCCAGTCCCCGATACAAAGGAATCAAGAGACCTTACACAGCCGCCGACGTCGTCTCGAAACGCGGTTCGCAGCTCCAGAGCTACCCGAGCTCGCTCATGGCACGGAAGCTCTTCAACCTGGTTCAGGAGCGCATTGCAGATGGAGAGCCGATACACACCATGGGGGCAATCGACCCGGTGCAGATGACGCAGCAGGCACCGCACCAGGAAGTCCTCTACCTCTCGGGCTGGGCCTGCTCGTCTGTCCTCACGACGACGAACGAGGTCTCTCCCGACTTTGGCGACTACCCGTACAACACCGTCCCGAACCAGGTTCAGCGCATGGCCAAGGCGCAATCGATGCACGACCGCAAACAGTGGGATCTGCGCAGGAAAATGACAGCCGAGGCCCGAGCAAAGACGCCATTTGTGGACTATTTTCGCCCCATCATCGCGGACGGCGATACCGGGCATGGTGGGTTGAGCGCCGTGCTCAAATTGGCGAAGCTGTTCGCGGAGAATGGTGCTGCGGCCGTACACTTTGAAGATCAGTTGCATGGCGGGAAGAAGTGCGGCCACTTGGCCGGCAAGGTGTTGGTACCCACCGGCGAGCACATCAACAGACTACTCGCCGCTCGTTTCCAGTGGGATGTCATGGGATCCGAGAATCTAGTCATCGCCCGTACCGACTCCGAAAGTGGCAAGCTTCTCTCAAGTGCCATCGACGTTCGGGACCACGAGTTTATCCTGGGTGTAGCAGAAGAAGGCATCGTGCCTCTTGCCGAGACCCTGCAGGCTATGGAGGCTTCTGGCGCATCAGGCCCCGAAATTGATGCTTTCGAGGCTGACTGGGTCAAGAAGACCCGTCTGGTATCCTTTGACGAGGCAGCTGTAGAACAACTGCGCGCCCAAGGTGTCCCGGAGGAAAAGATCGGCGCCTACATAAAGGCGGTAGAGTCAGACCCCAGCCTAGGCATTTCGAAACGTCGCGAGCTTGCCAACCAACACGCCAACAAGCCCGTCTACTTCGACTGGGACGTACCGCGGACGCGCGAGGGCTTCTACCACTTTAGAGCCGGCATGAAGGCGGCCACCAAGCGGGCCGTCGCATTTGGCCCTTACGCAGACCTCCTCTGGGTCGAGACGGGCGATCCCAATGTCGAGGTGGCATCCAAGCTAGGCCGCGCCGTGAGAGAGGTATACCCCAACAAGGGTCTCGTGTACAACCTGTCCCCATCCTTCAACTGGATGTCGCATGGGTTCACGAACGAGACTTTAAAGTCGTTCATCTGGGACATTGCGAAGGAGGGCTTCGTGCTGCAGCTCATCTCCTTGGCCGGTCTGCACAGCACCGCCACGATCACCAATGAGCTGGCTAAGGAGTACAAGAAGGATGGCATGTTGGCGTACGTCAATCTCGTGCAGCGGAGGGAGAAGGAGCTCGGGTGTGATGTCTTGACGCACCAGAAGTGGAGTGGTGCAAGCTACATTGACGGAATACTTGGCGCTATACAGAGTGGTAGCAGCGGTAGCAAGAGTATGGGTGATGGAAATACCGAGGGCCAGTTTCACTGAATTGAGGAGATCTACACTGAGAGGGGGTCGAGGTGAAGAGATAAGCAGCATTTACTGGCGTTCGCGGAGCGGCATAGTGTACCAAGAATTGGACATTAACTTGTATTTTCTATTGAACCATTGCTCAATGGCTCCAACTCAAGTCTGTGAGGCGTGACACCACACCTTGACAAATCATACCCAGACCATGTCTATCGTTAGTCGCAAGCGCGCAAATAGACTGCACAACAATCGTTTCATGGGGGAATCCGTGCGACCATCCATCTAGCAAACCCTTTCAAAACACCAACTCCATTCTCCGAGCGCAATTGTCAGTTGAAAAAAATACTAATTGCGTTATCCTCCGCATAGAACATCATAGATATCAGCTTTCCACAATTCCTTACAGCTGATCCTTCAGGGCGTTGTTGGTAGGTGCAGCGGTAGGCTGGCCCTCGGGTGTGACATAGGCCTTGGTCATACCACCGTCAACAACCATCTCGTGTCCATTGACAAAGCTGGCCTCGTCGCTGGCCAGGAACAACACGGCCTGTGCCTGCTCGATGGCCTCGCCAAATCGACCGCCGGGGAAGTGGATCTCACGGCGCATACGCTTGGGGATATCATCACCGAGCCAGTCCTGGAGCAGCGGTGTGTTGAGCGGCGCCGGGCACAAGCTGTTGAATCTGAAGCCCTCGCGAGCGTGGACGATGGCCAGTTCGCGGGTGAGCGCTAGGACAGCGCCCTTGGAGGCAGTGTAGGCGAGCTGCGGGGTGGCGGAACCGACAAGAGCGACGACCGAGGCAGTGTTGATGACGCTGCCCTTGGTCTTCTTGTGCTTGCGGAAGGAGAGCACGGCGTGCTTGGAGCCGTACCATACACCCTTGACGTTGATGTTCATGGTCAGGTCCCAGATGTTCTCGGGCGTGCCGACGGCGTCGTCGTCCTGTGCGTGCATAATACCGGCGTTGTTGAAGATGATGTCGAGGCCACCCCAGGAGTCGAGGGATTCGACAGCAGCTTGCACTTGGGCTTCCTTGGAGACGTCGGTCACCTGGCGAGAAGTCGCAGTCAGTACAGTCGTCCAAATTTTACAGGTCACCTCGATGAGTAGAACGTACTCTTGTCTCAACCTTGCCAGCGTTGGGAACCAATTGTGTGACCTTCGCCTTGGCCTTCTCGAGCGCGGGCCCCGAAATATCGGTCATGAGGACATTGGCACCCTCCCTGGCGAAAAGGATACACGTCTCGAGACCGATGCCGCTGTGAAGTGTTAGCAATTGTGATTCTGACTTCTTTGCGCTCCACAGTAAATCCTCACTGCATTTGCGACAACGATGCTAAGCACATGCATGCGCGGCAGAAAGTATCTGGGTTGGGAATGGAGCTTACCCGGCAGCACCAGTAACAATGGCGTTCTTGCCAGCGAGACGGCCCTTGTTTTCGAGGAGAGATCCCATGTTGCCTTGGCGGGTGGGTTGTGAGCGGTGAGAGGAGGGTAAGCTGTTTCACGATGATATGACCAGGGGAAGGAAGTCTGCGTGTGGAGGGTGGTCGCAATAATCGATGTCACTTGCTAGTAGAGTTTTGGAGATGTTGACAAAAGTTATAAGGAGGAGGGAAGAGCTCAAGGCGCGAGATTGTGTGATAGAAATAACAAACGATTATGCGAGTCGGTGAAACCGCATAGTCCCCAAGCACAAGACAGATAGATAATGAGTCAAGGCGCAGACGCATTACCACATGGCATAGCGCAGTATGGCCCATGGTACACATAAGATAAAGCAGATCCCCGCCATGCTGGACCCTGGATGGGGACTGTATTACGAGACCCATGGCTGATCTTGGTCATGGCAGATGCTTCTGGGCGGCAGGCGAGAAGGGCAACCAGAGTTCCGTGGAGGGGCGCTTTCCGAAAACGGCGGAGGGATTGACCATAATGGGGAAGCTTGGGCAGATAAGGCGACTATGCTTATCTTATCAGCCAGCCAAGGGCAGACGAACGGAGGGGCATCGGACATATCGGTCTCTGTACGGATCCGTAGTGTCGCTTTAGAACGCTTCAGAACTTACTTTGACTCGCTCCACCACCACCGTCATGTGTCAGGACTTCGTGAATCGTCGGCGGTTCGCTACACAGGCTGGCCAATCCGGCAGAAAACTGGAAAGGTGCAAAGCTAATCAAGAGCGGATGTGAAACAAGAGATAAGCCAATGACTTGCTTGTGTGTCGTCATACCATCCTGTATATACGATAATTATATGTGCTATTTTGAGGCAACCACTCATCGAACATCGTGATCGGATCGTGTGATTCCCAATTCCCGTTGTCGGTTGTGATAAGTAGTAGGTGCAGGCGAGTACCAGATTTGGCCGACTAATAGAATTGTAATAGAAACGCCAGCTGACCATCTAGGAGCCTCGGCGATCGGCTGCTCCGTACATGGGGCACCGGTTGAGTAAGCTAATGACTGATGAAATTACAGAGAAGAATAGTTCTATATACATAGTATACAATGGTCCAATCTGTTATCCAGTTCCGAGTCATGATACTGCCACCGTTGGTTTCATACCTGGCAAGCAAGTGGGCTGTTCGAGCCGATTTGCTTCTGCTGGCCTATTTATTGAGGGGTAACAACCGGGATGCGGGAAACAGCCCCGTACTTGAACCTGAACCTGCACAAACCAATGGACTGCCGGTATGAGGATATTAGGTCATGGGAAATGCTAACTAAGTTGGCAATAAAAGCTGAGATAAGGTATTGCACATTGTTTCTGATCTCTCGGGATTCGGTAAAGAGTATACAGTGAGTAAGATAGTACCCGAGATCACGGTGGGCCTACATTGTGAAATGCTGATGGCGAGATCCGTAAGCGACGGACAACTCAATTCAGATGAGTTATGCCTTCAAGCTGCGCGCTACGTTACGCAAAACTCAACCCTCAAACCGGTGGTGACCTTGAAGGAATCCTGGTGTGGTGTGGCAAAAGACAGTCCATAAAGTATTATACATTCGAGGGACCGAAAAGAAGTCGTAGGTTTAGCATGGGTATCTGACATGAAATCAATCACCAATGACATTGCCAGCTTACGTACCAATGCTTATCGCTGCCCCAGGTGCATGATGCTAGCCAGGCTGCCAGGGCGGCTTGCTGCAATGACTGCCCCACGTTCCGCACAGTAGGGAGTTGTTCGCATTACGTATGTAAAGATGCGACGGCTGTACATGCCATAGATGATCTCGAGATGTAAAGGACAATGCGATATGAGATTTCCTTGTCCCACATCTTGTCTTCGTTGACTTTTGAGTGATCGCTTATAAGTTTTTCTGTCTTGCTAAGACGATCGCTGCTCGTATTGCTTGTTGTCTTTTGTATTGCCCTCTGTTGCTCACATTTGTTGAGTCTCAGCGTCAGTAACCTTTTCGTTGGCACGTTAAGAACCCACTACGTCACCGTATAGCGCCTCTTTGATCAAGTTTCCCAGCCTCGACCATTCTGTGAGAAGGGCGTAGAACGAGACACGCGACATTTCCTCTCCTCCGCGACTGTCCCGCGCGTCTATCATCTAGAGCCTCCATATACCTAATTCGTTGCGACGGTAACTACGCTCCAGTACAATTTCAGCTCACTTCAACCCACGATGCCTTCGCCGAAAGAGATCACAGCCGAGACTGTGAAAGAGCTCCTCCAAGATGACAACAAGGTCAAGCTCGCTGGAGTCGACGCCGACGGTCAACTTCGTGGCAAGCTGATGTCAAAGAAAAAGTTCCTGTCAATCGTCGAGTCCGGTTTTGGTTTCTGCTCCGTCATCTTCGGATGGGACATGCACGACCAGACATACTACCAAGAGCTCAAGATAAGCAACGCGGCGAATGGATATAGAGACTTGATCGCGATCCCAGACCTCAACAGCTTCAGGCGCATTCCCTGGGAGGACAATGTTCCTTTCTTTCTTGTCAGCTTCTACGATCCCGATACCAAGGCGCCCGTCTCGGCATGTCCACGAGGTCTGTTAAAAACGCAGCTCGATAAGTTCAAGAAGCAGGGTCTTGATGCTATGGCCGGTGCCGAGTACGAGTTCTACCAATTCAAGACGCCATCCTCAGAGACAGAGGCTGCGGCTGGCACGAAGCCCTCGACCGCCGCGTATTTGCGCGATAATCCAACACATACACTACCCGCTCTCACAGAAGGCATGTTCGGTTACAGTATCACCAGACCTGTGCATAACAAGGATTACTTCTACGAGATATATGACTCGTGCGCCAAGTTCGACTGCGACATCGAGGGATGGCACACGGAAAGCGGGCCTGGTGTCTTTGAGGCGGCATTGGAGTTCGGCCAGATCAGTGGCATGGCAGACCGCGCGAGTTTGTTCAAGTACGCTGTCAAATCCATTGGTACCAAATACGGCATTACTCCCTGCTTCATGGCCAAGCCGAAGCAAGGTCTGCCCGGTAACAGTGGGCATATGCACTGCTCCATTGTTGATAAGGAGGGTAAGAACTTGTTCGCTCGGGAATCAAAGGATGAGAATGCGGCATGGCCAGACATCGCTGGTTTGAGCGACTTGGGCAGACATTTCCTGGCAGGTCTCATTGAGGGCCTGCCTTACATCATGCCTCTTCTGGCACCCACAATCAACAGCTACAAGAGACTTGTCGAGAACTTTTGGGCTCCTGTGACTGTCTCGTGGGGTTTAGAACACAGAGCCGCGTCCATTCGACTGATCGCACCGCCAACCTCAAAGCCTGGTGCGACAAGATTCGAGGTCCGTGTCCCTGGCGCGGATGCAAATCCTCATTACGTGATGGCTGCTATCTTGGCACTGGGTGCTAGAGGTGTAGAGAAGAAACTGGAGATCAAGGTACCACCTTTGGGTAAGGGCGAGGACGTTGGCGGCAGCAGCGATCAAGGAGAGAGGCTGGCAAAAAACCTTAAGGAGGCAACTGATAAGTTCATGGAGGAGGGCAGTATTGCGCGAGAAGTATGTTATCTTCCCGTCCGTCTCGCTTGAGACCTTGCATTGCTAATCAAAGTTCAGGTATTCGGCGACGAGTTTGTTGAGCACTTCGGAGGCACTAGACGCCACGAGATCAGGCTGTGGGATGAGGCTGTGACTGACTGGGAAATGAAGCGATATATCGAGACTGTCTAACCGAGACATGCATTTATGGGGACCATGAGAGTTTTAGGGCAAGTGAAGGCCAGACTTTGAAACAATGTGATTTCCTAGACGGTGGCTTATATATAGTGAGTGATGTCCCATAAATCTGAATGGACAGCCGGTTTATATTTCCACGCTTACGATAGTTCTCGAGTACACAGCATGGGAGACTGAGCATGAACATTATCGCCTAGGCCGGAACAGTCACAGACTTATACATGATCTGTTTTACGAATATGCAACTCATGCACCAGTGATTGATTCTCGCCAAAGGTGGCCGAGCCGGCCTACTAGATCTGGAAGTTCGAGAGCTCGGTGCATACCACTATATACAGTCCCGGGTTTTAATACACTGGGTTGCACCGCACGAGCCCTTGGGTAAGCTTGTGTCGACTACGTGATCGTCTGAGCTTATCATTACGTCTCCTGGAGTATTCACCAGCATCGTTGTTGAATTTGTGAGGGTTCATATCACCTTTATACTAATGCTCAAACTCCTTTAATGGTGGCATTAAATGTTTACTTGTCAAATGCGATATTCATGTGATGTCTTCGACATGCTTGTTAATTGACTGTAGGCTCAGAGATGCCTACATTCACCGCTGTATATAGTCCAGAAGCAGAATCGCCAGAAATTCATCATAGAGCGAATATCTAACATCTGCTACTTCATGGAGCGGATGGATCCGAGGGCACAGTTTGTGTAAATTGACGGTTTCCGAGTTCGACGTTATATAACGCATTCGCGAACCTCGGGAACCTTGGGCAGTATCGTTGACTATTTTCCAAACCAGACCTGGGATCCACAGACTCAGTCGAACGGAATTGTAATACGTGTGTCAAGTTGAATCCGAGTCTGAGCTCGGGTGGCGTGGTGCTACATGCTTAATCGTCACCGCATTGTAAGTGAAGGCTGCTGGTGGTCTTACAAGTCTCTGTCCACGATCTTGCTGTTTGGAGTGTACTTTAAAGAACCAAGCCAGGTTGGGAGATCTCATTTATATCTGTTAGTAGCTAGGTTATACACACTGACGCACTGACACACACTTCATAACGATGCAAAGGTGATAACGCAGCTACGACGTTATAAATAAGGCGGCGGCGGCCATAGCATCTTAACTTATACCGTATCTTTCCGAGCGAAAGATCGCAGTCTGGGAACCAGCTCATCTACTATTGTAAAACGGACCCCATCTTGGCAATTTATGTATCAAGCTGTCGAGGATTGCCCTGATTCAGGCAAACGGCATCAACCGACGATGTACTCATTCCCGGAGCATAAAGCGGTCTCGAACACATGGGTCGGAGGGGAGGGTGGCATAACTACCGTTTGCCCTAGTTAGGTCAAGAAGTACTGGGATGCCTCTTTAAATCGCACATTTATTGGGATACACCTTAATACCTGCCAGATTGAGGTCGAGCTTGAGGTGAATGCGTTCATCGTCGTTGGCTACAGCCGATAAATCTATAAGAAAAAGAAAAGAAAAAACACCGTAGCTCGTATGGAGCCAGTGCTCGCTTATAGAATGAGGTTAGTACTAGAAGCGTATCGTTCGGAGCACTCAATATTTCTGATGCGCTCATTTGGCTGGTTGCTGCATCTACATTGCCGTGCTCTCTGGAGGTTCTTGGAAGATGAGCCGCGTTTGTACGGTACACCTGCAGGCTAATGCAAAATTCACCCATCTGGGCATCTCATTTGGAGGACCGATCTGTAGTTCCGGCGCCCTTTCTGATTGACATATGTTTGCCCATATCAGGCTGAGCGTTGCAGGTTTTGCATGTAGGATTGCCGTTCTAAGAAACGACAGCAGGATTCGCACCAATGGTATTATTGCATTACCAACGTTTTGAGCCAAGCCTCAAACCATTACAACGAATGAGTACTTAGCATCCTGTGGTGGGTTCTCGCAAAACATGACCACACAATAAAGCATATTGTAACCCTCCTTAGGTATATACAAACATCAGATACGAAATTGAAGGGGGAAAAAAATAGCTCACGTGGCTGACTCCGGCCAGGGAAAAAAAAAAAAAAAAAAAAGAACGCTCGTTTTCGCACCACAAGTCATACACATCTCATTCTCTAACATTGCCTGTATCACCTATATCCACCGTTACCGTTGAAATATCCGTTGTTGGCACCAGTGTAGCCACCCGAATGACTCGGCGCCGGACTTCCCATTCTGTTCATGCCCCCTGGACCTGTCGGTGACATAGGGCTATAGGTGCCGCCGTTGCTCGTAGGGTCCCAGCCGGAGGTCGTGGGGGGGACCGCATTGTGCACGCTGGATAGCGAGTTGCTTCGAGAATCGCCGCCGGGAACGGTGTATGCCGTGGTAGAGACCATACCGGCCTTATTCATAGCTGAGGCATTGTATTCCGCACCTTCATAGGCCAAGGCATCGGGGTCTCTCCCCTCCTTCTTGAACTGCTCGAGTTCCAAGCGCTCCTGCTCCAGGGCCTTGGCGGCGAGCGCGGCATCCTGCTGGCCTCGCTTTCGCTGTTTGATGTAGTAGACGAGCCAGGAGACAAATGCGAGGGCTGCGAGACCAGCGACACCGGCGCCGATTCCGATCTTGGCGCCGGAAGAAAGACCGTCCCACTTCTCGCTCATGGAGCTGTCGTCGTCGGCGGCGGCCGTGGTAGGGTTGTTGATCGTGTTGACTGCAGTCGAATTGCTTCCGGCGCTGCGCACAGTTAGCATTGTGTCGAAGGTCCACATGGCTCAATCCTAAGCATCACTTACTTCTTGATCTGAATGCTTGTGGAATTGCCGGTCTTGTCGCCATAAATATATTCCGTACCGCTCGAATAATCCTCGACACGCGCACTCTTCACATACATGCTGTACGGACCTGCGTCGTAGTCCGTTTCGCCACCAGCCCACTCAATGGTTCCTGCGCTCTGGCTGCTGTCACCACCGGCCCAGATTCCGACAATGAGCTTCATGGGTGTCTGCGGGTAGTACAAACTATTGTTGGCCATGGCGGGCGTGAGAGTGCGGAGGAGCGTGCCGTCGTACCACCACTCAAGCTTCTCCTCAGTCCAGACATTGGTGTAGTTGTGGTATTCGGTTTGCGTATTTCCGGTGACGGAGTGTGTGGCACCAACAGAAGAGTTGGTGTTACCCTTGCTATAGTAGTTCGATTGTACACTTCCGGTGTCGACTCCACGAATCTCCCAATCCACCTCATCGAGATCGTCGCTACCATATACGATGGAGCTGATGATGCCTGTACCATTGGCAGTCTTCATGATGACTTCAGTCCTGCCCCAGAAGAAGTAGAAGTTCGAGGTAAGGGTAGGCGAGTATCCTTTCTCGGAAATGGTGAAGCCAGCACCGGCGGTGGCATCATAGGTAACGGAACCAGCTGATTCGTTCCATAGACCGGCTGTAGGTGTCGAGTTGAAGTTGAAAGTATGAGCAGTACCCAGGGCTGGGTCAGCAGGGCAAGTCTTCAATGTTGGATTGCAATCAGTGTGAAGCTGGGCGGCAATGGGTGTTGCGATGAATGAAACCAACAGCGTAGAGGCTGTGGTCAGGAAGGATCGTGGCGACATATTGATGTCTGTTGCTTGTTTAGTTTGGTTTTTAAGGATACTACGTGTCTGCCTTTAACTGTGCCGTCGATATCGGCCGTGTAAGGACTGGCGTGGTGCTTCGAGTCCAGCGAAACACAATGATGCCAAATGAGTGTGGATGTCTTGAATCAACCAAGATATACCGGCGTGCTATACTCTTCCGTGCATAACCTTTGAGCGTATTTGATAAAAATCCGAACTGGAAAGATGTCCAAACGCTTTACCACAATATTCTGGCTACGCGTAGGCGCGAAGGATGTTGGGATAAAGAGCGACGGTTGATGAGTTGCGAATTTGTGATGGAGAACTAATGTCACAGATACAAGCCACTAGTTCGAGAGGTCTCAAAGCGCCGAGCCGAGGACGGTGGTGTGCTGTTTCAGATGAACGGTTACCCGGAAATTCGACAGATAAGAGACTCAACCTTTTTTGGGCAGGTAGTCGGATTTGCTTGATGAATGTGAAGGAATGAGAAAAAATGCTTTTTGGTATAAAATAAAAAGAGTGGGTAATCCAATCAATGACTTTGGTCTTGCGGTCTGGTTCTTTTTTCGAATCTCTTTGTCCTCCTTCGCAAATTTGAGAGATCCGAGAAATGAATGAACGTCAATCTATGGAAGGGCTGCACGGCAGCAGAAAAGGACCCAAAGATAGTCCCTACGGATCAGAGAAAGCGGAAAGGGGAGATATTGTATGGAGATGGCATCCATTTCTGGATAACGGGAATTGATAGGCGGTTTTGGCGGCAGCATTCCTTGCAGCTCGGCGTTCCGTTCCTGCATTGGTCTCAATCATGGATATTAAAGGACCAATCAGACCAATTGCAGCCAACAATGACTTTGCTTCTGTTCCGGGATTGACGGCGCAGGGGGCCTCGAGGGGGCACATGAATGAGGAATCTGTGACGGGCCCCTGAGCGAGTGTTAGAACCAAGCCGCCAATGGTTTAGCATCCCCTTCGTCGCCACCAACCATCATCTCGCATCATCTCGGCATTGGTGGAGATAGACTCGACGCTTTCGATAGATCCTCCAAAAGATGACCCGTGCTTTAATGCAGTGTGGGGATTAGCTCCTTGGCATCCATTCTTAACATTAATCTTACCGGCTTTTAGCAAGCTTGATAATCGGCTCTTTCCGCTGGCGTGCGGAAGCACCAAAGCTCTTAGACTAGGGGGATATCGATGTAGTTATGTGTGACCCAAAGATCGGATTACAGATTGTAATACTTTACCAAATAAAAAATGGACCTCGAACTTGAGTTTCTCTATGGCTTAATGGCATTTGCCATTCCGACACGCTACCTTCTGCGAATAAACTACAGATCTTGGGCAAGCATCACTTCATACCAAGTTCGGACGGCTACGCCCAGGATCTTACTGTCTCCTGGATCAGAGCGGATCAAGTGACTAGCTTGAGGCTTCCGGGATCATCATAACAGACCAGTGTTTCTCCAAGTGGTACCTTGGCTATGTATGAACAGCTCGGGATTTCTAATCAATGGCTGTTGAACTGTATTTCAATTGATGCAACATCATACAACGCGCGCCCACATGACTTGGTGGTAAGTGATCTCAACGGGGAGTAGTGAACAGCTCTATTAGGCTATCTAGTTGCACCATTTTGGTATTCATCGATTCCGCGCCAGAATCTATTACCTCATCATTCATCAAGATCATAACCTATTTGCCAGTGGCTTTCCATGGCTCCTGAACCAGCTAAGCATCGCTGCCTGTTGAGACATCCTCGTAGGGAGTCGCCGAGAGTGTGATAGAAGCGGTGGTCGACTTACAACATGGATTCAATCTTCTTGACACAGTCGGGGAACTCCTTCCAGTCATACATGATGACAGCAGCGTTGCACTGCTCAGTGAGGATCTTGGCCATCTGGTCCATCTTCTCCTTACCCTCCTCGATGCCGTAGATGCCGACGTAGCCAATGAGAGGAATGCCAGCTCGCATCGCAGCAGTAGCACCACTCTTACTGTCCTCGACAGTGAGGGTGTCCTTGTTGGCGACGCCGAGCTTCTCGCAAGCGAAGTTGTAGATGGCGGGGTCTGGCTTGCTGGAAGGCTTCTCCATAGACGTGGCAGCGCTATAGACGTGCTCATCGGGGAAGTAGTGGTCGATGCCGACCTTCTTGATACTGGCAACGACACGAGGCTTGGCGGAGGTACTGACGACGGACATGGGATAGCCCTCCTTCTTGGCCCACTCAAGCTGCTCCAGAACATTAGGGCAAGGCTCGCACTTCTCGCTCAGTTTGGCAGTGACGGCTCCAAGCTCACGGTCGACGTAGGCATCAACCTCCTCAGGAGTCATGGAGAAGCCATGCTTTTTCTGGAGACCCACGAGCATGCCACGGAAGTTGTGGCCGACGAAGTCCTCGAGCAGCTGGTCGACGGTGTATCGCTCAGACTTGCCCCACTTCTCAAGGACTTCATTGGTCAAGTCGGTGCATGCTTCGAAGGCGAGACGCTCTGACTTGCAGAGAGTGTTGTCGCAGTCGAGGAGGATGTACTTGACCTACATTTGGAATGGTTAGACTGAAGGGAACGAGCATGGTAGGCATGGTAGAGTTGAAGGTAGCTGGGTGGATGGAGAGCTAGAGCTTACACGAGGCATTTTGTGTGACGTAGTTGGTGAACGGGTAGTTTGAAATGGACAACGTGAAGTGCAATGCTTGTTTACGCCGAAAGTAAGGCAGTCTGGTGGTCGATGGTTGTGAGTGAGAGTGAAGAAGAAGAACTTCAAGTTGCAGGTAAATTCGCTTGCTGAAATACTTGAGAATGGAGAGAAATTCCGGACAGGTTGTTGTTTCTCAGACAAAACTTCTTGATTGTTGATAACACTTTTAAACTCAATGGAGGAACGTGCCCCTCGATTATTGCAAGGAGCATCCTCTGTGCAACCAAGCAGCCAGAAAGTTAAAGGCGGGGTAGTGAGCCGTTTCTTACTTGATCTGTAACCATGAACCAATGAAATATGAGCAAGATAGCACCCGCCCTACAGTGCTACGACCTTTCTAGTTAGCTTAGCGAGAATGGCCGGTGAGCTGCATGTCAGAGGGGCATTCCCGTTCGTTCTTGCATGCACCAAACATTCAAAGTCTTGGAGTTCATCGATCGATCCGATTATATGATCGGGAAGACAGCCCAAAGAATAAACCTGTCTGTTGCTGTTAGTTCTGAGCAGTGGGTTGGAGATAAAAGGACTGTCAAGGAAAAGTCAGATTGGTTGGTTCCTGGCGATTTTCAGCCCTGCCAACTCATAAAACATCAGCCAGTAGCGCATCCCGTGATGCTGTCTCCTTTGAAAGTTAAACCCGAAAAGCAACATTTCAGTGTTCGGTCAGCTGAGATGAAACTTTTCATGGGGTGAAATCCGGACTGCTCCAGATTCTGATTGGGTTACTCCATAAACTCTAAGAATTGCAGAGTATAGAATCGGAGATAAGTATGGATCTGCAATGACGTCACCAGTAGCTCGATATAATCTTATCTCAACCATACAATCCCCAAAGTGTTCAGCAGACTTTATTAACCTAGTAAGAGCGGGGGGCTGCCGCCGCCTACGGCTGACAAATACTATCTCGAACATAGGGATAATGATATTTGTGTCACCATAAGATTTCAGATGCGATTATTCAAGTCACCTACAGATATAACCAACGTTGGGTTGTTCCATGTGCGCTAATCTACCCAGCTTGAGCTCACGATGACATCCAGTCGGTCTATCACCAAACAAACCCAATCATGCCACCCATTGCAAAAAACTTCCCAAGCAGATGAAAGCCGTCTAAAAAACGGGATTCAACAAACCCCATGTCATAAATACAGTATCCGTGCCCTATGACCTTGGGCCGCATGATCTTCTGGTCAAGGTCGCCGTCGCATCCTACTGCCACACGGACTCCATGGTGTCCCCGGGCAAGTTCGGCACCAAGTTGCCTGTGACAGGGTCACACGAGGGCTCTGGAATAGTGACGTCCGTCGGGTCCGATGTTCCCAACTTTAATCTTGGTGATCGTGTTATGTGCGGACTGCCGCTACATCCCTGCGGAGCCTGCCATGACTGCCTGGGATCGGAGGAGGGCCGCCGGCAATATTGTGCCAAAGTTGAAGGGCATGTGGGCGTGCACATGAATGTCTGTTTTGCCGAGTATGTCAAAGTTGATTCGAGGTCCACGACGCCGTTACCGGACCAGGTCAGTTTCCTTTCTGCGGCGCTGGCTTGTGCAGGACGGACGGTGTGGCGGAGTGTGCTGCAGGCAGAGCTGAAGCCGGGCCAGTGGCTGGCTATCGTTGGATCTGGACGTGGGTTGGGCCATTTGGGTATCCAGTTTGCGAAAAAGGCGACGGACCTAGAAGTGATCGCCATTGACGCGAGAGACGAGGGACTTGATTATTCCAAAGAAAATGGTGCAGATGTCGTTATGGATGCGCGCAAGGGCAAGGCGAATGCCGTTGCCGAAGTGCAGCATGTCACTGGTGGTGATGGAGTCGATGCTACTGTCGTATTGTCCGATGCGGGAGACTCAGCTGCAGTCGGGTGTGCTGTTACAAGGATGCATAGTACGTTGGTGCAAGTGGCGCAGCCTGACGAGGTCAAGATTCGCTCTTCTTCCGTGATATTCGAATCAAGGGAAGTCTTCTGAGTTCGCCGGATGAGTCTAAAGCAATGTTGAAGGTGATAGCAGAGCATGGAATTACCGTCAAGACGAACCAGTTCCATGGTCTGGATAAGATCAAAGACTTGATTAATCTGATTCGCAGTGGTAAAATGTCTCGCAAAGCAGTGATAGTGGTTGATGCTGAACAAATCGAAATGGAGAAAAACATAGGGGCGAAGTACTGATGTTGTGGACGCAAACCAAGCACTGGTATGAATGCGTACTGATAGGCTAATATCGTTCGAACCGTAATCTCTACTGTCTTGAATACCTGAGCTATGTAGCTTGACTCATGCCTCGAATACAAGCACCACACCATCGTCACCAGCTGTGATGATTCTCTCACCAGAACCACCCTGCACGAAGCCAAGCACGCCACCCCCCTCGCCATCTCCTCTGTGACCTCTCCACTCCTTCATGAATCCTGAGGCCGTGGCGACACTGACGTTTCCACTGGGGGTAGCACCTCTGACATCCCATCTCCTGATGACACCATCCATACCACAACTGGTCAATAACCAACCGTCGCCTGTGCCCTTGACGAACTCCAGCTTGACCACGCTGAAATCCTCATGTGCCTCTTTGATATGTCTACGGACAGCGAATCCTCGAGCAGTGTCGTAAATAGCGATACTTCCATCAACGCTTCCGGTAGCAAGCAGATTCTGGGTGGGTGAGAATGATAATGTCTCGATACCGTCGGCTTGTGTTTGCAAACTAGCCAGAACAGTGCCGCCTTGGCCACCACCTGACTGGCCGCCCTTGGCCTTGGCTTTACTCTGCTTGCTGGACTGTGGCTGAGCAGATGCTGTGTTTCCTATGCGCGGTAAGGCAACTATCTTGACGACACCGCCGGCACCGCCCACGGCGACGAACGCGCTCCTCGGGTCAATGGCGACGGAGTAAAGTCCGCCCTCCACCTCGAAGCGCTGGTCTTCGGCAGTGAGAGAGACGACCGTCTGTCCATTCGCATTGGTGAGACCTTTCGCGGCGGCCTCTCCCCAGACATCGAAGACGTTCAGCGAGCTGTCCTCAGCCACTGTTGCCAAGAGAAGGCCGTCGGCGGACCAGGCGCCGGCTGTGACAGGAGCGTTGTGTAGGAAATAAGTCTGGACAACCTGGAGAGGATTCGAGGCTTCAGAGGCATCGATCGTGTACACCCATACCGAGCCATCGGAAGCTCCTATGGCAACAGAGTTCGGGTGCTCCGATGACGGGCAGGGTTGTAACCAGTTGATCTCAGGCACCTCTTGCGCTTCACCGATGAATTTGAAGGAAGCCTTGTTTCTGCCATCAAAAGCAACCTGGTATGCTCGCAATCTTCCGTCCAGTCCTGCTGATGCCAAGTATTTTCCCTGCGGGAGTGTGAACGCTAGGGCGTTGATCGAGTCAGTGTGACCTTCGATGGTGAACAATGGAGTCAACTCGGTGTTTTTCTGCTGGGTCGCGGTCGGGTCTGCGTTATAACTCGGAGGAAGAACCGGTCTACCAGCGATGGCGCTTGTGTCGAAGACATATCCCTTTCCAGGGGCATCTTCTTCTTCGCCTTCTCCACCTCCACTTGCGATCAGAGAGGGCTGTGTCGGGTGTTGTGCAATGGCGTAGACGGAGTCCTTGTGCAGATCAAAGTAGGCTATGCTATCGTTCTGAAGCTGGATCTCTTCTTGCTCATCGTCCGAGTCCATCGCAACATCACCCTCGACATCCTCAATCTCTTCGGCCGCCTCGTCCAAGTCGAGCATCTCTGGCGCATCGTCTGTCGGGTCGTCGTGCGGGGCAGACATGATGACTGGTTGGGATCGATGGGGTATGACGGTAGTCGAAATCGGGAGGTTGGACGGTTTTATGCTTTAGGAACAGAGGACGTAGGAGATTTGACGGCTTATACTCCCGAACTGGGTATGATGGATGGCAGAAGAAATGCTGAGATAATCTGTAAAACCTCGCAACTTGCTTGATAATCACCATGGGCGACTTATTTTTTTCATTGCTGCAGGTGCGGGATGCGTTTGATGGTGGGGCAGACGATTGACCCCGCAATAATGCATGCACAAATACATCATCTCACTATCCACATTACTGCATAACTCAGTTGCGTATCTCTTATTGTAAATTCAGCCTCAAGATTGTCTTCGCGAACCAAATCTCCACATCTTGATATCGCCAACAGTCTCGATACAATAGTTCACTGATTTTAAAACCCTCCTGAGGAATCTGCTGTAGCAAGACCGCGCCCTCCCTGCAGTTATGAATTCGACTCGCAGGTGTACCAACTACCAACGTTAAATCCTGTGACCACCGCAGCCATGCCATGTCATCACACCTGCGGTATGCAGCTGGAAAGCAGGAAACAACTTCAGCCTCTATTGCTTCATGTGATGTACCAATGAAACCGAATTTTTCGGCCTCGAGGTAGAATATGCGCATCACACGGATTCCGCTACAACGCCCGTACCAAGTCGCAGTAGTATGGCATTCAGCTTCTAGACATCTTATTGCATCGAGGTTCGGGTTATCGCAACACATCTTATTGCGCCAGCATGCCTTTTGCCGTGGTACCTAAAGTGTGCAGTGGTCGAATATGCACTCATTCATTGGAGATACTACCTAGAGGTACTGCATCCTAACGATGGCGTTCAGTGTTTAGAGCAACGGTTATATAAGAAGGATGGTCAATTTTAGCATCGACAATCACAGTTGCAACCTTTGGATTGTTATTATGAGTACTTGGTGGAGCTCCCTAGCCAAATTCTGACCGAAGTGCATCATATTAAGCTACAGGAGACTATCAAGTACTTATATTGTACCAGTACCCATCATGTATAGAATGGACAACAAATAAGTGGTCAAGCTCTCTATCGTAACCCAAAGTGAAAGAAAGTCATGGTTCTGACATCTAGTGACTGCTTACAATCAAACATCAAGAACCTCAAAGGACAAGTTAGTAGACGTGATTTTACACGCCAGACTAGCCCAGCCCGAATTCTGCCGATCTATCGATTTGACTATCGAACAGACGCTCAACAGCATCCGGACTGCCGACGGTCTTGGGGTTGTCTAGGTTCCACCAGCCGCGAATGGTTGCAACCTGCCCATATAGGTAGGCTATAGTGAAGAATGCCGCCATGCCACTAGTCGTCCTGACATGAGTTAACTTGGCTTCGGCATCCTCGACGCTCCCAAGGGATTTGAGCTGCACTTTGTCCCCAGTCTTTTTCTCGTAAGCCGCGGCTAGGTCTCTCGCACTTGCTGCTGCCGACTGGACACTGAACAAACCGCCTTCGCCATTCAGAACCGCCTGGTTGGTTGTGATCAAATCCATGCTGAAACGCGCTGCGTCTGGCATGTAGGTAAAACTCCATCTGGTGTCTCCATCGCCCCAGTAGGTAAGAACCTTTCCGTCTGGGCTGTCCACTATGTTGCCAATGCCAAAGTGCTCGCTTACTGACAGCTCGGCGAATAAGCCTGTGAAAACAAACACAGGTTTAATGGACGATGTAAGCTCTACCTGTCGTCGAAAACTTATATATGAGTCGTATAGTTCAAAGTCGCCAAACTTAAGCTTACTCCAGTCAAAGTTCCAAGAGTGCGCGTGGTATATTTTGACCCCAGCCCTCTCAACGGCGCGGAAGAGACTCAGCTGAGATTCAATAACCGCCGACGCTATTGGATAATAAGCGCATATTACGGCATCTACACCCGATAGTGCCTTATCCAAAACTGCCCTGTCTTGGTAGTCGTCACATTGAACGAAGGACTCCAGCTGATCCAGGAGATGCGGTGGCAGTTTAGATGGTGATCGACCAAAACCCCTGATCTGGTGTTGTTTCGCAAGGCCGTACTTAGCCAGTTCCCTGCCTAGATATCCAGTGATGCCAGCGATAAGAATCAACATGGTGAATGAAGGCTGCGAAAAGGCTGTGGCGCTATTGCCTTCAAACTAGATTAAGCTTGAGTATTTCTCTTGTAGATGGGCGACTCGCGATGGATGATTACAAAAGATCGAAGATCCTTTGTATATCTCACATGGACCTTGTTGTACAAATGCGTGGGTAAATCATAGCTCCAAATAAATTGCTGTGTCGCGATTATATATTCAGGAGCCGGCCTTTGATTTGTCATTGTACCCGTAAATCATCGTACAGTATCTCGCAATGTGATGTATCAAACCTGCCCATTATGGTACCGTGTGTTCCTAGGTAAGCGAATATCATGGCATGACAAATGGTGTTTCACAACGCCTCTTCATTTCCGCCGGTATTGTTCAACGAGATCTAAGCACATGCTGACGAATAATAACACCACTCGGTGTCATTGGATTAGACGCAGTGTACAACGCGCAGCACAGCTCCGAATATGAGACATTTTGCATTGTCCACACAGTTGTGTCGGCGGTACAACCCTCCGTATGAATAATCCGATAGCGTCGACCCCTTGCAGCATGCTGGAATGTCGCCGAGTTGTCCTGCAGCCCGGAGACATCTTAAAGACCTTATATAAAATGTCGCCGGTTGGCTGTAAATATATATGTGCACCTTCAGCGAGACCGGCTTCTGCAACTACATCAAAAGTACGCAGTCCAGCATCTGACTTGGCCATTCGAATGATGATAACAAATATGTGAGACTACCATCTTCGGCCGTTACTTTTGCTTGCCAGAGGGTATATTCGTGGGTCTCTGCTTGTCTACGCCAGTCCTGCTCCCGCGATGTTCGGCTCCTCAGTGAAGACCTCTCTAGTCTTTTAGTCATCTTAAAAAATTCCTTATCAGATCCTTTGAAGGAGCCAATCCCCATGGTTGAGGTTACATATCTAGGATTCGACATCTCCGGGCAGATTTGAGTGCTTGAATGCGATCACGGCATCAATAGCACCGAGTGATAGGCACCTGTCCCTCGTCAGTCAGGTACTTTCCAAACCTAAATATATGGAAAACGATGCATCAGGGTCTCGTTTTTGCGTGGTCTCAGTGACCCTTTGCAAGGAGCCATGGAAGATTCTATGTATGTAAGTCTCCGTGAATAGGAGCATTATGTAAAGAACAAGCATAAAGTCCAGAACGAGAATCTATTCCTAACACGGTGTAAGCTTTGACCAGAACTCAAATTTCTGATGAAGAAGTTCTTAAAGGGATTCGATATCGGTTATAGAGTGTAGTCAAAGAATACCCCCTATTCTCCAAGCATAGGTGGCAGCCAAGGCAACAAATCCCAAGAGAGTATCAAGGCATGGTCCATCATATAGGATCCAGTAGGATATTCTAACCTATCCGACCATCCAGCATGCCTTCTTACCACAAGATATCCAACCGCTACTAGCAGTAGGAATGAGCCTTATAACAAGCATTATAAGTAAGACGATTATGCCGCTCAATTACCATATAAAAACTTACACCGACTCTATAAATATGGCTGAAGTAAAGTGATTGAGGACGAATGAACACTACTTAGCATTTAGGCTAAATCCTGCGCCACATCAAATGATAGACAGACATACGTCCTGCTCGTAAGCCTTCGAAGCCAGCACTAATAATCTCTATGTTGGTGACAATTTGCTGATCGCTAAGCGCAAGCACTATCTCATAGAGATATTGTGCAACCTAGAGTAGCGGCATCCTTGAGCCGGTGTGGGGGGTGGAGATGGAAAGTATTTCGGTCAATAAGGCCTTAAAAAGATGAGCCGACTAAGCCGAAGGCTCGAGCAGCCAGAACAGCAGTGGATGTAATATATTGTAGCTAGGCGCCAAGAGCAAAAGCCAAAATCAAAACAATACCAGAAATGTCGGCATCACTTTGAGCAAAAGCCTCCTAGGCCATCAATTATTAGCCTGATTCGTTGGTCATGGCATCACATGAAGCATTCTAGAGATCAAGAGACAATTGTCAAACTATGACAGTTTCTATAATTGGTATAGAACACTGTTTGGGGAAAGATAGGTCTGATGCACTGGAAAGGAAGGGCCTGGTTCTACTCGAGCAAAGGATAGCACATGCGGTGCTCGCATAAGCGTACTATCAAGTAAATGGTATATAGAAGTCTAAGTCTACAAAAGAGAATATCAGTGTACAGAAAGTGGGCATATGCCCACTGGGTAAGACACGTGATCACCCAAACCAAGGTTAGGTGATCCGAGAACTCCTCGCCTTAGTATACGGAGTGCTCTCCGTTAACTGTGGTTATCTACAGTCGTCCAGATTGCCACACAAACATATCACGAAGAGTTTTTTGAACCATCGCTTTTGTTTTTATTTTCCGCTTGTCGGGGCCTTTGGGAGGTTTCTCAATGTCATCGACTCCACACTCCACCGTGCCGCATACCCGCCGCTGGGGTCAAGCCTCTCATTGAGCTAAACTGTAAGCAACATGAAATGTCTCGGGGATGAATGTACCAAATCCGTCGCGCCGGTTCAGCAGCAACAACCAGCGCGGTTGGCCAAGTCTAGCGCGGATTTTATAAGCAGGATCCCATACACGCCTAACCAGCTTCGTACGCTAACTCAACACTCTGTGATTGTTTTCTTCACTAGCCTAATGCAGACGGTTCGCACAAATGATGCAAGTTGAATGGCATTTCTCATAATTTTCCTAAATAATAAATTTTACGCACGGCTTGATTTGAGCTGGCGTAGAAGACAATTTACAAGTAGCCAACGTGGTCGTGATAGGCATGGTTTATTATAGTATTGATGCCAAGCCTTGATAACTTGTAAATTGTGGGACTACGAGTTCATCCATAATCCATGATACCCCTAGAACCTCTTCTAGTAATTTGCCTTAGTGGTAAATAGCTTCGGCAACCACAAATAGGGGTTTTTAGTAATTGAGATGTCCTTAGAAAGTATACGTTGTAGGCTGCGCATTTCGCTAACTCTTGTGCGATTCTTCTACTTCCTGAATTGTTTCTAGACGTTTCAGATTCAGTATTTCGTGTTGCTGGTCCAAAATTGCGGCAGTCTTTCTATCATTTGATATCGTTCTATGGACAGATTAGCACAGTTCACGAGAAAGCGTTGCACTATGAAAGTGTTCATGAGGGAAGCGTACGGGTGCACTCTATTAGATTGCTGTTGCCAAAACTCACAAACTTCCACCACGAGTACCACCGAAATCATGATACTTAACAAGACAACGATCATGGGACCATCTTGGGCTGTAAGTGGGGCCATGACCGAGTCTGCTATGCCATACTGATTGTTTGATATCGTGGCAGGCTTGTCATACAGTCTGTCCCATAGTAGGGCTTCCGGTAGTAGCTCAAAATCTTCTTCATCGTGAGTGTCGGAAGTCTGAGCTAAACTGAGAAGGTATGTAGTAGGTAATGGGCGTTGATCCTTAAGTGCAATTGCGGATGGTATGTCGTCGAATGGTGCAAGTGGGTTATTATCAAATCGTGATGATGCTTCGGCTGTTTTTGTTCGCAGAGGCTCGATCGAGGGCTTAGCCTGAGGCTTGAATTGTACTGGTGCCATGGTTTTATGCGAGAGCGTTCGAATTCTTGGTAAGGGCTACAAAATTATGTCGTGAGAACTTGCGTCACGCAATCGGACAGTATGAACGTTGTCTTGTATCTTGTCGATGTGATGTTGATATTGCCAAGACCTAGTATGGTGGCCATGGGGAGAAAGTATGAAATATCAGAGGCTGCTGCCTATTGTCTTCCACCAAACAATGCCGATCACCGTGCCCGATCACACCTAGGTTAAGTCCTTTACGGAGTATTATGCTGCAGGTTAACAGGTGGCTTGGACCGATCGAATGTTAGTCGGAACCGAAGCCGTTGATTGGTTGTGTCGTATTTCCGCCGTACTAAATTAGTGCTCTGCATTTATCATTTGGCAAATCACCGAGTGCAATTTGAGTGCCAAGAAGCCGTTTGTGCCGGCACTCGCCAATGCGCACATAAAAGCTTGGATACAAATGCTCCCAGTTGGAGCAAATTTATTGGCGCTGCGTTGAGGGCGCGGTCATTTGTGTATTGGAATCATCTAGGTAGCGAGCTTACTTGATTAAATGAGTTTAAAATGCTAGGCATGACTTGGCGAAAGTCATTCAAAGTCTCATACAATTTAATTTGGCTCTTTATGTCGCCATAAAAGATGCTAGCGGTGTCGTTTTAACACTTTGTGCCAATGGTACAATCGAGTTTGTGGCAGAAATGCACGGAATGTTCAGAGACAAGAGCATTTTCGCCATCGATAGTACCCCACCGGCGAAGTCAACTTTGATAGGTAGTCCGAGCTGTTCGCGTGCTGTTATGGCTGCTTCAAAGATCTCGGCAAGGTCTTGGCTGTCCCAAACACCTTCCCTCCTGTTGAGTCGCCTCAGTGCCGTGATAACACGGTGCAGGAGATCCCTATCGTCCGTAAAACAACCGACGAGCGCCAAACATGGTATGATATCCGCATCACAAGTAAAAAAAGGTCGCGACAGGGACCCCATTGACTGAATGATCAGCTCTGCGTCATCGACCATGCTCTCCAAAGATCCACGTTCAAAGCTGGCTTCCATCATATCAAGCCAAGGCGTCTCGTCCAGAATCGCACACCAGGTCTTCTGTTGTAGGCGTACTCTCAAAGCATCGCCTGTTTCTTTTGGCGAGGCAGTCTCAAACTGATAATGGTCCATGAAAGTGTCGAAGCGTCGACTCCACTTCCAAAACATACGATAAATCCCTCGATATGTATTTTTGTCCTTTTCAGAGAACTCAGGTGGCGTCCGATCCAGTTCTGAATTTTCTTGCCCCGCTACAGCTGGTAAAGGTTTGTGTCCGTCGGCGTGGCATAATTGCTCAAAGAAGATATCGTGAGCGATCTCGATCCTGTGGAGCTCTTTTCTGGCTGCGGAGAGGCACGTGAAAGACGAGTTGGTCGTAGCAGTCTCGACAGCAAAGTCACTGGTGCTAACTTGTGAGAGTTTCTCGAGCGGAACAACCTCGTCTTCTAAAAAGATTGAGACATCTATACCAAGGCAAGAAAACAAAGTGGTGAGAGCATCCATATTGTCCTGAGAAGAAACATGTGTGGCAGTTTCATACTGAGCACGACTTACTGTCGGATCTGATTCAGACACGGACGGCAAAAAGATACTCGAGTTGGAACCTTTCAATGATGCGAGCAGGCGTGCACCAGCCCGCAGGTGCTGTATAGCTTCGGTGTATTGTCCTCGTAGGTTTTCGAAGCAGATAAACAAGAGGCAGCAGATGAGTGTCGCCTGTATGTTGGTTGTCGTTGGCTGAGACATGAGAGGCTGAATGTGGCGAATGGCAAGATTATAGTGTAGTATAATAAATCGCTCGTTATCTCTTTGCGCGACCCCCGCTATCTTTCTTCCTCGTAATAGGAAATCTTTATGAGCGGCTCCTAGGGCAATCAAAGCATGGCGTATGCCCTCGACTTGCAAACCATATAGAGGTAAATATTGACTCCAGAAGCTCGTGTTCAGGATTGAGTCTGCGAGATCTGGCATTGTGTAGAGCATTGCATGATGAAGAAACAAGTTTTCAAGATGTGATGGATTGCCATGTGTTGAAAGACGAAAACAGGGGATAGAGTGGCTGAAATGAGGTGTTGTTCTCTTCTGAGAGATGACTTGTCCTTCTCGAAACTGATCGTAGCCATCGCATTTTATCTGGTCTTTTTGACATCGGTGGCAGATTGGTTTTGCCTCATCACACTTGAGGTGGCGTACCCTAGAGGTCTAATCAATGTATGACAGACAGGCGTCTCCATCCGGACGAACTCACTTGCTGAATATAAAGATGTTAGCGTTTTAGGTCTCAGTATAGCCTCGGAACCGTTCCGAGGCTTGTAGGGTCAACCAACCAGGTTTTACATCCGGTCCGTACCTTGGTGACGCGGGCCCGGGTTCGTCTACGAGGGAGTGAGACTTCTTGATTGTCGCGGTCTTGCACCTCCTGATTTCGATTCACTGTTCTTGCCATTGTCGTGGGCAAGTCTACAGGTCTGTGAATTTACATTCTGACTGCCATGGCGAATAAGTTAAGCTTTTTAAGATCTCGGCATGTGCATAGCCACAATCCCTCCGTTGACAGGCTTATTCAGAGGCTTATTTAGCGCAGGGAGAACCATTATTAGCTTAAATGACTCTGCCAGTGGACTTTGAACTTTTTGTTTCGACCTCGTCTCAACTACGATGTACGAGCACTGCCCACAAATACTTGATCTTACATTGTTAGCGTCATGCAAATTACAGCCATTTATTGCAGAGGACTTGAGGCTGAGGCCGGCCCCTAGCAACTCTCCAACGCCGAATCATTCGGACAGCTCGAGGCGCGCTCCACGGTCGCCGCGGACACCGACGCAATCCATTCCGTCCTGATGGAACGTCCTTATACGATGTATTATGCAAAGCCCTTACATAAAGCTCTGTTTCCCGCATGAAGTCTTACTCCAATTTGCAACACAATCCATATGCTCATATTGCACGGATGACTGGAATATCATATTCGCAGAAGGTCGCAGCCCTAGGGCTGACTGCTTTACTCTGCATCTCCTTTTTGTACAGACTTTGAAACCCAGATGACATGAGTTCTGCTACCTCAACCTCAGCATTAACAAATTCCAGTACAAGTTTTCAATACGACATCAACAATAGGATTCTATGCTCAACTCCACCACTAGCCTGGCTGGTCCCACATGGATTTGTACCATCAAACTCAACTTGAAGTAAAGCCATGAAGCAGTGTCTGTATCTGTTCATACAATTGACACGAACATGAGTGAATGACATTCTTCTATCTCTGTGGATCAAAACCCGCCTATGGCCCTCGAGCTCATTAAATAGTGATCAGCTAGCAGCATACTCCATCGTCAAATCCGAATTGGGACACTCATGCGACAATTGGGGCCAGGGACAGACTCCGAGGGGGAGGAATACCAAGTGTGGAGTATCTACTAGGTTAGTAGTGGTATTGGGTTTCACCACAAGCCGGGACGACTCTGTACAAGTAGTCGTGATGAAGAAGATGCCTCTTTCGGGAGACGACAATACCGGATGTGGGAACCGAGCTCTAGTTGTCATGTGAGATTCCATGAGAGAAGGCGAGTTGGTTCTAGTCCACGAACGAAACCATACTGATCAAGCAACGAGTTGGGCCAGGCATGTTAAGCACAGTAGTTATGTGCTGGCACGACGAAGTCATTTGAAGCGACATGTCATTGAACCATCTCTTCGCTATGCGCTCGCGCTCAAGATATTCGCTATCCCGGTAGCAAAGAAAATAACGGCAGTGCTCCAAATCATCGCTGAATTAGCGGCTAATGATTTCTGGGTTGTCTCTTTTCGACTACGTGATTGAAGGCAACAATGTAAAGTATGAGAACAAATACAGGATCCAGCGGTAGCAATGGCATCGTACGTACTACACAGTGGAATTGTTGTGGAAGTGCTGCATTAAGATTTCAGGTGACATGTAGCGACGAATTAGTGAACAGGCTGACCCACGCGGTCTATGAAGACAGGCCATGATTTATTGTAACATGCACATTGCACGACGATGGACTGGGTTGGTAGATTTTAGATATTGCGCAAACTTCTGCCTATCATACACGAGCCTAAATATCATATTCGCAAATCCTATTTTCTGAGCAGCTGACTTTCCTGTAGGGGATATTCCCTCACTCAATTGGCTCGCCAGAGATGACGATAGCAGGTGTGGGCGGTGGGGGACTTGACATGACGACAGCGCTATCTCTTCGCCTGACTACGCCCATATCTACGAGAATCTTGACCTGAGTATCCTTTTCCTCAATTAATGCGCGAAAGCCTTCATTTTCCACGTCTTCGATCCCGATCATTTTCGTGATCATTGAGCCTGGTTTGATTTTGCCTGCGTCAATTGCTCTGAGCACGTGCCCAAAGTCTTCGTTGCTGTATGTCGCGCATCCCATGTAAGCCCGTTCCCTGAATGTGAGTGAGTTCATCTCTAACGTTGCTCTCTTCTCCCAGACCGCGATGTTGACGACGGTTCCACCCGCACGTAGGCAGCGCATTGCCTCGTCCAAGCCTGACTGAACTCCTGCAGCGTCGAGCACCACATCGCAGCCTCTATTGTTGGTTAACCTCATAACCTCGGCAACCAAATCCTTTTCGAGCGGATTGATGACATGACGTGCCCCAAAGTTTCGAGCGAACTGCTGCCGTGTGATTGAAGGTTCCGAAACAATGATAAGTGGCGATGTCTGTGAAGAGTCGGACTGTGCACGGATTGCCTGTATGACTGATAGTCCAATCGGCCCTCCACCCAACACTAGTATAGGCGTGTCTGGATGAATCGGATGCGCGATTGGGGCGATGGTCACAGCATGGTATCCGACGGCCAGTGGCTCAACCAGAGCTTATCGATCATTCAGCTACGCCTCGAGCATCACAAGTAGATCAGCTTACCTCCGTATTCCAACGACACTTTGGCCGGCAACTTCCACACCGCGGACCTTGGTACAACTGTATGTTCTGCTAGTCCTCCTCCCCAGCCTGATTTTGTCATCGGTTGCCATATTCGTATTGGTTGTGTAAAAAATACTTACCACTCAATCCGATAAAACCGTTTCTAGTGCACGCGTTATGTAAGTTGCGCTGGCATGAATAACATTCGTTGCAGTAGATTGTAGGTTGGATGCAAACACGGTCGCCCGGGCACAAGTCAGTGATATCACCAGCTACTTCTTCAACAATACCGCTGAACTCGTGGCCCAACGTCACAGGTGATGTCTCTTTTGTGATGACATGTGGATGACCTGGTTTGGGAATCAAGTTGTTGCCTCCTAGATACTCGTGTAGGTCAGTCCCGCAGATGCCAACATAAGCAGGCTTGATCTGTATTTGTGGTAAGCAATTTGGCACAAAACAAAGAAGAGTCTCGACCCTGACTTTGACCCATCCTGGTTGCACGACCGGCTCGTCGATCTGTTCGAGACGGATATCTCGTTTCCCGTGAAATCGGAGGGCTTTCATCGTATTGAGAGCTCTGGCAACTTTCAGCGTCGGACTTCTGGCCTAATCAGAGCCAATGTCCGTAGCTATTGGAAACGTGAAAATTTGACGACATAGGACTCTCACTCGTGGTTCCTGCAGTTTTAAAGACAACCCTGTTGCTAACAAAACATTCCCTCAACAGTGCCAACACCCCCGCAAACACTCGGCATCGCCGACTACCCCGCGGGGAAGTGTATTATAGAATGCGGAGTTCTACACCACAAGACTAGCTGGCCAGATAGATGTGAACGATCGGCAGTTTGCGGCAATGATTGAGAACCAGCGGCATTTTAGCGTGCAATTGACTTTCAGCCAAACAGGTCATGGGTTGAATACATCCCTGCTTACCGAGTTCTGGATAGGAGAAGGACAACTAATAGATGTTTGATGAAATGCCTAACATAGTAAACCCCGATAAGGTATCCAACGAGCAACAACAAGCTGCCAAAGAGGACAGCGAATCTTCTGTAGCTGTTCAGCATTGTTTCACGATAAAGTCAACACTAGGTATAAACAAACTGCATTGCCGCATTTACATCATTCACATTCTCCGATCAACTCTCAAAAGACATGATTTAACCCCATATTTCGTGTTATTATCTTATGCTGACCCCTTCAGCCCTGTCACTAGTTTGTTCATAATCTCATGACAGATACTTTATATAAGACTGCGCCTCATACCTTAGAGTGACATCATGGACTCCCTCATCTATAAACTTTGTTGTAGTAGACGTGCCTAGATATTCTCATCACAAGCTGTGAATACCAGTCTGGCATGTCGTATCCGATTTCTTCCTTACAAGTTGGTGCTGTTGATAGTTGTAGGGAAGGCAGTGTTGACTGCGCCAGTAGGCTCAGGACCTTGAGAATCAGTTTCATCGAACCGAGCGTCATAGGCATCATTAATATCGTTAGCAGATCGGGGGGTCTTGGCTGCGAATCCCAAAGTAGAGCCTATTGTACTATTACCATGCAGAGACTGGTCGGTGGCATTAGAATTGGGAATGTGGGTATAATCATGTGAGTTGTATGAGCCAGACTGCGATGTAGAGAGTGTGTCAGAAACTCTGTTCGTGTTGGAAATCAAGTCATTGAGGCTACTGTCTTGGGTGTTGTAGCGCGAACTAGCATTGTTACTATTTCGGGTAGTGTCTTGTAGGGAAGATCGAGTGTCTTGCAAGTCGCGGTTGATGGAGCTGTCGGTGACCCGAGGGAGGTCCTTGACGGTCGAAGGGTGGGACCCGGACAATTCTAATCCTCTACCAGTACCATGACTGGAGGAACCAACGCTCTCTTTCCCGCTCTGCACTGTATCTCCGGTGCGGCGAGTGGCGCTCTGTTCGGTATCTCGTGCGTAACCGGTTGCGCTCTGAGCGGTGCCTTGTGCGTTACCAGCGGCTCGTTTGGCCTGTTTCTTTGCAGATTGGATATTGCTTCCAGCAGTGTCAAGGGAGCGTCGACCAACGTCCGTGACGGTATCTCGTGCTTTGGATGAAAATGCTGCGGCCTGATTCGCACCATCTTGAGCGATTTGCTTTCCGCTTTGGGCAGCTGTATTGGCAATTTCTCCAGCGCGTGCGCTTGCATCAAGGGCGGCTTCACGGCCACGGGGAGATGTAAGAAGAGTTGCCAAATAGACCGAGGTCAAACCAATTACAGACAGTCCAAACGGTGATACAACCTTGATGAGCCAATAAAGTGCAGTGGAACCAACGAAGGCCTACAGAGGATTAATAAATAGTCGGTAACTGCACCAATGGCTACTAAACTTACCGCGAAAGTCTTGTTCAGGTCTTCGCCGAGAACAATCCTCTGAACTTGAACAACGGCATACTGGACGAAGTCGTGGACATCTTTTAACGTTGCGTTAAGAGTGTCTTCCGGGATGCGCTTGTACTCTCGAGGTGCAAGACGACCAGCGGTTTTGGTGTTGAATGATCGGGTCACGAATGAAGCAACAGACATAACTTGATCTCAAGATTAAAATCTTCAATATACGTAGAAGAGGGATCAAGGATGACATACTTCCAAATACGATAGCACTCGCCTTCAAAGCCAGTTGCGTAAGCGGAAAGTAGTGAAGACCAGAGAGGAAAGCAAGAGCACCGATGTATGAACTAATAGTTCGTGAAGGTTCTTCCCACTGATAATTGGTGAACAAATGGCCCGATAGTAAGCTTGCAGGAGCAGAAACTAACATTGATATACTTGTACAAGCTGTCAGTCTTACCAATGGCCTGCTTCAGTGGTCCGGCCTTCCCTTGTATACCATAATCAGCGTTGGAATGGAGCTGGCTTCTGTGGTCAATAATGTCCTGGCGGTGAAGATACTCCTTGCGGGATAAGTTGTCCTGGCCGTTGATACCGTCGCGCTGACTGGCAATAGCTTGAGCAGCTGCGAATCACAATATAAGCATTTGATACATTGATTTGGGGGAGCTGTAAAACTCTACCCTGGACGGCGCCTTGCCGAGAACCACCAGCGCCAATCGGCGCAACAACATAGGCTGTGTCGCACATTACGGCAACCGTGATTTCAGAGGTCGTCTAGAAATATTTTGATTATGAATGATATTAAAAGCCTAACACATAGGAGTTGAAAGCGGAGTTTGAGAAGGAATATTTTGTATTGTATCAGAAATGGCCGGCAATATGTATGATACCTACTGCTGTGTGACCTAGTCTAAGGTGAATCAAGTGCGCCATACGTGTTGTCGTTTTCGTGATGTATGCTTGCGGCTTAATGACGTCTATGTTGTGACGTCAATTGATGGTTTGCTTGGGCCCAATGCATCAAAGGAAGCCCTCAGAGTTACGACGGAACTCTTCAACTATATTAGGGCGTTTTTGCGTTTCGTGATCGTAATTCATATGTCATCCACGAAGCTATGGGGTATGTCTTACACAGCCCGCCGCGTACACAATCGGAGCTAATGCTCCATCGTGGCTTTGACATGCCAGTCCGGCCAGTAATCCTGCAAGATACCCAAGCAGGAACTCAAAGGAGCGTAACTGAGAAAGCATGAGAGGGAGAACCCAACCAATTTGATATTGTCTTGCCAGCAGTCGCGATTCGAGTCTGGCTGACACCGCTTTATGAGCTAGTCTAGATGCCCGTTAAGGACCGGCACGGATAGGCGGCATGCTTAGGTTCAGTTAGCACAAAAAGCAAGACACTAAGTGGCAAAGCTGGAGGCTCTCATATTCGTCATGGCTGTTAATCCGCACGAGAGAGACATTGACAAGCTGAGGGAGGACCTTCGTCATTGCATGGATGGGGGGACATGACCGTCTTGGAAGACTGACAATTTTACTTGTACGACAAGGCAAAGTGCAAAGTGAAAACATGTACAGTAGTCTAGAGTGTAAGGGCACAAAACTCCAAGTGGGCTATGTTCCAATTGTTGCAGCCGTTTAAAGATCGTATTTATGCCCATGGCTGGGATTGCCTCGTAGCTCTATGAATATCACATCATGTTGTGCACGACAGGTGTGGCCGACGACGCGGTGTAGTAATGGATATTTAGGATCCACTGGTGTGAGACGAAAGCGACAATCGCTCTCTTTTCCATTTTCTCTTCCGGTTCCAGGGTGGATCGATTAGTGGTGGGCAACCAGGCAGTATTTGGGGCGTTGGATATCACAATTCGACTTATTGGGACTGAAGTCAGACGTTAGACAAACGCTCTGTCGCAAGTACATAACCACATGCAACAAAATTGTGAGCAACACTCGTATCTCGACGCGCCTGGCTTTCCTGTCTCGAGAGACGATGATTCGGCAGATTCGAGTTCATGGCTGCTGTTGGACCATCGCGTTGCAAAGGTACAATATGATGGAGAGTTGGGAGGTGTAATTGAACGTCATCGGACGGTAACGAACTTGGGGTGAAGTCATAGGAAATGCGTCGAAGGGCAAGGTTAGAAGTTCTTCAGATACACAAAAATCTGCGGGGCTGTTCACCCCTCAAGCCCCTCAGCCGTGCCTGTGGCCCGCAACGAAGACTCGCCCCTGTCCGTAACACTCCACATTATTTTATTTGATGCCTCAATCCGGCCGTCAGCATTCAACATGTTGTAATCACCTAGGAGAACGCCAAGATTTGTAAATGTGCTGCAGATTCTGCATTTCTCATTTGAAGATGTCAAACATGCAAGGATACGTATTTTCCCTACCGTCTTACGATGTCGTTGTCGCATTGGAGCTAGCGAGCTCAGCCAGAATAACATCTGCTGCCTTTTCGCCAACCATGTATGTCGAAACCGCAGTGAAAGTACCCGGGATGCGAGGGTAAACCGACGCATCAACAACACGCAGGCCGCTCACACCACGGACACGGAAGCTCGAGTCCAGAACCGCGTATTCGTCATCGTCGGTGCCAATCGGGCAAGTAGATGACGCATGGTGACCCCAAGTTCCGTCTTTCGCATACTGCTTTATTTCCTCCTCAGTCGCAGTGGTGTTGCCTGGCAAAGATTCGACCGTCGGTACAAGCTGGCGATCGAAAGCATCTCTGGCGAGTTCGATCGCCTCGTAGATGGCTTGAAGATCCTCGTCACCACCAGTCTGGAAGTAGTTGAAGATGATGTCGGGCATGTCAAGGGGGTCTGCACTGCGCAACGTCACACTGCCTGCCCTGTTGCGGGGGTGAGCCTTAAGGATCGCCCAGGAGAACCAGTCATGGAGCTTGGTCGCGTTGTAGCTGTAATCGGGGAAGTAGCCACGGAAGTTAACAGGGCCGCCAAAGACGAAGACATCAAAGTTATCGTTCTCGGCGACACTGCTCTTGTACAGCATGGTGGCGGCGAGGCCAGCTGAAGCGTAGGTACCGTGGTCACCGAGAACGGGGTTGTTCCACCTATCAAGGCATGCATCGGCTTCGCCGTCGAAACTCCATGTGCAACCTTCAAAGGCGGTCCAGTTGGTAGGTACCTTAGCGTTCACAGAGATTTCGTAGTGATCTTGCAGGTTGGTACCAACACCAGGAAGATCAGAGACAACCTCAATGCCGAACGACTCGAGCTCGTCGCGTGGACCGACGCCGGACAGCTTCAGAAGCTGAGGTGAGTTGTAGACACCGCCAGCCACGATCACTTCCCGCGATGCTGTGGCAGATCCAGCAGTACCAGTGGCACCATCACTCAAGGGACTGGCGCTATAGAGGTGAGCACCATCTAAAAACTCGACTCCCGTAGTAGTGGGTGGCGTTGTGCTATTGTCAAACACGACTTTGGTGACGTGACAGTTAAGTCTTACGTCTAGGGGGTACATCTTGGTTCCATCGTCATTGACAGCATCACGCACAGCGACAACGAACTCACGCGAGCCGGTACGAGATGCATCGTTGGTACTCAGGGGGATCTGATAATATCCAGGTTCCTGATCGCGAGCCAGTGTATCAGCGTTGGCATCGCCGGTAAGAAGTTCGGTCACATATTCCAGGCCTCCGGTCAGGTTTCCGAGGGCATAGGCACCACCAGTCAACACAGAAAGCAAGTTTGTATCGCCAAGTACGATGCTCAAAGGTGGCGTTTCTGTCTCGAGCCAACCGTTGTAACCGTGGCCCTCGATCCCGGCCGTGAGGTACTGGTTCTTCTCCAACTTCTCAAAGTAGGTGCGCATGTTGGAAGGCGACCACGAAGAGTCACCGGTCAAGTTGGCAATGTACTCGAAGTCAGACTGGTGAGGATACACTGCGATGAGGGCATTGTGGGCTGTACAGCCGCCAAGGGTTCCGGTCCGCGGATAAAGTGTGCCCTTCATAGTGGATCCTTCGGGAGGTTCAAGACCAGTGTAGACGCCTCCATCGACAGTGTCGTAGCTCGTCTTCCAGTCTCGAGCTTGTTGCTCGTCGTCGGCGTAATGGCGGACAAAGAAATTCCATGCAACTTTCTCGTCCTCGGAGACTTTGGCGTTGTAGGCTGGCACAGTGTAGTTGACATTGGTGCCTTGATCGTCTCCAGCCTCGATGAGGAGGGTCTTGTGTCCGGCCAGAGCTAGGCGAGCAGCTACAGGGCCACCGCCAGCACCGGAGCCAACAACAACATACTCGTAACCGGTGAGGTCTTCGGCTTGTGCGAGCCAGGAAGAAGTGGCCGCTAGGCCAACAAGAAGATTGAAACGCATGGCTAATGAATGTCGATGGTCGGTTGCCGTGCAGTAAAGGAACGACTGCAGATGTTCATCGCTCGGACAACTCGTGGCAGCGACATCCTTATGAACCCCTCACGCAGTACTATCCTCCCCTGAAGCCAAGATTCATGCTCCTCTACGATCCTGCGCATCATGATATTTGGTGACCCCTGATCATGCTCCAGAATGTGGCCCAGAGTCGACACTCGGTTCGCCTAGAATGGCACAGCACGCGGCGACAGGGTCTCATTGTATGCACATGAGGTTACATTTAGCGATTCAGACCGAGGCAGATCGATGACTGCGTATGCTCTCGTAAAGTGCCGTGGATCATCATCTAGATGTTTAGAACTCGACATTCGGTATGCAAGTATATGCCCCTCAATGCCGAGTGTGGTGGGCCGAGACCCCGGCTCCTCCTTGGCCCCCAACGGAGATTATAGACTAATGCGGGATGGTTCACATGAACCCTGTCCTTGCTAGCAAGCCAATGAGCTGCACCTGCGTGCGCAGCAACTGTCGGCATTGCTGCCGACGAGGTCATATCCCGGAAAAGGTCATATGAGCGTATTCCACTTTATGCATGCAACGCCCTGCAAGTATTGACCTCGACGGTGAATGCAGCATTGATCGGCAATTTTATGTGGAATTGCTAATGACAACGGGAATGCGTCTCGTCGATTCTGTGGAATCCTCGTTCCTCGTAGTGCTCATCTAATGCCCTCTACGTTGTATCGAATTTTCAGGATTGGAATAGTTCGCTAAACTATTGATGGCGCGTACCCACGATAGACTATCATGGTAGCTGCCAAATTGGAAACTGGGGTCTCTCAAGGCTTTTATACGCTAATGTACACCAAGGAATCCCGGTTGAGCCCCCTAACAATGCATAGCACGTTGCGGGCGGCTCCCAGGGTCGCGATGACTATCAAAATCTGATCACTACGATATGTGACGGGAATACTGGAGACCTCCTACGCAATGTCAAAAGAAAGCATGGCTGATTCTATGAACATTCTTGGAGTTACGCAATAATGTGCCTGTCAGTGGCCCACGTTACCACTGTTTGTCGCAAACGCAATCTCCTTGTCCATGTCTATGTAGTGGGATTTTCTCTTAGTCGCTATGGCAGAACTGAATGCTACAACGAGGCGAAGGTAGTACGGAGTTCTTTGCTGCAGAGTCAGAAGTACCCTTGAATACCACCATGGCTTTCCCGGGTGCCTTTCAAATATTATGATCCTGCTTTGAAACTCTATAACCCGGATTGGAGAGCCCTCATGGATTCGACGGCCCCTTGAGTATCACCATGCGGCCGAATCGTATTAGCTATTTACGAAGTAGTATCACAATACCTAAATCAGACGCGGTGGATGTGATCGTTATTTCGTCGAAGTTGTCGCTCGGTTCTGGGCCGCAGTTTTACAAGTGCCGGAATTTGGTGAGGGGATATATTGACCACAACATGTGCTGGTATGAGCTGCAAACCGATGAGGCTTCGACTAGTCTAGTGCAACTCTTAGGTAACTCGCCATCTATATTTATCACTACCCCCGGCGCTTGGTTCAAGTGGGTGTGTATGGATTATATATTCGTACTCAAAACATAATTGTACCGTCGTACCATAATTCTACCTATGGCCAAGAGTGTAAAACTTAGAGTACGTAGTCTTGACATTTAAATATATTGAATCATTCTACCATGCTTCATTTGGATATTACGGGTTTTCACTATAACTGACTGTATAAAACGCTACGATATTTCATATCCGAATGAAACGAGACCTATACAATCCCATATTAATACAGAAAATTGAACATTTGAATTGTAATCTACCAAACAAACCTTTCCAATAAAGACTGTACGGAGTCAAAGTGTTCTAACTGCTCAAAGTTTACGAAGACCTTGCTTTAAGGTTACTGATGCGAAACACCTTATCGTCTTTAATGAATATGGAAAGCCCCGATGAGATGTACCATAATCGCCTCAGCCCTAGTATTAGACTTTTCGCTTTTCAACAGAAGATAAAATACCAAGTCTTTCATATGACCGTATTTGTTCATATGAGAAGGCAGTCGTGCTTTTCCTTTGCTTCTAATGTAAATATTCCGAAGTAACGATCCTAAAAGGCTAAAAAATGACCTTAAATGCGGTTCGGTAACAACTGAGCTGATTTTTGACGTGGATAGAAAAGATTGTTAAATCGATCTTTAGGGGAAACTGATCTCAAATAGAGCGACGAGCGCCCATTTCTTTATTGATTTGTACCATTGTTTCAATGATTAAACCCATGATATCGATGGCCATACTTCAATCCGTCGGAGATGCGATTCTCGACGTAGAAGAAGATTTAGAGCCAGGACTGCACCCAGTCCGTCTTGCCTCTTTGTTTCCTCCTAGAATTCTTTGCATATAGTGTCGGGCACTGTTGGGCGGGCAAGGTCCTCAAGCTACTAAGAAAGTATTCTAGAAGATTTTATATACAAGCGCACATACGCTCCGCTTGGAATTGACAAGGTTATAATTTGCCCTGAAAAAAAATAGGGAATGAAGGAAAGAATGGCTTATATTGACATGTTGAACAACGAAGGGGAGCCGCCAGCTGTGGATGCTCATGTATTCGAAATCCCCTCTGGGTAACTGATTATCTTTGTGGCGGTGGTCTCTTCGCCTCCCTCACGTGATATCAGACCATTATTCCTTCAGTTCGCTCTTGTAGTCAGCGCCTTTCACAGAGCTTGTCTGACCTTAGCTCAGTAAGTTTTGGCCCGGAACAGCCTTATGGACTCGAGTCATAAGTCCAGTGTGGCTATTGATCATGACACTGGTATATGTAGTATAGCCATGTGCTAGATCATCTGGCCCTTATACACTGCAGTAGTGGCACTGCAGGAGAAAATTCAATGGGATGTATTCGTGGCGGTTGATAGAATCGCAAAACAAATTTCGACAGACTGAAACTAATAGCCATTTAACTCATCACAACCAAAAACGCAGAAAAGGTTTAATGGCCAATTCGTTAATTTCACTCAACAAGACTATTCAAAATCTGCAACTCAAATTCTAGAGATCAAATCCTCCATGTTACCCCGGTGTATACGTCCCAAGCTTACCCAGCCATCTCCGATGAATTCCTTGACATTGGTCCCGCACCATTTATGGTACTCACTCGCCCTCCCCGAACCTCCATCCTCGACAGACCTTAGTGCTAGAATAGGACAAGATCTTCTCGCTGTCCAGGATGCCATCTTCCATTACAGATGGCGTAACGGCCTGCTACACTATCCTTGATCGTGACAGAATCGGAGAAGGCCATCCACAGCTGTCTCGTCCCCATGAACAGGATCGTGGAGAGTGGGCCAAAGAATATAGTAAAGCATGCTAACTGTAATTCGCCAAATATTGGTAACGTAATTGCCTAGATTCCCTGTTATATGGATAATTCCTACCTCTTTAGCTCAGGGGCGTGCGAGCCCGGATGCCAAAATCCAATTTGTAGTCATGGATGAGGAATATAACTCATTCTCCTCTTGGACACTTGTTGGATCCTGTAAGAATTTCGTTTATATGCCGCTTTTGGTGACCCCATCTTAACAAGGAAGGAGGCTAGCCAAACAACGCGTATAGTATCCTTCGGGTTGGTCTTGGCCGTCCTGGACAATATTGGCGTAAGAAGTTATGTCAACAAATACGCTCCAAGGGACTTGATTGCAAAGTGGTACTCATGTCCCTTGCGGCTCCAGTGATCGTTCTTCAGAGCACTGGTGCCTGCGTTGCTGAACAAGACGTCGGGTCTTCCATTTGGTCTCTCTAGCCGTAAAGACCGCCGTATAGCGGCCTTGAACGTTAAAAGTCCAAAAGATCGTGTAAAGGAATATCATGTTACCTGTGAATTTCCTTATATCGCAGTAGTGGGCTTCTATTCGAGCAATAGCTTCATCTAAATGTTGCTTGGATCATATGAGAATGTAAACTCTGCTACCAGCGCCGTAGAGAATGCGCGAAAGTTCATAGCCCAGACCGGATAACTCATCGGTCACGATGAATACTTTGCCAGCCTGTTTCGGTAGGCTGTTTTCTGTGGGCGGCGCGCCGTTGCGAGGAGTGAAGAACTGTGTCCAAGTCGTACTGAGGGACATGCTGATCGAAGAATACACGTCACGTAGGTTGCTGGGATTTTGAGTCTCGAGAACCACGCACCGCAAATTTGATGTGGAATGGGCTCAGCTCGTTGCATAAGTTAAGTCTTTTTGCCCTGGGATGCAAAGTTATTAGGGCACAGCACTTTCCACATTTGCATGTAAACACTAATGCGCTGGGTTTAGGCAGGTTGTACTTGTCGCCTTTCACCCTCGCCAGCCTGCAGCCCGTAGTTGGCTCATCTCTCCTCCCCCGTTCTTTCCATGCAGTATTGATACATTTGCAGGTTACAGAGTATCAAGTGGTGGAAACCCATGAAAAGACCTGCAAATACTATACCCTTTGAATGACAGGTTGTCTAAGTATTGGCCTGATCACTTGGGGGACCGACTCTTATAAATGCATGTACGAAAGCATGTATGTCCCTGAATACAACGCAGTGTTACACATTTGATGCCTTGGTGCCCCGTCTGTGGCTTTACAAGACTGTACATGAGCATCACACTTGGGGGCAATCCATTGCAGGTAGAAAATCAAATGACTCTATGATCCATGACCGAGAGAATGAACATGATGGAAGTGGTGTGCATAGCAAACTTTTGGCCCTACCTTAGGGCATGCGAAGTCGTCGGGCGAAAGAAAACCGTCCGGTCTGAGTCTTTCCGCCTTGACACGCTTAGCAGTCCAAGCCGAACGACTACAAATCGCATCAAAGTCTTGAAGAAACTTTATCAGTTGCTTGATATGGGGTGGCAGTAGTGATATCGCTAAATGCTCGAACTATTACGGGACTTCTGACAAGGCGGCTCGAAGGTCTGCCTCGACCAAAAGTGGACTTGAAGTATTGCCTGGCTTTACCTCAGGTCCCGAGAGCACAGCCTTGCCGATCTCATGTCATCCGCCGTATTGATACCTGACCCTCGGATTGATTAATGTCTCGCACTACATATTGCTTAAGGCATGCATGCATACTGGCCCGGACAATAACTACAACCATTACAGCAAGGAGTATATCCCAAGAAGAATTACCACCGGTATCGTTGAGAATATCAACGAGTCGCTGTTCGACTTCATGGCACTAGAAGTAGGCTCAACCAAGAGCAAGACCTTCGGATTGGCAGATTGTATTATCTCCACAGATCTGACTACATAGTAACACCGAGTGGGTGTCTCGTCGGATACTAGGATGCATAGCTATGGAAAGATAGCTCCTCACGTGATACCTATGTTGCCAAGCAGAAGACTTGCATTCCCAAGCAAGCCTGGCAAGGGGCATGTCAAAGGGCGTGGCGCGCATGAGTCTTCTCAAGCCTGTTCTCCCTTAATTGTCGTGAAGGACTATCCCGTACTATTACGATGCTTATCAGAAGAGGTTGAAGCGCGTTGTTGGGATTTCAATGGGTTTTGGATAGACTTTTCATAGTGTTTCGACATGTAATGTTGTCCATGCAAGAGAGTTCGCCAATCACTGCTTTTTAGGAAAACTTTGTAGGAAGCCTCATCTGCTTAGTAGCCGTCGCAGTGGAGATTGACGTACAGTTTCTTGCGACTGCGATACTATTTTGGGGTCTTTGAACTGGTGCCAATGCACTTCAATTTGTGTCTTCTCGCCATTGCCCTTTCAAGTTAGATCCATGACCAAGCATGGGAGTAGAAACCTTGGGTGAGCCTCTTTTCGGCTTTGCTGATGTCTATCAAGAATTCTCGAAATGATGAACGTCGTGCTATATTTCCCCCTCTCTGACAGTCCATATGACCAACTCGATATGTAGGCAAGAATTAAATTTCAAATCGAAATTGGAACCTAGAAGCTAAAGTATTTAGACGAAGTTCGTAGCGGATACTAAGTAGAGTTTAGTTCGTCGAACCACATCCAATTCAATGATCTACAAGAGTGATCGTTGACTTTGCCGAAGGTCCGGCTGAGTTTTGCCGAGTGTCCGCCTCACTTTGAATAAGCTCCGTCCAATGACCTTACAGTAAATGAACATAGATAAAGTTTTAATATACTCGAATATATTTAATACAGCCGCTTTTATACAGCCGCTTTTATGGATATGGAGGAGTTTCAAGGAGGCTTTGCAACTCTATGCGCCTTGAAAGCTGTTGATGAACGGACGTGTCTGCGATTACCCATCCGCAACTGGGCATACAAGAGATGTGTTACACTTGCAATGCGTATACGAGCTCTATGTCAGGACCGTAAGAGAATTACTCCGTATCCGGCCTTGAATTTTTACATGGTCGCTTAGAACATTCGATAGAATGCTATAGCCAATCAAAACCCCCGCGGTCTTGCAATTCCACCTAGTCTAGGTACTGGATTCCACGACAACCCTTCTAATATTTACAGTGTTCGCTGTTGAAAAGTCTATCACGACAGAATTTCTTTGGTTCGCTATGCTATTACGTGCGAGGTTAGGGGGCCTGCGGCTCTTTTACCAATGCGGCGGCGGAGATATGCCGACAGCGTGCTGTAAGATCCATAATTGATTGTTGCATTCATAAAGTACCGATCAGCTGGTCATACCATCATTACACACCAATCTAAGTATAGCTAAGGACTCGGTCATTGCGAGAGATTTAGTCCGTCGAGATCCATGCGGGCAAACCCTGATTCGTCTCCAGACTATGGCGTGCAAATCTACAGAATTCACGGGACCTGTCATCATCAAGAGGACTAGGTACTGAGGTTCCTGCAACCTGGTGTGTCAGTGCCGTAGAATTGGGTGGTGTGGGTATAGCTTCGGGTGATTGAGTGCATGCATCCTGCAATGTACAACACGTGCTGTGGAACCAAGGTAACGCGTGGTGCCTTCGCAGACTTACAGGGCCACCACTCCTCGCTTCCAGCTCTCGCTTATCTATGGAATGCGGTCCTTATCTACTACTAGAAAACTTATGTGGGTTCCCTCGAGATTCTCTAATTCTTTCTCTACAAACATTGACCAAAACCTCAAGTGCTGTTCTAAAGTCGTAGTGTCAATATGGACGTGCATTGTCTCTTGGAGGAGGAGATAAAATACCAAATAGGTAGATCCACTCCGTGGCAAATCTTGCCAACATAATAATAGTCGAAAGTGATTTGTGAGTCGTGAAGCAACTGGCATTGATCTGAGTCCTTCCGAGTGGAGCTTCGGAGTATTTACGCAAAGAAGCGCTGGGAAAGCCGATACATTAGCTTTGTTGGCTCGAAAGCATGTCATAAAGGATATTGGCTGTACTGCGCACTGCTCTCACTAGATCCAACAACCTCTCATTGTTGGAAGATAAGATCGTGTATAGCCAGCATCGCAATCGGAATCTTACTGTCACTATTCGAAACTTGTCTGCTTACTTCATGATGAGCAGTGTAATATACGCCGCATAACACAATACTAAAGCATGCACAATTAAGAAACAGTTTATTCCCAGGCACAACGAATGCAGGTTTTGCGAAACTTGAGATTGTTGAGTGGACATGGGCGTGGGAGCTAAAGTCTCCGAACCAAGCGGAAAGTGTGGATGATGCCATATCTTGATTTTGGTACGGAGTATGTGTGCTGCCTTATCGAACCCCTGGGAGGCGGATGAGAAGGTCATCCCATGCTAGGCGATTAACCTAACCTAGCCAATAGGCATGGCGGTCTGTTGAGCCTCATATGATATCCAGCCGCCGCGACTCGGCTCTCGTCAAGAAGACTGGCAGATATAACGTATTCTATGTGAAACGGCGGCGGATGCACCTGGTGACCCAAATCTTAATTTAACCTTACAGCGCTTGGTGCATTTGGGATCGATTCACCTGACAAAAGATGTCAGGGGCTGGCTATCTCCACTGAACAAGCTCTATTGAGTTAGGCGTGAGGCCGGCATGTCAGCTAGACCAAGCCATTTCCACAAATCAAAATAAGCTTTTTATTCAAGCTAATGCCAAGAATCCCAGCAAGATTCGGTAGTCCCCGAGTTTTGTCTTGAACTGTCCAATGCCGTGATCCGATTCCTGATAATATCCTAGTCTTCTGGAACGAGGGATGGATACGGCAAGCATCCACTGAACCTCGTGTGCTTGGCCTAGAGAGAAACGCCCGTTTACCATCACCTTTCGAATTGATTGCAAGGACTCCATGACGGAAATTGAAAATTCCATCATGGCCAGAGGCTACAGCCCGGGGTGTAGATACTGCCGTAGGTATAAGATGGGTTGCTAAGTACGTCAAAGTCTTGGTTTTCTTGGATCATCCAGAACTACAACGACTGCTCAGCGAGCTTTACATTCTTTTAAACATCTGTCACTCTTTCATTCTACACTTGAACCCACGTGCTCACGTCATTCCCCTCGATTTCATTCGCTTCCATTCAATTCCCTAGTGCAATCATGCTCGGTTCTGTCTCCGCCGCCCTTGGCCTTTTGGCCACCACAGCCATGGCTGCTCCCGCCGTTCTTGACGAGCGTGCTAGCTGCACCTTCACCGATTCCGCTAGCGCCATCAAGGGCAAGGCCAGCTGCACTAACATCATCTTGAACGGTATCACCGTCCCTGCTGGCAGCACTCTCGACATGACCGGTCTCAAGACTGGCACTACTGTATGTGAATGATGTCCACATGAACATGTCCCTCCACTAACACAATACAGGTTACCTTCCAGGGTACTACCTCTTTCGGTTACAAGGAGTGGGAGGGTCCTCTTGTCTCCTTCTCTGGTACCGGCATTACCATTCAGGGTGCTTCCGGCCACGTCATTGACGGCAACGGTGCTAAGTGGTGGGACGGCAAGGGCAGCAACGGCGGAAAGACCAAGCCCAAGTGAGCAAAATAACCGCCTACCAATCTTGGAGACCCCAATCATGCTGACGCCCTCGAACTATAGGTTCTTCTACGCTCACTCCCTTAAGAACTCCAACATCAAGGGCCTCAGCGTCAAGAACACCCCGGTTCAGGCATTCAGCATCAACAGCGCTACCAACCTCGGAGTGTAAGCAAATTGTACTCTGTACGGCAAGTACATCAAGCTAATAGCTCCTATAGTTACGACGTCCACATCGACAACTCCGCTGGTGACTCTGGCGGTGGCCACAACACTGATGCTTTCGATGTCGGCTCTTCTACTGGTATCTACATCTCTGGTGCCGTTGTGAAGAACCAGGATGACTGCCTCGCCATCAACTCTGGCACCAACATCACCTTCACCGGTGGCAGCTGCAGCGGTGGCCACGGTCTCTCCATCGGTTCCGTCGGTGGCCGCTCCGACAACGTTGTCAAGACTGTCCGAATTGAGAACAGCTCCATCAGCAACAGTGATAACGGTGTCCGCATCAAGACCGTCTACGGTGCTACCGGATCCGTCTCTGACGTCAAGTACACTGGAATCACTCTGTCCAACATCGCCAAGTACGGTATTGTCATTGAACAGGATTACGAGAACGGCAGCCCCACTGGTACCGCTACTACTGGTGTCCCCATCACTGGCCTCACCGTCAGCAAGGTTACCGGCTCCGTTGCCTCATCCGCCACTGATGTCTACATCCTCTGTGGAAAGGGCGCTTGCTCCAACTGGGCCTGGTCTGGTAACAGCATTACTGGAGGCAAGAAGTCTTCCAAGTGCTCCAACGTCCCCAGCCCTGCTTCTTGCTAAGTGGAGTCTCGAACGGCGCTTAGCGCTATCAAAGCCAAAACGCCTTTGTTAGGCTTTCTCAATACAACCTCGAGGGCTGTAGTTTAATTCTTGTATATACAACACTACGCAGTAGCGTGTAAATAATTAATTTCCTGGAACAAACTCTGTTGCGCACGCGGGGACGTGGAACTGCCTTGATACGGATGTAAATCCCTCTGCTTATATCTATTAATGTGTATGCGACCAAGGCCCTAGAAATCTTGAATACCGCTAAGCTTCAGTGCCTTTTCCTAATGATGTACACCAAATAAGTCGCTCTTGATATCTTAGTCGAAGAGGTTGTGTTGGAAACGTTGGGGGTGATTTAGAGCAAGTTGTTTCTCCCGGAGATATGTCAATAATATGGGCCATGACCAATCAACCATCTTCACTGGCATTCTTTCCTTTTCCATCGAGCATAGCTGCCCAACTTCTGATTCTGGAGACCATATCGTAAGCCGTACGATCGATTGCATGTACTATCTGTATTCGCGTGTGATGTCAACCGCTTAATAAAGCTGTGATTTCTCGCTGACCTTCATTACTGTCCGTAGAAAGTAAGGCATGATGCAGTGCTTTACAAAAGATTTCAATCCAGTCATTTGGATCTGATCACTTGCTGGTGAGAGTACGCATCCTTCAAGGCTACACCAACGCCCTTTGTGTGATTGAGCATATACTTTTCAGTACTTGAACAATATTTGGACCTCCCGGGACTTTTTCGGCTTTGTCTTTGTACTGACTGAGATTGAGCCTCATTAGTATGTATACCAAATTTGACGACAGTCGTAGACAGAAATCATGGCGACTCATCGTGGTGAATCGACCCACTATGTTCGATTCTAGGCCAGCTCCATACTCGGCAAATGATTTGGATACTTTATCGAATATTCTAGAATATTCCTCGGTCGGGTCGTCTTAGCCAAGCGGTATTAATTGAACCCTTCAAGACATAGAAGGCAAGTCAAGAGTAGTTTCTAATGCTATATCATCGCTTGCACTGGTGCCCTTTGCACCATAGACCCTGTGACGAGTTCAGCGCCACCATTGACCTTGTGGTGTTCAGCTTTGTTGCAGCCGATACAAAGACCGAGCGTTCGAGTCGACTCGTATACCAATGCTCTGATGCAATCGAGAGTTTCACCACCCGACCACTGGGTACTATCATTGGCCATACTCACTCACGCTGACCGAGATGTATAGTGTAGACCACTGTCTTGGCTGTAACAAGTTATAGCTATTTCTGCCATAGACACTTAAGGGAATTGGAGGGATAAAACCCAATCATGTAACTCTCAGGTAAAAGTTTACACAGGTCGAGCTCGGGCTCCCATAGATACCGACTCAGAAGCCAGATGGGAGACAGAGAACGAGGAGGAGCTTGATGTCAGCGGCGAAGACTACGGCGACGCCGCTGCTCTCAAAACGCCACCTCCACCAACGAGTCCAGTACGAATGGGTACTTGCCAAGCCAAACCTCTAACCGCGGGCCAGATTAACCTTTAAGAGCGTCAGGAGAGAATCATGAAGGAATATTTCGAGCAAGTGACACAACCTCTAAGGAACATCGTCACCTTGTCGAAGATATCTCTGGTTGAACAGGCAATATCGTACTTAGGCAATCAGGGATTCAAGCACTCAAGCACACCATTCTCAAGCCATCACCTGGCGACTCCTCTCATGTCAGATTCTCTATTGGCATGCCTCATCCTAACCCAGCTTCCCTTATGACTTCCGTGTTTAAACGCCAAGACAATCTTCAATCGATTGAGGCTCCGAGACGGCTTGGGTTCCATCATAGTTCGATTAGCCGGAGCTCGGTTAGTCTCCATCATAGTTGAATGATGACGCCGACGACAAGCTTTTGAATCGCTGATTACCAACCCCCGCATACGCATGTGCAGGGCGATCTAATTATTTCATATATACTACTTTAAAGTAACGACTATCACGTATGTCGGAACGTCAGTGCCATGGAGCTCAGTTAGTTGGCACGTCGATGGCTTTGAATTACTGGATTACCTTGATTCAATTGCCTTGTCAATGCTGACTTGCACAATCATGTCACCCAATAGTCTATTGAAAATGTACGGTAGTCAAATTGAACAACAGCGAGTTCACGTTCCCCAGCTACCAGATCAATGCCATCTTGCTGATACACTCCATCATGGAGTCTCAGGTCTGACTACCAAATGGATCATGACGCTGTCACTTTCGCCGAGTTCTAAACTACGGAGGCTTGTCGTTCAAACACAATCTTGCCCCCCATGCGTAGGGCGTTAGATACCAACTTTCGCTTGAGATACCAATTGAGCGGCCAGGACAATTGTGACCAACCCGTTTGAGACACAAGGTCTTCTGCTGTGACTACACCCTGTACAGATGAGGCCTGATTCTAACATACATGCAATCATGGGAACCAGTAATGGCGACAAGGGAAAAATGGAAGCTCATCAGCTCCACCTGCATTCAAGATCCATTTATCGGATGCTTCTGCACAACAGCTATTACCTGGTGTGTTGGTTCTTCCCGGGCTTCCAACCCCGCGCACGCAGCCACAAGTTGAATATGGAGGTCGTTCTCAATGAAATCCGAATAGACACAATTGAAGAATAAACTTTTACGACTCTATTGGCACCAATATGATAGTGGCCAGCCGTTGTGCTCGTCTGTCACGCCATTCGGGGCATCCAGTCCGCGGCCGGCAGAACTTAGACAAGAAAAGCCCGTAGCCTCAAGTGGGAAACCCCAGCGGCTCCCGCAAGGTCCGCGCAGCTGGCCTGGGCCCATCTGTAGTCGATCTCTATTGTAAACAGACCTGGAAATAGGGTCTGGTCCGCAATGGGAAAGATGAATCTGAACCCCGATAATTCAAGAGGTCCAAAGTAATCTTGGCGTTGGTCTACTGCTGGGTTATAGCCTAGGGTATGTCTTGAAGAAGCAATGTCGCATTAGTTGGCGTGGTCGTGAGACATAAGTGGCCGGTTTACGTAGACATGATGAACCGTACCTTCTTTGGGAGGAAGAGCGATCTTAAACACGAATAAGTGTATATTGACCGGATATTTCAATCAATATCAAATTAAGCTAGACTCAATGGCATTTCGAGCTGCCGTAAGGTGCCTATCCTATACCATCCAAGGTGAAGAATCCGTAGCTCGAATGTGAGCCCCAGCCAATGCTAGGAGACATGCGATAGCTATATAGGCAAGTCGGGCGGACGAGCTTTCCGACGACCCAAGAAAAGTACCAGGCTATGCTCCAGGCCTAATTAAAGATGGGCCGGCCGAGAGCATAGGACAATGTTGTATAAGAATATTATACTTGTTGCCGGACATTTTCTTGTGCAGTCTGCAGAGAACGTCGGAAGCAATGGTGTAACACAAGAGACTCTTGCACATTGGAAAATCAGCAGCCGGGTCCTGATAAAACTGTCTTGGGTATCTATTTGGGTGCGGCCGCAGGGATTTCTCTCCTTTTCAAGTGCAGGAGAATGAAGAAGAGTGCTAAGTTGGGCTCGCCAGAATTTACGGCAGATTGTTGATTGTTGAATATGAGGACAAGGCTTGCATGTTCGAGAACCCGAAATAGAGGGCTTACTAGGTAACAGATAGAGAAATGCATCTGTTTCAATAATACGTAAACATATTGACAAGAGACGGCGACGATATGTGGGTATGCATTTAGTCGAGATAACAAGGCTTCGAATATGCTGGCGCATTTCCATACAGAGGTTTTGTTTTTAGAATCCTCATACTACCTACCACGAGGAACGGGATATATATACACAATCAGTTTGATCACTCAATAATGGGGCCAATATGGTGTGAATAAATACCTAACATACCTCCGTGGCAGATAATCTCAATTCCATCATCCTACTCGCCGAAGGCACTTGAAGATCTTGTGCCTTCGGCCCAAACACAGAAAAAAAAAAAAAAACAAGACATATGCGTGCTCCATTTGGACAGTGGCTTACAAAATGCGCCCGAGGAATACAGGTGTTCCTCAACATCAACCCTGCCTGAACCTTTTTAAAGCAGGAAATATGGTCAGCTCCCTGGCTGTAGTTCTGATAAGGATGCCTATTTCAGCGACCAATCTTGCTTTGGACTTGTGCGTTCAGAGTCTGGCATACACTGGCACAATTGCGTGGTGGTTACCAAAATTATACGTATAACTTACGTAGCACGGCCTGGTAGCAGCGTAAGCACGACTTGACAGGACGGAACAAGGGCAACCAGGAGAAACATCAAACTATTTGTGCCCTAAACGCATGAAAAAACGCGTAATAGTTGAACCGTCGACAACATCGGAGCTTTGTCGATATACGACTTATTGATACAAATGCACTGACTCTGAAAGAGTTCATGGGCAACAGCTTTCCTCTGTATGCCATGGACCGGCGTCTTGCAATCGCTTATGTTCAATACTTCCACTGGTCCGGTAGCTCTTGGTGTTTGACACTATCTCAACACGCTGGTTTCATCGCCTCCTAGGCTGCGTTCGTCCTCCAGGGGTTCTTCATCGCCAAGGAGACTGGCCCATATACCTTCACGAGCCCAAGGACTACAATAACAACTGGGGCTACCTCCAGACAGGCGATGCTGCGTACGCCAGCTGGAGCGACACCAACACAGCGGTCCAGGCCTGCCAAACGGGTGCCGGCTATGTGACAAGGATCACTGATATCACCTTGAATGCTGGCAATACCATTCCACTTGCATTACTCTGAGCTAATGGCGGTGGTGTTGCGCAAAGTTATTTTACGGTTAGGACCTAGTGGAACGACCACTACTGATGGTATTGAATACTTTGTCGGGGTTCACAGCTACAATGTCTTCTCTTAAGAGGAATATATGACACGTTAATAAGAGACACTTATTGATAATGTTAGTCATTATTCAATAGAAGCAAAAATAAAAACAATAATAGGATATGGGCATCAGAATTCTAGTTCAGAAGCTGCATATTCCCTCTCCCGTGCCTTTCCACTCATCCTCTCAAGGTCGCAGCCGCAATCTTCTCTGCAAGCGCATCTGAACCAGATGTTAGCTTATTCTAATTCTTGTTGAACGAATCATTATAGGAACAGACATCTCAACAGAAATACTGGAAATATCACGTTATACAGAACGGAATTACGTGGCGAAGCATTAGGAAAGGAAAGGAAAGGAAAGGAAAGGAAAGGAAAGGAAAGGAAAGGAAAGGAAAGGAAAGGAAAGGAAAGGAAAGGAAAGGAAAGGAAAGGAAAGGAAAGGAAAGGAAAGGAAAGGAAAGGAAAGGAAAGAAAAAGGACTCAAAAACAGTAGCTTGGGGATGACACGGCACCAATAATGGAAATACCGATGCATCAACAACCCTCAAACCCGTGGTACCGTAGACCCGTGCCTGGGCATCCACCACGGCCATGCTGTCGGTCGCCCGGCCCATCTTGCAGGTCCCGGCGGCGTGCCAGATTGGCGCGGTGCTCACCATGATGTTCTCCAAGATCTCGGAGTCCGTCTGCACCGCCGGACCGGGATAGACCTCGTCGCCGTCCCTGACGGGTGCTAGGGCCGCGGTGTTGGCGATCTGGCGCGCGCGCTTGAACGCCGCGACGGCAATCTCACGGTCGCGCGGATCTGAGAGCAAATTAGGGTGGATGATCGGGTTTACCGCCGTGTCCGTGCTATTGATTGATACGTTGCCGCGGCTGAAGGTAGCCACGATCGTGGGCAAGACTGATACGTAGTGGCGGCCGTCAATTGGCGTGAAGGCGTGGTCTACCAGCGTATCGCGGCCCATGCCGTAGAAGGCGTCTGCAATTGTGTTGGAGTTGAGGCCAGTCCGCCGGGAAAGTATTTATGAGGTCGGCCGGGTGGAGTTGCTCAGGGTGGCAAGCAGTTCGTCTGGCAGACGCTCGAAAGCAAGGAAGTCGGAGCCCGGATTGGTCAGATAACCTGTGCGGCTCTCCCGATAATTTATGAATTGCTCGGCCATAAAAGCTGGATTTGACAGAGCTGAGTGCGTACGAAGGGATACGGGATAGGATGGTCCGAAAAACGGTTGGTCCTATAAGCGATTATGATTGTCAGATGATTGATGGGGATGCAAGCTCTAGAAAAGAGATATAAGAAATATGCAAAGGAATCCATATTATTTACGAAGGCAAACGAGAGAAAAAAAGGAAAAAAGGAAAAAAGGAAAAAATAAGGGTCGATAGACTTTGTGCTTTGACCCGCCCCCACTGCTCTTTGCATAGCAAGCATAATGGGCAATGTGAATACCAACAAATTTTTACCTACACCAGCAAGATCCGAGATCATATCTACTCCAAGGCTCTTAGAAGTTCTCGTGGTCCAACCCCCGAGACCATCAGCAACTGAGGAGAACGATGAGCGCCTGCAGAGATGATAACCTCCTTGTAAGCGAACAGAGCATATTGAACACCACCCTATCGACCAGAACACCTCTTGCGGCCTTGTTGTCATCGAAGAGGATACGTTTGGCGAGTGTTGCTTTATACAGTTGCAGCTGCGAATTGTCCCGAATAGCTGATCGCAGGTTTGCTGTCTCGGCCGAGCTTCGTGTCTGCGAGGCACCATCAATGGTTTGCGAAGCGTACTGATACCCGAGCAGATTCCCGCTTACGAATTCTTGCAGCTCATGTAACCTAAGCTCGGCTAGGGCTAATTTTGCCCATGAACCCTATGCGGTTGCCCAGTTGCTGAAGGAGATATGGACCGGATCGGCAGTGCCGAACGTAGAAGCGGAAGCATTGATGGAGGAATTGCTTGCGCGGAGGTCGTTGTTTGCACCGTCAAAGCGTACGCTCGTCTTGAAGTAAGGTAGAAAGTTGGGCAATTCATAGCTTTTATCGCCTACGTCATCTGCCCACTTAGCATACGATCCTGTGGTCCCCCTGTAACGAAACTTTGTCAGACGATGGCCCACAAAATTCAAAGCGACCAGTGGTCCAGTAGGTGGCACAGAATACTATATACCTGTCGTAGATCATATAATTACGTGCGCTGCCGCCGCTAAATGTCTTTCCGGAGTTATACAAGATTCGTCGTCCGCCGAGTCTCTGTATATGTCCCCGAGGCTTACATACCTCATTCACCTCAGTCCGATAATCCCAATCGATCAATGGATTTCTCTCGCCGGGGTCAGTGCCCACAAAATACGCGGCAGTGCCGGGCATGGTGGAAAGATTTCCGTTGTCCATCTCCTAGAAACTACCCGCCTCGATGACAGCGACGGTTCCCACCCCAGCCTCAGCCAATCTCGCGGCGACCGTTAGGCCAACGGTCCCCCCGCCAACCACAACATAGTCGTAAGTCGCATTCGCAAATGATGGGTAGCCAAAGTGGTCGCCAAGTGTGTTGAAGTCCGTGATGGTCTCGAGTTATTCTTGACCGCTACAGGTAGCTACGATCACCGACAGCAAGAAGGCTGACCGCATTAGGCTCCGTTGGCTCTTTACAAGAGCTATAAGTCCAGTTGAGGTTTACGGTGTCAGATTTTGACAGCAACGATTCGGGACAGTTAAGTAATCACGAGAGAGAGAGAGAGAGAGAAAGAGAAAGTGGGGGAGAACGAAGAAAAGAGCCTACGACGTCTTCAAACATGAAAAAAAGAAGAACGCTGACTACGTGCTGGCGCCGCAAATTCCAGAGATCCAATTGAAGGTTGGTCAATCCGGAGTCGGCGTCGCATGGGGATGAAGCTCTCGCGCGTGTCGTCAGCCTGTTCACCTATTTGGTACGACAATACTATGCACAATGAGTGTCGCGCATGGGTTAATGGATACCTCTATGCTTACTAGGTCTCATTCTCCACCGGGAAAGACCACGAGGTTTCCCGTAATCGAGATGCCGTAGGGCAGATTATGCAGACACAACCGAATGCGTCTTTAAAGATGCGGACCTGGATAGAGACGATCTAACCGTTTTTGTAGAAGTACTTGCCAATACGGATTAGTTCCTCGAACAAAACTCGCGAGTCGTCATCTTACGCATGTGCCAGGATACTGGACTGGGACTTTCCGCAACGCAACGTGGAGAGGATCCTGGTAAGTTTTCAGCTCTCTCCCAATCTTTGAGAAAACTTGCCAGACGAGATTTGCTTAAAGCGCTTCTTCAGATTGCACCCATGGAACACGAGAAAATCGAATTAAAACAAATAAGCCCAGCAGAATGTGCTCCGAGGGTCAAACGTTGACAGATCGGGCAGGACCGAATACAGAGAACCAAGAGAAGCCCTTCAGAAATACTGAGCTGATCATAAAACTTCTCTTCTTTTATTTATCTTCTATGGAGGACCTGAGTCGAGTATCGTATTCATCATTACCTAATCCTGGGACTTTGTTTTCACAATCGTTTCTTGATGACATCAGCTGCCTTCTCGGCAACGGCATACACTGAGGACATGATATTGCCGCGCACAATCAAAGGGAAGACACCGGCATCCACAACACGGAGATTCTTGGTGCCATATACCACCAATTCTGGGTCCACTACGCCGCTTTTCCCTCTGGGGAGCATTGCCGTAGTGCCGCAAGCGTGGTATGTTGTGGTGGCCGTATTCAAGACATATTTCTTGGCGCCCTCCAGATCCGCTACGTCGAAAGCCTCCGGGTGATTTCGCCGGCCGTTCTCCTTGAATAAAGGTGCCAGCTCAGGCACATGTCGCAGCTTCTCGAGCGCCTGAACGTGGCGGGCCATGATCTCGAGGTCGGCGGGGTGTGAGAAGTAGCGTGGATCAATATCCGGCTTGGCTGCAAAGTCGGCCGAGGCGATGTGCGTGGAGCCGCGCGAGAACGGGTGCGTTTGTGAGCACCCCAAACTGGCGTAGTTGCCATCAAGCAGCTTCTTGCCTACAAAACTCTCACTGCCCTCATGCAGGTTTGCTTGCGCCAAGAACATGAACCACCCCGAGGAGTGCGATTCCTCACGATCCAGGACAGAGCGCACAATATCTACGTACTCTCCATCCTCGGAGCGAGACGGAGGGTCGGAGAGTAGCTGATCGTAGGTAGTTGCGCCTTGCAGGGGCATGTATGCATGCGATTGTAAGCCACCGATGGTGAAGGGGCCGGCTTGGTGTTCAACGTAGAGCTTCTGCGCGAACGCGAGCGCTTCCGGCTCCTGTCGTATCAATGCGTCACCGGTCAGGACATAGTCGGCGACCTCGTAGCTGATGCCCGTCATCAGATGGTCTTGCAGATTCTCACCAACTCCAGGCAGGTCGATAACCACGGGGATCTCGTGCTTAGCAAGGATGCCAGGGTTGCCGACTCCTGAGAGCTCGAGGATCTTGGGAGTCGCCAGGGCTCCAAGGGCGAGAACGACCTCTTTGGCAGCGGTGAAAGTTTCGGACTTGCCGGCGACAGAGGCTTCTACGCCGGTCGCCACAATTGAGTCACTTGTAGTGCTATCAAACAAGATCTTGTTGACCGTCGCGCCGGTGATGACACGGACATTGGACCTTTCTTTGAGAGGAAGCCCGTAAGCCGAGGCAGCATAGCTTCGGGTCTTAGTCTTGGGGTCCACAGTTGCGGCATTACTGTAGCCGCCTGTCGACTTTCCAGAGAAAGGGTCTAGACAGAGAAGGCGTATGAGCCGGTTGAAAACATAACAAGCGTATAGATCTTAGGATGGGGGTCGGGCAAACATACCGCCTGTAGTGGCCTTGCCCATACCACGGAAAGCATCAATCCAAGCCTTACAAAGTGGGTTCTCCTTCACGCCAGGGAAGGAGACCTGGATTGGACCATCCTTGCCACGGTACTCATCATCAATCCAGTCAAGGCCAAGGTGCTTGATGGTCTCTTCATCGGGTGGGGATACTAGTGTATACGATTTCTTGTAGTAAGGGACTAGTCCCTCCCAGTCCCAGCCTGGGTTGCCTAAGCCAGCCCAGGCGTTGATCTCGGCCCGAGCCGGTGCTACGAAAGTCTGCCCATTGATTGCGGATGAGCCGCCGAGGACCTTGCCCCGTGGTTGTTGGATAGAACGACCATTCAAACCAGGCTGGGCAGCTGTTTTGAACTGCCAGTCTGCATCAGAACCTAGTAGGGTAGTCCAGAAGGCGGGGATGTTGACACGAGGGTCGGCTGTGAGATCCTCCCCGGCCTCGAGCACAAGGACTCGGACATTTGGATCTTCGGATAACCGACTGGCAACGACAAGGCCTGCCGTGCCACCACCGGCAATGATAAAATCAGCCGATTGCTGAGAAGCCATGCTGGGTAGTTTTCTAGACAATGTAGTACGGGATCGGTAGCAGAGAGTAATATAAAGGAGGGGGAACTAGAAGGAAGGAGAAAAGGCTTGTAATGATTCGTAATGGGAGGGCCAAAAATGGGATCCTAGTCGGTCATGAGAAAAGTTCAAGCAAGGAATTAGAAACAATATATAATGCCTATTCAGAAATATCAATTCGAGCGTGGATGTTAGCTAGATAGATGTTGGTAGGTTGGTACTTTAGTTTGTTTCACACGTTTGAGTCTTTGACAACTTGGCGATAATTGCGCACAGTCAAGAAGATCTTCACGGCGCTGGGGGGTTACAACCGTCTGAATAGTGGGAGGCAGGCTGTTTAGGCAGGCTACCTGAGGCAGGCTACCTACCTGCATACGGGCCGATCTGGCAATCTGCACAGTACCTCATGCTATAGTATGTGGGAACGCCTCCACGTTCTTGCATCTCCTAGCAGGGATTGACGGCGTCATGATATCTTCTCGATGTTGCTATTTTTATGGCCCCCAAATCGGGATGCGAGACGTTGCGGCACAGGCGAGGCGAGAAGTCCCATGATGGGAAGGCTGGGAAGAAAAGAGAAGAGAAGAGAAGAGAAGAGGGGTAAGGTATTGACGCGAAGGATTTAGCAAGGTAGACATGTTAGCGCGACTGATGCGCTATTGGATGCGATGCAGCGGCGCATACTGGGACGGGACTTCATTGATGGACAGGTAGGCTGTTTGCGTGGCTAGGGAGGCTAGCAGGCTAATGTCTGTCGCCGCATAGTTGCAGTTGATGCACAGGCTCCATTTGGGGCTGAGACTTTAGGGATGGGCCACCGGGCGGGGCGAGAGGTTGCACCCCTAACTTAAGTTAGATATCCGTGATTGGATATCTCTCCGACGAACCTAAATCTAGATATGGATACCTTCTACATGATATACTGTATTGAAATGATGAAGAGGATTTTGAATTGCATGATCTATTAACGTTATAGGACCAAACTCCCTCTGACGCACTGTTCTCACGAGCGAGCCAAAGTGCCGCTCAGCAGTCGGCATGTCTTAACCATTCCCGGATCTGGGAACTCGAATAAAGAACCCACCATCGGACAGGCACTTTGTTGACCGATGATTTATACTTTCACTGTACAACAATTAAATTGTATCTTCCTGTCTTGAATAATGGAATAAGCAAATCATCGCGTAAGCAATTCCACAATGGACACGTATTCGAGCCCGTCTGCGCTGAGCCACGTCTCTCACTTATGTCAACATGAACTGCCCGTTTCCAAACAATGAAACCGTCTCCCGCCGTGTTCCTTGTGCCGAGCGAGATCGCCAGAACGACAGAATCTCTCGACCTCTAATCATCTCCGTACTACCTTTTACATACTTTGGAGAGGTTCATCTATGGATTCAGGTTTTGTTTGTATCAAGTACTGCATGCGGCAAAGCTTTCTCCAAGAATGTGCTCCACGACCTTCATATATAGTGAGATCTCTATAATTTCGGGGTGGGAGGTGTGTCGACGACATCGTTGGCGCTCATATGGATAGTAGTTATCTGACAAACGGATGTACACGGTTCCTTAAGCTTGGATAGGTATGCAGCTATGATCTAGGAGATGTAGTAAGTCCGTCGGTCGTGATGGAGAGGTACATAAATTTGCCATTTACCTGGAGATTGATGCTATTGCCTTCCAAGGTTACAATCGATCTTTCCATCACGCAGGGCGTAGAATTACTATATGCGACATTGGCTTCTGCCGCCAGCACGTCTGTAGGTTGCTTCTGCTTCGGGACAGGGCTCGTTGGGCGGAGAGGTAGACTTTGTAGAGTCAACTGGCATCGACGGATCAGGCTCCGTTGCAACGACTTCTTGCTACTGTTGAGCGAGCTGGAAAGCCAGATTGGCAAGACTGGGCTCTATCCCAGTCTTGCCAATCTTGACTTTAGCCTAGAGTCAGTGCCTGAGCTCTGGGTGCCTCACCATCATGGTCGGCGACCAGAAATACCATGGCGAGTTTTCGTGACCCAATACCGCGACGGTTTTAGAAAGCAGGGGTGTGTTGAAAGGCAAAATACGTACCGCTGCGAGCAGAACTCGTACACTATAAGCCATACGCCATTATTCAAGCCTGTCAATCTACCAGCGGAGGTTAACTATTGGCAGATAAAAAGAAATACGAGTATCCGGGAGCATGGTTCAGGGTCTCGACGTCTAAGCAAGTGGGCCTGTCATTGATGATATATATGCCGAAGTCCTGTGGGATGACTTGCTATTATACTCTGATACGACGTCTACCCGTGACATGTCCCGGCCAGCCTCTACCGTAGGCTGATATTATAATCTTTCCTTGGCATCATTAGCGCAAAAGCTCTTGCGAGTCCTCGTTTCGCGCTTATAGCCGCAAGGCTGTACTCGCTGCCCCCTTAGTGTCTTGATGCTGTGACAGAACTTTGCCCCTTTCCTGTCCATCTTCCTTAACTGCACGTAAAAGCGGTAACGCCACTGTGATCGTTGCCCCTGGTCTGACCTTGCTTGACACGTTGATAGTACCACCTAGCGTGTCTATTATGTATTGACCAGGTTTAAGCCCAAGACCGGTTTATAATGCAAATCCATTCTCTTGCGAGAAATGGGTGGAAGATTGATTACGAAGAAACTCCTCGCTTATGCCCTTGCCAGAATCTGGAGACGGTGAGCACGACCTAAACGGTGCCAGCTGCGGCTAGTCGCTTTTGGCTGGCTCTCCTGGCGTAAAAGAACACGGATAAAGACGGATCTGGTTAATTCGATGGAGTTGCCAATCATGGCGATTCGTCGGAAGGCACCTAGGTGCATGTAAATCGGCCATCTTGCAGAATGGTCGATGTCAACGTAGATTTGAATGGTGCCGCTAGAGCCGATCAGCCGGCCGTGGGGTTGCTCATCGCCAATAAAAAGTACGTGCACGTCGACAAGGGGAGCTCGCATGGAAGTTAAGTACGTGGAATGAATTCCCACCTGGGTTAGTAGCTAGCCCTGCAAATATACTTTTGACGACTTTTTCTATGAGCAGGTCCACCAAAATGGGCAGCTCTGGCAAGGGCGGAGTATCTGTAGCAGACAGTTACGAACACTGGCGGGACCCTATAGATCTGCGTTTCTGCCCAGTTCTCAACCACTTTTTGGAGTTGATCTTGACAAACTCTCATAGTGTGAGGCAGATGCAAGATTAATAAATAACTTCGGTAATAAATTGCTAGGAAATGCACCGTTCAACGTGATTGATGGTTTCCAGTATTGCCCTTGCTGAAGCTTCGTTTACTCGTAGGATGCCATCTTACATTACATCCAGGGTTGTATGTCTCAACAACTCCACCGCCTCAACTATCCCGTGCAGCGGTAACAGCACCTCGTGGCTAACAGACCCGTGGATGTCCGTTCTGGCCTCGTCGGCGGCCGCATTTCAGTCGCGCCACCTCGGCCATAGCAGTCAGCCAGAACACGCGTATGTATGCCAAATCTCCTCACTAACACCTGGGTTCGTGTCCAAATTTACGCGAACACTCCTACAAACCAGCACCCGGTCTACGTGTTCCACATTGGCATCACCGTCACGCTTCGTTTACCTGCGAACTTCTCGATGATGCGCCTCTGGTGATTCGCAGGTAGTATTGTGCTGTGGCCTTGATCTGAGTCTAAACGGCGGAGACTAGGGCGACATCTTCCAACAGTCTGTTGGAGACTTATCGCTGCCTGAACTGGTGTAATGGTCAGGTAATTATCCCGTTCGAATCAAAATTTCAGATTTGCCCCGGCGAATGCCGCCGCAGAACCGCTGCAGGAACGACTCTCAGAGCCCTGTCAACTCGCTTAGTGTCACATCCCTGACAACTGCGGAGCTGTGCAACGTGGAAAAGCCCAGCACATCGCAGATGGGGTGACCGGAGGCTGGTGCGCCGCCACTTTGATTTTGCGCGCCCTCATCGCTGCTACACATCCTAAACGACGAATGTTGCACCTTGGGCAAGATTGAAAGTTCTGAGTGAGTATTGTCTCCATGGTCACCGCAGAAGCGCACACACGCATATAAGAAGGAGATACCTTCCACCTCGATGGACTCATGTCTGTTTCCTGCTGCTCCTGCCGCTTTGCCGCTGCCGCCATAATTGACTGTAGTTTCTCATTCAGCAAACCCTCGCTCACGCTACGTAGGTTTTGAAATAACGCGGAGTGGTCTGAAGCCTCTTGGGCTGAATTTCATATCGTAGCTTGGCCTATGACGAAACTGGACAGCCCGTATACTATGCGCTGCTCGCGCCGGTACCCCTCATGGCTCCGCTTGCTCTCTAGCTATTCCATCAACACTCCGGATATTTCGATGATGGACCGCATTTTTTGGTGCTCTGTCCCTGTAGTCATGGTGTGGCAATATGGATGACTATAAATGGCCACAGTGTACGGGGTGCACCCCGTACACTAAGGCGACGAGCTCTTGGATCACCGAACATGGGAAGTGGTGATTACGTGACTTCGCAAGTGGGTATATGCCCACTTTCTGTACACCGATATTCTCTTTTGTGGACTTAGACTTCTATATACTACTTGACAGTACCTATATTATCATTTTACGCCTAGAGCGTTACACTTGCGATCCCACGCTCATGAAAGCACCGTATTCAAGATCCTATGCTCGAGTAGATTTAGGCTCTCCCTTTCAGTGCATCACACCAGACCTACACTACAACAGTCTTCTATATCAATTATAGAAACTGTCATACATGGTTAGACACCAAATACACGTTAAACCCCAATGTTAACCCTGCAGGCGGAGCAGATCGATACCTCTGCAAAGTACTACCCGCCCCCGGGACAGCCTGGCTCGCCGCCAAACCGGTGACAACATACTCACAGAGACTCGTCGCACGCTTGAAGGTAAGCATTTTGAACAATATCTGTTCCGATCGGCCCTCTGGTCGGCCGATGGTGATAACGTATAAGGCATCTCTGCAACAACGTGCTGCGTACGAACAGCAAGATCAATACACGGGCCACGTTCAGCTGCACAGCCCCACTTGTCCAAAGGCCGTGAGGCCTGAGGAATGAGGAGGAGATAAGCTTCTGTGGCTGCGGGCTGTTGAGCCGAGCCATAGCGCAAAATTGTCAGCGACAGAAATAATTGTAAAGTAATTTCAGGTCAATTGACCAATTCGTGCGGCGGCGCCAAACTTCTCGAACCCGAACAACCTACTCGAATGCCTCGCGCTCGCGAGAAGTCTCAGAGACATTTGCATGGTGGGCAATGACCATCGCATCAATTTCCTGTAAAGATTTATGCCCTGAATCTAAGATACTACAGTATGCAGGTCTGCTACAAATTCCCCATCTCGGTACGGGCCCACATCCATACAGGGATGCATACAGAAACCTGCAGCGCGAGACTTTTTCACGCTGGTTAGATGAATTAAATTATTAGAAGGATCTTCCCATGTAGATTCCGTCAGAACTGCCACGTGGGGCTTTTTGACCTTGTTCGTTTGTATTCCTCCTATGAGAGCTGGTTGATCTACATATTCTCTTCCGGAACTACTGCATAGGACTTTTTTATACTGCTTACATACATTTTGTCTGTGAGAACCAAGAGACAGAGCTGGAAATGAATTAAATCAGTAGATGAGGGGCTGCTCAATTTGATTGATTTCTATTTAGCGAAAGGGATTATGCAGTGATTGCAGAAAGGTTATCTGAGAAGCTGGTTTGGGAAGGTGCCGCATAAACCTGAGTGAATTATGTGAGTAGAATCAAAATAAATCTTTGGAAAAAACTATAAAACCTAGATATCATTCAAAAACTTCTGGAGTTTACATTTCCTTATCCACTTTCGCACAATTACTCTTTTTCTTTAGAAGCCATGGCCTCCTTCAAAGCATATACAATCAACTTAACGTTTATGCTAGCTTTCTTTGCATCTCCCATTCTTGCCGTTCCGCGAAACAACGTCAACACAATGAAGGTCTTTGTTCGTACTGATGACTTTGCCTACGTTGAGTCACCGGAATTGGCAACAGCCATAGCTGTTGAGCAAGCGGCCTTGCCTGTTGAGAAACGTTCACACATTCAGGTCCAGGTGAGTGAATTTTGCTTTTAAATGAATTCTTCTTCATAAATATATAGGTCAATTATTTAGCAAGCTACCACATATACTTATGTTGATAACTAATACGAGATGTATGCATAATAGGCTTGCACTAATGCAGACTGCACAAGCTGTAGGACTGTTCTCAATGCAGATTTCAGTGGAAACACCGGATGCTTGTCGGCTCAGAGTACAGCTTGTCTTATCATATCAGATATCACTTCAGCACAAGTTTGGTACTGGAACAACAACAATTGTAATGGAAACTTGAGCAAGTTCCAGGGTTGCCCAAGTGGAAGTACGAATGTTGCTTCACCTGGGACAAACTCCATTGGAATCCATACCGGCTGCAACTAGGTTTATATTTCTTGATTCATGTCACGTTAGTAGGATGAGGTATTAGATTGAGCAACGTAGAAGGAGTGCAGGCCTTCAGCCAGTCCAATCCAATCAATCAAAGGAGTATTCGGATTTGATTGATTTTTGCATTTGCAAAGATCATATAATTGATTAGTTGAGGCTTGGATTTAATCATTCGCGATTGAGTTGATCCTTATTGATCTGTACACGTGATTTGTCGTTCATGGATTTGGTAAGACCATTAGCACTGATTAAGGTTGAAGATCTCCAACGCCTTCAAACTAGTGCCCTTGAAGGGGCAACTAACCTAGTGGATCCATGCTGGCGCCGTCTTTCTAACCTTGGATCATTTCTCGGCCATATCCGCCAGTGCTAGCGCCTGTTGTTCGTGGAATCATGAGCTTATGGTGGAATACATCTGCGAAACAAGCCCTGCTTTATACCAAGATCTGAGTCCCTAGCACATGCGGATTATATCCGCTTGAAGCTGAATGGAAATTTGGCATCGACGGTCTCTTCAACGAGCATGCGCTGAATGTGCTCCTCGTCAAACTTCTTGGCCACGATATCACGGCCCAATTACTTTTCCACGGTTCGTTCATATGTACATATGCTGGTGAGCATTGCCCTACAAATCAATTTACTCAGTGTCCTTTCAACCTCATCATCGCTGTTGTAGCCGAAGATACTTAAACAGTAGACAAATTGATCAAGTTAATTCAGGTGCCATTCACCGAGTCTCGTGGAAGTGATTTGAACTTTTGAGAAGTAACGATTAAATTGATTGGAGGCCTAAAAGCGTGTATGGGCGATGGGTAGGAACTGTATGGCTTTGATTGTTCAGGCACGGATATATATAGTAATTAGAAAATCTGATTCTATAGCAAGTAAGCCGCTTCCGATGGTTACAGTGCTTTGGGTTGAGACCTGTTAGATTGTACGGAAGTTCTTGTTTCAGAATCTGTGATGATCAGTCACACTCCACTCCCCACAATTTACCAATTTATCATCATCAGACAATTCCAACACCGAGGTTGCAAGATGGTTGTTCCAGACTTTCTTGAGATATTCTTCGTAAAGTGTTAGAGACCTGTTCGTGCGCTCGTCTTCTCTACCATATGTTTCCAGACAGTGCTCAATGAGGCTTTTGCCAACAGCTCTCGCAACTTCCACCTCTCCATGCTTCTGCTCGATCAAGAACAACATCATGTAGCCCTGGGCAATCGGATCCACTTTTTGGCCATCGCTTGAAATCATACATGTAATCACCCGGGGTGTTCCAAGCCCTGTTACGTCGCTTAAGAATAGTTAGTCACGTGGTGATTAATTAAGGAGATCTAGGTGGAAGTACTCATCGATGACCGACAAGATTTCAGCATTCAGGCTCGAAACGGTATCATAATCCCCATTCTGAAAGTGCATCCAAGAGATATGTGATTTTATCATGAGTATGTCCACATATCTTTGCTCCGCCGAAGCTTGCAAGTCTGACAAAATCTTTTGCAGGGTAGCGATGCCTGAAACTGTGTCAATGGCACCACCTGCAACAAGATATACAGTCACCTCGATCTTCATAAGCACTAGAAACCTGTTTGTTTGTGGCAGATGGTTTTGAAAGGCTGCAAGGCAGCCCTGAACGCACGCCAATGCCACTTGATGAGAACCGAGACGACCTAGAAGTGGTTTAACACACAAGTTATCTTGCGGTACTCTGTTGGAACGGACCTAGCTTGTATAGAGATGACAAAAATATAACTGCAGGGTGTTGGGAGCTCTGGAAGATGACCTTGGACAGTGAATACATATGACCCACGACAGAAAGTGCCAGGTCGGGCCACGATGTGCAGAGACGTAATATGGAGAGACTCGCGAATTCAAAAAAAGTCGGTTCATCGAGGATCAAAAGATCCTCAATCTTCTTGTTGCAGTCTCGCAACAAACGAAATGCCGGGTCAACTTGGCCCATGTTCAACAAACTGGCTGCTGACCACATACGTTGGTGCCATTGGCGCCCAACATTGATGCTCATGGGGTCTATAGCAACAGTGCTCCATCTTGCAGTGCCAAGGTTGCCCAAAACATAGCAGCGTGTGGCGTGTATACATCTCTCGAGGGCCTTTGTATCGCCCCAAAATATGAGGTCTTTCTTGGGACTCCCTGTCGGAACGAGCTCTAGATAAAGCCACGTAAATTTTATGTCTTTCTTAGTGAAATCTAATGCTGTACTGACCACATCTTCTCTTGATATAGGCATTGATTCTGCGTTGGCTTGCTTTCTTGCCGCGCAATCTTGGTATGTTGTCACCATCTGAGCACTCAGCACCAGAATTCGCATACTTCTCAACCTCTGAGTACCGCAAGTTCTTGCGAATGTTCCATTGGCCAAGCCGGTATTTGTACATCTTTATTCTGGATTTATTTAGTCAGCATTACAATTCAGCCAACAAGATATCTTCCAACCTACGTGGCATTAAAGCCATGATGCGCCCTCATGTACTTCTTCAATTCGCTTAGAGTCATGTTCTTGTCTTGGTACAAGTGTGTGATCGTAGCCCGTTGTGCGAACCAATCCATAGGAGAAGCAAAGCTGGCTCCGGCACCTGCAGGTTCCGTCATGCCCGCAAGTCATATAAAATTGACAGTCTGAGTGTAGATATGCCACGAAGCTCTTGATTTCTTTGAGAAATGAACACCTCATCAAGTGCCTTGGAAGTCATGGTTGGATTTACAATACCCGTGGTCTAAGGTTAGTGCCACGCTAGCACTAGTCTAACCTAGTTGCATCAAGTCGTGCGACACCAGACTTTTTTGCTACTGCATAGACGAATAGATCTGATTATCGAGGAATTTGGACATGTTCAATTTGCTGAGTCTAGCGCTTGCACGAATCATCAAACTGGCTGAAATTTGTGTACTTCATATCACCAATAGGGGTACTATCAAATTCATTATCTTATGTCTCAAGTCCGTTTGTCGTGGTCTTGAACTTGATATCTCAGCACCCCGGGAAGCAGAGTGAAGGAATACCAACACCTTGAGGTAACATTGGTTTCCTACGCGCACCCTGATCTACAAGATTTTGAGAACTGTGTACACCCACACCAATTAAGCCCAAGCCAACAAATTGAGTACTTCTCTCCAAGCTCTGCTCTTACCGAATACGGACTATTGAAGGTCTTAGCACTGGGTCTTTTTATTAGGTTGTCACGAACGAGCTAGGGCTCTGGGCCTAAAAAAGGAGACATCATCTACGGTACAGAGGAGCTAGCGCACCTATGTGTCAGGGAACCCCGGAAAATTAGGCCATCGGCATCCTAGTGGTTTGTTTTTCTTGCTGGCTGTACTACGTCAAAACTGAACTCCTATCATTCTTTTCAGGTTGCTTAAGAGAATATAGTCTCGATTTTGCTCGTATATCATGAAACACCATCCACCACTCACCACTCGGCAGCGCAAATTCTCGTAGTTACTTTACTATTCACCCAGTCTTTCATTCGTTCGAAGCCATAGCGTAAGATAGGTATACATGTGGCATATGAAGTCCGTGGCCGGAGAATATCCCTGTTTAATCTCAAGAACTCGTATTCATTGCTATCAAAATGCCAGAAAATTTTCATCGAATTAAGCATGCTACAAATCGGGGATTTTACATCTACGCCACAAGACATTTCCTCTCACAGATTCCCATACAAGTCTTTGTGCAAGCATTATCCCCTCCTTCTCGACCCACGTCACAAAAGGATTCATGCACATTCCTGCTGTAAAGGACTTTTTCATATCGTTTAAGAGCATATCCACTACGATTGGCTAATAAGTTGTCATTTGCTGCACGGAACCTTTAACTAGGGTTAGGTACACGTCAACAATCTGTCCCTATACTTCCTAACTATCTCCATCCCCTTTCCGAATGAACCCCCTCCCCGAACACATCCCTACTGTAACGACCTGGCCATGGTGCCAGCCTAGCGCTCGAGCAGCGTACGCAGTGCGCCCGTGCGTAGTCAGCGTAAAATTTCCGCTTCGTAACTAGCGACGGTGTGGAATGGCTTCTCCATTCAATTCTTTCCGTAGAGTGTGGGCGACAAACAGATCTATTCAGCGCTGTCCTACGAAGGAGAAGAAAGGGAGTCTTCCCCTCGTACGTGGTCTATAGATAGGGGTTTGGGGTTCACCCGTACGGCTGCTGGCTGCCGACAGCCACATTGTGGCTGTAGTGGCTTACTGCCAGCACACCGGTGACTACCTATACTATGTAGTCAACCGTCGTACGAGACCGCGAATAACATATTCCAACAGATGGAGACAATCTATTCTCCCCTCTCCAAGAATAAGTCTCTGAATATAACCGTCATACCTAAGAGCTTATCACCTGGTAACTCTATCGTAATTGTTACACCTACCTAACCTTTAGCTTTTCGACATTTAATAACTCGCTACTTATAAGTAGTAAAATATTTCAAAGTAAGTTTAATAATTGTAATTCTATATCATAAGCATTAAAAATAGGTAGAGAAATTAAGAATTCATTTATCATATGATATGAGTTTAAGTGTATAATATTTTGAATAATTAAATTTTCTCATATAATTTATAACTTACTTAATAATAGAAATTTATAAAAATGAGTAAAACATTAAATATCTTACTATTAAGCATGATAAGTTAATGTTCATTTTGTAAAATAATTTTATTTATCTGTAGTGTCCGTACTCCCGTTCCTGCCTGCGTAGTTGAGTAAGCTAAAGTCTTCACTGAGATGGACGAGAATTTCGAATTCTACTACATAAGCATCTTTGTTTAATAACATAACAAGCGTTTTCATACCAAAAACACACATCCAATTTAAGCTTCACTCGAAATCGAGTCGTTTTTAGTTATTCTACGAGAAACCTGGCCTAGTTAGGATCCGAATCTAATTCAAGTACAGAAAAGAGAGCTCGCGTTACACTTTAGCATGAAAGATAGGTGATTCTACTATGATAAACAATATTTTAATGAACATCATGCCACATAGTCAGGGCAGTGACGCGAACTTAACCGAGGAACACGTAAAATTAGGGCCTGGGGATGTCTTAACCCAAGCTGACTGTTGAAATTCTCGTGAGTATAGGCTCTCAGCTATCGACTGTTTTCATCTATATTGCCAGCCAATCCCTCCTCCTTTAACCATTCAATTAGATACCATGGGCTTGCTTCCACCTTCCCTTTAGTTTAAGATGGCTTTGTCGGCATTTCCACACTATTAAGGCCTTCCCAATCATGTAACCATTGATGTTCGTTTACAGGAGGTAGCTTCGTGTTTGCCCATTCTTACTTTAATTGTTGGTCAAAGTGTTGAATCCGCTCTATGCCTCTCTCGTGAGTCGTCCAACCGTTGTTGCTCACAGCAATCCTCCAATCTTTCGGCAATTCACTGTCCTTGTACCACGCGTTCAACGCGTCCGTATCTTTGCATCGGGACCTTTTGTAATCATATCTGCGATAAACACGCGTTCGTAGCTCCAAGCTCAACGGTACTGGGTGGTGGATCATCGCGGTTCAGATCTATCGAATCCCTCCACCCATTTGAATGATGTTCAAATCAATTCCTGTATTATGGACTTCTATCACATATCTTCGGCAGCTGGTAACAAGGTTATCAACGTAGCTGGAAGGCATTTCGACGTCATGACACAGAACAAAATGCTCACCAGCAAGTAGTTTCTGATAACGCAGGTTCTATTGAGTTAAATCAGTGAGTTCCCGAAAATGTTGCAGAAAGAGCAGCTACCACCTTTCATATATCCTATGAGCGTTCTAGACGACAAACGGGTGGGGTCATATGTGAAGGACGGAATCCATCTCTGTTTTCCCAATCCCTTGGCTGTTTGCACTACTATTGTGCAATTATCCCTCTCAAGAAATAGTCAGAACAGCGCTTTTAATTCGAAAGCGATCTCCGGAGAGCAAAGGAATTTGCTGAGAGATGTGAGTAAATAACCGCCATAACCTGTGTAACATTTGACCAGTTTTGACGTAGCCAATATCACCAGATAGAAACATACGATACCATGGCTCTGCTTGCTGCAACATAGGCGGGAATCATCTAGTTCCTTCTTCAAGCCCAATACGCTTCATCTACCTCCTGGGATGATGTAGGGTCTATCGTCATGGGTCTTGACGTGCGTTTCTCTATCTGCTGCGGAGAGAGACAGATCTTGCTAACCCGTCACTTTCGACGTAGGAGTTAGTCACGCGTTTGCATGGGTCATGTTCTTAACAATCAGATATATATTCCCTTAATTCATTTACCTACCGAGAATGTGTCCTGCATGAGAGCACAAGACTGTACGTTAAATCTATAAATTACTTCCTTCGCGCTTTCAATACTCAAACATGGACACATATCATTAAATCTGCTCTTCGTCCTTGAAAGGCTGTTAGGTATCATCATCGGCCGACCGAGAAACTCCACCTGCCTAGGATTGAGCATTCCTCCGCTGCCTTGTTCAAGAGACTTGTGGGACTATGGAAGTAAGGTTTTGGGGGCCTATGGACTCGACAGGTATGTACAGTCTAGGTCGAGTAGGTGTATCCTGACCATTCGCGATCTCCTCACTGTTGCCAAGTCGGGCACGAACTTGGATGTGTCCAGTCGTGAAAACCGAACATTTAGCAAAATGGCAGAGTGTTGCCGGAACCTCGATGGTTTCGGCAACATCGTTTGGATGGCTACGACGCTTGATAAGTAGATACTGGACGGAAAGGAAAGCAACTTGCAGATCCTGGTTTGCCTTTTCATTTCTACTCGGTATATTAGCCCCACCTGAATACATTACTACGTAAATAGTCTTAAAGAGTCACATTCAATCGCTCCTATAACACATGGGTGCAAGCTTGATGTATACGGGAAGACCAAGGGTGTATTGTATTCCGATTAATGACTCTATAGATAGTAGATCATGCAGAGAATGTCAAGTTGTTCACAAAGCTGCCAACTACCGCCGGGACGTAGTCCGTCGTGACATACCAGCTTGGCTTGGTCATGTTATCCCAGACGTGCAGACCGTTGATAGTTAAACCCTGGAAATCGACAAAGTCAACCGAACAATCCTCAGCATAGCTGTATATGGCTGCGGTGTTGATTGTGTGGCCATTACTCTTGTCGGAGTTATAGGCCATATCCTTCACTGTGACAATCTTCAGCCCACGGCCCGGTGCATTATTGGACTTCGTGTTGTACATAATTCGGAAGGAAAAGAGCATGCCCCAGCGGAATCTTCCACTCGAATGTCATCAATTTCAACATTCTGAACCGAGTTCTCATCACCGATGCTAAAGGCGATGGTGCCTTCGTAATTAATCTGCGGCTCTCGCTGGTCGAGAATATCGATATTCCGAAAAGTAACTCCGTCCATTGTCTCTGGGCTCAATGGGTTTCCGTGCGTACCGACGTTGATTGGATGAGCAATGTCGGCCCAGAGCGATGGGTCCCGTACCGTTATATTCGACGAGTTGCCCCACCAATCATTGCGGTGCTGGTAGAGCGCGATACAGTCGTCTGAACTGCGTATGAAGACCTTCTCCACGAGCACATCCTGGCTACAGTATATATCCATGCCGTCGCCCCACTGGTGACTGGTGATGCTGCGCCAGCCGCGAGCATGGATCAACTGGGATTGGGCCACAAGGAACCCTCCTGTTGACACGAAGGCGCCATCAATGATGATATTGCTCGAGTACTGTATGCTGATAGCGGCTGAAAGAAAACCCCTTCCTCTAACCGCGATGTCAGAGGCGTTGACAATACTGACAGCGGTTCCTGCGACACTCGGGAAATGAAGGTAGGCTCCAGGCAAGGTACAGCGTTTGACCGGATGTGAGATTGAGTTGGCCTGGCAGTTCATGATAGCCGGGTCCATAGTATACAAGATCACTGCGATTGGCCGCCTCCTGTTCCGCGATGGGATCTGTCTCGATCTCACTTGTGAAGAGATGAACAACGTTAAATATATCGTCGTTCACTTCCACAACGATATTGTTGCATGGCTGAGACATTGAAAGAGATTGTACCATCTGGAACATCCGGCAGAATCCCATAAGATAACGGCCGTATGCGGACAGATGAGAGAACAGGGAAGATAGTCGGATTAGGCGTGACCGATACTTGCACGGTCCCATCATAATCAAAGACCCCGAACTGGGTAGAGTATTTCTTTGAGCTCCTTGTTGTAGCATTGATCTCAGCTACGATGGCAGAGTACAGAGGGACGGTAGTCCACGTGCCATTCGCGGACGCATCGTTCGCACGTATTAAGACTTCGTAAGTCGTAGATTTATTAACCTCAATTGGTTGTTCTTGTATGAAGGCGGAGTTACTTAACGCTGATACAGTTGAACTCAATACCCATATAACCATCAGGAACGGCTTCAGTCTGGTGATCGTGAGCATCGTGGTGGAGTGCCGAGAAAGGTTCATGGACGACTTGGCGGCGGGAGTAACATGATGGTGATGAAGTGTTGTGGAAACAGTTGCACAAATGGCTCTAATCTATTTAAGCACTTATTGAGAACTCGCACAGAATGAAGCCCAACCACGACGCGTCCCTACATATATCTAGTAGGATGAGCAGCTCTTCACGGCCACACGGACCCCATTCCCGCATCCTGGCACGGACGGAATTTTTATTTTCCAACCTCCTGCAATCTGAAATCTACTTGAATAGTTAGGAAGATCATGCGCGCCAATAAAGAAGTACGATTTACGGAGTGAATGTTGATGACAAGGTTGTCCCCAACTGGAAGGCTCCGCGACTTTTCCCGGGGTTGAGCTCGGCCAAGACACCCCACGGTGCCCCGCAACGTATATTGTCTTGGGGCCCATTGCACCCTGTATTTGACCTTTATTTCAACATCGCAGATCCGTCTTAAGATGGTCGAAGCGTCGTCCTGGCTCTTTTTTTCCTCTCCCCCCTTCCCTTCTCCGTTGTTAGCCGTGGAATTCTGGTCATGGACACCGCAACGAGCCCAACGGGCAAGCTTTGGAAACTACGCTAAATAGCGGTTACAGGATATATAGAACCGTGTAACGTACCCCACGGGCGAACGAACCACTTCTTAAAACCTCGCACCATAAAGTATAAGTCATCTTCACAACAACGGTGAAAATCAATTCAAATTAATCGTCCTCGTTTAAAGAGGACGATTCTACAACATTCTGATAAGTGCGCGTATTATGTCCGTGCTCTCCGCACCTTTATAGCGCTATGGCTGCGTCTTAACCCTCTTCGTACGACTACTACCTTGACGTAATTCACCTTGTAATTGCCCGTCTACCTCCTTTTAAGACCGTTAGTCTTTTATAGCTTGTATACTAAGTAACCCTCCATCTTGTAATTAGGTCTTTTTCGTACGACGGTATCGCCTTAATAGATTATTCGCCTTTCGAAGTGTAAGATTCTCGCCTTCTAAAAAGACGACCCGGTATATTACTTATATCGCGCCCTTTGTAAATTAGTCTATAACTGAAAGCATAGCCGTATAAGAGCTATTTAAGTATCGTACGATACAATTCCGTATATATTCGCTTTAAGATACTGCCTCGATTAGGTTATTCGGGGTTTTTAATTCCTAAATAAGAGGAAGACTAAACAAGGTCTTAGAGGGTATTAGAGTATATAACTTTATATCTAGTCGCGAAATAACGTATTATAAATCGTGTGGTATTAATCCGGCCCCTTAGAAATCTCCTTAAATATTAAAGGAAGAAAAGGTAATATAAAACGCTATATCAAACAAGGGAAGGAAGTCCTCTTTCTAAATACAAGTAATACTAGCCCGGATTATATACTCGATCGCTTATTTATACGACCTTTTTAAAACCCGAAAATAGCTAACGTTAAGGGGCTAAAGCTTATATAACGAGTAAACAAGTATATAAAGAGTAATATTATTATTCTCTTTATAATGTAACTTAAACCCGGTCGAATAATAGCTTTCGTAGCCGTCTAGAATAAGAAGATAATAAATACTTTTCGTATAAGACTTAATATATATTTAATCTTTACCTCTTTTATTCGTAGTCTAGCCACTTTTAATAACTATAATTATTATATCCTTTAATAAAGGGCTTTCCTCGTAACACGAAGAGAGGTGCCTTTTACCGGCGAAGATAATATACGGAGGAATAACGTACCCGGGCGAACTAACGCCCTGGATAACTATTACTTATTCCCGATTACCTTGTTATACCGTCTTAAGTCTTCCACGCCGATCCGACGTAGTTACGACCATTTCGGACGAGATCTGCCTTATAAGGAAGCCGGTCTCGTCGAAGTTATAAATATTATCTTCTTAAATCGCGTATTTTTGGATTACGTTTCGTACGATGGTAAACCACGTACGATACGCGTCGGGATCTTCGTAAAGGACCCTTTAGTTATCGATCCGTCGATTAAAGCGCGTCTAGAGTTATGGTTATCGTCGTACAAAGGTTAACGCCTAGTTTACTCCGACGCGTCCCGCGTCGCGTTAGGAAAGGAGTCGGTTCGCTATATCTTCGACACCACTTATTCGAAGAGGAAATGATCGCGAATTTAGGTTAATTATATATTTTATAATTACTAGTTTTTTAAAATCGCTTAATTTTCGATTATTCGCGGAGATTTCGCGCCGCGTAATTCTGCCGCGTTATCGGCTACGTAAAGTATTATATAATATATTATACGTCGTAACGGCGTGTCGCAAACTTAATTTTGGGTTCGTACGAAGCGCTTAGAGCGCTAGATTAATTTGGTCTTCATTATAAGTACCGACCATGTTGCGTTATGGTGGTATTAAGGAATAAAGTTAGATGGTACGAAAATGATGTAAAGTGGTTCGTTCGCCCGTGTGATCCGTTCGCCCGTGGGGTACGTTAACCTTAAACAATATTTTCAGAGATTGTTTGCTCTTACTCATTACGTGTCATGGTGCGTTTGGATCATGTTAATTTCCCATCAACTTCCGGTTCTGGGTGATGAATCTTACGGGAGTTGACATATAGATTGACAGTATTTGAAATGCCTCAATCTTCGTCACCAATCATCCAAAACCATCGTACCAGGAAGAGAAATCTATCAGCTATAGTTCGAGATCCTTCTCAGGAGAAACTGCTTTGTCCTAGTTGTCAAATAGATTATTTGTATCATTATTTTAAAACCTTCCAGACGACGGAACCTAGAACGCTAACCGTCCTTGCTAAATCACTTATTCTGCATTGACAATACAGCGAAAGCTCCGCAAGTTCAGCTACACTCTTGAAACAAATAAGATAATACGATGTATTGCAAACCTCCAATCACGGATTTACGTCCTGTCCACCTCCCATTTTTAATGAAGTCGTTCGATCAAGAGTTGCTAGGCCGGTTACACTTCGCCTAGCACAACAGCGAACCGGATTGAAACCTGATTAACAGAATGCCCGGAGATCCGAGCATAATTCCAATCAAAGATAGCCATAGTGGAAGCCAGAAAGATTGATCGGCATTCAATTCGAAACAATCGTTAATTGCAGGGTTGAAAAGCTTCCGGAGCCCGGCGTCGGGTGATATCTCGGACCGCCTCCGCAGTTCCGAGATTCTTGCAATAGGCTTAACAGCAAGTATATATTCACAAGAGAGCGCTCGTGCACAGCACCAATATACCTATACTGGTAATGTACGATTTAGTAATATGCAAACAACGGTCGAATGTATGTCGTTGTTGCCGCGTCATGCTCCGCACCTTGGCAAAGAATGTCAGCAACTACCCATTACATTGGTCATACTAAGAACCCTTCCCCGGTGGGATGCAGAAGTAGATATCAAATGATGACTTGATCTTAATTCAATCACATAAATTTAAGTCAACATACAGATCCTCGGTCCATTCAGCCGTACAATGTGGAAATTTAATAAAACTGGGGTTTGCCAAACCTCCCCCTCCCCCCCCCCCCCCCCCCCAAAAAAAAACCCCCTGGTTAGAACGCGAGTCAAGCGGTAGCGAGACCCACCCTTACAGTTCGGCGAGCAGGGGTGACAAGTTAGACCTGTTTCAGGACAAGGACCTTTAATTTGGGCATCTAACTGTCACTTTTTTACTTCAACCTTTTATCTTTAACGAGAATGAGAATTCGATCGATAAAATGTCTCCCGTTGACCTTGTTGGCGGCCCAGCGAGTATGCCTGTCATCTACTTTCTTTCTAATTAGATTCAATCCATTCATTATTACCACTTTGACTTCACGATGTTGACCATATACTTTCTTTTGACTTCTTTCATTTCGCTTAGCATTCAGTCATTCGTTCATCCAGGGCTGCTAGTCACCGACGCTGATCTGAATCGTGCTAGCGCCAATTTGGACCATGCTCCATGGAATAACTCATACGCCCAGCTCACCAGTTGTAAAGTCGCCAGCGCTTCTGTAAGTAACTTTCGACGTCATCTTCTGCCATTTATGTCCTGTTTAAGGAGAGGCCAGTTATAGGTTTAGCGACTTTGCCCCTGGAATATAAACTTCAACTCCCGATACTCCGTTAAAGGACATGTGAAGAAGGAATCGCTGACCCCAGTTGTTGTAGTACACGCCAAATCCCGTCAGTGCCGTCTATAGAGGATCTGATGGTGTGCACGCAGCGAACACAGATATTTTGTGGAATGACGCTGCAGCCGCTTTTGCCCTTGCCCTGAGGTGGAAGCTTTCCGGTAACGACTCATATGCCGACGCTGCAGCCAACGTCTTGAAAGCATGGGGAGAGACGTTGACGACCCTTGGTGGCACAGATGATGCCTACCTGACAGCAGGATTTCAGGGACACGAGTTCGCGAACGCCGGCGAGCTACTCCGCGACTACGAACCATTCGTGCAAGATGGCTTTGATGCGTTCAAGTCCATGATGACGACGGTTTTCCTCCCCATGAACCTCGACTTCTTGAACCACGTGCTCGGATCAGAGCACAATGTCAAGCATTTCTTCGCCAATTGGGAACTGGGAAATCTGGCTTCGACGATGGCTATTGCTGTGTTGACCGACAATTCGACGCTGTGGGACTTCGCCGTCGACTATTTCAAGAATGGCGAGGGAAACGGCTGTATCAACAACGCAGTTACTAACATCGTTATCGACCCTGACACGGGAGCGTCGCTCGGTCAAGGTCAGGAGTCTGGTCGAGACCAGGGCCATTCGGCGCTTGACTGGCAAATGCTGGGTGTTATCGGACAGCAGGCATGGAATCAAGGGGAAGATCTATTTGGCTACAATGACAGTCGTATTCTCCAAGGGTAAGTCTACAGTACTTCGCTATCGCTTCCGTGCTAATGTCTTGAATAGCGCGGAGTATTTCGCACGTTATAACCTTGGGCATGATGTCGATTTTGAGGCATACACGAACGGTATCGTCAGCTTCGATATCATCAGCAACGTTTCTCGAGGTGCGAATCGTCCAACCTGGGAGTTACTGTATAGTCACTACGTGCAAATCAAACAGCTGGATGCGCCTTGGACTACGGCGTACCTCAACTATAGTCTGAATCAATATGGGGGATTTGAGCCAGGTGCCGGAGTTTCAGGGAGCACGTCCGGCGCGTTTGACGGTCTCGGTTGGGGCTCATTGCTGTATCACCGTGATGATAACGACACATCGTCCGCCACGAGCTCTGCGTCTGCGCCCACTGCGACTTCTTCTTCAAAGAATTCCGCGCTGCCATCCAGCTTCTTCCCGTCAGTCATATACTCTACTTTCTCGGCTTCTTCTACCGTTGCCGCAATTAGTACAAGTTCTGTGGTATCTGGTGGACCGAGTACGGCTCAAGGCGAATCATACCCGATAGCTACGCCAACCCAATCGTCAATTATGACGTCCATCGCGGCAAAGCCGACAGGATCATCGACCAGAGTCTCATACTCCAGTCAACCGACGGATCAGGTTCATGCTCATGGCTGTCATGCACGGAGATACTACCACGGATGAGGAATAATTTATAAAGAAATGATCTTGCCGGCATCTGCATTTCCCGATGCTCGTTGAATTGCCCCTGGAATAGATGCGCAATGAATGATCAAATCATATATTTTTCTACCAGCTGTGTTTACATATGTATACTTTTAGACAATCCATGTCTGGCAAAAGGATTTAACTCAACATTCATAATCACTTCAAAGTCGTGGCTCTTGCTAAACCCCCCGTAGTGGTGATATTGTTCGGTATGAAGATACCATATGGGGAGTTCTAGATTTGAAACAGAATGGGGCTGCATTATCGAGATGTGAATCAAATCAACCACTAATCTGTCGGTTCTTTGAGAAATCCATGCCCGATCAACTTGCGATTGTACCGGTCTTCAAAGTCAAGTCACCGCTCTACCAGATATTATATGACTGTCATCAGCGTAATGCACGAACGAGCTGAGCTATTCTCCCCAAGGACCGACACCTGGTCCTTTAAATACCTTGCCCGCTTTCCATACCCACTTCACGCTGTCTACTTCTTGTAATACTTTAACATCCTTGGCTGGATTTTCAAAAAGCCCGATAATGTCGGCCTCGTATCCAACTTTCAGCTGTCCTGTCTTGGGGGCCTTGGACCCCACGGTCAGTGGCCCATTCGCAGTAGCAGCCTTGATAGCATCCAGATTACTCATTCCGGCGTCTACGGCATACTCCAACTCTTTCGCGGCATTGAAACCTGGGGACATGTCTGTCCCTAACGCTATCTTCACACCTGTCTTGATAGCCAGGCAATAAGCGTCCCTGTTAGCAGTAGCCACCAACTTGGTCTTCTCCCAAACTTGCGGCGCCAACCCTTTGCCACCGGTCGACAGCAAGATCTCGTTGATGGTTCTGGTAGCCACATATACGATACCCTTCTCTCTGATGAGGTCTATAGCTTCGCGGTCTGCAAACGAACCATGCTCTACTGTTGTAACCCCAGCATGGACAGCTGCCATGATGCCCGGCTTGGCATGCACGTGGGCGGCTACAACAAGGTTCTGTCGTGTGGCCTCCTCGACAATACATTCCAATTCCTCGGAGCTGAATTGCGCGCAGAAAATGTCATCATTCAGAGACCCAACACCGCCAGACCCCATCACTTTGATACAACGCGCACCGCGGCGGATGTTGAGACGTACAGCACGCCGACACTCTTCCTTGCCGTCTACCACCATTAGTGCGCTTGTTCCGAAGTGACCTGATGTAACGTTTGCTACACCAATGTTGCTCAAGACCACACCGGCTGGTAAGTCATGAAGATCGCCATGCCCGCCAGTCTGGCTCAAACCCCCACCAGAACTGTAGATGTTAGGTCCCACGATGGTGCCGTCTTCAACGGCGCGCGCAATCTCACATCCAAGCCCGGACAGGTCGCGGACAGAGGTATAGCCCCACTGGAGCGCGTCCCAGCACCCTTTGGCGAGTCGTGCTCCAGCCTCGGCAGGGTGAGTAGTGAGGAAGGCAGCATTGCTGGTGGCGTCTTCGGGTACCCCGGAGAAATGAACGTGACAATCCCAGAGACCCGGCATCAAATAGGGCACTGAAACTGCTCGATGTGGCGATTCGCTGTATTTATCAGGCAGATCGGACTTTGGACCAATCCAAGCTATTAGTCTGCCGTCGACAACGAGTATCGCGTCTAGGATAGGCTTGCCATCGCCGGGGATCAAAAGGGTGGTGGTGATGATGGTGAAAATGCACTTTTTCGCAACAGCAACGAAGTCTTTAACTTTGGCGTGTGGGCGGGTTACTCGTTCAGATATTAATTCCCAATCCTCGAACTGTTCCGATCCTGTTTGTTGTGTTAAACATGCCATTATCCTAAATGTCCACGGCTATGCCTATGATAATAACAAGGGATATTTGGGTTCGGATTATACTTATTCGTAATAAGAGAGTAGAACGAGAAGTCGAAATGCTATTTACCGTTGACGTCAGCTTACGGTCATTTTTATAACGGCCTAACCATTTCCCCTCACTTATATAACCAACCCCCCTGCCCTCCCCTTTTTACAACGTAATTTACGAGAAGCCGAACATTCCTTCTACATTATGTGTGACATTTGAAAACATTGGGCCCACTGTCCCTAGAACTATGGTAATCTCATGGTATATATTCGTTGCGAAACACTCCCTAGGCCTTGCACCCCCTAGTGGAAGGGCTGCATGTAACGACCATTCTTATGGAATCGAACTCTAGACCTCTCCGTGTGCTCAGGGATTTTGCGCCCGATTTACCACTCTGGGGCCGCTGTCGCGCTGATCCTCTCTCGGAGTCACTATCCAGTAGAATAGCTATTTAGAAGAGTCGAATATGTGCGATGCGCCTTACTATACGAACTAGTCGCACTCTCGGGCAGCTATCGCCGTAGGCTCTTATAGCCGTACGTATAACTCATCTGTTTTTAACAGTTTAAAATGCGCGCCCTAAACTGTAACGCTAACCGGACTTAGAATTATAACATTTAAAAACAGTAGGCTTACCGTTTATAAAACGATAGTAATCTTAAGGTATATCTATAAGGGTATGGGTGTGGATAGCACTAAGCTGTGAGAGCTGACAATAAAGGTGTCAGACAACAAGCCTACAACTTTACGAACTGCAAAGTTGATATGGGCTTGTAATATGTCTTTTTTTGAAAGCTATCCTAGGTACAGATCAGAGTGATCTGTCTATATACTGAAGTAGTGAGTGTTGGCTTTACTAATGCTACAAGGGAGCCAAGTGGGTCGTACGACCTTCGTCGTGGTTGTCCAGGGTCTGATCAGTATAAGGTCGAAGGGATGGAACTTGTAAATAGTCGGAGGGCCATGCTTCTTCATACTTTGGACTACGGTCGCGTGGCTAGTTTTTGCAGCAGTGCATTCGGGAGACAACGAGAATGGCTCGTTGTCACTAATTAATGTTATTTTGGTCACCAAGTTCATTCTTTCCATTCATTTCTCAGTGATCAGTCCGCGAGTGAACCAGCGAGTTCGTTCGTCGTGAGGCTCATAACCTAAGGGACAAGACAGTGGTCCTGGTTCAATACTTGTTATAGCCTACAGCCCCGCTATAGGTATTATAATAGGAGTCCTCTTAGTGTTTTATCGTAAAGTAAGGAGGCGTTTAGCTTAAGTCCCTCTTATTTCGTAATAAGGGTGGCAATAATATTTGCTACTCCTTTTATAACTTTATTAAATTCCTAAAGTTTGTTAATAAGCTATATTTTAAGGCTGTTCTCCTTACGGGTTTCGCGTATCTCTCTTATTAATTCTTCGTATTATACTTTAACGTCGAATTCTTCCTTTTCGTCGGATTCTTCGACTTTTATCCTTTCGGCTAAGGCCTTAAGTAATTATTAGTTATTTCTTCCGATGTTCGATAAATTATTTAAAATATTACTTAATACTTTTACGGATAACGTACTTAAATAAGAGTGATTAAAATGTAACGATTATATTATTAAGTTATAAAACTACAAATAATATAATAGGCTAGGTTTATGCTAACAAGATATATAGCCGTAAAGAGAATATTATAATGATAAACCTTTAAAGTATATTAAATAATAGAGATTTATAAGTATAGTCGTTAAAGCGTTAGCTTTACTTATAAGTAAGATAAATGCTTAGATTAATTATTAAAGTAATAACTGTCTATATAGAGTAGGAAACCCAATCCTTATTATATCTATTTATTCCTTTACTAATGTTATTAGCTTACTACTGGCTTACTGTTAGCTTACTGCCTAGTTAGTGATCTAGGAGTGATCCTTTGTCTATGCTCACCTCTGGCTCACTGATCTACAGGTGATCCTGGTCGCGTGACCTTTTCTTGTCGGGCCAGCCGTTAGGCATACTGCCGGCTGTTCATATGTGGGGCCTCTAGCCTGTTCCCATTTTGGCACTGACGGAAAAGATTCCACCCGTTCAGCTAGGCAATAAAATGTCAGGAGTCCTGTCCCCACGCTGTTTCTGTGGATAAGCAACCATGTTTTACAAGTCAATTGTTCTTTCGATATGTGCCACTACGTTGTTGTCTGACTTTTTAACGGCGTTGTTCTTCATCATGAGTCCGCACTCAGAATGATGACTACTAGATTATACATAATCAGGTTAGCATTGTCGAAAAGTCATGTCTTTCGCTAAAGGGAGACGTTAGATCAGGGATCGGAACTGTTATACAGTAAGCCACCTCAAAACAAAAACTATTATAAGTAATAACAGTGAAATAAAAAATGATCGCTGTGTGAAAGGTTGAACGAAACTTCATGCCAGCATTTTCCGCTTCGATGGCTTTGGATCAGCCGTTCCTAGTTCCCAATGCCTTCCATATTGAGCGTCTGGATATGATCGTTTTGTTGACCATTGACCTACAAGAAGCCTAAATGCCGGCACACGCTTGAAATTGCAAACAAGAGCAAGGGTTGCGAGATGTGTCTAAGGACTGTGATTGGCTTGTGCTGAGTTCTCAGACCCAGTAATTGAAGCTACGGCCATCGACAATTATTGCTATATATTTTCTGAGTCTGTAACTACAGACTCAGCCTGTCGGAATGCTTATATTCAAACGATCGTGTCTGCGAGAAATAAGAAGGAGAAGAAAAAAAAGAAAAGCGTTTCAGCAACGTCCAACCTAGAATGATAACCTGCCCAAGGTCGTACGTTGAACAAGCACGGTGGAGATGACCCTTTCTGCGAATCGCTATCTGTGTATCGACTCATAAGCCCTGGGTCACCACGAGCAGCTGCATCCGGGCTCGTCCAGTTCACTGCCTCAGCCTTGCTCGACAAGTGTATATTCACCGGCAAGCTTACCACTATTCGCATCCAGGTAAGGGGTACAAACCTCTCCTGAGATCTGTTCATCATTGCAGGTTCCAGTACCTATATCATTTAGAATTAACAAAAGTCACTATTCCAGAAATGAGTTCGAGAAGAACTTACCTTCCGAGCATCGAACGAAGGAATTCCAGGCCACGTATCCTTTTTCACCTTCAGCAATAGTGAATTGTGCCGCCTCGGAGTTAGAAACCGACTCAGAAAATGTCGATGAAAAGCTAATCCCCAAGGAAACCACATCTTCAAAGCCGAGAGAAGCCTCGATAGTCATGCTCCATTCCTGGGTACGAGTCTGTGTTATCTGAACAACGAATGGCCCCGTGTAAACACTAGAGACGATTTGAGGCCTGTCTGCAGGTCTAGTATAGTCTTCTTTTCCGGCAACTGGTACCCAATCACCAGCACAAACCCCATTCCGCCTCGCCAGCATAGGTTTTTTAATAAAAGATTCACTAATAGAATCTGTGACAGGAGGGGATCCTACATATGCCGGCTGAATCTCGGTACCATTAATGGCAATACGGAGACTTTTCAGGCCGCCACCACCGCTGGACGCCAGCGCGGCGAGCATACTGCGATCGAACTTAGCTGATTGAGATATACTGCGCGTACTAGGTAGTCCGGGGATCCCAGCTGCTGCACAGTCCCCATTACCACAACAGAATTGCACCATAAAAGTTGTGTCCAACTTGATATCGCCACAGGTAGCATCCTGGAAGGTCTTCTGGATTTCTCCACTATATGAGTGGATATCAGTTAGTGCAGGAGCAATCGAAATACGACGATATGCTTTTTCGGATGACGAGGATTATAAGATCCATAGCAAGAGAAATTTCATTTTTACATACCAGCCAGGCTGCTGAAGGTCAGCGGGTGATTTAAAGATGATAAAGCATGGCTGTGATTCGTCCTGTTGAGGAACGTCAAGGAAAGCGTTAATGAAGCTTTGTAAGTCGGTTAGCTCAGATTGATGATAACATATATAGATCTTACATACTTTTTCTCCTCGTCGAAGCCTTGATTACCAAAAACATCTACTGAATTGTAGATTGCACAGTCGGGATACCCTGTCCCAATACTAGTTATAGAGACAGGGCAGTCGCCACAGCCGTCGTCTTTGCAAAACGTGAATGGGTCCTGCGCTACAGCTCTTAGCAAAGAGGAAGCGGCAACGAACAACAAAAATGCATCATTGAAGCGTAACGTCATGTTGAAGGATGTGGTATACAATTTCTTGTGATGGGATTCTCTCTTTCAAGGTGTAGGTTGACAAGGCAACTTGACACAGATTCAATTCATGATATGACGTGCCTTTTGTAGCCTCTAGCAATGACTTAATACATATTTTCTGGAGCTTACAATAGCAGTATGCCAAGGACTTTGCCGTACAGTCGTCATGTCACAGTAGTCGCTTTCCTGATCGCAACATAGATCGCCGATTCATAAATCGCCCAACGTACGGTATTGAAGTGCGGTTCCCCGAGAGGAATTCTGAAAGATGTCATGGACGTAACATTCATTTAGTAAATACCACACCAAATTGGCGATCGCAGGCTGCGGATGACTGACGGATGGCTCGGTGAGTGAGCGAATTTTGAAAAACTCATATGATATGTATACTCGGTGTTCGGATACATAGAGTGTTGTGTAATTATTATCAAAACCTGTTCATGGTTTGTATTTAACCCGCTAGAAGGCTAGATATTTAAAATAGATACTTCGGTTAGTATTCTTTCCGTCGTATTACCCCTCAACGAGTGTAAATCGACACAACTGAAGGAGATCATCGTTTTCCAAGGCGCTTAATAGGAGTACATCTGTGTATGTCTAGAGACCAGGGCAGTGGCCGTATCACGTCGGACCTTGTGTAGAATGGAATCGCAGATCTATTGGCAATTAGGAATGCTTTACGTGTGAGGTTGGGAGTTGTTAATGGCTGCAGTGCCTCGTATGGACACGACTGGATTAATGTCTACCGGGAACATCCTGTTGGTTCCGGCCAAATCATATTACTGTTGCAGTACCTGAATGTCGGGTTCAACAAACCAATCAAAAAGCAGCTACTAAACCCCGATGGATTCGCCGTTTTTTGATTGACATATAAGGTTTATTAGTTGGATGCATGAAAACAGATGCATGAAAACGGTTGGTTCACTTCGGGAAGGTCTTGAACGAGCACGAACGCATATGCCTCGGGCCTGCATGGAATCGATACATCATTTCGGATCTTTGAAAATCGTGCCATGCTTGCTGGCCTAGTGTCACACATTTCGCGCTCTTGAATAGTGCAGTAAAGTACTATGGCTTCGAGCAACTCCAGCGGCATGAAATACAATTATTACATTCCATGTATCTTCGACGATACGAGATACGATATAAGATGAGGGGTCCAATTTGCTGCTTCAAGCCGTGGCCATCTGCTTACGGTCAGGGCTAAATCTTTCTATGCAAATATGTGCATGTAATCCATTTTGATAGTTGCAACTGTGTCAGCCCATATCACCATGATATGTTCGTCTTGAATCCTACATGACTTGGCGAAATCTATTCGTGTTCGAACTAGCACAGCCATCGACTGTTGGGAATCTTAACGCGCAGCGGTAGACGGGATCCTTCCACAGGCTTTTGCCGAAGTGGTCACCTTTTCCCGTATTACAGAGCTTTAAGAGTATATATATGGAGCGCCTGTCATGAAAGATGACCCATCAAGCTCTTCGTGAAACTTACATATTATTCCCAATACTAGCTTTGATACCGTTTTTTTTTTACAAGACTTACGATGCATTTTAGAGCAATTGCCACTTTTTCATTGCTGGCCTTGCTTCAGCGGGCTTCTGCCACCTGGTAAGTTATGCATAAGATCACCCACCCATCTCGATTCCGTGGGTACTGTACAAGTTCTGATGCGGTCAAAAACCAGGATTCTCGACTTCTATGAGACTGGCTGTCCAGCGGAAGGCGAGATTGGAGATAGTGTTGGCACTACAGCTGGAGATGCAGAAGATGAGCTTTGGTGTATCGGCACCGCTTCTGCGCACAATATCGTCGCAACCGGTATTGAGGCTGACGGAATGATCGTGACCCTTTTCTCGGACAGTGGATGTACCGCCCTCATCACTGACTTTGAGACTGACGGATGCAAGGTCATTCCGCTCGATGTTAGTTAAATTCCCTCTGACGATCAATTAAGATCCCTGTCTCGACAGACTTTTTTAACAGGCTTCCGTGAAGACGGTCATTAGTGCTGCCAGAATTCTGCCTAAATGATGCCTGTAAGCGTCTTAGCGCCCGGTGGGACCAGCGGGTAAGGAGGTTAGCGCTCGGCCTCCCATGTTGATTCGAGCCGAGGGATTTGCCGCAGGAAGCGGGGAATCGGGAGCAAGAATGGTTGGAATGGGATGGTGCCGGTTTGGATCTAAGTTTAATTAGTGCACTAGTTTCAAAACTCATTAGGTATGTGCGTGACCTCAAATTGAACTCTGGCATAAATGGAAGATATATAAATCCTTCATCGAAGCTTGCATAATTGATCTAGAGGATGCCCTTCACAGCGGCATCTCATATTTATCCCAGGCACCAAATCATACACCCAGTAATCTACACAAGACACAGTCATTGGCTACAAGGCCCTGAATGAGGCTTGGCTACGTCGGGCTAAATTTCAATCATATCATCTCTTTGCGATCGACATGACCGGTCCGAGGCTCATTAAATTGTGTCCGAAACACACAGACTTGGCAATGCACCAACAACAGCCGCTACGTCGATTATTTCCCCTTTGCCGCAATAGAAGATACTTCTACATCACTCGTATCTGCCGCTCAGCACTGCGCCGCACAAATAACCGAAGACATACATGAAACCTCTGTTTGCCCTACGTCACCACCTTTCCACCGAAAATCCACAGGTGCCCAGCCCCGCGGACTACAAATTCTTTTGCTTTGAGTTTTCAGTGAGTTGTGATTGCTGTAAGCCTCGTTTTTCAATATTCATATTGCTCGGTTCATACTTCGTCATCTGCATATTTTCTCGAGATTTTGACATTCAATTGGCAAGTATGCCAGTGACTTCCCAATCAATGGGCGTATTCCACGTTGTTGCAAGCATTTTCTGTCTCTATCCCATCTTGGCTGCCGCAATAGATACTGTTAAAGGCTCTGTGACGGTATTTCAAGCTACTGGCGATGAAGGGCCCTGGAAAGAGCCTATCGAGGACTTTGAAGCGCGTCTTGATGCCCCAAATGCCACAGGAAATTATCGAATCGCCGGACCGAATATTTCTGTGCCCTATACTGATGACAATACTTTAGACGGCTGGTCTTGGTCACTAGCCGTTACAGCCGATCTGCCAATTGCCAGCGAGCTCGCTTCCAAATATGGCAGCGAGAAGTTTTACACCGGCGGAAAGCTGACCTTCAATGCACCCGCTTCTCTTTTGGCATCTTCTACACAATACCTCACTGTAAATGACGATTGGCAGATTTGCCTCTTCAACTGGGAAATCAGCAATGTCGACTATCCTGATAAGCTACGTACGGACGACGGCAGCTGCTCTAGCGTCTTGACCAGCGAATGCATTACCGACTTGCAGAAAGCAGTGGCAACGAGAAGCTCGCCATACCAATGCAACTGTCCAGTGACCAAGGACATACTATCGTGCGCTACGCTGGGAGATGACAGTGGTCTTTGGCAAAACACTTGTGTCGCGCGTCTGTTCAATTCGACACACATCCGGGAATGGGAAGATGGCAAATTGGATACCTGGACATATGGTGGAGCTACATTGCATGATAGTGGAAATGTGACGGATTATAACTATATTGGCAGTATAGCGTGGCCTGTTATGGCTAGCTTCGGTACAGGTACTTACCAGAAAGGCACTCTGTCGTGCTTGCGTGCTACAAACGGGACACAAGGGAGCACGGCACCGACTGGAAAGTCGTTCCAGGATGGGACTGGTAGCGCTACCTCTGATGAAGGGAGTGGCAGTCAGATGTGGCTGAACACTTTCTGGGTCATTTTTGGCTTTGTTCTTGCGTCAAGTGCCATCGCCTTATAGATGGAAATTGTAGGTAGAATTGTTACAATCTTCGCCTTTAGTGCTATTGATCCTTGTTTTATTAGTTCAGATAATCTTACCTGGTTACACATATCGACACTTCCTGTTCAGCCTCACTCAGCTTGCCACTCTCTGTGATTGAGCTACCGCATTAATGCGCGCCACTATTAGAAATAGACTTGGCAGGATTTGTTCTTGCATGATTGACTTTAAGATCAAAGACATCCAATCTCTGATACCAGCATGGCTGCCTAGGAAGCACTTGTGCCACTTTGGGCCTTGGCTATTATGTTTGCGTTAGTATTTTATAAGTAGGAATTAATATATTTATAAAAGACATTTTTTAATCAAGTTTAATTAAACTTAGCTTATTAATTTAAAATCTTAATAATAAAATGTTTTAAATTATTATTGTTACGAACCTGAACTGGGGAACACATTCTCAAGCTGCACAGCTGCGGCCAAGCAGGTGGGGGACAGCTGGATATGTCAGACGCAATGCGAAACGAGACGGATGGCCCCGAGAAGTCACGCGACGGATCACCATTGTATCGCGATGATCCCAGAATGAGCCTCACGGTGGGAGACTGTGAGCCACGCATTAGTGAGGGAATAAATGGATATATTAAGCATTAGATGTCCTACTCTACAGAGATAGTCATTACCTCAGTGATTAATCTAAGCATCTATCTTGCCCATAGGTAAATCCTATCAAGCTTTGACGACTATTACTTGTGAATTATCTTTGCTCAGTATTACCTTCACACTATCGTCATAGTGTTGACGTCCTGGCTAGCATACCCTGTTAGCATACACCCAGCTTGTTATATTATCTGTGGTTATCTACCCGATACAGTAGTGTAATCGTCACAGTAGGGCTTTAGATATTTAGCTACGCGTTATGACGGTCCTGCCAGTCGATATAGCCCGCCACGGCCCGTTAGGCACTACAGTTTGAGGCAATTAATTTGTCCCCGTGGTCAAGTATCTTATGTATTTAAACTAGCTCACTCATACTATTGGAGTTAGCGTAATCGTTATAAACACTACTATGACATATTTGAATAGATAGAGTACTTAATATGGGGACAAATTAAATGCCACCTACTGTAGTGGATATGCTGGGTGGGGCTACGGATATTAAGCTACGCGTCGCATATATAATTTTAGTTCGCTTAGCTTTAGATTTTCCATGATACGTATAGCAAGGTCAGAGCCCAGTCTTGACTACTCTTACGCGCCGTGACACGCGTCGCGTGTGTAATTTGGGTTCGCTTAGCTTTAGATTTTCCACAATACGTACAGCAAAGTCAGAGCAGTCTTAACTACTCTTACGCGCTGTAACTAGCCTGTTCGAATCTTTCTTTTACACCACCTAAAACCCGCCACCTCCTTTAAAACGTTATGTTAATATCGTAGATATCTTGTAATAGAAGTTAAGGTAAGCTAGCTGGCTCACTTTCGACTTACCCGCCATGCATTCTTTAGTATTATTAATTGAAATACTAAGACAGGTCTAGAAAACCTCGGCCAGATCAGATGGCCAGCCAGGAGAGGCCGGAATGGTGGAAGCCATCGCTTTATCCTACTGTTGATATTTCTCCTAAGAATGAAGATACTGGTACGAATGCATACATAGTGCCATCTTTACGACTTCTGCTAATTTCCCTAGCCTTGTCTAAAGTTGTTCACCTTCAGCCGCCCAGTCCGCGCGCACCTGGGATACTGACCATTGCGTCGTGTCACGTGTCTGGGCTGAGATTTCCCGACCATGTTCGAGGGTCTGGGTACACAGGATCAGGTGCAGCGATTGTACAAAACAAGTGGCAGGTCTACGCGATCCTAGAATATGAGGCATTCCAGGAACGCATTGAAGACTTCAACTGGGATATTTCAGGGCGTGTGAGGTGGTCACAAATCCACGGACCGCTGAAATTTGATATTTACAGGCCTTCCCAGCTGACTGTACATCTTTTGGTTAGATCATCTAGTTGCTCGGGGTTGAAAGAAGAGCTGCAAGTCATACCCCTTGGACTGATCAAATACAACCCCTTCCAAGAAACCGATTCCCCGGATCGAGGCTGGAGAAATATCCAAGACAGCACCGTTAAGATTCGAATCAATGTCTCATACATCGAGAAAAAGGGACCGGACCCTGATGTTTGGCAAAACTGGACACAAGAATGGTCCGTCTTGAAGAACACCAGTTATGCATATGTCACATGTAAAAGAGGGAACGGCAATCGAAAGTATGCTATGAGGACGTTGCCTCTGGTTGTACTTGACGCTGATTCTGATATTACGCAAAATATTCGCTCTAAGATTCAGCAACATCCTTTCATTGCACCACTGCAATTCGTTTTCGAGTCTCCCCAAGGACTAAGCCTTCTTTCGCCGGTACCCAGTAGTGGTCACCTTTTTTATTACCTGCAAAAGGAACGACGCTTCGAACTTGATAAAGTCATGTTTTACGCTGCTGAGCTAGTCTGTGTATTGGAGCATCTGCATGGGCTGGGCATTATAGCCTCTTTAAAGCTCGAAAATATTCTTTTGGACTCCTTTGGTCACATCAGCCTATGCAGCCCTAACATCTTTGGGCTGGCTTCGAACGATAAGAATTGCCTTTTGTTAGGGACCGAGTACCCAGCACCTGAGCTCCTTACCGGGGGAGAGATATCCGAAAAAGTCGATTGGTGGGGTTTTGGGATTGTTCTCTATGAGATGATGGTTGGATTGCCGCCATTCCAACATAAAAACGCTGGCGAGCAACGTCAGAAGACTCTCAGTCAAGCTCTGCAGATCCCTAAAGGATTCCCTCCAGCTGCCAACGACATTTTGCACAGTCTGCTTCAGAAGAGTCCCGCGAATCGTCTCGGGGCAAACGGAGCCTCAGAGTTGAAAACTCATGCATTCTTCCATGGCATCAACTGGCAAGAGCTTCTCCAACGTAAACAAATGAGCCCACTGATGCCAGTTAATATATCAACATCCTTCGTTCCGAACCCAAAAGCACCAAAGCAAAGATCTACACCATTTGTGGTAAATGGGGTAGACATCAGAAACAAATTTAAAGCTATAACATTGGAGTCTCACAAAGGAGAAGAAAATCGAGTCAATGTCTACGATGACGTTGCACTTGACGCCTATAAACACGGGTGGGAGTTGGTCTGGGATCAAAACATTCGACAATTTCATTTCAAAAACCGTCTAACTGACGAGAAACGACCAGTTGGCCCTCAAGGCTCCTATACAACGGTAGAAGCAGAAAAAGCCCCAAGAACTGCAAGCGTATCCAAAAGCAATCCTACAGTGCCGGAAGATAATGACGAGGCAATATCGCGGCGTCCTAGCGTGGATCAAAAACGGGACGCGTTGGCGGCTGCACTGAAAGCTGGGTACAACAGCCGCGTGGTCTCGCAGATCCTGACATATGATATAGATCTCAACATAGCCATACTCAAGTACGATCACAAGCGTGATTCCATCATAGATGCGATTCCGGTCACGCCCTTAGAATGGGCTGTGGAGCATGAACAACTCGATTTGGTCAACATATTCTTAGACAACGGCGCCGACGCGAACCACACCTATAGCGTGGCAATAGGACCTGCTCTACATAGGGCAGTCAGGAAAAAGAACCAAGAAAACATAGCTGCTCTTCTCAAGAAAACAAACCGGCTTTTTTCGACAAGAGCTCTCTGCTCAGCGATAGAGATGCAAGACACCACAAGCGCTAGTACATTACTCGCCGATGGCGTTTGCTGTGATTTCAAAAGATCGGATTTTACTCCTCCTAACCCTCCCGATATATACGACTCCAGATCTGGCGTACCTACACTCTCAGCCTTCCATCTTACACCCCCCATCGTTCGAGCAACCGTACTAGGTAACGCCGAACCTGGTTCGGATGCTACTTGCGTATGGTGCTGATGCCGACGCTGGCTACCACTATCTATGCCTTCGCGTGGATCACCAAGACACAGAGGTGGAGATACCAGCAGTTTTCTCTTGTGGGAGGGTGATACAGCTTGCGATGTAGAAGAAGAACACGAAAATTGTTGAATTACTTCTCGACAGCGGGGCAGATATCACGCTTCCAAGGTCGGAGATCTGGGACCCACACCACGTATGCCCGATGATATCAAGGCCCGAATATGTAGAGTTAATAGCAAGCCTGGAAGATTTTGTTACAGCGAGGGCACAGGCAGTAACAAGCAGCTAAAAGGCTACAAAATTGCTAGTCTCTTTTCTTTTAAGTTTCTAATCTCTATAACGTACTCCACAATTGACTTGATCACCTAGTTAACCTTACAAGTATGCATTGCGCCGTATACCCTTTGCGGATTTACATTCAGTGACAGAAAACCAGCGCTAAGGATTAACCAGGGGTATACGGATTTTTAAAGGATGGGTATACGGATTTACTAGGAAACTAATGTTCTTATTATCGTAATAAGCTATTATTTTGATAAATAAGTAATTTAACTACTATAATTTTAAATTACTTTTTAAATTCCGGATTAAACTTATAATTATAGAGATATTTTAATAAAAAGAGTTAAAGTAAAAATGTAAATGTTCCGCGCTAAAAATGTATAAGCTAGTAAACTAACTAGGTTATAATAATATTATAACTTATAATTTATTAATTAATTAAAAAATCATAACCTTAATAGTGTTATATATTAAACTAAGACTATTATCTTATCCCTTTAGTTATAAACCTCGCGATAAAACTTGTTAGTTTACTCGTAAACTAATTATTTAAATATAAATGGAAACAATGAACTTAAAGATTAAGATAATATTAATGTAACAACTTAGCCTAAGTGTTAGCTTAGCGCTTAAGTAGCGTATAGAGTGAACTAAGACCACTGTCTTGTCCCTTAAGTTATAAGCCTTACGACGAACTCGCTAGTTCACTCGCGGACTGATTACTAAGAAATGAATGGAAAGAATGAACTTGGTGACCAAAATAACATTAATTAGTAATAACGAGCCATTCTCGTTGTCTCCCGAATGCACTGTTATAAAAACTAGCTACGCGACCGTAGTTGTTACGAACGAAGGCCAGGAACCAGGCCTGAAGTGGAGAAAGGAAGCATGGACCAGCCAGTCACCACTGCTGAGATTCCATTGGACAAAAAGACAGCACAGGACTCTGGGTCACGTGACTTGGGAGCCACACAGGGACGGCGCTTCATGCGACTCTAGGAGCGATGAAGGCGCCGCGCTCCCAGCGCTCCAGGAGCGACAGGAGCATCGCGCTCCCAGCGCTCCAAGAAGTATCATTGAAGGAATGAATGGGTATAATAAGGATTGGGTTTCCTACTCTACATAGACAGTCATTACTTCAGTGATCAATCTAAGCATCTATCTTACCCATAGGTAAAGCTCACGCTTTGACGACTACACTTGTGAATCTCTTTGCTCAGTATATTCGAAGGTCTATCTCTATAGTCTTCTATTCGTGGCTAGCATATCTTGTTAGCATAAACCCCCTTGCATTATATTATTTGTGGTTGTGCAACCCGATAGTATAATCGTCACAGTAGTCCAAAGTGTTACGAACCTGGCCGGAAGGCAGGCCAGGGGCCCCACATATGTACAGCCGGCAGGGCGCCTGACGGCTGGCCCGACAAAGAAGGGTCACGTGACAGGATTACCTTTGGATTAGTAAGCCAAAGGTGAGCACGAACAAAGGATTACTCCTAGATCACTAACTCGGCAGTGAGCTAACAATAAGCCAGAGGTGAGCTAATAACATTAGTGAAAGAATGAATGGATATAATAAGGATTGGATTTCCTACTCTACATAGACAGTCATTACTTTAGTAATCAATCTAAGCATCTATTTTACCCATAAGTAAAGCTCACGCTTTGACGACTACACTTATAAATCTCTTTACTCAATATATTCTAAAGGTCTATCTCTATAGTCTTCTCTTTACGGCTAGCATACCTTGTTAGTATAAACCCCCTTATATTATATTATTTGTGGTTATATAACCCGATAATATAATCGTTACATTTTGATTACTCTTGTTTAAGTACGTTATCCGCGAAAAGTACTAAGCAATACTCCATATAGGAACAATACACGATGTCTTGTAACGGAAGCACTGTTAACAATCCTACGGGAGGAGCCGACGTATTGTCGATAATACGAGCTCTCTAGGAACAGATAACAGCTCTCCAAGTTCAGAATAACGAACTCTAAGCCGCCTACGTTAGCGTTAGGAACGATAATGAATAGCTAAACGAGCAACTTGTTGTTATACCCCTTACTGCTCTAGCGCCGGCGATCGCGCATAGGAGTAACGGATACAAGATGCTAGCACCATAGGCATACGACGGCAAGGATGGGAACGTTTAAGGATTCCTTACTTAATGTAAGGCTTATTTACGATTTTATCGAGACAAAATCATCACGCTATTTGATAAGATCCTTTAAATTACAGGATTCCTCCGAGGAGACGCACTCGAATGGTTCGAGCCAACTATGAGAGACTACCTTAACAACAACACCGAAGCTAGTCGAGAAGATAGCACCAATGAAATGTTTGCTAACTACGCCAAGTTCGAGGACAAGCTTAAGGTAACATTCGGTAACCTAGATGAGACACGAACCGTAGAAAGACGCCTTATATAACTTAAGCAAAAGGGCTCTATATCTAAGTATGCTTCCGAGTTTAAGCAAATCTCCTCTAGAATTATATAGAGTGATAACGACGCCCTTATAACGCTCTTCTACGCAGGACTACGCGAAGACGTCAAGGATAAGGTCGCTAAAGAAGATCGACCGGAAGAATTCGACGACTACGTCGAAAGGATTGTCAAGATTAACAACCGCCTGTATAAGAGAAGGCTAGAGAAGCGAGGATCCGGAAATGGTAACCGCGACAATTACTAAAAGCCTAGAATGAATATAGGAAAGAGCCGTAATAGTAACCGACCACGGGATAACAGCTGGCGTAACAAGACGTTATACGGACAATATAGCGGACCTATGGACCTCGACGCCACTAAACGAGGAGGACCTAAGAAGGACAAAAAAGATGTCATATACTATAACTATAACAGAAAGGGTCACTTCGCTAACGAATGCCGATAGCCTAAGAAGGGAGGCTTTAAACCCGTTCCAAAAGGACGGCAGGCTTAAGTAACCACTAGAACTAATATTACGGAAGAACGATAAGTTAATATAACCACCCGTACCGAACCATTATATAAGGACTTATACTAGACATTTTGCTATAACAATGGCTATAATACGCACGCTTTTAGCAAAAGGGACTAAGGCTAATACCTTTCTAAACCACGTAACTTTTACATAGTTCGTAAACAACTAGTAACATAAGTAGAAGACACGTATAATAGTTCAGAGGAACACGTACTAGCTGCCCAAGAATACGACGGACCAACCCGTCTAAAGAACGAATTAGAGTACGAATTAGAGGAAGATTCCGAAGACAACCAAAGCGGTTTCGACATCAGAGCAAACAATGATCGATACCAAGAAAACGTTTACCGAGACAACCAGGTTACGAAACTTCGCTACCTTATGGATCGAGCTATTCGAACCTAAGAGTTTCCACGAGTACTTACTGAAAATACCCTCGAAGAGATAGGAGCTATGATCTTCGCAGGACAATCATTCCATACCCCCTAGGAACTATATCAAGCCCTAAACGACGTACAAAACCTTGGTAATACAGGATGGGAGAAGTGGACACTAGGAGCCATCTTCGGAGATAACCAGATATTATATAAAAATAGTAGAGGACATAGAACACTCGCTTAGACCTCATGCATCGACAGGAACTATGCGTTTTACCTCGAAGAGAAATTAAAGCATGAATTCTTTCTAAATAGGATCGTATTATAGTCTATTAACAAACCTTACTTGGCCAATAAGATTGGAGAAGTAGTGGTACGATACCGAGACCCGTAAGGATACGCTATCTTTACTACGGACCCTCGTTAATACTTCGCTTGCCTTAAGGGACAAGTTAACTAGGACTAATACCACGATAACACTTATATAGAACACGCCGACATGAAGTGCCGCGCGTAAAGAGGCCTATAACAATATTACTAACAATTCGCAATTCGCGTCATTATAAATAAGAAAAGCCTTAAACTAGAACAATTAATCTAGCACCTTACTTAACAACCTAGCATTAATAAGCAAGAAAGAGAGGAAGCTTATACACTAAGCCAACGACTTAGAGCACGACAGAACAAGAAAACCCCTAATGTCGACGACAGTAATAGCGACAGCGATACCATGGATAAAGACCCCGACGAAGGATTAACGGGAATCGAGGTTGTTAAGAGAGACCTCCTAAGCGAATCACCACCCTAGGAAGGATATAACGATCACAAATACTTACTCGAGGAAGTCGAGCGAAGGATGTATTATGAATACGACGACAGCCACGACTAGCCGTTATTTAGGGAAATATATCGGGACGTTTCCCGACAATGGGAACAACTTAGTCTAGAGTTGTATCGCCAGAGAACTAGCATTAAACCAACAAATCAAGTCACGATCTATAGACGAGCACTAACCCCTGACAATCTACCTAGCAGTAGAATCCAGAGATGGATACGAGATCGACAACACGAGTTAGAACAAGACGGAGTCATTCCACTTTAGATAGAAACATTGCGGAACTACGCAATCCTCGCGATAACCGCGACAGGACGACGAGCCAATACCCCAGGAACTTAGGAAGAGGACTACGAAGCAAACGAATGGCGCGGGTACGCTTAGGCTATACAAGAAGCCATAGAACGTCGAGAGCGACGCCGACCTATCAAGACAAGATCGGGAAAAGAACCTAACCGTTTGTAACGGGACAGTAACGGTTAGAAGAAAGGTCCCTATGCATTACCACAACCAACATACATGATTACTTCACGATAAAGGTTCGAATCATAGGACACGATATTAAGGCCCTAGTAAACACGGGTGCTTAAGGAAATTTTATCTCGCCACAAATCGTTAATAGGCTCCAAATCGACTAGAAGCAGAAAACGACGCCCTATACACTCAGGACGGTAAATGGAGAATTCGTTACTTACGACAACGGACTTATAAGCAGAGAGACTACGCATATCCCCGTTTATATCCAAGATCGAGAGGAACAACTCCAATGCGACATCACCGAAATCACGGACTACGACTTAGTCCTAGGGATACCTTGGTTACGAGCGAGCAATCCCAGAGTAAACTAGATCACAGGCCATTTCTAGTGGGATACACCAAGCAGAGACTTAGCCTCTAAGAAGTGTTTGAAGAAACCCTCAAGTAAGCCTAAGACATTTGGATTCTATCTAGTAACTAAAGATGTCAAGCTGAACTCAAACAAAACGATACCCGAAGAATATAACAAGTTTAGAAAACTGTTTAACGGAAAGCTCGACACAGGATTACCGCCGTATTCGGTATTTAACCATGAGATTCCACTCCAGGACGGAAAGGAACCTAGATTTATGAAAATCTACCCGGTCAAACCTTATAAGTATGCATTGCGCCGCATACCCTTTACGGATTTAAATTCAGTGACAGAAAACCAGCGCTAAGGATTGACCAGGGGTATGCGGATTTTCAAAGGATAGGTATGCGGATTTACTAGGAAACCAATGTTCCTGTTGTCGTAACAAGCTATAATTTTGATGAATGGGTAATCTAACTATTATGATCTTAAATCAGTTGTCAAATTCCGGATTGGACTTATAACTATAGAGATATTCTAATAAGAAAAGTTAGGGTAAAAATGTAAATGTTCCTCGCTAGAAATGTACAGGCTAGCAAACTAACTAGGCCGGAATAATACCCTAACCCACAATTTATTAATTAATTGAAAAATGTGGTAATATAAATAACTATAGATGTCTATAGTATACGGAGAGCACTCCGTACACTAAGGCGACGAGCGCGTAAATTACCGAACTTAGGAAGTGGTAATCACGTGACTAGGCTAGTAAGTATATACCCACTTTCTATACACCGACATTCTCTTTTATACTCTTATACTCTTCCTTTTAGTGCATTATACTCGACCTTTATTATAATAGTCCTTTATATTAACTATAAAAACTATTACATAGTGCTTCTTTATCTTTAAAATGGAATTATTCTCTATATTACCAGATTATAAGTTACTTATATGTAAGCGTTGTCAGTATACGGTTATCCAAAGCCGTATTAAAGCCCACCTTTAATAACATAATATCTAATCTAGTAACGTATTAAAAGCTATCGCTTAGGCTATATAACAAGACATTATAAGGACTAAAGCCTAGCTACGAGCTTTCCGTATCCTAAGCGACGTCTTACCTATCCCATATATCCGGCTACCTACTAACAACGGTCTCCGGTGTTTACTCGAACCTAGTTGCTAGTTTGTAATAGTACACGAAAAACGCATGCGAGAACACCTAAAGAGCGCCTACTATTACCATACAAATAAGTAACGTGGCCGCCCGAGGAAAGGGGATACCATTATAGAAAATCGACCCTAGGCGACTAGTGTATAGTATTAGCAGCTATTTGTACGGTAACACGGCCGTGAGTACTTCTAAGTGCTTTATCACGTTAACGATGCCGTCCGGGCTAGTATAAGCGATATAAGCGACAATATCACGGTATAGGAAAAACTTATGGATGCGTTTATAGTAGCTGGCGACGAGAAGCGGATACCCTAACACGATATAGTGAATGAGTTCGTAGCACCGAACCCGTGGGTAACGAGGCTAGGTGCTTTACATCACCTAGCAAGTTTATAAGGAGAGAAGCCGTTCTTACGGGGGCTAGTCTCTACTAGTCTACCCGGTCCTACGTCTACTACACAAGATACAAGGGTGGTGCAAAGGGATAGCGAGCAAGACGATGATAGGGCCGAAACCGAGAAAGCTATACAACAAGTATACTAGGCTCTACGCAGACTTTGTTTACTAGGGAAGTCTATAGCTAGGCAGAACGTAATAAGGCTCGCGACATTGTTTAAGCTTATAAGGCCTAGCCTACAAAGCGGCTCTACTAAGCCCTTTCACTGGAACCATCGAGACAAGACGTATACACGGTATATCGGCGTGTTTAAGCAGCTATTAGCCTATTCTATACGTACGGAATCGTTAGAGGCAGACGATAGGCGGCCGCCGTTCCGATTGACGGCATGGTAGGCCAGGACCCGTCTAGAGATATTACATGCGGCCGACAGGGCTACCGAAGCGTGGGAGGCCCACCTAGACGATAAGAGCCACCCTTCCGTACAAAGTGCTTAGAGGCTAGTAAAAGAGAAAGTCTTAGCGCATATTATAGCCATATTACGTCACGTTACGCCCGGGTCGGAATACGACAGCATTCTTGTTAGCTTTATCATAGTGCTAAGCATTCGGACCGACGAGACGTGGGACACGCCTAGCAACGTCGCGCCTAAGCTGTCGGCACTACTTGTAGTATTGCGACTAATGGTGCTTATACACGCCTTTTAGATGCGCCGGGCCGACATGCGCAAGTATATCGACCTAGGGCTCTCGGAGGAGGAGGCGGCGGAGAAGTCGACTAGTTACTTCTAACGGGTAAAAGCGATCGTCCACACGTACATGCTTGTAGAGGGCGACAAGGTAGTGCCTACGCCGACGCAATTTGTTCTCCGCCTACGACAGTATGCTATGAAGCTGCACGCATCTGTCGTTAGTACCGGGCATATGGCCTGGGATGGGGCGACGATCCAGTTCAAGGGCGTGCGATTATAACTAAGCGACATCCAGGCCATGGTACAGTCTGCCGTTAGCCAGTATCGACAGGTCTTACTCGACGAGTTGTTAGCCCTCCCCTGGGTTAAGGGGGAGGAGGAGAGGTAGAAGCTGCCTACCGTGCCCTAGGACATGATTATAGATAGCCCGGGAGAGCATATATAATACTACTCGTTTATAAAAGAGCTGTACAAGGCGCTAGATGGCCGTGCGTGGCTGTTCCGTCGCATACTGGACGAGTCCGACCTATAAGCCTTGTGGCTTAACCGGTCCGGGATCGTAAGCGGCCTAGTTATACAAGGGGAGCAGGGTTTAGTGCCCTTCCAGGCATGCTAGCTAGACTTTTACGAGAGCAAGATTAACCAGTTCTTAGAGATGCTCTTGTTCTGCGTACACGTGAGTGTTGGCTAGCCAGCACGTGGTCCCGAAGTGCTGTCCGTGCGCCACCGAAACACGACGAATGGAGGGATTCGGAACATCTTTATCGACAAGGGCGAGGTGATGGTAGTGATCGGCTATCATAAAGGCTACGCAAGGACGGGGAAGTTGTAAGTCATCCACCGCTTTCTACCGCGCGAGGTTAGGGAGCTGCTCGTATATTATTTATGGCTGGTCTTGCCGTTTTGGCAGAGCTGCCAGGCCCGTTATAAGGGGGACACGAATTTCCGGTTAAGTCTATGGGCGGACGTGGAGGATGACGGTGTCCGAGCTCGGCAAGACTACATACCAGCCCATTTGGACGACAACGCACTCATGGCGATGGTCACGGTGGCGGAGGACGACGAGCCGGCTAGGGGACGAAGCCCGGCCCGAAGTCGCTAGACGAGCGCGCGCTTACGCCTAGTCATTAGCCGGGTTAGTAGGCAGTATACGGGATAAGAGCTGAACATTAGCAGCTGGCGCTATATCGCCATCTCTATGGCTCGACGTTATCTTCGTAAGTGGTTCGGAACGGATGCGCGGGAGGGGCTACTAGAGAAGGCGGAGGATGCTAGTGACGAGGACGACGGGGACATATTCGACACGGATCGGGGGAAGAGTAGCGCGTGGGATTTGCAAGCCGGTCATGACAGCCATTTAGCCGGACGCATCTACGCCCGTCTTATTAGCGAAGCCGCCTTTGAGACGTTGGACAAGCGGGAGCAGTTCCGGGCCATCTCGCGGGACTGGCATCGGTTGTTAGGGTTTCCGTCCGCTGCCGAACAACTACTGTGGGGGCCGCTACATCTAGGACATAAGCGTAAGAACCCGTCGCTCTTTTAGAGCGAGAACGAGCGGATGCAGACTATGCGCTAGTAGGTGTTACGACAGGCGGACATCCACAAGTGGCTCCGGACCAAGATGTATGAGGAGGCAGAGTTCCGCAGCTTATAGGAGCCCGTTATCCGGGCCGTCTTACAAGGAACTAATCCGATCGTGGCCGTTATAGGGACGGGCGCGGGCAAGAGCCTGTGCTTTATGCTTCCAGCGGCCGTCTGTTCTGGCGGGGTTACGGTGGTCGTCGTGCCGCTAGTGGCCCTACAGGGGGACATGGAGAGGCGTTGCATAAGGATGGGCATATCTGTAGTAACGTGGAGCGTCTAGCAACCATACGCGGCGGCCGAGATCGTGTTCGTAACGCCCGAGTCGGCCATGACCAAGGGTTTCCACACGTATCTAGCCTTCTTATAGGAGAGCCGGCGCCTGGACCGGATCGTCGTCGACGAATGCTACACCATCCTAGAGGGTAAGAAGGACTTTAGACCAAAGCTCTAACAGCTCGGGGATCTGAGCCTAGTTAGTGTCTAGATGGTCTATCTAACGGCCACGTTGCTACTAGCCAGCGAGGCGGAGTTTATTAAACACTTAGGTGGTTAGCCCCGCGAGCACGTCACCATGTTCCGGGATGGTACGACGCGTACTAATATCCGCTATGGCGTCCACGTTAAGCCGCTATATACCCTAAAGCTTGTTAAATAGCAGGTTAGGAACCTGGTCGATAGCAAGCTGGAGGAGTACCCGTAGCCGGCCAAGGTGATCATCTATTGTACTAAGGTCGAGGCCACCAAGCTGCTCTTTGCTGCGCTTAGGTGTAATGCCTACTACCGGGAGCTAGGCACCAAAGAGGACAAGAGCCACTTGCTAAAGGCGTGGATGTCGGGCGAGCCACGGCCAGGGCGTTACGGGGACGGGCGTGTCATCGTGGCGACCAACGCCATGGGCCTGGGCATCGACGTGCCGGACGTGCGGCTGGTTGTCCATGTAGGCCCAGTTTACCGAATGCAAGACTACGCATAACAAAGCGGGCGCGTAGGCTAAGACGGGAAGCCGAGCGAGGCGGTCGCCTTTATAGGGGAGGCGTAGCTAAAGCGGTACCGGCGAGCGAGAGAAGAGGCGGACCCCCTCGCCCCGTATACGTTAAGGGATTATTTTAGCGGTTTGACCTGCCGTCGAAGGGTTATGAGCTTTATTATGGACGGGGACGATGAGAGGGGAGGCTGTAACGAAGGGGAGCAAATATACGACGTGTATAAGGCCGGGGCAAAGACGAGCAGCTTTGGGAGTGCGAGGTCCAGAGTGGACGCTAGTGCAAGGGATGGCTCGGAACAGGAGGAGCCGGAGGCAGGGCTGCTTAGGGCAGTGCAAGATGTGCGCATATCCGAGAGGGACGTACAACATCTCCGTCAACAGCGAGCGCAGTCGGTCTAGCAAACGGAAGCCGATATACGCGCATTTAAGGACTTAATGGACGAGGTGTTCCGAGTCGAATGCTCCGTATGTAGTTGGCTAGCTACGCTCCGATTAGTACCCATGCCGCCTTACGACGGCGTATATAATATACTTGATTGCCCTAACTTAGAGTCCAGGCTACCGAAGAACTTTATCCCTAGGGCGATTAACGGCCGGCTTAAGTTGCGAGGGCATATAGAGACATTTGCTAGCTATTACCACTACGGCATGCCGTAAGAGTGGTGTAATCTATGGCGAGAAAAGCAAGACGGGTAAGGTGGATTAAAATACATTAGTAAGGAAGATGATAATAAAGAGGCTTATTAATATAAAGGGATTTTATACGTCGGACTTCTTATTATACGTTGTTTGCGACCGGAGATAATAGTATAGGTAATTAAAAGCTAGGAGTATAAGGAAGGAGAAAAGACGGGAAAAGATATATACGAAGGGAGAAGGGAGGACAGTATAACCAGGTAGATGGGAAAAAGGGTTAAATAAGGAAAGTTAGAAACCTGTCGATTATGTCTATTTATATAGAGAGTTATATTAGAAATACGGTAACTTGTACAATATATATAGAATATAAATCACCTCGTTACTAATTATTAGAGATAAGTGATTTTATAAGGAAACTATTCGCCTAAGGAAGCTAGGCACATTTTATACGCGTTCGCACGGATTACTTAAAGATTATCTAAAACGTTAGCGTTATATATTACTTTACGCCGCATTATTAATACATATTATAAACTACACCTTTTACAGTTTAGTTAGAAGAGGAAAAAGAACGTCGCATTATTATAGTCCAGATTTCACGGCTAAGCCAAGAGAATACGAACAGATCTTATTACACCTAAACCATAAACCCCGTGGCATTCCGTGCACATCCGCACCGAAGTTCGAACAATAGAAATCAACGGGTATCGTGTAAATTCGTATGGAAATCTATTCCGTGACTATATGCGCCCCCCCCCCTTCTCCCGAAACACCCTTTGCTATACAAGTAATGTATACGTTGTTACTAACGTAGACAATATAAGAGATGGGTGCCTAGCAATTTGTAGCTATAGTAAAAGGTCCATGTCGCGGCGCTACTCGCCTTATAGCTCTTGGATTCGGTCTTATCTAGTAGACATGCGCTACGCCACCGTACGCTTAAACTCGTCGTCTTTAGTAGAGGAGACGTCCTCGATCTTGCGCTTAGTCGCTTCCTTTAGACGTGTCGTCATGGGCTTAGTACTATTAGGATCGAGCGAACGGTAATACTCTAATACGCGTCTAGCGGCGACTAACTAAGTTTGTATATATTGTAGTTTTGTTAATATAGAAGTTATACACGACTAGTATGGCAACTTACCTCGTCCGTAGGATCGTATTAGTAGAATTTATTATCGTGGCTAACTGTAATCTTATTAAGGGTAGTAGCCTCGACCCTAACAGCCTTTATCGCGCTTTTTAGTTCCTCGAGTTTGGTATCATCCTGTCCCCAAGCGATAAGGCGTCTTTTGTTATCGCGGTTAGCATTTAAGCATGTAACGGCTAACATAATTAGTCGATATCGAGAAGAAGTATATAATCTTACGTATAAGGCGTCCTCTAGTAGACGATAAAGGGATTTAGTTTCCCCTTTATTGTTAATATCTTTCTTTAGTAATACCCGTAACGTTTAGGATTCTTGCTTATTTCAGGAGTGCTAGGGTTTACCTTCCCGTTACGCGGAATAAGTACGCGTATAAAATCAAAGGTGTTGCCCTCCTTATCGCTTTCATTTGGCAGGGTGCCGCTAGACATGAGGCCCTTTCCAGCGTACGTTATAAGACCCTTTCTTGCGTAGGTCGGAATGCCCTGTCCAGCGTAAGGCGGAATGCCCTTTCCAGCGTAAGTGGGATGGCCCTTACGTGGACTGGGGTAAGCGATAGAGCCGTCGGTGTCTGACATCTTAGTTAGTAACGGTCGGTAGCGGCCGCCTAGCGGAGATTCCGTGCGAATTCGCGTAGGCCGAAGGCGCCAGGCCGTAGTGTTTATCGGATTAGGTTCGGAAGATACTCGGGTCCTAATCGCGCCCGAATACACAGTAACGGGGTTATAATATGTAAGCTAGGGAAGCGCGCCGGGATAGAGTCGGGCCCGAAAGTTAAATAGTTTAGAGTGGGAATTCGTAAAGAATCGTTACGGCCATAGACTTGGCGGGGTAAGCAATCACTATTTTACGTAGCCTTTTATTATTATCTCCTAAATAATAATGAACGCTATTTAAGCACGTTATAGACTTAGAATGATTTGCGGATTATAGCGATTCGACATTATAAATTAGCCTTAGAATTGCCTGTACAAGTCTAGCGTAGGCCTATCGTAATCCTTAATTCCCTGCGAATTTGCACGGATTCACGTTTTTGTTCTTTTATCTTATATAGGGCACTATTGTTAACAAAAATAAAAAGGATCGAAGTATACCGTCCATATAAACGTACTTATGAATTTTATTAGCTAAAAAGAAACTACGCGTTAGCCTTGTATACGCACTTAGAGATGCGGACGGGCTATATATTAAACCAAACCATGCTATCCCTCCCCTAATTTAGTGCGAATTTACACGGATTCTCGTTACCGTATATCTTGTGTTATAGTATAACACCCGTATCGCCTGTACCGTCATGTATAGCTTATAGCCCTAGTTATTTGTTTAAAGTTTTGGCCTTAGATATGGCCTTAGTAGTTGGCCTAGTGGTAACATTAATAGTATCGACGGAGGATTTGTCTTTCTTATTACCCTCCGGAGTGTTAACTTTCCGTTTCTTGGCCGGACTAGTTATAACTGCCTCGACCACGTCTTGCCCCTCTCTAGATTTACGCTTATACGAGGCAGTATGGTTAGCTGCCTTGGGTATATTAGGTATCTAACCAAGCTTGCCGGGTATGTCGTCTTGAGAATTAGGAATGGTGGACTTGGGAAATAGTAGACGTGTAAGAGTACTTATACGAGGAGTGGTGGTTACCGTCTTTAGGAGCGGTAGCTCCTCCGCGGTAGCCACTTCTTGGCCAGACTCCTCCGAACTAGAACGTAACAGCTCGTCTTCCGTGCCCCCTTGTGTAATAGCTAGGCCCTCCTTATTTAACAACTTATCTTTAGAGGATAGCGGCGACCCTAAAGAATCTAAAGCATTAGATTTTACCTTTATTAAGGCGTTACGCATTGTTATTAAGCAAATGCTAAGGAGGTTTTGGCCTTACCGTGACCGAGGATGATACTCTGCCTCGTCTTTTATAAAACCAATGCCTTATACCTTATTTATACTAGCTTTAATTAGCTTTGTATTTCTAGTCGCGACTAATTGCCGTCTTATTATCGTTATACCACGGGCGGTGAACTTAAGCATGTTACCCCGTAGTATAACGTCCCGACTAACTTTGGCCTACTCGTCTTTGTTAAACGGCTTGACACGCTTTCCTCGATAGTAGGCTCTTGACGGCTATGTGGTTGGTAGGCTGGCGATATAGGCTGCGGACTCCTCGTCCTTAAAGTGCTTGGCCTTACGATAGTGTATATAGTGCTTAGCTGTTCTAAATGTAATACTAGGATATAGTAGGTCCTGGAACGACATGGCGTAAAACTGGCTTATATAGCCATTGTACGCAGTTTTCTTCTAGAAGTATTCCCGGGGCCTAGCGGCATTAGCAACCGGTGGAGGCCGCCATTCTTTGCGAATTCGTACGGAAAATAGGGTAAAGGTCCGTGTACATGTGAGCCCGATTATGGGCAGATGGGGGCGAGACTTGGGCGAGAGGCGGTACAGAGTTAGGCGGCAGCTAGTTGTATAATAAGTGGAGTGTTTTGAGTATACCAAGTCATGGTCACTACCGGCCAATTAGTCGCCCGAATTCGCACGGAATGCCATCCGCCGCTCCGGGTGATAAAGTTAATATACGTATTTGCCTAAGTTACCGTCTAGCTAATAGCTAGTAGTATATAAGTATATAGGACTATTATACTCGTTATAAACGTAACGGGGTAGCTAATGATAAGGTGTCTTACTTTATAGACTAGGAACGGGCTTAATATGTATAGGATAATATGACTATTATAAGGAGGAAAGTGGGGAGAGAATCGAAATAAGCCGATAATAATCCATTCTAGATAAAATAGTAAATACGGTGTCGGTGCTCACTATTTGTATTTGTTAAGCTTGTATAGGGTGAGTATAGTTTAATAATTCCATGCGAATTCGCGCAATGGAACGGTTACTAATTCCGTGCGAATTCTTGCGATTAAATGGTTGTTCTTACCATTGATAATTTAGTGATATCCTTATACCTTTATATCACCGTTTTTTCTCCCCTGTCGTCCCCAAACCTTGCCAGCTTAGGTCCCGATTTTGACCACCGCCTGCCGCCATTTACCCGATCGCCCCCCGTATCGCCATAGTACCGGCCCCGATCTCCATTCACCGTTCCCGCTCCCGTATAATTTACCGCGCGAATTCGTAAAGATTCCCACGATGCCGCGTCGAAAGCGAAATGCCTCCGGGTTTGTCAAGCCTTGTTATAATACACGATGTATAATGCTAACATGTATATAAGAGCATAAGCACCCAACTTAGGAAGCGTGGTAGGCCTTAGAAGGCCAAAACTATAGCTATTGTATCTAAGCACGATAGCGACGAGCTAGTGGACGACTATATCGACACTAGAACCTATACATTTGCAACTTCTGAATATCTAGACGTCATGAACCTCGATGCTATCGAAGTTGTAGACTAGGCACCCGCTACCGATGAACAGGTCACCGCTGCTAAGGCTGAGTACGGAGCCAAGTATAGTTAATACGCCGCCATAGTCCGCGTAAGCCATCCTAACTACGACCTCTAGAACATCGAACAGTTTAAAAAGGATATCCCGGTCCTTGACAAGTGGCACGACTATAACTGGGCTTGGACCGAGCCTAAGTTCACCGCCGATTTGCCTTCCGAAGCGGACGCTTCTGCCTTTAAGAAAGACAAGGCGCTTCTCATCCAAGGCCAAACCGTCATGCTCGTCATCCGAACCAAGGCACATGGAGTAGGCCTTAATGCTCCCTTTAATGGTTTTGCGACATCTAAGGCGTTTGTCACCTGGCTCGACACTAAAGGTGAGTACCGCCATAGTCCCGGTATTTTATTCCCTGCGAATTCCCGCTATTTATATACCCTTTAACCATGCGAATTCGCAAGGATTCGTTGTGCCCTGCCCTTATCGGCTCGTAAGCCCTATTGGCTCTTTCTATACGCCGTTATCCGGTCTTGTATACTAGCATGGCTCTGTCTTGTTCCTTGCGAATTCCCGTCGTTTATATACCCTTTAATTATGCGAATTCGCAAGGATTCGCTATGCCTTACACCCCTCGTTTCACACTCCCTGTTTCCTTACCAAGTTGGCTTAGCTAGACGGTATATTATATTAATATTTCTATAGCTGCCGACTTGTTCCGACCGCTCGCTATCTTGCGCAAAAACAGTTGGGCTCTGTTTAGCACGCAGCCCGCTTTTGAAAAGCTTGGTAAGGTTTTTATGAGCAAATATAAGGATCGAGGTGTTCATAGGGTCCTTTATGCGGTAGGAGACATCTTTGAGCCACGCTCTTTTTATGTACGTAATGGCGACGTTAATATAGCGTACCACCCGATGAACTAGCGTTATTACACCCACTTCGTTGTAACCTACCTGGCCAATGTGTTAGTCGTACTAAAGTTCGCCACCGACCATAACGGCACCGCCCGGTACCCTTTTAAAGAAGGTGATAAGGGTCTTATAGAACCGTATTACTATGGTTACTATGCCGACCATTGGGTTACTATACTAGCTATAACAAATGCATTCTACGACCGCCGACGCGCCGATAGCAAGGCTATTAATAGGCCATAAGGCTCTAACAGCCCCATCTAGGAGTTGTAGCGCATTAAGGTGTCTGAGCTTACTAGCGTAGTGAGTGCTGCTCAGGGCGAAAAGCTGCCTCATGCCGTTACCACGAGGGATTAGATCGCCTTCCAAAGCGCTCTAGTAGCCAATGTCGGCTTTGAGGAGGTATCGGCAGCCACGCCTGACGAGGTGTTAGAGCGCATGGACAGCAATAACTAACGCCTTACTTTTATCTGCTCGATGCGCAACACGTACTAGAGGCGTTCAGCCAATATGCGCAAGAAGTAGGGTAAACCAAAGGGCAAGGGTCGGGACAGGATAGACCTGCCGTTAGTTCCGCCTATCGACAGCACCACCCTTGAAATGGTACTTAACGGCGTGGATCCGTACTTTGGTGAAGTCCAAGTGATTAGGCCGGACGAGAGTAGCGTCACCGCTCTTAAGGCCTTTATCCAGACGAAAGATCCCTCTATGAGAAGCTTTATGGCTTCGTAAGAGACCCTAGCTGAGCGATTAGGGCAAGTTCTTGCCGAGGCTGGCGACATAACCTCTCAGGAAGCTGTTGTAAAGGTTAACGAGCATATTAAGAGCAGCTGGACTTTTAACAAGATGATGAACGCCACCCTACCGGAGGAACACGACTTTGTGACAATGCTAAAAGCCTTTAACCTCGACCCTAACAAGCCCTAGCGTAAGCATCTAAAGCTTAACCCCGCCGGCAACCCAGAGTTTACGGTTATACATCACTAGCTAGTCGATGTATATATCCTCTAGTTAAAGGAGAAATCTCTCGTGCGAGGCGCCCTTCTAGCCAATAATGTAGGGACTGGCAAAACTATCACCGTTATTTCCCTTATAATCCTTCACTACTTCGATTTGTGTAAGAAGAAAGCGGTAGGTGAAGCATTTAAGGCTCGGCCTACTTGTTTACAAGTTACTGTAGGGCTCATTGGCCAGACAATCGACGAGCTCTTTAAGCATTTCGGCGGACTTATCGACATCTTGTCCTATTATGGATCTCCCGGCGAGTTTAAAGGCATACGCGCTACCATTACTAGTATAGTCGACAAGTGGACAGACTGGACCGCGGAGACCAGTCGTTATAAGACAGTGACTGGCGACCCTAGAGTAAGTGATCCCCTACCCTTTTACCATATCCTAGCCATTGGATATTGTCGGCGATTCCATGCGCATTCGCACGGCGATAAGGGGTGGTTTCTCTGCGCATTCGCATGGAATCGCTCGTGGCTTGCTCGCTATACCCTACTGCCAGTCCCTTCCACTGTATTTTTACTATCTGATATTATCCACTGTTCCATGCGAATTCGCGCGGTAATAGGGGCCCATTACTCTGCAAATTCGCATGAAATCTCCGTGTCGCTCTCGAGCATTATATGTCGTCCGAGCCTATACTAACATCGCGTAGAATGCCCTTAAATTGGTTGTTACCACCTACTCTACTGCTTTGTATAGATAGACGTATAAGAGGACTATAACCGGGTACGATAAGGAAGCCTTACGTGACACTCTTGACGAAGTGTAATGGATTAATCCGAGTAACCGTCGTATGGCTAGTGTATCGGGTGGCGAATACTAGGACGACGATGATCTCGACTAGGGGGAGGCATAGTAGTTCGAGGACATTTATGACGTTGGACAGCTTGTTAGCGGCAAGGCCCGATCTGACAAGATTATATTCACGCATACAGTGTGCGTCCTTAACCTTAGTGCTACGCCTAAGTTCAGGTTTAGGAAACTTATTTACGACGAAGCCCAGGCTTTACGTAATCTAAAGTCAATGGTATCCAGGATGAACAGGCTTATTCCTCGCGATATAATAGTACTTATAACCGTTACGCCTATATTAAACCGCTTAAGTGATATTAAAGGTTTGTTAGACTAGATAGCTATAGTTATACTTCTACTTTTCGGCGAGGTTATCCATCTAAATTCCTTAAACGACCATTACGACTTAGACCGCGTTAACTACACGCAAGATATAGATGCCGGCAAAAACTATCCGTTTATCTTCGCCTTTAGAACGACACTAGATTAAATAGCCCTCGTTAAGTCGTACCGTGTAAAGATTGGCCACGCTCTATAGGTCCTCCTCTACGCCTATACGGAGAAACTAGCCCCCGATAAGGAATATAACGGGGACTTTAATAATAAGGTTTACAGCCATGCCGTCCGGTATATGCAAACGAGACGGACAATACGAGATACCGTTAAGGTCCCCTTCCCGGCGACCGACGATTAGCCGGTAAGAATAGTCGAATACTTCCCGGGTTCTAATATACCTTTACACGAGGTTGTTATAAAGGAGCTCTCCTTTAAGGGTTTTAACGGCACCGAGGACAAAAACATTGTCGAGTATTTAACAAACAACCTCGCCATAAGGCTTAACATCGGACCTACCGTACTATAAGACACGCTACCGGACCACGGCGAAGCTAGGGATGGCGACTTAAACGACGTCTGTATAAACATACATATATATAGGCAGCTTGTCTTTCTAGGCTTCGACCTCCGAACCGTGGACATGTTATCTAAAGAGGACGCCATTAACAAGGCTAACCTTACGCCTTTAAAGTTAGCAGGGATTAAGCAGAAAGAGGCAGCCAGGGCGTATTCCGGACTTAAATAGACAGTTACTTCTCGTAACAAGGGCAAATCACGGGCTACTAAAGCTATAAGCGATATCGCCCTAGGTGTAGAGCAGGTCGACGAGATAAGACAACTTAATCCAGATAGCGGCCTTATATACAGTTAGCTACTATACGAGTATGAAAAAACCCGTACTCTACCTCTAATCGAGCGAGTACAAATAGTATAATAGGCCATTTCCAAGTCGCCTATAATAGCCCGTATCGTGCGCAAGGTTCACGAAAATTGGTCTAACAAGGAGCGCACGCTTATCGTTGTCGATAACTAGTACTACTAACAATAAATACCCCCTCCCCCTTCTTATATTCCCTGCCACCTCGTACTCGCTTATTCCGTGCAAATTCGCACGTTTCTCGTCCACCGCTTAACTCTTTACGAATTCGCATGGAATTACCTACGGTTTCTCTTTTTATAAAAGTCTTCGGCTTAGTATAACACATCCCGCGTCCTTATACTGTATATCCATTCCACGCAAATTCGCACGATAAGTTAATGGACCGTATCTTTGCGAATTCGCAGGGAATAGGGTTCGGTCTTTTATCATCGTCACGTCGCTAACTTAATTATAGGCTCCTCGTCTCAATTCTAGAAAAGGTCGGCTAAGAAGTAAGTTCTATCCGTGCCGTAAATAGTACTAAGGAGAGGGAGGAGGCAATTGCCGACTTTACTAACAAAGATACTAAGATGGCGGCCTTTATAATTAATACCTTTACTAACGTTACCAGACTTAACCTACAGGCATGTTGCCACTACATACTCATCGTATAATTCTTTTAGAACCTGTCCATCCTCATCTAGGCGATAGGTCGTATTCTCCGCATCGGCCAGACCAAAATTTGCCAGGTAATCGTCATAAAGGTGGTCGGTAGCTATTATAATTTCTAAGAGGACAGGATGTACCGGAAGTTTATAAAAGTGCTCCGAAACGATGGCTATACGCCCGACTACTTAACTAACCCAAAGCTATAACGTATTATAGCGTACGAGCAAATAAAGGTTATGTTAGCCTAGTCATTTAACCGGTATTGCTAAAATGCCGTTAACATCGATCCCCCCGCTACCGTACAAGAATATAACGATCACCGTTACTATATACTAGGCAGCTTCTATTTTACTATTACAATTATGTTGTTATAACTCCCGGACGACATGAAGGGACCCGAGAAGTAGCTATAGCTAAGCTTATATATAAACCAAATCGGCAAGGCGTACACTAAACTGGGCGACGAAGCCCGCGTCCTAGTCAATGCGTAATAAGTGCGTCGCACTCTCCGGGAGATCATTTAACAAGCCAGGATGGCGTCGGCCTCCAAGGGTAGGAAGAAGAAGTTTAAGTCTGTTAATATAGACTCTGATATGGATTCCGATGACGACGGTAAAAGTAATGCCGAGCTCCGCTTATAAAAGAAGGCCGAGCGAAAGGCGGCCCGTGAGCTTAAGCATATATAAGCATAGAAAGACGTCCTAGCGCAAATCACCGACTTAAAGCAAGCTGTTAAAGACATGGCCAGGGAAATAAAGGGCAAGCGTGTAGTAAAGAAGGCTACCCTTATCCCGATCGACTAAACTCGGTTAGTCGAGATAATGTCTTTATAAGAATAGGAAGTGGTTATAAATGATATAAGCGATAATAATAACGAGGACGCTAATAAAGACGCGAGCGAGGGCATAAGTAAGGGCGGCGGCGATGATAACTCTAAGACTAGAAGTGATAACAAGTCTAATCGTAAAAGTCGCGAGGCTAATAATAGAAGTAACGATAATAATAAGGGCGGAAGTAAGGACGACGAAGAAGTCGACACTTAACTTAGGTTACCGACACCGCCCTTTATCGTAGCCTTACCGGTTATATGTCTTTATAACTAATAACGTTAGCTTACTCGCTCTAGTATAAACAGATTACATTAAATATGTTTTTAATACTCGATAATCTCGGTATACCCGGGCCATTAGCATAATAAACAGGCTTAATCAGATTTAATAGCTTGTTCTTTACGAATGTACGTGACTTATATACCGTTTAAGTATACGAATTCGTAAAGAACGAATGTATAAACCTCTTATTTTATAACATTATTAATGTATATATCGTAATAATTACTTGTTTTATAACTTACATTACTTTAATAAGGAATTCTTTACGAATTCGCGCCGTTAAAAGCGGTATAAGTCACGGGAATTCGCAAGGAACAATTATAAATAAAACTAAAGGTAAGACATTACGGGTATATATAGTATAATAATTGCTTATTTTCTAAATAAAAGGATTTAATATAATATTATTTATAAACTCTCTAGGTTTATTTATTAATAAACTATACGAGTACGTAAGGGATTATTATTAAAACCTTAAATAATAATATATTTTAAAGGCATAGTTATTAAATAATAAATAAAACTTATATTAAAATAATTAAAAGTTAAATTATGTTATATAAAGTTTTTAAATATAAAAAGAAGTTAAATTTATAATTTAAAAGTATATATTAAATTTAATATTAATTAATTTTAAATATTAAAATAGCTTAGTACTTTAACCCTAACCCTTAACCCTAACTTTAAACTTTATATATTAAATATTAAATATTAACTTTAAATATTAATTTAATATTTTTATTTTAAATATTTATATTAAAATATATATTATAAATTTAAATTAAATATTTAATTTAAAATAATTTTTTAAAAGGTTTATTTTTTATATTATAAAATAAATATATAATATTTTATAAAATAAGAATTTAATATATAAATATATATTTAAATATTAATATATAATTAATATTTATAAAATTAATATAATTATTAATATTTTTTATTATTATAATATTTATAATTAAATTATAAAATATAATAAATATATAAATAAATTTCTTTAATTTATATTTTAAATTTATATTTTAAATTTATATTAAATTATAATATTATAAACTTTTTATTTTAAATTAATTTTATTAATTTTATTATTTAATATTAATAAAATAAAAATTAATTATTAATAAAAATTTTAATTAATATAATTTTATATTAAAAGTTATTTATTTAATAAACTTATTAATAAATCTTTTTTTATTTTTTTAATATTAAATATATAAAAATAATACTTTTTTATTATATTTAAAAATTATAAATATTTAAATTATAAAATAATTAATTATAAATAAAAATAATTAAATATTTTTTATATAATTATAATACTTAATTTTAAAAAATAAATTTAAATATTATATTATTATATTTATTAATATTTAATTAAAAAATATTATTTATTTAAAAAAAAATATATATAATAATTATATAATTATAATTATTTATATATTATAACTTTTTTAAAAATATAAATTTATAAAAATATTAAAAAACTTTAAAATTTATAATATATTTAATAATAATATATTATTTAATTTAAAAATTATAATTATTAAAAAAATTATTAAATTATATTTTTAAATATTTTTTAATTAAATATTATGAATAATATAATAAATAAAAAATTAAAATTTATTTAAAATTACTTTAATTTTATATATAATATAATTATATTAATTTTAAAATATTAAAAGTTTTAATTTAATAATTATTATATTTAAAAATATTATTTAATATAAAAAATAATTAATTTTTTTAAAATAATTATATTAATTAAATAAAAATTAATATTATTAAAATATAAAATATATAAAATAAAAATTATTAAAATTTATAAAAAAAAAAAAAGAATTTAAATAAATAATAACTTTATAAAAATATAATTAATTAATATATTAAATATAATAATTAAATCCTTATTATCGACTTTTATTATTTATATTTATATA